ATTTGAAATCTCTCCTTGGCCTCTTTGAGTCAATTAAGACAATTAAGGATGTCACTATAGAAAAAGTTGACAATCTCAAAATAAACTTTATTATCATGTAGTTCATCTCAAATAAAGTGGACTTTATTCAAAATATATACTTTTATTTCAAGAAATGCATCCAGTAGATAGTACATGGTGATCTGTCAATGTGGCTAGAAATCTGAAAGGTCCAGAAGCAAGTCTGTTTTCAAAGAAATTGATATAATGGCATATAATCACTCTAATTAGTCATGTGGTATCAATTTACTGAATACCTTAATGTCGACTCAACTTTTAACAACAAGATGGCACTCCATCTCATCCAATTCAATATATTTATAACAAATATCATATATGAATAGAATCCTGAATCGAATACTCTTGATGCGTAGAACAATCTGAGAAAGTATCATACTCATGACTCAATTCCTCTTGATCATTGTTGTACTTTTCATTCATGCGTAGATAAAAATAACGTACATTCAAAAATAATCTCAAAAATTCTACGCATCAATATGAATGACAACCAAATTGATTGAATATAAGTCCGTCCGCAAAGTGACGCAAAGTAACGGAATATCGAAATCGTTACTACTTTCGAATAGCTTGAAAACAACACATTTACACCACAACTCGATAACTAGATAAGAACTATATACTTTTTTTAAAACTTTACTAAAAAAACCAACAAAATACCCAAACGGCGCTTAATAACCCTATATCAGATCATAAAGACCATGGAGCCACAGAAGAAACAAATCAAAACAACACGTTTCCAAAACCTTTACATATAATAAGTCTAGAATTGATACCACATAGTCTATATATCAATTAAATACATCTACAATAGTTTAGAAACATTTCAAACTACTTTCATAAAATTAATCAGTAAATGTTCAATGTCAATCCTAGGTATACCATAGTGAACACTTCATCTCAGTGAAAGTACATCCAATCATCCTATAACTTTACCAGATACGTTTAATCACACTATTGTACATATTGTATTAATTTTAGATATTCTGAATAGAAAATAACTTGATAATAATAACAATCTGTCAAAAAGTAACTTTTCAATATATAGAATACGCACCAGCTCATTCAGTTTGTAAATATCAAACAAGTATGAAGCATGAACACATTCCTATTGGTGATAGGTGCAATCTGAGAAAGATTCATTGAAGATATTGGGTCTTGTCATCATACAAGAATTGAATCAAGTATCCATTTACTTGGATTGAACTTTACATAAGCACACCGGGTTTGAGCCACACCAAGCTCATTTGAGAAAGTGTAATTTAATTTTACAACGGGTTTGAGCCACACCATGTTCATTTGAAACAATTTCAAGTAGTTTTTACATCGGGTTTGACGACAACCACTGTTTTAAAGATAACATTTGTGAAAAATCGACTGATCTCAATCATTATTAAGAATTTGAGTATACTCCAATGGAATGTTACCATCTACATACAGTTTAGAACATTTTCCATCCCCTTGTAAAAATTCCTTAATAATTTTGAAATATTCAAAGTTCAGTAAGATTGCAAACAATTTACTTTGTTGAATAGTATATTCCAGCCTCGTCACATTGCTCGATCAGGAACTTTTTTGAAAAGAAGCAACGGGTTTGAGCCAATCCATGTTCATTTGAAACAATTTCAAAAAGTTTTTACATCGGGTTGGATGACAACCACTGTTTTAAAGATTACAGTTGTGAAAAATCGACTAATCTCAGTCATTATTAAGATGTTGAGTATATTCCAATGGAATGTTACCATCTACATACAGTTTAGAACATTTTCCAACCACTTGTAAAAATTCCTTAATAATTGTGAAATATTCATAGTTCAATAAGAATGCAAAAATTTTAATTTGTTGTATACTATAATACAGTCTCACCACATAGCTCGATCAGGAACTTTTTTGAAAAGAAGTAACGGGTTTGAGCCACTCCAAGCTCATTTGAAACCTTTTCAAATTGTTCCACAAGCGGGTTGGATTACAACCACTGTTTTAAAGATTACAGTTGTGAAAAAATGGCAAATCTCAATCATTTTTGAGAATTTAAGTATACTGTAAAGGACTGGTACCATTTCTATCGAGTTTGGAACATTTTCCATCTACTTGAAAAAATTCCTTACTATGTGAAATATTCAAAGTTCAGTAAGAAAGTTTAATTGTGAAAATGTTGGCTCTTTGCCAGAATACCAGTTAAAATTGTATTCCGATTGAATTTTACGTAAGCACACCGGGTTTGAGCCACGCCAAGCTCATTTGAGAAAGTTTAATTTAATTTTACAACGGGTTTGAGCCAGTCCATGGAGTTGTTATTAAAGCGTGGTTGGATGAAATCACTGTTTCAAAGATAACAGTTGTGAAAAATCGACCAATCTCAATCATTATTAAGAATTTGAGTATAGTTCAATGGAATTATACCATCTATAGCCAGTTTTGAACATTTTCCATCTACTTGTAAAAATTCCTTAATAATTAGGATGAAGGAAAAGTTCACTAAGAAAAGACAATGTTAATTTGTTGAACATTATTGTACAATCCCCACCAAAAGGTTGAATAAGTCACTGTTTTGAGAAGAAGCAACGGGTTTGAGCAACTCCAAGCTCATTTGAAATATTTAATAGTAGTTGTTACATCGGGTTGGATGACAACCACTGTTTTAAAGATTACAGTTGTGAAAAATCGACTGATCTCAATCATTATTGAGAATTTAAGTACACTTTAAAGGACTTCCACCATTTCCATCGATTTTGGAACATTTTCCATCTACTTGAAAAAATTCCTTAATAATTGTGAAGTAAGAAAAGTTCAGTAAGAATGCAAAAATTTTAATTTGTTGTATAGTATAATACAGTCTTGTCAAAAGGTTGGCTACGTCACTCTTTCGAAAAGAAGCAACGGGTTTGAGCCCCACCATGTTCATTTGAAACAATTTCAATTTGTTCCACAAGCGGGTTGGAACCACTGTTTTAAAGATTACAGTTGTGAAAAATCGACCAATCTCAATCATTATTGAGATTTTGAGTATACTGAAAAGGACTGCCCCCATTTCCATCGAGTTTGGAACATTTTCCATCTACTTGAAAAAATTCCTTAATAATTGTGAAGTAAGAAAAGTTCAGTAAGAAAGAATAAATTTCAGTTTGTTGTATAGTATAATACAGTCTCATTCAAAAGGTTGGATAAGTCTCTTTTTTGAAAAGAAGCAACGGGTTTGAGCCACTCCAAGCTCATTTGAAACAATTTCAAAAAGTTTTTACATCGGGTTGGATGACAACCATTGTTTAAAAGATAACAGTTGTGAAAAAATCACAAATCTCAATCATTTCTTAGAATTTAACTATGCTGTAACGGAATGTTACCATCTACAGCAATTTTAGAACACTTTCCATCTACTTGAAACAATTCCTTAATAATTATGATGCAAGCAAAGTTCACTAAGAAAAGAATATTTCAAAAACTTATTGTTGGTGGAATGATTCTGCACAACTATAGAGCATCTCCTTGTTCCGATATTGTACATGTGGATATTAGTAAAAAAACCACCACTATAACAAAAATTTTTGTTTTGGTCCAACAGATGATGAGAAATGGCACTTGTAAATGTTGAAAATAATGTTATACCAATTCTACACCATACACAACTAGGCCACTTATCCATCATTTACAAAATGATACAATTGAAATAAATATCATATCTCAATTTAAACATAGAGATGGTCAATTAAGGTACCTCAATAGCGAAGTACCCTAAGGACAATGAGATTCAATACCAAATTGATACAATATGTTATTAACATCATATAATGAGGTTTCTATCAATTTCAAATCATTTGGACATCATTCAGTATTCATGTCATTTAACCATGTCACTAACTACTCATGATAATATGACAAGTCATATCAAGATGTACAACATGATTGAACATCATACCAGTACTCTTATAACTGATATTGATAACGTTTCTGAGTGATAGAAATCAATATCAGCATCTATATAATTGGAATATCTCAAGAAACAGCGATTCCGGACCGGTCTCAATGATTTTTTTTATAACTTGTTCGCTATTATGAATGAAACTGTTCGAATCAAGTATTCAGACTTTAGAAAACTGCTGGCCGAAACCTTTCTCTCTATGGGAAAGAAACTTCGCGCCAAAAAATAACTCTCCTTCTAATAAACTTCCATTTTATTTTAATTTCACAAAAAAATTCACCAACTTTAACCAAGCATATCCTCCTTAATACACAACAATTCGTAAAAAAAAATTACACATGGTATTAGTATCTGATCTTATCTCTTACCACCACAAAATTCAATATTCGATATTAAGTAGTTGAGCGAAAAATCACTTTTCCCAAAAAGGTATATGATGTCATAACTCACTAATTATCTCAATGAAAACAAAAGATTAAATATTCAAAAATGAATAGGATATAGTATACATGATATGAAATCACCCGTGTAAAATTCAAGATGTTATACCATGTATTAAACTAAATATTTCCTTTTAAAGAGGGAGCACTAGAAAAAAGCGGGAAAAACATTTCCACAGATTTTGGATACTATCTGATCTGAAATGAGGTAGAAAGAAGGGGAAGAAGGCTAACAATATATAGACAAACGGAAATCCATTTGTTAATGACAAGTCAACAGCTGGCGAAAAGAACTGTATTCCCAGAGATGACAAAACTCCCATCAACATCTGTATCCATTGAACTTATTATTTGCATGTACATTTTCATCTTGTTATTTAATGGCAAATGACAAGTCCAGATGCAACAAATGTATTGTTCAATTAAGGACTTTACCAAATATCTCTTGGTCTAATGACCGAAAAAATTTACGAAACAAGATGCATTTAGTATTTCATCAACCTATTCTTAATGTTGGCAACTAAAAATGCATGATGATTGAGCATCAAACAAGCTCAATACCCAATAGAAAAAATCATAAAAAAATGAAAGAAACGACACAAGTCATTCCTGTCAGATCCCAGCACGATGCAACAGAAGATAATACTCAACCTATCGAAGATACTTCAAGCGATAATTTTCAACAAGACGCAAGAAAGATTGCATTCTTTGGTTCAATTAAAATGTGGTTGATTCTAATTATTTCTGTAATTGTATTATTGACAGTTTTTATCCTGTCAGCAATTTGGTTGAGTAGTTTCATTCCTTCAGTTGTTGAATATAGCAAGGAACTAAGAGATTTTGAATTTGATAATATTATTGCATTTGTCAAACAAACAATTAGAGAAGTAAAAATGACAAGTGAAACTGGTAAACATTTAATGATGAAAACACTTGACTTTTCGAATAGAGATCAGATAGAAGTGTTGATTTATCAGTTTTTGAAACAACAGTGGACCTATCTTAAAGGTTTAGTTGTTACAAATCACATTGGTGACAATGAAGGAAGGTAAGTACGTAAGTACTTTACAAAAGTTTTAATCTTTACAATATTTCATTAATTTCTTAAGACAATATGGAATTATGGACTGGGGAGGAAAACCTACATTATTCAACATCACCACCAAAGATCAACAACTTTATTATTGTAATAACTTTGATGAACTTGATTATTGTAATAGAAGTTCAACTCCAGATATTCAATTAGGATTTTTTGATTTGACAATTTTGATTAATGCTGGAAATGCACATCCAGGAAAACCAACCATCACTAATAGTTTCATAGATGCATCACAACCACAGTATACTTTCATTACAATGGTTAATTCTATTGCGTTACCTCAACCAGATTCGAAAGGAAACAAATTTAAATATTACTTAGGAACAGATTTGTCTGCTGAGACTATTTCTCAATATTTGGCACAGGTCACGTTGAAATTGAGTGGTTCAAAGAGTTTTATTATTGAAATGGCAACTCAATACATTATTGCAAGTAAGTTTAACAATGAAAAAGGTAAAAAGTTTACAATAATTGAAAGATGACAATTCTAATGCAAGAGTTGCAGTTGTTAATTCAGATGGATCTGTCACAAGACAAACCTATCTCAAAATTGATAATGATGAAAGAGTTTCGTCAATCGCCAAGGTATTGGCTTCGGAATTGGGAACAGAATTGGATACTATTGGATGTGGAAACAAATCATTAATTACATCTGCAACTGATTACATTTCAGTTTATAGATTATGCACAGATACTGATGTTGATTGGTAAGTTAGCAAATCAATTTCGAACTCTATAATAATTATTCGAAATAGGTTGTTTGTGTTGGCAGTTCCTCAATGGAATTATATTAGTTCAATTGTTATTGCTGTAATTTGTGCTACTCTAGGCGCATGTATTATAATTTCTGCAGGTGTTATAACATCTGTCATTATTTCAGTCAAACTAGTGAAACCATTTTACAACTTGATTGATTTATTCGAAAGTGTTTCTCATATGGATTTGGATAATTTAGTAATTAATGATTCCAAATTTACAGAAGTGAAACATTTACAAAATCATTTCAAAACCATGACAGATAGAATCAAACTTTACAGAGCATTCATTCCATCACATTTACTTTCTCAATTAGATCAAGGAGGAGATCATGTTGACGCCAAAAAGAAAGCTCATGAAAATGATTCCATTTCTATGGCTTCCTCTCATAAATCCTCTCAGAGATCTTCGAGATTAGACTCCAAACAATCTAGCTTGAGTAGAAGTCATGCCTCTAGTTCACATCGAAGATATTCGAATGATTTGGATATTTTCTCACTTCATTTGGATCGAAAGAAATTATCCATTGTTGCAATTCATATTGAAGGATTGAATAGATTATTCTCTGAAATATCAGCAGGAGACTGTGTTGATTTATTGAAAGATTTCTTTGATCATTTGGGATTAGTTTGTAGAACAAGTAATGGTTATCTGGGAAATTTTGAAAATGATTTAATTTCAATTTCATTCAATGCAAGTTCAAATCAATCAAAACATTCAGAAAAAGCAGCTTCAGCATGTGTTCAATTAATGGAAAAGTTGAACACAACCAAATCAAAGAAATGGCCAAATCAATTGAAAAAGAAACCTCACTTGATTGAAATTGTTAAATTTAGATTTGCAATTTGTGTTCAAGAATCATTGTGTGGAAATTTAGGATCGAATGATTTTAAGAATTTCACAGTTATTTCAAGTGCCAAATTCAATTTGGAATGCATGTTGGATGTTGCATCAAAATTGAATTTGAATATTGTATTATCTGATAGAGTATTTGCAAATTTAGAAGAACATTATCAAATGAGATATGTTTATACGAAAGAATTAATTCCAGATTCACATTATTCATCTCCATTTATTCAACACAAAGAAAATGAAAGAGCACCAATTGAACCAACACATATTTATGAATTGGGTGAAAGCTTACATGTTGGAATGGATGGTAAGTTTACAATATTTAATAATTTGTCGAAATATTTATAATTTAACTATTTATTAGAATGGATGTATGAATTACAAGAAAAGGAAAAGAAAGCAAAATGGACCAAATACAATCAAGCTTGCAAACTCTTCTTCTCAAATCAATTCGAAGAAGCTAGAGAATTATTCCAGGAATTTCATGAACTCAACAATGATGTGGCAGCTGAATTGATGATTAAAAAATGTTCAACTACAACACCTATTAGTGAATTGTAGTTTCTTTTATGTTATTTTATTATTTCACTTCTATTCAATGATTCCAGTATTTGAAAAAAACTATTCTTAACTAACAACTTGACTTTTAAAACACCAAATTGAGGAATAGTATAAACTGAACTTGTTAATCTTAAACTCAGTCAACTTTTCCAATTTGCTTACAAAAGATTAACATAATTGGCGAATGGAATGTAGCAGGAAAGATTTTTCTCTTAATTTTCAACAATTACCACTCCAATATTTTAATTTAACAGATTTTGAAATAATAAATTGTATAGAGAGAGAAAATATCACTGGAAATCTATCTTCTTCAAATGAGTGTTTCTCATCCCTTATTCATTGAATATAATAGAAAAGTGTTGCTCCATTCATGTTGAGTTATGGTCCATACTTTTTCAAAATTCACATAACTTGACCAAAATTGATAAGAGAAAGTTCTCCTACCTACTATTGACTTCCGAACAATACTACATTGACAGTTTTCAACTTGTCCAGTAGATCCACCAGTGATGACGAATTTATCCAATTCTATGCATTAAACACTTGTAAACATCTCAAAAAGTGCGTAGTTTCGTTACTTCTGTAGTTGTTTTGTTTTTTATCAACCAAGTTGCTTTTGTACTTCATTCAAAGATTATAATCAGGACGGAATTTTAAAATAAATTGGCTTGGGAATTCAAAACACAAATTTATTCGCACTAAATTTAACTCTCAAATCTCATACAAACATAAAAAATGTTCACACAATTCACTGCAAACCTTCCCAAACTTTTCTCCATTAACAAAAACCATGAAATGCCCTTCAAACAGAATGATTCTAACAATCAAACAACAGCAAATTCGTCCACCGAGCAATTAATAGATAATCTCTTCTACTGTTATCATCTTTCTCGAAATAAAACACTTCCATTGATTCGGAATGAACATGATGCTGGTATTTGTCTTGCCAGATTGAGTCATCTCAGAGGGGAAGGTTATTCAGGTATGTCCTTCGATCAGAGATTCGAATTAATGAAGAAAGTTAGTAAGAAGGTAATAGTTACCTACCCCGAAGGTTTGGAAAGTATCAACAACTGGTTTTTGGAAGGAAAAGATGATAAATCGTATTCTGATGGAAGGGCAGGATTGAAATTGAGTAGAATGAGGTCAATTACGTTCTATTCTTTTATTGCTGCTGAGAAAGCAGAGCTATGTGTTATATTTAAAAGCTCACCAAAAGACAATTTTGTTATTGGAAGATTTAGACAAGAGTTTGGAGGTGATTGCATATTGAATGTATCGTTTATATTCTCGAGAATGGGATTGAAATCTCAAAGAATGGTTCGAGATGAACAAATGAATGGTTCTATTCTCAATCCATTTAGCTTTGAAGAAATCGATTTTTTCTTCCTGTTGACCAAAATGAAAATTCTGAAACAGGATACTGATATTATTAATGATGTGTTTGATAAGGAGTACATCAAGAAATTGAAACATCAATCAAGATTTAGAAATGAGTTGATAACTTGGAAGAAAGCATTTAAAGACAATATCAATCCATTACCTTTCAAATTTGGAAAATATCAATTTAATATTCTTTGCCAAAATACTAGTGGAATGCATTCATATAAGTATGTGTATTGTTGCCCTCAATTAGCAAATACGCAGGATCCAACAAGAAAGCTCTCAACTGTTGAACAAATTAAAGAATGGGCAATTCCTAAAGAGCTTAATCCAACTCTGTATGATTCGAAAAATATATTAAAGCAGAGAATTAGATTGGCTCTTTATAATACACCAGTGATCCCAACAGAAATCATTCAATATTTCACAGTAATTCCAGATATTGAAAGAGATGGTTTCAACTTTACAGATGGTTGTGGATTTATTTCTCCAGACATGGCTAAGAAAGTTTACAAACACATCTTGAATGCCGAAAATAGAGTTTTGATAAAAACTGATCAAGAGGAAGATGAAATTGGATATGATGAGCAACGTGGTTTTGATTTGTTTTCTGATAGCTCTTACATTCCTTCAGCGTTTCAAATTAGATTTAGAGGAGCAAAAGGAATGCTTGTTGTTAATACTGAAACATTTGAAAAGTATAGAGTTCACATTGTACTGAGAGAATCAATGGTCAAATGTAAAACTAATGAAAAAGTTGACCAAAGTTTTAGCACTCTTCAAATAGTTGGTCATTCCAGTCCATGCGAATTAACAAGAGTCAACTCTACAATCATGCACTTACTGAGTGGATGTGATTCTAACGGAGAAGTGAGAAAGAGAGTATTAGAGATGGCATCTGCTCACGTTCAAAACTCTTTAGACAAATACGTTCATGAAGATACTGAAGTTATTGCGAGGCAATATATGAAAGATAATAATTTGATTTCCCTTAATGTTCTCTCAACCACAAAAAACAAAGGATTTGCATTTCTGGCTGGTCCATACAAGAGTCTCATAACATCATTGAAAATTCCATTCTCAAATTCAAGAAGATTATATGGAGTGGTAGATCCTTATGAAGTCCTCAATGAAGGAGAGGTATTTGTTCAGATTTCTTCATTTAAAAATCCAAGTCACAAACAAGTTCTACAGAAAGAAATTGTATTGACAAAAGAACCTTGTCTTCATAGAGGTGACTTGAGAAAAATCAAAGCAGTTTACTATCCCAAATTATCTCACTTGTGTGATGTTATTGTTTTTTCATCAAAAGGTAAAAGACCTGTACCAAATATGATATCAGGATCAGATTTGGACGGAGATCAATTCTTTGTATGCTGGGATGATTTAATTGTAGATAATGTCAAAATATTTGAACCTGGCTTGTTTGATGAAGAAATCAAACAAGAAGATATTCGTCCATTTGAACCAGATGTTTTTAAAGATTGGGTTGGAGTAAGACATGCCTACGTAGACCATCATGGATCTAACTGGACAAATGATGAAAATTGGAATAAGGAAATGAGAAGACTTTGTGAAATTGTCAATCATGCAGTGGGCTCTCCAAAGAATGGTGTAATTTCTGTAGCAACTAGAGAAGAGGATTTGAGATTTATAGATAATTTCCCTGGATATCCTCACTACCATCAATCGAAAAGAGGTGCCTTGAAAAAAAGCTCTTCTCTTGCTTCTGAAGTATATCAACAAATGGTTGATTGCATAACTAAAACTCTGGAACTGAAAGAGCACAATATACGCATATCTGTACAAAATGATAAGGATCACATTTTGGAAAGTATTAGATTGGAGATTTTCGACCTATTACTTGCAAATACTTCCAATAATTTTGGAGAAAAAATCATGAAGAAAATAAGCGAATTTATTGGGAGAGCACTTACTATCAAACATAGAGCTCAGTTTCTTGCAGAGTTTTTCAATTTAATGTACGAATTTTTTACGATCCAATCAAAAGAGCTAGTTTTGTTCAATCTTAAAACAACCATTCAAAATTTATCAGAAAGCGGAATGAAAACTGCAATTGAATCCGTGATATCCAACAAGCATGTTCTGTTTATATCTGGGTTTGATGAAACACAATTTACTAATCGAGAATTGGTACCAAAGAAACTGAAAATTGACTTTTCCTGTTCTGTTTATGAGATCAACTCTGAAATGCCAAATTATGAAGAGTTTTTGAAACAAGAATTGTTTTGTGCTGCTCAAGAAGGCTTACAATTAGAATTGGGAATTAATTTACTTTTTGGAAAGACTCTTATTACTGTACTACAAGAGGTGAAGCAAGTAAGGAACAAAATTCTTTTTGATCCGAAAGCTTGCTTCGATTTTGGAAAGTCCAAGGTTTTATCAAACGAAAGGTTTGGACTAAAATTAATAGAGCTAGCAGCTAGATACGACTATGGTCCTGCTCTCAACTACTTGGGCGAATTGTACGAAATTGGAAGTGTTGAAATCGGATATGAGAAAGACTTGAAAAAAGCTCTTTCATTATTCGAAAGATCTTCTCTTCACAACAACGATGAAGCATTTATGAAACTAGGAGATTATTACTATTTCAATTCGAATGGTGATCCCATCCCTTACTACACCAAAGGAGCCGAATTGGGAAATATATATTGCATGACAAAATTATCAACCATTTATTTCGACTCAGATAATCTTCAAAAATCTTTCCAATACAGCTTACAAGCTGCACTTATTGGGGACAGTAATTCAATGAAAAATGTTGCTATTTCATATATGCATGGCGAGGGAGTGGATCAAGACGACGCACTATTCTTGTATTGGATCAATAAGGCAATAGAAATGCAAGTTAAAGACAGCATGACGATTCTTGCAGATTTTCATGCATTTAAGAATGATTTCAAGGAAGCTTTTGTGTGGTATACAAGGGCTCTTGAATTTGACGATAGTGATATAGATGCAAAGCAAAAGTTAGGAGTAATATACATGTATGGATTGGATATCGAGCAGAATTATGCGAAGGGTAGTAAAATGATTAATGAAACTGGAGGTAACTTAGAAGAAGTTCTTAGCAATTTTAGAATATTTCTCCAAAAATAAATTGTAATATTTATTAACGTCTCTTGTATCGTAAAGACCTGAGAGACGAGGTCTACAACCAGTAATTCGGTTCAGCGTTTAAGTGTTATGGGGTGACGGCATCTGTGACTTATATCAACTGGAGATGAAAGCCCAAGTCCACCCTGAGATTTATCACCATAACGGCTTTCCAGCCTTGGTTTAATTGGTCAATTGAGTCATCTTACTGAGATATTCATTTTCCATCCAGAAGTATCAATTATTGATAAGAAGGCGGATTAGAATTTTGAGTTTTTGAAAAATTGCATACTTATACTGGTTTATGTTTTAATTTATCTTTATGAGATCAATCTTAATTAATTTTGGAACATTTGTGCATTAGTAATTCAGCCGCCACATCATTGTTGAGTTCATGATATTCTTTGAAGAGTTCCTTAGCTTCTTCGAATTGATTTGAGAAGAAGAGTTTGCAAGCTTGATTGTATTTGGTCCATTTTGCTTTCTTTTCCTTTTCTTGTAATTCATACATCCATTCTAATAAATTGTTAAATTGTAAATATTTCGAAATATTATTAAATATTGTAAACTTACCATCCATTCCAATATGTAAGCTTTCACCCAATTCATAAATATGTGTTGGTTCAATTGGTGCTCTTTCATTTTCTTTGTGTTGAATAAATGGAGATGAATAATGTGAATCTGGAATTAATTCTTTCGTATAAACATATCTCATTTGATAATGTTCTTCTAAATTTGCAAATACTCTATCAGATAATACAATATTCAAATTCAATTTTGATGCAACATCCAACATGCATTCCAAATTGAATTTGGCACTTGAAATAACTGTGAAATTCTTAAAATCATTAGATCCCAAATTTCCACACAATGATTCTTGAACACAAATTGCAAATCTAAATTTAACAATTTCAATCAAGTGAGGTTTCTTTTTCAATTGATTTGGCCATTTCTTTGATTTGGTTGTGTTCAACTTTTCCATTAATTGAACACATGCTGAAGCTGCTTTTTCTGAATGTTTCGATTGATTTGAACTTGCATTGAATGAAATTGAAATTAAATCATTTTCAAAATTTCCCAGATAACCATTACTTGTTCTACAAACTAATCCCAAATGATCAAAGAAATCTTTCAATAAATCAACACAGTCTCCTGCTGATATTTCAGAGAATAATCTATTCAACCCTTCAATATGAATTGCAACAATGGATAATTTCTTTCGATCCAAATGAAGTGAGAAAATATCCAAATCATTCGAATATCTTCGATGTGAACTTGAACTATCTCCTGCATGACTTCTACTCCAAGCAGATTCTTTTGAGGATTTATGAGAGGAATCCATTGAAGCATCGTGTTTCTTCTTTGAATCTTGACCTCCATTGTTTTCATTGTTGCCACCTCCTTGATCTAATTGAGAAAGTAAATGTGATGGAATGAAAGCTCTGTAAAGTTTGATTCTATCTGTCATGGTTTTGAAATGAGTTTGTAAATGTTTAACTTCTGTAAATTTGGAATCATGAATTATTAAATTATCCAAATCCATGTGAGAAACACTTTCGAATAAATCAATCAAGTTGTAAAATGGTTTCACTAATCTGACTGAAATGAAGATGGAAATGGCTACACCTGTTGTGACAATTAATGTGGCACCAAGAGTAGCACAAATTACAGCAATAACAATTGAACTAATATAATTCCATTGAGGAACTGCCAACACAAACAACCTATTTCGAATAATTATTACATTTCTAGCTCGTTTAGGTTACTTACCAATCAACATCAGTATCTGTGCATAATCTATAAACTGAAATGTAATCAGTTGCAGATGTAATCAAATACTTGGTATTGCATTTAATATTCAAACTAGTTCCATAATTTTTTTCTAATATACGAGCAATTGACGAAACTCTTTCATCATTATCAATTTTGAGATAGGTTTGTCTTGTGACAGATCCATCTGAATTAACAACTGCAACTCTTGCATTGGAATTGTCATCTTTCAATTATTGTAAACTTTTTACCTTGTTCATTGTTAAACTTACTTGCAATCATATATTGAGTTGCCATTTCAATAATAAAACTCTTAGAACCACTTATTTTAGAAGTTGCATTCGCTAAATATTGAGAAATAGTCTCAGCAGACATGTCAATGGCCAAATAATATTTAAATTTGTTTCCTTTTGGATCTGGTTGAGTTAATGGCATTGAATTATACATGGTAATGAAAGTATACTGTGGTTGTGATGCATCTATGAAACTTAGAGACATGGTTGCTTTGTTTGGATGAGTATTTCCTGTTGTAATCATAACAGTCAAGTCAAAAAATCCTAATTGAATGTCAGGAATTGAACTTCTATTACAATAATCAATTCATCAAAATTATTACAATAATAAAGTTGTTGATCTTTTGTGGTGATGTTGAATAAGGCTTGCTTGCCTCCCCAGTCCATAACTCCATATTGTCTTTAAGAATGTAAAGATTAAAACTGTTGTAAAGTATTTACCTTCCTTCATTGTCACCAATATTGCAAGTGACAACAACTCCTTTCATGTAACCCTTTTGTTGCTTATAAAACTGATAAATCAACACTTCTATCTGATCTCTATTCGAAAAATCAAGTGATTTCAACATTAAATGTTTGGCATTATCACTTGACATTGACACTTCTCTAATCAACTGTTCTACAAATGAAATAATATTGTTAAACTCAAAATCTCTCAATTCTGAACTATACGAAACCACTGATGGCATAAAACTGCTCAACCAAATCGCTGACAGAATAAAAACTGTCAACAATACAATTATGGAAATTATCAAAATTAGCCACATTTTAATTGAACCAAAGAATGCAATCTTTCTCTTATCTTCTTGAATAAAAAGATCACTTGATGTGTCATCCTTTGGATTTTCCTCATCGACCTCTCGTTCATCTTTTGATTTGACAATTGGAATGACTTGTTTCGTTTCTTTCATTTTTTTATGATTTTGTTGATATCTTGAAACACGAAACAATATTACAAATTTCAGGAGATATCAAGATGGTGATTGCACCACATGTTTGTTTCGTCTCTTTGTCCATTCTAAAACCTTCAAGAGATTTCAAACTATTTCAGGGTCACAACAAACCTTATTCGAAATTATACGAAATTCGCACGCAATTATCTCTGTGTCATGTATCAATATTTTTTAATTTGAATATTTTGCATATACTGATTTGTATTCATGAATGACTATTTAATCATTAAGATAAGATTATGTCAAATACCATCAACAAAGTTTAAAGAAATTTAAATTGTTAGTGGGTATTGCGAAAATTGTACTAAACGATCAAAAATTGGGTAGCATTGAATATCGGTACTTGATAAATTTACAACACGATGATCAAAATCTGATAATAAATGAACATGTTTTCCAACTTGCTTATAATATTGATGGAAAACAATAATGATCATTGGTTGGTGAATGATCGGATGATGGAACACCAACTTGTATCCAAAATTTCATGATGAAACATTCTCACTAATTACTCAAAAATTACTATTATTACTACTATTTAGATGACACTGAGATGACGATGTGAAACCACTCTGAAAATCGTGTCAAGGCCATGAAGGTCCATTTGTTGAATTTTAAATATGTAATTTGGATAAACATTAATTTTAATAATGCAAATAAATTATTGATACTTGTTTAATTGTTTTAAATGATTAATTAAATGGTCTCTTGGAGTGAAGAATAATCTATACTTTGAAGCATCCATAAACATCATTGACTTGTCAGCTGACAATGGAGGAAATTGATCACCATTTGAATGAGCTAATTTGAAATGTCTCACTACATTAATCAAGGTCAAATAAACTTCAATTCCAGCAACTCTTTCTCCCTATATTTTCGATTAATGAATTAATTGTTAAACTTGAAACTTACTGGACATTTACGAGCACCACGACCAAATGGTCCAAGATAACCCTTTGGTTCACTCAAATCAGATCCCTTCTCATGGCGATCTGGTAAAAATTCACAACCTCTTGGAACATATTTTGATTGCGTGTTAAGTTCATCCAGAAAGGAGATTAATGTTCCCTTTTCTAAAAGATAACCTCCCAGTTCAATATCTTTTGAGAGATATCTTGTATTTCTGATTGGAATAATGTGATCAACCCTCAGTACTTCATCTATGAAATTCTTACACAATCTCAATTGTTTCAAGTCTTCTGAAGTGACAACAAGTCCATTCTCACTTGTAATTTCATCCAAAGTTGGTTCTCCAAATACAGTCACTAGCTCTTCATACATCCTATCAGCATAATCCTTCTCGTTAGCTACTCTGTAAAGCAAAATAGCCAAAACTTTGGCAGTAACATCAGTTCCAGCATTGAACAGAGCTCCAGTACATGCTCCAACACATTTTGAATCCATATTACTTTCCTTTGCTCTTTCTTCAAAATATTCCACTAATCTTGCCTTTCCACTTTCATTTTCCTTATAGAGTTCCATCATTCGTTCAACTCTAGTATGAGTCAAATCCAAAACTCTTTCAAATTCTTTGTAATCTTTGGTTTTGTAATATTTGTAAATTTGTGGAAGATATTGAAGTTTTGTAATGAGATCAGCACCAACATTTCCATCGTCAATGAATTGTCGCACTGTGAAACCAAATTGACTCAATTTTTCTTTTGATAAGCGACCACCAAGAATTGATTTCAATACACTGCCAAATGCATACGGGCTTGTGACATCTCTATTTGGATCTTCAATATAGAACTGTTGTCTTTCCTTATCAAATTTGAAATGTTTGATGATATCTTGTAATAAATCACTATTCAATTCAGTTAATTGTGGAAGAATAATCTCATTAACAAATTGTGGCTTCATAGCAACATTTAAAACTTGACGCATGTCATTCCAATTCTCATGTGTATAAGCAAATAATGGAATGAGTGGATATCCCCTGTCGAGGGAGTAATGTCTTCCAGCTTTGAGAGTGATTCTTCCCTCCTCTTCTCTAGACAAGACACGAGCTAATTGAGGATCAGATAATAAAACCATCTTTTCATTGAAAACCCTAGTTCTAACCATATCACCATATTTAGCAGCCAATTCAGTAAAATATTGAACTGGATTGTTGGCATGTTTGGCCAATTCAAGAGCATTTCCAAGGACTGGTAATCCCTTAGGGCCTGGCATTTCATCAAATCTTTTCAATGGTTGTTTGTTTAATGTTGATGTTTCTGAGGAGGATTCGGAATTTAAATGTGGACATTTCTGGGATGTTATTAAAGTTGTAGTGGAGAAGGCTCTGGCTGTAGTTTGTTGTTTTGAAGCCAGCAAGGTAACTGTCTTAAGAGTTTTCATTTTTTTTAAAATTCCATCTAAAAAACATGATCATCTTATTAAATGGGATTTTATTCCCCGCTTCTTTCGCATTAGACGGTAATTTGAACAAGAGAGGACTAAGCGCATGTGCAACACTTACAAAATTTAATGAATAGAGCAATGACAAAGTTACCAACAAACATCATTTACACACTAATAACATGGCAAATAATGAAAGTGGAAATTTAGTTCATAGACATAATTACATTGTAAGAAACATCAGCCCTGTCTTCTTTGTTTCTTATTGTTGTTTGATCAGTAAGTAGATGTCTAAGCATTGTGCCTTAATTCAAAAAGACGTAAAACCGTAATAGTTGTTGGAAAATCGCCACCTTATGTGCAACAATTCGATCCCGTCCGTCAGCAAAAGTTTTATTGTTTTTGCTGCATAATTTTGCAACCTTACGGATAAAATATTCCCAAACAGAACCTTTCCCATTAAGATATTCTAGAAGCTCTTCGTTTGATAATGCGAAAGAAGGAGCGAAACTAAATTGATTCTTATAACTTCATTTCTTTTACTTTTTCCTTCTGGTTTGGAATCTTGACAACAATTTAGAACATACTTTAAAATTAGCTTCGTAATATCTACCGAAATCAGTTTCGAATGGAAACAGAAGATAAAGATGAATAATAAATCATGTGTCCAAACCTCTCTTAATAAACAACGTTCAACCATAAAAAAAAGAACGAAAGGTTTCCCACACCTTCTGTCAAATATTTTACCCTTCAACATACTGAACCATCATCATGGCAGATAGCTCCACATCTCTAAACGACAATTTTCAACAATTGTCTTTAAATTTTCTATTTGGGAATCATCATTTTTTGGATAGTTTCTTATTCGAAAGTACAACCCTTGACAACCTTTCAGATACCTTCAATTCCACCAACAATTCATCAACAACAGTCACTCACCACATGACTTATTATCAATACACCACATTCGGCATTAACATTCCCTTCATGTTCATCTTTCCATTTTTATTATTTTTATGCATTTACAAAATTATTACAATGAAAAGCGAATTAAAACGAAACCAGAGAATAATCTTTTACATTCTAATGGCATTTTGCAGTTTCTCCACTTTGAATATGCTCACAAGAATGTGTGCCGAATTGAGTTATTTAGATCCAACTCTTGTTAAGGCAGATGAAATCTATGCTGTAATGAAAGCTTTGGATAGAACTGTAATTTCATGGAATTGTTATTGGGAATTTCTATTGTTGGGTCATGTTTCATTGATTTTGTAAGTTTTTTTTGAAATTAAGGATTTTTAAGAGTTTACAATAATGATAGTTTGAATACGACAAAGGCAGTTGGAGCAGTTTCGACTAGAAAGTACAAGATTATGAGATATTTGATTATTGGATTTTTAATTGTCTTGTTTATTATAATTTGTGTCTTGACTGTAATCTTGTTTGTGGCAGGAGGATTAATTGCTGGATATGGAAATACTCCAGTGATGAATAATTTGATATTGGCTGTTTTCTTGATTAGTGCCTTGACATTCTTTGTATTGTCCATCTGTATTTTATGTCTTCTCCATGTAAGTAATACTTTAATTTCATACATGTCAATGTGACATTTCCAGATGACTGGAAGTATACTCTTGAAATCTCTCCATCAAGGTCATGCAAGAGCCAAAGCTCTTCAAAATAATGCTCAGCTCACCAATCCTTCAATCAATCAAAATAATAATTCAGAAATCACTCAACAAACACAACAAGAAAAATCAGAAAAAATTGAAACGCCTTACATTGAAAGTAAGGAACAAGAAAATTCCGTAAATATTAAGAAACAAGTATTGAAAAAAGCATGGGCTATATTGATTGTTGCAACAGTGTGTTTGGTCATTCAGTTTATTGGATTCTTTTTCATTCCACTGTCAATGATTGATAAGAATTTAATGTTGGTTTATTTTGTGACTTATGACGTGACTATTGTTGTGATTGTTAGTTTGTTTATTGGAATTCATAGACCATTGAAGGAGGTTCAACGAGTATTTAGAAGAAATAGCATATCTTCTAATGGAACCTCGTCAACTAAACGAAAACAAACCAACAAAATTGGAGCTAAAGTGGACGAATCTCAAGAATTGCATACTGCCCCAAGTAATATTCAAGAGAATACTGTCTAACTCAAATATTTATGATCCAAAATACTCCCCATCCAATCAATTCAATTTGTAATCTATCAACATTCCAAATTTGGAATTTATCCAAATTAATCCAATCAAATTTCTTTTGATTTCCAAAAATTGTAATTTACTTTAATAAAAAAAAATGGCAAAACTTTTCATTCGTGTCATTAGAGCACATCATCTGCCTCCCTCTGATCTATTCAAAAAATCCGATCCCTTTATTGAAATTGATATAAATGGTCATTCAAGAAAAACTGCAGTTTTGAAAGAAACTTTAAATCCAATCTGGGACGAAACCATGCAGTTCAATCTGAAAGGTTTAACTCTACAAAATTTATATCCCTCAATTATTAGCACTTCAACACTCTTCGTTCCAAATAGAGAAACAAAGAAAACCAACACGATTGAGTTTACAATTTATGATCATGATAGAATTGGTAGAAATGAAAAGATTGGAAAGTGCTTTCTTCCACTTTCGTGTATTTTCGATGGTTGTCCAGTTGAATGTGAAGATGAGAGTGGAAATGGTCCTCCTTGGTGGTTGTATCTTTCAGATTCTCAGTCAATTGTGCAAGATTTTCATAATTTGGTAAATATTCCACCAACTCCCACTCCTACAATGAAACAAGCAGAATTTGTCAATTTTTCAGATGAAGAAATTGAAGAAATACAAGAAATGTCACAATCTCATGACATTGACTTGACAGCATCCAAATATGTTCAAGTCAATTGGGGAGATTTATGGAAATCATATGAATATAAGCAAGCAATGTATGATCAGAAGAAGAAACCTCATTATTTACAATTAGAAATTCAATTAGAATCTCAATTCGTTGAGAATGGATTCTTAGAGAGATCTCGAACTAAACCCTTATTGATTATTGAAGCGCTATTGGTGAATGTTTCGATTGGAAAGCAAGCTTCAACTGCTTTGAAGAATGGACCTTCGGCAGTGCCACCAATTCATGTTTCGTCTAGTGTTGGAGAATCGTCTACAATTCCAGTCACACCTGAACAACCACAAGAGAAACATTTGCCAAGATTGTCATTTTCAAAACTTTCAAGAAGTTTCAGATTACAAAATTCACCTCCAACTTCAAAACCGTGAGTTGACCAAAATAAATTCTAAAAAACTAATACTATGTAATCTCTCATAATACATTCACAGTGTAATAAACCAAATTATCATTGTAATGTTGTCTTTGTAATTTATGTAAACATTGGACGAAAGGAGATTAATCTTTACTATTTAGAATAACCCTCATGAGAATTTAAAATATTTAATTTTTCATGAATTGGAAAGATGACAACAACTTGTACAATATTGAAAAGCTGCTTTGAATGCTGAGGTGTTTGCTGTAAAAAGGTTTAGAGCTGATTCTCTAACAGAAGGAAGATTACAATTATTAGGTTACTTTCGTATAGAATCTCCAGTCAATGGATAGACAACAGTTTAGCATTACACCTCTTTTAAATACACCAACGGTCAACTCTTCCTACATAGGAGGATCACACAATTATTTCTTCTCAAATTAGAAAAACGAAACAAGACGAAACTAAATGCCCCAATTCTAACTCGTCCAATATCACCAATTAAACCGTTCAATGTTATTTGAACGATAAGAACCCACGTTGCCCCTGGATACTAATCTTTAAAAAGAATAATCTCAACGAATGTTATACGAATTGAGTGAGTCCACATTGCTTTTGGTTAATCATTTTATTTTGAGAAGTTGAGAATGCATGATAATTTAGTAACTCGCCCAAAACTTTTCGTTTGAATGCTCTCATGTCGCTCCAAGGTGCTAGTTCCAATTTTTTTGACAGCGCTTTTTTCTAAATTTGATTACTGACGTTGACTGATCCTTTTTTATCTTCAACCTAAATAGTCGACAGGTGGACGATGATGATTTTTTCATCATAATTTTCAAGAGCGAGGTTTAATTTCAAGCTATTTCTACAACTTTTAAAGGAAGATGATTAGACTTCCAAAGTTTTAGCAATTTTGAAAAAAACAAACCAACATCTACCTTTGAGAATCGTTTATTATTCTGAGAAGGACTATTTGAGTTTTACATCAACCATTGTACATCCGAAAACAAACGAAATCAGCCGCCTCTCTATTAGAAACAAGACTATTAGTTAATAATCTCTCTCCTTGTTTATTACACTATTTCACAAAACATCACAAAGATATCCATTCTCTCTGAAATGCTCAATTTAATGATGAGTAAGAATAATCTCTCGAACAACAACCTTTCGAATAATGGTTTCTATTCGACATCTGAAAATCATTCACTTCAAAATTCTCCAACAACAACAAATACATCCCAACCAGTCACTGTAGATAAGAGTGTTTGGGACATGTACCAATTATTAATGCAAAGTGCCACCTCTCAATCATCTGCCAACACATGTCAACAAAATGAATCCACATCAACAACAACACTAGATCAAATACTGTTGGCTGCAACTAGCAAATTATCACCACCACCTCATACTCAACAAAACTCAACTTCAGTTTCTCCAATTCTAGTTGTGATTAACAACAATAGTCATAACACTTCATTGAATCATCCAAATCCAATGATTAATCTTGTAAATACATGTATAACACCTTCAAAGAGTCATAACATGAGTGGAAACAATTCTTCTCCTTCACATTTTGATAATCAACACCAATTTAACATGTCAAGTGCTGACAATCAAATTTTCAATTTTCATCAACAACATGTTACAACAAACAATCAAACTAATTTGAATGATTCATTAACACCTAGCCCACCACTTCAAAAGTTATCATCCACTCCACCACTACATGCTAGAGGCATTCAAAAATCACACAAAATGGCCAAATTGACTCAACATGTTTCATCAACATGTCTTCATTCTTCACCAACAACAAGTTCAGAACTAGCTTCTTCATCCTCCTCTTCAACTCCATTGACTCCACAACAACAATTCAATTCTTCTCTCTCTACTGGGAATGTTGTCATTAAGAGTGAAGGAAAATTCAGTCGTCCACTATTGAAGAATGAAACAGTTTTGTGTGAAAAACCAAAATTCAAGCAAAATTATTTCGTATTTGAAAAGAAGAAGGAAAAGGCACAAATTTCATTTCATAATATTTCAGTGAATGAGATTATTAGTGGAGAGATTCAGAGTGGAAGTGGAAATTCACCTAAATTGAATAATCAAAAGAAGAATAAGAAGGTTTCGAATAATGGAATGGGAAATAAGCAAATGAAACAACAATTTGGTGTTTTTGCACAACAACCAATTCAAGTTTTTCAACAACATATTCCAAGTCAATCAATGCAATCTTTGGATTCTTCATCTGCTTCCAATCAATCTTCTCCAATGTTAACTATTCCACAAATGCAATTAACTCAACATGTACCACAACAATTTATTCAATCAAATATTAGAATGACTCATTCTCCAAATACTTCTAATTCCTCTAATAATTCAAATGGTCAATTGGATCAACAACCAATGACCATTACTCATCAATTACTTACTCAACAGGCAATTATTCCTTCAGTAACCACACAAACAGCATCAACAACACGATCATCTCCTCCAATTGAGAATAATTCCAATGTTTTGAATATTCTCCTTTCCAATGTTAATAATAATCAACAATTTGTTGGAAATAAGTATCTTGAATTATCCTGTTTAAACAACAATGAATATACTCCCATCAGCTCATTCTCTAACACTAATAATTCAATGATGAATTGTTCCCATCAAGATACCAATATTAATCCAGTTGATAATTTACTTGCCAGTTTATCACCTGTTGTTGAAAGTCTATTTCCACAACATCTACAACAACAACAATCTATTACTACTAATAACGAAGCAGCAGCAAATAACAATGCTAGCTTTATGAATGCCGAAGTTTTACCTTCATCATCATTTCTTCCATTGGAGGATTTCATTGTTGAGGAGGATTTGAGCAATTTTGTATTTGATAATAGTTCTGCTGTAGCAACAACAGCAACTATGGCATCAGCATCAACTTCTGTTCCATTGCAAGAATTGAGTCAGGAGCAATGGTCTGATTTATTAGAACAATATATTGCCATGATGAATAAGAATAATAATAACAATTAATTGGTTTAATATTTGGTGATAGGTGCGTTAATGATGATAATGAGAATATTCCGAATCATATTTGTGTTGGAGGATATACAAGACCAAAGGAAGATGCTATTGTATGGAAGCAATCCAACAGCATTGTTTATGATGATGATGAAGACAGTTTTGAAAGAAAGAATTTTTTATTAATTCAAAATAAAATATGTAACGGTAACTTTAAAAAAAAATAGCGCAAATGCTTCTGTTGATATCAACAATTGTTCATAAAGTGTTGCCACAACCAATCTTCCTGTTGTTGGTTGAAAAACAGATTTTTTAACATTTCCAACAGCTCACCATTTGTGAAATGTTCAAAGCATGATTCAGATGGTAATGATATTTCACAACAAAACAAATGCCAACTCTCGTCAGTACACCAATGAACAACCAGGCTGTTCAATCGGGTCCACAAATCACCTCCTTCCAAGAAGTTGAACTTTCCAATCAAACCTTTGCTGATTATCAACTCTATGTAACACATGACAATGGAGGTCGTGCCTTTGTTATTCAAGTCAGAAATGATAAACAACACATCTACATTTACGAAGCTTCCTTCACCAAGCAATCTCGTGATCAAACAAGTGTAAATATGGTCGAACAAGAAATCATCCTCTCCAATGGAGACAAGATCACTCGAAAGGGTTTGTACTTGAAGGAATTCAACCAAAGAGAGGCCTACTTCTTTGCTCTCATCAAGGAATTAGATGCCAATGAAACTCCTTTTGAAGTTTTCCCTGGTATTGATAATACTGCAGAGGTCTTTCCAAGCAATGCGTATCCAATACTCTTCCATGGTGCTGCCCTATTGATTAGATTTATTCCTTCCAATGAATGTTGGTTCTTTGGTATTCATGTTGGTAAATTTACTATGGATGAGCCTATTCAAGCACTATACAGTCCTATTGGTAATAATGATGTTGTTTATGCCTACATGTTCACCGACTCGAAATGTTACATTTTCGAAGAGGAGGTCTACTCTATCGATAAGCAAATATTGAACAATAGAGCTCCAGGAGAAGATATTCACGATTTCTTCTATTCTCATACTGATCAGTGGTCCCATGCACCATATTCCTTCTTGTCTGAACGTATTACTGACAAGAATTATTATGATAATCCAACCACTCCTCTCACCCAGTTGTAACTTCCATGGTTTTATATTATAATGAATGAAATCCGTTATCGATGAAGATGATGTTATCCAATTTATTAAATAATAATAATATTATCTATTCTGATGATGACGAGATTATCTTGTTGTCATCGATCGTCATATGTTTTTAAAATTAAAAAAATGAAAATTTCATGTGTTTTTTCATGTCTGCTGGTTTTCATCACCTTGATTGGTATGATGAGTGTGGGCACGGAAGGAGTATTGGTCAAGATGGTTAGAGGAAGTAAAGCTTGTCTTCATGAACATTTGAGGTTTGTTGATTTCAATATATTGACTTGACCAAATATCTTGTGTAACAATAATATTATTTACTACTAAATATCATCATCATTGCCTCATCATTACATCACCAATAACATTTTTGGATCATCAATAATTATTTACCTACTATCTATTGGATAATATAATTAATCGGATGAAAAATCATGATTGGAAACTACTAAATAGTGAAAATACACCATTTAAACTCACTGTTCGACCATATTTTAATCGTCCAGATAGTGCTCAACTCAGAGTCACTGATCCATATGGACATGAATTGAAGAGTGAAATGTTGGACAAGGCCAAGGAAAGTGTTTTCCATTTAAAAGCACACTCTGGTGTCACTGGTGAATATGGTATGTTTACTTCTTGAATATTACTCTTTACATTTGATATTATATATTTTGTTATTATTTTAAAAATATAATAATAATAATAATGGATTTGATTTCTTCATATGAACTTGTAATGATTGATAACATTTAATTTTATTGAATTGGAATAGAAATTTGTTTCGATTTTTCTCCATCTATTGCTGTAGAATCATTTATTGATGTTCGTGTTGATGTGGATGTTCATTATCATTTGGAAAAGGAACCTCAAACAGTTGACCAACTTGATCGTCTCTCAACCCTGTTGAAAGATATCAAGAATCAAATTGATATTATCCGTGATGAACAAACTTATTTCAGAACTAGAGAAAGTAGATTCCGTGATACTACCGATAGTACTTATGAAAGAACATTCTGGATTGGTTTTCTTAAATTTGTTTTTATTGTTTTCGGAAGTAGGTATTCTGTTTTTTTTTACATTTATATATTAACACTATTTCAGCAACATTCCAATTGATTAGTTTGAGAAGCTTTTTCAAAACCAAGAAACTTATTTAATTTATTAAAAAAAATTGTGTACAAATTTAAAGACTTGAATTGATTCTTTCTTGTAGGCTCTCGATAAATACGTTTATTATCTAGTTGATGATATCAAACATTTGTTTTTTATTAAGGCAATACCGTGCTATACCTCCCACAAGGCTAATTTTTCAAATCTTAATGTAAGCAAACTTGGCCGAGAGGTTAAGGCGCGAGACTCGAAATCTCGTGGGGAAACCCTCGCAGGTTCAAATCCTGCAGTTTGCGTCTGACTTTTGGATCTTTTCTCAATTCACTTTTAGTTTTTCAATAATCAATATTATCTTTCACCCACTTGTTATTTAATATTAAGCAAGAATATTTACATCTTTTCATCATCAATGGAATACCATAACACAAAAGACAGGAACTCTCTTTTGCTCTGCATTCTTGAGAACACAAGCGTTACATTTATCAAGATTATCATCACACTCTCATCACATCTGCAAAGACCCAACTCTCTTCTATTGGAACTCCTTATTCTTTCAAGTTTATTAGCTCTCTCGCGTTGTTCTTCTGATTGAGCAACATGATTACTAATGTTCATGATGAAATATTTGAAAACTTCATTGTATTTGAATGAGCCATTATTGACAGGCTTATATTCATTCCAAGTTTTCACTCACTTTTCCTTGAATTTCTCTGGAAAGTTGTCAAATTATAATTATTAATTATTTCAATTACATGATATTTATTATTTACACTGAGATATTTTACAAAATTGTACAAGTGAGAAGGCAAGTGTGATTACAGCATCAATATTCTGAAAGTGAGGAGAAGTTCTTCATTGAATTTTTCAATATCAACAAAATAAGTATCCATATCATCATCAGCCCATGGTTTTTGTGCTGGCTTCAACTCACCTGATGTCATCTTTGGATGATATTCAGGAAGGAGATGATTTTCAAGTTGGAATCTTTTGGAAATGATACACCATGTACAATATCCCTTCATGACTTCATCGATTGAATCGAATTGAGTGGAGTAGGATGGGTTGGAGGATTTGATTGTTTGCATTTGGAGTAAATTGTCTTTGATTAATTCTAAAACTTCATTCAGGGATGATTCAAATGCTTCAATTGGGAGTTGTTTCAATTGAGTGTATGTCAAGTTCTCTTTCAATCCCTTATTCAATATTACATAATTGTTAACAAGTTGCTTTTTGGTATCTTTTGCAATGGAGGCAACATCATTTAATAAACTGATGGTGTCACTTGCCTTGTGATTATATAAAGTGGATACAGTATCGCATCTGTCAAATTCTTGAATATTCTTAAAGAAATTATTAATTGTAAAGAAAAGTGATGCCATGGAGTCAATTCTTCTATCCTCTAAAAAGTTTTCCAATGTTTCTTTAGTGACATTTTCACATTCTTGCTTTGCCTTTACAATTAGATTAGTTCCAGTCACCAGGAATTCCAAAACCTTTCTTCTTATACATTCGAATCTTTCTCCCTTGATAAGATTATACACAAATTGTCCCATCTTGAGAGCTTGGTGAGAAGCATAAACTGGTTCTCCTCTAAATATCTTACAGTGCTCTTTCATCTCTGCAATAGACGAAAGAGTCATGTTCTCATCACAAGCATCATCCACAATTGAAATATAGGCAACAATAGGAATGACAATCTCTGTGAAAAACTTTTCATCTTCCTTAATCATTGAATCAAAAGAGAGAACCAGCCACTGTGCAAGATCATATGATCCCGAGAAGGTATATTTGTTATTTCTGAATTTAAACTTTCCAACAAGTTGTTCGAAAAGAAGTTTACAATGTTGATCAGATTTCTTCTTATCTAAAGAGACGAGAATTGAGGATTTAATTTGATCGAAAGTGAGTTGAGTTGTTTGCATATTGAACGTGATTAGAGTGTTTCAGTTGTTGTATTTGTTTTTTTTGTGTTGGAAGAAATGGTGCTGAAACTAAAGTCAGTTTAAATAGCTTAATGCAAAATGTTTCACATGTGAAAAAATAGATTTGTGCAAATTCGTGACTTCCCATCATCACGATTTGCTTTGGTTTTGATCTAATTTTATTTTTAACTTGTGAAGATTGGGAGAACATTTAAACGTGCGTTGCAAATTTATTTGCTTGCTCTTACCGCCCATTTCCAATACGGTTTTTAACAACCATTGAAAAACGTTGATTCGAATAAATTAACAATTATTTAATTCTCATATTTTAATATTGAATAATCCCTTGTTGTTGCTCTTGGATTAAATATTTAATTTGGGATATAATTGACTGTTGAAAACCAATGTAAGTTGGCACAACCTGTATATGTTGGTAATGATAATGTCTTTTACAAGACTTTTGTTTGTTTCTGAGATGATTCTTCAGAAACAATGTGAATGGAAGGATTGACAAGATGTTGATTATTATCATCAGATGGTGTAGTAGCACTTGAATTGTGATATCTTTCCTCAATGATTCGACAAGTTTCATGAAGATCATACTCGAATAATCTCATCAGGGATAATGTATTGAAAACACTCTGAACTTTACCCTTAATTTCCTCCTTCTTCTTATATGGAGATAGAGCTTGATTACGGAAGAGTGTGTGGAGGAGAGTGTGATCGTTTCTTGGAGAGACATCGTGAGCTGTATTGGTATGGCTGATGAATTCATGATAGGAAATTGGTTGATGACCAGCTGAGCTCGATAATCTGTCAATTAAATTTTGATGGAAATCAGTGGAGAAGGTTCTCAGAGTTTTTCTAAAGAGTTTGGTTGGGAAGGACCACTTGTTGGCATTGGTGAATTTCCATTCATTGAACATGGTCAATGTACATTCATTGGTATTGAAAGATTCGATAAAGTAGGCCTCTAATTTGAGTCCAAATACTCTGTTTGGATTATCCTTCTTACTCAATGTAATTTCCAATTTTGGATTATTTACAACACTTCTCTTGATAATGACATAACGTTTTCTTCCTGGATTATCCTTTTCGTCATTGATAATATCAGAAATAACAGTACCAGTGGTGACATAGTGACGTTGTTTAAGAGGCCAAGGCCATCTGGCACCTTCTAAAGTAATCAATGAGGCATAGGCATGTTCAGTTTCCTTAACAATAAATTCGATATATTCTGCTGGACTTGTCAATAACGGATTGACAATACTTTCGTCCGTGCTTTCATCTGCCAAAATTTGTAAAACTGAAAAGGCATTGTAAGGCAATCGACAAGATCTTCTCAACATGTATGTAATATCATCGGTGGCAATAGAGTCAAATCTTGCAGAGTAGGCCTTCACTGAATGTTGTGCAATCAGGTCCAATGAGGAAATTGATTTACTTCTCCTGCCGAGTCTTCTCTTTTTAGGTTGCAAATTGACCATGGACCATCCTGATTTAGTTTTCTTATCCTTCTCATCTACTTGTTTCAAAATGGTTGCAAGATCCAATACTGACTTGTTATCCACATAGTGCATGTACTCAGATTTGATGGCTTCAACTTCTCTTGTAGAAAGTTGTAGATCTTCTATATGAGTCGACAATCCTTCAAGAATTGGAACAATTGTATTGTGTGTAAGAGGACTGGAATTAACATGAGTGCCAGCAATAGCTGCCAAATTTCCTCCAATATCCATTTGATCCAATTCATCTTCATCATCGTCAGAAGAATCTCCAGAAATGTAAGATTCCACATCTTGCCATGGATCAATAACTTCAACCATTTCATCTTGATGATGATGATGGTGATTATGATTTTGTCCAAACATGTTACTCTTACTGAGAATGGTGTCAAATCTTTTAACTCTTTCGTGCTCAGAGAGTGGAATGTCATCGTCATCCTCATTATCTTGATGGTCGGCAGTATTGTTGGAATAATCTTCCTCATCGTCATGTTCATCATCGCTACCAGGTGTGACAATAAAGTTGTTAATTGGAGGAATAGCTTTCGGTAAGCTGTCATGCAATTTAACTCCAATGCTATTACTACTTGTTGTCAACTCACCCAGAGAAAGACCAAGAGCAGATCCTGATCTAGAATGTCTATTTCTAGTGGTATGAACATAGGGTTGAACTGGAGTAGCAGCTGTACTCTTTCTATTGTTTGAATTCTTTTCGTTACTTGATTGTTTGTCGCCACTCTTAAAGAAATGTCCCATCAAATTTGACATACTTCTCTTAATTGTAGAAGGTTCACTAATTTCCGATGTTTGATGAGTATGTGCATGATTGTTGGTATTATTTGGAGAATTGAGTGATGGAGCTGTTTGACCATTGGCAGGTGCAGAAGTGTAGGTATAATAGGATCGAGGTGTCAATGTAGGATCAGCATCAGGAATGTGTAATATTAAATTTTCATGAGCATTATCTTCCAATTCTATTTGGTCCATGATTAGAGCTTCCTTCAATTGATCTTCCTCAGTCTTTTTTTGTTTCACATTCAAACTCTTTCTGAGATTGGCCTTTGAAGATGATAATTCCAGAGGTGAAACCTTTCTAACAGCATTAATGGCCTTTAAAAACCTCAGTTTATGATGCATATTCTTTGCATTTAATAATTTACTTCCAATAAAACTTAAAAATTCATCACTTTGTACAAATCTTGGATAGGCATCCTATGTAGTTTCCAATAAATTATTACAAATCATCAAATCATCAAATAATTATAAAATCAAATAATAAAAATTCAAATTCAAATCGATCAATAAAAAAAACATACCATTCTCATTGAACTTAAAACTTGATACTGAACAGAATCAAATAAATCTAAAGGACAATTTTCTTCACTTGCCTTTGCAAACTCTCTCAACAAGGCATGTTTCACCTTTTCTGATAAATTCACTTCATACGGAGATCCCTCCTTTATAAACGTCTCTACTATTCTCTTTGCCATATAATATCTATTTCTATTCGATTTTAGAGGTTTATACTCGGAATCTAGAGTCTTATCAAAATAGATATTTTCTCCGTTCTGATTCTTGATAAGAAATTGTTTAAAAAGGGCTCTAGTTTCATGATTATCATAAATTTCCTCAAATTGGAATTTATACATCTTGGCTAATTGAATTTGCTTTGCATGTAATTGTTCATTCTTTGCTGTTTGTTGCATATTTTGAATATGACTTTGTAAAGTGTTGGGAGAAATGGCATTGTGTGGTGAAGTTGACATGGTTGATGGAGAAGTAGCTCCCAAATATTGATGATGTGTTGAAGAGGAGCTGTTACTTCTATTTCTACCTCCTCCTCCTCCTGTTGTTGTTGCTGATGATGAAGATGATGGATAAGTTATTGGATTTGTAAAATGCATAGAATGATGAGGAGGAGACGAAACAGCACTATTCGAATTACTCAGTATCGAACTACTTGTACTAAATACATTGCTACTGCTGACACTTGTTGTGGTATTTGGTGAGGAGGAGGATGATTGATTCGAATAGCCACTCAAATTAGTTGTCGCTCTCTTTCCACTCAATGGAATACCAAGTAATTGTTCTCGTGGAGTTGTTGATGATGAATTTCCATGATTTTGTTGTTGTTGTTGAGAATCGTGAGCTCCCATTGTTGATAATAGTTTCTTCATATTATTAATTTTCTTCTATTATATTTTAATAGTTTAAATATATATTTAATATTTAATTAATACTAAATAATCAAGATGGGTAATATTTTAATGTACAATTAGTTGTTGTTGTTTTGTATTAAAGCAAAGACTATTCCTACTTTCAATTTTAAATATTAAATATTAAATATTAAATACTAAATAATAATATTACTACAAATAATAATAATACAATATATGCTAATACAGGCTGCTTGGAATAACACAACTATAATATATTTACAAAGAGCTCTATGGCTTGATGCTCGTTCGGGGAAGAGTTTCGTTTTTTTCTTCTTGTGCTTTTTAAACGATGTTTCATCACAAAATATTTGGAGATTCTGCGGTGCGTGTTAAGGTCCGACACATAAAGGATTTAAATGGACGGCAATGACTTGATAATAGGTGTCTAATGTCTTGGCGGTAAATGTATTTGATGTGGAAGGTAGAATGTCAAAAGTCATACCTAACTTAATATGCTTAATGTTTGTTTGGGAAATTATAATGTGATGAGAAAATGGGGTTGAGGTTGCCGAGTGAGATAGTAAGGATAATAGTACAGATATTTGTATCAGAAAAGATAAAGCAGGTGTTTAACTGATTCATGTTTTATCAGAAGGATCACAGAACTGGCCACAGAATATCAAAATCTGAGTGCTTCAACTAGAATGTATTGTTATGTTAACGAATCTTTCCTTTTTCATGCAAATAATTTCTGAAAATGTTAATCTTTACAATATTGTTCATTTGTTGTTCAGTTGTTGCAAAGAATAAAGAAATGAATTGTCATCAATTAAATAACTTTAATATCGTCAAATTCAAGAGAGGGATGATTTTCAATTTTTCGCCTCTTTGAATAAACTTGTAAAGAAACAGTTGCTTCCACCAAAGGTACTACGATTGGTTCTTCCAAAAATTCATACATTTCCTGGTCATTTTCCTCAGTCTTTGGATTGATTTGAGAATCGGTTTCAGTAGCATTGGATGCTGATGGATTGTTATCTTCCATTGTTTCGTCCTCCTTTTCGGATGGCTCATTGGTGTTCTTGGAATTTTCCACTTCAATCATATCTGCAACCTCAAGGGAGGTTTCTGTTAACATTTCAGTAGCCTTTCGTTTACTTGCATTTCTTTGGTTCTCCTTCAAAATTTCATCTTGTGTTGTCATGTGTCTCATTGCATTAATGTTATAATTGAAAATATCACAATCAGTAGAAATGCCTAATAAACACTTGCCCTTCATGAGGAAGACATGAAATTCCACAGTGGCATTGTTTAACTCCACAGATCCATTAGGCATTCTCTGAGAGATGGTTTCATAAATAATTTTCTTGTCCAAGGAATTATTGTGATGGGATTTGATATTAACTACATATTTCACAGCTTTTGTCCTATCAACCTTATTTTCAATCATATCTATGAGTGTCACAAAATGAAGAATTATTGTGTAAACTTACTTGCAAATCTGTTATTTAAATTATTTTCATTGGCTTGGAACATGTCACAGATTGGGAACATTTTGAATAAAAATCGAGAGGAAATTTCTTCTTGATTATCGTATGCCTTTTTGAAATGTTTTGAGATTTTTTGACATACGGCTACTGGTGAAATAGCTCTATTTCTAATACGAACAAAGAGTTGACCATTCACTCCAGTCTCCAATAATTCGTAATTCTTAGTTCCATCCTTTACAATTTTAACTTCAGTTTCCAAATATTCACATGATAATATTGTTGACAAGTCCAAACCAGTTGGAAGTGGTTTGTTCTTTTCCTTCATTTGCCATGTTGTTAATTTTTGTTTTTCCTCTGAAGTAGTGGTTGTTTGTGATTCTTTAACTTCGGATGTTACAGTAGTATTTGTTGTTGTTGCTATTGCTGTATCGGAATCACTAACAGGAGTTGCTGCAACTCCTTCCAATGGTTTATCCTCTGATGATTTCTGTATTGTTGAATTAATTTCCTGCTCTTCCACTTTTTCCACAATTGTTGAAACATTACTAGCAACATTGGTTACAGCATCTTGTTCCGATTTAATTTCCAATTTCACTGGTTCTGAAGGAGTAGGGACTAGTTCAACCTTTGTTTCATTTGAACTACTATCAGTGGTTGTTGGATTGATTATTGCTTTATCAACTGAAGAAGAGGCAGCACCTTGTTGTTCTCTTGAAATTCTCGCATTAATTCTATCTTGCTTCTTTTTACTAGCAGCTATTTGTTTCTCTTGTTCCTTTGTCATTATTTCCAAAATATCATTTTGCAAAGTATCACTCGTTTCCACCAATTTATCTCCAAACTTTCATTAAAATATTAAATTAGTAAATTATTAAATAAAATAATAATGGTGTTATGCAATAATAACAACAATTTCATCATCATCAAATAATTCAACAAGAAATTCTATTATTATTACTATTATTCAACAAGAAACAAACCTGTTCTACTAATCCGAGAGCTTCCTGTGCAGCTTCCTTTTGCCTAGTACCATTACAGGTGAATAAAATTCCCTGGATGGAATCAAAATCTTGGAGAGTCTTTTTACCTCCGTAAAATCCCTTCTTTTTTTGATGTTTTGGTGGCATTTTTTTATTCTTGGTCTTTTTCATTATTGCACCTTAAATATATTTAAAACGCTTTACAAAAATTATATAATTTAAAATGTAATACTGCATGTCGCGATGACGAAGATCTTTGATAAGGAATCATTGATTTTTGTATGAAGAAGAAAACCTTAAAAAAAATGACTGAAAATCAACGCCAACCTCAAATACAACATAGAGAAGTAGAACATGAAGATCAAGATGATGATTCAACAAGAACAGTTCTGAATAAAACAATGAATATAGATGAATTGGAGAATAGAATTAGAGAATTGGAGTGTAGACTCTTTCCGATGGAACAATTAACGTGGGATTCTGGTCACTTGTTGAATTCCAGTGGTGGATTGCAGAAATCGAATCATCATCAGCATGTTAATGATAGTATTTGGGAAGAGTTTGATCAGGAGTATTATATAGGGAATAGATTTAAAAATCAAAAGAAGAAGCCTAGTTTTTTGGAAAAGTTGAAGGATATTGAGGAGAATTTTGAGAGTTTGGAGACTCCACTAGTGAAAGAGTTTGTGGATCAAATACAAGATTTAAATATTTATGAGTATGAGAGTTTTATTGAGGAAGCAAAGGATTTGCAAGAGTATGCAAATTTTACCTCGTCAGATTATGAGAATATTCAGGAAGAATTGCCATCATCTCTTCTCAAGAAGGAAGCCCTATTGAATTATATCAACCAGCAACAAGAGATGATTGAACACATGTCAAAGTCTTTCGAAGAGTTGGAAAAGTTATTACCTGTTGTGGATATGATTTCAGATAGGGAACAATTGGACTTACTTTGTAACAAGCTCGAAGATTTGAAACAGTTTCATTTATCGATGGAGGAAAAGCATGATCTTTCCACCATTCAGGCAGAAACTATTCTCAAACAATTATCAGCCTATAACAGTATGGTATGTTTCAACGTGTTAATTATATTTATTATTTATTATGAATTACAGATCTTAACCATTTCCAAACAATTTGTTCTTTGGGATCAGTTTATAACAGGTTTAGAAAAGGCAGAGAAGGCTAAAAACAACAATTAAGAAATAATTACTTGTTATTTATTAGTTGGATGTATCTTCTTCCTGCTAGGCATACAAAAACATCCCATCCCTGAGTCTTCATTCTTGGCAATAGATCTCAAGTTTTCATTTTCTGACTTTAGTTGTTCCAATTGAGTTTGTAAACTTCTCAGCTTCTTTTCAATGTCTTCATTCACTTCATTTGCCTTTGGGGTTACCTGTACTTGTTCAGATGTTATAGATTGCTCGAATAAATGTTGTGGATTACCGGAATGATCAATGCTAATTTCTCCGCACCAATCACCCAGCAAAGAGGTCACACTCATATTTCGCTTACTTTGATCTCTGTACATTTGAATTAGTTTGAGATGAGGGAGGGATCCTAAGAGTGAAGGATTATTATCAAACTTGTCCCTAACTGTCTTTTCTAAACCCTCTGTGATGGTTAAAACCTTGTCAAACTTCTTCTTTGAAAAAAAGTCAATACACTCCTCAACTTGTTGAGAAATATTCTTTGAAATATCATTGCTGTATTCAATCCAATCAGGTCCTGAAATTTCAAAGAGTGAATAAGGATGGGTCTTTTTGTTTTCAAAAATAAATTTCCCTAGCTTTCTTGATTTAAATTTCAACTCTTGAGCATTTAGACTATCGAGAACATCTTGAGTCAAAACAACAATAGCTCCCAAGCTGTTTGAAAGTTTGGTAAGTTCCAAACACATTGAAAATGATTCGGAATACATGATGGAAAACATTTGAGAAGATCCTACCACTCCAAAAGAACAACTACCTGAATGGATACCAATACCTATTGAAGGAGTTGTCTTTGAATTAACATTTTTGCCCAAATCTCTCAAAGCTTTTACAATATCCAAAGAGGCGCTTACTGCCTTCGATGAAGAATTAGTAAAAACTGCCACAATTTTTGGCCCTGTACAATTTTCTATAAATCCACCTAGGTTTTCTATTATTGGAGATATTGTCCCTATTAACAAGTTTACAAAGCTTAGTCCTGATTCTATTATTTCCGTAAAGTTTCTCAATTCCAAACACATAATGGTAGCGTTCTTGATGGCATGATCTCCTAACTGTACACTTCCTGCATCCTTGCCTAATTGTTTTAGAGATTCCAATGGAACAAGCTTTCTTTGGGCTCTAAATTGTTCATTCTGTATTATCAACCCATCAATAAGCGTATCAACAAGGGCCTTGGTATTATTGAGCATGTTCTTATTGAATGTTTCTTCAACAGATGACTCAAAAACTATGGCTCCTCTCAGTATTGATTCTCCAATCAGTGGAATAATCATTTGTTCTTTTACATTTTTGTTTTGCTGCAGATACTCACAATCAGAAACTTGATTTCTTGTATAGTCACTTCCAGCAGCATTAGAGATAATTACAGGATTCTTGCAATTTAGACAAATCTTAAGGGACTTGATGCTAAACTTGAAATCTGCTTGGGAGAGTTCCAACTCGTCGAAAATTTCTACCTCGTGTCCCTTTTCTTTTTCGCACAATAAAATGAATTCCTTAGTGTTTGGCTCTTTTACAAATATTCCCAATCTATCACAATTAGAGAATGAAAGGAAACTTTGAGTTTGCTTAGATAGAACAATGGACAGTGGTATCGAGTCAATAGGAACAATATTTTCAAACTCTGGAGAATCTCCAACCTCCAACGTCAGTACATCCTTATATTGCTCATTCAATTTGGAAACCATTGCATGAGCACCACACATCTTCCATGTCTTAATTGCATTTTCTGCGTATGATTTGATGAACTTTGTCTCTATTTCATTTGAGACACAAAAGTCACACAGTCTATTTTGGATCAAACCAGCATAGAGGTGCATATTCTGATTCACAGAAACTTCATACGCATTGACATAAAGCTCAATCACTTCATCCTTATCTCCATTGTGCAATTTAGTGACTTCTGCTGAACACATGGATCTAGCAGCTGCCATCAAATGAGGATACTTGGCATGCAAGTCAAGAATATCCTTTTCGTGCTCTAAAATTCTTTCCAATGTCTTTTCTTTCATTGTTTTTGGAGCTTTGGCATTGGGACCAAGCATTACTTCCATTATTGAAAGTTTGGACTTTTTCTGGTTTTTGGTTGCCATTATATCATCATATTTTTCATAGAAGGAGGATAAAATAATGAAGGAAAACCACTTGTAGAACATGTAAAACGGTGTACCAAAGCAGTCATCTATCACATCATCAGATTCATTGATTTGCTCAGCTGCTTCCTGATATTGACCCTTGAAAAAATGAATTAAAGCTTTTGTAAAGAAGACTATTAATCTTGAGAAGGTTATCTCTTCAAAACCGTCAAGCATGAAACTAGGGGAAAAATTCTCAGTTGCTCCATATAAAAACAATGGAATTTGTTCAATACAAGCCAGTAAATCACTCTCGAATTCTCTACTACATTTTCTGTTGAATGTCTTGATTTCCTCCAAATGATTTTCATTCGAATCCTTATCAAAACCTTTTAAAATACTTGTCAATCCAAGCCACTATAGTAATAATTTAGAAAACTCTTAAGCAAGAACTAAAACTTACAAAACCACTTTGAGCACCCCAAGAAATTTCCTCAACTGTTTCTGCAATTTTGAAAGCATCATACGAAACCTTCAAAACATCATCTAGACCGCCTGTACAAGCCGTTATACACAATTCGAAAAACTTTGTGAGGGCAAAATTTGCTTCTGTAGAGTGATGCTCTTTTGCTAAGGTACTACCAACCTCTGACAAGTCGCTTCCTAGTTTTGGGTCATCCAAATAAGAAAATTGCCATCTATAATATTTAGTTAATTGATACTAATAAAATAATCTTACCCTAGAGCTGTTAAGATGGTATGAGTTAAATCCATGTACAATCCATCTTCTAGCATTGATTTGAACAATAAAAGTGGGGTTACAAAGAGAAAGATTTTGTTGGAGTTTTTTCCTATGTACACTCCTTGAATACATTCCAATAAACATCTAGCAAATGCTACAGATTCTTCATCCTCACATTCTTTCATTTGTAATACATCACTAAGTGTTGAATATGATTCAAGGCTTTCCTTGATTTGTATTGTTGTTGACTCTATCCATTTTTCGGTAAAGGCATCACCATTAGCAACTAGACAATGTGTTGAGGGATTTGACGCCAGCAAGTCAATAAATTCGTCATACATAATTTCATACTTGGATGATGCTGATGATGATTTTAGCAGTAAAAATCTGACTTTCAGCCTGTCTACATTATCCACAATGTTGGGCAGAATACTTTGATATATTTCTATTGCTGATGAATGATTGCCAGAGATGTACTCGCACTCGGCATATAAAAGATTAACGTTTAAAACTTGTTCATAGAACGATTCATTTGTCCAAGAGTCTGAGGGCATACAATTTTTAGCTTTACTAACAAATTCAAAGGCTGACTTTAAATTATTAGAGTTAATTGCCTCAGTTGCTTGAAAGCAGAATTTTTCTACTTGTTGATGAATATCCTCTTGCTCACTCATATTCCTTATTCCAATAAAACCAATAATTTGATGATGATGAGTTGATGATTTTGTTGTTGTTGATGTTGTTATAATTGGACAAGAGCTCTTCTGAGTGGAAGGCTGAGGGTAATTGTCCAAATTTTTTTAAAGTGATTTTAAAGTTTTTTCGTAACCTAAATTTACAGATGGCGTTAAGGAATTTGGCGGGAAAATAAGTTCAACCTCAAAACCTAAGAAGAGCCATTGATACCAAAGAAAATAAGACGCTTATAGTTTCTAATATCAAAGAAAATGAAGAATTTTTTGATAAAAAACCATTCAAATACTTTCCAGCATATCATTCAATACTATCGATTGTTCCAAAGAACATTAAGGTTATCCGCAATCTTCAACACACAGAGTACAATGAATATTAATTACTACAGCCCTCACCTTCTCTCCAACTCACAATCCAAGCAAACAAAAATCATGATCCAAGATACGCCTATCTTCACGTTATTTTCCATCCAACAAGCAACACTACACCAATAACAATATTATCCACCGAATTAGAAAAGGATTTTATCTGTTGTTACGTTGAAAGAACATCCACGTTGGATATTGGTTATAATATGAGAATGGTGTGATACTTCCCTTTTGATGAACCTATCTTTGACTTAATTTGCCTTATTCTCTCACACTTATAGAAACGAATCTAAGGAGTGTTCTCCTTCACATTGATTGAAAAATCTAAGGATTCTTCGAACCATTTAAAACAACATACTCCTACCTCCGTTACAAGAGAAGATTTCAAACTTCTGTGGAGGATTCTTATCATCAAGACAACAATTATTTCAGCAGACTTTCAATTGTCAACACCAATCTGGAAGATATCATATCAAAAACAAAACTGAAAGAACTGTATTGAAAATAGAGATTGATTTGTATTCTAAATAATAAGAAACACTCAAGAATCCATCTAAGAATCCTTCGTATACCTATTGAACAGCAATTGATTGATTTTGGGAAAGGAAAAGATAGATTTTTGAAAAATTGAAACATGTATGATTCAATCATCATATTTTCCAAATTAATTGAGCATTAATATTTTTGTACAAGGACGAACATCGAAAATGTCCTGTCTCTCAGTACTGCAAGAAACTTATCTCGAACTTTGATTATTATAATTCCAAGAGGACAACCATTGAATTTTGCTATTTAAATTTTTGCTCCATTGTGTTCTTCAAAATAATAATCAGAAAAAACAACACTAACAATATGAACAACTGTAGAGATTCTCTCATTAATAATAATTTTACTTCAAGCATGGAATTTAGCAAAATAATGACGTTCCAATATCAGGCCTCAACCACAACAACATCGACAGCAGATCAAGTAGTTGTTCACTTGATAGACTTGCACAAATCAACAAGTACCTCCTTCGAACAACTTCGAATTAGAATGGCCCATTCTGATTCCCCAAAAGGTTTCTCCATGAATTTTCATCTCATTCATTCTCTCGAATATTGCTCAGAACCTTGTATTGAGGATGGAAGAAGTTCACAACCAGACAACAACTCCTCTCAACAACCTCTCCTTAAAAATCCTTTCGATGTTAAAATTTCCTTCTCGTGCTCTTGTGTTTTGGTGAGTGAGAAGGAGTCGAGAATGATTCAACTCTTTGATTTAATTTCTCGTAGATTCCTCACCTCAATCAATTTACCTTCCACCCCTCGATATATGCACATTGAGTCAGATTATGATGGCTACGGAAATGATGCTCTCTTATTTACAAGTAATGATAATTCTGTTTACAAGTACGATCTCAAATCCATGATTGAATGTAAGGAATCAAAATATTTGTGGAGAAACACTGATGTTAAATATCCAAATGGAATAGTTTCAAGGAAATTTGTAGACATTATCAATGAGAGACGAGTTGAGAGAAATTACACTTTCGTTTGTGATGGAAGTTCGAATTGTGTACGAGTGATGAAAACATTGAACGGACAAACTGTAACCTCAATAGGTATTCAGGATAGAATTTCAATGACAAGTCCTTGGGGAATTGACTTTACAAGTTGTGGGGAAATGATTGTCACCGAGAGTCTTTCTCACAGAATTCAAATATTGAAACGCCATTTAACAAAGATTGACAACTCGAACCAATATCAAGAAATTTGGAAAACTAGCAAAATCATTGGTGGAAGGGGAAGCGAAAATGGGCGAATGGAATATCCAAGCTCAATTGTCTTTGACTCAGTTCACAAGAGGATAGTTGTTTGTGACTATTCAAACCATAGACTTCAAGTATTCAGTGAGGATGGTCATCATCTTAAAAGTTTTGGAAGAAAAGGAAAGGGACGAAATGAATTCTCATTTCCTAATGCTCTTTGTCTTTGTGAAAAAACTGGAGAATTACTAATTGTTGATTCTTCCAATAAGAGGATACTCACTTTCATATAAAAATCTATAAATTAAGTTACATTTCAATCCGTTATTTACTATTAAACCAACTTCAAATTGATTGCTCTTGTATTCCTAGAGGAGCTGATCCCAATTTGAGTGTCATCTAAAAACAAGAATTAAACACAAAAATTCATTAAGGTTTGAGACTCAATATAAGAATACCATTCATTGCTACCTTTCTCTTATTCAAACTTCAATAAGTACGTTCAATTCAATTTTCAAACCAAAAATAAATCCAACAATTATTTTTAAACTTATTAATAAAAATGCAAAACTCCTCACCACAAGATTCGGAGCAGCAAAATGGTGTGCAGTCTCACCAGCAGCAAGAATATTCAAAAGTGGAGGAAATAGTTGCTAGTAATGGAAGTGAACATCATCAATTTTATCATGAATTTAGATTGGATTTGATAGACCATTTTCTTGGTGTTCCGCATGATGTTTGGGTTGAACACTTGTTTGGTTATTTTACTACCAATCAATTATTACGTATTAGACTTGTTTCTAAAAACTTGTCAGATTTGGTGTGGTATTATTTTGTTAATATGAAAACCAAGTATTCTATTCGTGTCGGAACAACAAATACCAAGTTTGAGAAGATTGTTGATCATTTTCTTGTACATTTACCAAAGCTTAAAAAGATTGATTTTCAAGATTTTGATTTAATTAGTACCCTTTCACTCACTGGTAGGTTTATTTGTTCTTGAGATTGCTCTAATAATATTATCATTATTTTCAAAAACAGATGTTGGACTGAGTCATTTGTCAAAATTGCAAACACTAGAGGAGGTGGAATTATTTGCTCTCGATGAAGCACATGGTAGTTATCTCAAGGAATGGGTCAAAAACAATAGCAAATTATTGGAAACAATAACGAGTCTTAAAATTTCAAATACTCTCTTGGAACACCTTCCACTATTAAAACATTTCAAAAATCTTAAAATACTTTCACTTGGAAGAGATGCCGACGAATTGGACGTTAATGATCAAGATATGAAACAGGCTAGTATTGAACTTCCTCCTACTTTGGAAGAATTAGAAATTTACTATCCAGTTGTTTATAGGAACGTTAAGAGCATTGTAAACCAATGTCCTAATCTTGTCAAATTTTATGTAGGAGGCGACAATTTACAAGACAAACCAGTTGAAATGATGTTAAAATCATTGAAAAAATTACAAGACTTTAAATTGGTAGTATGTCCAAATTATGATGACGAAGATGAAGACATGGACGAAGAAATGACTCTTATTCAAGGTGGCTTTTATACTATTTTTAAAACAGAAACTCTTAGAAATATAAGATCTCTCAATATTCCATACGTTCTCTCCACTGAGGCTCACATTGTTAACGCACAAAAATCAATCTCTACACTGGCTCCATATTTAGAAAAACTATGTTTGAAATTTATTCCAAGATTTGAAGGAAGCAAGTTCACATTTGATGGTGTTCTAAATACACTGAGTACTCTCACCAAGTTGAACTCATTGACCCTCAAATTTCAACTCTATGCCTTCTTCCTCAAGGCCTCCAAAACCAGTTTGGAATCACTCAATACTACTATGAAAAATTCCCTGAAATACTTGAAAATTAAAAGTGGACTCTATGTAAAGGGACCATTCTCGGAGATTATCAATGCTCTGGTCGGTCCAAGCTTGGAAACTCTCATTCTAGATATTTTAGAAGAACCAAATCTGGACTTTTCATTCCTTAGAAAATCACCAAACTTGATTAATTTATTTGTTAAAGGTGATGAAAATACCAATGAAGCACTAGTGAAAGTTTTCAAACCTCTCCATGAAACACTTAAGAAGAGTAATGTAAAAATGAACTTTCCACTCAGTAAAGTTGAAGGAAATGGCATTGGAGGTTCCCTTGCACAATACCTACCTAAAGAAAATATTACCAAACTCAATTTATATGGAATTAAAAAGAGCCACATTCCATTCCTGAGAGAGTTTAAAAATTTAAAGAGCTTGGAGTGTAGTGCATTTGAAGAGGAGGTTACTGATTTTACAGATTTTATCCTTCCAACATCTTTGAAAAAGCTAATGTTCACTGGAACTCAACACCTCACTGGTTTGGAACCTGGTTTTATTTCCAATATTTTGTCATTATCAAGATTGCGAGAATTGTTCTTTGTAGGATCCGACCTTTCTGACAAGTTTATTGAACAATTACTTCCTCTCAACGAAAAGGAGCTTATTTGCCTATACCTTGAACATATCAATACCATTACAAATAACTGTCTTCCATACCTTGGAAAACTCACAAACTGTGATCTTATAGTTGTTCAATATTGTGAAAATATTCTATTTTCCAAAGAATTTTCCATTTTCCAACAGGAACATCCATTCGTTACCATTGTAGTAGATGAGCCAGAAAATGAGGAAATGGAAATTGATGAGCAATATGAGGAATTTAAATCATATCATGGTTGGATTTACGGAGATAATAATTACCATGCAGTGGAGGATTACGTCAACATTCTTTTGGAGAGTAGAGAAATGACCTTGGCTAATTTTGCTTTAGATTTATATTTGAGCAAAAATCCATATATTCACGACCCTAAATCAGAACCTCTACCACAAGAAAAAATTTATGATTTCTGTTACAAGTACATACTAACATTCCCTAGTGGCTGTGGAGGTTCTACTGGTATTTGCAATATATTCGAATTACTTGATCATATCATGAGAGACCATAGAGAGATTGTAACAGATGAAAGAAAGAAAAAGTTAGCAAAAGCCATTGGAAAGAGCTTGGAGTTTGTGACATCTTGTAGATGCTTTACAATTGCATCCATGATATTGTTCAATCTTGGAGAAATTAGATACACTATCAATGGTCTATTCAAACTTGATGAATTTACTGGTGATGAATCTATTGATCCACTCATTGAACAAATAATTCAGCATATTTTGGATAATTATGGTATCATTGAGAATTATCCTGTTTTTTACATTATGCAAATGGCAGACATTTTAACCAGAGGCTATCCTCACATTTCAAAAGTTTTGGACTTTATTCACTATTTAATGAATCAAGATATTTTGAAGAATCACGTTCCTACCTTACATGCTTTGGACAATTTTGCCAAGACACTCAATCCTGGTGATGATTATATTTCTAAACTTTCAATTGAGAGCTATGAAGGAAAGGATCCATTAGAATGCATTCATGAGAGAATTCCACAATCCTACAAGGATTCTTCCATCCACATTACAACAGTTAAAATTCCAAAGAGCGGAAGTAGAACAAGACACTATGAATCAGAACCTTTCGAAGCCTATGGCTACAGATGGATTATTGATTTTTGTCCTAAAGACAAGGATGATGAAAATGATGATGAACATACTTCCTCCATCTACTTGACTCTCGATTCCACAAAGAGCCCACTACAACATGACAAGTTTGACCACATCAAACTCCAATACATGATGTGCAATTACGACTTTAACCCAATAACATACTTGGTCTATGTTAAGAAATTTAAAATGTTGGGTGGTTCCTATGGAGAATATGTAGATGCAACTCAATTCCATCCATTCGAAACAAATGATGAATTTGATATTTACAAGTTTGTAGTTTGTCTCAAGCTGTTGGAAATTCCAGAATACAAAACAGAGACCACTGTTCAGAAAATTGAACAAATTCACCAAGGAGAAAAGGAATTATCTTCTAGACATTATGCCCCTTGGATTTTTAGAACTTTTGACGAATTGCCAACATCCATTCATACTGTTTCTATTCTTTCTACATCAGAGGAGAATGGTGATGATTGTTATTCAGATATTATCAATGCATTTGGTTTCAAGTGGTGTGTTTGTTTCTATCCAAAAGGAGAAACAAAAAGTAAGTTTTTAATGAAATATTATTATCTCAACAATTATAGTGCTGGTTGATGACCAATCGGATAAGTGTGCCATCTTCCTAACTCTCTGCTCATTTGATAAAAACGAGGAAAAGCATGCATTAGAAAAAGTGGAAATCAAATTCATGTTTGCCAATGCTGACTTTGATTCTGACTCTATGTACATTGGAAGAAGTACTCTTAACGGATTAAGAAGTGCTGGTAATTCACTGAAACGAAGAGATTTATACGCTCCCACCATGTGCACTATCAATGGAAAGACCTACTTCAAGTATGTGGTCAATGTTGCAATTGGATTAGTTGCTTGGTCACGAAATAGCAACTCTGAAAACGATGATGATTTTGAAGATATTGAAGAACAGTAACATTTCACAAATAATACTATTTATTTTTTTACAATATTATATTACACTTATTCATTGGATACGTTAATCACTAATTTGAAAGGATTCTTTTTACAATCTGCCATAGCACGAGCAGCTTCAGTCATTGGATAAGTCTTGAATGGAAGTAACTTGTGGATCCAATCTCTATCCATTTGTTCAAACCATTTCATCAACTCTACCATCAATTCTCTCTCACATTGAACAGCAGGCAAGAGGTGGAAATGTGGATAATTAGCAAAGAAACTCTTCAATCTGTTTGCAGCTGCCATACTTACCAATTTCCAAACATCCTTTCCACTGACCTTCTTTTGTTCCAACTCAATTGGTGGATTGGTAGTAATGTAATGACTGGTACTTCCATTCAACAAATTGAATGACTTTTGCATATTATCATAACCACCAACTGTGTCAATTGATAATTGGAGTGTTGAAATCAAGAGCTTACACTTCTCCATTTCCTTCTTTGATTTAAAGGCAGGATGTGGCCATTGAGTGAGTGGAGTATGAGTTGGAGATGGTTGTTGAGGAGACATGGAAACATTGGAAGGTTCTGTTTGATGCATCATACTTGGCTTGTACTCCATTTGACTTGGAACTGTATGAGTTTGTTGAGAAGAAGAAGGAAAACCCACTTGTTCTTGAACTGTCTCTGTAGTGGTTGTGTATGAAGTTTGTTGCATGTTTGAGCTAGGCATGGTTTGTTGGGTAGTTTGCATTTGATGTGGATTGACCATTGAAGTTGGTTGCATTTGTTGGGTTACAGTTTCACTACCAGTACTTGTATTCAATGTAGAGGTTGCTGGAGGTTGCATTGTTTGTTGATTCTTGTGAGGATCCAATTCACAACAAAATGTTTCCCAATATTGCAACAAATCTTTTTCAATGGTTTCTTCATATTTGGCATCGTGTGAATTGAGAATGACATCAGCACCCATCTTTCTAACATATTCTTCATTGTCCATTGTACTGATGGTTGTATAGATACGTTGAGCTCCAAAATAGTAACGTGCTAGTAAGATACACCAAGAGCCAATATAAGTATCACCTCCTTGGATGAGAATGGAACCAGATTTGTCACCATTTAACAGTTGGTTGACAACTTCAAGGTTAATTGGTTCATTTTCATGAGTTAGTTTCTGATGAGATTGTGAGCTTTCAATGACCTTTTTCTCAAAGGATTCTTCTACGCTTGATGATTGACCAACTGAGCGAGGTGATTTGCTAATTCTATTCATTACTGACAAGGAAGGACCCAATAAACCATGTTTCTTCTTTCTCTTCTTATCAACAAGAAGGAAACAATTCATTGCAGCAAGAGCACTGAATGGAATGCAGCTGGCCATTTCCATACTCAACCAGTCAGGTTTCATCATGACTTCTCTCTCCTTAAAGATAGCAAACTCACCAAATGTACCCAATTGATTGGTGAAACCAAAGACACAATCACCTACTCTGAGATTAGTTGGATCTCCACCTAATTTCTCAATTATACCACATCCATCTGCGCCAACAATGAGCGGATAATGAATTGGAGTAGTTTGAATTTCAACTGGAATTTTACCTTGACAGATTTTGTAATCCAAATCATTGACACTAGCACATTTCATTCTGACAAGAATTTCATCAGATTTCATACGAATAGGTCTTGGATACTTGTCAACATAAACAAGCATGTGTTCTGGTTCATCTTGTTGATAGTTACAAGTAACAACTGCTTTCATACATGGGTACTCACGAATGTGAGGTGTTTTCACATCATGACTAACCATATGTTGTTCCTGGCTAAATGGTTCAGATTGAGGCAAGGTACTAGTTGGTAAGGGTGGCAAGGTTGACTTTTCTACCGAAGGAGAAATGGACATTTGTTGAGTAGCTCCACTACTAGAACCAGAAATGTTGCTAACACCAAGAGCACTACCACCTTGTTTCTCTTCCATTAATTCTTCAGAAGGTTGAATAAGTTTTTCAGGTTCTTCTCTTCTTTCCAAATTGCTAGCAGTTGGCAAGGTACCACTACTACTGGTTAATGGTTGTTGCTGTTGAAATTGGATGGGTTGCTGTTGGGGCAATGGTTGACCAAATGCTTGAGTCATTTGTCTATCAACACTTTCCAGAGTTTGCTGTTGTGGAGTGAGTTCCATTTGCATGGCATTGTAAGGTTGCTGTTGTGGTTGACCAAGTGGCTTTTGGCTTTGTAGCAACAGCTGTTCATTAGGATCTTTTTGAAGAATTGGTGATTCTACCATTTTGCTTGTTTTTTTTAAAGATAACTTGGAAAAGGTAGCCAAAAAGTAAAAAAAACAAAAAAGGATAATAGCAAATATTGAAGATAAATTAACCAAAATGGTAAACTACCAAAAATGAAAGAATTAATTTTTTTCTAACATTTTTTTAACATGAATTTATTTTGAGATTGCATCGTTATGAAAATGGCTATTGTGCAGTTAAGGGAAGACACTAAAATCTAAAATTTGCCGACACCAGGGATCGAACCAGGGACCTTAAGATCTTCAGTCTTACGCTCTCCCAACTGAGCTATGTCGGCTTCTCCTTCATATTATTAGTACTGTCTATATATTTCAAAATAATACAATTAAATACATTTATTCACCTCTGGCAATTATTGAAATATCACCAAGTTTAGAATCTTTCAATATTCTGAAAAGAACTTGCCTCCATTTTCCTTCATCTCTCAAACATTTAGAAATGAATGGAAACCTTGATTTCACTCCACTCAAAATCAAATCTCTCACCTGATTAACCTCCTCCTTATTTAGTAAATTTACAATGTGATACTCCGTCTCGTGCTCTGCAAAAAAATCACATACTATGGAATTGATGACATTTCTTTCATTTTCATTTGATATTTGTTTCAATTCTTCCCTTATTTCATAATTCTTCTTAATGTCATAAATACTGCCCCTTTTAAGCTTTGATTGTAAGATGTCTGGTTTTGTAAATAAGAATATTATTCTACAATTTGGATTAATCTCATGAAACTTATTGCAGGTAAAAACATAATTGAATTTTACAAATTCATGTTCGAAATCATAGTTAGGATTATCATGAAAATCCGAAAGTCCACAAAAGAAGAATATAAAATAAACATTTTCAAAACAGATAAATGCTTTCTTCCATTCACTTCTAGATCCTCCAATTTCTGCTAGATTGTATTTAATGGGTTGACCAATAATTGGATCACTATGAATGAAATCACTAATTATAACACCTGTTGTTTTTGTTGAAGCATATGTAAAAGGATTTTCCAATTGATTATCAAAATTTCCATTCAATAAGTGTTCCATAAATAAAGATAAATTTTCAAATCTCCAAACATTGTGATACTTTTCCATTAAGATTCGTCTCATTTCGTCATGTTTCCAAATTCTTGTAAGCATTTCCCTAGGTCTTGGAATTCTATTAAATTGATTGAAATTCTTTAATCTTGCAAATTCTTCATCCATAGAATAAAATTCATCAAAATTTTCCATTCGTGATAACAGAGCATGACAACAATAGTCAATTTGATTTTTATCATGTAATTTATCATTCGTGAGTTGTCTGCTGAATGTACTTGCTCCGCATTTTGAGAAAAGCATAACGGTTCTTTCTTGTATTTTCTTCTCTTGTATTGTGGATGAGCTTTCGTCTACTTTCTTTGCACTATTCCTGCTTTGTTTTGCACCCATTTTTTAGTTCTTTCATTATTTGAGTTTGTTCGCTCACTCGTTTGTTTCATAATGTTTTTAATGTGTTTTTATTTAATTGGAATTGAAGTATTATGTTATTTACAAAATTGAACACTTATTTTCATTCGATGTTTTATGTGTGATTGTTTGTGGGGAAAGAGAATTGGAAAAGTTCTTTTGGGTTGATAATAGAGTAATATGACAATGTGGGAGGACATTTAGAAAAGACCTTGTTCTCTTAAAGTCTTGTTAAGAATGATATCCTTGATGGCATCAAAGACCTGTTGTAATTGTTGTGTATCTGTGGCACATGTAAAGTGAGCATAGATGGTCTTGTGTCTTGGATTTCTGTTCTTTTCTTCGAATTTAGAACGAATAAAGCTGGCAGCAGTTTCAAAGTTTCTACCACCTTCATATTCTTGGAAGAATTGACTGAGATCAGTTCTCTTGATCTTTTCCTTGAACAAATCCATCTTGTTCAAGAACAAGATAATGGATGTATCCATGAACCATCTAGAGTTACAAATTTCGTCGAACAATAGCAAGGATTCATGCATACGGTTGGTGGAATCATCTTCATAACATCTTTGATCATACTCACTCAGTGATGTAACAAAGATAATAGCAGTGACACCTTCAAAGCAGTGAATCCACTTTTTACGTTCGTTTCTTTGGCCACCAACGTCGATCAAGGTTACAGATCTATCATCTAATTTAAAGCTCATTTCTACAATACCAGTTGTCTTGACTCTTGATCTGACAACGTCTTCTAAAGTTGGCTTATAGTCAGCTTGTTTAATTCTATCAAGGTGAGTGAAATAGTATGGAGCAGAATCGTCCAATTGGAATTCGTTACGTTTCTCAAAAACTTTTTGAATACCAGGATCTGACCACAAACATTGAATATCGTCAGCAATTTCAGCTGTCCAATATTTATGTACGTGTAGCAGAGCTTCTTGTTCGAGTTCATTGATCTTACCAGCACGTTCTCTGTTTTCTTCCTGTTCAATAGGAATGTTAAAAGAGAAGGTCGCTTGGACCAGATTCTTCATGGCTTTTAATATGTTACCGTAGATAATTTCCTTGTATGATTCTCTTTCTTCTTCAGAGTAACCATTTTGATGGATAATCTTCATTTGCTTGAAAATGGTACCTATTATAAATCATCAATATATAAATTTATAATCAGTTAAAGTTGAAGAAACAAAGATAAAAGGTTTTCATATGATCATCATTACCATTATTAAACATGTTCATTCAACAAACAATCATTAGTAGTTTGTAGTTATTAAAATTGTTATTGTTGTATATGGTCAACCACCATCAATTATCGTTATGATTACTTACTCTTACCAGATTCACCTGCTCCCAAAAGCAAGACTTTAATTTCTCTTTCTTGTTGTTGTCTTCCCTTTTCAATTTCATTCAGTGCTTGGACTGATCCTGGTTGTTTAGTTGCGCAAATACCCATTTTTCTTCTATATTAAATCAATTGTTGTATGTAATTTGTAATCTACAAATATTATATGTGTGTTATCTTCTTATTCCTAGAGAGTGAGAGAGAAAACAAAAGCAACTTCCTGCGTTGTGTGTTATCTATGTTTTAAAATTTACGGTAAATAAAGCGCGCCGCTTTTTTTTTTCAATGTTTTAGAGAGGAAAACGCCTTTAATGAACAATGGAACACACTTCAATGTTTTAATCAGTGTGTTGTGTTTTCAAGTTTGTCCTTTTCGCTTCGTTGATGAAGTTTTGGATGAAGTGAGTGTGCGAGAGGATGAAAAGTGTTTTTTTTTACGTTGTTTTTTATTGATAGACAACTGACGTCTCCATACATCATTTTGACGAACAACCATTAAAAAAGAAGGCATGAATTTTATTTGGCTTGCAGCGTGAAATACTCGGCAAGTGATTCACATCATTGGAATGAGTTGCAATAATTGAGATTTGGTTGACTTGTGGGATTATCTTATGCAAGATTGTTGTCAAAATCAGAAACTGAAGACGAAAGTAAACGAAATGATCTTTCTTTTAGTTTAGGGTTAGAGCACTTCCAAAGAGCTTTGTTTTTCAATAAGATGAATGGTAAGAGAAATATCTCTCACTGAGAACCAACTTGAAATGTATTGATGATGGAACAAGCATTGAAAAGTACATTTACAGTTTTTTCATCACGAAAAGTGTTTGAATGTCTGTTGATGGATAATTCGAATAAAAATATCGTGAGAGTTGGGATTCATGGTTTCGAATAAATGAAATTCCAATTAATTACTCTCATTCTATAAATGATCCAAAGTGTGAAGCGAACACAATGAAAGTAAATTATTACAACCACATGATAAGTGGATCATCTTCAATTAACTGTACAACAATTCCGTTTCATTTCATTGTCATCTATCTTGTGATTGAATTTAAATCATTGAAACAATTGAAAATTTGATAAAATAAGTCACTTTTTCGATTATCAGGAATACCACAGTGGATTGTCCATCTCACTTGGTTTGTTTTCTTCTTTTATTGGTATGCTTGAGAGAAACTTCAGTGTCAACACGAATGGAGTTTTGAAGGACTGGATTTAACATTAATTCCATAGATTCCTGAATGTGAATCAAATCTACCAAATAATCAACTATTTTAGAGTCACAAGATTTGAGTCCTAATTGTCTTTGGATGGTCTTACTGCAATCTTTCATGGATTCCAGAGCACCTGAACCAATAGGGTAGCTGTGTGAATGCTGAGAGGCTTTCTTTTGTTTGGATTTCTTTGAGGATTGAGAATTATGTTTGTGAATCATTTGTGGTGGTAGGGATGGGAACATTGGTCCAAATAGAGATGATCTTCCTCCATCTTTTGGTGCTTGATCAGTGGTTGAGATTTTGTGGAGGGATTTCTTGTAAAAGTGCCCTCTAGTTTTTGCAATGGAATACAATTGATTGTAGAGTGATGCCTTCATGCCCATTTCTAAAAAGATGGCATGCGTAAAGGCCAAGAATGCATCCTCAGTAAACCACTCCTTTGACTCATCAAAGATAATATCCAAATATCTTCCATAATAGCTTGGTCCAGTATAGAGTTCATTTTCCAAATCCAAAATGCTCACCCAAGATTCGAATGTTGTAGGGAAATGAACTTTCTTACTCAGCCCAATAATCTTGTTTGTGGAAAAATCAAGAATCTTTTCAGAGTTGATATTGAATGTTGCTGAAAAAACTTACATTGATTGGAGTGGTCTTCCAATAACAAACAGAAAAGTAGTCATTCTTTGTATTTTCAAATGTTCCATTGATAAACCCTGGTATGAATAAAGCTAGGGAGTTGACAATACTTCTTACAATTCTGTATTGGATAAAAGTATTAATTAATTTTTGAAAAGAGTGGTGATCTAATACTTACTGTTCTTGATTAGAATCTGCATATATTACTATAGGTCGACCAATCATGATGGAGTAGGCAATATCTTTTGTGAATGAAAATTCTCTGAAAAACCTTAATATTCCTTTTCCGTAACTATGCTCACCATAATTATATTCAAACAGGAGAGAGGTTAGAAGGGATTGATTTTGGTTATTATTTGATGCAGTATAATTGGAGGAATTATGTTTTCTCTTTTTCAATTCGTGGAATAATTCATCATACTTGTCATATTCTTGGAATAGACTATTGACATAGGAACCAGTGCCCTTGAATCCATTTCTGTACAGTTGAAAGCGGTCACTGTTGTTGGTTGAAAGAGAGTTGCTTTGTTCGATAGAGTTGTTTGCCATCACAGGAGAGGAGGAAGGGAAGCTTCCAAATAGTGGATTGTCTTGCTCATCATGAGAGATGGTTGATAGTGCCTCATCTTCAGCATCATTGTATGTATTTTCATTGTCTAACCATGAAACTTCATCATTGGAAGAGTTGATGCTAGCACTAGTATTCAGAGCTGATTGGTATTGGAAGCTCTTTGTAAATGTGGTATTGCTTAACGTTGGTGGGTAATGATAACCATTTTCAATATTAAAGTCCAATAAAAAGTTTCTTCCAATGAAGAGCATTGAGTTAAGGTCATTCGAATTGATAATATCCAAGTCGGCATTTTCCATATCAATAACATCACAATCTCTATAGAAATGTTCGATAATATTCAACATCAAATCAACCGATGTTTCATAAAATTTCTGTCCAGCAATTTGAGCTAACGTTCTCAGGGTGGTTTCAAAATTAGTATTTCTGTGGATACATCTTAAAATGGTTGGCATGAATTGTTTCAAATTATGAGAGGACACAGAAAGACCAGTCTCATACAATTCCACAAAGTCAGGATTTTGAACCTTGAGAGAATTCATTGCATTGAATGTTGGACTGGAAATGCTGTTCAAATATGGAGAATCACTAATATCATTCAGTACATTCACCATATGAGATGTGTTTTGAATATGTGAACCTTGATGAGGAGAGGACAAGAAGGCTGTTGTTGGAGCACCAACACTAGCACCACTAAACCCTCCAACAAAATGCGAACTCTTATATGGTACAGCATTCAGATTTGCCTTAGGATTAACTGCAAATGTTGGATGTAAATGTAGAGATGAAACTGAGGAAGTTCCAGCACTAAACGACATGTAAATATGATCGATTAACCCCGTATCAAGAGTTTCCTCATCAGCAATCTTATTGAGGATGAGTTCGGTAGACTCTTCATCCAATTCTTCATTGAAATCATTTTCCTCCAATTTGTTTCCACTGCTGCTATTATGTACAATTTGAACTACTTTGTAGTCACCACTACTAGGATCTCCTAGCGAAGAAACTTCCTGATCGGAATTATCTTCCTCTGTGGACCCAGCTCCATAGGTAGATTGTGAGCTATTACTCGCAGATCTTGACCTCGATTCTTCAAATAAATATGTATGATTTTGTAATGGACCTGATTTGGAATTCTTTTTGTTTTTTTGAGTCTTCTTTTTTGGTTTCAGTATGGATGAGGACTTGTTCATGTGTATCATGAATCTTCGTCTCAAATCCTTCAATTCTTTCATTACCAATTCGAAAGTATCCTTTGAAAGTGCATTCTCATTGTTGGGAGAGAATAAACCTTCTGACATTTCTCTCCAACGTTTTTCAATTTTTTCTTCATTTGATAATTCCTGTGAGGAACTAATACTTGGTGAAGACAGTTCATTTCCACTGTTGGGATGTAATTTCATTTCTATTTTCTGAATTCCATATAATTGATGTTGAGTATCGCTCAAGAATTTACAATTGTTTCCATACTTGAGTGTTTGTGAAACTTGTGTAAAGGTATTTAGCAAGTATTCAAAATGGTGCATTATTTTATCCTTATCATTGGTCACATAGCACATGACCATTGGTCTAACATATCCTCTTGCATTGATATCATGAAGTGTAATGTGATGTACCTGTTGTTGTGTAGATGATTGATAATCAAACAAGATAAATAAACAGTAAAGTTAACAGAGAAAGATAGTAAAAATTAATTTCCAATAATGAATTGATTTTGAAACATACATAGGCAAAAGCTCCTTGAGCAGAATCTGTCAAGTAGACTTGAGTATCCTCTGGACAAATCCAAGTACAATTATCTCCCAACTTGTCGTGTTTCCTTGTGTGATCACCAGCCAATACTCTTGTTACAAACTTTTGAACATTGAAACGTTCCAAGGCTCGATCATTTGGCAAGACGAGAAGAGGTGTCGGACCCTTCTGTTCACAAAACTCAGCCACTATAATAAAATCCCTTCTGAAAAGTGGTAAATGCTTTTGTTGAGTATTAACATTAAATCGTGAATGGGCATGATAATGATGTTTAGGGTAATTATTATTTTGATGATGATGAGGAGGATGATGATGATTATTTGCCATATTATTCGGCATTACATTTTGAGGAATTGGTAATCTCATTCTCACCTTGTCTTATGTAATAACAACAACAAGATATATATTTTTCTAAATGATGCTGATGATGTATAAATGAATAGTAAATAGTATCCGATTTTAAATTCTCTTTACTGATCAATAATTGTTTTAATGAATGTAATAATTGATGATTATGTGTTGCTCAGCAACGTTTTCTCATTTTTTTAAATTAGAAATCATAAAGAGAATTGCTTGTTCTTTTTCTAATAAAATTATGATAGATTGCTGGAGTTTGAAACTCCGTAGAACTAAAAAACTACCCATTCATGGTCAATTACTTCAATTGAATTGAAAAACAATGTTAAGGAATTTTGAATTTTTTGTTCCATTTTTAATTCACTGCTTTATATATTCATGCATTGGAAAGAAGGAACGATTCATCAAGTCTTTTTCTTTTGACCGTTAAGAAGTAAAATCCTTAAGGATTAAATTATTAAGAAAAAAATGGGCTGCTTTGACTGTGGAGGTGAAGATGAACCAAAGAGAGTGTTAAAGCTCATTTTGCTAGGTACGGCTCAAAGTGGAAAGAGTACACTCTTTAAACAATTGAGAATTATTAATAATAAGCCCTTCACAGAGAAGGAAAAGATTTCCATGTCGAATGTGGTGAGAGAGAATTTGATTGAGGGATGTTCGGCAATACTCAAAGCAATGCACGATCTAGGAATTGAGTTGATGAAGGAGAATGAAGATACAGCCTCAATGATAATGTCTATTGCTAAGGAGCCTGTTATTGAAATTCAAAAAATCCTAACAACAAAAACCGAGAATTATGGAGAGGATATTGCTGGAAAGATTGCAAAACTGTGGAAAGATCCAGGCATGAAACAGTGTTTGGCCAAAAGATCTGAATTTACCATCAATGACACTATTGAATAGTAAGTTATTTGAAGATGTTATTTAAGAAATGATTGTTCTAATTAATATATATTAATTAATTTTCATCATTGGTAATTCAACAGTTTCCTGGATCATTGTGAAAGAATATGCAAACCAGATTATGTAGCCACCCAGGAAGACATCATCAAAGCCAGATTAACCACCCTAGGTATTACTGAGGTTGAATTTGATGCCGATGGATACAGATGGAAATTCACAGATGTTGGTGGTCAAAGGACGGAGAGAAGAAAGTGGATTCATGCCTTTGTGGATACTACAGCTGTCGTGTTTATTTGCTCACTTAATGATTTTGATATGAATTTAGAGGAAGATAAGACTACCAATAGAATACACGAAAGCTTACTTCTTTTTAGAGAAATTTGTGAGCTTGATTGTTTCAAGTCCATTCCAATTATTGTCTTATTCAACAAGGATGATCTGTTCAGAGAAAAGATTAAGAATGCAGATCTGAGAGTGGCCTTTAGTGATTACCATGGAGGACATCAATATGAATCAGCTCGAGATTTCATCATTAACAAATTCAAATCACTTAACTCTAAGAATACTCAACTCTATAGCCATGTAACAACAGCCACCAACACCAATAATATCAAGATGGTCTTTAATGATGTGAAGAATATCTTGCTTCAAAAGGATTTGGAAACACTGAACATTATATAATCATGTTTCCCTTCACATTGTACATATTCAAGATAATAACAAAATAAACAAACTTGTTTTCTTAAATCCGATCTGTGTGACTGTTACCACACTGGCAAACACCCAAACATAAGAGAAACGCTTTCACATTCAAAAATAATTTGAATAATAATTTTTTGAATTTGAAAAAAAATGGGTAAACACAAAAACAAGCCAGTGGAGTCATCTTCATCATCTTCAGAGGATGAAAAGAAGACAAGAAGCTCCTCTAAAAAGAGCAAAAAAACATCCTTGACAACACCATGTGTTGTTCAATTTTCAAATTCAATCTCTGCACCTCCTAATATTTCTAATGTACACTTTACATTAGTGCGAGATGAAGAATCCAAGTCTTTCTTATACGGAGAATCTAAAACAATGCAATTTTCATCAAATAACACAAATCAAGGGTCTAAATATTTATTGGCTGTAGTAAAACAAGGTAAAAGCAAGCCAACAATTATTGATGTACCTGAATTTTATGTTATTAACGAGGACTCTAAACAAAATATTGAAAGAAAGGAAACTTTAAAGAGGGAAATTGAACAAGGAGGAATTGATTCTGTCCAACCAGGTATCACATACAAACAATTCTTTGAAAAGAGAGTACTTGGTGGTGCCATTGTTAAAAACGATGGTCTCACACTTTTCAACTCTAAGAAATACACTAAAATTCAAGAAAAGAGAGCTACTACTTCAGCAACTGATTTGAGAAAGGCTCAATTACAAGAATTGCAAACATTGGTCGGAAAAACAACAAGAGCTTCTGCCTTGTCTACTATGCAACAGTACATGCCAAGTTTCAATATTCATACAACTCATTTACATGAAGTTCTTGATTTAAAGAGGGATTTATTATTTTCAGAGAAACAACTCATTGAACAATTTGAGGAAAAACACAATAGAAACAAGTCACTTCAAAAAGTTTGGGCAGTTCTTGAAGATGCCACTGAAGAAACAGGTGCTTTGAGTGAAGATGTTAATGTGAATATTAAATCAACATCAGATTTCACCCACCTTCCACAATTCTTACAAACCTATTTTGGTTCAATAATTGATAATAGGAATTGGAATGCTGTCTCTAAAGAACAGAGAAAGAAAAAGAAAAAGTTCATTACTAGTGATGACGAACAAGATTCTGATCAAGAGGAAACGGATAATCAAAAGGATTTCTCAACATTCTTACAAACTGTTGCTGGTGACATTCCAGCTATTGCTCATTATTATATGGTCATGTTGGGTCTTTTCCAAATTTCACAAGCTAAAAGATTCAAGGATCATGCTCAAAATATTATTAGAACTTGTTATGTAAATGGAATTCTTGATCGTAAACAAACTAAGAAAGCTGGAAAGAAGGAAAAGGAAGAAAAGGAAGAAAAAAAGAAAGAAAAGAAGGATACTGGTATTGAAAGTGTTGAAGCTATTTTCCCAAATGCTCCAGTTGAAGCAATGAAGAAACACCCATATCTCTTCCTTCCAAAATCTTCAAAATGTCTTCAAGATTTACTTCTTCGTTTTGCTGTTACTGATGAAAAGACTAGACCAAGAGAATTGAGACATTTGAATGTTGACAAATTTATTTGTAAAACTGTACAAGTTCGTATTGCTTGTCACCTTCTTGCATCTGCCTTACTCATGTGTAATTTCTATATGAGGAAAGAACTCGTTGCTGCTATACAAAAAGACACTAAAATGACAACAGAAAAGATATTAATGTGTTTCAATTCGATGGGTGTAAGTCCAGATACTCAAAGTTCTTTTGCAAGAAAGATGATTTCGAGAATGTCAAGAGGTGGTGCTGAACTTGTCAGTTTAGCTAAGGAAGACGAAAATAAGAAGCCAGACTTCAATCCATTTAATGAAGTCAATTTCTATCTGAGTTTACCAAAACTTAAGCAAAACTTTGGCTTTGATGTAAAGGAGGAATCAATTGCTGAAACAACAGCAACAGCAACAGCAACAACAGAAAAGCCAAGCAAGAAAAGTTCAAAGAAATCCAAAATTGATGTTGTTGAAGTGCTTGAAGTGCAGGAAAAGCCAAGCAAGAAGAAGGTTTATTTATCAGATGATGAAGAGGAAGTACCTCCAGAAGAAGGTAACATGAAAGTGGATGGTGATATCGATGCTGGTTTACTCAATGCATTCCAAGCAGATGAAGACGATGATGAATTCAAGGCTGATGAAGAAGCAGACGAAGAAGACGAAAAGGATGACGAAATGGTTGACCTCGTCGATGAAGATGAAGAAGAAGAAATTAAAGATGATTCTGATGAGGAGGAAATTATGGGATCTGATTCTGAAGAAGAGCAAGATGATGAGGATGATGAAATGGGTGGACTTATTGATGCCTTAGGAACTGATCTTGACATGGAAGATGATTCTGATGAAGATCTCGATGATGAAGAAGCAGGTATTAGGGATGCTCTAGGAAAGAAGAGAAAGAATAAGGACGAAGACGACGATGACGAAGAATCAGGAAGTATTAAATCCAACAAGAAGAGAAAACATGATTTTGAACAAGACATTGAGGAAGGCGAAGAAGACAGCGAAGAAGATTCAGACGATGACGAATAAATAATTATTACAATAACTGTAAACTCCTTTTGGAACCACCCACATTTAGTAAATCGACTTTTGGATTTTTGTAAATTCTCCAAAAGTAAAGCTTAGTTCGTTGACTTTCTAATGCAATTTCTTCATTCAACAATTTTCCAAATAAGTTCGTCCCACTTATTAACTTAAAAACTTGAATCATTTGGAGGGTAAAAAGTTTATTAAGCCAAAACAAAATGCAATCAAACCAACCACAATCACCTCAACAACAACAGGGTGGTTTACAACAGAAATCACCCACTCAGCAACAACAAGGTTTTTCACCAACGTATGCTAGTGGTGCCTTCAGACCTTCTCATTTATCTTCCACTCAACAACAATCACAACAATCACAACAATCTCCAACTGGAATGCAACAATCACCAACTGGAGTACAACAACAACAGGTTGGCTTACAACAACCCAATCAACCACAACTTCAACAGCAACCACAACAACTGCAACAACAACCACAACTTCAACAACAACAATATGGAAAGCAAACTTCTGGATTACAACCATCTGGAATTCAATCCACTCAACCAAAGCTTCAACAAGAACAAGGACTTGAAAGTAGTCAATTATCACAACAATTAAAATGTCCGCTTGGATATGGTTCAGACTCATTCACTTCCAAGGAAGTCAGTAAGCAATTTGGTAAAATTCCAGGTGTGATTGAACAAAATGAAATTAACAGACAAAATATCATTACAAGACAAACAGGTTGTCCAATTGGTCATGTCAAGGATTCTTTAACATCTGGCAGTCAAGGTCCACTTTGTGTTCAAGATTTGGATTTGTTAGAAAAGCTTCAACATTTCAATACTGAAAAGATTCCTCCAAGAAATGTACATGCTTTGGGAACTGGTGCTTATGGTACATTTACTGTGACAAATGACATTTCCAAGTATACTTGTGCTGATTTGTTTAATCAAGTTGGAAAGTCAACTCAATTTATTACTAGATTTTCTGGTATCTTTACTGAAGTTGGAGATCCAGAAACTACAAGAGATGTAAGTTTTTAAGTTTAATATTGACTTTCGAATATCATTTTTTCAATTTCCAAGCCAAGAGGATTCGCTATCAAATTCTATACTAAGGAAGGTAACTGGGATTTATTGGGCATCAACACTCCTGTCTTTGCTGTCAGAGATGCCAAAGCAGGTCCAGGTAAGTTGTTTATTTCACTTTCCACTAACAATTTTTCAAACTAAACCTTTCCAACAACTAAACTCTACATTCTTCCTCAACCACACAGACCAAGTCCATGCTTTCAAACGTGATCCAAGAACTGGTTGCTGGAACATTACCCAAACCTGGGACTATGTTGCCAACCACCCAGAAGGACTCCATCAAATGGCCATGCTCTTCACAGATCGAACTGGAACTCCTCTTTCCTACAGAACCATGAATGCTTATGGTTGCCACACTTTCTCATTGGTCAACTCTGCCAAAGAACGTTTCTGGGTCAAATTCCATTTAGTTTCTCAACAAGGAGCTTTCGGTTTCAATCAACATGAAGCAAAATTAGTAGCAGGTGAGGATCCAAATTTCCTTTCTCGTGATTTGTATCAGTCAATTGAGAAACAGAATTTCCCTCGTTGGAAGATGATGATTCAGGTCATGCCAGAGGAGGAAGGTTACAAACATCCATGGACATTTGATGCTACAAAGGTTTGGAAACATGCAGATTATCCATTGATTGAGGTTGGTACGTTGGAGGTGAATAGAAATGTTGTGGATTATTTCACAGAGGTTGAACAAGTGGCCTTCTCTCCTGCTACTGTTGTTCCTGGAATTGGATTGAGTCCTGATAAGGTAAGTTTACTTGTTCATGAGTTTGAAATATTTATACATGTTTTTCGTTAATAGCTATTGCAAGGAAGATTATTAATTTATGATTATACTCAAATTCATCGTATTGGTCCAAACTTTAAGCAACTCTATGTCAATCGTCCACATGGCATTGAACCAATGAATAATTACCTGGGTGGTAACATGTACATTCCAATCAATGATTCCTTCCCTCACTATACTGGAAGTGCCTTTGGAGGTTTGAAACCAAATGCCAAATACATTGATCCACCATTTAAGGTTACTGGAAATTGTGGTCTGTATGAAGTTCCAAATGAAGGTTCTTTCGAGGATTTGTATTCTCAAGTTGCTGATTTCTGGAAGATTCTCCCAGAGAAGGATAAGAATAATTTGTGTGATAATATTGCTGCCAGCTTCTTTAGAGTGACTGAACAAAGAGTGATTGATAAAATGTTGCAACACTTTGCTCAATGTGATCAACAATGGGCTCAAATTATTCAGACCAAATTGAAGGAGAGAAGAGAAGGCAAATGGATGAGTGAGAGTGAAAAGGTCTGTATGAATTATGCTCAACAATTATTGACCATGACTCGTCGAGAAGCTCTTTAAATGATACATGTATTCATTTTGTACCTATCTTCTTCGAGAATGAATTATTCTTCATCAACCATCTAGTGATTTAGTGTGAGAAAAATTAGTGAGACCAACCAACTTAATAAATATACTTTATAATATCTATTTACAATCCTAAAATATCATTACAGAGAGTGGTGATTAATTCCTTCTTCTTTTCTGGACAAATTAACTTTTCAGAATTTTCATTAATAACCAATCCCAATGAAACACATCTGACTCTTTCTTCCTTTGGCTTGACATCGTGGTGAGCAACGAGAGCTTCATATCCACCAACAGAACTCAAGACGTTAACGTTGAATTTAGAGACAGTAGAACGTAATTCCTTATTATCAAGTTGGAGAATGTGATTGGCATACATGACATTGGTAGTTTCAACCTTAGTTGAGGTCTTGAGTGGTCTGTACAATCCTGAAACATCAAAGAATCTATCACCCCATCTGTTTTCATTCTTACCAATCAATGGATTGTATCCGGTAAAGTTAATGTGATCACGGTATTGAACTAATGTGTTTGGAGTATAAATTGGTTCAAAGTTTGAATTGAGAGCACTGACAACAGCACTATTGAGATAAATATTATTAACAGTGTGCAAATGTTGACAAACTCTGATAATGAATGACAATTCAATCAATGAATTACTACGCAAATAAGTGCTTTCATCAGATTGATCAATATGGTGAACAACCAAAATGTGCTTATCACCAATAGTGGCCAATGAGAGAGTTTGACCAAATTCAGTTTGGAGATGTGGAATATTCTTGAATGGAACAGACTTGATAATCTTGATATTTTCATGTTGAGTGAATGGCAAATTCAAGTTCAAATCGAGAATAACAGATTCAATATTCTTATCAGTGAGTTCCAATTGTTCCTTTACAAACTGAGTGGCTTCTTCAATTTCACTAATCTTGAGCATTTGATAGTGAAGCTTGTGGTTTTGTTCAATATCAACTTGCTTGACAGTTCTAGTAGCAACATTTTCAATTTGAACAGCATTCTTTTCTGGAGCACCAACAAATTCAACAAAAGTCTTGACATTGAAACCCAAATACTTCAAAGAATTATGCAAAGCAAGAGAGGTAACACCATAAACAGCATGACCCAATTCTTCAGCAGTGTGACATTCCATAGCACAAGGTAAATCAGGACCCATAAAGGCCATGTAGGAATTCTTCTTGGTATCTTTGCTGGTAGTATCAACGAAACGTTCAGAAGTTCTGTAAACTGTTTCAACGTATTCTAATGGTTCATAGTAACCAAAGTTGGTAACGTTGGTAATTTCTTGTTGGGTGACACCTGGAACAACCTTTGAATCAGAACACTTGACAAAGTAGGCAACGTTTGGAATGTTGAGTAAGTTGAGAACCAAAGCAATGTAAGTAGATTCTTCAGTGGTCAATGTATTGTCCAAACTGGAGTGAGTATTGGTAATCAAGGTGAGTTGATTCTTGGAATTCTTGGTAAAGTAACCAAAATTACCAGAGGCAGTACTGTATGGGAATTGTGGAAGAGTCATCAAGTCGACCTTATTTTCGAGTTCACTAACATTTGGAGCATCTGGAAGAGTACAATAGACATTCATTTGAACCGAGTCAATTTCTCCCAAAGTTACTCTAATAATTTCAGCAGCCTTTGCAATAGATTCAGCTGTGAGTTTGTGAGTGGATTCATTCTTTCTGAGTGGAAGATATTCAGTGGTGGTGGTAGTTTGTGGAGTGGCTTCATCAAAATCAATCTTGGAAAGAGTTTCCTTAACCAACAATTGCATATGTTCAGTACCAATCTTGGAATTTTCTAAAACTTCCTTGTGAGTGAGTGGTTCAGTTTGCAAACCAGCTCCCAAATTACAAACCATACTAATACCCATACATTCCATTCCATAATAATTACATGTGAGCATTTCAGGAACAGTTGACATACCAACACAAGCACCTCCCAATTGTTTAGCCATCAAAACTTCGAGTGGAGTTTCAAATGAAGGACCACTAGCCCAAGCATAAGAACCTTCGAATAATTTAATACCTTGCTCCTTGGCAACACTTCTACACAAATTAACATACTTGGAAGTCCAATAATCTGGAGCAAAGTGTGAGTACTTGTCTTCAATTTGTGAAATTTGTTCATTCTTTTCAAAACTAGTTTCTAATAATTGACCATTTGAAACTCTAGCCCCAGGTGCAAGACTGTTTGGATCCATTCTTGCTAATAAACGGAAATGACCTGTCAATAAACACAAACAACCTCCACTCATTTCATCAAAAAGACCACCACTTGCATTTGTCATGATAAAAAGTTTACAACCAATTGAAGCCATCAATTTAACTTGGAAGGTAACTTCATCCCAAGGACCTCCTTCATATGAGTGAATTCTTCCAGCAAAACAGTAAATAAGTCTCTTTTGATTATCATTGGTTGGCAATTCACCAAGAATCAATTCTCCAGAGTGACCTTGAACTGATGTTTGTGGCATGTGTGGAATTTGAGAGTAGGATAACTTTTTAGCATTTAAAAGTACTTTTGGAAAATCACCAAGACCACTTCCAAGAACAATGGCCATTGGAGCATAACCCAATTCATTCAAAACCTTTTCTTTAGCTTGTTCAATTTCCTCGTTAACATAAACCATTTTTTTTGATATTTTTCACTTTCTTTACATGGATAATATCAAAATGATAGATTAGATTGTTATTAGATTGTTAATGTTCAACATTCAATATCATAGGATAAAATATAAATTCATCATCATCAATATCAAATCATTAATTTTCAAGAGTTTTTTACATGGAAAAATTTGCATTTCATCCCACAATCATGCACAGTTCATCCATCATCCCCAAACAACAACAAAATTATAATTCATCACCATCATTATAAAATAATAAAAATCATCACGAACACAAAATGCAAGATTTAAAAAAAATGCAAAAAAATCAAAAACTCACCTCTTGATATTTTTTTCAAATGTTTTTTTTGGTTGTGAAAGTGGAGTCGATGAATATTGCAGGAGGATCGATATTTCGATGATGACGATCTAGTAAGATAGTTGAGGGTGAGAAATGAGTTACTGGTGATGAATGCAAAAAAATCGTAAGGACTTTTAACTCCGGTGCAGTATTTCATCATTATCAGCAAGATTTGTGGAATAGGATGATCTGTGGATTCTTTAGGGTGATGAGAGATTAAAAGATCATCAATTTTATTCTCTTACTTATTTGGATGGTAGATCATTTTACAATGTGGAATACTAGCTTCCTCAAAATCTTCTCCAACTTTAATAAATTTTCCATTATTGAAATTGCCTCGACTCCAGAATGGATAAGCAGACAATTGAGCATGAATGTAAAAAGTTGTTTCCTCACTATTACTGGAATCATCCAACTTGGACAAATCATCAATAACAAACGAAATCAAACTCTGTCCCAATCCCTTTCCTCTATGATTTTTCAAAGTGGCCACTCTTTCAATTTTCCAAGTTGAATCAGTGGTTTTTCTTGCTCGGCATGTACCACACACCTCTCCATCATCACCATTGAATTTAATATAATAATAGCGGAGTTTGTTTAAAAGAGAGGTTGTTGATGAATTTTCCAATCCTTCTTTAAATTGAATATCATTGGCATCAAATTCTAGAGTAGAGTCAATTTCTTGTTCCTGAACAAAGACTTGATTCCGAACTGATTTGATGGCTTCCAATAATTCGAGAGAGTCTACCAATCCAACAATTTGCATTGCCTCCATTTTTTTCTATTGTTTTATGGAGTTGTAACGAGGTGAATTGAGTTGTTCAAAAAAGATCGGAGTTGATGTGAAAAATTGAAATTGAAGAAAGAAACTCCTAGATACACGTAATTAAGAAGATTAAGTCAGTAATCCAACAAGAATGTAATCGAATGTAAAAGCTTGTTGGTGACTCACAAAATGTTGTGGTCCTCAAGCACAACCACCTTCACAACAGGTTCTCTCAATTACCAATATCGTAAGCAATTCACCAATCCATCTGTTGTTCAGTTAGAAAAAAGTAGTGAGCTATTTCAATATTGACAATAAATCAATAATTTATAGAAATAAGATCATCTAGAATTAATTTAGAACCACTTCTTTCCGAATTTACCAAATTTCTTACCAAACTTCATTCTCTTACCGAACTTCATCTTCTTTCCATGATGATAATATCCGTGACCATGAGTAGGTGGATAAGCATAGTTAGTTGTGGTATTATAACTCACTGGTGGTTGAACATAACCAGTTGGTGGAGCATAATATCCAGGTTGGCCCATTGGTTGCATTGGCATTCCAGGTTGCATTGGCATTGGTTGCATAGGCATACCTGGTTGCATAGGATAACCTGGTTGCATTGGCATTCCTGGTTGCATTGGATAGCCAGGTTGCATTGGCATACCTGGTTGCATTGGCTAAATCATCATCAATATGATATTTAAATATTTGTGTGATTATCAAGTGTCATCAAAATCCGAAAATATTTGTTGTCCACAAATTTAAATATTTTCATATGAAAATTGTCGTTATTTCAAATATAATTATAAATATGTATGTTGTATTGTACAATAAATATATGATGATCATCAGCAAATAATAAATTTAAACGTTTTTTCAATTTTACAAAAGATCACCATGGATCACAAAAACATCACAAAAATCACAAAAACTCTATCAAATTCATATAGTAATATAAAACTTACATATCCTTGTGGTGGCATACCTCCTTGTGGTGGATAACCGTATGGTTGTTGATATGGATTCATCTCTATATAATACAAAAAGAAGGTAGGGTGGGTAACTAGTTGTTGTTTTTTCTTAATATTGAATATTTTTACCGAGTTGTTGCTTGTTCACAAAAGAGCTGTTAATCATCGAATATAAAATCAAAATAGACGAGGGCGATGGGTGAGGGATGTAACCTCAAGTACAATTTGAGCAAGTTCATTCATGTATTTTCGTGATTGGTTTTTTTGCAAGTGATGGTACGATATTCGATATTTGAATAAAGTACTAAGAATGAAGGAATGAAGACAATAAGACAGTGAAGATTGTCATCGTTTGGGAAAGGATTTTCTCTTTGAGATTCTATTAAATTTCAGAACTGGAATCTAAAATCTGGAAAGGAGTTTTGTATTGAGATACAGTTTTCAATTTCATGCCAAATTGAAGCAAGGTTTTCCGTAAGGCAATTAAGATTCTACAAATGGAGAATAGCTGTTTGTCTTGTGGTCATAAGAAACCAAACGAAAGTTGTATTATCGAAATCAGAAACTAATAAAGAAAAAAATGTCATCCAATGAACAAGCATCGTGGCAACAGAACAATCGACAGTTAGCATCTTCAACTAATCAACCAGTCATGCACAACAATAATGTTTCGAATAATTTCCAATTAGTACTTTTGCCATTCTTTGAACAGTTAACCAACATGTATTTCACACCAACCACATCATCAAATATCCTTTCAATTGTTAACGAATCCCAAACACTACCAAACGAAACCTCTTTCCATCCACAAGAATCCGAAACCTTGTCAACAGTTAGACACAGTTCAAATTCTTCCGAAAAGAAACGAAAGCACAAATCTGCATGCGTCTATTGTAACAAGCTGCACAGTAAGTACTTTACAAATATTCAATTTCTCTTATTGCATTTTCCTAAAATAGAAAAATGCGATGGTGAAGCTCCAAATTCATGCACAAGATGTAAATCAAAGGGAATTAGTTGTGCTTACCTACCACCTCAGAAAAGAGGCCCAAAGAAGAGAAAATCGTCATCATCTGATGATTTAGAAAATTCAGATAATGTCACTAATCATGAAATTGCAGTAGATGAAAAACAATCAAATAATTCTATCGATCAATTTAATGAGAATCATTCTCAAGCATTCCCCATTACTTCTTTATACTCAAGTCCATTAAGTGGACTTCAATTTAATGTCACCACTCAAACAAGAACTCTCATGAATCAATTTTTAGAGTAAGTATTCATAATGACATTTCATACTCAACATTACAAGTTGTGTAACATGCCACTCACTAGTAGATGGTCCAATGTTAGATCAATGCCTCAATTCATCTCTCATGAGCCCAATTAATCACTCACCAGATCCTTATGGCTTCCATTTATTGCTCAACATCGTCTGTGCAATGGGAGCTCAACGATTGGAGGATCGAAAGAATTGTGTCGACTTTTTCAATAGAGCTAGATCTCAGGCAAGTTATCTATTCGATCATCCTTCTAGAGAAGCTTCGTGTGCTTTGAGTTTGATGGGAGTGTATGCTTGTTCAGAAGGTGAAAGAGTAAAGAGTCATATGTATAACAGGATTGCATTGGAAATGTCATCGAGCATATGTTCATATCAGGTTGAGGATGACAAATTTTATCAAGCTCTTTCAGCACTTTCATTTGCAAATTCCATTTCAAAATTTTTGGCAGAATTGGGAGTAAACAAGTTGGAAGAAATTGAGAAAATAGATGAAAATATGCAGAAAATAGTGGAGGAGACAAGTAATTATCTCACATCATCCAAATGTACTCGAAAGATTGAACAATTAGAAAGGAAAATTAGTGAAATGTCACTCATTAAGGGAAGTGAAGAAATTTCCTTCACCGCCACTTTGGTTTATTACTTGCTGTATTCTAGAGTTGCATACTTATCAAATAATCAGACAGAGTTGATTGGGATATTGAGAAAATTGGAAACTCTGGAAAAGTATATTGAATCTGACAAGTTCCAGAAACATGATATTCAAAAGAATGTCCACCGATTCTGTCTCTATTCTTTGAGGGCTGACATTTTGGTGAGGTGTGGCTTGGAAAAGATGGGTTTACATTGCGCTACAATGGCCAGTGGATTGGCATCGAGGGCAACTTTTTGGAAATCTGCTCCTGTCATTATAATTTTCTTTCCAATTCTTATTAAGGTCAATCTGAGAGTGAATGATTCTAGTATGATTATTGAAAATTTCAATTCACTTGTGATTATTAGTTCCAAATTCGTAGTGTTGAAAAATACTTTGAGCGAAATGACTCAATTGATGAGAAAAAGGAGAGATTTGAATGATTTTCTGGTAAATTTGAATTCTTCCATCATGAATGGTGATAGAGAAGCTTCTTCTACCAATAGCAGTTATTCGATACCAACCTCAAATCAAACAACCATGCAGCCATATCAAGAATTTAATGCAATAGAGCAAACAAACAGCAATGACTCATTCCTATGCAATAATGATATTACCGAATTATTACAACAATTAGGAAATGCAAATGATTATGAAGAATACCAAGATAAATTAGAAGGTATTTGGCAATCCATTGGTCAATAAAAACCGCATGTTAACCTTTCTAATAAATTAATTATTAGGAGATGAAGGTGATAGCATCACAGTTGATTGTTGTACAGAGCCATTACTTATTGGAGAAGAGGAATCAGTGCCACTTACTTCCATAGATTGTCTTATTTTGCTTAATCTGTATTGTTCTGAAAATTTGAGAGGTGGCAACTTGGCATTTCTTCCTGGAGTTCTGGGAGTTCTTGGACTTTTAAGAAGTGATTTCCTTGGTGTCGGAAATTCCTTCTTTTCCTTCTCTCTCAACTCACAAATGAGTAAGAGAGATTTCAAATCCATGTCACTTGCATAGTCATTGGCAATATTTTGATTTTTGGCATTCTTCATCATTCTTTTGAGTTGTCTTCGTTTATGAAGAGCATCCTCATGTTCATGAATTGGTGATTGTTCAAAAGCTGCTTTGTCAACCACAACTTTGAGTGGATCTTGTGGATTTTCCAAACTTGTAAATGAACCCAATTCCTTATAACAAACATCCAATGTAGAATTCATATCACAAAATTCTCTCAAAATTTTGAATTTTTCACTTTTAAATTCAGCAACTTTAGCCTTATTTTCCAATAGTGCAGTATCGAATATTGGGTTATTCTTAATCTCTGTAAACTTTTTCTTTGTAGTTGAATAAGTTTCCACAATGTGTCGTGGACTCATCAGATTAAATTCATTCTCCTCAACCTGGGGTGGCAACGATTGATAACTCTTCTCCTTAGTGATGGTTTTCTTTTGTTTGGGCAGCCAGTGAGCATCACGTGGAGAGAATTCACATCCATCACTCTCAAACAATCCCTTACTCATTATGGGAGAGGGAATGTGTGGAGAGTAGGGTACAATTTTCATCAAATCATCCTTCTCTACTGTGCTCCGATAGGATGAAGTAACGGTTATCATTGTAGCTGGAGTGCATTGATTGCTATTACTCGAGTATAAGTTGTTTGAAAGGATGGAATTGGGTGAGAGGAGATGATTAATTGGGGAGCTGTTCAATGAATGACTCTTAGAAGATGATCTTTTTAATCCAATTGCGATGGTAGTTTCATTTTGTTTTTGAATTTGATTCAAATCAATATTGAGACGTATCTTTCTTGCTGCTGCTGATGAGGGTGATGGAGGTGCTTGTTGTGCAGATAATGATGTTGTTATTCTTGGTGATAATGTGGCAGTTCCTATGGTTAGTGATGGACTTTTACTATTCGATGAAGATGATAAGGGTTTTGAACTGTTTAATGATGTGGTTGGAGAAGCTCTTTTGGATGATGAGGGAGAAGAGGGTACAGAAGAAAATTGTAAATTTCGAACACTTGCTTGTCTTCTTCCCGATGATGAAGAAGAAGTACACGGTGAGGTTGGAGGACGAGGTTTGAGGGAGGAAGCATTCTCAGGACACAGAAAATCTGTGGTCATCATTTAAATGACAAAAAGGAACAGTATTATTGAATATTATTGTCGAACAGTAAAGAAAATGGGTCCAGGAGCAAAGTGGAATGAAATGCAGACTTTTGTTTTTTGAATGGCTTTTGAAAATGACGTTATTATGCAAATTTGAAGATGGAGATACAAAATCAAAATTTGCCGACACCAGGGATCGAACCAGGGACCTTAAGATCTTCAGTCTTACGCTCTCCCAACTGAGCTATGTCGGCTTGTTATTAAGGTTGAATAGGGAGGTGTTATTTATGATACTAAGGACAAAAGCAGCTATCGATTATTAGAATTGTCAAAAACTCTCAAGATTAATATGGGTTTCAGTTGAAAAATGCAAGATCTTGACAATACAGGTACTGTAATGTTGGTGGAAAGAACAGTGAGGAAGAGTCAAATTGAGATCACGCTCTCTCTGTTGTGAATCTAACAAAGAAAACTGGCTGTTTGAACTGGGATGCTTGGTGAAGGCTAGGAAAACCAAACTCATTATTTCTAAACAAGAGCAGCATAAAGATTCTTCGATTAAAATTGGTGCTTCACTCCTTAATAGACCAGTCGTTGTCGGTTATTCATCCCATGAACGATACCAAAATTTCTTAATACACCAATAGAAAAAACCAAAAGCCATTTAAGCAACACCTATTCGGTGATTTTACGCGTAAACGAAAAATTGAATACTTTTTAAGATGTCCTGTAAAAATTATTTAAGCAGCATCATCCTCTTTCACGCAGCATGCACAGGAGATGCAGTGATCAACAACAAGAGCATTTTTGCCCAAAAGAAAAGGTAACAACAATATTAAACAACGATTCATTTGAGGAAAGCCTTCCTTTGTGAATGCACCCTTATAAGAGTTGAACGTACCAACAACAATAAGAGTCATTATAAAGAATAAGAATATTAAAAACCTAGAATATAAGCAATTCATCACTTAATAACAACCATCCTACCACCAGTCATTTCTCAATACCATTATAACACCATATATACGAATGAGACAATTGCAACAAACTAATAACAATAATAATAATAACAATATTGGTGAAGGACTCTTTCAACAATTATCCTCACCAACACACTCCCAACAACACCAGCAAGCTGGCACTGCTACCAACAATTCATCGACGCTGTCAGAGCTTTTAGGTAACGGTATCATTTCTCCACATGGTTTATTCATGACTCCTAATACTCAAGATTCGCTTAATTCTCTCCTCCAACAAAATTCAAATAATAATCAAAATACTCTCAATCATTCACAATCACAACAATCCTTGAATTCTAACATGTGTCTCGACACGAATAACATTTCCATTGAAAAATTACTACAGCAAGTTGAAATGCTTAATCATCAATCGAATATTGTTGCTCCTCTCCCACCTAACATGAACTGTTCCAACAATAACCAGTCTCATCTTCAACACACCCAACAAGTTACCATCAATATGGATACAAACTCTGTAAACTCTACATGGAAGATGAATGGTATTCCCTCTCCTTCCGACACCTCCCCTAACAATTTCAATCAAACTAACCTTCAACTGTTACAAATGTTCTCTCAACAAAATCAAATTCCACAGCAACCATCCTCCAATGTAAATATTGGCATGATAGATAGTAACTTATCTGAAACTTCAATTCTTCAATTGCTACAATCTAGTCTTAATAACCAAAGAATGGTCTCGAAAAATCAACCCATCATGCTTAATGGAAGTGTAAACCCACAACAACAAGTTGTATTTGGATCCATGAACAACCACCCAACATCATCATCGTCGGATGTATTCTCATCATCTCCTCATCATCATCAAGCGTCCATTATCATTAATCCGAATGATTTCTCAGCACTAATTTCACATTCACCTCAACATGCCTTAAATACCTCCTCTCACCAAATGCAAGATTTACTAAAACCAGTAGATTTGTGCGCATCTAACGATGAACAAGTTCATTCACACTCGTTTACTTCAAACTCAATGATGGAAACCTCAACACTTCAACAAGGTTCAGTAGAGGAAATGCTTGGAGAAACTTCAAAATCTGCATTCATGAATGTGATGAATGAAACATTCACAAGTGAAATGATAGATGAGGATAAACCACAAAAGGGAGGAAAAAAGAAACGAACTAAAAAAGTTACCAAAGCACCCTCAACAAATAAGAAACCAACAAAGAAATCCAAAAAGAATGTTCAAGAAATTTCAATATTAGTCCCTCAGCAACATGTCCAATATGCTGATACATCTCCATCAGCTATTCTATCCATCTCTCCAAATTCTAATAGTAATAATACCAATTCAAATGGAACATCAACACCTCAAAATGGTGATGCATCAGAAAAGAAGAATGAAAAATTTAGTAGACCCTTATTGAAGAACGAGACTGTACTGTGTGAAAATAACAAGTTTAAGAATAATTACTTTGTATTCTCTGGAACACCTACAGGTGCAGGATCAAGGAAGAAAACAGCAAGGACTCATTCAATATCAGTTCATCCATCTAGTGTAAGTCAAAATGGAACTGACCTCTTATCTCCAGCAGGACTTGCAACACCAACTAGTAGTTGTGGAGGTTCATTTGCTGATAATTCCAGTCAAGCAACAATTCAAGAAAATAACGACTCTATTGGAAGTCCATCACCACAAAGTGAAAATAGGTGGGCGAGCTTTGTGACAACTCTCTCGGAAGGGGACAGGCACAGTCTTATGCAGGCGCTCCTTGAAGCAATGGTGAAGAAATAAATCAACTTACTTTCAGCACGGGGCATTTTCATTATAAATACCCCTTAGTAAAATGCAATAAGGAAATACTAAGCTAAAAATGTGTACAATTTAAGGAGTTTATTGCAATGCACCTTGAACAGCCTTAGTAACGTAAGCACCTTCCAAATGCTTAATTTCTTCCTCAGTAAAGACAATTTCTGTTGCAGCAACATTCAACTCTACATTTTCAATCTTGGTAACACCCACCACTGGAGCAGAAACATAAGGCTTGGTCAACAACCAAGCAATGGCGATTTGAGCAGGGGTGACGTCCTTCTTTTTGGCAATCTCAGAGACTCTTCTCAAAGTTTCCTTATCACCCTCTGTTAATTCCTTTTCGAATTGCTTTGCAAATGGATCAGTGGTAGCTCTAGTGGAAGATCCTTCAATTTGGGTTGAGTCGGCAAATTCGTGAGCTCTGGCAAGAATTCCACGTGAGATTGGTGACCAAGGTGTGCATGTTGTCAATTGATCCTTACACAATGGAATCATATCTCTTTCTTCCTCTCTATAGAGTAAATTGTAGAGATTTTGCATGGAGACAAACTTTGTCCAGCCCTTCATTTCTGCAACGTGTTGTGCCTTTGCGAATTGCCATGCCCACATAGATGAAGCACCAATATGTCTGACCTTTCCAGACTTGACCAAATCATGAAGAGCTTCCATTGTTTCCTCAATTGGGGTATTATTGTCCCAACGGTGAATAATATACAAATCAATATCTTTTTGAAATTATTCCAAATTATTCCAAAGCAAATTATATTAGAATTATGATTCGACATTATCATGATTAATAAATACATACAATCAGTTCCCAATCTTTGCAAAGAATCTTCAACAGCATGCATGATATGCTTTCTCGACAAACCATAAGTATTTGGAACGAGATTTTGCACACCATTTCTAAACAGAGTCTTTTGCTCACCAGATTTATCGATAGGGAAGAAAACCTTGGTAGCAATAACAATTTCCTCTCTCTTGATATTATTCTCCTTGATGAATTTACCCAAAATTCTCTCACTTTCACCATTTGAGTACATATCAGCAGTATCAAAGAAATTAATACCCAAATCCCAGGCCTTCTTCAAGATTGGCAATGATTGAGCTTCATCCAATACCCATGGTTGCCACTTTGGTGATCCAAAACTCATACAACCTTGTTGTTGATCATCAAATTCCGATCACCATTTGAAAATTCCGAGAGAGAAAATTAAGCCATCATCAAATTGATCATAATTAATAATTATTATTATAATTAATATGAGTAATCAACTTACCAAAGCAAATTTGAGAAACTTTCAAGCCAGTATTACCAAATTTAACGTATTTCATTTCTTGTGTTTTTTTTTTAATTTTATTATTTTCTGAAATTGAAAATTTGTTTTATTTATTTTGAATGAGAAAGTGCGTACGAGGTGATTGATAGGGTAAATTAAACTTATCCGATTCTACGAGGGTTGTTAATTGCTAATAGTTTTCCAAGACTTTACAAATTCATTAACATTGTTGATAAAATTATCAAAACTAGTCCAGTAAATGAAAAGTATTCGAAATGGCAGCTGACACTTGCACTTGTACGAGTGGTAATTTGAGTAAACACTCCAAATGGTGCACTCTCTCCAAAAATCTTGACAAAACATGAAGAGCAGCTTTTCAAATTATTAGATTTGAATTGGAAAAAATCAATTCCATCTCCTATTATAGCATGAACCTTGTTTTTGGTTAGTAAATCAAATTGTTCATCATAGGTTGAAGGAATTTTTTTAGCCAGAGGTAGTGATTGATTAGCAATAGTTTCGTATATTGTTCCTTCATAGAATGCAACTGTAACATTTGGATTATTCAAATCTGAAAAGGTGGAAATCATAATTGTGGAATTATCCAATTCATTTCTCAAAAAGCCATTAGCAGTTGAACCATATGCACATTTGGCAAAGTTGACTTGGGTTGACCTTTCAGTTGTAATGGTAGTGTCAGCAACTGCAACATCGCAAGCAGCAGTATCCACTGCCTTTTTCATTGAGGAGAAATAACCATTCTCAGTATTGACCATCACAAAGGATGCTGTCAATTGAATTGTATATTGACTATTTAAATATTTCACAATTCCATTTCCCTAAACACAACAATTCCAATTTTTATGAGAGATGAAACAAGAAATAAACATACCACTGATTTGTAAATGGAAAGCCACGGTTCAGAAATATAACCAGCTCCATCATAACACATCTTGATAGTTGAAACATTACTTGGAATGGGATTAATTGTTGGAAAGGAGGTTGGTGTTGCACATGTTGGAACAGGGAAAGCAATGGCTTGTGAAAATGGTTAGAGAAATTCATTCAGCATGGTTCATATGTATGGATGATATTCAAGATAACAAACAACATACCATCATAGATGTAATTTTGAAAGGAACTGTCGGCAACTAACTTGCTTAAAGCTGCATCTACAGCTTGATTGAATTGAACGGAGGATAATTGAGCATTGGTTACTGAGTACAACTGGTGTTGTTGATAGAAAGATAGCAGCAACAGAAAGAAACAACAGAATGAAAGAAAATGTTTGGAATACATTCGAATGATTGTTTTTTTTTTTAATGAGTTTGGTTTCCTATCTCAATACTTGACGAGATGATTTTCATGCCCGAATGATAAGTTTCTTATTGAAGGTTGCTTCAAGTAACAGCGTTGTGGCTTATTTCATTTTGTTAGAGCACAACCGACACTTGTTTTGTTATCAAGTACTTTTTCACATTTCCAAATAGGAAGATTAAGTTTTTCTTCAATCACATCCCAAGAGGAGTTAGTTGGCTTAGTGTTATTCTTTGTAAGATGATGTTTCCTCATACATATCTATTACCAGTAGTAAGATGTCAATTTATTGTTTGAATACCAAAATGCTGTGCTTATTAGATGGTGGAAAATATTTAAAAAATGATTAAATCACAAATTGCTCATTCGGATGGCAATTTTCAGCACCATGATGAGAAAATAACAAATCATCGGAATCTAGTTTCAACAAATTTAAATCAAAAGGAAACAAATCTTGTTGTATTTTCGGGACAATCATCACTCACTCAAACATTTATTGATAACATTTCAGTGCCAATTCTTCATCTTGTCTATCAAGTGATATCGAGTTTAAAATCATTTGAAAAATTGAGGAATGTAAAATTGGGAATGGCTGCTTTAATTATTTATTATGGAGGATTACTTGCTTTTCTATTACATGTATGTAAAAGAATAATATTCGGAATTAATAATATTTAAATATATCTGAATTAATATATTATTAAAAACAGAGAAATAATGATAGTAAATTATTATCAATTTACGAGAGATACAGAACAAGAGGAAAACAAATTATTTATTCAATTCAGGACCCAAACACAACAACTAACAATAACACCAAATTGAATGGAATTACAACTTCCAACTCTTCACTTTTGGATAATTTACTTTCTCAAGTCAAATCCCTATTCAAAAAGTAATCAAGCAATTATTATTTAATTCTCCACATTGATAATTAAAGACTTGGAGATTTTAAAATATTGGCGGGAAAAATCTTGAACTATTGAAAAACAATATCAAAAAAAATATCCGAACTAGATTTTCATAATATGATGGTATCTTCGGTAGCTGCTATTGGTTCTGATCATAGGAACAAGCAACACTGTTGTTCAATTAAACTTATAATAACAATAACATTACTGATTGTGATCAAGTATTTTACGAGTGGTGTTGAATCGGCACTTGATGATAGTTGGAATCAACGATACGGAAACAGTGCTCGTTCTCGTCATTCACACTACTTTACTAATCATGCCGAGTGGACTAGAAAGTTCAAGAATACATTTGATTCGATAGAGATTGAATCTTTATTGATGGATCCTAATAGAGGTGAGATGGTAGTGTTGGGGTCGAAAGATGAAACACAACAACGTTTGATTTATATAGGAAACGAGAATGGAACCTATTCTGAGAGTGAGAGTTTTATTGATTACAAGTCATGGTCGAGACCAACTGTTGGCTTTTTGAATGCAGTAGTAGATGCTAATTATGGAAATTATTTTATTGTGAGACAGTGCCGTGCAACAAAGGAATATGGTATTTTAAAGATTAGTAGACAATCAATTCTATGTATCTTCAGAATATCTCAAGTGATCAATGATCTGATGACCGTTTCAGATAACACCTTATTGATTGCTTTGGATGATGTGGTACTCACAATTGATTCAAATGCTGGATCTGTAAAGTGGATTATCAATAGACCTAATCAGTTCAAAATGTTTAGCCAATTTTTATTGGATTTTAGATCTGTGGATGGTTACGTTACAAGTAGAGATTATTTGGTAAAGTTTAACAGTATCAATGGTCAAATTGTTCAATCAGTAGACTTTTCCAAGCAACACATTTCATTTCCATTATTAGGAATGACATCACTGGATAATTATTTGATCGTTTTAAGCCAAAATACAACAGGTGATAACTTGGAATTCTCAATTATGGATAAGAAGACTACAACCATCACCTCTACAGACTCTTACAAGTTAACTTTCCAAAAGCAGGGTATGAGGAATTGTTCCAATGCTTTTGCATTCAATAATTCAGATAAGTTTGGAATTGTGTGTTCTGTAGAATATCCAACAAAGGGATCCTTTATCTATGTAGCTCAAATATTCCAAGTTGTCACTGAGGGATCTCATTCTGAAATACACGTCACCAATCAAAAGGTAGTACAAGGAACAAGATGCTCTCTTTCCATTTCTACACTCCAACATGGGTACTTTGGAATTCCATGTTCAAATGGATTGATAATTTTACAGACAGACTCTGTGGGCGAGATTACTTTGAAAAATTCGAATGTGGAATTTAATGAACGAACTCAATTGATTGGAGCTTTTCACAACCAATATTATTTAATTTCCATTAACGGGGATTCTATTTATGCTGTGAATGGGGTTTATCCCAAGTAAAGTACTCAACAAACCCTATTAGACTAGTAAACACTTTCGAATTTTTATTATCACTCTTAATAATCTAGATGAATACAGGAATATTCAATGAAACCATAATGATGTTAGGGAATTTCATCCAATACAAAAAAAACAATCTTGAATTTGAGAAAATTCTTGGAGCGAGTAACTCAGTAGGGAGAGTAAGGTTCTCATCTTTTAATGATACGTCATGTTCTGGCGGGATCGTTGAGAATGGACCTGGTCGAAGGTTCAATTCCTTCCTTGCCTCAATCAAACCTTTTATTATTATCTTTTTATTCCCTTTGAATAATTGTAAGTTTGTATAAGTGAAAATAAAGGAGATTAATTCCTGTTATCTATTTGCAATTATCTTAATTCATTCCCTTTTGAATAATTTTCTATACTGTCTATATGGTTTCTCCCTAGAATTGAGATATTTAATCCATCCATTAATGGTTACATTATTTTCCAATCCAAAACTCTTCACAACTTTGAGAATGTTAACAAGATTTAACTTTTTCAAAATCTTGAGGAAAGAATCAGCCACAAGAATATACTCAATTCCATAACTAATGATTAAATGAATCATTCCATAAATTAGTATTCGAATCTTGTAAAACATTGGCATGTTCACTAGTAAAAATATGGATTTCCACACTTGGGCTGGAATTAGAATAACATAACATGTGTACAAGTAAATTGCAACCAAACAGCAAATGTACATAATATTACAACTCCACAACGATTTCTTATAAGGTTTGCTGATACTAAAACTGATGCAACAATTAATTGTACACAATGTGGACATGAAAAACATGATTGTTGATTCATAGCTCAGATAATTCTGAGTCACATCCTCACTCGGATGGTCCAATAGAGTAATCCAATTAAACTTTCCTGAATGAATTTCAATCCAAACCAGTAAAATTGTTAGAAAACTGAGAAATATCTGAGAAAACCAACTCAAGAGTACTTGCTTAGAGAATAGTGTGGTGGGTGGTTTTTTTCTCTTCAACTGATTCGTTGACTTGGTCCTAGTCATGAGCAAGAGAGTTGGCAATGCAATAAACAAGTCCACAAACAGATATTGAAAATCAGACATTTTCGTATTCTTCTGGAATAGAATCACCACAGTATAGAATTGAATCAGACAGTAGAGAGACATGTACTTGAATACTTGGAATGAGGACCACAGAGCACATCTTCCCTCTCTGAGTACTGAAAGAACGCACTCAATGGAAGGTTTCAGACTTGTGAACGGTGCAGCAAGAGATGCCTCTTGATCACTGCTCAGAGAAACACCAACATGAGCTAGTTTGAGAGCTTTGATATCATTTTGACCATCTCCACACATGAGACACGAGTATTTCAAATCGTTTTGTAAAATTTCCACTAATTTCATCTTGTCCTGGGGAGAGAATCGACTATAGATTTTACAATTCATTAGAATAAACTTGATGAAAGATAATTCCAATTGGTTATTGATAGAGATTGTGCAATCAGAGGCATGTTGTAAAATATAATTGAAAACTGGTCCAGTCAGGGCGAATTCTACCAAATTGGCATATAAATGTGATTCCTCAATTAATTGTTCAGTGGTAATTATGTCCTTTTCAGAATCTACATTTCTCCAAACTAAACTATTCATCCAATTTTCATTCGTTCTTGACAAATCCAATTCGCCAAGGTAAATTTTTTCACTCGTCATTAATCCAATTTGTCTTGCAACACTGGTCACTGTGAATGGATTATCTCCAGAGGCTATCACAACATCTAGATTGCATTTCAATAACTTTTTGATGACTTGTGGAGTTTCCTTTTTGAGCTTATTTTCCAAACATATTAAGCCAATAAATTTTAAATCACATTCCACTTGATTTCTATCTATTGTTTGAATCATTTCCAAATCATCAATAAATAATTCTCTAAAAGCAACCCCAATTACTCTATATCCCTTATGTGAATTACTATACAGAGTTTGATAGAAATCGAATGGAACACTTTGTGAATTATCGCATAGCTGTTTGATCATTTCACCTGATCCTTTTGTAAAACAGAAAATCTTTCCACTTTGATGTTTCACAATGACTGACATTCTTTGGAGTGAAGATTTGAAAGGGAAAATTTTGAGAATTTCAAAACTAGTTTCCTCATTTTCAGATTGAACTTGTGAATGTCCACTTGTTGGGTGATCTTCAATGAATTTAAAAGGGGTGGCTTCAAATATTTTGATATCGAGTGGATCACCAACTAATTGACCATTTTGAAGTAGTGTCAATTCATGGCAAGTTGACATTGCCCAATGCATTATATCACCAACAGGTGAGTTTGGATTTTCTAACAGTTCACCTGAGTTGGTATCCAAATGATTACTCTGTATCACATGATGTAGTTCAAGGTGGTCACAAGTCAAGGTATTGGTCTTGTCAAAAACTAACTTTTTCACAATACCTGACAAGCTGATTCTTTGAGGCGCAATGCAAAATATATTCCAAAATCTCAATCTATAAATTGCAAAGGACAAAGTGGTGGCAATTGCAATTGGAAGAGCTGGAGGAATCACAATAGTCATCAAGACGAAACATTCCAAAAATATTCTAGGAATTGGCACGTGAATATTGTACAAATTGATAAAAGTTCCAGCAACCCCTGCACATCCAAAGAAAAACATGATAATCATATACTTGAATGAATCTCTATATAATTGGAAATTGCTTGGCTTGGAATAAATGATTGGAATAATTAATTTTCCTTTCATAGTTTGAAATCCTGTATTAATAACCATACCAATCACTTGATGCTTAATCATGATGACATTAGTGCCTGCATAGAGTGTATGTCCCTCGAAAATATTAGAAATCTCGCCATGTTGATGAAAATGATTCGACTTGTTTGGAATGTGCATCTTTTTAACAGGTGTACTTTCACCAGTCATGATGGATTCATTGACAATGACCTGCCCGCTCATTAGAATCATATCACAAGGAACATTCATTCCATTTTCAATCTCTACAAAGTCACCAGGAATCAACTCACTCGACGAGACACGTTCCCTCTTATCAATGTGATACTTGTGAATTGAATTGGGTTGAGAGATGGCTTGATCCTGAGATAATTTGACTCTATTCAATTGAATAACTTGATTTCCAGTCATTTCTCTCAGTTTTACCATTGATTGTCTTGTAGAATGAAGATTAATCAAACAACTCAATGTGCTAATAAATGCAATAGCAAGAGCATAAATCCAATAATCAATCATGCACCAAATCACAACACTGACAATTTGAAAAATGTAGAATGGGTGAAAAACTTCATCAACCAACAAGGAGAAGATTGGTTTCACAGGTGTTTCAATAATATTCTTTCCAAAAATCTGATTCAGTAACTTGTGAAATTTAGAGAGATTTTGATTCTCCACAAATTGATCAATCTTTTCATGAAGTTGATTAAAATTATTTCCAATATTAAATCGACACGGAATGAAACCATCCCTCTCTTCACAATACACAAAAGAAACAGTTCTAAATTTGATAAATTTCACATTAAATTCTCGTTCCAAATCACGACAAATAGGCACCACTGTATATCTACCAAATGATCCATCCATTCCATGAATACTACAATTCGACTCTATCAATAAAAAATCAGCTTGTTTAAAAGTGGTGGAAATCTTCACACAAGTCAAATACAACTTTAACCAATTAATCCATTTACACAATAAGAGCAGTGATCCGAGAGAAGCAATACAAACGAACCAAAAGATCACCTCCATAATGAAATTCCACTTGAAGGCCTGGCAACTCGAAATTCCATAAATAATTTCATCATCTTCATTGGAACTGTTTGAATTGCCATCACCGTGATGAGAATTATTTTGTACTCCGAGCGTAATGATTATGTTTGATGTGTTGCTTTCAATGTGTTTTTGTTGCTGTTGTTGTGGTTGTTGATACTGCTGAAAGTTACGCCTGAAGAAATCGAGGTCCACTTCATTTTCTGACATTTTTTAAAACAGTAGAAATTTACCCTTAGGATACGGTTAAAGTAATTAAGAATCCTTTGTTTGTGAAGTTGTCAGGTGTCAATAAGGAATTCAGGATTAGATGTATGTTATGAATATAGAGAATGTTCAGGTTTTTGAAAATGTTCATCTTGTTAACAGTTCAAATGAAGTTATTCAAAATATTTACACTCTTTATTTACAAGACATTTCCATACAATGGAATATCACATTCATTGTTTAGTGAGGTTGATAAATTCTCAATGGTTATTGGTTTTGCAAAGGTGCACACGAAGCAGAGGAAGAAATTCCATTTGTGGAACTTGACGAATCCTCTTCCTTTACATTTTGCAATATTAGAGGAGGATTTGTTTGGGAGGTTTCTAATGTTGTTGAGGTTGTGGTTGGGACTGGATTGATGATGGGATATTTGATTAAAACATTAGAAAGGGATTGCTGAGAACTTTGAATTGTGGTTGTGGTAATTGTTGGCCACTTTTCAATTCCAATCTGATCTCTGACACTGTAGAATCTTCTCTTTAGAGTACTGACACTAACACCAAGACTTTTTGCAGCATCACGTTGTGAGAGATGTAAGTGTTGGACAATGGATTGAATTGGAATTTCTTTGAAACTGCTTCTTCTTTGAATAATTGTATCATCCTCCTCTGAAGAGCTTCTCTTATCAGAATTTGTTTTTTTTGATTGAATCTGAGGACTGTACGAGGAGAAGGAGTATCGCTTTGTTCTTGAGCTACTAGAATATGGTTCGAACGCCTCATAACCATCAATGGATCTTCTCTTGGAAGGTTGTGCTTGGTCTACAAATGAATTGAATTGAGAGTTTGCAGTGGTGCTATTGAAGGTTGAGATGGTGGAACTACTAACATAATTGTGCGAGTTATTCATGGAAGGAAACCCTGGCAAACCAGCACTTGTTGGAATTGGCCTGAAAGCATATGGTGACAAATTTGAAGGACCATGAACTCTTGAAGTGCCTGCTCCACCCAAGATTGAGTACGAATCTGGTCCAGTATTATTGGATGGATAAGCAATGCCTCCATTCATTGATGGGGAATTAAGGGACCAGGCACTTAAATTCAAACATGAAGGACTATTCAATGGTGGTGGAATACCAATGTGAGGAGTTGTTGACTGTTGCCCTTCCAAGTTAATTGGAACATAATTTGCAGTGTATGTTGTTTGTTGAAGTGGTAATTCTGTCAACATTTTGATAGATGGTAATCTGTGTCCATTTCCGCCTTGATCATTGGTGTTGCTTTTTGCTTGCTCATTGATCGTTGGGAACGAATCAGCACTTCCATTCTTTGAAGACTCAATAGAATCTTCATCAATTGAACCTTGTATGGGAGGAAGGAAAGAAAATTCGTTACCCTTTGGATTCAATGCATGATTAGAGAAGGACCATTCGCCGGAATTTCTTGGTTGACCAGTTTGTTTAGTAACATCAAAACTCATAGTGAGGAAGGTGTTGCTGTTTTTTCTCTCTTGAATTGAGTAGCAGTTTGTTCTAAATAACTAACTTTACCTGTTGAATTAGTTGATCAATTCTCTTCTTTTTAATTTTTCTTTTAAAAGAAATCACTGAAATTGGAAAATGTCATGTATTTGGTGGATTACGCTCATTGAAATATTTTACCAATAAAGAATCAACACAATTTCCTCATGTATGATTGTTTCCAAGTATAACTCATTCTCAAAGAACGTTCTGCGTGAACTCTTGATTTCAAATATTGTCGAATTTTTGTTTGAAAATCGCCAACGAGAAGCTAGAATTAGAATTCTTCTTTCCAAAGTTTCAATCAACAAGTTGAAGATATATTACTTGCTTTCTCCTTCATTATTCTGGCAATCAAAAAAAACCTTAACACGAGGAAGTAACATGTTGAACAGAAACGGGAAAATAAGTGGAAGATCTTGAAGTTTTAAGGATTTTTTTCAAGAGGAAATTTCCTCATTGACCTCTTCAACAATTTCAAATAAGGCAAAACTGTGATAGCTGTAAATTATTTGTAATAAGATTTTAAAGAGAGCTGCATAGTAAATAATCAATCGTCGACGTATTATCTGATTCGTTCATTATTTAGTTCCGATTTATAATCCGAGGCAATCGATTTTTAATTCTCATCAATAATATTACATTCTCATTCCACTCCTGCTGGTGCTGGTTAGAGTTGTTGATGACTAAAATCCAGAATAGAATTAACAAGATATGAAACAAATTCTTGTACTTTCAATACTTGTTGAAACACGTCCTTGCAAAAGTTGAAAAAAAGAGAAAAAAACGCGGCGAGAAGAGGATTGCCTTCCAAATTCACACGATCTGAATAATTATTCCGGAAAAGATTGAAGAGGAAAAAACAATAGATTCAAATATATGATGCATTCATTGGCAGCAACAAATTCGACCCTGACACATAATATTGTCTCATCGACGTGGACAAATTTTCAACACGTCGATTCTGATGACAAAATTGAGAGAACATTCTTTGGTAATGAACAACAACCTATTGTTGGTCCTTTTAAACAACCACAACAACAACAACTATCATCATCAAGCCTTCTGTCAAATCAACAACAACAGCCACAACAAGAACAACATTCAAAAAATAATAATATTAATAACAACAATAATTCAACAACAATAACGATTGAAAAAATCAATGATGACCTTGCTCTCGAACAGAATAACAAACAAGAGGATGAAAAATCAAATTTATTACCACCAAATACTGATTATAATAATGTTGGTGATGATGACCTTTTTAATGCTTCCTCCCTCGATAATAATCATTTGTTTAGTATGAAGGAGTTTTATGATGGCAAGACATTATTGTGTACAGGTTGCACTGGATTTATTGGAAAAACACTTGCCGAAAAGATTCTTCGTTGCCTTCCAAATGTAAACAAGGTATACCTTTTAATCAGATCCAAGAAAAAGGTCGAAAGAAAGACTTCATCAGGAACCTCTGAACCAAGATTAATATCGGGATATGACAGAATGTTAAACGAGATTATAAGGTCACCAATCATGGATAGACTCATTGATGAAAGATTTAAGGGAGATCGTACTCAATTCGAAGAGTATGCTCTTTCAAAATTAATCTGTGTTGAAGGTGATGTCACTGACACTGATTTATTCTTTCCAAATTATGACAATACACAAAAGGCAGAGGAAAATTGCAAGAGACTTTGTGAAATCAAGAATGAAGTCAATATTGTGATACACGTAGCTGCCACTGTTGGATTTACAGAACCATTACCAGATGCTTTACGTTTAAATGTATTTGGTACACTGAATATGTTACGTTTTGCTCTTCACTGTCCAAATGTGCAATGCTTTACACATGTTTCAACTGCCTACGTTAATTCTAATCAACCAAGTGGATCAAAAATTTTCGAGAGATTTTATCCACTCTATTTACAGAACTCAACTGTTGGAGAGAAACAAAAGAAGCATAGAATTAGAAAACTTGTCACTGGATATACCAATACACAAGAATATACACAGGGTTCTGAGGAAGAATTAGATGAAATTGAACAATTTTGTGAAAGAATTTTCTCTGACTTTTCTTTTGATAGATTTTTTGACATGTCACCATTGTCAAATACTTACAAACCAGATGTTCACAATAAGGAAGACCAAAATTTCATGACCCAATTCACCAATACGGTCCTTAAAAATACCAAATTCCCAAACACTTACACATTAACCAAACATTTGGCTGAAAAGCTTGTTGCAAAATATCATGGAAGAGTTCCAATATCCATTGTCAGACCAACTATTGTTGGTGCAGCTCTCAAAGAACCACAACCAGGTTGGATTGATGCTGTTTCAGCTGGTGCAGCTGTATACTTATTTATTGGGCTTTGCGTTTTGAGAATAATTCCAGGAAAATACGACTCTATTTCAGATCAAATACCTGTAGATTTTGTAGTGAATACACTTTTAATGTCTCCTGTAGATGTAGTGAAAAGACAAACCAGACAAAGAGCTATCACCACTTCCAAAGATGGTAATGAAAGAGGCCTTTTACGAATTTATCACAGTGGAACTTCAACATCAAATCCAGCTCCTTGGAGAACAACAGCTACCAGAGTTGCTGAATATTGGAGAAAATGTCCATCCAAACGTAAGATTGATCCAAGTATGAGTCCAAACATTCTTATGATTGATAATCCAATTAATTATAATACCCAATTTTTCTTGAGATATACTGCATGGTCACAATTGTTCAAAGCATTGGATAGACTTTCTTATCATTATCAAAATTCCGTTTCCATGTTGAATGGAAACAATGACCTCTTAGGAAATTTAATTAAGAGTATATTTTCCAATGATACAAATTCATCATCACCAACACCCGTACAAAATATACCTACAAGGTATTCGAAATTAGCAGCAGACCTTCTCAAAGTCGAACAACGAGCTCAAACACTTGGAGAACACTTTTACCATTTTACAATGAATGAATGGTTCTTTGATAATAGTCATGTCTTGGAAGCTTATGACAAGATTGAACAAAATGAAAGAGACTATTCATATGGAGAAACAAGTGTTTTCAATTTAGATTTCGACTTTGATTGGACCGAGTATTTGGAACTTTTCTGTTATGGTATTCAACGATTTTTCCTTAAAGAAGAGCCACAATTCATTCCTTTACAACAACAGCAACACAGGGCTCAACAAATGAGAATTCGAATTGCATTAGAGGAAGAAGAAAAGAACAAGACATTACAAGGAAAGAATAATTTACACTTTAAGATTAAAAATTTCAGAAATTCCAAACTGTAATAAACTAATTCAGTTTATTACAATTTTATCAACCTAGCTAAAGATAGCCAGTTTAATTTGGCTTTTCTGAATAGATGCCAAAGAATTGTCAAAAATTGATAGGTTTCCGAGTGTTTGAGCATTGTTTCTCATAATATTCCTTGCACCTTGAAATATAGAATATCATTCTCTATAATGGACCGTCCAAGCAAACCTCAAAAGGTCAATCATACACAAAGAGCCATACATTTACAACCACTTCCAAACAAGAAATAATCATCCCTACATCTCGCTTTGACATCTGTCAACAAAATCAACACGTAAAAAACAAAATGACCACTACAAGCACCACTCCCATCATAATTTCTCCTTCCACTTCTGATAAGATAGTCTACAATGAAGATGAATACTATGATGAAGATACCTTCTCAAATCCCACTCCAACTATCAATATCAAGAATTATTCATCACCATCATCATCCAATAATAACAATCGAGTACAACAACAAAATAGTAGATCCCTTTCTCCACTCTCCCTCTCACCAAGAAAAACATCACATTATCTTCATGCCTCTCAAATTAAAAATCGAAGAAATTCATCACCCTATTCCGATGATGAGTCAAATTCCTGTAATCAATTAGATGATGATTTACTGTTATTTGACGTGGAGGATATATCTGATGTGGATACTCTGAGAAATACCATTCTTGATTTACATAAAAAGTTAGTCAGAGCTAAACGAAACTTGCTGGAGAAGGACGAATTGATCAAATCTTTACGATTGACCATTCATAAGCAACAACAAGATTATGAATCACTGAGTGATAATTATGATGACGATGATAATGAAAAGATAGAAAGATTGTTATCTCCTTCAACCATTCCTAATACAGGCTCTGAATTGAGTTTGTCTCCTCCAACAACAAGTACTAATCAATCAATTAGTTTACATTCTTCCAATTCTCCAACTCCCTCATCACCATTTGTCAATAGTGGAGTGCAGAGTTTTAAAAAGAAGATTGTAATTAGAAAATCGAGTAAAGCACCAACAGCTGATTCTAGTCCAGTAACAACAAATGATAATCAATCAACAACTCCAACGGAAGAGGTAAAGAGACCAGTTTTTAGAAAATCAAGTCTCTCTGAAGGTACTTCATCAACAACAACAACAACAGCAGCAGAAGATGTCATGTTGAGTTCACCAAGATTGGAATTGATAGGAACACCAAGAGGATTGAGAGAAAGGCTAGGATCCTCATCTGCTACATCATCTGTTTCATCACCTGGTGATATTACTCAATTAACTGATGAAGATATTAAAACCCTTTCTAATAGAAGAAAGAGAAATAATCAATTATTTATTGACAGCCCAAATGTGGACTCAAAAGTCATTGATATATCAAATAATTTACTGTCAGACTATGATGATATTACAAATAATCAATTGTATGGCTTGCAAGAGGTTGAATCATTCTTCTTCAAAGGAATATATCCTGATGTGGATCCAATTTATGAGAAGTATGATTTTCAGGAGGCTCAAATATTGGCAACTTTGGATTTTGACTTGGAATCTGCCTCTTCTTCACTCATTCTAACAGCTAGCGATCTTTCAAAGAAGGCCAGAATTTCAAAGAATAGAAATAATACAATTTCAAAGACTGATACCACAAATGACTCGAACCAACCATCCTCTTCAGTGGCACCAACATTACAACCATTTGAAAATTATTTCATTTGTCTTAAGGAGAAATGTCTGGAGCCACTGTTTAAATCTGACAATTTGGATAAGTATGTTGGATTTAATGAGGAGGAATCACCATCTAATATTGTGAGAGATCCTACGTCGAATGTTGTAAGAGCTGCTACCCTTGATAAGTTGATAGTGTTACTGACTTCTAATGAAGAATTTGAGAATGAGTACATGTACCTCTTCTTATTGACCTACAGATCTTTTACAACACCAATGGATTTATTGGAAAAGTTAATTCTCCGATTCAATACGCCACCACCTCAAGAGTGTTTATCACTGGAAAGGGATAATAAGATGGAAGAAATGGAAGCTACCTTCCAAAACTTTTCATCTAAAATTCTTACGCCTATGCGTTTGAGAGTTGGCCAAGTGTTGAGCAATTGGATTCAGAATCACTTTTATGATTTCCGTGAGGATGTCGAGTTGAAATTCAAATTGGACAGTTTCATTGATGAAATGTATGAAATTGGAATGAAAACTCTATCTAAAACTTTGAGAAATCTCCTCCAAAGATCTTCAAAGAGAAAGGAAACTTTCAAGGTTCAACAACTCGAAGAAGTCAAACACAGACACGAGCTGCAGGAAAATTTGAAGACTAGTGGAAGTAAGGGAAGTGGAACACTTCTCTCACTCAAGAAATTCAAACTTCTCAATAGAAATAGTGAGGAAAATTTGAAGAATATACCACTAGTTCATTTGGGAAATAATAGATTATGTCTCCAATTGACATTGATCAGTTATAGACTCTTTGAAAAATTGCGTCCAAAAGAATTTTTGAATCAAAACTGGATGAAAGAAACCAGAAGTAAGAAGGCACCAAATATTTATGCCATGATTAATAGATCCAATGAAATCGGAATGTGGGTAGCAACAGATATACTTTCCTATGAAGATGTCAAAGAAAGAGCCTATGTTTTGAAACAATTCATCAAGATTGCATCAGAATGTGAAAAGATTAGAAATTACAATACCATGTATGATATTGTAGCAGGATTGAATTCAAATCCAATTCACAGACTTAAAAAGACGTGGGATCTCATTCCTGAAAAGTGGAAGACTAGATTCCAAGAACTTCTCGAATTGACCAACCCAAAGAAGAGTTATCATGCCATGAGAGAGGCACTCTCCAACAATGCAGATAAGACTGTTCTACCATATATCGGCATGTTTTTGACGGATTTGTTATTCATTGAGGAAGGAAATACTGACTTTACAAAGGAAGGAAATCTCATTAACTTTTCAAAGAGAAGACTCTTAGGTCAACTCATTCGTCAAATTCAAACCTATCAACAAGGTTTCTATCAAATTGAAATTATTCCACTCCTTCACCAGAGATTGAACCATCTCATTTATAGACCTATGGACGAATTGTATGAAATTAGTTGTAAACTCGAAGTTCCACCACAAGTAACGAAAAAGAAGAAGAAAGTCATTGTATATGATGAAGATGACAGCTCTACCACCTCCTCAGCAGCAGTCTCTTCAACTGCAACAACAGCTGTATCAACAACCAACGATCAATCTCCAGAGGACTCCAATGTATTGTCCAACTCGAATCTTTCACCTAACAACAACTCAGACTACCTCACTAAAAAACGAACTTCCTCTGCTATCTCCTTAGACAGCCAAACAAGTAATTCTGAAGAAATGTCTGAAAGTTTTGATGAATCATCACACGAACTTCATATTACAGATATTTAGTACTGCAAATACTGTAAATAAATACAAACTCTCCACACATTCAAAAAATTTTATTCATTAAAACACTGGCAAAAATAAACTTCCCGCCAAAAACTAATATATTTCTCATCTTTCAAAGTTAAAAAAAAATGTTCTACTCTGAATTTATCCTCACCAAGAAGGGTCCTCTAGCAAAAGTTTGGCTGGCCGCGCATTGGGATAAAAAGTTGAACAAGCAAGCTATTGCTGGTTTAAATTTGGAAAAATCGGTAAAGAGCATTGTTGATCCTACCATTCCTATCGCCTTGAGAACCAATGGTCACTTGTTGTTGGGTGTAGTCAAGATTTACTCTAGAAAAGTAAAATATGTTTTGGCCGAATGTAATGAAACTCTTACCAAGATCAAACTTCAAGCCAAGACAAAGGATGTTACCGATGAAAATATTAACATGCCAGCTCAACACACAACAGCTACCAAGAATCAAATTACACTTCCTGAAGTTAGTGATTTGGATTTGCTTCTTCTTCCTAATGCTGCTGCCATCACTTTGGAACTTGGAGATAATTGGCAAAGCAATATTAAAGATATTACATTGATAGATTTTGCTGCTTGGACCACTGAAGAATCATTCGAACCAGTAAGTGTGTGATTTTAATAGTATTATTGGAGTAATGTTTCTAAATGTTAAATGAAATTGTTTCTAGACCTCATTGGAAGGAAAAATTGATGACATGATTGCTACAACACCAACAACAACTACACCAACCTCTATTGAAGGTGTAAGAGCTGCTCAAAGTGGTACTGGTATTCACACATCTGGAGGTATCACAACTATTGGTACCGATAAAGTATTCGAAGGTGGTGTTGATATTCAAGATATTCTACCATTCGATGTCACAACACCTGGTGTTCCAGGTTCTCCAATGGGAGAATTAGGTGGTATTGATGTTGGTGACATTGGTTTCACAGGATTTGATCAAGGTCTAATTACCACTCCAGGTCTTGTAGAACCTGTAATATCAACTCCAACTGTTGGAGAAGAAGAAGAGGAAGAAGAACAACCAACCAAGAAGAGAAAGAGAAAACCAGGTAAACTAATCTTTGATGAACCTGCAAATTATTCTAAAGGTTATTATACAAAGAGAATGAAGAAAACTCCAGCAGAATTAATTACAGAAAGAGGAAATGCTCCAGCAACAAGAGAAGAATTTGAAAGACATGCCCAAAGAGGTGTTTCTAAGGATATTTGGAAACAAACACCATTTGGAATGGATCTTCCAATTGGATTTATTGATTTCTTCTCCACAGCCATTGATAGAGTAAATGCAAAGGATAAGAAGCCACTCACTGAAGAAGAAAGAGATAGAGAACAATTGAGAGAACAAGCTGCTTCCACTCCTGGAGTTGTCTTTGTTACACCTGGAATTACACCTATGGAAATGCCAACTGAAATTGGTGGTTTGGATGCTGATTTGGATATTGCTCCAACAGAACCATTCGAACAACCAACAACTGGTATCAGAGGAAGAACTACTCTTGGTCCAGGAGAATTGAGTCCAATTGCTGCCGATATTTTAATTGATGAAGATATTGAGGATATGTTAATTTCCACAGCTAAGAAAAAGAAGAGTGCCACTCCTCTCACTGATCAACAAAAGAAACAAATCATTGAAGATAGAAATAGAATTGAGCAAGAATTGAGAGAAAGAGCTTCAACACCTTCACAAGCACGTGGTGCTCCTTCAGCCGCTGGTGTTACTGATAGAACTGTTAAGGTTTTGTCCATGTTAGAAGAAGGTTTCAAACAAGCTGATTCAGATTCTTTGAGTTTAACAGAAATGTTGAAGGGTAAAAAGAGACAAACTGCTGCAAGATGTTTTTATGAAACTTTGGTCCTTAAGAGTAAGGGTCTCATTGATGTAAGCCAAAGCGAACCATTTGGTGAAATTGTAATTAATAAGGTTGAGTAATTCAATAACCACCATCCCTCTCCCAACAACGATTAATTTATATATAGTGTACAGTAACCAACTAAGATAACAACAAAACTAAGAGTAAACCAAAAATGTCTCTGTTATTATTCAATAAAACAAATTAATTTAATTTTCCAAAATGAATCGATTATAAAATTGGTCTTTCCAATTCGTATGGATGAGAAAGAATCTTAGAGTCTTGTTCAGATTCCTTACAAATGACAATAGCTTGTTGGAAGAGTTTTTCTCTATCATAGTGAACTGAGGAAACATCCATAATTTCCTTTCTCTTTTCCAAAAGGGAAGAAGCTGTTGTAGTACGGCAAATGTAAAGAAGTTTTTTACAAAGGTCCAAATCATAGATAATACATCTTTCTGGATACATCAATTTCACACATTGGACAACCATATTTTCATAAGCATCCAAATCAGAGTCTAATTTAGAAATAGATTGAATGGTGTATGAGGAGAGTCTGAGCATTAAAAGTTTGTCTTGATTACTTTGAGTTGATTCATATTCCTTCAATTTAGATTCAATTGCCGATTCAATTGATGAAATATCCTTCTTGTATTTCTTTGTTGATTCATTGAGAACTTGTTTGGCAACCTTGCAATATTCTCTGTTTACCAAAACAATATTAATGAGAACCTTCATCAACTTGGTATATTCAAGAGAGTATTCACTCTTCATCATTTTCATATTTTCGCAATGTACTTTGTACAAGTTGAAGGCAAATTCAATATCATCATATGTAATTGGCTTTTCCGAGTCGCTTTCTTGCCACATGGTATGCAATTTCTTAGCAACTTGATAAACACGTAAATCTTCTTGACGATATTTGAGGAGAGGAGTATAAGATTCAGCAGCTCCCTGTTCGACGTGGTGAAGTGCTTGACGGATTTTTGGTCCAAGAACCCAAGGATAACCTGATGATTTTTCTTGTACAACTTGAATATACTCATCAAAGGTAATTCCCTTTTCCTTTGGTAACTCCATGGTGAATTTTCCGTTTTCATCTAATTCAACTTTAGCGTTTTTATATTGTTCTGTTGTATCTTTAACCTTCTTGGCTTCTTGGTAGAGTTTTCTCTCCTCGTTTCTCATTGTTCTCAAAGCTCTAGTGAGTTGATGTTGGTTTTCTTCACTCAAGTTAAGTTCGTCATTTTCAAATTGGTGTGTCTTGTAGGAGCGTTGTTGAATGGACAAGACTTTAGATGGACGAACACGTCTTGTGTGTTGAAAGGTTCTGGACAACATTTTTTTTTAAAATTCAAATTTTTATTTTTTTAAATTTTGTTTTCATTCAGTTTTTTCTTCATGATTTAGGAAGAAATTAGGGTCAACATGATGGGTATTATTCGAGAGAATTACTTGATGATTGCAAAATTATTAATGATGAAATGGTAGTGAAGAATATGAATAAGCAATTGATGAAGAGTGAACCTGTTTTATTAAGCACACACAATTATTTACAATATAATTGACATACATGGTAGGGCATGCATCTTTCTCTCGATATAATAAATGAGTTATTGGAAGTTATTTCAGTAGTATTACTTATTGGATACAGTTTGAGAAAATCTCTTAATAGTAGAATCTTTTGGTGGACTATTTGTTGGTGAAGAGGCAGCATTGAGTTTTTCAAAGAATTGTAATCTTTGTGTGATTGGTAACTTGCTGTCATCTTTGAGATTTTCACTCGAAGAGGAAATATCGAGAACTTTCTTTGTTTTTGATGGTGATGATGGTGTATTGGGATCAGAGCTATCAAGTTTCTTATTTCCTACAATGAGTGTCTGAGTTGTTTGACGACGAATGAGTGGAGATCCACTTGTTTCTTCCTTATTATTGGTACTTGTTGGAGTGGAAACATCCTTCTTTACTGCACTGTTCTGTTGTGGAGTTGCACTACTCGTGGAGAGTGTAAGATTCTTAGCAGCACTTGTTACAAATCTTCCATTACTAGTATTGCCAGTAGAATTTGAACTTGGATTCGAGTAGAGTTGATGTAGGGATTTAGAATGTTCGTGAGATGGAGTGGCTACGGAGCTATTGTTGGTTGGATTAAAATTCATATTCTTAATATCCTTTGATTGTTCGGCATTGAGGGACATTCTACTGTGGGTGGAAGGGAGAGGTTTTGGAACTTTTCTAGGGGATGTCAATTGTTCAGACAGTAGGGTCGATGTATTGGTGTGATGAGAATGAGATCCAGGTTGAGGAGACATTGGAGCTGTTGGGAGAGGTTTAGACTTTCTCTCACCTCCAAGTCCCATCAATTGGGTATGTTGTTTGATTGCATCGTGAAGTTTCTTAATTTCCTGATCTTTCTGAATGAGTTGTTTGTACAAGTCCTGAATAATATTCTTCATAATTTCAACTGTATCATTGGCATTTTCCTGAGGTTGTTGATTGGAGAGGGATTTTATACGATGATGTTTGATGTGAAAATTGCCTACATGTTGATCGTCACTCTCTGAACAGTTATTATTATTTGGTGTAGAGCTAGTTGTTGTTGTTGTTGAAGTTGTAACTGCACTGTTACAACTCAAATTATCTGTTGAATTGGTCAATGAATTTGAGGAAGTGGAGGAAACATCATCAAAAGATCCACTAGCACTCACATTATAAGTAGATGAAGAATTTGTATGATTATTGACAGCCTGTTGAAGAGCAGCACCACCTTTCAATAGTCCACCTACAAATCGTTTCATTAAATTGGCTCCAAGTCCACTACTTGAATCAGCATCTTCATACATGTTATATCCATCAGCTGCATCACTATCTCTAAAACTATAATTATCCATATCAAAAGTATTAGGACTTGCTGGAAAGAGAGAAGAAGCTCGTTTCTTTTTCTGTTTTTCTTGATGTTTTTCCTTTTCTTGTTGATGTTGCATCTTGTCTCGTATCTTTTTAATAATAAACTTTTCGAATACTTCTGAGGAAAGATATGATTCGAAACTATCTTGTTTCAACTGTAAATTGATTTGTACAACCAATTCATTGAAAATTTGTTGAATTTTTCCTTGGATAAATTCTTGTGTCATGTCATGATTACTTTTAAAATCACCATTGGGAAATAAACTTTTCAACTCTTCATATTGTTGAATCACAGAACTTCTAATCTTATCTGTTATATTCAATTCCTTGCTAGATTCCAATTTCACATAGGTATCTATCACAACCTGTGTCTGTTCCATCATAATTGGAACGGTTTTCATAAATTTAATATTATCCAAGTGGAGAAGGAAGAGTAAATTCTCATCACAATGAGTAACATTGGTCAAATAGTCGAGAAATGAACTACAGGCCTCCCTATCCCTCATGATGGTTGAATAGTTAAAGTAGTGTTGAATTTTAATATTCTGATTATTTCCATAGAAATTATAAACTCCATTTGTATTATTATTATTATTGGTAGTGTTTGTTGTTGATGATGATGTGGTGGAAGTGATGCCTGGAGTACTTGATGTAGGTGATGTCGAAGATTCAACCGATGACATTTTGTTATTAGAACAAAGTGTGTTTCTGAGAGAAAATTATTTAGGAAGTTGGGTTATCAATTTTCTTTAGATTATTGTCAATGATGACGACGATAAAATTTTATGGAAGAGAGATCTAACTTGTATTATTCGATTCTACTAAATTATTGTTTCAAGACGAAACTGTTGGGTAAGGAACAACAAGTGAGAGTAACAATTATCTTGACAATTTTTCTGATGGTTAGGAAAGAATGCAAAGTTGTTTCACAACTCTTATTCGAATGTTGGTTGCGAATGGAAAGAAGGACTCAAAGATAGTCGATTTTGACAAAAATTGTTTGATGACTATTGATGGGTGATATTTGTGGTAGTTGCGTTATGGTTGTTTTTGCCCTGTGTTGATTGTAAACAGAAAAACTATTGAAAATTTACTTCTCATTCAAGAATTTCCTTCTTGTGAGAATCATGTTCGAAGTTTAATGTTCAGTGAAATTATTTGTAAATGATAATGAATATTGGGAAGATGTTGCATAGATGACAATATTTCATGTTAAAGTCTTGAAGCAATTAGACCATTTTGTGTTCCAACCAAATAAAAGGTCCAACTATCTATTTGAGTGAATTTGTCAGGAATCATCGAAAAAAAGGATTTATCATATTCTTGGAAATAATTGAAATGTTAACAAAACATAGAATGATGCATCATTCCACAAGATTATGATTCAATCATAAGGGAGTTTATCTGCTCTTCACAATGCCTTACCAATGCTACATGTTCAAATATTTTTATTTGTGCATCATTTTTCATCCCATAATATTTACAATTGATTTTTCATTATTAATGAGCTTCATATATTCAGTTCGAACTCTTCTTATGAAAAAACAGTTCTTGTCCAGGGACTTCGCGTTGTTATTGATCGTCAAAGTGAAACACGTGATTGCTGATTGCAAACTGTCCCAATTACCCCGCTTACCACTCTCTAACGGGAGTGGGGAGCAATTTTTGAACTCTGGAAGCTCTTCAGAGTAATATGTAATTGAAATTTTGTGTGATGAAAAACTAAAGGAGGTTGTTATGTTTACTATTCACTGACATAATCAAATTCCTCACTTTCACTGCCATCATTCGATACTTCAGTATCATTCTCCTTAATACAAGCATTGATAATGGATTCAACTTTGTTCTGCAATTCAACATTCTCCATTGATTCCACAATCAGTTTAATTTTATCCATGTCCAATTCACAATCTTCGTCATCAATCCACTCCTCAATGAAATATCTCTTCAAATGATCCAATGAGGTACAACCTTCCAATAATATGACAGGTCTCACTTTGAATGTGTATTTCCATGCATATTCACTAATCACTGGCAACACTTCAACACTCATTAAAAATTCACTAAAGCTTTCCAACACTTGAAGAATTTCAGTACTTTCAATTTCTGATAAAATAAATGTGAGAGATCTGCAAATTTCTTCGATCTTGCTTTGAACTTCTGCAAAGTTTTTAATTTTCTTTTCAGTATCTGCAGTGTATGGAATCCATGTCTTCTTCTTGTTACTCTTTTTTGGAGTTTCAAATTTGAGATTTGGAATTTCATTAATTTGAATTTTCAACAGCTCCAATTTAAGCTCTGGCAACACGAGGAAATCTGCCAAGCTAATCATGTCACGTTTCACCTCTTCATTAATCTTGTCAAGTTTTTCATTGTGGAAGAATTTCTTCAATTGTTTCATGGATTTGTTAATATTTGAGAGTTTGATAGATTCACTTGGAAGTGTGAATGTGGATTCTTCCAGGAAATTTCCAGAGACTGCTGCTTTCAAAACAGGACCTTTGAGAAGATCTTTCCTAACGAAAATGGATTGAGAGGAGCTTCCTTCGTATGTTATACACAATTCATCATCGGATTGTTTGGATGGTTTTTTTGTGGTTTTTGGTTTCTTCTTTTCTTCAGATGAATCAGACGAATCAGCTGCTTTTGCAATTGAAGAAACCTTTTTTACAGTTAGTTTGTTAAGAATTTTAGATTGTAATTCATTGTTTTCTTGCAGAGTTTGGAGAATTTTACGTTGCAATATGTTATTTTCTTCCAGTTTATCCATAAATTCGGATAGAAATGAAGATAATTTCACTTTCTTTGATGGAGGTTCTAAAGAGGAATTTTCATTTAAATGCTCATCCATTTCATCTTCGGAGAGTGAGAATTCTACTACTTCATGATCAAGCTGCCACAAGTGAAAAAGACAAACCTTTTTGTTTTGAAGACATTTTTTTGTAATAGCTTCAAAAACAATTCGAAAAGTAACCTGTCAAAAAGATTGGTAAATGCCACAGCTCAATGATTCGATTATATTTTTGTAATGAAACTCCTAGGAGATTCAACATGATTGGTGGAAAAATAAAGGGCAAACTGCGTGGGATCTGAGGATAAATAACGAAAAAAAATGAAGAGAATCCTTTCCTTGATCTGTCTTGTTGTTTGTATTCTTGCTTGTCAACAAATCAATGCTGCATGTGGTCCTCCAATGTGCAATGATAACGTCTTGTTCGCTCCTGCAATGGTCAAGCTCATGTACAACCACATGCATGGCAATACTACCCTCCCATCCAAAGTCAAGACAACTGGTCCTCCATGCACTGCCTGTTTGCCATGTTGTGCCTTCTTGGCATCCGTTGAGCAATCTACCATTGACCAAAGAGATGAAATCCAAACATTGAACACCATTGTTGATTCAGTTGATTGGACTTGTAAAACTAGTGAATGTGCTCAACATCATGTTGAATTGAGAAATATGGTTTCAAAGGTTATTGAAGAAAAGAGTCAACCATTGTTGCAAGCCATGTCATTGAAATCCACCACCAACACTGATGCTGTTACTCAATCCATTAGAGAACATTTGGAAATGTACAGCAGACAAATTAAGAGATCAAGAGATTTTGAAAAGACAAAGAATGAAAATCAATTCTTGACCAATTTATTGTCCTGTCCATGTACTGCCTGCCCAACTCAATGTGCTGTTAGAAAGTTGCTTTTCAAACAACATTAACTGCAAACATATTAAATAAATATTAAACAGATGTTGGCCAATACTCACCTCTTTATTCATCGTTGATTATTGTAAAAATCTATTGCCAAACTACAAAAGATGCTAAACTGATAATGCTTAGTATCTTTCTTTTTCATTGGCATGACTACATCTCAAGCTTTTAACTATCCATCAACAAATGTAAAAATTGTAATATCTCTCATTTCCTTTCATACATGCAAGGGAATATGCAATGGCAACAAAGATTGGACCTCACTTCCAATTAAGAAATGGCGCGCAAACTAACAGCTCGAACTATGATTATGCAAAACGTTACAAGTAGGCGCCAAGTTGTTTTATACAAAAATAATACTTTCAAAAAAAACGCAAAAACTAATTCCTTGCTGCTCTTGAGGAATAAATATATTCGCTTTTGCCTCAATAGACCCGTCGTTATTTTTGATAAGTTTTCCCAACTCACTACAGTACAATGTCCTTATTTTACATTGGAGACGATAAGCCAAGAACTGATGCCGATGTTCTTGACAGTTTTGATGATGCTCTTCCTGGAGTGTTAGGCAACAACTCTCAAGATAAGGTTATGAAGGCAAAATTTGATATTATGAGACAAGCTGCTGAAAGAACAACAAAACAAGGTAGTAGAGGTATGAATATGATTCAATCATCCAGACCAATCAGTTCTCGTGGTTATCGTTCTGGATCTACCACAACTTCTTCATCGATAGGGTCGAGACCAGTTTCAGGACAACAATCAATTAATACGCCAAGTTCTCTCAGCTCTTCATTAGGATCAACAGGTTCTGGTGAAAATTTTGGAGGACGTGCCCTTGAAGATGAAATTGATGATGTTGATGAGGGTTATAAGGCACAACCACAACAACAACAAATTAGATCTTCATCACAACAAGGAAGTAGACCAACAAGTGCTGCTGCACTCGAGAGAGACTTGAGAGATAGAGGCATTACCCACACATTTAATCCATTATCTGAACCACAAATGAAACCACCAAAAATCCAAGAAGAACGACCACAATCTGCCTCTGGCAGAACTCTTAACGAACAAGAAAATGAAGAAGATTTTGAAAGTGTAGCAGGTTTAAATATTAAGGATATTAAGAGTTTTGTTAGTAAACCTCCCCCAAATCGCAACGAATGGGTAAGATGCTACATTCTCAGAGATACATCCAAGATGAATAAGGTATTCCCAAGATACTATCTGTACGCAGAACGAGGATCAACCTTCCTCCTTTCAGGTAAGAAGAGAAAAGCAAACAAATCATCAAATTATTGTCTCTCCCTAAGCAAGGAGGATATTAGTAGAAGCAGCGATTCATTTATCGGAAAATTGAGAAGTAACTTTTTGGGAACTGAATTCCAATTATTTGATAACGGTGAAAAGGCATCAAAGTTGAAACCTGGAGCTCACTTGAGAACCAATCTGGCCTCAGTTGTATATGAAACCAATTTATTTGGAAGTAAGGGACCAAGAAAATTCACTCTCGTCGTTCCAGATGCTAATGAAGATGGAGAACAATATCAATTCCCTGATAATGGCACTTCTCTGATTTCTAAATTCAAAACTGGTGACTGGCATCACCTTAAAGTTCTCAAGAACAAATTCCCTGTGTGGAATGAAAGATTGAAGGCCTATGTTTTGAATTTTAATGGTAGAGTTACAATGGCCTCTGTCAAAAACTTCCAACTTGTTGAACCAAATAATCCAAACAAGGTTTTCCTCCAATTTGGTAAGGTTGATGAAGATAGATTCAATATTGACTTTAAATATCCACTTACTGCCCTTCAAGCCTTCTCGATAGCTATTTCTTCCTTTGATAATAAGATTGCTTGTGAATAAGCGTCAACCACCTGATGAGAGGAATTGAATAAGTTTCTCCACATTGTACAGCCTCCAATCAATCATGACTAGTGCACTATTACTCGTTATGAATCAATAAATAACAATATTTAATTTCTACGCTTTTCTTGCACTCTTTGAGATAAATGTTCAATTAGATAATCGAAAAGAATTTCTCTAGAAACACCCTTATAACTTGGGAAGTAATTAACGTCCACAACATGATAGGCCTTACTATTAGTATCTCTTACTAAATCAAATCCAAAAAGAGAAACATTGAGGGCCTTTCTTAATTGATCACTAACTTGTTTAAACATTTTGTCAAATCCTTCTTGATTGAGTTTTGAATAGTCAACTTCTTGCAATTTGCTTTCCGTTATTGTAGAGTCACTAACAGCTGATTCAAATGGCTTTTGACTATCAAAGCTAATGATAGACTGCTCAGCTTCCAGATCAAAATTTTTCAGTGATGGCTTAATTTGATAAAAAACTCTCTCACCAATCACATACACCTTATAGAGTGTACTGTCATGATTGATAAATTGTTGAGCTACGAGTGGAGTAGCAACATTAAACTTGCAATCAGTATTTTCCCCTCTTACAACCTTTTCAAATTGATCCTGATTGAAAACAATGGCCATATGATGAGTTTCAGACTTTCCACAGGCAGCCACAGTTTTACAAACAAGAGGAAAACTCTTACTGTCAACTCTCGATAAATCCTCATCCTTTGAATTGATAAAATACATCTTTGGAACCTTTACATAATCATTATCTTGCAATTGTTGCTCCAAAAAGTTATGAATGACTGTACGATCCAAAAATCTATTTGTATCTTCCAATGATTCGACAATTGCTGTCTTGTTAGAAATGTCCTCTCTGGAAATGTATTGACGAAGATTTTCCAATCGTTGATGAGCGCTCGTATCCAAACTTTCAATAACCATATCATCAGTAACTTTGAAAAACAAAACATCAACACAAGGCTGTTCATTCATCTGATCGGAATTTTCAATTTTAATTTCAACACAATTACAAATTTCCTTCTTGATTGTATTACAGTAATTTACAAATGGTTCAAAAAATTGCTTATTCTTCTTTTCATTTCCAACAAACCCAATAGTAAACAATTCCGAAGAGGTAAGATATGATGACATTTTTTTTAATCAAATTTTAATTAAATAACTATTATAAATATTATTTAATATTATGTAATTATTTAATACTAGAAATGCTTAAATTTAAACTTATTAAATATTACATAAAATTCAATTTAAAAGTTTAATACTTTTTAATTTACAATTAAGAAAATTAAAAAAAATGAATATGCTAAATGCTGTTTTGGTAATGTTGGTTGCTTTGGGCACATCTGTCCTTACAACCTTTGTCGAGTGGGTATTCGTCTATCGGAAGAGTGAATATCAAGAATTACAAGAAAGTGTTGAACAAATTCAAAAGAGAATTGATAATGCCAAGAAGGAAACAATTATTATTCATAAAGGAGGAAGTATTAACAATTCAAAGGAAGATCAAAAGTCTTTGAAGAGAAAGAAGGATATGTTGACAAGAGAAAGAGAACAACTCAAGGCTAAACAACAAGAATTGTCCATGTTCAAGATGAAGAGTACCGTTATTGTTGGTATTATCATGATTGGTGTTTTTGGTTTATTGAATAATACGTATGTTTTCTCTCTCAACACTATCCACAACTTTTCATATTATATTAACTATTATTAATTTATAATTATATCATATATTAATTTGTTACGTCATCATTGTCATCTTTGTGGATGTGTTACGGAATTATAATTGGAACAAAACTCTACTTGTTGAATATATATATTATTTAAATTAATCATCATCATATTAAATTTCGGAATAAATTAACAGTTTCGATGGAAGAGTTGTTGCCAAATTACCATTCGAACCAATCTCCCTCTTCCACATGTTCACTCACAGAAACATTCCAGGTTCCGACTTTACTGATTGTGGAATGCTTTTCATTTACATTTTGTGTAGTAATAGTTTCAAGACTTGTATTCAAAAGTATTTCGGATTGGTTGATAAGAATGCTCCAGGAATGTTCCAAGTGCCAGATGTTGATGAAGAATAATTGTAAAACTTTATAAATATTAAATATATTAAATATCATAATATTATTATTAAATAGAAAAAGATTGAAATAGTTTACGTTTAGAATATTCCAAGATTAAAAAAAATGAAATCGACATCCTCTTCTCTATCGGGATCATCATCAGCTTCCTTGCAATCAACAACAAGAGAAGAACAATTGGAAGATTTAGAAGAACATGAAGTTGATAAATTGGATTTTATTGATTATATTACACAACTCTCCAAATTGGAATCCACTCACAAGATTGTCTACCTAGATAGAGTTCCCTTCGTGGTGAGTATGAGAGTTATTCGGCCATTTAGGAATGCCATCACAAGTGAGGAACACTGTGTGACAACATCAAATCATTGTGCTCTATTGAATCATCCACAAAAACAACAGGCCAATCATCCTCACGATCATCAATTACCAAATCAGACGACCATTTCATTATTGAATAATTTTGCTGGAGCTCCGAGTGAACAGTACTATGCAGGAGGTGATATTTCTAATAGTTGTGTTTTGGCTACTGACGGAGGGAGAGCTAATAATGGAGCAGCTTCAGTTGTTGGAAGTTTTACACAATCACTGGCCAATGATGTTCAACAATTGAAGAATCTGGATCGACTCAATGATAGAATTAAGCAACAGGCATTGAGATTGTTACTGACCTGTACTAATGGAGGTGATGAATATTATGAAGCTGATTTGGGATTTGACGATTTGCAGCAACATCGTAAAAAGATTAGTATGAATCACATCTCTTGGGCCAATTATTTACAATACTTGAGAAACGGATTGTTTATTTATAAGAGAGGTGAGAAGAGTGTTGGAATGGATGATCCTTCTGAGAGTGATATTGTTCTTCAATTTGATGAGGAAAATAAGGAATCAAAGGATGTTCTCCAACTTGTAATTTATTCACCACTCAAATCCATTCCACAATCTTCTTCTTCAGATCAGCAACAAGACAATTCACAACATTCCTCTTCCAGTAATACAGCTGGTAGTAGTGCCCTCCTCAATATTCGTCTCAAATTCCTTTTCGAGTTATATGCCATCAGACACATTAGTGATTTCACACAAAAATTGCAACAATTACTCTTGGATTTGGTTTGTCATGGAAATGCACTGAGTGAAATTCGTGCCCTCAAAGATGCCAAACTCATCTCAGATCTGAGGAATGAGCTCCAAGAGACACGTCAAAAATTGAGGCAAGCTCAAGATCGTTTAATTCTCTATCAACCTTCAACTACGAGTGGAGCTCACGATTTGGGAGGACTTGGTGCAGCTGCAGATGATGGTAGCTCATCCAGTGATCAGGAACGAAAGAATTCAGCTCCAAAACGAAAGGCACCAAAGAGTTTATTAAATCCGAATCAAAAGAAAAGAGGTCAAGCAAAAGGTGCTAAAATTCAATAAATTATTCTTTTCTTCTTTGCCTCAATCAATTAGAACAATTCACTCAATATTATCCAAACTATTCATTAAGGTTCAACTCTTGTTGAATCCAATCAAAATTGAGAATCTCACACAAATATTCCAGTCCCTCTCTCTGCTCAATCAAAATACTCTGTGTGATCTATGCGAATCAAAAAAGAATACCTCTTTCTTTTAAAATCTCTTCCTAATCAAAATTCAATCTCTTTGTATTTAAAACCAATTATCAAACTTTTTGAAAAAATGTTTAAATCATCACCGTGCCAAAAGACTGTTTTACGATCTGTTGTTTCCTCAACTACTACCTCTTCAACAACATATTTGTTGGGTAGTGTTGGTAGGAAACAAGGTGGAGTTGTGTTGAGGAGGAAATCAAATCATGACGAATTTCTAATGTTGAATAATATAAAGACTTGTTCGGGATTTAATTATCATACAAATATTCAATTAATGAATGATGTGATGGGAGGTAATACATCATCATCAGTGGCTGCTGACATTAGTACATTATATAAAAAACTACGTAATTTGGAAACTACCAGTATGACCATTGATACAACTGTAACCAATGATTCAAATATGCATCGATTCAAGTTGAGTAAGGCTTTCGTGGAAAAGTACAAGAATATACCTCCACCATTTGGTTTTAATGGACTCGGAGAAGTGGTTTATAAAAGAACCTATTCAAGAGTCATTGAGGAAGAGAATAGAAATGAAGAATGGTATGAAACTGTGGAGAGAGTTGTGAATGGTACTTATAATATGCAAAGGAATTGGATTGAGCATCATAAATTGGGTTGGAATCCTAGAAAAGCTCAAAGATCTGCTCAGGAAATGTATGACAGAATTTTCAATATGAAATTCTTACCATCTGGAAGAGGTCTCTGGGGAATGGGAACACCATTGACTGAACAGAGAGGTCTCTATGCAGCTCTTAATAATTGTGCATTTGTCAGTACAGAATCAATGAAAGAAGATCCTCTGAAGCCATTTGTCTTTTTGATGGATATGAGTATGTTGGGTGTAGGAGTTGGATTTGATACAAAGGGAGCTGGAAGTTTTGGTAAGTTGTTTTTTGAAATCTGCTCATATGTTTATTTTTTGATATTTAACAATATTGTTAACTCAATTTATTTAACATATCAGTCATTAAGGGAATTGACAATTCCAAACAACCAACAATGAATATAATTGCCGATTCAAGAGAAGGATGGGTTGAAAGTGTAAAAGTGTTGTTAGATTCGTATTTCAACGGAAATGCACCACAAGTTTTCGATTACAGCAAGATTAGACCAGCTGGTGCAATTATTAGAGGATTTGGAGGTGTTAGTAGTGGACCTGAATCTCTTAAAGAATTGCATGAAAATATCAAATCTATTTTGGATAAGAGTTCTGGACAACCAATTACAGTGACAAATATTGTGGATTTGATGAATTATATTGGAAAATGTGTAGTTTCTGGAAATATTAGAAGATCAGCAGAAATTGCTTTTGGTGAAGCTAATGATGAGGAATTTATTGATTTGAAAAATTATGAAAAGAATCCACATAGAATGTCATATGGCTGGACCTCAAACAACTCTATATTTGCTAATATTGGCATGGATTATACCAAGGTTTCCAAGAGAATGGAAATTAATGGAGAACCAGGTATTGCCTTTTTGGAGAATATGAGAAAATTCTCTAGAATGAATGGAATTGAGGATAACAAGGATTTCAGAGCTACTGGAGGTAATCCATGTTTGGAACAAACTTTGGAAAGTTATGAATTATGTTGTCTTGTTGAGACATTCCCAACTAATCATGAGTCATTGGAAGATTTCCAGAGAACTCTCAAGTATGCCTTCCTATTCGCCAAGACTGTAACTTTGGGAAAGACTCATTGGCCTGATGTGAATAGAGTAATGCTCAGAAATAGAAGAATTGGTTGTTCAATGAGTGGTATCGCACAATTTATTACCAAGAGAGGAATTGATGAATTGAAGAAATGGGCTTCGGTGGGTTATGAAAGTATTCAAGATTTTGATAAGAAATTCAGTGATTGGTTGGCCATTCCAAGATCCATCAAAACAACCTCTATCAAGCCAAGTGGTACTGTGAGTTTACTTGCTGGAGCAACACCTGGAATGCATTATCCAATTTCGAGATTCTACATTAGACGATTGAGATTGGCTAATAATTCTCCACTCGTAGAAACATTGAGAGAGGCAGGTTTTAAAACTGAACCAGCAGTCTCTGATCCAAATACCACCATTATTGAATTCCCAATAGATTGTGGAGAGGGTATAAGAACAGCAAAGGAGCTCTCAATGTGGGAACAATTATCTTTGGCTTCCTTTTTACAAAAGTATTGGTCTGATAATCAGGTCAGTGCAACTATTACTTTCAATCCTCAAACAGAAGGTAAACAGATTCAATATGCTCTTGACTATTTCCAATATCAACTCAAAGGAGTTAGCTTTTTACCAATGATGGATCAAGATACATCACCTTATCCTCAAATGCCATACGAGAGCATTACGGAGGAAGTTTACAATGAAATGAGATCAAAACTGAAAACAACATCACCACTTTCTGAACATAGAATCAAACAAGAACCTTCACCAGAAAGATTTTGTGATAATCAAACTTGTGAGCTTTAACCTTAAATTCATTCAAAATTAAATTTTAAATAGAGAATAAATTAATTTATAACTTCAAGACAAGATCTTAGTGTGAACTCCTCTAGAGGCATTCTTGTACTGATACTTTGAATGTCAAGGTCTGCATTTCTTTCCTTGTAACGCTCGCTGGAATTTCTAAAAGCAATTGGTACAAAATCAAATATTTTGTGTAAAACAAGAGGTTGTTGATGAATAGCAGTGACTGGTGATGTTGGTGAATTCACTAAATTGGGAGATGATTGGATATGGGAAATAGATGAAGTACTTGGTTGATGGTTGATTATATGTCCAACACTATTGATAATAATCTTCTTGTTGAAATTCTTCTTGCTTTGTTGCCATTTCAATCTGTTGAGATAATCCTGAAGTGAGGAAGTAACATTTGATTGCATAACCTTGGCTCTCAAAACTTTGATCCATTCTTCTCTGGCTTTTTCACTTTCAGCACAACAGTAGAGCAATCTACCACCCGGCACAAATACCACAAAAACATAAGGTGTTGGGAATTGTTCAGAGGTGGAAGGAACTCCCTCTTCCTCATTATTATTGGTAGCACTTCCAGAATCCTCTGATTGATTCATGGCTCTAGCAAATTTCAATAAACTAGCAAGTTCGAGTTGTTGGCTCTTTGTCCATGTAAAGTATGAATCATCTTCAGATTCACTATTCTTTTCAAAGATGCGCTTTTCATTGACCTTGACAGAGAAAACCTTTGTCAATCCATCGGTAGTCAACTTGATTGAACCTTTGAGTTGAGTTTCTTCTGCTCCTTCATAGTAAAGCATTGTATTGTCATCTCTCAAAACAAAGAATCTCTTCTTCCATGACTTTCTGAAACGTCCTCGTTTATAGAGGAATGATCTTCTGTATGAGGTTTGCATCAGGGAGAGATTGAGTGAAAATCTTTCAGTAGATTGTTGCATCTTGTAATCAAAGAGTTTGTAGAAAGTATTGGTCACTGTTGAAGCAAGAACATGCTCTGACAATTGCTTGTTTTGCTCGAGCATATTGTCATGTTGAACGAATAGATCAGGAAGTGATTGTGCAAAGTCTGTTCTCTTCATTGGCATATTTCCCTCTGGGGTGTTTGACTTGAAGGAATTACTAATATTCCAAAAGAGCTCGCATTTCTTTTGGATAAAGTAGTGGAATATTTGAGTTTTAAAGAATTCTCGGAGAAATACAGAATCTACATGACCACCATAATTTCCATAATGAGTTAGAGCCATCAATAATTTCTTATTGATGGTCTTGTCCTTCAATTGGAATGGGTTAAAATTTTGAGATACTTGGGAAGATCCTGGAGTAAAACCTCCATAATTATCAAGACTCAAAAACTTGTCAATATTAAAAATGTCAGTCATATTCATATCATTCTTTGGATCAAACTTGTCAAATTGAATAAATATTTCATAACAAGTAAGTAATCTAATAAATACATTCAAGAATATTTCTCTAATTGGGTGAACTGTAAGAAGTGGACTCACTTGATTTTCCTGAGCAACAGCCATTACTGACTTTTTCCTTTTAGAAATGATTGCTTGAGAGTTTGAAATTGAAAGTCTTGGAGTGGTAAGGGTGGAGGTTGGTGGTGGCTCTTTCTGAGTGAGGTTTGCAAGTGGTCTAACTGCTGCAGATCTTTTTCTAGTTTGAGAAGGGTTCAAATAATGATCATTGCTATTTGCTGATGGAGAAAATAAGCCACTCGAGAGTGGATCCTTTCCAGTCACTTCAACTTCCTCAGACGACTCGAGAATATTCTTCACTGAGGGTGAATTTTTGATAAAAGTTGAGGAACCCTTCTTTCTGCCCTTGAAGAAGAAGCTACTGCCTCTCCTGGTGAGGGAGGGAATTTGAGCGTCTCTCTTCTTGATGATTTGATTCATATATTCACTATTGCTCTTTTCAAAATTAGATCTACTCTTTTCAACTGCGTCTTTAATGTACTGCATTAGAGCGCTAGACCATTTCCACTGACTCTTTGATGATAATACATCACTCTCTTCTCCAACAAATCTGATAACATCTTCATCCAAGTTTACAATACAAACTCCTTCTGGAATATTAATCATTTCATAGTCCATATTGTCCTTGTTTGAAAATTTGGTTTCATTCAGATTGAGAACGTTCACTTTATGTGAAGAGGAGGGTGCCTCAAATTGTGAACAGAGAGTTCTTCTGAATGGTGATGATTTCTTCTCGAATCCAATTCTAAAATGGTTCCACATGACTTCACTATGTGTTCCAACCATATAGGGGAAAGGTGCTTCTAAAAAGTTGATGATTTTTTCGTGGGCAATTGGAATGTAGATTGAGGTCATTCTGAAAGGATAAATTAAATGTCTCAAACTCTCCATTACCATTACCATTCTGTATAAATTAACGCTGTGGAAGATTAAGGATTTTTCTAGGGAAAGGTAATTTACAATTGTTATAATATTGTCAATACTCAAACATGTTGTCAGAATTGAGTAATCAAAGTCACACATTGGAAAATTGGGAGCTTTTTCGGTTGATTTGGAGGCATCATCAAAAGGATCACTAGGGGAATTACTATTAGGGGAGGAAGGTTGATGGTGATGTTTATCGATTGGGCTTGCCTCTTTGAAGTGTTCTTCTTTTGTGCCCACAAAGAGCATCTTGTCAAATTCAACTTTCACTTCATTAATACAATTACTGGAAGGATCTGTGGAGGTTTTTGATGTGAATACATAGTCAGAAGGAGATGTGATAGCCATAGAAGGGAAATGTACAACTAGCTTATCATAAAGAGCTGGCAGTGACAAATTCATGTCCAAACCAGAGGGAGTGGCAGGCGTAGCATTCGGATCAGTATTATTGAAAAAATCGTACATGTATTTCAATAATTCCTCATTGAAAGTGAAATATCCACAATCGCTACAAAAGAATCCATCATTATTTTCGAACAAATATTGATCTAGGAAAGAGTAGAATTTTAAAAAGGTAGAATGGAAGGCATATCTAGAAAGGATACAAATACATGATGGATATCTAATGAAAAACTCTACATTATCATTATGGATTGGTTTTCCATCTCTTGTCACATTACACACTCGGTATGTGAAAAATTTAGTATAACAAAATCCATAATATTTAAATCCATATGCATCCGTATTGATAAAAGTGTGATAGGATCGAGCTGGAGGGTGAATTTTGGACTGTTCAATGAAATTTTCATAGTCCTCCTCTTGATCCTCTTCCTGATCATTGGAATTGTTATTTTCCAATGATTCAAGTTGTTCCTCTCCAGAAAATATGTCTTTCAGCAGTGTATGTTTCCTAGCATCGATACACTTTAACTCGAATTCTAATGGTGAAGAAGTATTTTCCTGACTATTCTCATTATTATTGTCTTGATCTTCTAACAGGGGACTGTCATTTGACTTTTTGCATGCAATTAATTGTGCAATAATATCATTTGGAAATGTGAAAAATTGCAAGCTCAGTGGTGTCAAATCTGAGCCACCCAGAAAAGAATCCTCCTGAAAATGTTGTTGATGCTGCTCGGAAGACTGATTAGACGATTTCTTCTTCTTCTCTTTCGGATAATTGTCAATCAGTGTTGCCTCTCTTTTTACATGAATAATTACATTGGATGGTTTGTTGTTGGCAGTTTCTTCCACAGCATTCTTTTCTTCTTCTTCTGCTGGTGAAGAGGGAGTTGATGGTGGAGATTCTAATGTAGCTTTTAAACATTCACCAAACTTGGTTTGTATTATTTCGTTTATCTGTGTAGTGTTCAATGAAAGAATGCAAACATCTTCTATTATTCGTCTATATCTACTACATAAATTTTCCAAAAGCACTGATGATGATTGATTATCCTGTTGTTGCTGCTGTTGAGTGGCAGTACTGCCACTTGTTGAATTGTTATTTGTGGTGGTACTACTACTTGAATGTGCTTCACTTTCAGTCATTAAATTAATTAAATTATCTACCGATTTTGATGCTAGTGAAGAAGGAGTATTCAAGAGTGATTTAATATTGTAGTGTTTAAATTGATGAAATAATGCTTCTCTTGACGGAGAGAAAATAAAAGCAGTAGTATTTGTTGTTCCTAAAGTATTACTAATATTAATAATATTATTGTCAATACTAGTTGAATTGTTGATGTTGTGATGATGACTACCAGTGCTACCACAACTACAATTTAATAGATTTGACCTATCACACCAACAATAGGAAGAATCTAATGGTTGATATTGTTTTGTTTCTTCTTCTTGGTGATTTGATGATGTTTTATGATTACAATCCCTTTCACAACAATCATCAACCTTTAAAAGAGCTTCCTTCAAATTTGACAATGATGATTGTAATGATTGTTTTTTGCTTATTGGTATTTCGTGTGTCCGACTATTACTCTTGGCTCGTTGGCTTTCAAGAGGAAGAAGTGAGCGATCAGAATTTAATTGACCAATACCAATGCTATCAATTATTGATGATGAGAGTGGTGAAGAATTGTTGATTTTTCTTTTCAGTGTCTCTTCGTGTGTGATAGTGGAGAAGTTCTTCTCATCCCCAGCAATGGTAGGGGTATTTTGCTGAGGGTTTCTGTTATCTTTTGAACCTCTAACAGATGAAGGTCTCACTTCCATTGAATCGACAATATCTGGTGAATCAAAGTGAGCATAATGTCGAGGAAAATTGGGAGGAGGTGTTCTTATTGATTTTTCATTGGTTTTTGTTGGGGTGGATAATAAATTCGGGAGGGAGAATTGATTGAGAAATCTCTTAGCGAATGAGGGTGAGGTTGGTTTTTTGGCCAATGTTGAATTTGTTGTTATTACACTACTAATACTACTACTACAAGTACTAGTATTATCATATTTAGATGAGTCATTGTATTCATTCGAGATTGGAGGTTTGTTTTTTAACATTGAAGGGGTGATATCCTGTAATTCCTCCTCTTCAATAAACAAGTTATTAAGCTTATTTCTATTGTTAATTGTGTTGGTAAATGTTAATAAGGGGAATGATGATGAATTGGGAGATTTTTGCGATTTTAAGGAGGGTTTGGCTTTCATTCTCTTCTTCTTGTGTTTGTTTTTTGAAGCAATTAAGATGCTGTATGGATCTCAAAAATTCCAAAACAGTTTAAACAGTGAACTAATATGGTCGATGGCATTTTTCAATTATGTAAAAGTAATCTCAGGCGTGAGATTCATTAATGAACCTTATTAAAAGTTATTGGAACAAGAAAAAATGTGAAGAAAACAGACAATAACAATCATAAAATGATCAAGTACAAGCGATGAAGTATGTTGTAGATGGACATGTCATTAACCTTCCTTAGTTCTCAGAGTCCTGTTTTTGGTGCTTCGAGGTTATTGAAAACCAAATGATAGTTGTCCAGTTATAGAACCAGAGTTGTTGGATAATACTGCTGATTCACATTAAGAAATGGTTAGTTTTCCATTGGAGAGAAAAATGACAGTAAATAACAACTCCTCAATAAATGGCTCAATGAACTTATTTCCTCGAATCACAACATTGAATAGTCAAGAAAATACACTCCTGCTAAATACATTTACAGAAGTTTATCATTCTGTATCAAACCTAGCTCTAGACGACCATAGACTTTGAAGATTTTCAGTCGATCCCAGCTCAATATCTGGAAGTTTGTTGGTATCAAATCCAATTTAGTAGTACAAGATTCAATCTACAGCATGGTGTCTCAATCCATGTTTCTTAATTGACTTATTAATAACCAGAAAAAAATGACTGAACAAAATGATAAAGAGCAATCATCACACCAACACCATGACAATAATTTGATTATGAAGGAGGAAGAATCAATTGATCGAGAAAATAATTTACAAACAATTTTGGAGCAACAAGAAGAACAACAGGAATATTCGGAAGAAGTGGACGAAAATACTAATAATAATAGGACAAAACAACATGTAGTTTCCGATCAAGTATCAAGTGATGATGATAATAATAATGGAATTAAAAAAGGCATGTTCGGAAGAAGAGCATGGGATGATCATACCTATGAACAAAGAGCAATGGATAGAATGAATAGAGGAGCCAATTTTGATTCGGATGAGAAGAGAAAGCCTAGCATTTCTAGATCGGAGGCACTTCAAAGAAAGCCACTCGAAGCTAGAGAAGGTAAACTGCTAACTGATAACCAAGTGGGAAAGAAGGGTATTGTTGATGTTACTTCCGATGGAAAACAATTATTACCAAATTCCAAAACAAAGGTAAAATCAAAACAAAAGGAAGAATCTGTAGATCCAACCAAGATGGCTGGCTTTTATTGCAAAGTATGTGACAGGAATTTTAGAGATTCACATGCCTATATCGATCATTGCAACACAAAATCTCACTTATCAAGGATGGGAGTCTCCAATAGAGCTGTTAAAGCAACAGCTGACGATGTCAAACAAAAATTACAAGCTAAAATTGCTGCTAAAAAGGCAAATGCTCAAACTAAATAAGAGAAAAATTAATCTAAGATTTAATTCTAGGAAAATATAATTTATTTTACATCTATTCCTACAATATTATGATTATTTATTATTATTTAAATTAATATTAAATTTGTAAATAAAATTAAATATTGCAATTAGAAAACTTCAAAAAAAATGAGTTCATTTATTACTAGTTTGGGAGATGATTATTCATCGGAAGAGGAAGAAGAGGAAAAGATACAATTTATTGATGAGGAGGAAGAAAAGAAAAATCAACAAGCACAACAGGATGAAGATGATTTTTTCATATCAAGTCCAAAATCGGAAAAATCAGAAGAGGAAGAAAATGATAACTTTTTCATGACCTCCATGGGAGATGACAATGTCGAAAACGATGAAAAGGAGGACACACCTGTTATAGAGGAAGAGCAAGTTGTTGATGATACACCATCTAATTTAATTGTCGAAAAGGAGGATGTCATTATGCAAGATTCAACACCATCCATCATTTTCATTACACCTTCACATACACCATTCGAATTGACAAAGAGTAATATTCAGGTTCCAATTGATACTATTCATCCTTCTTGGAAGAATTCAATCATTAATCGATCGATAGAACAACAAAAATTGGAAAAATTTAAAGAGAAATTCAATGGCAAGGCAAAATCTATCAAATTCACCAAACCACAAGTTGAGCAGTCGATGCAGAATGAGGATAAAGTAATAATTGCAAAATCGAATGTGGACGAAATTGAGGAAAAGAAGGAGACAGTTAAAAAGATTGTGGACGATTCTTCAAGCAGTAGTAGTGGCAGTGAAGATGATTCTGACTCATCTTCAAGCAGTAGTAGTGAAGATGATTCATCCAGTGAAGAAGAAGAAGAAAAGAAAGAAATTGTCATTAAGGGCCAAGATATGAACGAATACAAACAAGCTCTCAAAGAACTCAATCAATCCAAAAAACACCAAAGAAAGCAACAAATGAATACAGTTCTCAATAATTCATCCAAACACAATAATAAGAATAACAAGAAAAACAATAACTTTTCAAATCCCAAGACGAAGGGAGGAAAGAAAGCCATTCAAAAACAACAAAAAATGTACAGAGAACAATTGAAAAAGATGCCACTCAAAGATATCCAATTCATGGGAAAGAAGATTAAGTTTGACAATACCAAAAAGAATCAATCTACAACAAATTCAGAACAATAAGATACTCCTCTTATCTTTTTTAACTTTTTGATCGGAATTGGAGAGTTAATGAATAGAGAACTTGTATGTCATCACAACAAGAGCATATTACCTGAGATGGATGTCACTATCGCAAGTGGAATTACTTAGCTAATTGTTAATTGTAACAATCACAATAAAAAATGTCCTCACCTAGTACCAGCAATCACGAAGAAACTTTTTCATCAACACTATCGGAAAATCCACTCAAGAGAAAACAAGAGGATACTATTGTGGAAAGTGAAAGTAAAAAACAAAAGAATGATGAATCGGAACAATCTGTTGTGGATCATTTGAATATTTTGATTATGAGTGATATACATAATTATAGTCAATATTTTAGTATTGTAAAGGAAATTATTGAAAAGAATCAATTAAAGATTGATATTGTACTTTGTCCTGGAGATATTGTTAATATTAAAACAAAGGAACAATATCAAAGTGAGGAATATCAATTGAAATCATTGAAGGATGTTGAAGAAATGGCCAAGCAAATGTTAAATTTTGCTCCAAAAGTTTATCTCATTCCTGGAAATGTATGTTTTATTGATAATTTCAAAATGGAGATAATCATTATCCACTCCATTCAATGGACTCGAATATTAATTGAATATTAATTATATGAAATGATTTACAAATAATTGGAATGAAAAATAACAGCACGATCCTGATGCACTTTTCAAGAATGAATTTTCTAATGGTCCAATTGAAGGAGTTTCAATTATTCACAATTCCATTGTAAAATTATGTGATGGATTAGTTTTGGCTGGATTCGGAGGAAGTGTGCCATCATTCCACGTCTCTCCACCTGAAATTGCAGGTTCAGGAGCATGGAAAGGTTATCCATTCACATCTGATGAATCATTTGGTAAGGAATTGGAATCAATCATTTCATCCATGAAGGAGGTCAACAATAATCAACAAATCATTTTCATGACTCACAATGGACCATTCTCATGTGATACTACCTTCTTCAAAAAGGTAAATATTCACAGTCCAGGAATTACATCAGGATCTGAAACTCTCAGAGCATTCGTTGAACAAGATGAAGTACAAAACAAGTGTCTTTGTCATATTCATGGTCATACTCATTTGTTTAGAGCTGGATCATCACTTGTTGGAACTTTACCAATTGTTAATCCAGGTAAGGTGTTACTATCTATCTTTAATATTTAACAAATTACACTATTTTTAAATTGTTAATGGTTGTTAATTTGGAAATAGGATCCTTAATGGAAGGTAATTTTGCTGTTATTCAATTGGAAAGACAATCTCAACTCGAAAACAAACCATTCCTATTGGAATCTGTCAATTTACTTCGTTTTAAACCTTCAATCATTATTTCTGATGATGAATAAAAGACAATAACACATCTTCATTTGAATGGAGGATCTGATTTTAGTCTTATTGTCGTCATTGCAAGGGATTCACAAGCACCATGCGGAAGTAGATTTACATTGTTTGGGGTGGTTAAAAAAAAATTAAAAAAATAAGACTTTTGACAACCTTTACATCATCAAGGCTGTTTAAAAATAAAGTGGGAGAAACCTTGCACATACACTTCTGCTTTATTAACACTACTTGTAAAATTACTACTAGGGTAAGTTTTAGAGGCATCAAGCAAGTAATTTAATTTACTTTCTAATAACATTTCACGAACTTTCCGAAACTTATCATCATCAACAACTTGAAATCATCATTAGCCATTTTCATACTTTTTATTACAATTATACCACTCTATCCGAAATTAATCATCACATCTGAATACTTTTCTCTGCAATTTGCAAGAACTTGAAAACTTTCCCGCCAAAATGGAGGTTTGTATTTTACAGAAGAAAAAATTAACAAAATTGGAAAATGTTGTTCGATTTTAATAATTACTACGTTGATATTTAATGTATGAATTGATATTGGTGTGTTGATGAATAGAATTCCTCTGATCATGAAAGTATTATTCCTACTCAACCACAAGACGAAGAGAATCCGAATGGACAAATAGAAAGTAAGGAGGAAATAACAACAGCAATACAAAATATTGTTGATAAAGTTGAAGAAGCCTCCGAGAAGCAACAAGATGGAGGAGAATTGGGAGAAGTTATTGAGGATGAAATGTCTGATGCGGAAAATGATGATAACAATGATGAAATGATGGCTGATGATGAGGACGATTTGAACATTTCAGCCATTAGTCATCTAAGTGCTAAGAATTCACTGGAGGATAATAGTTATTATATGCGAAGTTTGGAACAAGAGAAACTAAACTCTGAAGAGGAACAAGAAGAAATCGAAGAACAGCAAGAAGGATTGGATCAACAACAAACAGAACAATCTCAACAACATAAAATACTCACTCAACAAGAAATTGAAGAAATGGAGCAAAAGTACAATGAGGAAATTAAATCATTTTTTGAGGGTGAATCATCAGAAAACACAGTTAATGATGAGGATATTCAATTAGCTAGTGAGCAGACAACTAGTGCATTCTCTAAGAGTATGGATAGTTTTGGAAAGATTTTATACGCTCAAGTAGTCAGACATGAGGAAAGAATTGAAACATTAACCAAATCAAACAAGAAATTGCAAGAAATTGTAAATAAGAAGAATGAAAAAATTACCAAATTACAACTCCAACTCTCAGAAATGGTGAAACAAATTGAGAGGTATGAACATACTCTCAGACAACGAATGTCGCCACATTTATCCTCCAATGCATTTGCCCAACAAAACCCTTCGACTTCCTCAACCTATGTTGAACAACAACAGGCTAGTCCAAGACCAAATAGACAAACTAATCCACAAATGACACCTCCAGCAACACCTCCACCACCACTACAAACCAAGTTGATCAAGCGACCTGAGATGGACTCTCCTCAAGTAATAGACAGACCAAATAAGGCCAAGAAGAGAAAATCCTCAGAATCAACAGCCTCTAGCTCATCAGACCAATCAGATCCAACAGGTACTCCAACTCCTCCAGGTACGCCTAGTGACAGTGGAGCCTCTCCTCGCCCAATTGTAAAATCTAGATCCAAAACTGTGTTCAAACTCAAACCAGCCGATTGTGTAAATTATAATGGAAATACATTTGTACTAGCACGGGCCTTTGAAGACAAGTACAAACTGAAAAAGATGATAGCTCTGTACAAAGAGCAAGGCGAAGGAGATGGACAACTTTTCTTAAAGGATGAGGATTTCAAAAAATTGAGGATTGAAAATCCTGATAATCTCAGTGTTTTTGCATACAGAACTAGTCTGTACACTATGGATTTTGTAAATTTTTACATGTCTAATCAGTAAATAATTCTTATTGGAATCATTATCTAATCAAAAAATTATTTTATTTTGTTGGTTTCTTAGAAGTATGGATTATTGCTGTTATTATTGTTAGGTTGTTGCTGTTGAGAATAAGGATTACTATTTCCATAAGGATTGTTTCCGTATGGATTTGAGTATGGATTATTATTTTGGTAGCCATTATTGTTACCATATGGTTGATTTCCATATTGATTGTTACCGTATTGTTGTTGGTTTCCATTGTTCCATTGATTATTTCCGTATTGTGGTTGGTTTCCATATTGATTGTTGTTAGCACCATATTGATTATTGTTCCACATTTGATTATTATTTCCATATCCATAATTGTTGTTGGTTGGTTGATCGAATTGACTCAAAATGTTAAGGGCAGCATCTTGACGGGAAGGTTGATTGATTGTAGGTTGATTGAATCCATTGTTAGAATGAGGAATATTGGTGGCAGGGGGAGCATCAAATGAAAGTAAATCATCCAAATCAACGGCAGGTTTAGATGGTGAAGGCTTTGGCTTTTCTTCAGAGCTGAGAATTGAAGACTTTCTTTGTTTAATGCTAGATGAACGACTTGTTCTTCCCCCGTTTGGTGCTTCGTCAAAATCTGAAGAAACCTTGATGAGATCAATTTCATTCTTTGAAAGAATTGATGATAATTCTGTTACTGGAACATCCTCCATTGCAAGTTTCTTTTTAGATCCTCCATTAGATTGAAGATATTCTCTCATTGGTTCAATAACACTCTCTGGTTTGAATTTGAGGGATGGTGGTTTAGCCTTGAGGAAGATTTGTGGTACACTCTTACTGAATTCAAACATACTTTCGAGACGCTTGGCACTTTCACAATACTTTTCATAAACTTTGAGAGCTCTCTTAGCATCAACTATGGAGACCTTGTAAAATTCATCTAAAAATGTTAATTAACCGTTATCCATTTACAAAAATAAAACATACCCAAAATTTTAGTAGCACAAACACCCAACAATTTGTATAAAACGAAACTGTCATCCAAACACAAAGTAAAACATCCAATGGCAGCTCCATTGCCGAGCACAGACTTTTTAGCTCTAACAATTTCGAAACACTCCACAAGTTCATTGCTTGCTCTCAGTAAACTTTCTGTCAAATCCAACCATCCAGTAATGTCACCCGTAGTAACATAGGCATCCAATGTCATATCTGGGAGGAGTGACTTGAGTTGATAAATACGATATATGATAAGTCTTTCTTCTAAGTATCTACAATATTGTTTAACCAATGGAGTTTGGTCCATTGCTTCACTAGTGTTTCTGTCCTTGAATTTACTCATGTTGAAACGTTTTTCAGGATCGTTTTGAACAATTGCATCACAGAATTCTGCAGAACCATCTTGAATAATTCTATGAAGTAATTGCAATCCTTTTGATGCAGTAAGCCAATCACTACTCTTTCTATAAACTCTACAAACTGCCTTTGCAAATTCCGCCATATTAAGTTCACGATTTGTTTCCGTAGCAATAATCAATTCTAAAGATCCAACAAATATTCATTATTATCATCATCATTACATTGATTTTAGTTAAACAACCACAATAAACCACCATCATTGTAAAATCATCATGTTGTTAGCAAGGATTTTACTATACTACTTACTCTTTACGTGTTTTTCCTTTGGTGGTACAGGGTCTTGATTTGTTGCTTTTGCTAAACTCTTCTTTACATCATCAAATGATGAAACGGCTAGCGTTCCAATATCCTTCATTTGTCTAAGGAATGAAGTTCCTCTAGACTTTAAACGTTGGGTAGTGTTAGACATATTTTTTTTATTAATTTTATTTTTATTTTTATCAGTGATGTAGGATTAAACCGTCCCAAAGGCGGACTTGAGGTGAACTTGGAAACGCGAAGACAAATGAATGTCGGTGATTTGTGAAGGAAAAGCTACATGTTGATATGTGGTGTTGCATATGGGGAAGAGCATTCATCATTCCAGTTGTTGGAACCTTGCAGTCGATAAGTGTGAATTGAAAAAATTATATGTGACTGTAAATTTTTTTATCTTTAAGGTTAAAATCCAAGTCATTTCCTTATTTAAAAATGTTACTCTTTAATCAAAAAAAGCTTGTTGTTGGATCATGTTTTTTCTTGCTGTAGCTTGCACCAGTGATCTGCCACATAGGGTATGCCCACTTTGAGAAGACACTATTAACGGAGTTCTTCCTGCATTGTCTTTAGAATTTAAATTGGCTCCATAATCAATAAGGACCTGTAAGCATTCGACTTGTCCACTGAAACAACACATGTGAACACAGGTGAATCCTTCCTTGTCTCTATGTTCAATATCTGAATCATTATTCAATAGCAATTCACAAACGGATGGATAACCACTCTCACAAGCCTCAAAGAGAGGAGTTCTAGAATGGGAATCAGCTTGGTCCACCTTAGAGCCATTAATAAGGAGCAATCTCGCTATTTCTGTATTGCCAACTTTACATGCATAATGAAGAGCTGTTTTCTTAGAGCATTCATCAACATCAGTTGTTGGAACCTTGCAGTCGTGAATTAAGTGAGAGCAAATATCTAAATTTCCTAGCTTGGTAGAGAGAATCAGTGGTGTAATTCCACACACTGGTTCATGATAATGTACATTAGCTCCTGCAGCTGTGAGTATTTTTACAATTTCTCTATTCTGATTTCTGACAGCATTCATGAGTGGTGTATAGCCATTCACATCAATTTCGTCTAGAGGACATTCATGTTTCTTAACCATTTCTCTAACAAGGGAGGTCATATTGTAAGCAACAGCTTGTTGGAAAATTGTTTTGAAACCTGGATCTGCTTGCTTCAGTTTCTCCATTGTTTGCTCGTAATTGGATAGAGTCGCACATTCTTCAGTGTTGTGGAACATGTACTGTTTAATGTCGCTCAAACTTGCCTCCCTCATGAACGGAACGAATTTTCTATTTACAACTGCGCCTTTGGTAACGAGAAGGATACAACAAGACTCTTGTCTGTCATTGAGGGCTAGTTGAAGGGGAGTCATACCTTTTGAATCTTCTAATGTAATATTTGCTCCCTTCATCATCAATAGCTCTGCAACTTTGATGTGACCCTTTGAAACAGCCTCCATTAGAGGCGTTCTATTTTCCTTATTAAGTACATTCACATTGATCTTTTTGTCAGTTGCTAAGAATTCAGCAATCTCAAAAAATCCTAGATGAGACACAATATGAAGAGGTGTATTTCCCAAATTGTTGACATCAGTGATAGGCAGCTTCTTATCAATATAATACTTGACCATTTCCAAAGAACCTGAACTACAAGCCCAATGCAATGGTGTATTACCGTACTTGTCCACTCCGTTTACTTTAGCTTTCAAACCAATAATTTTTTCACAAATATCGAGCTTCTTTAAATAGGTAAATCTGTGCAATAGAGCCATACTATCAGTGAATATCATATTAATGTCAAAGTTGAATTTTGTTGTCAATAGCTTGACAATATCCCAATTATCAGCTAAACATGCTTCATGTACAGCAGTCATTCTCATCATATCCTCTCCATAAATTAAGTTTTCGTCCAATTTCAATTTTGAATAATGCTCAATAAATTCCTTCCTGTTATGCAGTACAGCATAGTGCAAAATGTTCTTTCCATTTTTAACATCCTTCTTGTATGGTGATTGTTTCAATTCCAATAAAAAGTTAAATCTCTTAATATCACCATCTATTGCCGATTGATGGAGGAGAGTGTGATCATCATGCCCTAACTCATCAAAATCAAAATCAGCCCCTGCTTCCAACAGAATCCTCACTACACTAGCATTATTGTTTTGAATTGCAATATCAATTGGTCTGAATCCCTTATCATTCTCACAATCAATGTCAATTCTTTTCATAGCTCCCTTTTTGATTTGATGGGGTGCCTCCACTTCAAACAAAGCCTTTAGCATTGGTTCATCATTATTTAAAACTGCAATGTGGAAGGCATTATCTCCATTCAATCTAATATTTATATTTGCCCTATTCTTTACAAGTATATTAACAACATCAACAAATCCCAACCTTGTAGCCAACAGGAATGGATAATCACTAACAACCTTAGTCGGTGGCTGTTGTTCATCATTTTCCGATGGAGGAGGAGCATTCTTATCATAGATTGGCAAGTTAGGATCAATCAAAAAGTCCTTAAACAATTGCTCAATATCCTCAGTTTGCCCCACTTTAATATATTCAACCAAAACAGACTCGGGAGTATTATGTTCATCAACCTTGAACGTAACCTTCTTCTGTTGTTGTTTACTGTTGGGTGTCTTTCGAGACATTTTTTTCTAACTGTAAATTTCCATCATTGAAATTCTTCTTAATAAAAAATTGTTACTGATGATGATGAAGTGGAGTTAATATTGTCTCTCGAATGAAGTTTTCTGCTTATCAAGACCTTTTCTGCTTTTCGACATGTATTGTTGTGAATGTTTTTGAAAAGAGAGAGATTTTTATTGCTTGGTTTCTTAGAGTTTGATGTTTACAATAAAATCTATTGAGATTGTTTTAATAAATCGATAGGTCCTTTCTTTACAAGAGCATTCAATTCAGATTTCCACCCCAAAGCTTTTGCTAATTTTTCAATAGCCTGGTCAATTGTCATTGTTTTCCCACCAAGAAATAAATCTAAATGTTTGTGCTTTTCATGAATTTCTCTCACTGGTGATTTGATATGTGTAAAAACACCACATCTTTCACGATTGATTAAAACTCGAGTGGCTCCTTCTGGTATAAAGTATGGCATTCGACAGACTGGCATGACAGATAAACTAGTTCCAATACAAATGAAGAGTTGACATTTAGGAGTTGTTTTCAAATCATCTTTTAAACATGAAAAGTATTTTTCTGGTAAATCATCTGAATACATCACAATATCTGGCTTGATTACATTTCCACAATCGTCACATTTTGGAATTTTGACATCCTTGTCAGTTCCCAGTTTTTCAATCACTGTTGGAAGAAGATATTCCTTTTTACAATGTTGGCATTTGGCTGTATCATACATGCCATGACAATTCACAAGTAATTCTTTAGATATTCCTGATTTAGTTTCTAATCCATCGATATTTTGAGTGTATAATCTCAGTAACTTGTTTTTCTTTTCTAATAACTTGAGGAAATAGTGAGCTTTGGATGGTTTATATCCTGTGGTGACGAAATCTCTGGTTAATTCAAAGAATGGTTCAGGATTAGTTTGAAAATAATCAGAATCGAATATAGCCATTGGATCAGGAAGATTAAATTTCTCTAAACTTCCATTCACAAACAATCCCTTTCCAGGAGTTCTACATTTCTTAATTATTTCAAAAACAATTACCCGAAACTTACCTAAAATCTGGAATTCCACTAGCAGTCGACAATCCTAATCCAATCATCCATTGTCAGCCAACATGAAACAATTTAAAATCATAAATAATACCTACCAGCTCCAGTCAAAACCACAATCGAATGATCATCAATATTCCGAATCTTCTCTGCAAGAACTTCAATTCCATGATTCAGCTCTTGTTTGGAAAATTCAATATCCTCTTGATATTTACTGTTCTTGTCCACCGAATTATTATTTGATGATGATGAATTATTTTGAGCGCAATCAGTAAAGCATTGTAACATTTTTTTAGGATATTTGTTTTCAATTGGTTGAGAATTCGTTTGTGTTCCAACTTCATCATATTTCAATAGTTGTTAGTATTATTTGAGAGAAAAGAATATCATATGGTTGTTTGAGTTTTTGGATTAGATTACAAAAAACAATAAGAAAAAATGAAATGATATCCGGAACGTTGTCTTCTGCACACAGATTACGATTAGAACAAATTCTTCCGAAATTTCTCGTTGATTCTCTTTTCGATATTAATAATGATAATAATATTAGTAATAATGATAAGGCAAATAAAGTAAATAATAGTGATGAAATGGAAAAGTTGCAAGAGGAGAGAATTGATAATTTAATTTCGTTTTTGTATGATGAACGGATTGCCAAGTTTCAAAGTAGAATTTTCTCGGAACAAACAAATGTAATGAATAATAATGGAAATTATAATTTGGGAGGAGGGAATGAGAAGAATAATTGGGAAGAATTGGAAGATTTTATATTTAATCAGGAATTTGTAGAACCATTCAAGGGAAAGAAAACGAGGAAGGGAAAATCTAATGTTGATTCTAATCAAATTTCGATGAATGACGAAAATTCCTCTGAATATGTCCCTCTCTATTTGCCAAAATTTAACACATTTTACAAACATAAGAATGAAAATTTACACATTGAAAAGGATGATGAGGGATTTGAATGTTTTTCGAGTGAGGATACAGAGTTACCACTCCGAGTGGAAAATTCTGAGCATATTGACCCGTTGAGGAGAGAACGAAATATTGCAAGAAGTAAGGCAATGATATCTTCTTTTCATTTGAGAATTCAGGAGGATGTAAAACCATTCGTTCAGAATCTACTCCAAGGGCCATTGAGACCGTTTCTCAATGAAAAATCTCTTTCCGATAATTTAAAAGAGGCGACGTTTGGATATATTCAAACAGAGGAACAAGCCAATGATTTCTATAGACAATTATGCGGAGAGGATGAACAAATTACACTCACCATTGACATGGTTCTGTATGAAATAAGGAGACTCCTCAGCCTTAAGGAAAAAAAGAAGAAAGTGAAAAAAGAATTTCATCCTCTATTTTCCCAAACTTTCAAAGAGCAATATTTAAAATATCTTAGAGCAGTTGACTATGTCATCGTTCAACAAGAAATAGATAATCTGGATCAATTCAGTGAAATTCCATCTCGAATAAGGCATGCAACCTATCCCAAAATTGTAACAAACCCACCAAATATTCCTCTCACTCTCGAAAGTATTGGCCATTTGTCTCGCCACTATTTTATTCCATGGCTTGATTATTCGAACACTAGTACGAAATATACACCTCCTATTGATAGAAAGAATTTACTCTTTCCATGGTTATTATTCAATTCGAAAATGAAGGATTATCCAATCTCACAACTCATTCCCAAACAAACCCTTTTAGAAATCAAAAAGAGCAATAGTGAAATGTATCTTTCCTGTGGATCTGACAATAATATCATTAATAGAATTTATGGAATAATTGCATTGAATGACGCACAAAGCATTAATCAGATTTATTCAAATTTCAGCAGTTTGATAATGAAGGAATATACAGAAAGGGAAATTAGATTTTACGAGAAAGAGAAGAGAAAACTACTGCCTGATCAATCTGATACTGATGCTGAAGATTTGGTAGATTTGTTAATTGCCTACCGTAAAAAGTTGGAAAACAAAGCTAGAGTTTCTCAATTCATCTTGAAATACCATAGTGTTAAATAAATTAAATATAAGTTACATGTCACTAAATTTGCTATTTTGTAATTTGACTGATTCTGCAATACGAGATGAGAAGGCATCCAATACTTTTTGTTTGGTCTTGTTCATTATTACTTCATATATTTGAAATTCCTCCACAATTTGTCTTTCGAGTTCATCATCTCTGTTAGCTTCTGATTTGAGTTTTTCAAAATTCTTCTTGTGCTTTTCCAATATATCCTTGTAAAGTGTACAGAATTCTCTCACACATTCACAAGCAAATGCTTTAGTAATTTCTGTCCACAATTCATCTGAACCTCCTTCAAAACAAACTGCACACAGACACACTGGATCTATAGAAGTTTGTGAATTATTTACATGGCTTGATGAATTACTACTGGAGAGAGTTGGAGAGATGGGATCATTTGGATGACCAAAAACTATGTACATTAAATTCGAAGAATTAGAACCCATAGGATCACTTAAATTCAGACATGCTCTTCTATTACGTTTTGAACGATGATGAACACTTCGTCTTCTAATTGTATTAAATCCTGATAGAATATTCATGCTACTGGCACTGTTTGTTTTTGAATGATGTGATGTTGGTGTGGTTGGATTTGAAGTTGTAACAGTTTGATTACCTAGAGTTGGTGTTGGTGTAATGGTTCTAAATTTGCTTCCTCCACTAGCTCCTATAAGATTGAGCCCAGGTGTTGTTGTTGATGTACCCGAAGCTTGACGAATGATTCTACCACTTGTTGATTGGGAAGATGTTTGACTTTCACTTGGTGGTTGAAATACTATTTTTCTAATTCCTAATTGATGGAAAAGATCATCATTATACAATATATATTATCCAACATTATGAATTAATTTCATAATGATAATAGTTAATAATAGATGTGATTAAAAGTAAGTATGATAATGGATTGTAGTTAATGATAATAATAAATAAGAGAGATCTATTACTACAATGAAAACTTACCTCCACCTTTAACAGTTGCATCAAATTGATAACAAGATGCCAAAAAACCTCCAATATCTGCCTTCTTGGCATTCCAAGCTCCCGGAAAACAATAATCAAATATCGAAACACCAGTCTTTGAATGAATAATAATTATTCTCTGAAATTTATGTTCCTCTCTACCATTCATCATGGAAGTGGTCGATGATGTTGTTGATAGTGTTGAAGAGTCCAAATTGCCATTATTATTTGGAGTGGTGTGTTGAGAGAGTGAGGTTGATTTTAAACTTCTCGTCAGCTCACTCAATGTTGGTGTTCCACTCATTTTTATTCTTTTTCTTGATAACAAGAAGATATGTGTGATGGAAGAATTTGATGATGGTGGTGAAGGGTTTGTATGTGATAATGACGTGATTGTTCGAATAAAGGAGGACTAGGAGGATGAATAAAAGGTATATTCATGTCCATTCTTGTTGTCCGAAAGCTATCTAATTATTAGAAAAATTAAACAAGCTTGTTTTTAATAATAGTAATTGTTATCAATAATTATCCATATTACAACTCAATATTATGCCATTCCCAATTCATAATTAAATATAATAAATAATCATCAACTGAATTCAATATTCGTCATGATGATGTTCAAATAAAAAGGTAAAATAAAACTTTGAGAAAAAAAACAAAATGCCAAAGAAGAATCGCATGTCGCCTGGACAATTGTTCAAAGTCTATCGTCAGGTTGAGGGAATTACTCAGAAATGTCTGGCCGGACATGGAAATATTCAAACTTTAACATTTAATAATAATTCTATCATGTCGAAAGGAATGACCTTTGCTTTGGGAATTGAAGTTTTAAAATGTGAGTGTCTGATTGGTTTTAATTTTAATAATAATTGTTTGATATAATTGAATATGATATCATCACATGATCGGAATAGACCATAAAATTATTGACAAGATTATTGCTGAGAGTGGATTGTTTAAAAAGAAACCAAGTTTAAAGAAGGATCAAGGAATGCTCAGAATTATCATGTTTGAAGCCTTGTTTGGAGAAAAGAGTGGTGACTCTACTAGTATTGAGGAATTGTGGAAACGTTATGATAAGATTAATTTGTATGTTTTAAATTGTGTTATTAGTAGTGTGCTAAATTAGAATAGTGATTTGTTTAAACTTGGAAGAACTGAATATGCAACTTGGAAATCACTCTTGGATAAGGAAAAGAAGAAATTAGGATATACCACAAATGAAGGTTTTGTTGATCCAAAATATGCCAAATCAAAGACACATCAACATGATAATCCAGAAATTGAACTTATTAGATATGTTAGAGTGAATACCCTTAAAACAACAAAGGAAGAAGTAATTAACAAATTCTCTGAACTCGGATATGAATATAGACCAGTTGGATTGGATAAAACTGATGATTTTGATAAGAATGAAAAATCAATTGTTGAAGATAACCACTTGACTAATGATGTACTTGCATTATATCCTTCCAATGTTACACTTCATGATTTGGAAATGATAAAATCTTATGAAATCATTGCTCAAGATAAATCGTCGTGTTTCCCACCATTTTTGATTCATAAAGAATTGGGAGGAAAGCTTGGAAAGAATGATTGTTTAATTGATGCATGTTCTGCTCCTGGAAATAAGACATGTTATTTGGCAGCTCTTTTCCCTTCTAATCAAATTTATGCATATGAGAGAAATAAGAATAGATACGAAACATTGAAGAATAGAATGGTTTTGGCTGGAGCTAGCAACGTAGAATGTAAATTGGATGACTTTTTACAAACAAATCCATCAGATCCAAAATTCAAGAATGTCAAGGCTATCATGTTGGATCCATCATGCTCTGGTAGTGGTATTGGTCACGGAAATTCAATCAAGAAGGAACGTCTTCTCAGTTTGCAACAATTCCAGCTCAAATTGCTTACTCATTGCTTTAATTGTAAGTTTCTCTATGAGTAATAATTATTGATTCACAATTTCAAAAACAGTCCCTAATGTTCAATTTATTTCATACTCTACCTGCTCAGTTTGTGAGGAAGAAAATGAATGTGTCACAGAGATGGGATTAAAGGCATCGAATGGAGCATTTGAAGTTGTTCATACCTTCCCAGAATGGGAACATAGAGGATTGGAAAGCTCACCTGTAGGCGACAAGTGTGTCAGAGTTGATCCAAAGAGAGATAAGACAAGTAAGTATTGTAGTTGTAACATATGTGGTTTAACATTATGATAATAGATGGGTTCTTTGTAGTCTGTTTCAGAAGAGTTAACAAGCAATAGAGAATTCGTGATGTGAAGTATTGAGATTGAGCTGCTCACTTTATGAAGTTTGAAAAGATATTGACCTTATTCAATTTCTCCAATTTTCAGTAAAAATCATATTAACTATTAATAATTTAAAAAATATTTACTGAACTGAGTTCAATTTATTCCAACAAAATACCAACAATCTTACCAACTTGAACACCGCACAATTCCCACTTTTGGAGCTTCCAGAAAGAAATAGCCTTCTTGAATTCACTAGCAATATCACGACCATTATGGAAAATGTTGACAATTTCATGGACAATAACCTTAACAATTCCTCCAGGACCTGATTGGAGTTCCTTGGCAATTTCTTCAATTCTAGCAACAATTTCATTAACATTACATGCCTTCAAAGCAATAGCAACTTCTTGAACACCAGCACCGAATTCCTTCAAACCAGTTTCAATCAACTTTGGTGACAATCTCTTCATACCATTTTCCAATGAGTAGAAGGCATTTTCAAAATCACCCAAAGCAATATTAGCATCTTGAGTACAGAGGGTAACATTACCAACTACAAGTTGTAGTGAAAATATATGAAATCGAGATGGAGATATCAGTAACAGAATAATATCATTATTTAAAAATCCGAATCAAAGATCTACATACTATCAGCTTCAACACCCAAAGCAAAGCCTTCAATAAAAGCCAATACATTAGCTGGCAATGCTCTGGCAGGAGCAACCGGAGCAAACTTGAGAGGACGCAATGCGCTAACTGAAGCAACAGCAATCATCAACACAACAACCAAACCAACAAGAATTTTGTTCATTTTTTTAATAGTTTTGGAAATGTAAAAATATCCTTGAGGTGATTGAAATTTCCTAAGGAGTTTAATTTTTGAAGATAATGAAGATATTGGAGAGGTCAATTAGGAAGGACTTGAAGGAAGAGGCGAAGGAGAAAGTGGATTATAGTGTTTATGTTGTTGGAATGGTATTGTCTTTTGACTTTAATTCACTTTGGCATGTAATTTGAAATTATTTGAAATCATGTTGGGAAGTTTCATTAAAGGAACTATCACATTAGATTGTAATCATCTCCAACTCCTCGTGTGGAGACCTTAAATGTGCTGACTGATAATTTTTGTAAAGTTACAAATAACAACTACATGATCCTCTTTTGGATCTTGACAACTATTGTGAGATACCTTAATCACCTTACAGTTTACAAGTTACTTAAACACCTTCCCAAAACATGTTAAAATAGCCCTCTTTCCTGTTCATTAAATATTATTAGAAAGATGAATTATAATATTTCTGTTTAGAATAAATTAAGATTGAAATTATTTTGTTCGAGTTTATTGGAAGAGTTTAATAGTACTATCACTACCACAGGTTGCAAATAGAGATCGATCGAGTGGATGCCAAATACTACCAATGACAATTCCTTCATGACATTGCATCTTTTTGATTTGTTTTGCCTCTTTCCAATCCCAAAACCAAACATTTCCTGTGTAATCTCCACTGAAAACAAACTTTCCATCATTTGAAAAACCAGCTTGACATGAATAACCAGCAATTTGATGTCCCTTGAATATCTTATTTTGTTGTTGTTTCAATCTTGATTGAGCGTCAAATGTCAAAATTTGATTATCAAGAGATTGAGCAATCATCCACTTTCCATTTGGATGAGCTTCCAAGAATGGCATTGGATGTTGTTCTGGATCTGCAATTTTCTTAACCTCAGTTGGTACACCATATTCCCATAATCTTATTGATTTATCATCACTGCTAGAAACAAACTTTTTACCACCATCAAGGAAACACAAAGAATTCACTGAACCTGTATGTCTATCATATTTACGAACAATCTTTCCTGACCTAGTATCCCATTGTACAATTCTATTATTCGAATACCCTACAATAACTTCATGTTGTCTGCCTTCGAGAGGACTCCACTTGACACAGTATGGTGTCGAACCAGAGGTGAAAGTTTGAAGTATGTTACCAGTTTCGGTATCCCAAATATTAACTCTCTTATCATAGGCACATGAAGCAAATTGAGCTCCATCGTGGGAGAATGATGATGCTCTGACAGCTTTGGTGTGACCTACGTAGGTTCTCACACAATCCCTATTGCCTAGAACATCCCAAATCTTTACTGTACAATCCATAGAACCGCTCAATAAGAGATGACCATATTCTGGAAAAAATTCAATGGAGGTGACCATTTTACCATCTTGATGTCCACGATAGGTATGAATACACTTCTTTGGAAGAACTGATTTCTTCTCAGTATATTCACATGGTTTGAGATGAGATGGAGGTGAAATGAATGATCTTCCTTGATAATCCACATCAGTTGACAAGTGGTAAATACTGTATCCATCCTTTCCTTCAGTTGATGTTTTCTTTTCAGTTTCCTCATTGAATGCAATTTCAGGTAATTTTCCAAAATCTTCCTTCTTTTTCTTTTTATCCTGTTCTTCAGATTGTTGATCTTTAAGGGCTTTAATTTGTTCCTTTCTTCTAGCCATTTGTTCCTCGTGTTGAGACTTGATTTCATTAATCATATTTTCATGTTGTTCCTCAGCTGTTTCATCCTCTATGAATGCATCCTCACCAAAAGCAGAAATAATTTCCGCATCTTCACTCTCGTTCAATTCAATGTATTTTTCATTCTTATTATTACTTGTTGATGATGAATATGATGCCAGTTGATCTTGTTTCCTCTTCTTATTTTTATTTGCTGATGATCCAACATGAATTGATGATGAATTAGGTCTTTCAGCACTTCCTCCAGGTAATAAATTACCTTGTCTTGAAACATCGTAATTATAATATTGACTATTAAATAAATAAGTATTCATATTATGTGAATTAATCTCGCCATTCAACATGAATCCCGAATCAAATTTTGTATCACTTGTGGCAAATGGATTTTTAGGTCCTACTTTAGGTGCATATAATTCATCATACTTTGGATTAAATACAAGTGATGTTGAATCCTTAGGGAGAATGTATTGTTTCTTATCGGAAAGAGGAACATTAGGTGCTGCTGTAAAAGTATTATTGTTATTACTATTTGATGATAATGGCTTAGGTTGTTGTATTGGTTGATTATTTACATTATCTTCATCATCACTGCCATAGGATTGAAGAAAATTCATTTTTTTTAATTTATTATTATTAACAAATTAATGGTGATTAATTGAACATGAAGAAAATAATGATGATCGGTTTTATTATTAATAATTATTTGTCATCATCATGATAATAAGTGATAATAAGTGATAATAAGTAATGGAATGAATATTAAAAAAGAAATAGGAAAATAATTTATTGTTGTTTCAACTTTTCAGCTTGTTGAGTCTTTAAATCGTAATACTTCTTACCAGTAGTGGCACAGGTCAATGGAGTGAAAACACCAATATCAGTAAAGAAACCAGAAATTAAATCAGCAGTTGTGACATCAAAACCTGGATTCCAAACACCAATATTTTCAACAACAGCACGTTCATCATTATTTCTATAGTGAGTAATTTCCTTTTCACTTCTTTCTTCAATGGTAATCAAATCACCAGAAGCAAGAGTCAAATCAATAGATGTGAATGGAGCAGCAACATAGAATGGAATTCCGTGATGTTTAGCACTAACAGCAATATGATAAGTACCAATCTTGTTGGCAGTATCACCATTATTACAAACTCTATCAGCACCAACAATGATAGCATCAATCTTCTTAGTCTTGAACAAGTAACTAACAGCAGAATCACAAATCAATGTAGATGGAATCTTTTCATAGACCAATTCGAAAGCAGTGAGTCTAGCACCTTGATTGTATGGTCTAGTTTCAGTACAGAAGGCATGTTCCAAAACATTCTTCTTTTGCAAGAAACGAATAACACCCAATGCGGTACCATACTTCATAGTAGCCAAAGCACCAGTATTACAGTGAGTCAAAACTTTCAAAGTAGTGCTCGATGGATTGGTTGAAATGATATGATCACTACCACATTCACTAATTTTAGCATTTTCTTCAATATCTCTATTCATCAAGGCTTCAGCTTCATCAATGATGAGTTGAACAATTTCGGTACCAGTCTTGTTAGTTTCAAGTGATTGAGCAATCTTATTCTTAAAATCACCAACAGCTTGGAACAAATTGACAGCGGTTGGTCTACTTTCAGCCAATCTATCCAATTTTTCATTAAATAATTTAGCAATAGCAGAAGCATCAGCCAAGAGAGCATCATTACTTTGCAAAAGTTGGTTAGCTTCAACAGCCAAGGTCAAAACGGCAACAATGGCAATAGCTGGAGCACCTCTAACTTTCATATCTCTAATGGCATGGAAAGCCTTTTCAGTTGTATCAACAACTTCATAGATAAATGACTTCGGAATGAGCAATTGGTCAAGAATTTCCAAAGATCCACGAGTATATTTGATAGCTTCAAGAGTAGCGCCGACAGATGAGGACATTTTTTTTCACATTTTTTTTGAAATTTTTAATTGAATAAAAAATTAGCGAATAAATGGAAGAATTGAACATGCGACCATAAACTTCCAAAGATTACTTTTAAATGAATTTGAGAGAAACAAGTGGTAATGGGAAATCAAGAACTTGAACTGTGTGGAGATTGTATTGAATATAAATTTGAATCAATCATCTTAGAATTGTATGGATGTTGTTCAATGGTCGATATTGATGTAAATCTTCATTGGTGATGTAAGGTTATTTTAAGACATTTCACACAATGCACTTTTTAATGAGAGCAATTTCATTAAGAATTTCATCAAAAAAAACAACCAATCAAATGACCAAAAGTAAGGACACAGATCAAGACTCCTCCTCATTCAATAATAAGAGAAAGAGAGGTGAGAATCAATATGATGGTATTGAAAAGAGTCAAACTAAACAAGTAAAGAGGAGTCCAGAACTGAGAGAGGCTCATGTGTACTTTAATTCTGGAACTGGTAATGTTCCTCATTATTCTAATGATTCATCCTCTGTGCAATCTTCCTCATTCTCCAATAGTAGTAACACATCCTCAACTTCCTCTAATGAAATGAGTTCTTCATCTCTGTGGAATGGACAAGCACATCAACAACCAAGTATAATTTTCAATATTAATTGTAGAGTCAATAATTCATATTATCAAACTGGTACATTCAATTATTCCAATCCATTTTCACAACCATTATCTCAATCAATGAATAATGTTTCATTCAATTCCGCTAATAATACATCTACTAGGTCTTCATCTAGATTGGGTAAAACACAAATGAATCAAGACGACGATTCAGATGACGAATTGGATAATGATTCAATTCTAACAGATTTAACTGATTATTAATAAAACTAATTCGTGTATAATAAACATTTTCGAATCCAATCGAATTGATTAACAATTCAGTTAGTATGGATTCATGTTTATTCTTCTCCAATCGTCTTCACCTTCTTCCTTAACCAAATCATCAAAGACCAAATCAGCCAAAGTCTTGGAAGAAAGACCAATGTTTTGAGAGCTAGTAATTGTCATTTCGATTGGATAGTGATCACTGACATCTTCAACCAATTCTTCATCAGTAATCTTCATATCCTTATCATATCTATAAACGGTAGCTTGACCGAGTTCATAGAGAGCTCCACTGGAAAGCTTCTTTGCTGAAAGTTCAACTGGAACAATATATCTATCATATGAACATTCAGAATCAGCAACAGTTGAGTCCATATCAATCAACCACTTGAATCTAGCATCAGTGGACAATTTGAGTTTCTTCATTTCAGTATCAGACAAGTAAGAACAATCAGCATTGAAATCACCAGTCAAAATAATATTCTTATAGAATGGTTCACTCTTGAATGAATCATAAACTTCAACAAGATGATTCAATTCATTGACAACATCACCTGGTTTAATATGACATCCAAGAATTGCAAATTGTTGACCTTTCAACTTGGCAGCATTCAATTCAAAAACAAATGCAAAAGGCGGTCTTTCAAACCATCCTTTTGTATCCTTAAATTGAACAGTCTTGATCATTTTTACCTTATCAGTATTGTAAATAAATCCATATTGTTCCTTTGAATTACTTCTTCCAAGTCTTTCACTAATTGCTGAGCCATACTTGACATTCTTATTGTAATTTGACAATTCTTTTACAAGATTAGCAAAGGCAGTATCGGAAGAATCACGAACTTCTTGAATTAATACTAAATCATATCTGGAGAGAATTTTCAAAATGACAGCCAAAACATTCTTCTTTTCCATTTTGGAAGAACCAAAAATTTGAATATTGAAAGAGGCAATTTTAACTTCATTCTTACTGGCTGATGCGTGAGCAAGTGCGTAAGCTTCAGATGATGTTCCACTCAAGGAGGCATCAGAGAAGGCTGTCAAAATTGACAGTAATACACACATCAACAGACATGTGGCGGTTAAAAGTGTTGATTTTTGCATTTTTTTTAATGATGGGTCTCAAAAAAAATGTCGTACCACCCAGTAACTACACTGTTGACCCTGAGACCACAGTGTGTTGCCGCAATACTTACGTCGGGTTAAGTCACCGTACCCTATACTACCCGGGGTTCCAGCATAGGGTGTTCAAGCCAAGTATTTGTGTCCACAGAGTTACAAGAAATGAACAAAGCAATCCCAACAAGAAAGAATTTATTATTTAATATTCGTAATATCATCAAGACGAACCCGTCGGGTTCATACGATTAATAAACGTTTAAATTTTTTTTAATGATGGATGATGAATGCTATTGAATTGCAGATTAAATCGGATTTATTGCATAAGCCCTATTTCTCAGAAATGTGATAAATGTCATTACAGTAATGAAACCAGTTCTGTAAGAAGTTTTCAATAAATTGTAAAATTGTTATCTTTCTAAATACCTTGAAAATATTTCAGTTATGAAACAAACACCATGTTGAATATATAACTAATTCCTTAATAAAAAAAAGTATCATTTCATAACAATAATCAAATCAGAATATTGCCGATTCTTCAATAAATCAGAGTGGAAACTCCTTTCAAGTAAATCAATAGCTGGTTGATATTCTTCTATTGCCAATTGTTTTAATCGATATCTGGCTTCGAGTGAATCCTTTTTACAACCATAACCATACAGGTACATGATGGCCAAATCAAAGAGACATTTTCCCTTCTTTGATTCTGCTGCTTTCTCAATTAATTTGAAAGCACAATCAAAATTCTGCTCTACAATCTTTCCTTCCAAATAAATAAGCCCTAGCAAATTCTGGCTTTGATATAATTGTTGAGTTGATTCTAGCATTTCAATAATTTCCAAAGAATTGTAAGAATCATTTCTTGCATTTTCATAATATAACTCCTGTGCAATGTAGAATTTGGAGATGGGCATGTCAAAACAAGAGCAGAATTCAATGAAAGTCTTCTTAACTGTTGCATCCAATAAAAACAATTCGTATGCAAGTTTGAAATCATAATCTCCTCGAATTCCAGTTGTACATCTCAATGTTACTTTGGCATTGGCTTGTTGATTACCCTTCCTGGCAGCCTTTACATACCACTCCATTGATTTCTTTTCATTAATCTCACATCCAATTCCTCTTTCGTAACAAACTCCCAAACTGTACATGGATACAGGTATTCCACAATTGGCAGCTTTATGAAACCATTCAAATGCCTTTCCTAGATCACGTTCACAACCTTCTCCTCTTTCAATCATGTATCCTAATCTATGAAAACACAAATCCAATCCCAATTCTGCTCCTTTCGAATACCATTTCATTGCATTATCAAAATCCTTTTCCTGATGACATTTATCTGCCACAAGAAAGCATGACATTCCATGACCAGCATTAGCTGCCTTTTCATACCACTCCATAGCTAGTTCTACATTAACCTCCCTTCCCACTCCAAAATTATAACAATTTCCAACATAGAATGTGGAAATCAAATCACCCCTTTCTGATCCCATCATGGCATATTCGAAAACCTTATCTTCATTATATTGAACACCCACTTGATTTCGATAACATTCCGAAATGATGTTGAATGCTTGTGGATAATTCTTAACAGTGGCCAACTCTCCTAAGAGTGGAGTACTTGGGTAATAGACAGTGTTATAGTTGGTTTTTAGTTGGCTATGTTCCGTCTAAACCCCATCCACAACCCTACTACAACCCTAATTTCCCCCAACTTGTTTCCGAAAATAACTGAACGATTTTCCAGAAATTAATCGAATATCAGCCCATAATCGCCTGACCGTTTTAGTTCAGTGTTAGTTGGTTGGTAGTCGGTTGATTGTTGGGTAAAGGAATGAAATTGGTGGGTAACTATTCAATAAATATTCAGTAACCATTCGGTTATTATATGGTAAACATTCAGTGACTATTCGGTGAACATTCAGTTTCTATGCGGCTTTTAGTGTGTTGGTATTAGACTGAAAGTTTCCCTTAATTTACTCTGTTGACCATTACAATTTTCATAATTTGAGTAAAACTGATTTATTTATTTACAATTGTTGTGCTTCTTCTGAGTCTGATTGACCATTATCTGAATAAAGATCTGCACCATCTGATTCCATATCAAGCAAATTAATTGCGTCTGCTGAAGGTTGTGTTGCTCTTGTGTCAGGTTTTTTGATCCAATCTTTAACAAGTGTTAAAAAAACAACTTGTTCATCTTCTGCAACATAGCTCTGCAATGAAGAGAATTGACCATTGTTGGCTCTGACATGTTCTCTTGTTGGTGAAGAGGTAGAAGGTTGAATATCTGTTGCTTGAATTGAGGATGGAACCCCTTCTATATTAGAAACTTCTACATTGGAATTCTTCTTTCTTTTTGGCTTCTCTTTTTTCTTTAATTCTATTAGACTCTTTCTTTTAAAAGAACTCCACAGATTGCTGAATATCTTACTGACATAACAATAGCTCTAATTAATTGTTGGAAAATAATTAATAAATAATTTAAGGATAAACTTCACTTACAATACTTTGCACGTATTTATATGTATCCGTTGACAATCCATTAACATGTTTTCTGAACAATGTTTCACCAAAAGTTAATTGCAGACAATCTTTACATGAACTCATGGCAGTATCATTTTGGGGAATCCCTTTTCGCTTACAGTAAATTCGAATACATTGCATAACTTCTCTTTTTAGTCTATATAAAATCAAATAAATAACTAACAATTTGCTTACTTACGCTCGTTAAGTATCCTTCCATCCCACTGCAGCCTTGGGATAACAGTCAGCCAACTTTTCATATGTGGCTTCTGGTAAACATGTTATGGTTAATTTAGTCTTCTTCTTTGTTATTAGAATAATTTATGTTGAATAAATGGTGCTAAACTACTTACTTTTACTGATGGTGATGATGCTGAAATGATGTAAAATTGGCAGTTGATGGAAAAGTTACAAGGTTGATGTTGAATTACTTACCTGGCATTTATTGTGTTTTTTATTGTGTTTTTTTTGATTCGAATTTTCAGTCGAAAGCCAGTTTTTAGACGAAAAAAAATGTCTTTACAAAATAACAAGGAACAAGGTATCTATTTTGAAAGACGCTGTGATTCTTGCAAGAAATCTTTACACACAGTATTTTACCAACCAATTTCAAGTGCAAAATTCAAGATTCAAATTAAATGTAACTGTGAAAACTCTGAGTGTAAAAATTTTACTAAGGAAAAACTTGGATGTTGTTTATGTGATTATAGTTGTGTCAAATCTGAAACGTTGTTGAAACATATTACAAAAGAACACTGATCCTTCAAATAAGTTTGCTCCATTCGCTAATGAATTAGAATGGCATAGTTTCATGATGTTGAAATCCAAACAGTTTACAAAAGAACAATACAATTATACAACTGAAATACTGAAATTATGTGGTCAAGAATGTCTTTCATACGATCAAATTCAAACCAGATGTAAATATTTCAAAACTCAACAACCAATAATTGATGAAAATGATACTGAACAGGACCAATATGTATACTATGGTGTTGTAAATTGTATCAAATATTTATATGCAGATCCGTTTATTGCAAAAAAGATACATAATGGTAATAAGCCAGAGGATTTAACAAAAGAACCATTATTCAATTATGAACCATACGCATCAAAAGGATTTCAAGAATTGAAAAAGAAATGTTCACCAGACGAAACACCAATTGTCATTATGTATTATATTGATGAATTTAGAAAACATAGAACAGGTACAGACAAAACAGCAGGATTATATTTCACCTTATTGAATTTTAATCGAAGCTTTCTTACTTCGAATATGGAATCAATTTCATTACTAGGAAATTCAAAAACAAATATTTCCCAATTCAAATTAGCAACAAAACTAGTTGAAGAGTTGAATGAAATTAATGGAAAATCAATTGATGTTTATAACTCTTACACTGATTCAATTGAAAAGATTCGAATTCTAATAGGTCCTTGGATTTGGGATTCTGTACAAAGATGGCTATCATTATTTCTTGAAAGCTATACATGTTCTAAATGTAAATGCCCAAAAGGAGATTATTGTAAATGTCCTAATGACATTTCAACACCTTTAGTCTATCCTTTAAGAACTGTTACTGAAGCAATTGAAATGCAACAAAAATTATCAATTGGTACCTCATGTAATGGCTACAAGTTTATTACAGTCGCTGATATTCAAATCAAAGATATGCAGATTGATTCCAAGTCCAAAAAATCCAAACAGGTAAAAGAAAAAGTTCGACAAAGTAACAATACTCAAATGAAGTGTCCGTTTTTACAAATTAAGGATTGTGATATTTTTGAAAATTCAACTGTTGAATTAATGCATGGTTCTATTCAAGGTGATTTAAGGAGACACCTTAAAAAATTTTTCAAATATTTCAATTACACCAACATTTTAAGTGATTTTCAGTCTGTTATGGACAAGTATACAAACAATCATGGTAAACCTTTGAAAATGATTGCAAAAGATTACAATGATTGTTCAGCAGATCATTTTTTGGAATTCGTGGTTTTTAGTTGCCCAATTATCTATGATTTTCTTATTAATAATAAGAATCACTGTGATGTTTCATTCAGTTTGAAGAAGAAACATATTATATGTTGGTCAAATCACGTAGAATACGTACTTTCTTTGATTCAAGATTTGGTTTCACCTTCAAACATTGAAATTGCAAAATTGAAACATTTCAATTTCAGGAAACAAGTCATTTCCCTATATGGTAATGGTAATTTTACAAATCCTAATTTTCATTGGAATTCTCATATTTTTGAAGATTGTTTGAAGTGGGGAAATGCCAGGTTCTTCTGGGCATTGCTTTTTGAATTGAAACACAAAGTTTTCAAACAATTTAATGACTCTTCCAATCACAAAAATTTAGAACAACGAGGAGCGAATTTTGAAAAACTTCAAAGACAAATTAACATCAATTATCCTTGGGTAAGAAATCAATCTGAAAACAAGAAATGGATTCCAATTGTACAAAACAAAGAATTTATTTTATTTAAGGCAAAGGATGGTTCCTTACTTGTTGGTCAATTTGTTGAGGTTAAAGAGCAAAAAGTATATTTCACCAACATCAAAAAGTGTCTCTCTTCGGTTCATCCAATTATTGGATATAGATTAATTGATTCAAACATTCATGTAACAACAGGCTATGTTGCACTAAATCAAATAATTGGTAAATGTTTGATTCATAATATTGCTGGCAAAGAAATGTTCAACCAATACTCGTTTTTCATGAATTTTCATAAAGTTAAATTTTAAAAATAGAACTTTTATTATTAATTTTTGGCTTTGAAGGTGTATTCAACAGCTTCCGACTACCCGCACTACCATCCGGCTGTAACCGGCTACCGGCTACACCACCAACTACATCCACTCTTAGGCTAGCACCATGGAAAACATTTGATGTGGATTGGATTCTTCAAGAGAAAGTGCAAACAGAAATTGTTCTGAGAGTTGATTGATTTGTGTGGGGTTATCAGTTGAAGTTTGCATTTTTTTTTGATTTTATTTGCATTTATTTAAATAGTTTACAACAATAATGTTGTTATGGAAAATGGTTGTTTTTCAAGTTTTTACTTTGATAAGGCTTCCATTGATATTGTGAAATGGTTAACATTGTAAAAATTTGTGAATTCATAAAGTGAACTTTCATGGACAATATTAAGCAAACACTCTCTTAATATACTATTCAAAACACGTGTTTGAGGCCTTTTCAACATTTACCTGACATAACCCCTCTCCATTTAATACACCCACACCTCTTTACAGTAGAATTTAAATTGATAAAACTCCAATTAGCATTTAAAATTCTCCAAACACTCTCATCCACTCAACAAACACATTCAACAACAAAAACCCTTAAAAAAAATGTCTCAAAGCGCCAAGTCAATGTCCGTTCCACCATCACCACCTCCTAAAATGTTGAAGCAATTGCAACGTTGGTCGGGAATTACCTTCTCAGTTTTTGTAACCTTACACGTGGCTACAACTATTTCTGCAGCCTTATCTCCATTGAAATATGATTCTGTTCTGGAAACAACTAGAGGAATTTATAGACCAAATATGATTGTTGAGGGTTTGGTCGTATTCGCTCCACTTGCTGTTCACATGTTTGTCAATTCACTTCTCTCATTCACTCAAAAGAAGGCAGCAGAAGTCGAAGCAGCAACAGCTTCATTATCAAAGAAATTACACAGTATTACTGGATATATTCTTTCATTCCTTATTCCAATGCACATTTTTGGTAATAGATTTAAAAATTCATTTAATGCTTCATTTGCTTCAATTGCTTTTGTGGCTGAGAAGGAAATGGGTATGGTAGGTGCTTTGGGATTCTTTGGATTCTTATTGGCATGTGGATTGTATCATACTATTTATGGATTGAATATTGCTCTTGGATATAAATTGAAGAAACCATTAGTGATGGCTTTGATTATTGCAGCTTTATCTGCTTCCTATTATGGTATTTTGGGATTTGTTGGATTGTTGTATCCTGATCAAATGGTTGCTGTGAGAGCTCAGTATGATCAATTCGCTAATTAAATATTGTCAAACAGAATTCAAAATGATTGATTGAACACTCATTGTAATAAAGTTCATCAAGGTTTCATCAAGAAAACTTTAAAAAAATTGCCCCAACATGGTCCTTCGCAAACTCTTCTCTAAAAATTCATCATCAAATTCCTCTTCTCATCACAACAAGAAGGATCATCATTCTGATGAAACGTCCACAACCTCATCATCCCACCAATTCCTCTCCAATATTAATGATTTATTATTCCAAAGTGTTGAATCACAATATAAAAAATCAGTGATGGAAACATTTGTAATTCCTGATGATTTATTGAGGGAGATTTTTGGGTTTATTGAGAATGATGAGGAGACTTGTTTGAGTTTTCAGTTGACTTGTTGGAATTGGTATTTGGTTTCTTGTTCGTACAGATATCAAGAATTTGAAATACCAAATTATGGAACATATACATTCTATCAAGGAGCCAAGAATTGTTACTATTTAATTTTGCCTTCTCCAACTAATAATTACTCAACCTATACTGTTCCTAGAAGAAAACCCTGGAGTTGGAATGATGCTGATATTATAACTCGTTGGTATCGATTGAGAATTAATCCAGAAACTTTAATGATTCATACAGGAGATCATACATTTTCCAAGTCAACTGGCGTATGTAATCATCATAATTGGAAAACAAAGGAAGTTTCGTATGCAACTTGTTTTGGTTGTGAAGGGGGTTCAGTCGATGACGGAAGAGCAATGTGTGATCTGAGTGGTACTCCTTTCAAATTCAGTGTTAGCTTTTTACATAACGGTTATTGTAGTTATGGAACTTGGAATTTCTCAAAGGATGACCAAATTATTTCATTGACTGGGGGTGGATATTGTGGTTGGACATGTCCTGTTGGAGCTGCTGATGAAAAACAAGCTGTAGATGGAGGATGGTTTATCAAATTGGAAGTTATATCGAATAAATAGTACAAGTAATTTTTTATTGGACTTTTTTATTGCCATAAAGAATTTACAGAGATAATCAAGGTTTTTAAAAAATGTCAACTGATGTGAATGCGACGACACCTCATTTAGTGAGAACAGTGACGTGCAGCTTTAAAATTATATTCGATGGAATCGGATTCTTCATATTCCTTATCATAACATTGTTTATGCTTTCAATTTTTATTTTAAATTATAAGAAAATGGTTTCCAATAAGAAAATACTTTATTCAGTAATTCTATCATTATTTATATTGGAAGAAATTTTTCAAATTGTTGGATTGGGTACTTGTATTTGTTTACTACTTGATTTGGAAGTAATTTATATAGTAGTCAGTTCATCATTGGAACAATCTATCTTTTACTTGTCAATTGCTGCTTGTGTCAATTGCCAATGTTTTATTACAAAGATTTTAAATCAATTATTCTTTAACAAATCACATGAATGGATGAGAATGAATAAGAAGAGACACTATATTTCACGATTTATCACAATATTGAGCATTTCGCTGATTGTAACAGTCAACTTGATTTTCGTAATAATTGTTGGTTTTGTAATCTCTTCAAATATATTCAGATATTATGACGCTGACAGGAAGCTATTGTCTGAAACGGATTTTCTTATTTTCAAACAAGTTGGTGAAGCCATGTTTGGACTTTACATTTCAATTACAAGTTTAGTAACAATTTATTACTCATTACTAAATATGGCTATTGTTGTGTTGCTTATCAGAAAGTTATTACTCAATCAAAAGTTTCCAATCACAGAGCAACGTAAGAAATCATGTAGAAATTTGCTTTTATTAACATTTGGCCAACTTTATATGGCAATTTTCAATTTGATTTCATTGATAGTAGGATCTGCTGCATTTGGAATATTTATTCAGATTTATCCCGTATGCATTCTTTTCCACAAAATAACCTTGTTATCATTTTGTGTTTTTGTAACGTTTTCATTTGGTCCTTTGGATAATATCATGATAGAAATTAGAGCTAGCTCAAATGATACTGTTGAAACCATTAAAAGAGATGCCAAATCTCAAGCAGCTGTGAATACTGTAGATATTGTTCGAAAGGAGGAATTCAGAGTAGATTCTATAAAATCTGAAATTTCTCACTGGACTCCATCTATTAGAAACGAAACTCCAATCCTGATTGATCCCACAAACGAATTTACAGAAATTCCACTTTGGGAAACACCCAATAGGAATCAATTTTAACGCATGATTAGTGAGACAATTCACAGTTTAATTATCCTTAATATTTGGTCTTAGTGAATAAAAAAGTGTTTCTTGTTTGTTGTGGCTTTGTCCATTCCTAGATTCCTGTGATGAAACTGTAGGCAGAGTTATAATTTATCTACTAGTTCGGTGTAGGTGGGAACTTGTTCGGGCAGTCCTTTTCTGAGACGAATTCTATTCACAATTTCTAATAATCGAGTTGAGTTTGCAGTAATTGGTTTCCAATGATCGAAAATGAATTGAGAAGAAATATTTAGCTTATTCAAATGGTCCACAACTCCGAACGATTCCGAAACTGGTAAATAAGCTTTTCCAAAGGTTGAAGATTTGAAATTTTCCTGTTCCAACACAATTCCTCTCCTTTCATTGAGAATTGAAAAGAGAGTTCCCAATTGAGATTGTCCACATTTAAATTCCATTAATAATGTTGGTTCCATTAGGGTTGGTTGTGCATCTAACATGGAGGCGTAACAACCTCTCTTTGCTACTGATGATATTTGCCCAGTTGATCTACGAAGAGCATCACAATGCAGGGTCACATCTTTGAGATTGAAACGAACACCTCGCATTAATTCATTGCATAAAGGACCTTCTTGTGCAGCAATATGGAAACCAAGACAAATCGAATCCCTAATCTCATTCAAGTATTGAACTCCTTTTGTCTGATCGACGAATGCATTTGCATTGGCTCCAATATTTCTAGTAGTATCTCTACCGAATGACCAAATCTTTCTGGCATCCAGAGGATCCCATCCAAACCTCTCGTTCAATACTCTGGCTCTTTCCGTAGAATCTTCTGGTAATTTTCCTGATTCAATATAATTGGATATCTCTTCTTGGAGAGTTTTAGCTGTGAGCCATAATCTATTGTGCTTGTTTGGAGTTTTCACAAACGTTATATTGGCTGATTCAGTTGTTACAGTTTCTTGATATTTTAATATTGGTTCAGACAATTCAAGTTCAATATTTGGATATAGTTGTTGGAATTGATCTAGCACTGAATTCAAATGAGATTCAGTCAATATTGTTAGTATTTTCTCTCCAGTTTCTTCATCCAAAGATAGGGAAATTGAAGAATCACATTTGGCAATCAGTTCCATTCCTTTGATGATTTTAGGAAGATTAACTTGTTTTTTAGGTTCCACATAAATATTAATCTTTGGAAAATTGAGAGAATTCACACTAGTAAATGATTTAGCTTCCAATTCTGTGCTCTCAGTAATGGTAGCTCCCTTGTTTGTTAGATACTTTTCAATTCCAACCAGTCCAACAATCGAATTGAATTCACAACTTGCCTCTTCAATTGGTTCAACAAGTAAACCATTGAAATTTACCATTCCACCAAGCACTTTTTCCTCAAATACATCCTTTGAATAAAATATTCTAATTAATGTGTCTGATTTCAAAGATCCTGAAAATATTCTACCCACTGCATAAATCTTTCCATTTACAATGTTGTTTGAAGAAATGTGAATCATTAAAGGACCATTTGGATCACAATTCTTGATTGCTGACCCAAATTTATCGGAAAGTAAACCAGAATAGAGATTTTGAGCTCTGTATTGTTGAGCCATTTCAGGAGAAGGTAAACTATTACAAATCAAGTCATGGATTGAATCACTGGCTGGCAACCATTTCTGCATGATGATTGAATTGGTTAATTCTTTCTTTGAATGGTCATCATATTCTGAAAGAGTTACTCCAAAAGGATTTAGCAATTCTTCTACTTGATGAAAATGTGAATCGCCACAAGCCAATAAGACATTTCGAATAGGTTTCAAAATAAATTGACAGAACCCCCTTTCTAATACATTTTCATTCGATTGATTCATCCATTGGCCATTTTCTGTGTCATAATAATAATCACCCCACAATTTCTCTACCAATTCTTCTTGATTCATTCCTAATTGTTTCGAATAAAACTTGGCAAAATCTTTCAATGTAAATGCCCATCCCTGCTTGACAGATCCAAACACCACATTTTCCAAACTCAATTTACCACCACTCACATCACTACAACTTGTACTAATCATCAAGTTGACCGAATCAATAATTTTCAATAATAATTTGTAAATTTCTTCCAAACTAAAATCGCAATCCATCAACAAGTCGTCCAATTTGTTTAACATTATAAGAAGAGGAATATTCTCTTGTGAAATTTGTCTCGTAATTAATTCTGTATATTTCCCCAGTTTTGAAGTGGAATCGAATAACATTATGCAACTATCGGTCAATCTGAAACTTGTGCTGACTTGGGAGACTAATTCTAACCTACCAGGACAATCCAATAAATTGATGGAATATTCTTGATGATCAGAGGAATTTAATTTTTTACTTGTAGAATATAATTGTGATTGGAAAGTACTTTCGAATAGAATTTGTGTTTTTACATTGTTTGTTAAATCATGGTTGATTAGTAATTGGGCGAGAGTCGATTTTCCGCTCGCGTATTCACCACAAATTGAAACATTTCTGGTACACTTTCTTAAGTTGGCACTTTGTGACATTTTGTTCAATCTCAAAATTAAACATTAGAAAGTTCAGACGAAACTGGTGAATTTAGTGAATCCACTGGAATTTTACCAGAATTCATCATTGCCACCTCTTTAACTACCTTATCACTCAAAATCAATCGATACATCATTTCAGACATGTCTTGTAAACAGTGAATTCTCAACAATCCAACTTCTTCATCAATTTTCTTCTCATCCTGATTGGAAATGTTCTCTTGGAGTGATTTGAATCGTTCCTCAATCTTGTCAATATTCAACTCGAGTGGAGCACCTTTCTTCAGATGGGTATTGAGAATGTGAAGTGCAATTTTGAGCTTGTTTGATTTTCTTCGAGCTTTCTTATAATTTTCAATATTGTCGAAACATAGGACTGGTTCTGAACAGTAGGATCTCCTGCTGAAATCGAGGGCTATTTTGAAAGTTTCCTTATTGAGGAGAATTCTTTCGAACATTGTGGAAGCAATTTCCTCTGGAAATATCCCATCTCCTTTTATGGATCTGCACAGTGGAATGGTTACAAAAACAAAGAGTTGAATGATGGAATACATAACCATCGATTGACCATACGGAAAGAAATAATCAGTATAAGTTCTTATAATGGTAATGTATGGACAGACAAGATAATTAATGACAGCAATGAGGAGGAGAATGCTCATTACTGAAGTTTCTATTTTGATTCCCCATGTATCCTTCTCCAAGAAGAAGGAAATCAAGAGCAGGACAACCAGAGCAGCCAAGTAAGATGCAAATAATCCACAGAAAACTGCCACTGTTCCTGAATGCATCGTACAAGCTCCAAAAAAATTGTTAATTCCAGTATTGTAATATGGAGAGGCAGACTCAGGATTGGTCAATTGAATTAAGCCCAAAATCAACCACAACGATATGTGAATCACAAAACAAATCAAATAGGTCAGTACTCGAAATTTGGCACTTAATAAAAACTTGTAAAATTTGAATAATCTCACTTCATTTGGAGTAAAATCCAAAGAGCCAATAGTACTCACTAAATCAGCACTTTTTGATTTGCTTTTTGTGGCTGTTAGATCGGAATTTGATTGCAAAGTGCTGACAGATCCTATCGATGTCGAATTTTGCATGACCGACTCGGCTGCGTGTTGCATTTCCTCCATCGTATTCGAAAGTTTTTTAACATCTAATTTTAATGAATTCCTATCCATTCCCAACTGATCACTCAAATCCTTAAAATTCCCAGTCAATAACCTGTACAAGGCATGTCTCACAATAAAGGAAAACATATTAAGTATTGGCGGTAGAATCATTGCCCACGACGTGTGAAATAATATAAAAATTAAAACACCACACGGAAAGAGATCTCTCCCTAAGGCCCACCTCAATGATGGGAAGATGGTTGAGAAAAAGGAAGCAATGAGTATGGGAATTAGACAAGAGAGATTCCTCGCCTGTATGTGTCCACTTTTTCTCTTCCAAATAATTCCAATAAATGAGAGAAGAAATAAGGGAATGAAGATTGCAATTTCAATCCATGCAACTATTGGAACGAATATTGTGTCGGGGCAAATATTGTTATAATCTTGTGCTGTCATGTTGGGTTTTGTTGAGAGGTATGACATTTCAAAAATCCGCAAATCACATGGTATCATTGAGGTGTTAGTTGTAGAATTTAAAGATGAAGCATAAAGGGAGGAAACTGTATTAAGTATTTCATTAATTTCGAATAATGATGATGGTTTCGAATAAACAGTGAGTGACATTCTCTGTTGTTTTTTCTAGTTTGTTTTTGAGATTGATGTTTCTTGATTGTTGCAACAAACGTAACTTCCTCGCAATTATTGTTGGAGATAATCAACAGTTGTCCTTTATTAGTTGTTTTTAGAAATAAGAAAACACTTTTTTGCAATCTTTTCCATTTAGGGTTAGGTACCATTTTGAGATTACAAGTACTCCCATAGCTTCAAAACACATCAACAAGCAATTGCATTAAGTTCAAAGCCACCTTGCTGTCATCATTGTGTTACTGGTGACATAAATAAGCAATTCTCTTCCATGTGTTATGGTATTGAGGACTCAAACAATTATTCGAATATCAAGTTGAATGAAAAAGAACCAAACTCCAAAGAAGAAATAACTTACACTGCATCATTCCCACCTCTCCCTTATACTGTTATACTCAATAATCTTTGGTAAGGAGTAAATCGAGTGATTATTTATTTCAGCTTGTTGTCTCATTGTTATAAGATTTACAAATCCAAATTACCACACTGTACATCAACCAAACAAATGATATCGTTAGTCCAATAATCCAAAGACAAAGAAACAACAAGATAATTGAAGCTCAATAGATAAAAAAAATGTTTAATCCCAATCAAAAGACAAATCAGCAACATTATCAGATTTATAGAGGAGCAAGTAGTACTAGGAATGGTGGAGCAAGTAGTAGTAGTAGTAGTAGTTCTCATCATAATGAAGAGGAATTAATAATTAATGATTCAGAGGAACATGTTTCCGAATCATCTCAGAAAAAGGCTTTTTATCAACAAAACAAAGCGAGAAATTATATAATTAATAATACTACTGGTGATTTAATCAATCCGAGTAATGGTAGCAGTTATGATAATAGCAAGAAGCCTCCTCCTAATCGCTATTATCAAAATAATAATTACAATTACAATAATAATTATCAGAAGAATTACAATGATAATAATGATAGATACTCGCGTAATGGCAACAACAATAGAGAATATAGAGGAAATAATAATTACAATAATAATAATAATTTCAATGATAACAATGATAAATCGAGTAAGCATAGGGAATATTCAGGAAATAATAATAATCGAGAATATAAAGAGCAAAGAGGAGACAATAATAATTATAAAGGAGGAAATAACAATTATAGGAGGAATGATAATGATAGAATTCACAATCCACCAGTTACCAATATTCATCAACCTGTAATTGTCAATCAGCCACCAAAACCTGTGGCCCTTGATAATGAAAATAACTTTCCCAGTCTAAAACCAAAGGAAAAGAAGGAACCAACTCAAAAGAAGGATAAGGCCAAAGAAAAGAAGAAACAACCTGTGCAGATTATTGGACCACCTGTAATAATTGAAGAAAGTGTAACATCATCAAAATCAACAACCAAATCTGAAAAACCCAATGATTTAGTGGAGTATGGGTCAGTGGAGTTAAACTGGATAAATATGGAGATTGGTAATTTTGATGACAATAAGCATGAAACATTTTTATGTGTAAATAAGGAACAAGTAGGACATGGATTATTGGAGAGAAAGGTATCATTAGTATACTGGTCTGCAACTGGTGATATTAAATTACAAGCAACATTCAACTCTAATCATGACTATTGGATGGACATTAAGCGAGAGAATGTGAGACGTGTTATTGTTGGTGTCACAGAATTAGCCATTGAACTTAGAAATGTGCCATTCATCTACCGTAAGAGGCCTGATGAAGCATTTCGTACAAGAATGGCAGCTCCTGACTATTCACAACAAGATAGCATATCATCCATGTGGTTGAACAATTTCAGATGGGGTAGATCTCTACTGCTCACTGTTTCATCTGATGTGAGTTCCCTACTGAAGGGTCATAATTATCCATATCCTTTGGTAATGAGAGATAAGAAAATCAAAAGGAAGCAAATCGATACATTCCAATATGATGAAAGCTTGGACTTTCCATTGTTTCATAATTTTTCCTTCAATACAGTATATTTGCTGTTTTGCTTAGATACTAAGATACCAGGAATTCTACACAATAGAGAAAGATTGGAAGCAATAGTGGACACTATTACAAGATATATTAACAAAGATCATGACTATGAAATGGTTGACCGTGCCATGAGAGAAGTATTGAATGAGAAAAACATCTATCCATCTGAATTCCTAGAACATTTCAATCAACGGTTAGCTGATCAAAAATTGAAACATAATGACACGGCATTCATTGATTTTGATACAAACTTTTTCAATATTCGTAAAGTAATGATTACACCAACAGGTTGGAGATTTTTTGACAAATCAGTTGAGGGTGGTAATAGAGTTTTGAGAAAATATAAGGAAAAGAATGAAGATCACTTTTTGAGAATCACATTCTGCGATGAAGATCTTCATAAACTTAGTGCTGAAAAATTTACAAACTTGCATGAGAGAATTGAGATTGTGCTAAAGAAGGGCCTTCTAGTTTTTAACAGAAAATATGAAATGCTTGCTTATTCTACCAGTCAACTTAGAGCCCACAGGTACGTCTTATATTATTTCAAACATTTCTAACAATGTTCCAGTTCTTGGTTCGTTTATTCGAATGGAAGTTTCACCCCAAGAAATATTATCAATTCTCTTGGTAATTTTTCTCATATCAAAGTTAAAGCAAGGTATGCAGCAAGAATTGGACAATGCTTTTCACACACGTATGAAGGCATCTCAAAAGAGTATGAAATTATTCCAGACATTACCAGAAACAATTATGTGTTTACAGATGGTGTAGGAAGAATATCACTAGAATTTGCTGTAGAATTAACCAAGAAATTCCAAATCTCATTTGCTGGCAAAGAATACATACCATCAGCATTCCAATTTCGTATGGGAGGGTTGAAGGGAGTTGTTGTTGTAGATCCTGATATTCATTTATATTCAGATTTGGATCTTCTCCTATCTAAGAGTCAGGAAAAGTTCATAGATTCCTCCAGTAGCGAGTTTGAACTGATTACTTACTCGAAAAGAAATAGATTTGCTAGTTTGAATAGACAATTGATTGCTTTATTGAGTTCCAATAAGGTATCAGATTCGGTATTTTTACAACTACTCGATAGAGATCTTGAAGAAATCAAAAAGTTATTTAATGATAAGAAGTATATGAGGAGAGTGTTGAGAAAATCACAAGATAATATCGTTGGAAAGAATATGAAGAAAGTGGCCTCTCTCAACTATTTGGATTCTCAATACGACTTTTCTAAAGTTGTGCAATCGGGAGAGGACATTAAATTCTTTTACCAAATAGAACCAGTATTTTGCAATATCAAGGATAGTTTGATCAGAAACAGATTGAATGATCTCAAGAATGGTAGAATTATTCTTGACAAGGCTCTTTTATTGATGGGAGTTGTGGACTTTTATGGAGTGTTGGAAGAGGATGAAGTATTTATCCAACTTTCTGAATTGGAAAACTCTGACTCTGATCTTTATGATGACAATTGTTTTGTGAATGGTGGCACTTTGAGTGGAACTGTAGCAATTACAAGATCACCATGCCTTCACCCTGGTGACATTAGAAAGTTCAAAGCTGTTACAGATCCAGAAAAGATTAGCAAATTATCACACCTTAGAGATGTAATTGTATTCAGCCAAAAAGGCAATAGACCTGCAGCTAACAAAATGAGTGGAGGCGACTATGACGGCGACTTTTTCCAAGTATTTTGGGATCCACTCCTAGTTAATTTTGAGGAATATCCCCCAATGAATTATGAGGGACTTCCACCTGAAGAAAAGCACGACGGATGTGACTATCGAGTTATTAGAGAATTCTTAACAGAGTACATTATTAATGACAACCTTGGTGTTGTTGCATTCTTGCATTTGGAACATTACGATAAGGAGGGGGATGGGCTAAGAAGTGAACCTTGTTTGAAATTGGCCAAACACCACAGTTATCAAGTTGACTATGCCAAAACTGGTGTCAGAAAACCACTTCCTACTGAACTTTTCTCCAACAGTAGACCTCACTATATGCCAAGAGTTTTTGGTAAGAAAACATATCACTCTGAAGATGTTATTGGAAGTATTTATGATAAGGCTGTCTTTTTTGAAAAAACAGTTCACGGAAAAAAGCTTGGCATTCTAGATTCTATTCAAGAGATAAAACTGGATCCTCATCTTGAAATTTTAGATGCTGTCTTTATCAAACTTCCTAATCTCAAAACAATGCTCATAGATGACGACTGGGATTATTTTGATGAAAATATAATGCACGCCTACAATGCAGCATTAGAAATTTATGAAGAGTACAAATCAGATTTGAGAAAGCTCATGCAACAATACTTTGTCTCATCAGAAGTTGAATTATTAGGAGGATTTTTCAATACAAAGGAATTAGAGGTCAGATGTGGAAAGAACCATTACAAACTAAAATTGGAAATTAGTGAAATTGTTAAACATTTCACCAAATATTATCATGACAAGGCAGTTGAAGTATTGGACGACTATGAGAGTAAAGTATTTCCAAGACAAGCAGTTGCCACAGTTTTCTATATTGCTGTAAGAAATGACAATAAGAAGAGGAAAATGAGAGATTTCTTTGGTATTACATTTTATTGGCTTGTTATGGATGAAATTGTAGCATTTGAATCTTTCGAAAATGTAAACCCTCCTACAATTTAAAATTTACAAACTATTTAAATACCGGTCACTAATAAACTTGTGAACATGGAACATTACAATCATTGTAAAGAATATTTTAAAAATCAATTCAAAAAAAATGAAATTACTCTTCTCCTCAGATCTACACGGCAATCTTACCCAATATCAAAAATTGATCAATTATGCAAATGATCATCAGATGGATGCTGTTATTATCGGAGGTGATTTATATTTGAAGAATAAGAAGGAATCCAATTTAGATGAATATTCCCATCTCGATAGTAACAAGGGAATTGATAAGCATCGAGTCTATTTTGAGGACAAACTACTTCCAATATTGAAGCAATTCAAGCATGGAAAGGTGTATGTTTGCTTTGGAAATGCTGATTTATATTCCGATGTTGAGTTTATGAAGGAAAAAACAAAAGAGACAAATATTGTAGTGTTGTATAATGAAATGATGAGAGTGAATGATGATTTGGAAATAATGGCCTACTCATCGATTGTTTTCATGAAGGGACATAAGAAGGATTTTGAGAGATTTGATACAAAGGATGTGAAGGATACTTTGGCTCAGAATGTTGATTCTTATGTGATAAGAACGAAAGGATATACTACTTTTGATGCTCAGCAACTCCATGATATTATTCTCAATAATGAATATGCAAATACTCGACAATTGTTGGAGGAGAATCCAAGTGAGGATTCACATTTTAGAGGAAAGGAAGGATTTTATCATTTCAAATTTGATGTAAATGATAGTGAATTGGTGAAGGCCTTTTCTATTGAAAGAGAATTGGAAAGAATTGAGGAGAGGTATTCATTTTCTAAAGAAAATTGTAAGAATCAAATATGGATCTGTCACATGCCTCCAAAAGATACATGCTGTGATAATATCAGTGATTTCCATTGTGGATCAATTGCACTTAGAAGATTTATTGAAAAGCATGAACCAGCTGCCACATTCCATGGACACTTCCATAGCTCAGTGGATTCCTCGAAAGGTGTGTACTGCTCCTCAATTGTGGGTAACTGTTTGAGTTTCACCTCTGGCAACTATCCAAAAAGTAAGGAAATTGCCATGATCAAATATGATACTGAAACGAAAGAGCATTCCAGAGTATTAGTATAAATAGTAGTTTTATTTTACATTGACAAATAGTTTAGCGTAGAGATCATCATACTCTTTGCATTTGTCTTCAGGTGAGAAGAGGAGGGTTTTTCTTTGTTTCAAGTTAATTCTTTGCAAAATTTCATAAGTGGTATAGAAAAGAGTTGGATTATTTTGGGAGACAGCTGTATTGAATTGTGTGAAATTAATTATTGAATTATTATTTAACACTACTTACCAGCTTCAAATACTTGAGCGTAGGAAATTTTGAATGGATGCTTTTCACTATTTTCCATCATTAATTCTAAAACTCTGGAAACATCCTTCCTTGAAAGGAGAACTTCACACAACAAATCATAATCATTCAATCTCTTTAGAATATCAAGGGAAATTTGATAAGCTGGAGGATACTTTTCGGAAATGTGCAACATTTGCAATGCAGTCAATTGACTATCGCCAATGACCTTGAATTGGATCAATTGATGCAACATTGAAAAATTATTATCCTTCACCAGCAGTTCAATGAGCAACTTTTGAATAAAATTGTGAACTGGCACATTACTCTTCTTCAGTCCTCTGACATATTCAACCAAAACTGAGACTAGCTCTATGGTAGATAGAGATCCTGCTTCATCAATTGGAACAAATACAAATTTGTACATGTCTGATTGCATAATTATTGGATAACCAATGGTATTAATTTGTGTTTCTTGCATTTCATCACCTTCTTCAATTTCTGTGAGCATGTTAATATCTACAAATTCCAAAGCTTTAGGTTTGGTAAATACGGAAAGACGTTTCAATTTTTCACTAAACTTTTCCTGTTTTTCAGTTTCAAGTTTAACTAATTGATTCCAATAATACTTGTTAACAAGTTCTAAAATTTCTGATATAGTCTTCAACTCCTCACTCTTAGATTCAATAAAAGTTCTCAGTGTTGTCAAGAGCAAAGCCTTACTGTTAACTCTTCTGAATAGGAATTTTATAGAATCCTTTCTATTTCTCATATTGATTGGCATGTGAGAGATGGAAAGTTTAAGCTCGAAAACATAACCCAATTCCTTATCGAGGATATAATTTGGATACCAGTAGGTCCAAGAATCGGATTTGTCTATTTCAACATAATGTTAAATTAATAATATAATTACAAAAGTGACTCAATATGGAAATAAATCCAATCGTATACTTACATAATCTATCAGTAGCATCAACTTGCATATCAGCCTGTGTCAGTGTATCCTTAACAGTATAATGTGGAGAAATGGAAAGAGGAGGAGAGACTGGGTAATCTTGTTTTGTGAAAACATCATAGGCAGTTGAGGTTTTATCATCCAAGTTGTGAACAATTAAGAGAGAATCAACAACATTCAATGCAATGTTTGATCCAGAGAATAAATTGAAAATTCTTTGTTGTACAAAAGCTTGAACATTTTGTGGCTTGTACTTGAAGATATGCATTTCATGATTGGCTGAGCATATGCAAACGAGACAGCAACGACCATACCTGTTGTATTGAAATAGAATGTCAAAAATGATTCATCTCAAATTATACTACATACATTGAAACGAGGAAAGTTTCAGAGCTCTTGATTGGTTTATGATCTCCGATATTGAGTTCTGTTAGCTCAACTTTTGTCAATTTGTTCATTTGGCCACTTGGAGTAATAATGTAAGGATAGAGAGCTGTATTTTTACCCTCCAAAGCTAATACCAACAAGTTATCAATTGGCGAGAATTTACAGAACCGAATATTCTCATAAATTGATTTCAAGGTCTTTACAGGTTTGTGTTTTTCCTTAACCTATTTCCAATAATTCCAAATTATAAATCAATCCAATATTTCAATCACTAAAATACATACACTAATAAAATCAATTGAGTATGTCGACACAACTAATAAATAAGAATCTGAAATCCAATGAAAATCCAAAATAATATTTGGTCTAGTTTTTTTCTCCATCAAATCAAAGTGAGTGAAATATTCTGCGCTATGTGGTTTAGAAGAATCTGATGAAATAACTGAAAATATGACCAATCTTCTCTGTTCATACAGCATGGCAAAGAAGGTTCTCTTACTCGATGATTTTGCAGCAGTTGGCATTAATCCCTTCAAGTCAACTAGTGTTGGAAGTCTTGAGAAATTATTAATCATTACAAAATTAATGTACTCTACCTTTTTGTAATAATATCACCCTTCATCAATGGAAATAACATGAACTTTTTGCTATTATAAATTGCAACTTCCCTATTAGCATCATTAAAAGTGAGTCTATTCTGTTCAAATTCTGAGGAAGAACTAGTAAAACTTTGTGTAACTGGTGAAATACCTCCGAAATTATCTGGTAAATTATTTAATTGAATACTACATAATGGAAGTGATAGAAATAAATAATGTTGTAAATTTGAATAGGTTGGTGGTGTTATTGTTGTTCCCGGATTGATCACATGATGATGATGTTGTTGCTGATTTGTAATTTCCAAATTATTATCTTCTCCAGCACCTCCAACAACAAGATTAGCTCCTTCACCAGCACTATTATCATTTTGAAAATAATTCTCCACCACCCGAATATCTTGATCCGATGGTATTATATTCTGCCCATCCTCGAGCGAAGTTTCACTCCAATTCTTTTCCATTTTTTTGAAAATGATTTTTTCATCAAGATTTTCTTTTCATCAGAGTTTGAGAAAATTATCGGAAAAGAAAACTTGTTATTAATTGAAGAGATTAATCGAAATAATGATAAACGTATGTAATAAGAAAATTCAAAATTGAAAGAATCTTTATAGTGTTGGAATAAGAATCCAATGGAAGTCAACTTGAAAAAAATGGCGCAAAATATTGACACTATTTACATTCTCTATGCTTCACAATCAGGTACTTCGGAATATTTGGCCACTGAATTGAATGATCAATTATCATCAAGTGTTGTGGATTCTATCGAAAATTTTGAAAAGTATTTAAATGATGAAAAATTGGAGAAGAAGAGTTTGTTCCTCTTCATTATTAGCACATCAATTGAAGGATCACCACCAGATGCCATGACTGATTTTCACTATTGGATGACTGGTGCATCAGCTAGTAAATTGTTTAATCATGAAAATTTTGAATATTCAATTCTCGGAAATGGAAATTCAAATTATGCTGAAACTTATCAACAAGCTTCAAGAAATGTCAAAACGTTATTGAGTGCCATTAAGAGTCCATTTGTTGAATGTAGAGAAGGTGATCAAGCTGAAGGAAATTCTGAAGAAATGCTCAATGAATGGAAAGCTGATATCAAGAATAAATTATCTCAATAATAATTTATTCTCAATAATAGTTATAGAATAACTAAATTCTCAATGAAATATTAAGAACTATTTCAGTTAAAATAATAGAGATCTATTAATCTTATTTATTCATCTATTCGATTTGAATTATTTGTGATAGAAGCAAATCCACAATATTTTACACTGCTATTATTGCAAGAGACAAACTCCTGCAAGAGTTTCAAATTCTTCACATCAAACACAACCATAACCTTCAACCCTTTGAATTGTTTCAGCAGTGCCTTATAAAAGTGTGAATAGGAATTTCCATTTAAAACTCTAATTGTTAGAATGGATTTTAGGGAGAAACGGTTGGATATCATTCCACTCAAATGATTGTGTACTCTTTCATTGGATGGCAATATCTCAATGTTCAAACCACATTCCTTTCCAATTTTTAAACATTTTCGAATTAGATCAGAAGAGTTTGGTTTCTTGAAATGACCAGTACTTCTCTTGTCCATTAAGAGAGAGCAATATAAGGAACGAATTTCCATTTTTTTTAATTGAATGCAAGCTAATCATTTGTTTAATCTCGTACTACTCATAATAACTTTCATTTCCCTCTCGTGCTCAATAAGATTTCTCCTAGTGGTGTGAATGTCCTCCTTGGTCTTCTCTATTATTCGTTCAATGAGTTCACACTTTCGTAAATCTTCCTTCTTCTTATTTTCCATCACTCTTAGTTTCTCCTTGATTTTAGCTGCTCTCTTTATTTCCTTCTCTGTCTTTTTTGCATGAGCTTCCATATCAATGAGAAAGGGTGATCCAGACATCTTTTTCTTCAAATCCCTTAGTTTTTGTTTTTTAAACATTTCGTTTTGGGCAATTTCTTGTTCTCGAGAAATTTCCAAGTCTTCCTTGTATAGCATTCGTTGTTTGTTTCTAAATTCATTCATTTGCTGGGATCTGAGTAGTTCCTTCTCCACTCTGAGCCTCATTTTAGATTCTCTCCTTTCCTTACCTCCAGGTTTCTCAAAAGATGGGGTAGCAGGAATAGTTGCTTGTACAGGTGGAAGAAGAGGATAAACGAGTTGTTTTTTTGGTTGTTCTCTGAGTAGTAGTAATGGTTCAATATTTAACGATTCAAGTTATTGATAATTACTACTTACTTTTGATAAAAGAATTTCTCCACTTCTTTCACAATGGGACTGTTTGGTAGCCTCTCTGTAGGTCCTTCGATTTCAATCTGTTTCACCAAAGCTTCGTAAACTCTTGGTGAAGTCATTTTGAGTTTCATGTATGTACTATTTAACAAGTATTCAGAGTTTGGTGACATCTGTGGTTCTCTCACCATTATTCCAGTCCTCAGCAATAAATCTGACTGATCCCAGTAAACTCCCTCTTTGAGTGTTGTCCCCGTCTGATAGGATTCAACACTCTGCAGGTCATTCTCAAGCTCTATATGATTTACAACATCATCATATGAAGGAATGTTTGGTATTGGGCTCGCTGTTACTATACTATTTGTTGAGGAATCACAATCCGATCCACAAATGGTTGTGGCTTGTTTTGGCGTACTCATGAACGAATCATAAGTACAATCTTGTGGTTCCTCCGATATGAAGCTATTATACTTCTTTGTTGACCTAGGGGTGTTGTAGGAGGCACTGAAACTATTTCTCAATGTTTGTCTTGCATCCTTCCAAGAAACTTGAACAGTATTAAAACTCTTTCTTCCCGAGGTGGTGGCAGATTGAGGTTTTTTAGGAGGGCTCTGATTTTTCCCAGAATGAAACTGAAAGGTGGTGGAAGATAGTGAACTCTCGAGGGATCGATCACTTTGTTTGGATGTATTGTTAGGGTAGGGTGCAGTAGTTGTAGAGGCTTTTGATTCTGTATTATTTCTCGCTGTCCCCAGTGAGCTAAAATATGTTGAGGGATTTGAATTGGCTTTTGAGGCATAACTCGATCGACTTGAGGCTGATTGAACCCGTGCAGAATTAAAATGATGATGAGGTTGATGATTTGCTGGGCTAGGTTTAAAAACCGATGCTGGAAAACCTTTTAATTTCGGTATCTCTGTCTTTCTAGGTGGTGTTGGTTGTTGTTGAGGTGATGTAGTGGATTGAGGTTCCATTGTTGATGATGATTCACTCTCGGATGAGTTTTCTTCACTCTTTGGAATGCATTCCGAAATACTACTCTCGATTGAAAGGGCCACCAAGCTCTTTTCATTGGTAGATAAAAGAGAGTCATTGAAAGAGGTTGACAATCGTTGTTGATGAGGAGGTGAATTAGTTGAACTATTATCCAAAAATCTATACTTTCTCACAAAAAACCCCGATTTGTTTGCTTTGTTAGTATCATCTAGACAGCTATTATTAATATCCTCACTCATCCTTAATATAAAATCCAAATTGTTTTTTGATATAAATTATCTTTCCAAAATTGTAGATTAACAAACAACACTGCTGTTTCCAAAATATTCTCTCTAGATAAGAACACACTCCACTATTTACAATCTTTGCTCTTGCCTCGTTAGTTGGCAAAATGCTGAGCAAATATCCAATTAATCTCTCCTCTCTTTGAAAACGCTTATGATTTTAAAACGTTTTTTTTGTTCTGTTTTGAGGAATAGTAAGTGTCATCGTCTGTTAATCTCCGAACTTGTTTTTCAAGAATGATAACCAATATTATAATATCTCTGCTCATCAGGAGAGAAACTGGTCATCTGCAATAAAACAATTTAAAGAAGGAATAGCTTTGAATAATTACAAACTATTAAATTATTTAATTATTAAATAATTATGATTTGAATCCAGGATGGTGAAAGAACAATTGTTTTTAAATTCATAGTCATGCCAAACCAACAATAGTATTATGCATTCAAAATGTTGAAGAAATTAAATTTCAAAGCTTGCAAAAATTGAAAAAAAAATGTTCCTTCAAAAAGTTTCACGACAACAAACCAATATTGAATTGGACGAGAGTCATGGACTCAGAAACTACACAACACAAAATGAAAACTATGTAATGAAGAATTTTACAGAGTTCTCACCTGTTGATAGCTCGAACTTTGGATTAGTTAATCATATAGAATTTCATCCGACAAGGAATCGACAATTCCTCATCACACATAAAAATTCCGTACAAATAGTTGATGAAGAATATAAAAAGATTATTCGATATACTAAATTTCAAAGAGATTCTCAATTATATAGTGCAAGTTATAGACCAGGAGATGGTTTATTGTTTGCAGTTGGTACTAATAGTGGTGTTGTTAAACTTTTTCAATCCTATGACAAGGAATTGACAGCACAAAGATTGAACCAACCAATTAAAATTATTTTCACAAGCTCAAAGAATGAACATGATTATACAGCTATACAATTAACTAGATTCCTCTCTCAACAACATTCTGACAATATTTTAGCAGGTAGTGATGATGGTGTTGCTAGATTATTTAACATTATTTCAGGAAAGAAGGTCAGAGAGTTTTCAAGACACTCTGATTACATCAAGGCAGGATGTATCTTTAGTAATGGAACTGAAAGCAGCAATGATATTTCTTCTTCACCAGATTTATTTGCAACAGGTGCTTACGACCATCTCATTAAGGTTTGGGATGTAAGAGAATCAGATAATAGTGCTTGTGTCATGCAATTCGATCATGGTGCTCCAGTTGAGTGTGTTGTTAAACATCCAACTGCTCCAATCATGTACAGTTGTGGTGGAAATTACTTTAAAGTTTGGGATCTTTTACAAAGAAGGGAAATGTTAACCATGCATGGATCTCACCAGAAAACAATTACATCCCTTTCACTTGCATCAGGTGGTGGAAATTATTTAATGACCAGTGGTTTGGATAATTTAACATGTTTCTTCAAGATTGATGAAAATTATAATCAAATTCACAACATTTCATTTGATGGACCAGTTATGGCCAATGCCATTTCAAGAGATGAAAGACAAATTGTTTTGGGATTGAATGGACCTGCTAGAGTTTTGAAATCTCAAAGAATTGATAGAAAAGTTTTAAGAGCTGATATTTATAGAGAAGAAATGACAAAGGAAAACTATAAGAACTTTGTCAATAGTGCCTTGTTAAATCAAATTTTCGAAATGCAAGAAGAAATATTCTTACCAGGAAAAAGATCTGTAAATTTATTACACTTCAAGTCTCAACTCTCCAAATATAATTACAAACTTGCTTTGCAAAAGGCCGTTACCAAGTTTAAGGAGCAACCTGTCATTGTTATGAGTTTGATTGCCGAATTGGAAGTTAGAAATGAAACCTTGAATGCTATCAATGCTATGGATGAAACACGTTTGTCCAATGTTTTACAATTTATCAATATGCACATTAGAGATCCTAGATTTTCCACCTCCCTCATTCCTTTCACACAAATTGTTCTTAAACATTATGGCCAAGTTGTGGGGTTGAGTGAAAAGGTTGATAATCTTTTGAGAACTTTGAGAAAGAAGATTAATCAAGAAATTCAAGCACAAGAAAAATTATGTCAACTCAAGGGTATTTTGGACATGTTAATGATTACCAATTTGAGTTACACTCCAAAGCCAACTGTTGATTAATAAATCATTTTGCTAAATATTCTTTTTCGAATAACACCGATCTAGCAACTACTTGAATTACAAAAATTGTATTGAAAAAAATGCTTAAAAGTGATAACATTACACCACAGGATGTAGATTTGATACTGGTTGTGATTGAATTTTTGGAGAGTATTTTCCATACCATTCTCTACGTTTATTCAATCTATCCGAAAAAATTCTTTAAAAAGTACAAGACTGATTATTTACATCAACAATGTTTTATTTGTGAATCGAAACTTGTTAGGAATTATATTAGAGAATGTGTCATGTCTCTGAAAATGTATTTGGAACAGGGAAAGATTGAAAAGATTCTCTTTCAAATTCTAACAAAAAATCAATCGTTGTTATTGAAAGAATTTATATTTCAATTCAAGTTTTTAAATCAACCGAGTAGTGATGTCAGTAAATTCAGTCATGAAGAATTTTCACAACTCTATATTCAAATGAGAAATTTCTTCATTGAGCTACACACTTTAGAAATTGAGAATAGTGAAGAATTAACATTCAATGTTAGATTGTGTTGTAAGGATGTGAGTGTGACTGATTTGGATGAACATTTGGATTGGAAAGTTTTTGGTGAGGAGAATAATTTGGATACTTCAATGATTATTGGTGGTGCTAATAATACTAGTTATGAGTTGAGACCAATTCAGAGATTTTCAACCAAGTCCATGATTATGCAATTATTATTAAAACAAGAGGTTAAAGAGTGATTAAAATTTAACAATTATTTCCGTATCAATTCCTCACTCATCCAATTAATTGTTTAAACACAATTCCGAAATTATCAAATTGTAGATGATCATCATATGATTTATCACAACTAATTCCAAAAGAACAAAAATCCTTCTCAGCTAGAATAAAGTTAAAGTTTGAATTTTACGTTCAATCAGAGTGTGTAATACAATGTAGAGGAAGTACTAATAGATTCATCTCTGGGAATTTCGTCCTATTGATCAATAAATAGTGCTCACTCTCATGTCTTCTTTTCACCTATATTTTTCTAAATGTATTCCTTCTTTGCATTTGATGAGAGTAAAAATAACCTTGCATTTTTGCCAATAAATTTTCATTGTAAAGACTGCAGTCATCCACTCCAAAAAAATTGTTGAAAAAAAAATAGTCAAAAGGTTTGTATTACTATTAGAGAATTGTTCTCTCTTACATTAACAGTAAAAATGGGTAGAAGACCAGCTAGATGTTACAGATGGCAAAAGGGTAAGCCATACATTAAGTCTCGTTTCTGTAGAGGTGTCCCTGATCCAAAGATCAGAATTTATGATGCCGGTAGAAAGAAGGCTGACTACACTCTCTTCGGTCACTGTGTCCATCTCGTCTCTGATGAAAAGGAACAAATCACCAACGAAGCTCTTGAAGCTGCTCGTATTGCTGCCAACAAGTACATGTTGAAGGTTGCCACCAAGGACGGTTTCCACTTGAGAATCAGAGTTCACCCATATCACGTTCTCAGAATCAACAAAATGTTGTCATGTGCCGGTGCGGATCGTCTCCAAACTGGTATGAGAGGTGCCTTCGGTAAGCCATTGGGTACCACTGCCAGAGTTGATATTGGTCAAATCTTGATCTCCATCAGAACCAAGGAACAATACGTCAAGACTGCTTGTGAAGCTTTGAGAAGAGCTAAGTTCAAGTTCCCAGGTAGACAAAAGGTCCTCGTTTCTAGAAAGTATGGTTTCACTAACTACACTCCTGAACAAATTGCCAAGCTCCAAGCTTCAAAGGATATCATCTCCAAGGGTGTTCACGCCAAGCACATCAACAACAGAGGTTCTTTGCAAAAGTGGTATCAAAATAAGGTTGTCGCCATTAATCAAAAGCCTGAACTCAACTAAATAAATTAACCTTAAAATATTGAAAATTTAAATTTCCTGTTATTTAATTTTTAGAACGAGCCAGCTGGCAAGATTTTAACTCCGAGGTTGGATAGTGAGGTTTCTTGAAGATTTACTGAGAAAGCTCCTCCTTCCTCATCTTTACTTTGTTATTGCTTAATGAACAAGAAAAAACAAAATGCAGCAAGTGCATTATGGTCAGATATTCTGAATCCTCATTAAAGAGCTCGGACAATGTAGGTAAGTTAGAATATGTTATTGATTCATCATAAAAACAATTTTGAGTTGTAAAAGCTCACCCCTCTTCTCCAACTATCATTGAATAAGAAAATTGTTGTGGTTCGCGTTAAAAAAAATTTAGTCATCCACCATTTTATCTTTCAAATCATAACAAGCCTCGTAACTTTGTTGAATGAATGAGAGACAGTCCTCAGTCGAAGAAACCTTTCCCTCATAAATAATCTTGAATGAATTGGGAGCCAACTCAATAATGGAATGAATTCTTGTTGAGTCTTGATTCAGCATTTGGAATGAATCCACTTCATTGATGGTTGACTCATTATTTGGCTCTGTCTCTTCTGATTCTTCTTGAGGGAATAGCTCTCTTAATTCAGCTACATTCATGTCAAGCTTCGAAATAAGTGATTCATTAATTGCTGTAGCTGAATTAAAAGACTCATCATACTCAACTCTAAAAGTTACTATATTATCCCTTCTCTCAGTGGATGTGTCAAATACTTGTTTGTCTTTACCAATCAATTCGGAAGGATAGGGTCTGTATTGTCGGTACAAATGTTTTGTCTTTCTGAACATTTCCATCATGAATTCTTGTTGCTTTCTTGCTCTCTCTTGAATGATGGGAATACGTTCGGATCTTCTGGGTAGTTTTCTTCCTGTTGAATCACGAATGATCATTATGCCAAGTGTATAAGGTATATTAAGATGTATTTTGTTTTGAAAGATTGAGCAAAATTGGTTTGTCATCCTCTGTTTGAGAATAATTGTCTCGCTGCTGTACATCAAACTTTTAATAGAGTACGATGAGGTTAACAACACACTGATGTAAATCATCATGATAATTCTATAAATTATTAATTTATTCCACTCACAATTATTATTATTAGCACTATTCTAGTGCTGTTATTACAAGTTATAATGATTTGATGTGAAATAAGAATTAGACTATTTTACATATCAATGGTTACCCAATTGCTCTTAGCATTTCCTGTGAATAACTTATTAATACAACTATTAAGATCGAAATAAAAGTGTAATTTGGTAAATTTGTCAATATGATTCAAACTCATATGAATGATGGCAGGGCATGAAACTGGATCACCTCTTGAATCATCTTGTTTCTTCTTTGGATAAATCAAATAAGAAACTTGAATGACAGCATGATCATTATTATAGGAAAATACTGGACTCATTGGGAATAAGAAAGCTCTCTCAAGATTTGAGCTTGACATGAGTGCAGAGTACATTGTCTTGGCAGAAGCAAATCCAAATACTGGTTGAGTACTGACTGGGAATGCAAATTCCAACTTGTCTTGCATAATCTTTAACATGTCAGTTCTAATCTTCTTATTATCATCTTCAGTGAGTGGGAACATTTTCTCTAAAACTCTCTTTGGAGTGTAGCCAATATTCATATCTTCAGTAATACCAAAATTTGGATTTCCTCTCTCATTTTCATGAAGAGAGTACATTCTATTCAACATGTGGAAGAAACGAGAATTGGTCTCTTGTTCATGTTCATATGGAGTGACGAGTCTTTCACCAAAATTCTGATAAACAAAGTGAGAACGATCATAAACTTCTTGCCACATTCTCAAAATGAATGGTCTCTTATTTGGATCTGAACTTCTTTCCCATAACATTAAGGTGAAACCATCAGCTTGGAGACGGAGATGATTCTTGTGAATGTATTGGAATTTTCTTCTGAAAGCAACATGGAAACGTTCAACTCCTGGTTCCAAATTCAAAGTATCAAAAATAGTTGATCTCTTTTGTCCAGAATTTGCATTCAATCTATTTGGCATTTCAGTTTGGTCAATTGAGTAAATAATGTCATCCTTATTGAATTCAACGTGTAATGTTTCATAATCCTTCTTCATTGCAACATTAAACCATTTACCCAAATCATGAACATTTCCAACAAATACAATCTGTTGCAACTCTCTAAATTTAGATAAAATCTCAGGTCCAGAATGTTTTTCAATTAATGGAAGAGTGACATGAATATTATTCACGAGAATCTTAGAATCAGAAGTAGAGTTATCAGGGGTTATATATTGAGGAGATGGGAAATATTCAGAAAGTATTTCATCAAATTCCACACCTGGGAAGGTTCCTAATTTTTTAAAGAAACGTTCAATTTCTTCTTCCAATAAATTGACTTGAACAAGTTGACCATCGGTTGTTGTTTTGGTGACATAATAAGATGGAATGAAAGCATGAGTTGGTTGAATAAAAACTGTTGTTGTTGTCAATAGTAGTAAACAACTAGAAATGATAACTAGCAGTAGAAGAAATAAACTGTGTGAATATCTAGACATTTTTTTGATAGCTGCTTTTTACGTGTTTAGTTTGACAAGTTGAAGTGATGACAAGTTAAGGGTACTACCAGAGAGAATCGATTGTTATTCCGATACATTGAATTAATGCATCCATGCTTTCTCTTAGTTTTTTCCCTAACTTGCATTTTCTTCAATTTATACTCATCAAACTATATTTCTAGATATAATACATCTGTATTGTAATGTTAAAAGTTAAAATATTATATTGTTGTATGGAAATGATGTCATCATATTAGCATCATCACTATTATCATCATCATACTCTCGTTCATATCGCAATAAGAACAAATTATTTTGCATATGGGTGGTGACGATAAAGCTTACGTAATGATGACTCCTTTAAAAAATATTTATTAAAAAAATGATCATCAAATTCGAGACCAAGAGCCAACGTGTAAAAGGTTTAAGTTTCCACCCAAAGCGATCGTGGATCTTGGCCAGCTTGCACACTGGTGCTATTCAATTGTGGGATTATAGAATGGGTACCATGATTGACTCGTATCTTGAACATGAAGGTAAGATTTTTTATAATGTAAAAATCTAAAGTTGTTTTATTGTTATTGTGTTTAATGCTCTATGGTGTGTGTATTAATTGTTGATATGATAATACAATAGGACCGGTTAGAGGATTGGACTTCCATAGTACTCAACCACTTTTTGTCAGTGGTGGTGATGATTATAAAATCAAAGTTTGGAATTATAAATTAAGAAGATGTTTATTTACACTCACAGGACATTACGATTACGTTAGAACTGTAGAATTCCACCGCGAACAAGTAATTATCAACATTTTGATTATTGTTTATTTATTAACATATTTACTATTGTTGTATGATAATAATTTGATACAATTTAAATAATATTATGTGGATTAACAAAATAGCCTTGGATTATTTCTGCTTCTGATGACCAAACTATTCGTATTTGGAATTGGCAATCACGTACTTGTATTTCAGTCTTACCTGGACATAATCACTATGTTATGAGTGCATCATTCCATCCAAAACAAGACCTTGTTGTTTCCGCTTCTTTGGATCAATCTATCAGAGTTTGGGATATTTCAGCACTTAAACAAAAGAATGCTAATGTTGGAATGAGCCCAGGAGATGAATTCCTCAAGTTAACACAATTGAATCAAGAATTCTTTAACTCTGGAGATGCTATGGTTAAATATGTTCTTGATGGACACGATAGAGGTGTAAACTATGCTGTTTTCCATCCAAAAACTGACATGATTGTTTCTGCTTCTGATGACAGAACTGTAAGAACTTGGAAAGTTAGTGATCAAAGAGCTTGGGCTGTTGATACATTCTCAGGACATGGTCACAATGTTTCTTGTGCAGTTTTCCATGAAAAGAAGGATATGATTATTTCTGCCAGTGAGGATAAAACTCTCCGATTTTATGATATTGGAAAATCACAATTCATTAGAAGTTATAAGAGAGAATATGAAAGATTCTGGGTTTTGGATGTTCACCCAACTCAAAATCTTATTGCTGCTGGTCATGATGGTGGTCTTATTGTTTTCAAATTGGAAAGAGAAAGACCAGCTTTCACTGCTTCCAAGAATTGTCTCATGTATATGAAGGAAAAGAATTTGAGAGTTGTTAAAGGTGGCAAGGATGCTCCAGCTGCTGTTTTGAGAAAATCATGGTCAGGATCAACAAGAAATCTTTGTATTGACCCAACCAACACTTATGGAATTCTCACATCAGATCATGATGGTGGTTCTTATGAATTGTTTGAAATTAAAAAGGGACCAACTGATGAAGTTCCAATTAGAAACCCAATTAGAAAAGGAAAGGCCCTCTTTGCTGCTTTTGTTGGTTTACAAAAGTTTGCTACTTTAGATCCAAAGGATAGAAAGATTTTCATTCACAGTACACAATCTGACAGATCTAAGGAACTTCCAATTACTGTCGGACCAATTAAGAGAATTTTCCCAGCAGTTTCTGGTAGATTGATCTTTACAACTGATGATAGAGTTCATTTGTATGATTTGGAACAACAAAAGATTGTTTCCAGCCATGCTTCAGCTGGTATCAAGTTTGTTGTTTGGTCTGATGATAACTCTAAAGTTGCTTTACTCGGAAAACACTTGGTTGTTGTATGTGATAGTAACTTGCAGCCTTTCTGCACAACTGTTGAAACCATTCGTATTAAGAGTGGTGCCTTCGATAAGGATGGTGTTTTCATTTATACTACATTGAATCACATGAAGTATTGTTTGGCATCAGGTGATTTTGGTACAATCAAGACTTTGGATCTCCCAATTTATATTGCCCATATTGAAAATAATAATGTTACAATTATTGATAGAGAAGGTACTGTCAAGGTTATCACTATTGATGCAACTGAATACAGATTCAAACTTGCCTTATCTCAAGGAAGAACTGGTGACATTAAGAAGATTATTGGTGAAGCCAAGATTCTTGGAGATTCCATTATTGCTTACCTCCAACAAAAGGGTTATCCTGAAATTGCTCTCAAATTTGTTGAAGATGAAAGTACCAAATTCAATCTTGCCCTTGAATGTGGTGATATCAAGACTGCCTCTGAAGTTGCCCAAAAGTTGGACAAGAAGGAATGTTGGAACAGTTTGGGATTGGAAGCTTTGAACCAAGGTGATGTTTCTGCTGTCGAAAAGGCTTATCAAAGAACAAAGAATGTCGAAAGACTCTCCTTCTTGCACAGTGTTACTGGTAATCAAGAAAGTCTCAAATTGATGCTCAAGATTGCCAACAGCAGAAATGATGTAATGTCCAGATTCCACAATGCTCTCTTCCTTGGTGACGTTGAAGAAAGAGTTAAGGTTCTTCAAAGTGTTGGCCAAAGTGCATTGGCTTATATGACTGCCAAGAATCACGGTTTGGATGCTCTTGCTGAAGAAGTCAAAAAATCCCTCTCAGAAGATTTCAAGATGCCAGAATTCAACTTTAAGCCTTCCCTCTTCCTTCCTCCTGTACCAATCAATGCTGGTGGTAACTGGCCTCTTTTACATACTCAAGAAATTGATTATGGTGATGTTGGTCAATCTTTGGGTGAAATTGATGAACTTGAATTTGACCAATTCGGTGATAGTATTGAAATTCCAGGAATGGAACAAGCCACAACAAGCAAGAAATCTGTTCCTCCACCATCAGACTTGGATGAAATGGGTGAGGATCAAATCAATGTTGATGACTATGATCTCATTGATATTCCTGCTGATGCTCAAATTTCCACATCTCAATCAAGCAATTTTGTTCCTCCAAATGCTGGAAGAAACGTTTTGGATATGTGGCCAGTCAATTCTCAATTCCCAGGTAATCACATTGCAGCTGGTTCATTTGATTCTGCCATTGAAATTCTCCAAAAGGCTGTTGGTATCAAGAATTTTGCTCCTCTCAAAGAATTATTCCTCTCTATTTATGCTGGTTCTAATCTTTTAATGCCTTCTCCATCATGTCAACCAAGTATTCCATTAGCACTTCAAGCTGGTAAATCAGAAAATGAGAGATCCAGAGAGAATACCCTTCCTAAACTTGCAGTGCCAACACTTTCTGAGTTGCAATTAAAGTTGAAGGACGCTCTCAATGCCTTATCGAATCAAAATACAATCAAGAATGGTTTGGACATGTTACGTGAAATTATGAGACAATTATTGTTCCTTCCAATCTTATCAAAGAAGGATGAAAGAGAATTCAAGGAAACTTTATCTACTTGTTGTGAATACGTCAGTGCTTTCAGAATGGAATTAGACAGAAAGGATATTATGACCACTGATTCAAAGAGAGCAGCCGAACTTGCAGCTTATTTCACTAGATGTAAATTGAGAAATAATCACATCATGTTAGGTTTGAATTCTGCCATGGCTATTTGCTTCAAACTTGAAAACTTTGTAACAGCAGCTACATTTGCTAATAGATTGCTTAAGATGGGACCTCCAGAAAAGATCCAAAAGCAAGCAGCCTATGTGGCCCAACAAAAGGAAAGCAAACCTACCGACAAGATTGAATTGAATTATGACGATAGAAATCCATTTGTTGTTTGTAATATTTCACACACTCCAATTTATCAAGGAAGTGACAAGATTGCTTGCTCATATTGTGGAGCTGCTTATTTACCAAGATATGATGGTGAATTGTGTACTATTTGTGAGATGGGTACGATAGGCAAGAAATTGATTGGCCTCTATGCTTATGCCAACGCTTTCAAGAATACCCCAATGGACGAAGAAGAAGAACTTTAAATAAATTACTAAAATCTTAATTATCCTTAGGTTTTATGAAATTATTTGAAGCTACAACCTTATTTGTAGGTAAAACAGGAGTAGTTGACTTTCTTTCAAGAGTTAAACGAATGAGAGAATAAACTGACAAGGCTCCTTCTTTTGCTAATGAAATACATTCTCTTAAAGCTTCATCTGTTAATAAACCTTCAGTAATACTGGTGACAAGAAAGGAATCGTCATCAGAATCTGTTTTAGATGGATTTCGGAGAGGAGCAGAATCAAAAACAAAGAAGGCAAATCCTTTTGGTACAATAACTTTTGGTCCTTTTGATGATGTCTTGTAATATTGAATGTATGATGATGAATCGTCATTGTGTAAAATTGATGAAAAATCTTGTTCAATTCTCGTTGGATCCAACAAACAATCACCACTATTTAAATATGAACAAGATGATGAAACAAGTGTTGTTTTCATAGCAACTCCAGCATCAAGAAGAGCCAATGATGCAGCATTTAAACTCGCACTCAATAAACATCCATCATATTGAACCACTTGAATCGAAATTGTTATAACAGTTCTTGGATATATATTTGTTAAAATCACATTTTCCAATGTTTGTCTAATAATTAATTCATATTCTTTTTCCTCTTCCGAAGCCTTCTTATCTCTTGGTTGAAACATGACATCAATAATAGCTTGATCTCCTTTTTCCTTCATTGATGATTCCGGTCCACAAACTGAACAAATTACTGTGGTATTTCCCTGAGAAAATTTAACACTTCCATCAGCTTTTCCCAACACTCCCAACTCGACTTGCATATCTCTGAGTTGGTTGGAGGTTTTACGTTGATCCCTTCTTAAAATTTGCTTGTTCATTTTTTTTTATGAATTTTTTTAATTTACAAAAGAGTTTCGTTTTAATTTTGCATCATACACTATCGAAAATTTCAATATAGTTGTATGTATTTAACTTTTAAAGTAAGAGTATTGTTTACTCTTTATTGTACATTGGAAAAAACATGAGATTATTGGAGATTAGTTCTAAAGAAATCATACATTCTTTCAAAAGAAAGAGCATAAGCTTCAGCATTGAAAACTTCTGGTCTAGTATTATTGGTGAAAGCATGGCTACAACCTGGATAGATGTAGACAGTTCCATTAACTCCATTTTGCTTCCATGATTCTTGCAATTTGTTGGCTGCTTCAACATCAGAAAATCCCTTAATATCATCCAATTCACCAAAGTGAGCAATAACAGGAACATTAATCTTGGATACATCCATTTGTGGAATACCATAGAAACATGATGCTGCATTAATGGTACCATCGGTTTGTGATGCTGTTGCTGCAAGAGTTAAAGCTCCTCCTATTTATATTTGATTATTATTTCCAATATTATTAAGATTACAATCAATTTTAATATCAAGTAAATATATAATGATAAATATTAATATTATTAATTAATTAATATTTAAATAGTAATTATAAACATACCCATACAAAAACCTGTAACACCAATCTTTGTACAACCATGAGCAGATCTCAAATATTTAGCAGCACCCAAAATATCAGCAATTGCTCCAGGCCAATCCAAACCGTGCATTAAATGTCCAGCATGTTCATGATCAGTAGCAACTTGTCCTCTATACAAATCCGGAATGATAGTAATAGCCTTCAATTCTTCAGCAATTTTAATTCCCTTGCTTTTAATATGATCGTTAACTCCCCACCATTCTTGCAATATAATAACACCCATTGTGGTGGATTCTTGTGGTTTGGCAACATAACCTGGACAATCTCCGAGTTTGTTTGAAGTTGGAATGGAAACAACAGATGAAGTGGATGATGACATTTTTTTTTTGATTGTTATTTTGTAAACATCAGCTTATTAAATTCCCGATATTCAATTGTAAGAGTTTGAAGAAAGGGTGGACGTACTTTTTAAAAAGTGAGCATTCCATTGATATGTTTAAGGAAAGTATTCTGTTTGTAAACTTATTACAACAACACCTTCAATTATTAAATCTTTTTTTAAATCAAATTTGAAAAAAATGACAACAAATGTAGATGGGGATTTATTCAGTAATTTTGTGAGAGAAGATGAAAATACATCGGAAGATAAATCAAATGCTAATGATAATAATAAATCTGTAAATAATAATAATAATGGAGTAAACAATTCGGAACAAGAAGAAGAAGAAAATTATATTACCAAATTAAAAGAAATGGTGAAGGAATATTCGCAGCTGGATCAACAGGAACCATCAAGTGATGATGAATTGATTAAATTTACAAAAGATAAAGAAGAAAGATTACTTTTCAGATTAGGAAGGTTATTGGAAAAGAGAAAAAAACAAAGAAAGAGAAAATATGAACAATATGAACAAGATCAAATCGAGTAAATCATTTGATTTTGAATTATTATGAATTTACAACCATTGTTAAAACCACTACAATGTGTCTTCTTCAATGAGAATGTTTACAAGATTCTGTTTAGTCGTAAGATTCGCTACTGGACTACCTAAACATTCCGAAATCGACATATTAGTCTACCGCCTTCGTTCCAGTACAAACACTAACATTCATAAAAAAAATGAAGTCAACCACCAACATCATTGCCACCATTACTCTGTCGGTACTATTCTTTGCTATCTTTTGTGCTTGTGCTACAAGTATCAGGGAACTCGAAGGCAACTTCTTCTACACCATTACATTCGGCGACTCTAAATGTTCTCCAAGTACTATTCAGTCAGTGTCAGGATTGAGTATTGTCAAACCAGCCAATCCTTCATATCCACTCAGTGGATCATGTTTTGAAAAAGCACCAGACCAATACGGTTACTCTCAATATCAATGTGATGCTTCTACTGCAAATGTTAAAAATCTCTGTCGACCAGGATGTGTTGAATGTTTCGAATATGAAACCCATCCATTGCATCAATGCAATGATAGAAGTGTGAGTGGATGTGGTAAATTGCCAGATTTTATTCTCTATTCTGATCATTTCAATGTTAGCATGTTGTGGAATTTGCAATACCAAGTCCATTCAAATGAAAAAGAAAATCAATGCGGAAGAACAAGTAATGATTTCCTTGTCAGCTTCTTTGCTTCAAGAATTAATACTTGCTTGACTTGGTTTGATAGTACTGAAGTTATCAAGTGCAATTCTACTGACTATTCCTTTTTGAAATACAAACCAGCCACCGATAACGCTCCTCAATGTACTAGGTTCGAAAGTGCTTACAATGGAAAGGTCAATACTTGTTCTGGAGGTAATAATAATGTTAACATTTGCAAATAAGGAAATAAAAAAAATAAATTAAAATTCAATTGAATTCAACTTTTGAAAATATTATACAGTGAGTGTTTATAAAAGTCTGCTTCTATTATTATGGTCAATTGTCTTTCTACAAATTGGACATTTATCCAACAATTTAAAGCAATTCTTACATGCACAACGATGCATACATAATCCTCCAGTTCTATTACTATTATTTAAAGGTTCAAAGCAAACAACACATTCCTCACTCTCAATTACAGGCGTCAAGACAGCACGATATTGACAATTATGATCTTCACATTGTAAAGTTATTTTTTGATTCTTTCTCTGATAATTCAAATCATCTAAAGTAGTATGTCTATAAACTGGTTCATGTTCGGCATATAACGCGAAACCTGGCCAGTTCAGTTCACGAAGTCTTTGTTCCATTCGTGGAAAGACAACTTCTCCCAATGTTAAATGACCTGCATATTTCTCCTTTTCAAAAAGCATTTCTTCAATGACTTGATGTTGAGAATTTCTGAATTGCAAAATAATTGTATAGGACTCATCTAAAACAAATGAAGGAGTTGAATTTGTGGAATTGTTGGAAGATGTTGATGGTTGGGAGCCCAAACTTGGTAATGTTAATAATTCTCTTCGTTGTTCCTATAATTATTCCACAAATTTAGTTTCGATTACATTAAAATGTTTCAATACCTACATAGGTCTCAATAATCTTCTTCATCACCTCTATTGATTGAACATCAGCATCATACAATTTAATATATTCCTCATTATTTTCTCTCACTCTAGAAAAACCACACAATAACAATATATCGAGAGCACCTTTAACTTGAACAATCTTCTCAGAGAGTTTTGGATTTGACAATTTAATCGATCTAAACTTATCATCGTACGGATGAGCAACAATATTTTGTAAAATATTCTTGATCAATTGCATGGTTTGTTGTTGATCCAAGAGAGTTGGATTCTCCTTCAATAGAGCATGTAGACGGACCACTGGTTGTTGGGGAATAAAAGTTGGTGTTGACACTTTGAAATTGAAAAATCATTTTCTAGTCACACCAAAATAAATTATCAATATTTGAAAATAAAGGACGGTACGAGTGGTTTGTTTTATGATAATTTTATTTACAATTAACGTTCTTCATTCTTTTCTCGTTGACGAGTTTCGAGAATTCTTCTGGCCAATCTACATAATACAGTCTCCTCAATGGATTCAGTTGTTTTACAAGAAATTTCCTCAAACATGGCATCAATTTGGAGTGATTCTGCAAACTTTTTGCCCTTATCTGTTGATACATTTCTAGCAGTTTCCAAGTCAGTCTTGTTTCCAATAATGAAAATATTAAGATCAGCTCCAATAGGTAATGCATCTCCATTATTTACTCCCAAAATGTTCTTTTTAACTTCATTCAACCAAATACTCAAGTTATTAAATGTTTTTTCTTGGGTTCTATCATATTTGAACAGTTGCATGTTTGAATGGACCAATTCACCAATATATTACTGAACTATTTCAAAAAAAAACTTACATATCATAAACAAGTATAATACCATCACTTCCACGATAGTATGATTTTGTTAAATTTCTATATCTTTCCTAAAACATTTTTGAATATTTTCAATTTTTTTAAAACATACCTGTCCGGCAGTATCCCATATTTGGAGTTTAATGTTTTTACCGTCAATTGTTAAAAACCTCACTTTCCTTAATATTGAAATTTCAGTCAAATTCCTCTCTTTTAAAAAACTTACAAATCAACTCCAACAGTTGGCATGAACGAATCTGTAAATGTTCCTGACTGTAATAATTATTTTCCGATTATTTTCAAAATTAACTTACAACCATCTTGTTCAGTAAACTTGTTTTTCCAACACTTGAGTCTCCAATGACAATTACTTTAAATAATTCGTCATAATTTGATTGAATGGTGCGAGCAGCTATTGTAGAAGCTGATGGCTGTGGATTTACAACTTTAATGTTTACTATTAGTTCCGATACAGATTATATAACAACATTCATCACACAATTAATATTATTAATTAATAAATTTTCATCATGATGAGGTGATACACTACATTCATTGTTGTTTTTTGTTTTATCACTCTCTCCTCCACAACACATTTTCTCTCTCGGTATATATACAAAACAACGTGGTTGCAATTGGTTGGCAAAAAGAATTCAATTGGAAATCAAAGAAACCACTTCAGGTCCTCAACGTGCTACTTTTTTTTATTGTTATGTTGGTTATTATCTTTACATTTCATTACTGCTGTAATTAAAGGTTTTAAAAAGCACATTATTCATCACAACACACGATGTTCAAACCTTAAAGGAACAACCTAAAAGAATGAAAAACAACTCATATACCATGGAAATAAAAAGATGAATATGTTCTAAGCATATGGAGACATTATCGTGTTCTTGTTCCATGCCAAAGACACTTCCCACAATCATGCACCATGACGAGCTTATTCTTTATTATGAAACCCCACGCAAACCTCACACAACTCCACCAAGCACCGAAGAACTCGACACTTGAATGGTGTTGTCAGAGTGGCTTTTACACCCTCCGACTCATCATTAACGTTCTGACTCGAATGAATCATGAAGGTGAGGAATAGGCAGAGCTTTCTAGGAGTAATTTCGTGGTATGAATTGGCTCATTTATTTTGTGAGGGAATTATCATGAAGGCAAAGTGGTTTTAAATAAATAATTTTAAAAAATATCGAAATTATTTTGAATAAGCACACAACACAAAATGAAATTGTTGTTTGAGTTGAGTTGAAGAGCAGAAACCTTACCAATAGATTTTCAAAGGTTGGGTACAATTTCTTGGAGGATAAATAGTCCAAGCTTCAATCAGCGTTGATTCACATCTCAATTTGAAGCAAAAAAATGAGTAATAACGAACAAACTTCAACTCCTCTCACTTCTTCATCATCGACTTCGGAAAAGAGTACCGAAGAGGTTTTGGTAGAAGATATTGTTACACCTGAAGCCTCTGCAACAAACAAGAAGAAGCCAATGACTTATCAAGAATTAATGGAAGGTGATGACGATGATGATGACTGGATTCCTGTTGTTCCAAAGGAATTACCTGATTGGTGTAAAGGAGACCATCCATTGTTGATGAATGACATTGGTTTGGACAATCCAATTGCTATGGCTTTGGCTGAACTTAGATATGATGGTACTCCAGATGAAATTGCAACCAATTTTAAAAATCAAGGAAATAACTTGTTGAAGGATAGTAAAAATCCAGAAATGTACTACAAGGATATTATCAGATATTATTCAGAAGGATTGGAGCAACCAATTACTGACACAAGATTGAAAATTGACTTGTTAAATAATAGATCACACATCTTTACATTGATGGGTAATTATGGACATGCCATTGTGGATGCAAAGGAAGTTTTGAAAATTGATAATAAGAATACTAAAGCCATGTTCAGAATTGCTAAAGCTGCCATGACTTTAAAGAAATACAAGCCAGTTATCAAATATTGTCAAAGGGCTCTTAAAATTGAAGGAAAACATGCCTTGTTTGAGGATTTCATGAAGAAGGCCGAGGATGCACTTTTAAAGGAGCAAGAAAAGAAAGCTGAAGAGCAAGAAAAGAAGAGACAACAAGAACAAACCATACAACAATTGAAGAAATTCCTCTCCAATAGAAAGGGAATCAAAATTGGAGATTATACAGAGCTAGAATCTGAACAATTGAATACCTACACTCGTGATGGACCTTTGGGAGGTATCCAAATTGATGAACACAGTGGTGAAGTATTCTTCTCTGTTATCTTTGCCTACGATGAATTCAATCAAACAGATTTCATTCATACTTTTAGTGAACACCAAACTGTGAGAGAACAATTGGACATGATGTTCCCTCCAAATGGACCTGCATTCCCTTATGGATGTGAAAAGGATTACGTGATCTCAAATTTGAAAGTTTTCTTTTTAGATCCTACCTCCTTAAAGAATTCAAAGAATCGTTTCATTGAGATTAAGAATTTAAACACTCCACTTATCACGGTTTTGACAAGATCAGACTACCAACTTCCATCCTCATTCATTCCAGTTTTGCACGTTGTTCGTAAGAATCACGAATTAGAAATCTTTAAATAATCCAATTAATCATTAAATAATTTATTACATTTCTTCGTATGGTTCAACAGTTTCTTCGACAGTAATTCCTTGTTGTTCAAGCTTACTCAAAACTCCTTCATATAAAAGTGGTGTTGAAGTTGGACCAATGACACCACCTCCACCAACTGACTTTTTAAGGGCAGCTGATTCCTTAGCAACAAGTACAGCAGTGATAGCAACAGGTAAACCAACAGTTCTACTTGTGGCAGTTCCTTCCTTCTTGTCACCATAAACACAAACAGTTGAGGTAATCTTTTCCTTAACATTTTCCTTTTCATAGTTTACAATAAATTCATGGACCATAAAGTTGAGATCCTTGTCATCAGCAGAGAGGGCAAGTTCCTTTTCAAGGTGAGTACAGATCAAATCAAGGAGTAATCCACTCTTTGGTTTTTCACCAAATGAATCAGTAGAAAGCAAACCAAGTTGTTTTACACTCTTGAGAGCGAAAGAAACATCAGTTTGAGCGTTAGCCTTAAGTCTATTGTAAATAGCTTGTTGGTACTTGTCAGTAATGTTAGAGAACATGGCATCAATCTTTTCATTGTAAAGACTGGTGACCTTGGCAGAAATGGTCTTCAAATCAGTAGAAACTGGAACACCCAATTGAGTACAGAAAATATCACGATAAGTCTTGGCATCAGCTGGAATGACAGTGCTTTGATTGAGGTATCCTAAAAGAGTGAGTAATCTGAAAACTTCACAGAAACCACCAAATCTGAGGGTTCCTCTCATCATGGTCTTCAAGTCCTTTTCATTCAGATACTTGTACTTGGAAATGTACTTGAGGGAATCTCTGTTTGGAATAACTTCAAAATTGAATCCCTTAAACTTGACGTCAACCTTTTCATTGAGGAAAGTGAGCTTGTTACCATCAGTAACATTGACAACTTCACCATCCTTCATGAATAAACATGGATTTTGAGAAGCTCTCAAAACACCAATTGGAGACCAACTGAACTTGTAACCAAGAGGATTATCAGATGATTCAGGGGCTGGGAGAGCACCACAGAAGCTCTTGAAGCTTTCAACCTTACCACCTCTTTGACCAACAACTTGATCGAGAGTCTTCATAATACACATGTGATCAATACCAGGATCCAAACCAATTTCATTAATGAAGAGCAAACCCTTTTCTTTAGCTTGTTCGTTCAATTGTTCCATTTCTGGACTAATATAACTGGCAGTGACGAGATGTTTTTCATACTTTAAACATTGTTGAGCAACAATTGGATGGAGTGGAGCTGGAACCAATGAAAGTACAATATCACATTTGCTAATCAAATCAGCAAGCAATTGACTATCATTAGTAACATTGAGATTACTAACAAATTCAACAGATTTCTTAGAATCAGAATACTTGCTCTTGAATTCAGAAGAAATCTTATCAGAGGCAACGGTAACGGTGGCAATATCTCTTGGATTATCGATCAAGTAGTCAATAATTGGAGGAACAACATATCCTGATCCCAAAATCAAAACTCTGCTAGATCTTGGACCTCTAATCTTGTCAATATATTCAAAGTTTGGTGTCAATTTACCACCTGATGTAATTACAGCCTTTCTGAGCTCAGTTGGCAAATATTTCATTTGAGTTTCTAATGGAGAACTCATAGTAACAAATGATCTAGCAAGATCTGGAATGAATGGGAAAAGGTGAGAACCAAACAAACTACTGGAAGATCTTGGGAATTCAGCTGGCAAGTGGTCAACAGCAAGCATTGCAACACCTTCACCAATTACAGTATCGTCAAGAATCTTGTCTTCCTTGATATTATTTACATAGACAGGAGAGGAAATTGTAGTAGTCTTAGTCAAGAATTCAACAGAACCACCAGGATCACAAGAAACATCACCAACACAAATGAGTGGGAATCTATTTTGATCAATTAATTGTTTAGCTTGCTTGTTAGTGATTAATCTTGGATATCTGGCATCCCAATACATGCCGTTTAACAAAACTTTAGTGTATGGAATAATTGTTTCGTGGAAAATTGGTTCGTAATCTTGTGGATTAGCATAGTAATCATACTTGTCAAATGGTTGAGTTTGTGACTTGTGTTTAACCATATATTCAGGACCACAAATTAAAATATAAATCTTTCTACAATCTTCCTTGGTTACTTCACCTCTAGCTTTCTTTTCCCACAAAGCTCTCAATTCTTGTGGTGTTCTCAAAAATTCAACTGTTTTGTGTGTTAATTCTGGAGGTTGCAATTGTTGAATCATTTCCTTCATACCATGACAAACAGAACCACCTTTACCAGTCATAACAAAGGTCATTGGGAATAAATCCTTGTTGATACCATATTGACTAATCTTTCTGCCAATTTCATTCAAGGCATGTTTACAAATTTCAAGACTAATGTAATTTCTAGCATATGAAATGCTGAGGAAAGGACTTGTATATCCATATTGAGTCAATAATCTTTCTCCGAGAATATGAAGTGTATCAATAACACCAGCATTACCAGCAAAAGGACCAAATCTTACCAATCTTTCTTCTACTGTTTTTTCAGTTCCTGGAATTTCAACTTCCTTCACAATACGTTCATAATCGATCAATCTAATTTTCTTTTCTAAAATAGTGTCCAACATATTCATGTTATACCATTGTCCTTTAATTGTGTGAGAGAAGAACATGTAAGTCTTGTTCGGAATTAATAATTGGGCTGGAACTTCTTTAACTGCCAAGATTGTTTGGGCAATACTCAAATCTTCATTAATCTCACAGCCAGCTTCTCTATATTCTTCATCACCAAAAGCACGAGTTGTTGATGGTTGAATTACAATACGAATACCATGTTCCTTGATCAATTCTTCACATTGGGATGGTGTGAGAGGTACTCTACGTTCCCAAACATTTTTATCTTCTCTACGAATACCAATTGTTGGTGTTTCACCCGATTCACTATATTTTCTAAGTCTTGAATTAAAAACAGTGCAATGGAATCCTTGCTTTCGTCCTTCCTTTTCCAACAATGAAATAATATTTGTTTTTTTATAGCAAGATTGACGAATGGCTTGCTGTTTAGCAATATGATTGCAAGAAACGTTGAAGACCTTGCTTAGTTTGTGCATTTTTTTTAAATTGTTTTTATTTAGCTTGGTCTGTTGGCTCAGCGAGATTTTTGTTGCGCAGTTTTTGGCCTCTGAAACGCAAGCAATCTTTGTTGTAAACTTAATGTCTGTATTGCAATGGTTATCAATCAATTTCGTGAAGCCTCAATATATACTGGTGTACGAAAAAATAACCTCCTCACTGCAGTAGAATAAACTCAACGCTTTCTCTTTTGAAGGATTTTTTAGTACGGATGAATGGTTAATAGTTGTGGAGGTTACCACCTTAATGTGTATTCATGGAATGAAATCTAATCATCACGAAGAAGCAATTTAAAATTTGGGTGTTTCTGATGAAAGAAAGATGAAGCTGCAGCAAGTGCAAGTAATTTTAACTCGTTATGTGAAAAATCACTAAAGCAATTGAGAGCTGAACCATTCATTTGAGTACATTGTAATGCAAAGTCAAAGTTATGACTGAGCGATTGTTTGTAATACAGAAAAGATGTCAGATGTTGAGTAGAATTCTTGCAGGATAGAATGATCATATTGGGGTCGTATCGGAAACTCTCAGGTAAATTGGGAAAGATGAGTGAGTTTCGTTTGAGGGCATCTATTAGAAATGAGTTATCTTGTTTCAATAAGGGGCTGATTTGATAGAGAATTAAATGGTTCTTCTCTATTGCTGATAAGATAAAGTCCCTATCTGTTTTCAAACTATTACTCAAGTAGGTGAATCCTTCTGGGAATTTTTGAATGATTTGGAGAGCTAGTTCCTTATTGGATTTAATGCATTCACTTGCATGAAATAGACATCTTCCAGTTTTTCTAGAAGCACATCTCACAATTTCCTCATCTAACCACAGGCTCTTGTGTACAAATTCTACAGCTTTTCCATTACTTGTGAATGAGGAAAGAACAATTTGCTTGTCTCTTTGGAATGATGAACCAGCAAATTTTAGAGCAAATCCATTGCTGGTTACTGCTTTCATCACTAATGATCTGTCACTTTTGAAATGATTTGGAAGGAATTTTAAATTCATGGGATCAGAATCTATTGCAGTACTCACAATTTCCAAATCTTCTTTCCACTTTTCATCAATTGTTTGGAATATGGTACCATTTTGTTTTATGGCTGCTAGAACAACATCTCTATCCAAAGCAAATGATGGGAATTTTCTCAAGTTCATTCCGTTCTTATTAACTGAATTGAGAACTATTTCTTTTTCATCCAAAATTTCCTTTTTATGATTGGTCTTGTGGGTTGGCGCAATTTTTTTCTGTTCCTGCAGTTTCTTCCATTCCTGATATTCTTGAGTGTTAATTAACATTGATCCGTATGTGAATGAAATATCATTTGGATTAACTTTGAAAGCTTGCAATATCACATCTAGATCTTTGATTTTGCAACAATGCAATAATTTACCTCCTTTTTGAGATGCTGTAATCAAGCAGCACTCTTTATCATTTTGCATTAAATCATTATTTGTTATCAAACTACAATTCATTCGACAGGCCTTCCTCAGAAAATTTAAATCATTCTTATATTGATCGGGAATGAATGGTGTCGAAGAACTCTTCATCGATTCTAGCAATAATTCGGGTTCATCCTCCAATAATGTTGCCAGTGTTGGAGCTGTCTCTGTGAAATGTACTACTAAATTATAGAATCGAGAGAGGTTATATTTAAAAGAAAGCCTCTCCGATCCAATTTGATCATCGAGAATAATTGTTATCCCTTGCTCGTGAAGATTTTGAAACATTTTTTATGAACAATACTTGTTGTAAAAGATTGTTCCAAGAGTAAATTAGTACACATCACAACATGAGGTTGAACAATGAACACTTTGTAAACTTTCAAAAAAATGGTCTATGTTCTTTCCACTGGCTCCAATAGATTTTGTGAATCGTGTCAATCTTCGAAAAGCAAAACCTTCTCGCCAATTACACTCCTTCCCAATGATGATGAATCATCACTTTCGAAAGTTAAAAAGATTGCATGTGGAAGGGAACATACTATGATATTGTTGCAGGATGGTCAATTATTCGGAATTGGTAATAATCATAACGGACAAGTGTTTGGTACGAGTAAAACTGATGACTCACTAAAGATCATTCCTGTTGGAACGTTTCTTGAGAAGGGAGAGATGATTGTGGATGCTTTCTGCTCTCAGATCAATAGTTATGTAATTACAAATTGTGGAAATATTTATTGGAGTGGATTTGAAACTAAATCACATAGTTTTGTTAAAATTGAGAAAGAAGAGAATGAAGAGATTAACGGGTTTTATACTAGTGCTAGTGCTGGACATTTCTTTGTGAAAATAGGCTGCAAGATTTATGGATCTGGATGGAATTCTTGTGGACAATTAGGAAATGGAACTAGAATTGATAAGTATGGAACTCTTTCACTTGTTTCATTTGAAGATTATAACAAAGTTGAAAAAATTGCAATGGGTGCTCAATTCACTGTGATTGCTACTGAATTTGAATTATATGGTTGTGGATTAAATGATGCAAATTCATACTCCTCTTCTAATGAAAGAAATAACGAATTTTTTAAACCAATTACAATACCTTTTCATGGAAAGAAAATTAGTAATGTTACCTGTGGAGGGTTATGTACAATAGTTCAATTGGAGAATAATGAAATTTTTGGAGTTGGAAAACATGTTGGAAATTATTATAAAAAACTTGATATTAATGAGCCAATTGTTTGTAAGTTTATAAAGTTAAATTGAGTTTTCTATAATGAAAATGGATAGCATTCTCAGCTGGTTGGAGACATTACGTGCTTCTTGGAGAATCAGGCTCTCTCTATGTGGGTGGGCAGAACTCATATTATCAGCTTGGAACTCAAGAATTTTCATCTACCTCCACACCAGTTAGAATTTCTAAACCAAAAGAAATACTCTTTCCAAGAAAAACCAGTATTATGTGTGGTGAGAGTTTTTCATTTGCCTATTACAATAACCATGAAAATATTCATTTTCTATTCATGACATCCATTCTAGATAAGGTAGTGCAGGGAACTGATTCACATCTATCGGACATTAAGATTTGCACAATTTACTTATAAACCAATCATTTACACATGTTTACTTTAAATCAGACAGTCTTGATTGGAATTGTTGAACAATTTGTGGACTTGGCTTCCAACCTTCTTGGATGAGCTTATTCCACTCATTTTCAACCTTTTCCTTAGAATCCATACTCTTATCCCACAGAATCTTTTGCATTTCCAATTCTTGCCATGCTTTCAATTCGCATGGGAAATGTTTACAAAGTGGTAATGTACTTGTCTTTTCAATTCTGTGTAACAATTGCATACCACTGAGCTTTTCAATGTCTGAAACTGGAACAATAAAATCGGTAATTGGCTTTGATTTTGGAATTGGCTTATTTGGAATCATAAAGGCCTGAATGAAAAATTTGTTTTCAGACTTTTTCTCTCCAACCAAAATTCTGTACAAGTGTGTTGGAACAGCAACATTATTATCTCCAATGACTTCATAACGAACAAACTTTTTTTTTCCTGACTCTTCTGGAACAAACAGTGGACCAGCCAATACGTGGACATTATCGAACTGTTTGGCCATTCCTCTAGTGAACATTTCCAATCTAAGCCAATAAAATCTGTTATTATTTGGATCTTGTGGAACTACATTGTGTGACAAGTAGAATGTTTCATCCAAAGCTTTTTGTCCCATACTATAATAAAAATCTCCACATGGACACAAGTGTCCTCTATCATATCCCTCTCCAGAATAGTCAGAATTTTGAGCATTGAATGGTTCTGGAAGGTATGGACTCGAATGGAATTGAGAATTGGATCTATCGGATTTTCTTTCCTTACTTCCTCCACTAGTACGTCCTTTAATGGTCCAAGCAACAAGTGATGGAATTCTCAATCTAGTATCAGTTGCTGAAATATATCCAGAAAACATGTGCATTTCTCTATCACTTGGTATTCCCAACTCGTAAAATGTTTGGAATAATTGTTGATTTTCCTTTGTCTTGGCATGTGCCTTAACATAACCTGGCAATTTGCTCATAATTGCAGCTGGAGTGGCTGATTGATTATCGCCAGCTTGTTGTCTAGGTAATCCTTGTGGTGAAACTCTACCAGGATTTCTAGCACCAGAACCTTCTCCTTCTGCTGATTCTCCACTTTGTTCCGATGATGCTGGTGTTGTAGCACTACCACTACTAGGAGAAAGTGCTGGTGTTGGTGGTGGTGTCATTGGAGCAGCACTTTGTGCTTCCACAATCATTTTACTTCCCATCACCATTTTAGAAACTTCCAAAGTATTATTATTATCCATTGATGATGAGGATGATGAAAATGGCATGAAGGATTTTATTCCACGATCCATTGACATTCCGGCACCAAGAGCCAACACGGAAGTGGCCAGAAGCAATTTTCTCATTTTTTTTCTTTTCAGAATTTGAAATTTAATTAAATTTCAATTCGTAGATAGTTTTACAATGGATAGTAATGCTTAGAAGTGTTTGTTTTTAGAGATAAGTGAATGTATGATCTCATAAAAGGGGCACCATGTCCATTTTCGATTAAATAGGAGAATCGAATAAAAACAAGAAAAAAAAAGAAACACACTATGAACACTTCAAACAATTCGTTACTGTTAGTGGTTTTCGCGTTAATGATTGCTCTCCAATTATTGTTAATCAGTTCCTCCACTGTTCATTGTCAAAGTGCAACACCATGTTATATGGAAGAAACCTTTAAATTTTCACATGCTAACAATTATTCGATTGCAATGGAATGTCAAGTATCTTCTGAATGCAATGAACTCAAAATTACATTCTCAACCTATGGATATGGTTCTTCCGTGTTTGTTCTATTAGATTCTCAATATTCTTCCTTTCTTGAAAATGTGAAATCCAATCCACAATACCTTCCGCCAGAATTTTTGCATTCCTTCTACTACTCTGATACTTCCTACAAGATTTCCAAAGGTGATGTCATCCCCAAGCCAAGAGATGAAGGTTATGGCACCATCAGAGTTCTTGTAAAACGAAATCCAACCTTACCAACAACCTCAGTATCCAGTGTTTATCTTGAAATGCTAATCACTCCACAAAAAAACAATTCCAAATCGATTGTGATTGCTGTTATGGTTGTTGGAGGATTGATTGGAGTGTTGTGTTGTGGAGCATGTGCCATTGCATTCATTGTGTTTGTGGTTAAAAGAAGAAAAGTTGCTATGAGCAATGAACAAATGACAACACCCATGGTATCAGATGCTTATCAACAAGTTTAAATGAATGTTATTATCTTTTTGTAACACATCTGGCAGCGTCTCTTCTTTGAAATTTATTTTTAAAATATCTATACCGTTGTAAAGGGTTTCAATGAAAGGTTTGATTTCACTAATCCTTGGTAACATATTATAGATTCGAATAATAGTTTGGAAAGCTCAAAAGCGAAAAGGAAGTTTCTATTAACCAATTTTTGAAAACTAAATAGAAATGAATTTGAAAGTTTTTACTTGCAAGTAAAAAGATGCCAAGTCTCTTTGAATAATCTAACAATTACAGGATATTATGTACTCATGTACTCTCCCTCAAAACATGAAATGTCGTATTAATAAGTTGAATTGACATTTGTTGTAAACTGTTTCAAACCATGTTGCTTTGCACTTTTTTACTTCGATGATCCAATTGTACGCTTATGTTGCGTATTCAATCTCTTAAATATCCATTCTTAGCATGATGTTCAAATGGTAACCTCCTATAAGATTCATAACCTTGCTTACACGGAGTGTTAAAGTGAACACTTAAAAAAAACAAGCTGCATTGATGAATACTCCACTCAACTCTTGCACTTTAGTCTTATTCTCAATTGTTGCCATTCTCTTTTTGTTGAACAATTCACATGCTACTGTGGTTGCAACAAGCCAACAACAACAAGTTGCAACTCCTTGCACACCAGTGGATAAGGACTATAAATTTTCATGGAGCAATGAGTATGCCATTGCATTGGAATGTCAAGTAGGTCCAGACTATAATCAATTCAAAATGAATTATTCAAGCTCTGGCTATGGAGCTTCTGTTTACTTTTTAACAGAACCTCAATATAATGACTTTGTTGAAAAAGTTAAAGCCAACCCTGCCTATGTTCCACCTTCCATTGCAGAATACATGTTCTACTTTTACTTCCCAAACAGTGGCTACCTATCATCAAAGGGTAATATAGTCACTCTACCAAGAACCGACTTGGGTAAGATTAGAGTTCTCGTCAAGAGAAATCCATCCTATGAAGGTGCCACAGCAAGAGTTTTTATTGATTTGACCATCATTCCTCAACAAGATAATACTGCAGCAATTGTGATTGCTGTTGCATCTGTTGGAGGTATTATTGGAGTTTTGTGTTGTGTTGGATGTTGTGCTGGATTGATTTTCTTTGTACTCAGAAGAAGAAAGGCTTCCTATCAACAAGTTGTCTAAAGAGTTTACGAATAATTCAATAATAAAATCTATTCTTCTCCTTATTGAGAGTGGAGCATCAGTATGAGGTGACCTCTTATGATTCTCATAAAGATGAATTTACATTTTAACGAAACTCTTGAAATAATGACACTTGGAAGATTCATTGGTCAGGAAACTCAGATAAAAAATTTCACGAAAAAAGACTACAGCACCACAGGTTCCCAAGTTGTCTCCAACCTCAGTACTGATGTGGCTCGACGATGCTTAACTTCTCAAATCGGACGGGATGAGGTGCATTCATCGTGATATGGCCGTAGCCATTTGCTTCATGAATTTGTGAAATATCAATCTACCCTCAAATAAAAACAAAATAACCTCCTAAATCTCAATACCAAATCAATAGCTTCAGCTTCCCATATGAAAATCCTGAATGTTCTACTTTGTGAAATACATTAATATATTCTTGCCACAAATCAAGATGATTTTAAAGATGCCAACACCAAATTCCCGCCAAAACTAGGTTAAAAAATATTTTAAAAATTAAATAAAAAAAAGATCACAATAATAACAAAATGCAAAGCCTAATAGATTCTGCCGAATTGATGATGGAGAGTGGCGATGATGCCGAAGTATTCGAGGATATGAGGATTTGGCTTGTCAATGAAAAAAACTCTCCCGAACTTTTACCTGGAGGAAAACGTCTTGAATCTATGGTCGAAAGAGCCAAGTCAAGGATTGAATCGGAGGAAGAAAAACTCATGGAAAGTGATGTCTATACGGAAGAATATTCTATTAGAAATACAGAATTAAATAGATTGAAATTTTTAGTAACATCTCTGATGAGGACAAGACTATTCAAGTTGGAAACATTGTGTGAATATGTAAAGAGAACAGAAATCAAAAATATCAATAATAGTGACTTATCTTGGGAAACAAGTACGGATGAGGAAATTCATTCAGCTTTGAAAATTGTTACACCTTCAGAGTGGAAGTTCCTCCAAAAATTCTCTAAATTAAGATCTACCTATTTCGATAATAGTTTCATCAATCAAACCAATGTGGATGTTGCTTCAAAAGGTCAAGGAAAGGATAACATTGTACCTTTTGTTGAACCAGATTGGTTTAAATATTTATTCTGTGAAGTTGTACAAGATTTAGGTACTGTGACACTCACTCCTTTCAATGCTGATCCAAACAATGAAGATGAAGATGAATTGGAACTTGAACTACCTAAGGGAACAATATTTTTCATTCAATACAGAATGATAAGAACTTTACTCTTTGAAGGAAAGGTGAAACTGGTGTAAAATAATTATAAACTTGTTAATTTATTCTTCTGTGAGTGAAAAAAAATTAACCAAAATGATTGTTATCTCAATTGTTAAATATTTATTGTTGAGAAAGTGGATATGGACTCCAGTGAATCTTAGATGGATCAATCTTAACTTCATCTCTCTTTTGCTTTTTCATGTGCTCTTCGAGAATCTTAGGGGCAACAGAAATAATGTGTTGACCTTTCCAATACTTGAGTAAATTGAGTGATTGCAAAGTTGTCAATACATCTTCTTGTTTGATGGCTGTCATTTTACAAATTTCCTTAATTGAAATACCTGAATGAGCCTGTAAAATGTCAAGAAGAACATTCTTCCAGTAACTACGATAACTGATTTTACCTAGATCGGATAATGGTCTTTCTGGAGTTCCTTCCTTTCCTTCAATTTTAGATAATTCATATGAAAATCCAATTAAAATCTTACTATAACCTTTTCTTTGATGAGGAGGTAAGGTCAGAATACAAGCCAAATTATTACCGTCAGCACTTTGTTTTTCCTTTGAAAAGTATCCTACCATGTGACATCCTTCCTCGTCACATTCACAAAGTACATAGAAAAGGAAAGGTTCTACATCAAAGTAGAGAGTTTTGTGATCCAAAAATAATTTAGCCAACAAGCACAAATTTTGGCAATAAATCTTTTGTTTTTTTCCGTCAACTTCAAAAAAGCTTAGAGATCCACTTCTATATATTTCGTCACCAGGTGGATGTTTTAAAGTACATTTGTCTCTGTGTCTTTCATATGTTCTCCTGCTCTTCATGTATTTCAAAGAAAATTCACATATGTATAATTTATCAATCATTGAGTATTCTTCTGGATATGGTGAGAAATACCATGTTTCAACTTCATATTTTCCGAATTGAATTTTTTGAATGTTTTTAACTTTGGTAAATTCCTCATGTTCCTTTTCCAATGCTGCTTGCACAGGATCATTATCTACATCAATCTCAGTTGACACATTATGTAATTCATTATATTGTCTTTTCATATTTCTCGTTAATTTACGTTCCACTCTAGTATCTTCATCTCTCTTTGTAACACTTTCATCCTCATCCAAATTGAATCGATCAATAGTAACCCATTCATCCAATCTTTTATCAACTATTTAATGACATGATCGGAATGCTGTTATAATAAAAATCTACATACAATTAATGTAGTGAACATAGAATTGGGCATTCTTTTCATTAATTTCGATAATTTCGGCCATATCTACCACATAATCATCATACAACAATAAAAATTTCCGTCGTCAACGTTGTTATGATCACAATCAACTAGTACAATCACTTACGGTATTCATTGTCTCTCAGCGATTTACATAACACTTTTGATCCTTGCTGAAGACCATTCTCTGAATCGGTTGGTTTACTAGTACTTCCACTGCTACTGGCAGCTGCCCTTTTGTTCTTTGGCATTTTTTTCAGCTTTGCGATGAAGAAAAAGATTACCATCATAATAAATGAACAAGATTGCTCACCCGAGGCTTCTTTTACCAAGAGTTTCATCATGTACATCTATTTGTAATAATATTATTATTTAAATTAAAGTAATAATATTCTACATGATGATGGTGAATGAGAGAAAATATTAATAAAAAACCTCATTTTTGTGTCCATTTTGTAAACTAACCTGTGCGCTAAAAAATCGAAAAAAATGCTCAAGAACATCACCAAGCCACTCCTCAGAGTTAACAACAACCAATCATCAAAGAAAATTTTGGCTGTTGCTTGCAACAATGTTGTAAAGCGTTTCGCCTCTGAAAAGAAGAAGGATAAACAAGAAATTGAAGATGCCTTTTCTTACATTCCAAATCGTTTCGTTAAATCACTCCCTGATGATTTGACTGAAGCCATCCAAACTAAAAAACTTACCCTCACTCTCTGTACAAACAACAGTTACATCATCAGAAGTGATAAAGTTGATGACATTTCTCTCTCCACTGTTGAATTCGGTGACTATGGTATCTTCCCTAACCACAGAACTCAAGTTATGAGAATTAATCCTGGACTTATCAAAATCAAATATAACGATGAAAAGACTGTTAAATGGTTCAGTGCTGGTGGTTTCGCTTTTGTTTACTATCACGGTTTTGTTCAATTGAACTTGTCTGAAGCATACAAACTTGATGAATTGGATGTCAATCTCGTTAGACGTGAAGTTGAAGCTCAAAAGGAATTGCTGAAGAGCAGAGACAATGCTGTTAGAGGTCAAGCTGAAATTGGTTTGGAACTCCTAGAACCATTGTTGTCTACATTGGAAGCTGCTGAATATGAAATGTAAACATAATCTTCTATCCACACACCATAATTACTTCCTTCCCGATCACATCTTACGGTCTTTACAAATAAATCTTGGGCATTTCTTGCTTTTTTCCTTTGAACAATATAATAAACAATAACAGTAATAATTAAATATTAAATTATTATTAATTTATTTGATGAAGAGGACTATGGTGATTGATTGGAAAACTGTAAATGAACATTGTAGGGCAAGAGAAACTTCATTTAAAAGGTTGAGTAGGTAAATTTATCTGTAATGTCTGTCATTTCTGTATGAATTTGAATGATGGGAATCTCTTCTTTCATATCTGTCGTCATGATTATTTACTCTTCCATAGTTACGACTATTATTGCTTCTACCATTATTGTTGTAATAATCATTGTTATCCCTTCTGTCATGTCTATCATATCTGCTATCATTATTTCTGTTATCATATCTGTTGTTATCACGATTTCCACCATAACCTCCACGTCCACCACTATAATTCCTGTCTCTGTCATATGACCTATTACCTCTATAATTATCATAAGATCTCTTATTATACGATCTGGATCTTGATTCAGGTAAATTCCACTCTTTTAGACATGATTGTTGAAGTTGGTATTGAAGATCCTTAATATCAATATACCTATCTTCAATTGCCATTTTCAATCGTTTCAAATTATAATCTTGATTTTCTGAGAAGGTATTATTAGAGGTGGTCATAAATTGAGCAAATTCCTTATCAGAAGTCATTACATCACAATCAACAAGTGATTTGATTGGTTTCCGTTCAGAAAGTCTGGTATTGGCTTGGAGAAGAAACTTGATAATTTCAGGCTTTCTTTCTGTCATTCCCTTGCAAACAATGTATCTTTCAGAGTTTGCTGGTCTCGATGAAAATGGTTTGAAAATGGTAACCTTTTCAAAGTATTGATACATGACATATATCAGAGAGGCAGAAAACCAGGTATTCAAATCGAATAATTTGCAAACAAAACATCCCCCCTTTCTCAAAGTAAGAAGAGCAGTCAAAAATTGGCAAAGAACTAATTGTTGTGTCAAGTATTCTTGAGAGTTCTCAACACCATCAACACAAAATCCTCCATCAGCAGTCACAAGTGCCAATCCTCTATTATTTGTTCCTCTATTTACAGCATCATCAAGACAAAGCATATTTTCATTTTTGGTAATGTCACCTGTGCCATCCACACCATAATTTAACTCAAAGTTTGAACATGGAGATTCATTATTGAATTTTTCCAACTTCCAATCATCCTTATCATTCTTAAGCGTGAAACCCCAACCCTTAGCTTTAGAGGTTTTATATCTATAGTATAAATATTCTGTAAAACCACCTGGACCAGCACAAATATCTGCAAAATAGAGAACGCCATTTTCTTCTACAAGTCTTGGCAAGGATGTTTCACTGGTCAAATCTGTTACTAAATCAATATTAGCCAATTTTACAGCAGCTCTATTTTGAAAGATTGATTTACCAATTTTTTCATATGGATTAGATCTCAATCTTGCATCGAGGAATATTTTCGGTGGTAAATCATCAAAGTCTGCTTTTGTTTTGAAAATGGATTTCATAATTTCAGGATCAATGAATGGATTTTGTCCTTCATTAGCATCGTTTGGTGCCATTTTGGATGGATCCAAATTATCACTCTCTGGTTTGACAATTTTGTAAATTGGATCATTTGGTCCAGAGTAGATTTTTCTATTTTCCTCCTTGCATGCAATCCATTCAAATTCTTCCTTATGACTATAAATCTTTGGATCAGCTTCATGTCTTTGAACTTGAAAATTTGAAGGTAATTTATAAGTTCCATCACTACTTTCGACAACATTCGACAAGTTAGAGGTTTCATCAATTGTTCCGAGACCTCCTCTACCTGTATTTACCTGTGGATTGACGACGGAGGCATTTCCTTGACCGAATTTACCTAAACCTTCTCCTTCCTTATAGCCCATTTTCATCATCATTTCAAGAACTTTGTTTTTACCTCTTTCCGCCAATTCTTTTACATTTGATGAAGGGTTTTGTTCATCATTGTCATACTTTGGAATTTTTGATTTATTTTCTACTTCATCAGAGTGGTTATTATCTACCTCGTTGGTTGATGAGTATTTTCCTTCACGTTCATCACTTGGCATTTTTTTTTGAATTCCAAGTTTCTATCGAATAGCAGAAGAATGTGTTGGGAGTGTAATTGAGAGGCTGTGAATTGCAGCACTAACATTCTGAATGGAAAGAAAGAGAATTTGCATATTTCCATTTACAAAACTAAAATTGAAACAATAGAAACAAGGAGGAAAGGAAGAAGAGAAATCAAGTGATATGGTTGAGAAGAGGATGATAAGAGGAGTGAGAACGGATAGAAAACATCTTCTGGAAGGAATGGTAAAAAGTTAGGAGCTGGATAATTCTTTTGGATGGTTTCTTGATTTTCAGTTCTTACATATTTCACTCTGGTTTCAATCCAAAAAGTGTTTGTTTTCGTATTGTCCCCACTGAAGGTCCAAGTGAGAGAGTAACGAGATCTTTGTATGCCTTGCACTTTCCATTGCTCGTTTTGAACAGAACCCGACTTGGATATAACAATTTGATATTCGATTCCTGCCGCAATGTTATTACATGTTTGTGTAAGTTCGTCCCATGTCTTTAGATGAGGGTTAATACTATTTACAATATGAAAAATACTTACAGAGCTTGGTTTGGAATCTTCTACTATGGCTACCCAATCGTTAGTATTTGTATAGTCAGCATTACCATATCTTCCTACATATGTGGCATTTGATTCTAATTGGGAAAATGTATTTGACAAACATGCTGCTTTCAATTGTGAAAGAGTGTAAGTGAAACTGCACGAAAATACAGCATCCACATCAAACAGAATACTACTCTTGGAGCTGCAATCATATCCAGTTGGTGCAGTCAGACCCAAGTAGTGTTGATAGATAGCATTCTTTACCGAGTTTGTTACCATGTAACCAGCAAGTACAGGCTTTTTACGAATATAACCTGGATTACCACTCTTTGGTTTGATTACACCCTGTCTGAAATCTGAAATAGTCTGAGAATTATTGTTAGAAAAAAGCCATAAAATTTAAACGTACCCCATTGATATAGTTCACTTGTGATTTCAATTCAACAAATGAAGGATTGACCAGAGTTTTGACTCTTAAGGTAACGTAAGCTTTTGAAATTGATCCTGAACTAGTAAAAACAAAATAATATTTTGCTCCAATTACAGCATTTGTGCAAGTTTGGGAGGCATAGGTAGTTGTTGGAATGGTTGAGAGAACCGTTTCTGCACCACTTGAACTTACTGATATCATTTCCAAAAGTTCCACTTTTATGTATTGAGAATAGCTATCTGGTGCTGCTCCATATGAAAAGTAGTTCGATACAAATGAGCTCACACTAAAATCTCCTAGACATTTTGTTCTGAAATCTTCTAAAGTTGATGGAATCCATGAACACTTATTTTCTTTTCCATTATTTCTCATAAATTTTACAAAAGTTTTTTCACAAACATCCGAATTAGAGCTTCTATGCAAAGTGAAATAGGATACTGTAGTTACTTGAGAGGTGTTGCTTGAAGGAGCCGATATGGTGTAAGGAATTTTATCACCATCTTGAAATATAGTTACTCTTGTGTTTGTTTTGACAGCTGCCACATCATAAATATACTTTTGTGTGTAGCTAGTTCTGTAAGTAGTTAAAGCTTCATACTTTTCAAATACCTTCTTAATAGATGTTGCATCCAAATCGGAAACAACAGCATAATACAACCCATCAACAGAGGCTTTTTCAAAATGTTAAAATAGGTTGAAAGTTAAAACAAACCTGCTTCAAAGTAAACACAAAAAAGAGGTGTTCCAGCATCTTGTACCACTTCCTTAGTTGAAATTTTCAAATTGTTCAAATTACTAAAAGTTACTAATGTTTTTTGGACACACAAATAATTAAAATCCTTCTTTGTGTAAGGCACCAGACATTTTGAGAAGGAGTTTTCTACTATTGAATATGCGCAATCAGGATCACAACAACAGTTAACATCACATTGATTTAAAGTTACATCACAAACACAGGAACCAAATGACTTTTGTTGTGGATTGGTAACTGTTGGTGCTGTTGTTGGAACATTATCCCAATTAACAACATAATCTATTGTATCTGTGGAATTGGTTTGTGATTTTACAGTTCCGACAAGGTTAATAATAAATAAAATTAAGAGTATTAAAATTCCAAATTGTTGTTGTTTGTAAGAGTAATGTTGTTGTTGCATTGTTTTTTTTCTGTTTGGTTTTGTTGTATTTTATGTGGCGCCAAAATTGTGAAATACAAAGGCAAACAAACCAAAAACAATTCTCAATCGAACCACTCAGAATGATAATTTCAGTAACTCAAGGATTGTTTGCTCTAATGCTCATATGAACAAGGTAATCTTTTTTAATAGGACTGTCTTTTTGCTTTATAATAATCCATTGTATTGCTTTATCAATTTACTTGCATTAAAGATAATAAAAATCTAAAAAAATGCGTAAAGTCAGATCTGTTCTGCCAACCAGAGAGAATGACAGCATTGAGGAGGAATTCATTTCAACCATAAAAAGAACACCTAGTAGCAATGGGATTGACTCTTTAATTTCCTCCGTTGTTGGTGCAAGTAATAGTAGTGGTAATAGTATTAATGGTGCAAGTAGTAGTAACAAGAGATCATCACACTTTAGAACTTCATCGAGGGATTCTAATTTTTTGCATTCATCATCACCATTTACAACTCCTCTCTCAATTCCTCCTTTCAGTTCATCATCATCGATGGGTGCTATGGTGGACCAATCACCATCACTCGGGTCCTATTCACCCTCTCCTCTTCTTGCACAATCATCATCTAAGAGTTTTATAGATTTTGAAATTGAACAATTACGATCGGAAATTGAAGAATTAAAAGTTATTGTTGAAAGTATGATGGATGAAAGTCATTCCTATGCAATTAAATATACTAGAAGAATTTTAATTGTTAGTAATACTTTGATTTCGATATATGCTGTTGGAAGAAGACTCTATGAACTTGCATATTCAAATAAGGGGACGATTTTGAATCCATTTACTTATATTTCAATTTTCAAGAATAACAAACCTAGTGGATTGACTGGATCAGCAAATTCTTCATCAAAATTATTAAATAATATTGAAACATTGAATAAGTATGGATTGACATCAAAAAATAGGACGAGTAGAATATTATTGAATCAATTGAAACATATTAAAACTGGTCAGACAAGATCACTCTCCTCCATGCTGGATAACGTTGCAAGTCCAAGTGGAAAAATATCAGAATTATTGCAAAATATTAGAAATTCAAGACAAATTTATTCCAATCGATATTCAAATAATAATACTAATAGTAGTAATAGGAATGCATCATCACGATCATCCTCAAAGGGTCGAAAAGGAGATTTTATTTGGAGAATATTAGGACTCATTTGGAAGGAATTTCTGTGTGCTGCAGTATTAACACTCAGTTCATACTGGTTGATGAAAACCAACTCTATGAAGAAACAAATTGCAGTGATATTGAGTTTGGTGGCCAATTTGTATCTTGCTCTCACAACTGATCTGTCCCCTTGGGCCATCTACTTTAATTTTGTGAGCATTTTCCTCTACATTACAGCTCAATATGTAAAGAATACACCAGAGAGTATGGAAACAGTCAAATTGATTGCATCCAATATTACCAAATCACTCTCCATGACCAAGACTGATGAATTGGAACAAGTTATTGATGACACCCTCAAAGATACATGCACAGTTTCCACAGATTTAGTTCTTGAGGATACTCCAAGACATTTCTTTAGTGATCACATGACCGATTAATTTTTACAAATTATCATACTAGTCGAAAGTATAGATTTCAATCAATTCATAACTAAATGCAAAGGATGTAACTGTAAGAGCACAATGAACAGCATCAGGCAAAATACATACCCAAAAGATCTTGGATATTTGAAATAATCCAATAGCTCAATTCGAAATATTGGATAATTCTTTCAATCTTTGATCACAAATAGACAATAATGGAGAATTAAATTTTCTAATAATTTCTATTTCAATTCAATTAAATAAAGAATAAATCATCCTATTAATAATATTAATTATTAATATTAATGATTAATATTACAATCAGTTGCAAATAAAAATATTAAAAAATAATTTTTAAAAAAAATGAGCCAAACGGAAAGTGGCCAAACCTCGTCATCATCGCCCAACAAGGAAGGGACGACGGAAGATCATCAGATACTTCCACCAAGCGATAATACCCAACAATCAGAATTATCCAATCCAAATAGTGTATCATCAAATGTAGTGTCATCAACTGGAGAGGAAAACAAAGATGATAAAAAATCTACTGGTGTTGAACAACAAGAATCTATTGCATCACATACCAAGAACGATATGGAAGGTAATTTATTATTAATTTTAATTTATTTAATTTTTTAAGATGCCATGTTATTACAAGAATTATTTATTTCTGGAAATAATAGACTTGAAAGTAAGGATGAGAAAAACAAAACATCGGAAGAAACAGTTAAATTACCAAAAAAGAAGAGGAAAATTGAATTAAATCAACAAAAAGATGAAGATGACGAAAAAGCAGCTTACGACAGCAGACAATTTAAAAAGATTGATGAAAATATTTATTTAGGTGATAGTACAGTTTATGCCTGGAAAAATTTATTTGATGATGACATTATTATGTGTACTTGTGGTCCTTCAAAAAAGGGAGATATTTCAGGTGATGATCACTGTGGTGAATTTTGTGTGAATAGATTATTGTGCATGGAGTGTGTAATCGGCTATTGTAGTTGTGGATCTAAATGCACAAATAATAGATTTCAAAAAAAGAGTTGGAAAAAAATAGAAGTTAAAAGAGCTGGTGAAAAGGGGTTTGGAGTTTTTGCTAAAGAGAAAATTTCAAAAGGAACTTTTATTATTGAATATGTAGGAGAAGTATTAGATGAAAAAATTTACAAACAAAGACAAGAAGCTTATGATGGTGAACGCCACTATTATTTCCTTTCAGTTGGTACCAATCAAATTATTGATGCCTCAAAAAAGGGTAATAATGCTAGGTTTATTAATCACAGTTGTGATCCAAACTCTGTATTGCAAAAATGGACAGTTGGCCATCAATCTAGGATAGGTGTTTTTGCACTTAGAGATATTGAAAAAGGAGAAGAAGTTACTTTTGACTATGCAATGGAATGTTATGGTGTTTCCTTCCAAAAATGTTATTGTGGAAGTGCAAATTGCAGAGGAACAATTACATCAAAAGATATGTCCTTGCTAGAAGCTAAGGAAAAATCAACACAAATGGATAGTGAACAAGCTAAAAAATTAAGAGCTCACAAACTTGAATCAAAATTCAAACAAAGAACTTTGTACACACTGAAAATATTGGAAGACAGCTCAAAGCTTCCAAAAGAAGTTATTGACTCTGCAAAATTTGGAAATACTTTTTTAATTCGTAATATTAGAAAGACTGAAAAGAAACGTTTCAGACAATTTTTATCAATAGAAAGACAATTAGAAGAGACACAAAAGAAGGATGATGCCCCACAATTGGATGAGTTTGGTCTGACTGTGTACGAACGAGCTCTCATGACTAAAATGTATGAACAGGCTCAAAAAGGAGAAATAATGAGACATACCGAATTCAAAACCAGAAGATGTAAAAATGCTGGAATATCTACATCACTCACTGAGACAACACAACCTAGAGTGACAAGAACTGCCAAAAAGAAGGCAGAAAAACCAGAAGAAGAAACTAAAAAGAAAAGAGGTAGACCTCCAAAGAAAGCTATGGAGGAGAGTGAATCTGAAAGCGAAAGTGAGGAAGATGAAGACTCTGAACTTTCATATGATGAGGAATCTGATGATGAAAAGAGCAAATCAAAGAGAAAGGTTGGCAGACCAAAGAAGAATACAGATGAAGAGGAGAAAAAGAGAAAAGTGGGTAGGCCAAGAAAATCTGAATCATCTTCAAGTAGTGATAGTAAGGAAAAGTCTAAAGCTAGAACTGAAGGAACCAAATCTGAAGCCAAACGAAAAGTTGGAAGACCAAAGAAGGATGAATCAACAGACAAGAAAACACAACAAACAAAAAAGAGAAAGGTTGAGGAAAGTAGCAGTGAATCTGAATCAGAATCAGACTATGACAAAGAAGCTAGATCCGATGCTAAACGAAAAGTTGGTAGACCAAGAAAGAGTGACTCTGTTATTACAACTCCTAAAGGGGTAGAGGAAGAAAAGAGAAAGGTTGGAAGACCAAAGAAGGTAGAGGAGAAAAAGGTTGAAAAGAAGACAACTCCTGCTCCTAGTACTGTTAAGAAAGAATCAAAGTCAACTAGTTCAGCCAAGCCAATTCTCACCACACCAAAAACACCTATATCTCAACCAAAGCCTGTAAAACCTTCTTCTACTTCTTCATCATCATCATCTGCAAAAACAACACCAGAACCAGAGGCTCCAAAGAGAAAGGTTGGTCGCCCAAGAAAGGACGAAACTGAAACCAAACCAAAAGAGGTAGTCACTAAGAAGGAATCAACATCTTCCAAGCCAACTAGTAGTAGTAGTTCAAGTGTGAAATCAGAATCAGCAGATTCAAAGCCAAGACGAATCGTTCACAATACCAAAGTTAAGGAAGAATCATCTTCTGAAAGCGAAGATGAAACACCAAAGAGAAAAGTTGGTAGACCAAGAAAGGACGAACAACAAAACGTGAAAAAAGAAACCAAGAAGGACGAGGAGGAACCAAAAAGAAAAGTTGGTCGACCAAGAAAGGATGAACAAAGTGAAACAAAGAGAAAAGTTGGTCGTCCAAGAAAAGTTGTGGAAAGCAGTAGCAGTGAAGAAGAATCTGAAAGCGAGTCAGAAAGTGAAGAAGATGAGTATGAAATGTTGAGAAGATTCAATGTAAGAATAAGCAAAGTGAAAGCCTATGAAGGACTCTCATCTTTACCAAATAAGAGAAAATATAATAGTCATAAACCAAGAACCTAAACCAGTTTTACTAGGAAATAAATTATTTATTATTTATTCATCTGCCAACCATTTTGAGTCAACTGTAGCTTCGACGGTTAGTGGCACCGTAAAGTTTGTTCCACCAAAGAATGCTGCACCTTCCATGAGTTCCTTAATGATTGGTTCGACTGTTTCCACTTCATCCTTTGGTACTTCAAAAACAATTTCATCATGAACTTGAATAATCATTCTGGTTCTCAATCCCTTCTCCTGGAATGCCTTGTGTAATGAGTTCATTGCAATCTTTGTGATATCAGCTGAGGTACCTTGGATTGGAGTATTGATACTTGTTCTCTCACCAAAAGATGATTTTCCTCCAAATCCTTGGTCCTCAATACCAGGTATCCAACATCTTCTGTTGAAAAGAGTATTTACATAACCATGTTTTCTACAAAATTCAATAGTCTTGGTCATGTAATTCTTAATACCTGGATATTGCTTAAAGTATTGTTCAATAAATGACTTGGCGGCTTGAGTGTCTACTCCAATTCTCTTTGATAAACCAAATTCACTCATACCATAGATAATACCAAAGTTAATGGCCTTGGCCTTATTTCTGGTTGACTTATCGACCTGATCGAGTGGAACATTGAAAACTTGACTGGCTGTAATGGCGTGAACGTCCTTATTTTCTTTAAAGGCATTCTTAAGCACTGGAATATTGGCAATATGGGCTAAAATTCTCAACTCTACCTGTGAATAGTCGACCTTCATTATTACATAATCATCAGAAGGAGAAATGAAACATCTTCTTATTTGTTTACCTTCAGCTGTTCTGACAGGAATGTTCTGAATGTTTGGCATGACTGAGCTCAATCTACCAGTAACCGTAAGGGCATTTTGGAAAGTGGTGTGAATTCTCTTTGTGTATGGGTTGATATGTTGTCTTAATCCAGAGATGTATGTACTGTAGAGTTTGGTTAAGGCCCTATATTCTAGAATATGCTTGGCAATGCTGTGTCCTTCTGCGGCAAGTTTTTGTAAAACTTCAGCATTCAAAATATAATCTCCAACTTTGGTCTTTTTTCTTAACTTTGTACCAATTCCCAATTTTTCGAATATCACTTGTCCCAATTGTCTATTTGAATTAATATTGAATTCTTCAGAAGCTTCTTGTTTCATTTCATCCATTTCAATGATCATACTTTCAATTTCCTCTTCTGAAGTAGGGATTTCAATATCTTCATCAATAGTTGGATATCCTGCATCTTCTCTTATCTTATTTCCAATGGCTTTGATCTTTTCTCTATATTCGTTTTCCATCTTCACAAGGGCAGGTTCATCCATAAAAACTCCCTTCATTTCAATACCTGCAAGTGTTTCAACAAGAGGTTTTTCGATACCTTCGTAAAATTGAGTAAGTTTAGGACTCTTATCTAGGGCTGACTTTAAAACATCATATGCTTGTTTAGTCAAGTCAGCATGTTGGCATGCAAAATGAACAACACTGACAATATCTGCCTCCATAAGGGTAACCTTCTTTTTACCAATGCCAAGCACTTCTTTCTCTGGAATGATATGTTCCTTAGGATCGAGTAACAAGACATTTTCTACAATTTCATCCATTTCATGACCATGTTTACCACAATTTAAAACATAAGACATTACCATGATATCGTCAAAGTTTTTCACTATTGAATATTAGTAAATAATAAATAAATTTAAAACTTACCTGTAACTCCATAGTTTGCAAGCATTTTGATATGATACTTGATATTGTGGCCAATCTTGAGAATGTTTGGATTTTCCATAATTTCTGTCCTAACCTTTGAAAGTATTGGACTTTCCTTTAGAATATTTACAGAATCTAAAAATTCAACCTTTCCACCCTTGAAAAATGGAAGATAGTATGCTTGTCCTGGACTAATGCAGAATGATATACCAGCCATTACAGGATTATGTAAGCTTAATAGACAAATTTCCGTTGAGAAACAAACATTCTAAATTATGTCAGTATGTTGAAAATTGTTGCAAACTTACTCCTGATATCTTCACCTGTTCAATGAAAGAGTCTAACTCTTTCTCATTCAGAATAATATTGTACTCTGATGCTTTGACAATCTTACCAATTTTAGAGTCATCCGAGACGTGGGATAATTTTAAGGAGGCTACATCTGCAGAGGACATTTCTTCACTGAGTACAACAGATTCTATAACTTCCTTCTTTTTAGATTTGGATTTTGTAGTTTTTTCCTTCTTATCTGTTTCCTTCTTTAATTGTTTAATGACTGAATTAATTTCCAAATCCTCTAACATTTTAATGAGCTGACGATTGTTTGTAAATGGTGAACATTATTATATAAACATACCTCTTCGTTTTGTGAAAAATCCAGTGAGGATTGGTCAACTTGGAAATCTTGTAAAGAATAATCCAAAGGAACTTCTTCGTCCAAAGCAACTAACCTCAAGGATAATTTAAGGTCATCAATATTACTCTTGATGGCCTCTCTTGACTTCTTTTCCATATTTTCATCGTCCAAATTATTCAAAATTTCAGAAATTGATCCATATTGTTCCAACAGTGAAACTGCCTTCTTCTTTCCAATACCTTTAACACCCTTAATATTGTCTGCAGTGTCACCAACAAGTGCCAAAAACTCTGGAATCAACTTTGGAGGCAATTCATACTTTCCAATTATATCGTCCATTGTTAATTTCTTCTTTGTCATTGGGTCAAGAAGAGTTAAATTTGTATCCGAAAGGCAGTGAAGATCCTTATCAGAGGAAACCACAACAATTGAATTAAACTTTTCATCCTTTGCTTGTCTGGCTACTGTAGCAATGAGATCATCTGCTTCAAATCCGTCCTTGCTTATCACTTTTAGGCCCATCTTTTCGGCTAATAATTTACAGATTGGAAATTGTTTTTTCAAATTCTAAACATTTTAAGAATCTCCTAAAGCTAGGTCATAACTTACATCTTCAGTTGGTTTTCTGTTTGCCTTATAATCAGATGAAATTGATTTCCTTATTGAAGGTTTTCCAGAATCGAAAAAGATAGCCACATGATCAAATTCATCCGATTTCAGAATGGCAATTAAACTCTTTGCAAATGTTAAAATTGCATTAGTTGGAGTTCCATTAGATCTATTTGTATATTATTCGAACCATTTGATGAAAAGCAATAAAATCACTTACGAAGTCAGAGGAGGTGTTCCAAAGTAAGCTCTCACAACAAGTGGAGTACCATCGACAAGTAGAATTTTCTTCTCGGATGGTGATGTAGAAGATGAATAGGAACGTGAATTATTATTCGTACTACTACTATTTGTCATCATGTTAGCAGATAAATTAATCTTTTGATTCTTTAATCCAACAAGGGACAAATCCTGACCAAACTCTCTATTTTGCGAATAATAAAATCTATCCACCAATTGTCTAATCAGAATTACTTTTTTATCCAATTCGGAGAGGGTTGTACGTTTAAAAGCAACACCTCCACTCCTCATCAAATGTTTTGAAAGATTCCTTGCTGATGATTGAATCATTTTTTTGATTTTGCTTTTTATATCAAATTGATTAGAGAGTGATTTGTTAATATAATAATTACTCCCAAATCAAAACAATTAGGTCTTTTCAATCAAATTCCTTGTGAATCATCATCATGATTGCGTTCTTGTTGTTCCAATTTTTAGAGTTTCGGAATATTGAATGGATGAACATGATGAACTCTGCTGCATCCATCATTCGTTGCAATTGGAGAACATTGAGAAAAAAAACAAGAGAAATCACTTTTAAGATCTTCAGTTAGAGTTTGAAAAGTGCATGATAATAGTAAATTGATAATATCGGTGCAAAATAGTTTAGTAAATTGTAAAGAATTGAGTTGTCATTTCGGATTGTTCAATGGAATCACAACAACAATTGATCAACAACAAATCATCGGATGAAAGTCTAGCATCACTAGCAACCATGATTGATTCAACATTGAATATTAAAAAGGAAGATGATTTGGATATGAAACCAATGAAGGACGAGAAGGTAAAGAAGAAAAAGAAGAAAAAGTCTTCATCATGTTCAACATCCTCGGAAGAACAAATGTATAAGAATCAACCAGTTGTTATTGATTCAGAGGGTCAATGTAGTAAGAATAGGACAATTATTGGAGGATTTAATGGGCACAAATATGAAATTGGCAAGGTGATTAGTTTTCAAAAATCGAATGTGAATGGACATCCAACCATCTATTCGAATAGACCTATCAAAGTATTAGGAAGTATTGGTGTCATGATTGTTAATGAGAGATCGAGTAGGAGAGTTGGTCAAGACAGGCTTAATACATATGGAGTTGAAATTGGGACGAACAAATATGCCTGGGTTACTGAAACAGTAATTGATGAGTTTGAATGCAATAGAGAAAAGAATCCAGTGGCAGCTACATCATCCATGGATATTACCACCACACCTTCATCATTTATTGGAAGCTCAGATAGCTCATCAAATTCATCTTTTCCTCCACTCCTTGTAAATGATAATAACTCATCTGATGATGCAAATGATCCAATGGCTAAGAAAAGAAAGAGAGATTTGTTCACTCAACCTCTCTCTTCAATGGTTCCAAAGATGGACATGAGCTTTTTACAACCATTCCCAAATTTCCCACCTTTTGGTCTTACTCAACCAAAAGCACATCTTCCCCAACCTGAATTGAAATTGCAACTCTTGAGCATGTCACCTTCGAGGGCTCACAGCAAAATATCTACCCACTTTGTAATTTATGTCTCACTCAATGAGAATGATTTACTGATGAAGTCGTCCCTTATTACTCATTTATTTTCTCCATTTTCTCTTCCAACTACAATTTGCTTTATTGAAAAGGCCAATCCATCCAATGTATATAACATCACAAGAAAACATATATTAACACCACTTCAGGAAGGTTTAAGACACGATTTGGAAATATTTAGCTACACTCCAATAATTAAGGAAAATAATTTAGAATGCATTGTAAAACTAATGTATGGCCACCATGAGATTTTGACTTGCGATAATGGTGGATTGGATTTTCAATTCTTTGGAGAGGAAAACTCTATTGGTTTGGGGCAAAATGCATCACTACAAGAAGTCAGAGATGAAGATAACTTTTTAGATGATTTGGACGAGTTGACATCTGGAGTACTCGAGAACCAATCATCGGTTAATGAAATGGATTCAATGAACTTGTTTGATCAATTTGAAATGTCTCCAATGGATTCCACTGAAAAGTTTGAAGAATTCAAGCTGAAACGAGATTACAACGGCCACTCTTTATTGCATCATTTTTCTGCACGAGAAATGTACAATCAAGTTTATGAACTACTCAAACTAGGATACAACCCAATGGAAAGAGACAAGATGGGATTCAATGTATTGGATTGGTGTAAATATTATAATCTAGAGACAATGTATGAATTAATTCAGAATTTCATCGCACACAGAAGTTTTGAGTCACCAACAGTAACTCCTAACTCGGTGGAAATGAATCTTCCATCTGAAATTGAAAATTCCTCAGCATATCTGACTGACTATTTGGATAGCTTATTGCATTCAGATTTTACTTTAGAAGATGTAAATTCATTCATGCTCAAGCTCCTCAAAAAGGTCAGCAATTCATTCCCAAATAATCTTTTACTCAACCCAGATACTAACTTACTTATTTCCAAACAAAGACATGACACTGAAGTTCTGGTAGATTTTACTGATTTGGAAAATAACAATAACTTGGAGTTGCTGCCAAGATTGTCATTGAGATATTGGGCTCCTGAAATTCTGTTAATGATGTGTACCAATGCTTTAGTCCCAGAGAGAAATATCAGCTCTATCATTTCAAAGCAAAATATTTGGACTATTGGAGTTATACTTACAGAGTTAATGTATCTATCTAGGAAGGAAAATAAGGAGAGGAATTCTATATTCGGCCTTATAGTGAGTGAGCACTTACTACCACTTAATCAATTCAAGGTATTAGGGAAATGTGATGAGTTGAGAAAACTAATTGAAGACATTTCCATTCCAAGACAACCACATTCACCCTTGTTCAGTTTTTCCAATATGGAAGGAATTAACGAAAAGGAGAAGGAAAGAATTATTTTCGAGATGAATGAAAGAACACTCCAATCTAAAAGAAATTCATTTAGTTTCGCTTTGGATTCTTGCTCAGAGGTGGCTCTCGATCTCATTTCAAGAATATTTACCTGGAATCCTGCAGAGCGAATCACCATTGAGCAAATTATTGAGCATCCATACTGGCTAGAAAATTCAGAATCAAATAAGATGAATGCCATCAAAGAATCAATTATGAAGCAAAAACTTTTGGCGCAAGTTGAATACTTTTCACCCCTCGCTGACATTTCAATATTAACACATCATTAAAACCATATTTATTGAGATGCACTTTGCCAAACTGCTTTAATTTCTTCATCGTTTTTAAAGTACTCTCCAATGTAAGGGTAGGCGAATACATTAGTTTGCACAATTTTCAAAATAAAATTCCTATCGGCTTTTAACTTGGATGATGCAAATAAAAGGGCTTTTGCGTTTTGTTTCACAACCTGTAAAACAAACTCTTTATCACCTTGTAATTTGGGATCGGCAAACTGGAATGAATCACCATTGGACTCAACTGCTCGTAGTACCACTTGCATATCATCCTTAAAATGATTAACATAAGCCAATGCATTTCCATTTTGAGAAACAGCAGCTAACACTATCTCTCTGTCCTGTTTCAAAATTTCACTTGCATGAGCTATTGCACGCCCACTAATTGAGACAACCTTGTTAACAAATTCTCTATTTTCCTGTAGTTTTGAATCTGCGTATCTAAAACACTCACCATTCAATGTGGTTGCCAACAGTACAATTTCTTCATCTGAACGTAAAGAATAGTCTGCATACTCAAGATCGTATGAGTAATGCATTATGGATGCCATAACAACCTCTTTATCAGATGAAAAGTGAGGAATATACTCTAGAATCCTTCCCCTTTTCTTCAGTACTTTCATAACAAAAGCTCTGTCCTTCTTGAATTTTTCAGGAATAAAACTAAACCTTCCTGAGATAGCAATCATGAAAATTTCTTTCTCTTCTCCAGTTAATTGATAAGCATCCAGATCGTGACATCTTATTTTGTATATTTTATCAATAAACTCTTCATCTGATTGAAGACTCGCACTGGCATATTGTAAAGCACTAAGTGATATCTTGGAAGCTTCTAAAATGAATTTCTATCTGATTTTAGAATATCAGAAGCAAACTCTAGAACGCCTATTTGCTTTTTAGCTATCTGTATTACAAAATCAGAATAAGACTTTAAGGGTTTTGGTGCTTTTCTCAATTCTAATGGGTTTTTGTTAATTGCATCCAAATGATCCTTATAAATTTCCTCAAAAACATCGTAAATAAAGTGCTCTCGTTGAGAGGGATATAATTCGACCACAACCAATGCCACACTTTTGGAAGATGCATGATATTTCAAGTATTGCTCATAGTTTTCCAATCCATTCTCGATGGCTACAATAAAAATATCAGAGTCACTCTTCAATTCTTCTGTTAAATGATGAAAAAGTGAGCTGTCGTGCTTTACAGCTTGTAGAACTAGTTGTCTATAACTATGGAAGAGGGATGGTTCTTTCTTAATGATTCGTATTTGCTTATCAACTCCTAACAACTTTACACACTCTGGAGGTATTTGGATGCTATCAATGAAATCATCTGACTCTTTCAATAAAGGTGAGGTAAACTCCAGTGCATTACAATTACAGTTGACAGCTGCTGTTACCATTTCCATGTCTTGGTTTGAATAAGGAATATATCTCAATTTCATTCCATTAGTAGATAGTTGAGATATCAAATCATCCCTATCAATTTCTGATAAATCTATTTCTTCATCAATATCACTTTCAAATTCTATGTCTTCCAATAATTCAAGTTCTTCTTCATACAATATTTCATAAATCCCATATATTGTGGGTCTTGATTGTTTTTCTTGTAAACACGTTCTTACAATCTTCGCTAACGTTTGGAGATTAGTATCATTTGATTGTTCAATTAGAATGTCAATATGATGTCCAATCTGTATGCGTCCACTGAGAAAATCTTTTTGAATATTAGTCTCCAGATCTTTTGTTATTAATTGGTAGACAAGTACCCCTAATGCCCAAATATCTGCTTTCATGGATAATACTTTTTCTGGAGGTTGATTTAAAAAAATTGTACAACCACCTGAATACGAATTCTCATCAAAATCTACAAGCCAAATCTTGTCCAAATTTTCCTCAATAAGAATATTTTCATGTTTGATGTCTTTGTGAACTATTCCCATATCATGAAGATAAGCAATGGCATCAACAATTTGCGATACAATTTCTCTAATTTCTTTAAATGTGAGGTTATTATCCTTTGATTCAATAAGTTGTCTCAAATTGAGCCCCTTATATAGAAAAGTAACAAAAGCATTTTCCTGTATTTCATTAGAGGGATAATGATCTAAAGTTTGAATAATATGACTATGTTTGATTTTTTGTAGATTTTCAAACTCATTTTCAGTTCTGATTCCAAATTTCATAACTACCTTACACTTGTTTTTAAAATCTTTCCCAATCCACAGTTGATTTCTTTCATTACTTTCGTTCGAAGTATTGTTGAGTGGATTACTTAATCTTCCTCCATGTATTAAGTGAAAGCACATTTCATATCTTCCATTTACAATAATATAACGATCTTCCTTCAAATAGGCTCTTGTTCTCTTCAACTTGTTAACAATGAGCCATTTACAAAAAGCCTCAAACTCTGTAGGAAACTTTTCTAATGTATCCATGAGGTAGGATTGATCTATTTTAACAGAAGAAGAAGCAACATGATTTCCATCCTCAAATATTACTTGCAATAAGTAACACAAATAGCCTCTCCTTTCTTCAATTAATTCCGATTCCTTCACCTCTAACAATTGTCTTTCTGTAAATGAGTGACAACCCAAATGCAAACACACTTCATCGGTTGGAACGATAGAATCCTCTTCTTGTTGGTGATAAAGTGGACAAAGTCTAACTCTAATTTCCTTGTCGAATAAGTTATACCATGAAATATAATAATTTTGGATTGACAGTTGTACATTGCCAACTTGATGAACAATACGAGATGATATTTCATACTCATTATCCTCCGATTTTAGTATCATCTTTGAAAATTGGTGTACATGAATAAAACATTCATCCCGAAGATATTTCTGCAATTCTTCAAACAATTCAAAAGGTGCCAAGTGTTCCCAATCATTGAATGACTTTTCCAACACTTTAGGAGGTATTGTGATGTCTTCGAACCTGACAATGATCGTTTTCATTCCATCACTTATTTTTTTAAATGTAAAAGTTATAATTAGATTAATTTATTTTCCAAAAAGAGGAATACCAAAACACTGTGACAAAATAAATTAGGTTTGTGTTTATTTGTGTTTTTCTAGGAAAGAATTACACTCTTTCAAAAATAGGGTAAATTTGGTAAACTTAGTTTTCCAAATAAATTGTTTGAGTTTGTCCTTAGGAATCTCTTTAAAGAACCTAAAGAAGGAGGTATGATTCAGGCAACAAATAAGACTCAAGTAGTCTTGATCAATTAGAGAGTTTTGTGGATTTGTATCAAAGACACCATACAAAAAGGAAGACACAACATAGATTATTTCTGTTGGTAGGTTATCTAGAAGGGTTCTCTCTGAAACCTTGCCTTGTACAGGGTCATCAAGTTGAGAGAAATCTATAAAGTCATTTGACAACAGTGGAATCATTTGGTGAACATTATCAGCTGAAACTACATTTTTAAACATTTTTCTCAAAGTCTCTACTAATATAGAATCGTCTTCAAACTGCCACATTTTGCTGATGAAAATCATTTCTATCAGCTCTTTCCAGTTATCAATGCAAACGTCTCGTTCGTGGTTAAGTATTCTCAAAACATTAAAATATGAGGGCTTTTTGATATATGGAACAAGTACATAGTAATCTTTCTCAAGAGTGAATCCTGGCAATCTCATCGATAGCATGAACTTGCAACTCGAAATGTTATCACTTTGGTGGAATAACAGCATGTCATGTCTACCAGAGAGGGCAGAAAAATTATTTCCAATCAAGTCAACATAGTTAACTATATCAGTAAATTGAGGATGGTTAAATCTATATATAATGTTCTTGTTAATAGTTTTTGCCTTGATCATTTTGTATTTTAGAATAACTGGTCGAAGTAGCTTTGGTTTTTTGGTTAGCTTCTTTGGCTTCTTGATAACAACAGGAAGGAGAGAAGGATAGTGTTGAATGAATTTTTGTAAATCAAAAACACTAAAGCCATCATAAATCCTCCGTATCAATTCGGCTAAAACACCAACATCAAAGTCCACCATTATTGTTGGAACTGGTTCATAAGTATTTACAGCCTTCTTGTTCTTCTCGTTTAACCCTATTATAGTAGCCAGCTGTGGACATCTCAGTAAGAGAAGGCTTTCGTGCACAGCAAATCTAAATGGTTGGTTATTACCATGTATGAAGAAGTTCTCTCCCCAATTAAGGTAAGAGATTCCATACTGCTCATGAAGAGATGATCTACACATTCTGAACGGTATCCATGAACCGTCTGTACAATAAGAACGTTGCTCAACGCCTTTTTCACGACCAATCACAAATCTCCAAAAATCTTCCATGTTACTTTTGTTAGTGGCAGATGTTACACAAATGTTCAGTATAGTACCAGCCAGTAAACTCGATGTTAGTCTATAAGTTTCAATTTGATGTTTGCTTATTGGAAATTCTCTTATATCTCTAAAGTATGAATCGTAAATGTTTACAAAATAGTCAATGAGGGACCTGATAAGGTGCTGGGAAGCTCCTGAATCAGTACCATAATAAGTATAAATATCTGGGTGGGATGTTTCTAACTTGATAAAAGGGTCCTCAGATTTGGAGGCCTTGTCTGAAAATATATCAAACTTGTTAAAAACAAGTGTAATGTTTTTGAGTGGAATTCTTCTCGATAAGAAGCTTTCTTTCATGTCCTCGCAAAGTTTTCTAAATTTTTGAATGGCATCAGATAATCTGTCCATATTTCTCTCGTCTATAAGATAATAGTCATCCATAGAAACTACAAATACAATATCTGTTACAAGATCTATAACATGTTCCAATTTACGACTAACGTCTGTAACATCCAACACTACAAATGGTATTTCCTTAGCTTCAAAGAGTGGAATTTCAGTCACAGTCTCAGTTTGATTTTTTGGAAACTTGCATTCCATAGGATGATGGGCATAGATACCATTATGGCCTGGGTGGGATTGGAGAATGTCTTTAGATTTAGGAGAAAAGCCAGCTGAGAAAATCTTTTTAAGTCTTGGTATCCAGTAATCTAGGTTAGTTGATACGTTGAGATTAGGAATTCTATGATTTAGGGCATAGACAATTTGTACAATAGGGTCGTTCCATAAGCTCTCTAAGAGTTTCACCACACGATTTACGTCTGAATGAATATCAAGTGATCGATCTATAACCTCATTTCTTTCAGCAAAATATTGAATCAATTCTCGTTTCAATTGTTCAAATTCCTCTTTCATTATTGGTGTTGCTATTATTGTACTCTTCTGAGCTTCATATTCACTGTGGAGACCTCTAGGCTCGCAACCAGAGGATGTAAAGTTTGGTGTTTGCAAACTCTTTTTAAGTTTAAAGATCTTTAACTCTATTAACCTATCATGAATGGTGCGTTGATGCTCTTTAACAAAATCTTCTTGGTCCAAAAAGTTTCTGAGACAATTTAAGAGTTGAGAGAAGGACTTGACAATAGAACCTCGTATCAGATCACCAAAAACTGCCTTCTCATTACGACCATACTTTGGTCCAAATAATTGTCTGGCCACATTGGCAATAGTCGATTTACCGCACCAAGATGTGCCCACAACTGCAAACACCATGCCTACATCCATATGTTCATCTCTAAATTCACTAATGGTTTTAGGGACATCAGGTGTGATGACTATCTTGTTCTTAGACAGCATTGAGTATAGATACAACTTTGTCTTATTAGAGTGTTTATCAACCTCTGCAATTATTCGAAGATGAGAAGAAAATTCCGTATGATTATGAAAGGGTGGTATGGCTTGTTGTTTTATCGTCGATGATGACAACATGGTAAAGATTGTTCCCACAAGGTTTCTTTTGTTTGTTGTTGCCGACAAAAAGTATTGACTTCTTTGATCCTGTGTTACTACTACTGATCAGGTAGCAAACGTTAATCTTGTTGTTGTTGCAGTGCTAACAATATTTATCCAATAATATAATTATTATTGTTGTTATTAGTGATGATGATGTGTATCGTTGATGATGATGAAAATAATTCGCTGCTTTTTCTGTTGGCCACTGTTGATGATATGGCGCGCTGACAGAACGAACTCCACACACTATTGACTTGAAGGGTTTAATTTTTTTGTTGTTATGTGCGCGTTCCTAAAACAAGAAAGCCTATGCTTGTCCTTTAGAAGGGTTGTTGAATGAAATTTTTGCATCAACAAGTGCGAAAAAGCCGCTACATTGAATTCTCATGTTGTTCATATTTGTGCAGTGGCTTGGACAGGAGATGGACGATAGAAATATTAAATCATAACAGTTAATCACACAACAGTATGTGCACAACATAGTGTTGTAATTATTCATCACAACAATAATTCAACAATATAGTTGATGCAACAGAAGTGTTAGTCTATTCTATTGTGAATACCAAACAAATGACAAGCTTTCCTTTTTCTTGGCAAAAAATAATGGTTTTGTCTTGAAATGGATTAGGCTTGTATATTCTGAGAAAATAATTGACCCATCAAGCCTTGCAAGTGACAACTTTTAAAGCAAAAAACGATTAAAGATTAATTTAATTTACAAAACATTTTTCACATACATTCAACTACGGTTTTAACTGAAAAGACAAAAAGGCTAAAAACATCGATCATCAAGGAGAATCTGTTTACTGGAAATACTGTAAAACGGATTATTCTGTAGCTTCCAATTCTTGGATCATTTGTGAAATTAAATCCTCCTCAGTATTCAATGTTTGAATCTCTTTCTTGATACTGTCTACTTTTGTCTTGAGATCCGAAAGTATTGTTTCATATTTCAGCTTGTTTGCAAGTAAAGCCTCCTTAGCTTCATCAATAATCTTTTTCTGACTTGGTAGGTTGTTCAATTCATCTAAGGTTTTAAAATCGTCCGAGGTCAGGGTATCATTCTTAGAGGCATCAGAGATAAGGTCCGTAAGCATTTCAGAGTCTTTATAATTCGTTGGATTAATATTTTAAAATTGTTAAGATGATAACCACAGTGTTTTTATGTTGTATCTATTAAAACATACTATCATCAGCAAGAGCTTGATCTTGAGCCTTAACAAATAGTGTAGACTCGCCTTCTTCCGACACACTGATCAAGTTATTCAACAAGACCATGATAAAAATACACAACAAGATTCCACCCAATAATATCTTGTTTTTATTCATTTTTTTAAAGATGAGAAATTCATAAGCAGCAGCTGTTCGTATTAATATCGAACTTTTAGCATCAGTTCTCTAAAATTATTTTACATTCATTGGAAGCATGATTCAAGTTTCTTACCAATAGAAATATAAAAATTCAGAACATGCAGTCCACTTCAGCACCTATCATTCTCTTCCTTATACCGCCTTAACCGTTTGCCAAAAATTTCAATAAAAAAAGAGAGAACAACATTCACCTCTCTCGGAATCAAGGAACAACAACATTATATTAACTTCAAATCTCGACAACTTATCCTTTATAAAAACAAAATGCCATTAAAAACATCTGCTCACAATGACAGCAGTAAAATTAATCAGAGTTTGATTAGTAATTCTCAAGCCAATAGAACCAATAATACAACCATTCAGAATAGTTCTCAAATGAGTGGTCCTCCACTCAGTTATGCAAATTTTACAGCTCCAATTATTGATTTTTCATTTAAGAATTTAAATGTTTTGGAAGGTTTGTTTTGCAAAATACTTGTTTCCAAACTTCATCAATAATACAAATATCTAATCATTAAAATCATCATTTGAAAAATAGATTTATACGGACAAGAGCCAAGATATGGAGAAAAAGTAGTCACAAAAGATCACTCCGAGGAATCAAACAAATCGAGTTTAATTAAAGTGGAAGATGATCAAACAACCATAAAACGAGGAAACAGAACTCTATTGGATGAAAGAGCAAAAATGATGCAAATGAATACTTCTGATTTTATTGGAAAGCAAGAGGAAAAGAAAGAGGAAGCCCCTCAAGAAGTTGTCAAATATTTAGGAAGAGGAGTCAGATTGTCAAATAATAACTTGACAAGTCTAATTGGTATTTTCTCAGTTCTTTCAAATGTTTTGGAAACCCCAAATGAGTTACTATGGGTAGATCTTTCTTTCAACAGTTTATCGACACTGGAAGGTATTGATTCTCTCCCAGAAAACCTCACTACACTTTACTTACACGCCAATAATATTACTTCCCTCAATGAAATTGCCCCACTGCAAAGGTTTAGAGAGTTGAAGTATCTCACTCTTTTAGGAAATCCAATTGAGGATATCAAAAACTATCGGTTCTGCATTCTCTCCATCTTTCCCTATCTGAAATCTTTCGACAGAGTCACAGTTACGGAGAGAGATAGAGAAACAGCCAAAGCATATCGAAGCTTTTTCTGGCCAAAACCTGGATCCAAGAAGAAGCAATAAACAGATCTTTTTCAAAATCCAGTACAGCAAATCGACTCCTTTTTGTTCCATTCGAATAGTTCAAAAAAATGTCCTGTCATGATATCCTGCCATCTGGTAGTACGACTGTCGATGAAACAGCAGACAACAAGAAGCAAACAGCACTCATTACTGGAGCCACGGGACATGTTGGTCGAGTACTTTGTGAAAGAATTGCCAAACCAAAACAATTAACTGTCCAAACATCATCAAACAAGATCAAACAAAATGAAAATAATAGCAATGATGATATTAATAATTTATTATCATCAATAGAAAAAGATTTTGGAAAAATTATCATTCTCGGAAGAAATGTCACGATTGGCAGTGAATTGGAAAACAAGTATTTAAATGTTGAGTTTATCAAGTGTGATATTAGTGATTCGGAGAGTGTTAATACATTATTAGATCCAATCTTGTCGAGTGTTGATGTGATTTTCCATTGTGCAGCCTTGTCGACTTCATGGGCTAGAGCTACTGATTTATACAAGGCAAATGTTCAAGGTACAATGAATTTGGCCAATTTGGCACTCGCTCACTATAAGAAAAATAAGAAATTGAGTAGATTTGTATTTGTTGGAACACCCTCTATTTATATGAGTAGGGAACATTTGTATAATGTTAGTGAGAATAATGATGAAACACTGAAAATGGAAAACATGTTGAATGAATATGCCAAGACCAAGTATATGGCTGAACAATTTATTTTGAGTTTGTATAGAGAGCATCAGTTCCCAGTAGTTTCTATAAGGCCACGTGCAGTAATTGGAATTCATGATACTGCAATTTTACCAAGAATTACTCAAGTTTTACGTGAGAGAAGATTTGTAAATATTTCAGAGAAGGACAAACCACTTTTGATTGATTTGACTTATATCGATAATGTTGTTGATGCTCTGCTTTTAGCCTACAAGAGAGACAAGTGTTTGGGAAAGGCTTACAATATCACAAATGGAGAACCATTGGATTTACATAAATTATGTAAGGAATTGAGTAAGGACTATTTGAACATTGATTTGAATTATGAGAAAAAGACTGGACCTGATACTTTTGTTCCCAAGAAGATCAATTTTACATTCGCTTACTTTATTGGATATATTTTTGAATGTGTTTTTTCCTTGTTAGGTATTTATGATAGAGACCCACCTCTTTCTAGATATGCAGTTGCTACCATTTCTAGAAGTGCCACTTTTGATTTGAGTAATGCCCAGAGAGACTTGGGCTATTCTCCAAGAGTGCCTATCAGAGAAGGTATTCAAAAGGTTATGCGAGCAAGTAAATTATAAATTTTAATAAATTAAATATCAAAAAGTTTCGAGTCAATCTCCAATCTTTCAAGAATTTGAGTGACAGTCTTGGTTAATACGTCCTGTGAAACGTGTGGAATAGTTGGATAGGAAGTTGGGAGGAATGAATGCAAGTGATGCCCTAAAACGAGTTCACTATTAGCACGTAGGTAAGTTTCCAATAAAAATCTGCAAAGAATAAACCTCAAAATGTAAAGTCTCGTTGTTTCATTTTCCAAATATAGTTTGAGTGAAATATCCAAATCGTCATCTTGAGAGAGAATCTTGTGCATCTCGGTAAAGGAATTAATTAAAATACTCTCACATTCTCTATAAACATTCTTTTCAATATTTTTCACACTTTCCAACTTTGTCAACGTGCACAAGGCAAGAATTGGTGATGCAAGGAAGTGTGTAAAGAAGGATCCAATCATTGAGGTATTGGAGAGATGAGAGACGTAAAGTTTAGGGGAGAATAAACAAACAAAGCAGGATGGGAATCTATTATGTTTTGGCTATTTCAAATTAGAATAAATGATAATATCAAAATAGTTACTTACCATTAGAGATGTTGAATTCTCACTTTCAACAACTAAAAATAGTGGCTTTCTTGTGAATGGCAAAATGTCATCTATTGTAAGGCTGTTAGGATCCATAAAATGGCTAGTCTCTGTCGATAACTCTTCATCGAAAGAATATTGTTGATTGCTTCTTCTCTTGGAATTTAGTGAAACTCCTCCTTTGGCTCCATCAGCCGAAATGTAAATAAAATTAGCAAAATTGGTATTTTGGGTGGTGTCAACACTCTCAGAAATATCCACACTACTCGATAAGCTTGCTAACATTTCGGAAACAGTTGGTCTGTAGAGCATGGTTTTACGAATGGATGCTTGCTTCTCGTTGAGTGAATTCTTTTCCAATGATTGTATAATTCTAAAAACATCCAAGGTTAATTCACTGAATTTGACTGTTGATTTTCTGTTTGTCATCAATATGGCATCTGAAATTTTGACAATATAATTTGAACTTGTCATTTGTGAAAATATTGTTTCCTCAACAGGAGAAGTAATATCGGATGGTGATGAATCATCTGAGGAAGAAGGCGTATTGTTGCCACTTCGATTATCAAATAAATAATTAGGTATATTGTTTCTTCTACTTTTAGATTTTGGAAATTGAACAGCTGATCTATAGTTAATTAGATCAACAGCTTGATCGATTGTAACACTCGTTTCGGCTTTTAAAAAGTTTTCAAGTTCATTAATGAGCAATTCCCATTCCTCTCCTCCTTTTCCACCAATATTAAAATGTGTTAAATAATTGCTGACATTATCTTTAAATTCCGGTAAAATTTCATAAATGATTTGTCGTTTGTTAACTAGTAAACAAACAACAATAAATCTAGCATAATATCTGAGCATTCCGTGATAAAGTTGAGCATTGTCTTCTCTTTCAATATTTTTGAAATATTGTCTTGTATGAATTGCTTCATAAAATCTATAGGATTCATAGACATATCTGATATCACCTGTTCTTAAACTGTTTTTATACGATTAGTCGATCATCATGAAGAATAGACACTTACTAGTACAAGTAATAGAGTTGACCAATACGTGATGCAATTTCACCAATTTCAAACCTCTTCAAATTGGCCTTCTTCTCCAAAACAGAACGATGTTCCAATTGATATTTCCACAGTTGTGTGAATACTTCGAATGTCTTTCGAAAGTATGGCTCCCACACTTTTCTTTGTCCAGTTTGTGGAAGTTCTCTGTAATCAGTTATAATGCACACACAATCAAATATTAAATATATTATTAAATTGATAATCAAACAATAAAAACAAACCTCAGCCCGGAGAAGTATCTATTCGATCGTTGCAATAAATTAGCATATTGAGCACTAATTTGTTTTTCTTTACTATCAAAATCCCTCTCTGATGATGTAGGTAAACTATTATTCATAAACATTTTCGCTTCAAAATCTTCTCCTCCAACAAGCCTTTTTGATGATGGCACAAAAAACAATAATTAATATCAGAAGACTTTTCCAATTATTCTCTTCTCTCGTAATATATAAATTAAAATAAATCTACTCGCAACAAAATGATGAACACCCAAGAGTTTAAAATTAATGCTGTTGATGGTGGTACTCGTTGCGGAGTGTGATGATAATTTTTTGCTGATGGAAAATCCTAACAAGCACATCAAGAGGCAGAGCAATTAATTTATTATGAAAATAATTATTTTAGTGCATAGACAACATTGTATCAAATGCCTTAATTTTTAAAGCATTCGATTAACGAATGAACTTCCTTCTCGCTTCTTTGAAGCATATATTAAGATCTCAATTATCTGCTTCAACCTTACCACACAAAACACCATATTTAGCAAAGGAGGATGCTTAAAAATGTTGTCTCGCACAATTTTCGTTTTCATTGGAAAGGTAACTGTGAGGTCATTGTGCTGAGCATTGTGTCCCTAAAAGGTAAGTTATTTTGAAAGGACTTTAAAAAAAAGCAAAAATTACGTCAGATAGTGATTGTCGTTCTGTTCTGAAATTTCAACTAGATTGTTCTTAGCATCATCAAGAGGATTAATTCTTTTTCATAGCAACCAATAACAAGTACAGAGGAAGCTGAAATGTTGGCTCTGGATAATAATACTGATATTGAATGTGTAAGCGATACATCTTCCTCGGGGAACGTGGATATCAACAAAACTACATCAACATCTTCTTCATCTTACAGAGTGTTACGGATTGATCCACTTATTGGACTAAAGATTAATTTTGGAGATACTGACAAAACATGGATGAAAAATCTTGAAAGGATTCTCTATAGAACTATCACTTCGGTTCATTTGGTACCTATTGTTTTATTATTTCAATATTTAATATTGGGTTTATATGGATATTATGCATTGGAGTGGGAGGCCAATGTTATTCTGCTTATTGCTTGTGTAATTGGGTCAACTGCAAGTAGAAAGTACATCTCCTATTCCATCTCTGACCAACAGACAGATATTGAGACAACCATGGCAAGTGAGAGGAAGAGAATTCTCATTAGCTTGTTGGCTTTTACTGTCAGATTCATATTTGTGGGCAAGGTTAAAATTATTATCCTGCCAATTTATCTGTGCATTATTATGAGTACTAACAACCTTTCGAAAGAGTACAAGATTTATTCTCTCATACCAATCTATTATTCGTGTATTTTACACTTGGGAGGTGCAATTTTGGAGCTAGCTAGATATGGATTTACACTGGATTCCATTACATACTTTTGTGAAAATTCAGGAATTGTCCTTTCTATTCTGATATTGAGTTTTCATGTAATGACAACATCAGAAAATTTGAAACAAAAAGTGAGGACCCTTGAGAAGACTAGAGAAAAATTAGAGGAAGCTCTCTCAACTAAACAAACATTCCTTAGACACATCAGGTAAGTTTATTATCATTAAGGAGAAATGTTGAAAATGTAATAGCCATGAATTTCGTTCACCATGTTTGAGTAGCCTGGGCAGTGTAGAGTTGTTGAGAGAAACTAATCTGACATGTGAACAGAGAGAGCTAGTTGAAACTATTGCCTCCTCTGATGGAATACTATTGAACTTAATCGAGGACATTCTAACTGTAGCAAGATTTGAACATGAAAAGAAGGAAAATTTCAAGAATACCATTGTAAATGTATTTAATTTAGGAAAATGTATTCAATTAATTGGGGCAATCATTAATAGCTATTCTAAACATTTTAATGTTAAATTGGAAATATTAATGGATTCTATTACACAAAACTTGAATGTGAGAACTAGTCAAACTAGGATTCACCAAATTCTCTCTAACTTGCTAACTAACGCTATTAAGGCTTCTAAGAATGGACAAACTGTTAATTTAATCTGCAAAGCGAACGGAGAACCCCAAACTAATCATGGAATTTTACAACAGGAAATTGAGTTTAAGGTTATAGACTTGGGCTCTGGCATTCCCAAGAACAAGCAGAGGGAGATTTTTGCTCCATTCTCTCAATTGCACAATGTGAATGAAAATATTTATCCAGGGTAAGTAATCTAGATTTGAATGTTTGGCTAGAAATATTACATAGTTCTGGATTGGGTTTAAATATTGTATCGAGTCATGTGAATTCAATGGGTGGAACTATTTCATTAAAATCTGAAATTGATAAAGGAAGTGAGTTCACAATTACTCTTCCATTGGAAATTGTGGTTGGTGACTGTGTAACTGAGCTACAGGAAGATGCCGATACTTCTCTTAAGCGACAAATGGTCTTTCACGAGAATTATTTTAGACTGTTCACAGAACCAACCTTGCAAGAAAATACACAACCAACAAAAAGAACAGAGATTATAATTGCAGATGATAATCCAATTAATAGAAAAGTAATTGTTAAGCTGATCGAAAGTCTTGGTTATGAAACAGAGAGTGTTTGTAATGGAAAGGAGTTGGTTGATGCAGTGGATCCTAAACAACATAAACTAGTCATTACGGATTTGGTAAGTGTCATTAAAATACTATAATAATCAACAATAGACAGAACATGCCAGTAATGGATGGTATTGAAGCTGCTACTATATTGAGGGAAAAGTTCAAAGACTCAATTTCAGTAGTGGCACTAACAGGAGATGTGCTTGTAGAGCCCCCTTCTGAAATATTTGACTCTGTGATTATTAAACCTTGCCAACGATCTTTATTGAAAGCATGTATTGAACAGGCATTGGAAAAGAGCTCGTTCAAGATAAAGAATGACTGACCTAGACAATTTTTTGAAGTATTATTGAGTACTATTACCATCCTCTTCAGGAGGGAAATTATAACCCTTACTAAACACACAATCAATTTTGAAAACTCTCCAACCTACAAAACCAATCAATGATCCACTTTTCAGAAATTAGTACAATTACAACATTTGAAACTTACGTTGATGCATTCAAGATATTCATTCCATAAATTGTATCAATTACCTGAGAAAAACAATCGAGAATTGATCCCTCTTTAAAATGATGTGAACCCTCAAAATTAAACAAAGATAATCTCTTCTCTCGCATTGATACCTTAATATTTGATGGCGAGTCATTATTAGGAATGTGTGCATTGGCATACTTGGTGCTAAATAATCGATATTCAAACATCATGAAATAAAAACTCAAAATCTCTCTCAAAATCCACACAACTACTCCCATACAGGCCTTATTCTGATCTGCATCTACCACATTTAAATTCCTAATTTCCTTCTTTAATTCATCGGTGAAGAAATAATCAGACAATTGAGACTTGTTACTGAGAAGAGCATCAATAAAAACTTCAGGAATACTGAAGCTAGCTTGTGGAATATTCACATTGGATTTGTTGGAATATGATTTGGCAGCACCTCTCAAATTATTGGTAACATGTTTTCTGAAAAATTCGACAGTGTGTAAGTCAGGGGATAATATTTCACTATCCTGATAAATTAGTAATTTTTCTCTAGGTACTCCAGTCTCTCTCAAGCTTGAAAGAGGATCAAATTTCAAGTCTGATAAATATTTACAACTTCTAGTGAAATTTTGTAATTTACAAAGTTTCTGTTCACATCCTTCTCCAATCAGAACAACTGGTTCATATTTTACAAATCCTCTATTCGTATCACACATTATATGATCATCATAGGTTGGCAATAATATTGGAAACTTGTCATATTTTCCTCCCAATTTTCCAAAATTGAAAGATCTCTTCAAACTCCTACTAAAATTCAACAATAATCGAGAAATTGACGAATTCATAATATACTTTTCCCAAATCGACAAGTACCACTCTTTTGAAATACAGCAAAACGAAGTCAACAATTCAAAATAAGAAATAAAAGGAAACACATTTCCAATCACCACATCCAACGGAAGACTAGCAAATATTCCTTTTAAATTTTCCTTCTTTTTCTTTGTAGATATTTCTTCCATTGTACATGGTGATGAAGTATTCTTCCTGGAAACGAGTGAATAATATCTTAAGAATTTCCTGAGAATTATTTTCGAATTTTGTGTGTAGGCTTCCGATTTTTTGATGGATTTTTTCTTGGTTTGTGTTGTTGACATTTTTTTTAAAGGTTTTTAAATACATTTGCAATTTTCAAAATATAGTTGACCATAAAACAAACCAATCATTGCACTTATCCACTGTCCAAGTCCTTGTTTGGAAAAATAGTGGCGCCAAAATAATATTACTGTTCATTGTTAGCTATGAAAAAATGGAAAGAACATGTGTTTGTATTGAATTGATGGATTTTCATAGTATTATCAGTGGAGAGAAAGATGGAAAGGAAGATAAAAGAAGGGATTTGGAAATCCTAATGGAAAAATTTAGAAATAAATTGAAACCTAGAAGAGGATTTGGGTGGGAGAATTTTGAAATCAGTTCCGAGATTGATTTTGCAATGCATGGAAAACCAAAGAATATTCAAATATGCTATGAGTATGGATTGATATTGGTAAATGTAAAGGATCGGATTTTGGTGTTTGATTTGAAGAATCGATCGTTTATTAGATCAATTCTATTTAAATCCTATGTTGTATGGTTTTGTGTGAGAGGATTTGATTTATACATTTCTAGTTTGAACCATGTTTCAAAATTTAATATTAAGCTGTTATGGAATGATGAGGATTCAATTGTGGTGGATGATACTAAGCATCGAGCTCTGATTTGGTCTCATTCTAAATCATTTCAACATGTTTGGGGAATTAATGTATTTGAGAATGTTGTTTACGTGTGTGATTATTTTGATGTGCTAACTTGTATTGATTCTAAAACAGGTAGTACATTGAAAATTAATATTCCAACAGATGATTTAGAATTTTTGGATAATATTGAATTTTCTAGTGAAATTGAGGGAGAAATGTTCGTCTGTCGGAAATACTTTATAGAAAAGTTGGTTAAGGATAATGAAGGATGGAGATCAGTGAAAAAGATTGGTCCACACATTAAAGGTCTGAGCAGCACTGAATATCTATCAAGACCTTATTCAATGTTTTTTGAAAAATCTAGTCAATTATTATTTGTCAGTGATGCTGATAGAATGATGTTTGTTCTTGATAGAGACTTGAATCTGGTACGTTATGTTCTAAATTACGAATGGGATGGAAATTGTGGAATATTCATCAATGAACAAACCCAAGAATTATTCCTTTGTGATTCTAAAAGGAGGAGAGTTCTCATTTACAAGTAGCATTTAAACTCTGCCAATTGGTAAAGAATTTCATCTTAATTTTTGCTTCTTGTTATTCTTTGTTTGCTTTTCATCCTTCACAACAACTTTTTCCCAATATTTGTCCTCATTATTTTCATCAGAAGAGTCAATTAAATCAACAACTTCTGGTGGTTTTTTCGGAATGACAACTTCTTTAACTTCTTCCTCTGATGAATAATCTGATGAATCCGATTCTAACACTCCCAATATATAACAATCATAGGATGATTCCGAGTCGTATGATGAATATTCATCCTCGAATGTTGTTGTTTTTGTTCCCTTCTTTGAAGGAGTACTTGTCCTACTTTTTGATGATTTTGAAGAAGATATGGCATCTTTTTGTGCTATTTTGGTATTTCTAGTTGATGTTGTTGTTTTTGATGTTTTGGCTTTCTTTGAATTTGATGATGATGCTCTGGAATTTGTTCTTTTCATTTTTTGGGTTATGTTTTAGAATATTCGTATTAGTTCATTGTTTGGATATTATCAGTTGACCATTAATGATAATAAATAAAGTGAATGGGTGAATGGGTGGTCGGATAATGATCTAATTGCTAAAATTATAGTTTAAAAAACTCTGAAATAATGAGTTTTCAAGATTTATTACACAGTCTCTTCTTTACAGAAAAATAGCATCACATCTATTATGAGTATCAGCACCAAATTCTCATTCCCCACCAGTAAAAGAGATAACACTAGTAAATTAATTGACCCTTTCGAGTGTATGGACGAAATACCACTTTACGTGTACGATTCTCCACTTACCAATTATTCATGTACCATCTCAACTCAGATACTTGAGGAAGCACAAAGATTGGAGAGAAGGATCAGGAGAAACTTGATTAAATGTAATACACCAAGTAGTGGAGATTGCAAAATGATGAATACAGCTATTGGAAATTGTTCGAAAGAAGCTTTCCAAACCTACATGTCGGCTACCATCCCAAATCATCTTTACAAGAGAACAGAGATATCAAACAATAATGGAAGAGAGGAATCTGTAACACGTATTACTTATGAATTTACATATCCTCATTTCCCAAGTTTTGGAAATCCTGTATGGACGAAAAATTACCATACTATTGACATGTCCAAAGTTGCAGATGAATTGGAGAGTCATGGTGAAACAATTCCACAATATTTTAGACAATCTCAGTACAGAATTATTGCAAAGAAGCTCTACATATCATTTGATACCCAAAGAGGTCAATATTATATTCACTTAACCAATTGGTTGCAGAGAAAGAGTGCATCACACTCATCAAAAAGTGGATTTGTTTGGATGCATAGTGATTTCCCAACAAAACATTGAATTTACTCAAGATATTTTTTACAAATTTCAATACTATTATTCCACAAACGATCTTGTAATTCAATTGAATCTTCACATGGATTTCCAATATTTTCATGGCAATCACTGTAATAGCTTCCAGGTTTTAACTTGGATTTATCAGAAAGGGCGAGATGAAGAGTTGTTTGAGCACCTTGGTGAGCTGATTTTAACAAGAACCACATGATTGGATACATGATAGTCATTAAGATAAAGGTAACAGCTCTTCCAAGCCAGCGTCCGAGATTCGTGCTAACCGCTCCGGGGTGTAAAGAATAGGTTTGAGCTGTGGTAGTAGTATCCAAAGCTAATTCTCTACTCAACTTTTTAGTGAACAATACATTTGCAAGCTTGGATCTCTTGTAGAGTGAATGAGTTGACATAGTTTGTTTACAGTCACCTTTCAATGTATCCATAGCAAAGGTGGCATATTTGTTTACAAAGCTTACACTTGAATTAGCTGCCAAGGATGACAAGTTAATAACTTTTCCATTTGATTTCTTAATCATATCCAAAAGTAAGAGAGTGAGTAAGAAGTGGCCGAGGTGGTTGCATCCAAATTGAATTTCCTTTGAATTCTGTTAGTTTTAGAGCTCAATATAGTACTTACAATTCCTTGTTTGGTTGTTGAATGAGGACAAGCCATAACTCCAGCATTATTAATCAAAATATCCAATTGATTGAATTTAGATTTGAATTCTTGAGCAAACTTCTTAACAGATTCCAAATCAGTCAAATCCATTAACATGACAACCAATCTGTCAGCATGTCCATTTTGTTTGGAAATAGCTTCTCTTGCTTCTTTACCTGCCTGTTCATTTCTAACAACTAGAATAACGGTAGCTCCTAAACTATGCAATACTCTTGATGTTTCATAACCAATACCTCCCATCGAAGCACCAGTAACAATAACAATCCTTCCCGAAAGATTACTCTTCAACAGATCAGCACTAACTGTACCGCCATTGAAATATTTCTTGCCAAAATAAAGACCTAATAAACCCAGAGCACCATATCCGTACTGGGTTGGAGTGATAGCACTAAGAGTTGATGTAATGGAATTGATAAAATTCATCGAGCTTCTGTAAATATTGCTATTTTTTTTATTAATCCTCAGTGTACTTCAGTTTGCTAGTCCGCTATTGTTATTGGTGCGACTATGTTATGAGAGATCTTCTCGGAAATCCGATCTTGTGTTATTGGTTAACATTTTTGTGGAATGCCTTAGTGATTCATATTGACTGCATGAAATTACACTAAAATCTTTGCAAGTTACTCCTTATTTAGAATTTATATTGTTTCTGTCAGAGAGCCTTATTGTTGATATATTGTTATTTGACAATTCCCAACATTTGATAGTCGAAATTAATCAAGGTTTTCAAAAACTTGTTTTCTAGCAATTTTAAAAAAAATGATGAACAAGTTATTGAAAAGTAATTCAATCAAATTCTTTGTTGCCAAACACTCTCATCTGAGATTTTGTAACAACAAGACCACTACTGCGTGGAAGAGTTCCTTTCTTCCGAGTATTATGAATCCTATCATGAAATTCTATCATGTTCAATTGTTTAATAATCATTCGTGTTCTTCTGGAGGAGGTGGATGTGGTTCGGGACATTGTGGAAGTCATCATCATCACGAAGAAGGAATTGTTCATAATGGTGAGGAGGAAGGAGGATGTTCCTCATGTGAGCATCAATGTGGTGGACATCATCATCACGATCATGATTATGAAATTCAATATTCTCATGAAGAGTTGGTGAAAGCAGCAGATGAAGGAAATGTTTCTGCTCAATATCATTTGGGATTATATCATTTTGATATGAGAGAATATGAGAAGTGTATTGAATATTGTTTGAAGGCTGCCGAACTGGATTTTGTTCCTGCCTCTACGTTTTTAGGATATTGTTACTCAACACTTAAACAAGATTATGAGAAATCATTCGAGTATTATATGAAGGCAGCAGTGAAAGGAGATGAAGTTGCACAATTTCATGTTGGCCTACTTTATGAAAATGGGCAAGGTATTGAAAAATCATTGACTGAGGCTTTAAAATGGTATGAAAAGGCAGCTGAACAAAATCATGTTGATTCTCAATATAATATGGGATTAATTTATTTCAGTGGAGGTGAGGGAGTTGACCCACAATTGGAAAAATCATTCAAGATTTTTGAAAAATTGGCAAATATTGGATTGACAGATGCTCAACATATTCTTGGATTCTTATATGTGAATGGACATGGTGTTGAACAAAATTATCAAACTGCAGTTGAATGGTTCACTCAATCTGCAAACCAAAATCATGCTGATTCACAATATAACTTGGCATTGCTCTATGAAAATGGATTAGGAATTGAGCAATCTGATGCAAAGGCTTATGAATGGTATTTGAAAGCTGCAAACCAAGACCATGTGCTCTCTCAGTTCAGTGTTGGTAACATGTATTACGATGGTATTGGAGTTGAACAATCATATGAAAGTGCATTCCAATGGTATTTGAAAGCTGCTGATCTTGGTGATGCTAGATCTCAATTCAATGTTGGAATCTCCTACTTTAAAGGTCAAGGATGCGAGAAAAATGTCGAGAAATCCTTAGATTACCTTCATCAAGCTCTCAGCAATGGTCTCACACAAGCTCAACAAGCCATCGATGTAATTAAAACACAGCAATAACATTTCTAGTAATAAGTATCCCATAGAGGCATTACATTTCTCCAATCATCTCTAACCCAAAGTTCTCTTGTTGAGAGTTTCAGTTGGCTCAATACTGGTTCAATACCTTAGTCTCCTTCCATTTATTTGAACAACACTCGTCTCCTTTTTCCTTTATATGTAAAAATAACTCATGATCTTATTGAACACATATCAACCTTCATAATCAAACAACAACTCTCATCACCCAAAAAACAAATCCAACACCACCTCATCTCAAAAACCACCAATAAATAACACATTTTGTATTAGCAGGAAAATTTAACGATGTTTGACCAAAATAATTTTAATTTTAAAAATTTTCTAATTTTTTTCAAATTGCAAAAATTTGTATTGTTTCCAACGCGAGAGTTTTTTGGCGCCATCCTATTTTCTGTTGCTAGTCTAAAATTCTTGCTACATTACAGTGTTGTTATTAATATATTGACGGACAGAGTACAGTGTTGTATAGCAATTTTGAATATTGGAGATTATTGTATTATTTGATCATCACTCTAGTAGTTAAAGTGGAGAAAGTTATTATTATTATATTAAATAGGAATACAAAATGGTGGGATATAATTTGGTAGAGCTTAGCGATAGAAATACTTCTATAAACGATCCTGATTCGAAAATTAAAATTATAGATGTTTGGAAGCATAATCTAGATACGGAAATGCACAAGATTATACATATGGTTGAAAAGTATCCTTGCATAGCAATGGTATGTAATGGTGAATTATTATTAATTTATTATTATAATAATTCATTGTCAATATTTGCTGTAATTGTTTACTATACATCTTTAAACAATTAAAATTCACTACAACAACAACAACCAAATTAACTACTACTACAACAACATCATCAACACACAATACTACAAATATTTTGTAGGATACTGAATTTCCTGGAGTAGTTGCTAGACCAGTTGGTAATTTTAGAACACAATCAGAGTATCACTACCAAACATTGAAGTGTAATGTTAACTTGTTAAGAGTTATTCAACTCGGATTAACATTTACCGATTTGCAAGGAAATGTTCCTGATGATGGACAATGTGTTTGGCAATTTAACTTCAAATTCAACTTGAAAGAGGATATGTATGCACAAGATTCTATTGAACTTTTGGCCGATAGTGGTATCAAATTTTTGAGCCATGAAAAGGAAGGAATTGATGTTGAAACATTTGGAGAAAAGTTAATTTCTTCTGGTATTGTACTTTCTGAAGATGTTAAATGGATATCATTTCACAGTGCTTATGACTTTGGATATTTGATAAAGCTCTTAACAAATGATCCATTACCAGAAGTTGAACGTGATTTCTTTGAATTATTACATACATTTTTCCCATGTATTTATGATATTAAATACTTGATGAGGAGTTGTGATACTTTGAAAGGAGGATTGAACCAATTGGCGGAAGACTTGGGCCTTAGGAGAATTGGTCCTGCTCACCAGGCCGGTTCTGATAGTTTATTGACAAGTGCTACATTTTTCAAAATGATGAAAGTTTTCTTTGAAAATAACATGAATGACAAGAAGTATATAGGTATTTTATATGGATTAGGTGAAGGTTTTGATCAAAATCATGGTTTAGGTTATAAGAATGGTAATAAGAAGATTGGAAATGTTCAAAATATTCACATGCAATCCATTAGTGATTCCAATGCAGAAATTGCAACTGATTATACGTAAATACCAACCAGCACGCAAAACACCTAATTTTACCACATCTCTCACACGAGGTGTTGTAAACCTTTTTTAAAATGTAAAAACATAAAAAATTATTTCTCTAAAATTTAATATTTAAAATATATTATTGAATAATCTCAAAAATCAATATATTACCAACACATATAAGAGTATGCAAACTATAGCTCACTGAGTTAACAAAAGAGAAAGTTTTCTTTTATTTTGAATTAATAAATCAAGAGTTGCTCTTGAATGATACACTGTAAAAAACCAAAACCAAAACAAAACCAATACAATACTTTCTTTGTAATTTGAACAAAATCTCTTCCATTTCAAGTTATAAGAGAATTGAATAATCAAAACTATTTTGTAAACTTGAATCAATTTCCATCTTGCATTCCAATTAAACAATATAGAAAAAAAAATGAAACAACTTGAAGGGAGCCTATTTTCTCTTCAAAAACCAACTTGTGGCACAAAACCAATACAGGGAAATACCTTCATTCCATCAATAATTAATCATACTGACAAATTATTTGAAATGACATTCTATATTTGTGGAGGAAGAACTCACAGTACAGAAAGGAATACTCGAAACATTCTATCCGATATTGTAAAATTTAAATATTCGTCAAGATCAAAATTGAATGATGATTGCAATTCTAATTCTTGTAAAATTGAACATGTTCCAATGAAGAAGGATGTGAAATTGGATTCTCCGAGACATAATCACACATCCTTGTATTTTGAGAGCATTGATTCGATAGTGACATTTGGAGGAAGTAACACTGAACTATATATGGATTCAATTTTTGTAATGAATATTCATGATGAGAGGAAGCAGGAGGTGTTGAAGCGTAACAAAGAGACAGTGTGGCCACAAACTAGACATGGACACACTGCAAATATTTACAAAAAAGATCAAATGATTGTTTTTGGAGGAAAGAAGGGTTTTGGAGTAGATTCTGATAGCTTTCTCAATGATTTGTGGAGTTTCAATGTTACAACCAATGAGTGGGAGAAAATTAAGAGTTTGAATTCTGCTCCTAGAGAACGTTGTTGGCATAGTTCAGTGATTTATAAGGAGAGATTCTTGTTGGTGAGTGGAGGGTTTTATACATTGGATGGAAGTGAATGTTATCTGAATGACTTGTGGAGCTTTGATATGGAAACCAAATTGTGGAACTGCTTGATTCAAGACGATGACAAGAAAACATGTAAAATGTACCAACGAAACAGATCTGGAATAATAGTGAGTGAAAATGCATTATTTATCATGTTTGGAAATTATTATGATGGATATAAGGATCTCTTTCTGACTGATATTTTCTATGTTGACGATTTGCATTCAATTCTCTTTGAAAAGGATTCCTTATTACCAATTTGGAAGCAGTTACAAATTCAACCACAAGACGAACAAGCAAAGACATTACTAACTGAGGGAAGAGGACACATTAGCTCTGTTTTACTTTCTGAAAATGAAAAATTCATTCAAGTAATGTTATTTGGAGGCGAATCTTTTATGAAACGACATGATAATTTTTTCATCTTGAAAATTGATAAAATGTAGATCATTATTTGTTGATATCTCTTACAATAAATTCATTTCCTTTATCATGTTGTCAGAATGGTTTTTCTTTCAATTAGGAAAATAACACAGAATGTTGGCCATATTTTTCCCTTTAAAATTGTGTTATTTTGGGGATTAGTTTTAGATTCGTATATTCAAGATACAGCTCAACATGAATTAACACAAAATGGTCAATTGAAACTGTTGTGGTATCTATCAATGATTTGAAATAAAGAAGGAGATTTTCTAATTTGGCACCGTAAAAAAGAAATGTTTATTGTTTGTTTGAGGTTGGAAGAATTGTCTCTTCTTCCATCCTACCCATCTCATACTTTTCATGAGTGTACCATGCAACACCAATCAATGTTAAAATCACGCCAATCAAATTCTTAAATGATATATAAGAGGTAAACAACAAGAAACCTCCCACAAATACCAAACATGTTTTGAAATATCCAATCACATTAACAGAGAGTGGACACGTCTTTCCAGCCACCAAAAAGAAACTGAAATTGACAAAGAATGCAGTTACACAACTTGCAAATATCCACATGAGCTTATTTCCATCTCTCCAATCATAATTATAAATCACATGAACATCATTAAGGAATGGAATTGTAAACATCAGAATGAATGCACTGGTTAGACTTTGATAGAGCAATACCTGAAGAGAATTGGCATTCAATTCCTTCTGTTTTTCTGTGCCATAGATAGTGTAGAGGGAATTGGAAATCACGGCAAGGATGGCCATAAAACTTCCATATAAATTCATGTCCATGTCTGTGAATACTGTAACAAATGTTCCAAGACATACGGGAATTCTTCTCTCTTGTGTCCTTCTATAGAATAAATATTCAATTCCAATGATTGTTGGGGTGCAAACAATTTTCATTACTATCAGAAATACGAAATACATTATTAATAATAATTAAATGTAATTGATTCGAATAAAAACAAACCTGATAAAATGATACTAATACTAATATTATTGAACACAACATAGCCACAAAATGCCAAACTAATTGGTAGTATCTTAATAATCGGAAGTCTCTTTGGTTGAAAGATACCCAACATGGCTGCAATGCAAAACTAAAGCAAACCACATTCGTCATGGTACAACCTTTCCATTAATAAACATAATCCCAATCCTTGCTTTTTTGGTTACATAGAATGCCCATTTCTCACTGAACTTGTCAAATGTTTCATGAATAGCGGACAAACGTTGGAAGTCACAGTCCAATCAGTACAAGCAAATATCCATGCCAATGACACTTTTAGATTTTCACACAATTTGGAAAATTATTGGCCACAAGATGTTTCTCACACCACAAGTCCTTGTATTTTGTAGTGATTGTACTGTGGCAATACAGGAGTTTTGAGCAGTGAAAAGGTTGGAAGTGGACATCAGATTCAATTGTACCTTCATTTGCCTTTTCTTATTTCGCCACAACATTAATTCGAATGGATTCAGTTTCTCATTCTTAAAAAAATGAGTAAGATTTTCAAACTCAGTGTTGTGTGCACAACATTATTGGTGTTTAGCTTTGTGTTCTTTCATATATTGAACATTAACAAGTCATCAGCTGATTCAGATAACATGTTGGTCAGAAATTCGAATGGAAAGAGAGAAGGTATTATCATTCCACACAAAAACAACTTGCCAAGAGTACTAATTGTGTTGGGAACAAGACCAGAGGCTATCAAATGTGCTCCACTAATTTCACATCTCAAGTCAAACTATTCCTCTGAATTGGAGGTGATTGTTCTTAGCACTGGTCAACATAGCGAAATTTTGAAACAAACACTTGGTGTATTTCATCAACATGTGGACATTGACTTGAAGTTAATGACTCCCAATCAAAGTATCTCCTCTTTCTTCACCCTCTCCTTCCAAAAGATTAGTTTAGAATTTGAAAGGCAAGGACCAATTTCCATGGTATTGGTTCAAGGCGACACCACTACTTCTCTTGTTGCTGCCCTTGCTGCCAGTTACTTAAAGATACCAGTTGGACATGTAGAAGCTGGATTGAGATCCTATGATTTCAATAGTCCATTCCCAGAGGAGTTGAATCGTAAAATGATTGACTCGTTTGCCAGTCTCTTGTTTGCCCCAACCGATTTCTCTAAAGCAGCTCTTGTTAGAGAAGGTATCTGTCCACAGCATGTCTATGTAACTGGTAACACTGGCATTGATTCGTTCTATTCTTTAAAGTCCACCACACCAAAGATAATTCCAGAATTGCTTCAAAACATTAAAAGTTTTAAAAGCAATGTTCTTGATACCACTTCATCTACTACTACATCATCATCAGCAGTTGAATCACATAGAATAGTAATTCTTGTTACCATGCATAGAAGAGAAAACATTCCACACTTTAAAGAAATGTGTAATGCCATCAAGAGGATTTCCAATACATTTGGAAAGAATGTTATGGTCATTCTACCTGTACATCCAAATCCAAATGCTAAGAGTGTAGTCAATGAAGTCTTATCATCATTGGATAACGTCCAATTGGTGGATCCAATTGCCTATGATATCTTCCCACATGTGATTAGTGAAGCTGACATTGTTGTTACTGACTCTGGAGGTATCCAAGAGGAATCGGCAAGTATTGGAAAGCCAGTTATTCTCATGAGAGATACTACTGAGAGACCAGAGGGAATTTACATTGGTACTATTAAAAAGATTGGTGTTAATTATCTTGACATTGTGAAAGCCATGACTGACGCCATCAAGGATTCACAAAATTCGAAACAAGTTCTTTCGAAACACATATTTGGAGATGGACAAGCTAGTATGAGAATTTCAAGAATTGTTCGTGATTTTATCACCTCCAAATTACCAGATTCAAGAGAATGTTCCACTCAATTCATTCAAGATTCAATTGCAGAAAGTGTTTACACTCAAAATTTCCTTCCATTCGAAATTAGAAAGAAGGATTTATTGGAAAGATCAAAACCAAAGGAGCAACTCACCATGCAAGAACTATTCTCATTACCAAGTACATACGTTCCAACAAGGAACACCTCTGATGAATTTGGTGTCACTGCTGTCGTTGGTTTGTATAAGAGAACAGGTCTTGTGAAGAGATGGATGCAAGCTCTCCTCTCACAAACTCATCAACCTAAAGTTATTTGGATGGTCTTTTTTGCCTCACCTAAAGCTGACGAAATTGAAAAAGAAATTCAAGAGGCCAAGTTACTTGCCTCCTCCAACAATATTTCACTATTTGTTAACAAGGGTGAGATGCAGCTGAAATATTTTGGCAGATTTCAATTGGCAATACAATCACCAACAAGGTATCTTGCTGTTTTTGATGATGATTGCATTCCTGAAAGGAGATTTTTCGAAGCAGCCATGCACACCATCAATACCAATAATTATAGAGGAATTCTTGGAACGAAGGGAACTCCAAGTGCTGAGGATTACTTTTTTGGACCTGTCTCAGGTTCAGAACATATCATTGAGGTTGATGTTGTCGGTGGTAGTTGGTTCATGGAGAGAGAGTGGGTTAAACTAATGTTCAGGGAAAAGATGTTCTCGTGGGCCACTGGAGAGGATTGGCATCTTTGTTCCAATGCGAGAAAGTATGCCAATATTAGATGTTTCGTCATGCCAGTTTCTCCAACACTGGAAACAAATTCATATTCAGGTGATTACATGAATATCAGTAATAATGGAGATACAACTGGTAGAGTACAAGGTACCAGTGAAGGCAGATCTCTTATTATTCAAAAAGAAACTCAGAGAGGAAATAGATTAATGTACTCCTACCGGGGAAATGATCAGAGAACTGCTTTCGTATTCTTGAGTAATCAAGAAGAAGGAAAAACTATTCTTACAATGTTAAGTAGTTTAGAGCTACCATTCGCCATTCAGTATAGTTTAGGAGTTGCTGATCAATCTATAGCCCAAATTAATTTGGATGAATTATCCAAGATTACAAAAATCAAATCATTTAATGATTTCATGTTGAGTAGAGAGTTTGATACAGCACAAGCAAATCTGAGTTCTGTAGCTGAAACTATCTATCACTTTGACATGTCCATTCAACAACAACAAGCCACGGCTGTTATTTTAGTGGGAAGTTCTCCAACTCCAAGCACATTAGCTATCGCAACAGCTTGTCAGATTAACAAGATTCCTCTCATTAACTTTTTACTTTCTGAAAATTCAAACAAGCTGATTGAATCAGTTTCATTGTTGACTGTTCATATTCCAATAGAAGGATCGAATGGTAATTTGTTGGATGAAACTCAAAGGTCACTAACAGAAACACTGATCAAAATTTTTAATTGAAATAAATCAGGCCACAATTTTACCAATCTCATCAAAACAAACTTTTCTTAATTGTAGTACAACTTTTTGATTTTCTTCTTCATATCAATTTTGAATTTGATAAGAAATGAAATTGTATTAAAAGAATGGTTCCAACTTGTGCAAGAAAAAATGCTTTCAAAGGGTGCGTCAAGGGCAGAGTTGTCCTCTGTGAAAAAATCAAAGAACGGAACAACACCATTGCAAGGACATTCTTTTGTTTCGGCAGATTCGTCTACTTTCTTTATTTTGGGTGGAAGAACTCATAGCACTACCAAAGGTTTACGAAATATTCTCTCCGAAACAATTAAATGTTCATTAAAGGATGGCTCAATTAGATCCATTGAAAAATTTACGAGTTTGGATGTTCCAAGACATAATCATACTTCTCTCTTTTTTGAATGCATTAATTCAATTGTTACATTTGGTGGAAGTAATACCACTAGTTACTTGAATAGTATTTTTGTAATGAATGTAAACAATCAAAAGGACAGTAAGGTTATCAATGTATCTAAAACTATGGCTTGGCCAAAGGTTAGACATGGACACACCGCAAATATTTACAAAAAAGATCAAATGATCGTTTTTGGAGGAAAAAAAGATTTTGGAACTGCTGCCAATTCCTATCTCAACGATTTGTGGAGTTTCAATGTTACAACCAATGAGTGGGAGGAAATTAAGAGTTTGAATTCTGCTCCTAGAGAACGTTGTTGGCATAGTTCAGTGATTTATAAGGATAGATTCTTGTTGGTGAGTGGAGGGTTCTTCACAGTTGACAGGTCAGAATTTTATCTGAATGACTTGTGGAGTTTTGATATGGAAACCAAATTGTGGACCTGCCTAATTGAAAATAACGATAGCAAATCATGTATAGTTAAACAAAGAAATAGAAGTGGAATGGTTTTGAGTCAAACACAGGATGCTTTGATTATCATGTTTGGCAATTATTTTGATGGAAAGAGAAATTCATTTTGGAATGATGCTTTCTATGTGAAAAATTTGGATGATATTCTGTACAGCAATAATTTAGAAAAGTGTTACTGGACCAAGTTGGAAATTCAGGCCAGTGATGATGCCTCAAACACCTTCTTGAAAGAAGGAAGAGCGCACATGACAGCTGTATTGTTATCGAATGAAGAAACAACTCAAGTTCTCTTATTTGGAGGAGAATCCAAAAAGCAAAGACATGATACCTTCTTCAAGCTTGAAATTCCACAATTATAAAATACTCATAATTATGAATTTATTGAAATCTCATGAATTTTAATTCCAATATTTGATCCAAATTTATATATTTACAAATTTATTCTCTTGTCAGTTCAGCATCTTTCCAATTAGGTTTAGCTTGTTCCTTCAAATAGTCCTTAACTTTTTCAGTTTCCTCCTTCAATTGATAAAATTGTTCTTGTTGTTCCTTTGATAGAGTGTTAAAATCATCTTCCGAAATATCCTTTCCAATTCGATCTGGTGATGGTGATTCCTCTAAAACTCGATAATAATAAGCCCATTCTTCAACAAATGATCTTGCATAATTCTCATCACCAGTCTTGTTTAATTTAAATTCGTTTTTTACGTAGGCATCTCCTAAAAATCGTTGTTGTGGTACTAATTTATATTTATGTTGTCGGAGAATATTTCTGTAGAGTGAGAGACAAGTATATTTCCATTCCATAGTTCGGAATGGTAGTGATGGTAAATCGGAAGTAAATTTGGTAAAGTATGGAATGTTTTTAAGTGGCGGCATTTTTTTTGATTGAATTTCAATTTTAATTTAATTGTAATAATAATTATTTAATTAAATATTCAAACCTATGTTGATAATAATAATTAGAAAAAGAATAGAATTATATGAAATTTCTTATAAATAAAATATTTTTAATTAAAATTAATTTCATCAGAAAGTCCCTTTCTTCTTCTTGTCTTGAGAAGGAATTCACGTGCAAGAGCATGTAAAGGACTTGGCTCGAGTGGTGCAATGGTAATGGAAGTATCTAGTGGATCACCAGGAACAATATCCCAGTGGTCAAATTTAGAGAGACAGAATGATCTGCCCTTAGTACTCAATCTCATATCAGTTTCAAGACCAAATGAATCAATGGCTGGTACATAAGCTTTGAGAATGTAATGAGGTGTACCTGGTTTTGGTTCATCTTCAATGACATGACCTCTTCTTCTTTCCAAAATTTTGTGGACAATTTCCAGTGTTTCTAATGGTGATTGAATTTCAACAAGTGAAATTGGTTCCATCAATTGTGGAGTAGCAGAGAGGAAACTTGAATAACAAACTCTACGTGTTGTTGGAATGATTTGACCACCAGTTCTGGCAATTCTATCTTCAGATATCGAAGCTTCTAAAAGTCTGAATTTAACATTTCTAATTGGTTCTTCACAGAGTGGTCCTTCCTTTGTACTCCATCTGAAACCTTGTACAATTGAATCCTTTACAGTGGATAAGAGTTTCTGGTCAACTTCACCTTCAAATGTTTCATTGATGAGTGCGTTTGGACCATTAACTTCTGGACCAAATGACCAAATTCTACTTGTAGTATATTCATCCCAGCCATATTTTGTTTTCATAATATCCTCTCTGACAGTGCTGCCCATCTTGTCGAGATTGATTCTTCCACTTTCAATATCTTGAGTTAGTCCTCTTTCCAAAGGTTGAGCAACCATTACAAGTTGATTCTTGTTATTTGGTGTTTGTGAGGAACATCTTACAGATGATGTTTCAGCTACTGTTTCACAGAAAGTTACCGAAGGGTCAGATACCTTAATTTCAATGCCTGAATATAATGTTCTCAAATCGTGCATAACAATATCCAGATAGAGTTCACCGGTACCAAGAAGAATATGTTCACCACTTTCTTCAACCTTTGTTGTGACAAGTGGGAAACTCTTATTGATCTTTCTCAGACCTTCCATCATTTTTGGTAATTCTGATGGTTTGAGTGGCTCAACAGCAATTTTCATCACTGATTGGTTCATATATGTTAAAGGTTTGAAAATAAAAGTATTGGAGCTTGCTGTAGATTTGTACAATGTAGATGTCTTGCTGATGGTTGCATCAATACCTTCTATTAAAACCCAATTACCAGCACTAACACTATCAACATTAATTCTATATCTTGAATTATAAATATATAAATTAGAAACATCAGTAATTGACATGTCTTCTTCATCAGATGGTGTATATCCCTCTCCCAAAATTTTAACAGCATCACCTTTTTTGAGGGTACCACTCATTACTCTACCGAAAACATCAAATGAAGAATAGTCTGGCCTAGGGAATAATTTGGTAATGTAAATTACTAAATCTCCATTAGAGTCACAATTAATCATATCTTTAGCCGTTTTAGTGTCCAAAGTTCCTGTGTAAAAGTTTTCAACCTTTGTCTTGTTACCACCATAAGAACTACTTGGAGCAGGAATGTATCTCTCCAACATGTCGACAAAACCTGATGGAGAATTAAAAAGAGCTCTAAATGTACATTTCATTAATGGATTAGGATCAAGAGCTAATTCTTGGCTGTTGAGTTTTACACTAATCTTTCTCAAAGTTCCATCCAGCTCTTCTGGATCTTGACCAACAATGTGTGAATAAATCTTGTACAATGGTTCCAAAATAAATTCTACAAAGGATCGTTTTGAGAGTTCATTTGGATTTTTAGAAAATCCTCTAGTGCTTCTATCAAAATATAAATCTCCCCATAATCTCTTTGCAAATTCCTTGTAATTGAAATTCTTTTTTTGATCAGCATAAATCTTGGCAAATGATTCAAGAGTAAAGCAAACTCCAGTTTTAGAGCTAGCAAAGCAAACATTTCCAATATCTGGAGATAAAATTGTTGTTGGAAATTCATTACTATTAGCTTCCTTAATATTGTAACTATCCTTTAGGGATTCATCATGAATTGTATTCTTTAAAATATTATTCACCTCTGAAATTGTGTGTTTTAGTTTGTGGTATGTATCATTTGGAGGTAATTTGAGTTCCAAAATTAATCTGTCCAACTTATTGATAAGTAATACAATTGGTAATCTTTCTTGTACTGCTTGTTTGATAATTTCCACAGTATTTGACATTACTCCTTCAAGAGCATCAACTACAAGAACAATACCATCGGAAATTCTCATTGATGCAGTTAATTCATCAGAAAAGTTAATATGACCAGGAGTGTCCATAATATTTACCAGGTAAGATTTTTGTTTGGTACTCTCGAGCAAGAGAGTCATTGGTGATGATTTGATGCTCAATCCTCTACGATGTTCATCTGGACGAATATCAGTATAATTTAAATCCTTGTCAAGTTGATAATCCCTATAATTGTTGTGTGTGAAACGAACTAATTGATCAACAAATGATGTTTTTCCGTGATGTAAATGACCAACAATAGAAATATTTCTAATGCTGCTAGGAATTTTCATTAATTCTAAAAGGTATTCCCATGAGAAATTTACAGGTTGAGCTTCGTTGTATTCCTTCTCTACTAAATTCCATGTTGTGCTTTTAACAGGTTCAATGATAGGCTTTTCCAATGGTTGACGATCTTCATCTTCTACCATCACATCCACACCTTCACCATAAATTTCCTCAGCTGTTGGATAATATTCTTTATCTTCATGGAGAACCACTGATGAAGGCTTAGATATTGATGAATCATCAATAGAAATGATGCCTCTATTTTGTGTATTATCAAGATCTTCCTCATCACTACTCAACTCGGCTCCTCTATAATTACCAAATTCATCATAAAAATCTCCACCCACATAATTTGATGCTGCTCTTGATGGAAATTCGTCATCACTTCCATCACTTTCATCACCACCAATATTATTACCACGGTGATTATTGTTGGAGAGCATTTTTAAGCCTTTTTTTGAATGTGTTTTTATTTTTCCTTCACAACAATAACAATTTTCTACACCTTCATCAAATCACACCAACCCAACAACAAGGTTTGGATTATGATACACCATCAAGGAATTGAAAAACAGATTTAACTGATTGAACCGTTTATTTACTTCAGAGAGCTTACACCATTCTCTCCAATAGTGAATTATAGCAGATGCGAATAGACACCAACAGTCGAATTTTTCAAACCAAGACAAGACAACAATAACAAACATCAAAAAAATCACCTCTCCAGCTAGTAGATCGGCACACATTTGTTTCAGTGTTTTGTCGTATCAAGAGTGTGTGATACTTGCATCATCTCTTCATCACACAATATAGCGAGGATTCACGATCGAGTTTTTTGGAATTTATACAATAGTAATAGTTTTTGTAGCAGCAATAATAGTATATTGTTGGACAATATTTGTGTTTTTAATATATTTCCTATTACTAAACAACGGCAAATACTACCACCAACATCAGATTTTACGTTTAAATTTTAATTTATTTATATAGACGAAGTAGTTTTCAATAATGGATCGACAAGTATCACCAACAGAATCAAATCATATGGATTTGGGTTCTGATGACTCTTCATCAATGTCAAGTGTTGATTCTATCAATGATTTCCAACCTTCAACAACACCCCAACAACGTACATTGGATTTACCAAATCCAATTATTGAAGTAACTCCAATAACACCAACAAATCAAAAAGGACTAAATTCTGTAAATTCAACTCCCGTAAATAACTTTACCACCCCAATGTCAGTGACACCTAATATTGGCGTCACATCAGTTTTACAAAATTTAACAATGCCAATCACTTCTACTAAATTGGATATCAAAACTAGTCAAAGTATTAATAATGAAGAACCTTTCAACTTGTCAAATAACATGGACACAACAGAATATGTTTTGTTATTATTTTTCCAAGAGTTTAAGGAACAAGCATCTAAAATTATAGACGAATTTGCCTATGAAAATGTATGTTAAATTTTTGTAAAATAATGTATTAATTTATTATTATTTAGAAGGTGAATGATAACGTAACTTTAATTGTGGATTCTAGGATGTTTAATCATGCAGCTCCAAGAGCTACAACAAATTGGAATAACACAAGTCATTCTACAAATGGATATAATGAATTGATTTCAGCGATTGATATGCAATATAATGACCTTTCAACATTTGAAGGATCTTCTAGGGGTTCTATAATACTAAGAGATGTAACTGTAAATACTAGTAGATCATCTGAAATATTCAGTTCACCACCTCTTTCATCAGCATCCATGATTTCTATGGATAGTAGAATGACATCAACCGAGTCATCAAATAGAAAATCGGAATCATATTCACCATTTTCAAGTCAATCATTTGAACAATTACTTTCTGCATTCTCTGCTATTTCTAAACATCATTTAAATTCAATGATAGAAGCACTTATTGATTGGAGAGTACACCTTGATTGTACACCTACCAAAATGGTAAAGGAACGTATAAGAGACAAGCTGATAAATGTACCTAAAAAAACAGCACTCACCAAGCAAGAAATCCTCTATTCTAATTTCACAGAAAGAAAAGAATTGGCAGCTGACTATATTCTTTCTTTGACTGTGCTTTTGACATTAGGTTCCTACAGACAACCAGAACTTTCTATCAAAAATTGTGAACAAGTTGAATTTTTATGTATGGATAGATTTAAGAAAGCTCATGTAAATATTACTACAGGATTGGAATCACTTCAGGAAAGTAAGAAGAAGGTTCTTGACCTCTTTGCTGAGATTATTGGTTTAATGTCAGTGAAGTGGTTCCAAAAGATTTCTGATAATTTTTTGGAACAAGCTAGTGCTAGATTAGAATATAAGTATGAAGCTGCTAGTTTTATTAGATCTTTAAAATATTTAAAAATTAGATTATCTAAACCAGCAGAAGTTAACGAGAGTGTAGATTTGATGAAGAAAATGACAGACTTTTTTGGGAAAGCCAAAAAGTCAGAAATCAAGAGAGCATTTGCAGAATCTCTTGCCAACATGCTTTCTCCACTTGCTGAATTTGAGTACAAGAATGGTATTGATTATCGAGATTGGCTTGCTGGTTTGAAAAACCTGCTTTCAATAGCAAAGAAAATGTGTAGAAAGGCATCTTACTTGAACACAGCTTTTCCTTTTAGAGCAGCTGTTTTGTGTTTAAATCCAAAAGCAGTATTTATTGCTCCCTTCAAAGAATTTTTAACAGATATTTTCAGGTTATGCAAGGATAAGGGAACCAAATTAATGGGATTGGATTGCTTACTTCATACCCTTGGTTACTATTTGAAAATTGCTAACGAGTCTGACCAATCGACAGTAATTGAGATATTATCAAAAACAATTGCTTTATTATTGAGTGGAAAGAAAGTGCCACCATCAATACCAGCCTTGGACAACATTTATGATGCCACAGTTGATGTAATTGTAATGGTAGCAAACAACAGAATGGACTATGCAATGAAAAATATGGTCATTAAGAATTTAGATTTGGACAGTAGTTCAAGTTGTCTTCCTGAAACAGTCTACTTGGCACTTCGAGCATTTTTAGCTATTGCTGAGGTGAATGATATGAAGAAAATTTCCTCCATTCTTGGAACTGATGAAAAAACATCAGAGTTCCCTTGGGTTCACAAACTTTTGGATAGAACTCAAAGTAGATCAAGCAATGAAACAGAAGCTGATGATTTGGAGAAGGATTTTACTCAATCAGTGAGAATGTCTTCTCCTTTCTCCAGCTATAGAACTTTGAGTGCTAGTTTTGCTTCAAAGGCATCTTCTTTTTATGGAACAAACTTTTTGGCAAAGACTGACAAGCTTTTAGATGCTGTAGGTTTGTATCAATATCAAGAGGAAATTTCTTCCAAGTTGAGTGCAATCCTAAAACAATGTATGCAGGTTTATGGAAACTTTTTGCAATCCAACCATACTAAACCTTTGCACGAAAATTTATCCAAAGACAAGTATGCTAGTTTAAGAGTTGCTGTTACTGCTATCTCATGTATTCCTCGTATTTTGCCAAGTGAGTTTACCAAGAAGGAACTTTGTGATATGTTGTGTAGATTTGTTGTCCATCAATATGGTGACATTAGAGATGTATCTTGGGAGACCATGTTACAACTTTTAGATTATCATACTGATTTAAGACCAGTCCTTGTACACTCCTTTGCAGAAATGATTATGGCTATTGATGATTTTAGATCTGATTTACTCAAGTCAGTTTTGAAAAAGTTTTTATTCTTGTTGGAGAAGTGGATTTCCAACCTTAATAATCCAGAAACAGACACTCCATCTGGAATGAAACTTCCAACAGTTTTTGGAAAACTCAAGTCAGAAGGTCTAGATCAACCTATTTCCAGTTACTTTGATCCATCACCAATAGAAGCTGTTGGTGTTGTTTTACTCTGTAACTTGAATCCATATATTAGAGTATCCAGCTTGAAAATATTTACTCTTGTGAGAACAATTACCTTGAAAATACTTGAGAGCGAAAAAAAGAGATACACAGACACATCAACAGTTGCTGATCTTATTGAAGAATCTGGTCTAAGACACATTCAAAATATTTGGAAAGGCGAGGAAACAAGCCCTCCTGAAAGCTTTGAGAAATTCATAGCAGACCCTAATCTTTCCTTCTCTGATTTCCTTACTGACATGTTACGTTTAATAGGAAAAGATTTATCTATTTATTGCCAACCAACTTCCCACATTGCTCTCAATCAAATCACAAAGAGAATATTGAGATTGAACAACTTGCTTGATAGTGTCTATACAAGAATGACAGTCACAAGTGAAATTCAGAGAATTGTTGAATTGTGGAGTCACTTTGTAAACTTGGCTTGCTCTATGGCCAGAAAGAATCTATTCAGACAAAAGGAAGAAGACGAGCCTCTCACTAAGGCAACTATCATACGAACAACACCAAGAATTTCTTCAGCAAAAGATTTATATGCGATGATTTATCCACATCTCAAGTCAAATTATGAAAAACAATCAACAGCTGCAGTGAATGCTCTGGGTGCCGTTCCTGATGATTTACTCGAAATTCTTCTGGATAGTATCAAGGTTTTGGAGAATGAGGCCTACATTATGGACAAGCAAAAGAAGAATAAGAAAAAGAAAGACTCCCTCAGAGTTCAAATATCAAGAGTCTACTCACGTTTATCAAGCAATATTAAAGACACTACACTCAAAGAAAATGAATTTATCAAGGAAAAGTTCCTCCAATTTATTGAAGAACAAATTCAGTACAGCAAACAGCCAGGAAATATGTACAATATTGATTTACAGTCATTGAGGCATCATCTCTTTATTGTTATAGATAACATTTCTAGAAAATTGTACTATTATGCGCCAAAACCTGGCTATAGAACCTTTGATAAGAACTTGAGAAAGGAGTTAATGTTATTTGCCATTCAATGGACAGGTTATGGCAGATCTAGTATCAAGAGAGAAGAAGAAGAATTGGCAAGTCTTTCTCAAACAATAGAAAAGCTCAAAGATCCAGAGGAAAAGAGAAACATGGGAAGCATCTTCAAGAAGAAGACTACAAGAATGAAGTATAGATCATGTGGTGCTGTTGCTGGTTTGTTATTGGGAGAATTCTTTGAGAGTAATATGGAACTTTTAAGACAGTGGAGCGCCTCAACTAGAATGGAAAACAAGAGAAATCCAAAGATTAATGATGAAAATGCTGAGGATGAAGATACTGCAGATGACGATACTAGCACTGTTGTTATAAGGGAAGGAAGAAGTTCTCTCAGATCCTCCTTGTCTATTTTAGATTCTGTTTTGAGAACTAATAACCCACCACCAACAACAACACTACCTCCAGAAAATACTGAAATTGAATCACTTGGTATTACCATCTTGAAGTGGATTGATGAAATTCTCTGCTCCAGATCTCTTGTCTACAGAAGAATTGGTATTGAAGCTATCGAGAATGCACTGTTATCAAATCCCAACTTGTTAGATATTTGCATTGATCAATGCTACAATTGCAGTAAGAGACTTTCGAAAGGATATTTCGTTGCTATTTGTAATGTGTTTGAAAGATGTGAAATGCTCTGCTCAATCCCTGTCATTTTAACGTTGATTGTTTTCAAGTCTGTGTCTGAAAGACTTTCTAACAGAAACATTTCCTACAGATTGCTTAACTTTGTTAGTCAAAGATTCTTTGCTGCTGACTCTGAAAGTGGAAACTATCCATACTACATCTCTAACGGACTTGAGGATCAATACTTTAATAATCAAGTTTGTTTAGCAGCCAAGTTAGCTTTAGATCATCCACAATACGCCTATGGAGTACTCGAAGAGGTTTATTCAAGATTGGCTTTCTTATTACCAACTGATCAAAGAGCTCTTTTGAAATCTCTTATAGAATGGATTCCTTTCTTGAACCTTGACGAATCTCAAATTTTGAATTCCTTCAGAGGAGCAACCACTCCAGACGATTCTAAATACTCCAAGATGACTGAGAGTCGTAGAATATTGGACATCTTATTTGACATTACCAAGACTTACGCTCAACAATTCCCTGAAGAATGTAAAGCAATGTGGGTAAGACTGTCTGGTGACTCTTCAAATATTAGAAAGGTAATGATTTACCTCACCGAGAGAGGTACCTTATTCTCCATTGATGCAACCAATTGTAAGATTCTGTTTGCCATCTCACAAAAAATTACCTATTTTTGTGCCTGTGCTGGACCTCAACAAGTTGTGGATTCTCTTGTTATCGAGTATATTGAGAAATCTAGAGATGATATACCACTTTCCAAACATTATCGTGAAATCTCACCAAATATTGAGAGTTTTGCTGTTTTAACACAGAGACAAAGTTCTAACCGAAACGCAATTCCTCCACTCGTTAGATCAGATATTGTGTTAATTTTATTGAGTGAGGTGGCCTATGATCATGCATATGTATTCAGACAACATTTGCCTCTCCTTTTACAATACATGTTCATTAGAATGGACCATAAGATCAAGCTTGTTTCTTATAATTCCAAATTATTATTGGTTCATTTGATTCACAGTCTAGTTGTAAAACAATTACCACACAATGGAGGAACCTTGGAACAAAATGAACATCTCTTGGAAGCCAAAAATCTCATCCACTTCCTTTTGGATTGTAAAACTGATGAATATTTGTGGACTAGAGACAATATAACAATAGATGAGACCAATCTCAATCAAATTGCGAATAATACCACCAATATATTCTTCTCTAATTTCGAGGATGAGGTTGAGGTCTTCTCTCCAGAAAAGGCAGTTGACGATAAGCCAAGTATTAACCCAGTTAGTGATAATGTTAAACAACTCACCTCTCTTGTTGAGAGAGTGGTATTTATTTTGAAGAATGAACATGAAATCAAGAGTGATTGGGGATACCAGTCCCTTGTATGGGCAACTAGAAGTAGTTCAATTCACAATGTGGTAAGATCATATCAAATCTATAGAACACTCAGACCAGAGTTGAGAACCAATGATTTTGTCAATATTATTCAAGACCTTAAGAAGTACTTGGAGGAATTGCACTCAGGTGACTCGTTCGATATGAGAAACCTTACTGTAGAGTTGGCTAAGGTTGCTACACAACAAAGTTCTGTTGAGACTACAAAGATTGCCATTGTTGTTGAAATTATTGAAACTTTGAGAGTAATTGTAAAGAATATGGATAGAAATAGATTAGTACTTTTCCCACAAATATTTTGGTTGTCAACTGCTTTATTGCACAGTGACGTGACTCATATCTATGTTTATGCTCTAAGATTGTTTACTGAAGTATTGAGAAGAGTAGATATTAGCAATGATGCCATTAGAAACGTTATAATTGCCAGTAGACCAGATGCTCTTTCTGCTTCAAGTGATATTCAAGATTTAATTTTGAAAGGATTATTGAGTCCATTCTCTGAACCACTTACTATTGAATTGACTTCCATTTTCTTCAAGATTGATTGTGATTTAATGGGAGATGTTGGTCCTTATTCTAGATTTATCATGAAGAATATGATTGGCTTACTTCCACGTCTGTGCTCTCACATTGATGATATGAACAGATTCAAATGTTGGTCCATTGCATCAGCTATTGTTGAAGTTTGTGAAAATGCTTCCCTCCAACGAATTGCAAAGGTATTTTCTAGATACTCTAAAGGTTATTATACTACTTCTGAAAAATTCCTATTGGATCTGAGAAGACCATTTTGTGAAGCATTCTTCCCAAAGTTTGAGAAGGAGGTATTTGACTTTTTCATTGAAATGCTTCAGTTTGGTCCAAAATTCTATCAAAAGTCAATCTTGTCAATACTTCATTCCTTCTTACTGCATGCTAATGTGTCCAAATCCAATATTGGAAAGAAGGCAGGTTTTATTGCAACTATTATTGAAATGCTTAAAGGTCCATTGTGGTATGAAGCAACACGAGTTCTTGACGTTACTGTCAAAAACAGTGGAGAAAAGACAAAGGAAACCATTCAAATCATGCACTACCAAAAGAGCGTAACAGATAGTTTACAACACAAGACTGGAGTTGTCAAGCCAGGTCATGTCTTTGGATATCAAGCAGGTAATGGTATTAAGCAATGCATTGATGTTATTCAAAGTATTTACAAGTACAGTGTACAATCAGTTCATGAAGAGGAAATTAACTTGCTTGAACTGGTAGAAGCTATTCACACAACTCCTGAACCATCTTCTCCTACAACAATCAAGATTTCCTATCCAGAAATACCAATTCCTACAGGCCAAGATGATCATCTCGATTTTGACATGTCAGACGATGAAACAATCACGGAAGACAGTATGGAAGCATCTACAGAATATGATGATCAAGCAACTGATAGTGACCTACTCTCCACTGCAAGTAAATACAAGATGACTTTCGATTTGGAAACCACAAGTGAAGAAGAGGAAGGCAAAAGATTGGATGAACTTTTATTACAAACTCTTCAATTGGTTACTGCAGATACTAAACCTCCAGTATCTCCGTATGCTGTTGCTTCCATTCCTTATGAAAAGAACCCATCTTCTCCACAACTCAAAATTGGTTCCGCAAGAAGACGAACAACTTCCATATCAACTGGTTCTGGATCTCTTTTTAGAAAGTTCCAATAAATTATTTTTGCTTGAATTTACACAAAGGGAACATCCATTCCAACATTAATTTATGTTCCATATCTGTCATTTGAGGATTGAGGGGTTTATCAATTGGTGAGATGGTATCAGACATTTTTTTCAGAGATTCAAGCATGTCTAGTGGACTCTTGTTTTTCAATTTCATCTCTTGTTTTTGCTTCCATTCATCATAAGAGAGAGGTTCCTCATCTGAAGATTCTTCCTCACTATCCAAATCAAACAAAATGTCAGAAAAATCAAATTTGTTCTTTTTCACATCCTTTAAAGAATTCTTCTTGCTTGTTGAATCACCACTTGATTTTTTCTTTTGTTTTGGAATGAAAGAAAATTCATCTTCCTCATTCATTGTCTTTTTAATTTTAGAAAGTGATTGTTGAAGTTTTTGTGGTAATTCTTCTTCCTTTTCATCAATAGGAAATGATTTTTTGACAATATTATCTTCTTCGTCAATAATTTGTGGTGATAATTCCTTGTAGGTTGTTTGTTTCCTATTATTATTGTTTGATGATTCCAATGTTGTTGATTTCCAATTTGAATAATCTGGCAAATCATCATCTTCATCTTCCGTACTTGCCTGCTCTCCATTCAAAACTCTACCAATTTCTTCATCCAACTTACCCGATGGTCTTTCAAATGACCACTGGGAATAATCTGGTAACTCATCGTCGTCATCAGATGATGAAGTTGCTCCCTCTCTTCTCTTCATTTTTTTTGTATTATTAAAATTAATAATAAATTAATCCAAGATGCTTAGGTTTGTTAAGTCATTATTCGAATAATCAAATCCCTGTGTTGATTCTATTGTCAAATTAGTTCATGTCTTGTAAAACAAAAAATTGACCCAATGAATTCCACAAGAAAGTAGAAACAAAAAAACTCGTCTTGTTACTGGAAGAACACAATTTAAAAAAAATTGCCTCAACAACTTTCCCAGATCAAGCTTGATCATCATTAGAGAGAAAAAGTGCAACAAAAAAGCTAAAATTAACCTTTGAGGTTTTTATAATGTTACAATAATCAGTATTTACAGAGTTCAGCAATGATCAAGTTATTTCAAACTCAAAAACTTAATTTTGTCTGAAATAGTCATAATCATCATGATCCTTGTAGTATGGATTGAAAAGTGAAAAAGATCTAGAAGGATGGGAATCATCTTCATCTTCATCATCACTATCTTCCTTTTCTCTGATAATTTCACTTTCAATTGGGAGGGTGAATGCTGGTGAGGAGGTTTTAATTATAATCTCTGCAACTAAATCCAGTATAGATTTAGGTACACAAATAACATCAATTAGATTTGCAGACTCCTTGTTCTCTTCAATTGGTTTCTCTAAGCAAGTTTCTTCATCATAACAAGACAGAGCGTAAGGGAGGGCTGGTAATTCCTCAACATCTGTTAAATCATTCATTACTTCATGTGTTTGAGAATGGAATTCAGGTTCAATTCCATAGTTAGTGAAGTGTCCCAAGTAATTGAAAAGATTTCCATCGCCAAGAGTTAGGTTTGGAATTTTACCAGAGTTAGTATTGAGTATATCAATGTTTGGATTTTCAAAAGAGAGCAATCCAATAATTATGTCTTCTTGAATTTCTTCAGAAGCTTGTTGATTTTCAAATAGGTCCATTTCTACATCTGAATCAATGGAAACCTCTTCAGGAATTGAAGGGAGTGTTTGAATATTATCAATTGGTGGTTCCACCATTTGTTCTATCATATTGGCCTCTGATGGAGGAGGCAATGATGGAATGGTTGATGAAGATGATGATGTATCAGTTGTTGTTGTTGTTTGGATATTAAATCCAGTTGCAAGCAGATCCAAGTCTTGTTGGGTTATAAGTGCATGAGAGAAACTGTTCTTGTTGGTCTTCTTCTTTTTTGTCTTGCTTTGCTTTTTAATTCCATCTTGTACTGTAGAGAAGGTTTCACTGGAGGTGACTGTTTGCTCCTTCGTCTCCTGCCAAAACATGTTATTGTTGTGATTATCCTCTTCTTCCTCTTGTCTTTCCGAAGAAGATGGCTTGCTCTTGTTGTTGTTTGAAGAGGGTGGCATTTCAATTCGATCAAGAAAGAGTTTTTTTTAAATAATTAATCGAAGTTTGTTCTTGTGGGGATTGGAAGGGGCTCGCATATTCAGTCATTGTTTGGAGAAGAGGATGATTGGATGGAATTTTTGTAAGGGTTGAAATATATTTGTGTATGTAGAAGAATGCGAACAATTGTGTTGCTGCAATAAGATGATTACTATTTCACATTGTTGAATTATATAGTATTGGTGGTCATTATTAAACCATTCTGAATATATTATTTTCCAATCATCCAAATCAACATCCAAACCAATATTAATAATATTTAATAATTTCTTCCTCTATTAATATCAAGCATTTTTTATTCAGGTTCAGCAAATACTTTCAACATCTGGATTTACCTTCACAACACAACACAGCATCAACAAAAGATATCATCAATTCCCTTCTTGAAAATAAAACAACTCGCAATAATTGTTGAATCTTTAAAAAAAAATTGGCAAAACCCGAATTTCTCATCGACCCTTTTAATTTCTATTTAAAAGGGAGAATCAAATAGGCCTATTTGACAATTTTTACTAACAACAACATTTCAAAAACAACAACTTTATACTCGAGTATTATTATAGTAGTAAAATGGGTGTACCGGGATTTATTTATTGGTTGGTAACTAATGTTATCGACACCAATGACAAGAAGGATGCTGCTGATGATAAAATTGTCTATCCAATTAATAAGCAATCAATACTGGTACAGGATATATTAAAACAACGTGTAGATAATTTCTATATTGATTTGAATGGTCTGATTCACCCCTGTTGCCATCCTCAAACAGGAAAGAAACCTGAGAATGAAGATGACATGATGAAACGAATAACTGCTGAATTGTTACAATTGGCCAGAACAGTGCAACCTAATAATTTGTTTTATATTGCTGTTGATGGTGTTGCTCCAGCAGCCAAACAAGAACAACAACGTCATCGTAGATTTGTTGCAATTAGTGAAAATGAACAAAAACTTAAATTTATTGGAAGAATTCAATCAGAGATTACAAAGGAAAAGGACGAATTGACTAAGGAAATCAAAGAAAGTGAAGTGGATAAAATTCAGCAAAGAGAAAAGTTATTGGACTCTGCTATTGCAAGGATGGAAGCTAAAAAGAATCACTGGGATCACAATGTAATTTCACCAGGTACACCTTTCATGATGAAATGCATGAGTACAGTTCACCAAGCTGCTAAATTGATTGCTACTGAATTCCCACATATTAAGGTGATAGTGAGTGACAGTAGTGTTCCTGGAGAAGGTGAACACAAAATTTTGAGTTATATGAAGAGAGAAAAGGCAATTAACAGTAAGGAATTCTCTGAAATGCTTCATGTAGTACACGGTTTGGATGCTGACTTGATCATGTTGACATCCTTAATTGGACTTCCAAAGATTTTCAGTTACAGAGATTCGGAAAATGTTAGAATGAATAAGAGAGACAAAGAATTGTTTAACATTTCTGAATTGGGTAGACACTTTGCTAGAGTTATCTATTCTTCAATTGCAGAATTAGACACATCATCGAAATCACAAAATATTGATTGGTCTAATGCCAACTTTGTTTCAGATGTTGTGCTGCTTTTGATGTTTGTTGGTAATGACTTTTTGCCAAACGTTCCTTCACTAGTCATGCACAACCATGCTGCTTCTATTATCATGTACTCATATGCCAAATATTTATTACAATGTATGGAAGAATCTGGTCTTGGGGATAATTTTGATCCAAGACCTCACTATCTTGTCGATTATACAAATAGTTCTATGATCAATATTAAAAATATGATTAAGGCTATGCAGTCAATTAGAGAAGAATCTGTAATTGGAATGTTTGCTAAATTATATCATTCTACTATTAGACATTATCAAAGACAAGAAGATATTTATCAACAACCTTCTTTCATTGAGGATATGAAAGGTTGTTATTCTGGTTCCAATCTTAAATTGCACAAATTTGATAAAATGATGAAGACAATTTCTAAAAACAATGCCTCACACAAACCATTTGAGGTAGTATTCAAGATTTTACGTGAATATTTCAAAAACCATAAGAAAAAGAACTTGAGATCATTAAAGGAACCAGAACAATTGATCAAGGCTTGCTTTTATAATCCTGCAGAAGTAATTCACGAAATTAATACTTCAATTATTTTGAAATATACAGATGAAATCCATCAAGAATACTATCATAAGAAATTTGGAGATTCCTCTTTGCTTTTCAGAAAAACACTAGTTAAAGAATATCTTCGTGGTATTGTTTGGGCTTTCAATTACTATTCCTACAATGATCCACCATCTTGGTATTGGAGATATCCTGAACATTATGCTCCTGTCATGTGTGATATTTTGGATTGTTATGATGAAATTAATGATGAATACATTAAGGATATTACTACTTTTGAAAAGGGTGAACCATTAACAGCTTACCAACAACTTATCTCCATTCTTCCAAAGGAAAGTATGGAAGCTTGTTTGCCAAAGACATACACTGACATTCTTAATAATCCAAAGTTGGATAAGTTCTTCCCAAAGGAATTCGAAAAGGATGGTAACTTTTCTGGTATTGTTTATAAGGCTGTATCATTATTACCTTCCATCGATCTTGATTTGGTTAAAAATATCACTAAGGAAATTGATCCACTCTTATCTGAAGAAGAATCGAGAAAGAACAAGTTTGGTATCGATGTTATTTATACAGCAGTTGATTCAGAAGTTAACAAGAAGCTTTCTACACTCGAAGATAAGGTTGAAAAGGAAGAAAAATTCAAAGGTGATGATACCCTTCTCTCTGGAGTTTTCTCAAAGATTGATACAAATGAAATGGTTTTCGGAAGTGAAGTAGTTGCAAGCGAATTAAAGGCATCAGTCGCTGCTTACAAGTTCAGTACACCTACAGTACCAATTCAAGATGCTTACAAATTTGTCACAACAAATTCAATTCCTAAAGCCAAGTTGGTTTCCACACTCACTAGACAGCTCGGTACATTCAAGCAAGTAGGAGGATTTGTCAGTATGTCTGAAGATCAAGATTTGAGCAATTTGAGTAACAATTTCAGAATCAAGTTCCCAAGAAAGACCACTCAAGGATCAAAGAGAGCTCCTAATCGTAACGAAGATTACAAATCAAATAGACCAAGTAAGGCTTCTAAGAGGGATAATTCCCAAAAGACTCCACACCAAAAGAAGGAATCTACCACAGAGGAATCAAACGAAATGCAGGATGAAGAAAAGTCTATCTCCACTGAAAGAAAACCAATCAGAGCCAGAGTCGCACGTAACAAGAGAGCTGAGATTGCTGAGGCTAAGGCCAAGGTTACTGCTGAAAAAAAGAGAACTTCTGAAGATAGCAATGAAGGTCCAGCCAAAAAGAAGAAGAAGAAGAACAAGTCAACAAAACAAGAAGCCAAGGTTGAAACCAAGACTGAAGAAAAGAAGGAAGCATCTTCATCAACAGAGGCCTCAAGCTCAGCAGCCACTGAAACAACAGCAACAAGTGAGTCAACTGCTACCACCACAGCCGCTGCAGCCTCCGCAGAAAGCAAGACCAAGAAGAAGAGAAAGAGACAAAAGAAGAATAAGGGAGGCAAGCCAGCAACAACAGGAGCTAGCTCATCTACCACAACTGAATCAACTCCTGCTCCAGAAGCTGCTGTTGATGCCAGCAAGAACAAGTTGAAGGAAAGTACAAATGCCAAATTCAAGGCCTTGTTGAGCAAGTTTACTGTAAAGAAGTAAAGTTTAATTTTTGAACTGTAACCACTATTGCCATTCTAACGGCACCACTCGAATCCCAATACCCAAAGAACAATGGAATCATTTCCCATACCAAGTGCCAGTAAGGTAGTAAAGAGAGGAGCATATTGATCAGGTTTCATATTTTCCAGATAATACTTGCCAATGAAATTTTGTGGAATACTGAATTTGGACTTTTTTACAGGATCTGAAAAGTATTCATATCCTGAGCCACACAATGTTCCACTAACTGTATCTCTTCTTCCACTCCCTTTGCTATCCCCAGATCTGTATACGGCCACATCTAAAACAATTTCCATTTCATATTTGAGAGGAGGTTGACGAGGCCAGTAAGTTATCAAGGAGGCCTTTAAGGTTTTATACTCGTTCACAGTATCGTCTTTGAAAATCTTGGCGGCAATATACGTATTGTTAAAGAAATCATTAACAAATTGTTTAAAAAATGTTGATTGCCCAATAAATTTTGATTTGAACACATTGGAAAGACAATCTAATGCATTTTGTGTTGGAAACTGAACTCTTTCCAGGTTGGATCTGGAGAGAACAAAATGTTTCCAATCGTGCACTTTGAAATTATCATTTTTGAAAGAGTAGTGAGCTGGTGTTGGATATCTGCAAAAGTAAAGGTACTTCCAAACATCATTAGATTCGAATAGATGATTCCAACTCTTGTCTAATCTCATTAGATTGGCGAAATCGTGAGCCTTTGGAATGTATGATGCTATTTTCATAATAATTTCTATAGGAAGATATTGATTTGAGAGAGTGGCGCCTTCCATATTTGAAACTTCCTTCACATTGTCGTTTTCAAAGTCAATTGGAGTATTTTCAAATCTGAAATCTTTCATTTCAACTCTAGTTTCGAATAATTCTTTGAAAACTTGAGGTTTGTTCAACATTTTGTAAACCATTTCAGCAATCTTCATAAAGTTATCCCTAATAATCGAATAGAGAAAGTTATCAAAATTATATTCAATAGCATTTCTCACCGATTCGAATACCAATTTCTCCAATTCATTCGAATCTTCAATAGCATGCGTAACTGACGACAGTAAATATGCAGCAACTTGTTGTGCAATATAACTCAGTGATTGAAAATTATTTTTCAACAAAAAAGGTTCTTTAAAAATAGCCGAAACTCCAAATGCACTGAATAGCATTTCCTCATTTACTGGACTAATCACTTTATCCACATCCTCTTCATCATTTCTATATTTGTGAAACATGTACTTTTCCAATTTGGTGGACAAACTGTCATTGTCATCATCTTGTAAGGATTTCACAATTCTTTTAGTGAGACGATCGTAATGTACAAGTCCAATAAAATTATTCATTGAATCTGAAAGTGATTCTTCTTGATATTGATCAGATTTTGGAAGAATAAAGTGAATTAGTTCAGTATCGAATATGTGTTTCAACCAATTTTCACTCATAATATTGAATTGTAAATGTGATTTCTTGATAATTTCCAATAATTGTAATGGAGCAATTCCACATGAAGAATCCTTCAAACCCAACGGAAGTTTCTCCACTTCCTCCCTATCGACTACATTATTCGAAAGTTCTAAATATTTCATCAAATGATATCTATCAGTACAATACTCAATTTCAATAATTTCACCATCAAATTGTTCCAATCGAACAGAAAACTCAATCCATCTCCTAGGTTGACCACCATCCAAAAACCAATCAACAAAATTTCTATTCGATCCATTCCAACTATCACTTTCACAATCTCTTACTTTCAAATTGTAATGGAGAATATAATTAATGGAAACTTGTTTAAATTCTTTGGATTTTAACAATTTAACAAGTGCCTCCCTATTCATACATATTAAATCCCAATCGGATTTTCTGTTAAATCTCTCCTCGGACCATTTCTTGATAATGGTACGTGTCCATGTGGAGTTTCGAATAGATTCGTCTGACGAGGTGGTGATGGGCCATCTCTCTGTGCTCCAATAATGATTTAATGCTCTCGAACCAATTAATAAAAAGTCAAAATTGCAATTTTGTGGTTTTGGCAATTCTTCATAATGAAGTGGTTTTGGGTTTCGGTTGATGATTTCGTCACAATTGCTGATGAATTGAATGAGGTGGGACAAATTAGAGACAGGACCCGAGGTGATATCCAGTTGTTGCATTTTTTTTTGGGTTGTGGGCGGTAATTAAAATAAGTCCATAAATGTAATCACTTTTCCACATTTGTACCAACAATAGATATTTATAAGGATAAATAATGTAATCTGGTGTTATGACATGCTCAAGCTTAATTCATTTACACAAATCTGCATTATTCTCACTCTAATAAATTACTAAGGAGATTGTGATTTCTTATTCAATGATGTATTTACGTTTGGTAAGGAAATAATGTTTCATAGCTTAGAACCATGTTCTAAAGAAATTCTATTTCCTTGATCTTAGCTTTAAGTTTCTTTTTAATTAATACTGCAGGTTTTGATAGAAAAACCCTGGAACACATTATTGTTCAAAAGATTTGATGTCTTTTCTTTCCAACCGAGAAACAATCCAGTTCCAGTCCATATCTCAATCATTTCAACAACCAATCATTGATAAACAACAGTTAATTTTTGATTAAAATGAAAAAGTTTACAAAAAAAAATAGCACAAGATGGGTGTTCCGTTTCTCTTTTCATTTCTGTTGAGTGAATGTCCAGAGATGATCAAGGAAATCATTCCATCCTCATCAGCATCCTCTTCATCCAATACAACAATGACTATTGATCATCTCTATCTTGATATGAATGGAATAATACATACCTTCAAGGACACTAATTTACAAACTAAATTATTGGAACGTCTAGTATCATCGTCCTCTTCTTCATCCTCTTCATCTTCATCAAATAATGAAGAAGTGGAAATTCCGATGACGATGGAAAAATTCATCTTTTCCATTCTGTTATATTTGGAGGAGGTAATCTATCGGTTTAGACCATCCAAGACATTGATGTTTGCTCTCGATGGATCAGCACCATGTGCCAAGATTAATCAGCAACGTGAGAGAAGATGGGTTTCATTCAATAATCACTCTGGCTTACCAAAGAGACATCATCATCACCATCAGCATGGAAATCATCACGGAGAACAACATGATCTTCATCACGGAGAGGAAAATAGAAAGAAGAAGGAGGATGAATCATTGTTTGATTCAATTTCCATTACGAGTGGAACTAGTTTTATGAAGGAATTATCTGAACATTTGCAGTTTTTCATCAAGAGGAAATTACAAGATGATCCAAATTGGAGAAATATTGAGAATATTATCTTTTCAGATTCGAGTGTGTTTGGTGAGGGAGAACACAAGATTATGAGTCATATTAGAAAAGTTCAACAAATTCCAAATAGAAAGAGTGAAAAATTCATGATTTATGGTATGGATAGTGATTTGATATTACTTTCTCTAGTTACTCATGAGGAGGATATTTATGTGTTAAGAGATTGGATGCCTTCAGTGTCTGATTCTTTTAATCAAGTGTATTCTAGATGGAAAGTTAGAAGAAACTTTAAAAAGAAATCAAATTCTTCGAGTAGAACAGTTGACAAGGACAGATTTGATCACAAGTTTCATTTGGTGGAAATTTCTCTTGTTAGAAAATTAATTGAAAAATATATGAGACAAGATTTGAATTCTAGTATTGAATTTGATTTGAATAGAGTGATTGATGATTTCATTCTCATGTTGTTTGTTTGTGGAAATGACTTTATTTCTTCACTTCCAACTCTAGATATTGGAAAGGACGAAAATGCACTTGGTTACCTCTTCAAAGTTTATAGAACTCTATTTTCAACTGTCTTTAAGGGATGCTACATTACCAACTCTTCAAATCCTTCAGAACTCATCAATTTGGAAAGATTAGAAACTTTCATGCAAGTAATTGGTCGTCTTGAGGTGAGAGTTCTCACAAACAGACTCAAGAAGGAGCTTCAATTGATCAATGAGAAGAAATCAATAGAGGAGAGGACCAAAGCTAAAGAGCAGGCCAGTACCACCACAACAGCAAGTGAAGAAGAAAGCAAACCTAAAGCCGGTCACCAAAATGATAATGATCTCGAGGTTGTTAAATCCGTTGTCAATACTGAACATTTTAAAAATCTATTGGCAATGATTGATTTAGACAAGTCACTCGCTCTAAATTCAGATATTGAAATGAAGAGGTTCCTCATGCTCTCTTCCATCACTGCTAGCGTTTCAGGAAAATTCACAAGTACCTATATTGCTAAGAGTAATATCGACTCTGAAATAATGTTCGACATTCCATTTAAACAACCTCTCAGTCTGTGCAGCTTACTAATTCGTATCAATAATTCTACACCAAAAGATTTGGAAGGAATTTCCATCAAATTATTTATTAATCAAACTGTAGATTTTGTTTCAATAGACTCTCACAAGATAAATCAAGAATTCAAAGGAAAAGATTTAATAGAATCCATTCAAGCAAGTGGATGTGAACTCAAATTGAAACTCAGTGCTTTCCAAAATGTGAGCAAACTCTCAATTATTATTGAGAATCAAGTCAACACATCCATGCAAACCTCAGTAGAACAATTAGTAGTATTTGGAAATGTATCAACCAAGACTGGAAGCAAACTTGTAAAGGTTTCAAAGAAAAATTACAAAAAGAAAGATTACAAGCAAAAGACACATAATTTGAGCTTTGAATTCCATCAAGAGGAGGAAAGAGTCAAGAAATTCAAAGTATTGACATCTAGCATTTCACTCAAGAAAAAAGAAGGAATGCCACCTCCACCCTATGTTGATATGGAAAAGTGGAAAGTTAATTATTATAGTAGAAAGCTCAATATCACTTATGATAGCTCCTCAAAAGGTGGAGGTCCTCAAGTGAGAGAACTTGTCAAGGAATACCTCAAGGCAATGTACTGGACCTTTTATTATTACTACTTTGGAGTGCCATCTTGGGAATATTCCTATAACTTCCATTATGCTCCTGCAGCTAGTGATTTTGTAAATTTGAAAGAACTCTTCACAGAAATAACCTTCCACAAGGGACTTCCTCTGAATCCAATTGAAAGCTTACTTGCAGTGATCCCACTCCACAAAATCAAACTCGTGCACGAGTGTCTTCACACCGATCAGGAAAAACAAGTTCTCTCCCAATTGATCTCATCTCACACCTCGACAATTTATGATTTGTACCATAAGAAGAGTAATCATACGATTGAGGAAGATTTAGATATTGATCCAAATGATGAAGGATTGAAAAATTCATTGAAAGATCCATTCTATCACTATTCCAAGATGGTTGTTCATTTACCATTTGTAAATATTGAAAATCTTAGAAAGGCATGTCATTCTCTATTGATTTCACAACAAACAAGAAGAGAAAATACGAAACAGCCAAATAATTTATACTTTAAATGGATGTCAGATTTGGAAAAGGGAAGATTAGTCAAGTCAACTCTATCAATATTACCAGATATTATTGATTCACAAGTGAACGTCGTTCTGGAACCTTTCGAAACTGACAAGAACGAAATCATCCAAATTAATATTAACTAAAATAGTATCTTTACATTTTTAAATTTTACTCAAATTTGGAAAGGTTGAAAAAAAATGTCTTGCATTTACACCTTCATTTCAATCTTTCTTGTTTCCCTCATTCTAATAGTTTCCTTCACCACCCTCCAAGTCCTAGCAACAGGTACAATATGTGTTACCACACTCAATGCAAGTCCTTCTCTTCATCAAACTCAACAATTAAATCTATTCGAAAGTAGAGCAACAAACTGTTTATCCCAACTTGCAAAAACCGAATTGGCCAGAATATCTTTGAAAAGATTAACCTATCTAAAGAAACCTCCACATCTCTCACTCTCACACCCACTTTCACAGTCAACATTCAACAAGTTTTATCTCAGTCATGGGAAATATCTGGAAATTTCTGAAAAATTGAATGAAATGGTTCGGGAAAAATGTTCCAACTCTCCAATTATTGAAGAGCAATTGAAGATGATTGATTATTTAGTTAGCAAGATTAAACGTGTGCATTCCAAGTTTAGAATTTTCCCAAATAAGAAATCAAACAAATTTAGTAATTATTCAATTTTTTACAATTACTTGTTGAGATATCCAAAAATAGATGAACAATTATTCGTTGGTGAACCTCCAAATCCATTGATTGAATCCGTTAATTCTCCCTCATTTCCAGTTTCTTGTAAATATCTAATCTTTGATCGATTAGTTTTCAAAGATGCTCTCCATTTCTTTAGTCCAATCATATTCGATTCCAACGTATCTTCCAAATCCTCCCTTGAAGAAGAATATTTGAAAGTTTTCAATCATGAAATCAATTCTGTTGATGTGAGTAAGAATTGCATTGATTCAGGTGGTAGAATTGGAAAAGTTGATGTTTACAATGAAATTTCAAAATATTTCCCTCAGAGAAATGTTATTGGTCAATTAATGGCATTGAATAGAATTAATTTACCTGAATTTAAACAGGATATTTCAAATCTTGCCAATTTTTGGTTTGGATCTCAACAAACTGTTCAATTTCCAATTAAGGAATATGAAATTCCAAAGACTGAATTTGATAGGCATAGATCCTTGAATAATTCTAGAATAGTAACTGGAAAGGTGGAAGAAGTGACCCCAAATCTAGAGACAATCAGACAAGCACCAATTATTTCACCTCAAGTAACTGTCACCCATCATAATGAAGGAATTAATCCATTGAAAAGTGCAAGTGCTCAACCAATTTCTATGAAATTCTCATCCAAGAATTTTCAAGATTGGTTTACTGGCATTTCCATTATTAGACAAGCTAAAACCTTGTTGAATTTCCTTTACAGAGATGTGTACTTGAGTACAGTTTACAAAACTAGAGAGTTTGTTATTTGGTTAGTGAATGGTATTGACTTTTCTCAAACACAACTGGAAGAAACTAATCCATTCATGTTGGATAATCCATATGTTTCGTATATTTCACACGCAATCGTTTCGGTTGCTTTCACATTGCTAATCATGATGTGTCTTCCATATGCTAATTCCATTTCATTTATCATTTTCCTGGTTTCTGCCCTCAGTTTCGAATCACTTTCTCTCTACTACATGTTCTTGGATAATTCAGATCGAATGCATGTCGAACAGAATCACATTGTGAGAGGTGAAAAGATGTGGCTCTTTTATCAACTCTTGAATTTCCTGTACGTTCCAATGATTAGTATGGTATTTTGCAAGAATAGAAATGCTGCTTTTATTCCAACAGCTTCTTGCTTTATTCTATCTAATTTGTACATGTACAATAGTATTGCAATGTTTGAGTTTTTCAATCAATTGGCATTTGTATCAATGGCTCTTGCATTACTGAGATCTATTAACTTTGGTGAGTTCATTGTGAGGGATGTTGTTGAGACAGTTCAACAAGATTTGGAAATTGACAAGAGTAGCATTGTTAGTAATAGAGAGGCATTTGAACTTGTCAAGCAATATAATGAATCAAGAGAAGCACCAACCAAAATATTCATAGATGAGAGAGCAGCAGATACCCAACAAGGAAAACCAGCTTCAACCTATGACATGTTCATTCATGAGTTTAGTCATATTCCAGTGAAACCTGTCGTTTCTACCATTGTAGATGCCTTGTTAGGACCAGTAGATGATTTGGATGTTTCAGAAATGACCAAAGAAATGCCTGGATCACCATGCCCAACCTATTCAGAAGACATAAGGGAATAGAAATTTGTATATACATTGTTTAATAAATTAGTTAGGTTGTTATTTGGTAGATTTTCTATTGTCTTCAGCAAATTGCTTCTTTTGTTGACTAATCTTGTCTGTATAATTCATAATTTCTTTTCTCAAATCATTACCGAGTAAATCACTTTCGAGAATTTGTTGTAATCTCTTATCAGGGAATCTGGCAAGAGCTTTACCATCCATCGTTGATGGGAATTTGTGAATATGTTTCTTGAACTTTCCTTTTTGAACAGTACCAATCCATTCTATAACTTCTTCGTATGTCATCTTGGCAATTGGTTTCAATACATTGGCTCTCTTCTGATAAGGATCTGAACCTAAAACATCTTGGACGACAATCTTTTCTCCATCTTGACTAACTTCATTACTCATCATGATACAGGTGTGTTTCAAGGTACCAGTTGTGTGCTCTGAATCACATGAGAGTGGTGAAACTGTAGCAATGACAACAGTGTGTGGTCTCTTTTTCTTTTCTTCGAGATCGAAACAATCCTTCAGTAATCTTGTAAGCTTTGATCCTCTGTATGGAATATGAACTTTATCACCTTCCTTATTCAATGCAACACATCTAATAACTTCTTTCAAAGCCATGAGAGAGCTGTTAATTTGAGCAGTTTCCTTTAGTCTTTCTGCATCATGTTCATTCGAGTCGTTATTTCTTTCGGAACCTGCCAAATCACATAAAGTAAGTCTGGCATACTGTTTGCCTGTTTCAGCATTTTCAATGTACACTCTACAAATGTAGTGAGATCGTGATGAGTTTGAGTTGACCTTGGTGGCGTGTGTTTCTCTCAATCCAGCAGCATAGTTATATAATTCATTCAATTCGGATCCACTTGTAAGGGCACACAATTTGTTACCACAAATAACAACATCACCAGTTTTACCATCTCTCAATTGAACTTCTTGATGGTCACTAAGCAAGTCAAAACAGTTTTCTCCAATAAGTTCAATGCAGGTTGCAGTAACGCTGTATGTACCAGGTAATTTAGCAATAAGGGAAAATAATTCTTGTGACATCATTTTAACCAATCCTGTAATAGTGTAGGTTTTACCACTTCCTGTTTGTCCAAAACAGAACATAGTACCAACATTACCAGCGGCAACAAACTGTATCAGTGGCTTGACTGCAGACTTGTAAAGTTCATCTGTGGTCGACTTCTCTCCGAAAACTTCGGTGTTAGGATAAGGGAATTTAAAGGATTCAACATATGCCAATGAGGGTTTCATTGACGGGTGCATTCTACAATCGTGAACAATAATTTCATGAGGCCTACATGTAACAACATCATATTCTCCTGCATTAACTTCCCTCTCAAATGTTGGTCTTTTTCTTATGTAAACCTTAACAACCTCATCAGATTTTTCTGAAGAAGGAGACACAGCCATATCTTCCACCATTCCGTTCCTATAGTGTTGAATTAATTTCATGTAGAGTTCGGCATGTTCTCTTCTGTATGATCTTTTATCCATATTCTGGCCCATTTTTGCGGTTTCTCTGTTGGTGGTTCCTTGATGATGGTATTTTTTGCTTTTTTTTAAAGTTTGTATTGGTGGAAGGCGCCAAGTAATTACAATTTGGCGGGAAACTATTCAAGCATACAAAATTGTATCATGTTTCAGCAGTTAGCTTCAGTTATCATGACTGATAAAATATAGTGGCCATTTATTTAATATATTAATGAGGAATTTATTCAACAATCATTATAATCTAAGGTAAAATTAACATTGTTCATAGTTTTGGTTTTCAGGGTGTGAGCATTGAAGGAAAATTTGCGCCCTTAATGAGCCCGCCAAAAAAATACAAAAATCAGTTTATCAGAAATTTAAAAAAAATGTTCAAGCACGAGACTAACCTCTGCTCAAAAATTAAGGGTGCTTGCATTGTTTCCCGAACAACAGAACAGGAGGACTACCCATGTAACAGTATATTGGCCGATGATGAAGAGGATGAAATTTGGATCACCGATGTTGGACTTCCACAAGACTGTACAATTCAAGTGCCTTTGCACTCGTATCCAGTCTCGTGTGTTGGATGGTATTGCAAGAAGAGATATGTTTTCAATCCAAAGAAAATTAAACTCTTCATTTCACGAAGTAGGGATGGTCCTTTTATTCATTGGTCAAGTCTAAGAGCTGAGGAAAATACTTCACTTCATCTTTTTTCTATTCAATCAATACCAGCAGATTTTTCCTTCTTTAAATTCTCGGTTAGTGAAACTTTTGGAGGAAATCGAGTTTACCTTAATAAGATATTCATTCTCAGAGATATGCCATCCTCAGTACCTGAAAATACTGAAATCAGATCCATTAATGACTGCCTCAGAGAATCGCCAACCAAATCTCCAACTTCATTCTCACCCATTAAAAGTGCAAAGGCTTGTACAATTGAAATGCCATCATTTAACCCAGCTTCTTTCACAACAGACGAATTATCCAAAGAATTAAGCGCCAAATATGACGACCTCATGTTTAATATCAGTTCCAATGAATCAGGTTTATTTAATTTTGATAATTATAATAATGGAACAGTAATGCTAAATTACAGTAATGTTTCACTTAAAGAAATCTCTAGTTCTCCCCTTGTATCTATTCCAACATTTAAGAAATCATCCACAGCAAGAAGCAACCCTCTAGCTGCATCCCTTCCAAACTTTAAAAAATCAGAGATTGAAAAGCCACACCTCATCTCTCCAAAGAAAGAAGTGGTTACCAAGAGGGAATCACAACCATCAACGAAAACCTCCCCTCTCAAAGATGTCTCTAATCAAATTCAATCCGCAATCATTACTACCACCCGTGCCCAGGTTGAGGAAAAGAAAAAGTCTCTAGGAACCGCCACTACTAGACCTGCTTCGGCTACAATAGCAAAGAAAGATCAACAAGTTAATAAGGAAAATCTAATCCTCGAAGAGAGACGACAAAGAGCTAAACTCAAAGATGCTGCAGTTCATAAAACAAGAAAGAACTTGGAGGAGCTGTCTGAAAAAGTCAATGAGATTAACAGGCCAACTAGAACGAGAACATCCCTAGGTGGATTCAAAGATGTAAATACCAACGATAAGAAGATGGAATCTATGGAAAAGGAAATTGAAGAATTAAGAAAAAAGGTGGCATTCTTGGAAGGCAATATTGAAACAGTTGTGAAAAAAGAAGTTGAGGAATTTAAAACTAAATTCTATGAAAAGGTTGGAACTAAAATTAAGAATTCCCTGACCAAGATTGAACAACGAGTTGCAAAAGAAAATTATCGATTGATGGACGAAAGAATTCGTACACTTACCCATCAATCAGAATGTAAAATGTTTGATTATATGAGATCCCAAATCAATTTGTTGAAACAGCAAGGAGATGTAAGAAGTGTAGATAATGTTAAACCAACAAATAATTCCATAATTAATGATTTCGATACCTCACTGAATTTATCAACGAGTGAACAGGTTATAATGTTAAAAAAGCGTATGCAACAGTTACATTAATACAATATTTTACCTCCCTGTAAAAAGATTGGTAAAATCAAATTACAAAAATATGAGTTATTGGAGTGTACATTTATCCTTCTTTCCTCCCTTCTTCTTTTTCATGTAGTTTTCTATGACAACTTCTATGCATTGTTCAAATACATCTTTCAGTCCTTCTTGAGTCTTGGCACTACATTCTAAGAGACGAGCAGCTCCAGTCTTTGTTTTAACTTTTTCACCATCAGATCTACAATCTCAATTAGATTATTGTAATTGAAAATCAACTCACCTTGGAACACATTTATCCTTTTCCTTTGGGTCATTTCTCAAGTCCAATTTGTTTCCAACAATGATGAATGGTACACCACCTGGTCTATCTTTAGTGTGTTCTTTAATTTCAGGAACCCACTTCTTCGTAACTGATTCAAGTGAATCCTTATTAGTTAAATCAAATACAATAACAAAAATGTGAGTGTCGGGATAAGATAACGGTCTCAATTGATCATACTATTCAAATGTTAAAAGGCACGGAACATCACCATGTTTACTTACTTCGTCAGTACCAGCAGTATCCCATAATCCCAATGTGACAGTTTTTTCCTTGTAAACTACGTTAGCTGTATAATTGTCTGTATATTCAAAAATTCATCAAAGTTGTTATTGAATTAGAAAAGAATTATGAATATTATAATTATTTGAATGACTACTAACCAAATACTGTAGGGTTATACTCTGTTGGAAATTCGTTATTACTGTTGATGATATTTGTTGTTAAAAAGCACAATGATGACACATGTCATTCATTATAATGTTGAAGTGTGGTGGATAATCAAGAATTTAAATATGAAAAATTCCAAATATCTTACCTGTATGAAATTAACATGCATGTTTTACCAACACTCGCATCACCTAATTTTTAAATATTTTGTTATTAGTTATTGGTTGTTATTTGAATACAAATATTTCATCATTCACAAACCTACCAACAACAATAATCTTTAAAGAATTATCATCAGAAAGTTCAAAATCGTCAACAGATTGATCAGTCATTTAAAGTCTAGAAGTAGCTGAGGGTGTGTAGTGGAAAGGAGTTGGCAAGTACTCGAGTTTTTGTGTCCTCTAGCAAGGGAATTTTTTTTAAATGGTGATTGACAGATGATGCTGGTAAAGAAACGAAGAAAAAGGCCACGAAGATTTCTTTTATTACCTCTCTATTCCAAGTCTAGATGAGCATTGAGCCGAAATGTAAACATTATCCAAAATTTGTTTCATTGTAAATTAGAGATAATTATTTAAATTAATGGTTAATTTTCACATTCGAATAGATCTATTTCAAATATGAGTGAACCTTTTCTAATTGTAAAAGGAATAATTAAGATTTATTTAAAAATGAAAGGAACAATAGTAACCCTGTAAAACTCAAATGAAGAAACTGTTAAATATTTGAAATTTTAAGAGTGACAATTTCAAATGATGTTCTCTAGCTAGAGGTGAGAAAGATGAAGAACAAATTGATGCAACTGATGGGCAGAATTCTTTAATACTCTTGAGAAATGAAACATTCTCCTATCAACTACAACTCGTTTAACAATCCTTGATATAATGCTATTCATTTGTGCTATTTCAGCACTATTTAAAATATTTTCAAATAGATAACCCACCATTTTCCTTGAGTGTATCCATAAAACCAGAATAAAGAGGATCATCCTGTGGCTCCTTGAAATCGTCTTCTGGATGTTCGAACATTTTCAAACTATCTGCATAGTAATACTTGGCACGTTTAGCAACGTTTGATTTAACTAGTTTTGGTGGTAGAAAACCTTTGAAATCAGCTCCAACGAATTGTATATATCTAGTGTGAGTTCCATTCAAATCTTGGAAAATCCAACAGCCAACATTCTTTGCCTTGACAGTTTTTTTGAGCTTGACAGCTTTATCACTTTCACACGACCTCAGACATAACATGGTTGAATTATCGGTCAAATCATTGAATACAGCACAGGCAAGAACCATTTCTCTTGATTGGAAAGGGAAAGGAAAATCATAAACCTCTTGTGAGATGCAAGTTGCCAGATTTTCGTTATCTTCTTTAGGGAAATAATCAATCTTTGAAAGCATTTTAGTATTCTTATCAAACTTGAATCTGAGCTTTGAGCTGAGAAGTGTGTTGATGACAGCTTGTTTTGGATATGGGAATGTAATCTCATACTTGAAAAAATAAACACCCTTATTAGAAGAGTTTGACTCTTCCTCGCCTAGTAAGTATTGATTGTTGGATAATGACACTATATAATTGGATTCTGTTATAATTGGTGTCCATATAGATGTGTTCTTTACCACTAGATGTTTGATCTGTTTTGCTTGTTTGACAGTAATTCTTGGTTTGCTCATTTCTGTCACTAAACTTTCAACAAATGATGTATGAGAGAAAGGTTTCATTTCTGCAATCTCTGCTAAATGTATCGACCCCTTATTGGTAATAAATTTTCTAAACTTTTCCCATTCCAAAAATTCCAAAAATTGACACTCTTTCAAATTCAAATTTAAATAGCTCTCGATTTTTTTAAACTCGCTCAAAATATTAGAAATGATTGAAACAATTTCATCATCTGCAAGTTTTTCTCTCTTGGATTCGTATTCTTCCATTATCTTTGTGGTTGGCTCATGTAAATTGAGTGGTAAATTCAATTCCATAGAAGAATCAAATGCAAAGAAGCACTTGTATAATTCCTCGATTGTTTTCAGAGTATTTCTATATTGTTCCTGCTTGTCACTGGCTTGATCGCTTATTGACTTAAATGCTGATTTCAGTTCTCTAAATTTCAGTACGAAAAGTAAGCTTTCAGAAGTTTTCTTCATTGTCAAAAACTTGAGAAAGAGTTGACTTGTTTCTCCATTACTAATGACCTTCTCGTATGTAAAGAGATAGTCATTGAGATCAATTTTGTGATGATTCTCCTTCTTTTTCTTTTTCTTTTCTGATAATGATGTGCTCGTACTCATTGACGAAGAATTGGAAACATTATCACTTGAAGTGGATGGTGAGGTAGATTTTGAATTCTTCTTTCTCAATGCCAATTTTAATAAACCTGTCAGTGGAGATGACATTTTAGGTGAGGATGATGTTTGTGGTGAGGATGGTGGTGAAAGACTGCTTTCATATCTACTCGGAGATGATGTTGAATGAATATTATTTGATTTTGTACTAATTGCGGTTTGTCCCTGACTACTAGTAATACTACTATTAGTTGATGAATCTGTATTCGAATCTTCATCCTCTCCATCATCTTCTAAAATACCCATATGCTCCTGAATAGCCTTCATTGAATTAAATTGCATAGAGGTAATTCTCTGATGACGATTATCCGTATGACTCAATACAATCATTGGTTGATTAGGTGATGAAGAATTGGATGATGAAGAAACTCCATCAATGGAAGATGAATCTCCTCCGATCATCACGATAGATGGCAAATCCAATGATGGTAATTTACTTTCATCCATAAAAACCACCTCCCGTAATGGTTTTCTTGTTGTTGTACAAGTTGAGGAAGACGACAAGGGTTTCATCTCAGTGTTTCTTTGATAATAGTATCAATAATATTTAAATATCCAATGTTTAAACTCCAATGCAAACAATATAATTCAGTGTTTTGATAATGATGGTGATGATGAACCTTTCAGATCTTAGACTTTGAATTTATCCACTTTGAGTCGGGCAACAAATAGCTGTTGAAAGTTGTGGTTGTCTGCCTTCTGAGTTGAGAGAAGAGTTTCGATGGTTTTTTTTGAAAAGTTTTAAAATCCGCCTCACTGTGATTTTGGTTGTCTTGCTAAACAATTTTAAAAATTATAGACATATCGGTCAAGACGTTTGTGATTTCGCTTCGGAGACACCCCTAAGGAAAATAGCATATCTAAAACAGATAAAACATTATAATAAATGAATCAATAACGAATCTGTTCTTTAAGGACGAGTTTAATAATTTAATTGTAGTTTGGGCGCGGTTAAAGTAATAGTATCCATTCTACTGTAGTTAGAGATTCCATTTGGATGACAGCCATATTTCGAATCTATTAACAAAGATTCCTTTTAAATACGTATGTGTTTTTGATTGTGTCGGTTTTCATGAAATAACAAAGTTTTGTTGGAAAGTGAACGAAAACAAATAAAGCCATGCACACTGTTTGAACACAGTCATGTTTGGTTTTTTTGTAAAGTTCAACATTTTAATTAACAATTCCTTTTAGACCTTTATCTGCATTAACAGCCAATTGACTTTTTTAGATATATAGCTGTTTGGTGATAGAGTTCGGTTTAATAACCCCTAAAGAGAATCCTTCATCATTTTGTAAACTATAAGGCTGTTTACTGAGAGGTTCATCTAAGGTAGTGGTGCCTTAGTTGGTTTTGTTGATGCATAAGCGAAGAAATGACAATTTAAAAATGGCGTTAAAGGTTCGCATTTTTAACCAAGTCGTTACTCATCGTTCTTTTATGGCTACCATCTCCGATAATTGAATACATTCATCGCCACCATCTTCGCTCTTTTCTGCATCTGATATTATTTAAAAAAAAATATTTTTAAACCTCTGTACCTAATATCTGATATTCAAGAAGCAATTCAGCATTGCGCGTTGAGTATTTTTGCTTGCGGTATAGAAATTTAATCCTACTTGTATAACACATAACAACAACAACAATTGAATTATTCAAACTATTCATATTGTATTATCATTATTATTCTGAGAAGACTCTCTGGTATTGCAAAGATAAACCTCCAAATTTATTGTCATCTAAATGAGTGGTGGTACAGCACAACAATTAAGCACAACTGACGAATATCAATCAACAAAATCCTTTAATTTCTTTGTAAAGGATCCGAAGGTTAAAATCTTTTCGAGCATTGAAAACAGTGTTAGTGCTGCAACTCCCCAAAAGAAGGAAAGAAAGCAAAAAGTGGTTGATGATAACAATAGTAGTGGATCATCCAACAATCAAGTTGGTGGATCAAATTGTTTACTAGACTCTGAAGCTAGTGGATCATTGGGCAAGAACAGTACTTCTGTACAATCAAGAAAGGTTGGCGAACACCATCTTTCACATTGGTTCTTGAAGAAGGAAGAGCCAAAGAAGAACAAGGTTGATCCACAAAGAGGAATTACAAAGAAGAAGAGAAAGAAGCAAATGGTGGATGTTTCCAATGTATTGTTATCTAAACCCATCATGGAACAATCCAGTGTCGTTTTCCAACCTATTCAAACACCTCCGCAACAGCCTTCTGTCTTGTCTCAACAACACTATGCTACTAATGTCTACAATGCTGGTTCTCAAAGTTACCACAATGTCATTCAACCAAGTTATCAACATTCCAACGTTGATAACAATGCACCAAGAGGTTTTGTGCCTTACACACATCAATATCAGAGATGTTCAACTCAGAATAATATGATAACATCTCCTCCTGTTGATCCTACTCCATATAATGGTCCTTATTCTCCTCCAAACTATTCAAGAGTATCATCACCAGAGCAAAGGTTTGATGGTGTAAGCGGAAGACCATGTTATGATAATATCGGTCCCTATTGTCATTCACCACTCTCAAATTCAACTTGTTCTCAAAAGCAATTCCCAGAACCAACAAAGGTTCCAAGTCCAATCCAACAATGTGTTTCAAGAATTGCTCCTCCTCCATTTGGAGGAATCTTTGAAAAGCCATTTGAAACATTGCCACCTCTTTCTGCATTATTGACAACTCCTCCAGAAAGATCAACACTTGACTTGTATGCCAAGCCACAACCAGCAAATGTATTGCCTTCTCTTTCGTGTTTGTTGTATAACAAACCAGAGCAATAAATTGGTCACGGTTTTCTAGAATTTGTCAAATTTCTTCTTTGTTAAACTCTATCTCTCTTACTGAACATGTTCTACTCTACAGTTGTGCATTATTGTTTGTCACCAACCTTTCCTTAGTTTTCTCATCAACCAAGCTCTACCAATCGTTCACATAGACTTTTTATGATCTTTGTCGAAGGATTAATTCGAAATTGTTACTGTTCGAATAAGGTGCGAACCAATAATTGAATTTAAGGACAATGGATAAGACACTTCAGAAAGAATTTACATCAACTCTTAAATAGTACTTGACAACTTTCGAATAGTTTCTCTCTGCCGAATAACTGTAGTTCTGCTTCTCTCCCTCTCTAGAGATAGGTATTAAACCAATTCGATACTTTCTATTTTAATTATTCGAGCGATTCACTTGCTGTTCATGATGCTTTCACCTTATCCATTTCAATCAAGACTTGTCTTTCTATGGACATAATTGGACTACACGAAACATTTCATGCTCATGAAGTATTTCAACACCATTCATGCTGCATTATTAACAAAACTCCAAGTTATCTAACAGCTTTAAAGAGACAAATTCAACATCTACTAACAAAATATTAAAAAAAAACCGCGAAAACAAAGCCTTTGAAAATTACTCCAATAGCAAAATGACCTCTACAGCATCAAGTGCATCATCAGTGAATGGTATTAATCACCAACAAGTACTCTCACTGAAAATGAATCAGATACAGCAACAACAGGGAGGAGAGGCTAATATTTCTCATCATACTGGAAAGAAGGTAACGAAGGAGGAACGATCAATTTTCAAACACTACTCATTTGATATGGAGAGTTGTTTGAGTGCATCGACGATGGAGGCCAATGATTCATCCTCAGTTTATGCTCAACAAACGATATTGTCCTTGTTTAAACACTTTCTGGAAAGTGATAGTGATGGTAGATATATTCCTCTTCTCTCATTGTATTTGCAAATGAAACATAATCCATCTTATTATGATAACTTGTTATATGCTGAGAAGAAGTGGGAGATTGAATGCTTTTTGAAACATGATGCCTTTCCAAGGTTTATTAGAACTGATGCTTTCAAATTGCACATTATCAATCGATTGAGGAGTATTAAGAAGAGTAATTCTTATTTGACATCTCCTAGAAATACTGAGAGTTCAACAACGTTGAGCATTCATTCTGACCATTTTAATAATTTGATTTTGGGAAGAGCTGCAGCACACTCACCTGCTAATTCATATTCTGCAACTCAATCGAGTATAGATGATTCGACATTTATTGGAAGTACAGATTCTAATGCCATTCTAGACATTAAACTTTCAGACGAATCATCACTAAGTTCAAGACATACTGATACGGAATATTCAACACTCAAAGATACTTCGAAATTGGATGGAGAACGGGAAGGAAATTCATTTGCTATTACCAATCACAATTCAGATGAAGATGATGAGGAAGAATCAGCTGATACTAACAGTACAGCTACTTCAACAAGTGGAGTCAGTTTCAATCATCACCACCACTTTGAAAATAGATCACATAGAAGAAAATCCAAGGATAATATCTTCCTCTTATCGAATAGAAACGTTTCAGAATTTCTCAACATGTTGGCTATACCAGTAAGGTCTGAAAGAGAATCATTATTCAAATCTCTTGCTGAAATGAAATCATCACTCTTCCTCTCTGAAGAACACATGAACTATATGAACTCATTAATGGCTGATTCACCGGATTGGGATATTGTATATACCATTCCTTCAAATATGGAGGCAATCAATTCCAACAAGTGTATTCCAAACCATGTACACAAGGATTACTTGTCAAGAAATGGAGGGACATTCACATTTTCAATGATCTCCAAGAATGTAAATAGAAAAATTCATCATGATCTCCCACTAGATAAGACCTCAATCTGGAAATATCACAGTTATCTTCCATTCACTCATCATGAAGTATTCCAAATGTTGGAAAAGAACCACTTTATTATTTCAAAGAAAAAGAAGAGTAAGGACAATCAACTTGGAACTGATTTGTTAGACCCTCACTTTAATGTACATGGAGGAAATCGTCAGTTTTATTGTTACGATGAAATTCTAAATGTTCCAAGTAGTAGTGGTTCTTCATTATTCAGCAGATTCAGTGGTTCTAATGGAAAGGAGCTCAATATGCTTGCTACAAACTTTTATGATTCTCAAAGGAGTGAATATGTTGTCTGTGTAAAATCTGAAGGTTACGATAACTCTAGTATGGACGTAATTGATAACACTTGGGGATTGAAGATTATGAAAATTACCAAGATTACTAACACTCTTACTAAGCTTTCAGAATGTGGTTGTATGTATTTTGGTGATGCCAATACTAGAGATTTCTTCCTTTCCAACCTTGTAAATACCTCTCAAAAGGATAAGAAAACGTTCATGTACAATGCCTTAATTCTTGGTTGTTTGGAAATCAAGATGGAAATTTCCCAAACCTCCAATTCTAAACTCTCTCAACAATCCATCTCTAAAACAATTTCACCAATACGTGCCAAATGTTTAACAATGAATGGACAAATAATGAAAAATAAAGCTGATTAACATGTTATTAAAACAATGTCATTGTATAAAGTGGAGGTGTGTGAATTGGATTGCCAACATAGATATTAACAGTTTGTTCAATTATATTGACAATAAAGGTAGCCAAAGTCTTTCCCTTATCTGGGTGATTGCTTGTTCTAAAGATTGGATATTCCTTGTCCTCTGTATCTCCCAACAATTGAATAATTTCATTCTCTGATATTATATTGGAATGACACATTGCTCTTGCATATCTGTGCCTGGAGCTTGGGACTTCCTCCTCTGGAATATTCATCAAGTGCAAATAATGATTGACATGTACATAGTGAGGTTGATCTGAATTATTTCTCTTAATTGGAATAGAATATTTAGAAACTTGCTTTTCTTTACCATCAAGAGAAGGAGCCAACTCAATATTAGCCATTTGATAAAAATCATTCACGTCATCCTTAACAATAAATCGAGTTGAAACATTGGTGGAAAATCCTGATGAACTAAGAAGGGCATATTCTTCCAACCTTGTGTGAACCTCCTCAATACTCTTTGATTCGTACACATATCTATTAATGAAACATCTTGGTATTCCACAAGATTCTGTGAGGGTTTTCTTTGGTGATTTTCCATTCGTTCCAAAAACCAAATATTCATTCCATCCAAAAGTATTTCCTCCAATTGTTCCAGGATAATGATAGGCAACCATACTCCTAACAACAGATCCATTCTCCTCCAAATAATTACTCTTCACAATATATGAATATTCGCCCATACTCTTATCAGCATCTTCATTGTGAGCCATCAATGCCCTTTCCATTTCACTGGTTTTACAACAGACAAACACTTCAGAGCATCCTCCAACTTTTGTCGTCTTTTTATCCTTCAATCTTTCATCGTGCAATATTTTACCCCTCAATTCATTCAACATGTTCAACATGAAGAGCCACTCGAATGGTTGCTCTGAACCTGCAGCTAATCCACGAATTTCCTGAACATATTTCGGAAAGTGCTCATCAACAAGTTGAATCCAAGGTCTCAACAGTGCATAATGATCACCTTCGGAAGATGTTGATTGTGCCTCTTTTTCAATTCTTCTTGACTCATCTTGATCATCTTTCTTTGATAATACATAGGGTAAATAAATTGATTGGAAGGGAAGATCGGATCGTGTCAAATATTCATTGATTTGATCTTTAAATTGTTTTCCAATGCAGAGACCAACATTAAAGTGTGTTGATCCTTCACTTGGTGTTTCAAAATAGGGAATTTTGTATGAAAAATTACAACTCTGTGCTGTAGACATTTTTTTTTGAAATTTGTAATTTAATTTTACAATGAGAATTTAATAATATTTAAATTTTAGTTAGTGTTAATAATATTTATTGAAGAGGCAGTATATTAAAAAGCAGAATCAATAATATTAAGTGTTTGCTTAGAATTTAGTTCTGTCAGGTGTAAATAATTTAGATCTATAAACATTATTGGCTATTTGATTAATTTCTGACTGGGTAGTGTCTCTAGGGACTAACATTTTTATGCCCTTCTTCTTGGTGTTATTACTAGCTGAATTGGCTGCAAATCTCTTTCCTTTGAGCTTTGAATTTACTCTATCAATATTGGTTTCAGTTTCATTAAGGGTACCTTGTTTACCAGTGTCCAAATCAATTTTACCATTTAATCCAACACATCTTGGAACGGATTCCACTTGTCCATCTAAATTAATAACATCGACAGTTAGGCTAACTTGGGTGGTAGCATTTGGATACCAAACACAGGAATCTCCTGGATATGGACAAACTTGGCAGAATTTTGTACTGCTTACACCTTGACTATTTTTACCAGCTCTTTTCAAGATTTGCTTTGTTTCTCCATCCTTTTCATATGTAAAATGATAATTTTCAACAGTTGACCAACCAAACAAAAGACAAAGCAACTCGTTGAGATTCTTGAATAAAATTGTGGCAGAGATGACAAATTCTCTATACACAACATTTTTCGTAGTTGGAGAAGTAATAACTGCTTTAACTTGATAGAGAGCTCTGTAGGCTCTAGTTGACGTTATTTGTTCATCAAGTGCTTCTCTAGTTGATTGATAACCATATTCTGTATAAATTCCAACATCTTCAGGAGGCACAACAGCAGGTGCATTAGAGTTAGAACGAGAAGTAGAACCTCCCATAATTGCACTAAGTGCACTACTTAAATTACTACTTGATGATGCAGTGGATGCTCTACTGCTAGAAGAGGTTGTTGCTGCTCTGCTAGTAGAAGATTTTGAAGATGATTTCCTAGATGAAGAACTTCTCGATGAGGGAATGCTTATTTCATCATCGTCATCATCATCATCATCAGCATATTCATCATTCGGGTCGTAAAAAACATTTCTTGCACTTCTTGTTCCATCAGGATTTTCCGTCACAACACGAGTAATACGAAACACATCTCCATCATCATCGTCATCACCCTTCATTCTTGCCATCATACGCTTTCTCTTCCTCTCAACATCGGCAATAACCTGAAGGAAGAGAGGATCATCATAGGGATCAGATGATGGTGTTGTCTTCTTTTTTGGTGGCATTTTTTTTATATTTTATTTTCAAATTGTTTAGGAAATAAATGGTTTGTGCTTTCATTAATAAAAATTGGATTGCATTTGTATTTCCAAACTAATCCATTAGAAAATATTGAGAAATATTATTGCTATTTAATTTTTTAAATTTGAAAATTGTACCGTTACTCATTTGTTGACAATCACTTAAATTCAATTAGAAAGTTTAAGACTTTATTAGAATCATGAAAGGACAATCATATAATTGAAGTGACAGATTTTCATCAGAATTTCCGAGGCGCTTGAGTATTAAGCACGCAAATTCCGATCATTGAGCGGGCGAAGTAAAACCACAGCGCTCATTTTAATTAACAAATATCCGTTGCAATTCCTTACTCAGCCATTCAATTCAATGTTTTGATTTCCGTAATTCAAAGGAATAGGTTAATACAATGGTGATTTGATTATTAGAAGTTGTTTCTCATAAAGATCCATTTCTTCTTCCTTATCCATTTCAACTAGAGAATTTCACTTTACAATCAATCAGAGAATGGTTGAGTTTCATATTTGGTGCAATGAAATTCAGATACTAGTATCCTCTCACTCTATCAAATAACCAACCAAACAAACAGCCATATAAAAATCCACCCAATATAGCGCCAATGGTGGAGGAATTTAAAGTGCTACGATATCACCTCCCCCTAGCACACATTGCCGACACATGTGAGAAGAAAGAACGTTCTCCAACAAAACACCTCAGCAACCAATTAATAACATCCAACATGATGTTGTTACAGATTTAAATCATTTCGATTTCATTCCGTTGTGGGAGCATTAATCTATTTAGTTTTCTCAATTATTAAAAAAAACACTCTCAATACCACGTCACATTACTAACCATAATCTATCACAATAGACAAATATGATAAGCGTGAATGCTCATAGCAATGCAACTGCTATTGCCTTTGGTGTACATCAACCTGTATTGAGTACCTCCTCCTCCTCATCAACAACAACAATTGCAAGTGGTGGGCAACGTCCTGGCACCAACACCTCCAACTCAAACTTGCTCAAGTCAAACGCTTCAACCTCAACTGCTGCCTCCGAAGAAAAGAGATTACCTGCAAAGTGGCTTATTGTAAACGATCATATTTATGATATGACAGAGTTTGTTGATGTTCATCCAGGTGGCTTTGATATAATTGAGGATTACCTTGGACAGGATGTTACTCAAGTAATGAGTGATGTTTCAATTCACAAACACTCAAAGAATGCCTTCTCAATGCTCAATCAGTATCTTGTTGGAAAGGCCAGTGATTATTTACCTAATTATAAATCAACATTAAGCTCTGAAACAGCTACCACACTGACTCAAGACGCCAATGATCCTGCCAATTATCAACAACCACTGTGTCATCAAGTAGGTTTGATGGGAAAGGATTATTTCCACTGGGTTCACAACACATCTCCTGTTTACTTTAAAGAACCAGTTCCATTATTTCAAAGTGGGCTATTAGAACCATTGTCTCTTACTCCATGGTATGTGGTACCCCTCATTTGGATCCCATTCATTATCTACAATCTCTATATTTCCTCACAAATACACAATTCACAACTCTCTATCATGTTTCTGGGATATGTCACTGGATTTTTAGCTTGGTTTGGTATTGAAATTCTCTTTCACAAATTCTTATTCCACTGGGATTCACTAGGCAAAATGGGTTACTACTTGACAAACATTGCTCACTTCTTACTTCATGGTTTCCATCATAAGGTTCCAATGGATAAGGACAGATTGGTCGTTCCTCCAACATTGATGTGTGTTCTATCTGCACCTGTCTATTTACTTGTCAAGTTTATACTGCCTTCCTATAGCAATTTATTAATTGCTGGTGCATTTACTGGTTACCTCTTTTATGATATGCATCATTATTGGTTGCACCATCAAACTAATATGAAATCATCACTCTTGAATCCAATTTCTTACTATGTCAATTCAGATTACTGGAAGACACTCAAATCACATCACTTTATTCATCACTTTGAAGAGGGAGGTGACTATGTGAACTATGGTATTTCCAATAGAATAATAGACATGATGATGGGTACACTGAGAGAAGAGTATGCAAAATAGGACATTTTGCATTTAAATTTGTAAATATAACTATTCACAACATAAATTATTAATCTAATACATACGCAAATATTTTGCCTGATTTTATTGATCTATAGTTAACCGAAAGGTTTCCGATAACCAAAGAAGCTTGCATTCTCAAGCTAGACTTTGAATTTTTGTACCGTATGTGAAATAAGCTGCTATTCAACTACGATGAAATCAAGGACTCGTGTTCTAAAAGCCCACACAACTTGTCAGAACTAACATTTATGGTCCTGAGGAAGATAACAATCCATGAAACACCTCAAAATATTCCAATAAATCTCTGAATAACCACCAAGAAACTTGATCTCAAACAAAAAAAACAATCAATTAAACAAAATGACCATTGCTAAAGATAAAATTGCTAAAATCTATGGAAAGATTCAAATCGTCGATAGCTTCCCAGATTACAAAGTTCAAGTTGTTAATAATTGGCCTGATCTTAAGGTTTAAAAAGTTTCCAACTGGCCTGATAAACCTGGAAAGTGGCAAATTGTAACAAGTTTCCCTGATTTCAAGATTCAAATTGTTGATAATTGGCCAGATTTTAAGATTCAGTATGTTGACAATTGGCCTGGTTTGCCATAAACTTTCGAATATCAGAAAGTGTGTAAAAGATGTTTATTCTTCATACAGATATTCATCAGAGAAGATGTTATTCTCGAATAATTCATTATCATTAATCAGTAAATCTGAATATTCCTCTAAAGAAGCCTCTTGTGGTTGATTATTCTCAGAAACGTTGCATTTCTCTTGAGAGCTCATCTCATCATGATGCAGTTGCTCTGAGGATATATTGCCATCATTAAATGAATTATTATTTCTGATAGCTGTATTGGCAACTGAACTACTATCACAATCTGATTCTTCTTCTTCTTGTTGCATGGAATCGTCATGTTGTTCATCCATTGCTTCTTGGTGTGGAATTTGATCTTGCTGACATTGCATATTGAGCATTAGGGATTGTTGATGATGAGCATTACAGGCCATTTGTAATGTCTCTAGAATATTGACAGTATCGTTATTGTAGCATAGACCACTTTCGACTAATCCATTGAGAATCGTCAACTTTCCAATATCATTCATGGAAAAGTGTTTGTTCAATAATTGATGATGTTGAATGGATTGTTGGTGGGAATGAATTTCAGTTTGATTATTCTGCTGAATAATTTGCTGTTCATCTTCTGGACTCATCGAGTGAGGAGTTAGGAATGGAGCATAACCATCCATCATTTGTTGGTCAATTGGAGTAAATTGGCAATCAATGGATGATTTTCTATAGATGGGTGATATGGAATTCTCATTATTACCACCAGTTTGCATCAAATAGTCTTGATCTAATGGATGAGATTCATTTTGTGGATGATCATCAAACAATTGACCACTCGTCTCATCACAATTTTCAAGCTCAGTTGGAGGTGAATAATGGGCCAAAAACTCAGGCATTGATAAAGTTCTTCTCGAATTGAGATGATTCATTTCTCTACTTGCACATGGTTGACCCATCAATTGAGACAATGAACCAGATTGTCCATTATTACCTACCAAACTATCACTCTCAGCACCATTCATCATCATAAATTGTTGATGAGTTGCTGGATAGGGTTGTGAAATTGAATTTCTCTGAGAAAATTGTACACGTTTACCTGATTGTTGATAGCTTAATGATTTGTTTGGAGGGTGTGATGAAGAAGGAAATGTCTGATTATCATGATGGGATTGATTATTGCTATTCATGAATGGAGCAGATGAAGTTGAACTACTACTTCCTGAAGTGGAGTTACCACCTGCAGATTGAGGAGTTTTTACATGGTTTGGATCGTAGTGGACAACGAGTGGTTGTTCCTTTCTAGTGTCAATGACAAAGTAATTCTTTTTGAATTCTTTAGTGTTGATTTGTTTTCTTAGCTTTCGAATACCGATTGGCTTGAGGTAGGAGTAGGTGTCTTGAGTTTGTTTGGTTTCGTCTACAAATCTCAATGTATCGTCACTCATGTTTTTTGCTTGTTTCTTTTTGAGAATTGAGTAGCAACTTTATCATTAAATATTGTCAATGCGTTGTGGAATCATCAATCATTAATTTACCTCTTGGAGGCTATTTACCCTATTCAGAAAGAGCTGATTTACAACGTCACTGTAAATTCTAGTAATCTTGTCCTTATTTCAAAATCGAAACTTGATTTATTTGGTATTTGAATTGATTTGAAATTTGCAAATGAGGATTTTTGGAAGTAATTCAAAAATAATGCATGACATTAATGCTGTATGTCTGTTTTGCTTGTATTTCAGCTAACTTGAGAGCAAGCAGTAACATTGTGTGAGGATTTCAACGTTGATTCTTCATTCCGAATTCAAATCATATTTTGTAAAGTATTAAATTATTATTTCCATCTAAATGAATTAATTCTTTTCAGTATTGATCCACTTCCTCATCGCTGAATTAATTTGATTCTCAAAAGGATCAATCTACACTACATCAATTCTACATAGTGATCAACAACACTTTGTAAATTGCAAATGGCATTATCAAAATCTTCCCTTTCCAATCCATGTCTTTCATACCAATTAATGTATGCTCCGGATTGTAACATGGTGTATGACTTGGTCAAAACCCTGTTGAAAAGCTCCATGAAACTTGTTCTATTGGCACAAACAGTTAGAGAGTATGGAAGTTTGTAACTTTTGAGGGCTTCCTCACTGGAAACTACATTGTTGAATTCCTCCTTTCTATCGTACATCCAATCCACAGGAGAGAATGCTTGCTTTTGAAGTACTGATTTGACAATATTCAGATCGTGTGATGTTTGTAAGCCACCTCTTATAAATGTCTTTGAGAATATTGTTCTAATATTTGCATGTCCAATATCATAAATTGGGACATGTTTAGTCAAATCTTCAGCAATATATTGCCATGATGTAAATTGTGCTGCATTATGGGTGATGAGAGCACTGGTATGTAATTCCACAAAATTAGTATCCTTAAGGGGAATAACCTGATTCACAAGTGAGAAAGCATCGAAGGGAGTATGTGATTTGGAGTCCTTATTATATATAGGAAGAAGCATTCCACATAGGCATGACGAGATGTACTTATTAATATCTGAAACTGAATAGCTCACATCCAATAAAGTTGAGTGACCAGCATTATTTCTTTTTGCATTTTTAGTAATTGACCTCAGAATATCATCATTCACAAACAGGAAAACACCATCAGAATGTTCATGGATATGATTCAAAGTGAGCAGGCAATTGTAGTGTTGGAGTGGTGTGTCTCCATGTTGAAATGGAGCAATTGAAACTGTAAAAACGTAATAATTCGGATACTTGTTCCTTATTTCCTCAACAACTCTGGATCCAAAACCACTACCAGTACCTCCACCCATAGAGTGAAACACGAATATTGACTGCACAATGTCACAACACTCAATTTCTCTTCTAATTCTTTCCATTGTTTCCTCCAATAGCGATTCTGTTTCAGAGAGAGCAATATTACTAGTCAAATTCTTAACTTTTCCTTTAAAATTATATCCAAGAGCCCAATTATTACCACATCCACTCTAATTGTTTTAGAATTATTATCATCATCACCATTAAGAATTTACTTACCTCCGAGTATACAACATTCTTTGGATTATAAATTGATAATTTTGATTTCTTTTCTTCATCTAAAATTGATTTAATAACCTTTGGCTCGGCATCAACCATTACTACCCTTGCCTTTGAATAGGTTGTATTGAAATAGGTATCAAAAAATCCCTTAGACTTTTTAGATATCTTTCTATTGAATAATACAATTATATTATACATCAAGTATCATGGAATAATAATTAATATCATCATCACGACTCTATCATCAATTCTTGTTAATACTCACTCTCCATTCAGCAATTTAATAAACTCGTTCCCGACTTGATTTCCAGCTTGCCCGAGAAATACAAAAATACAAGACATTTTTTTTGATTGTTAAGGATGATAGGTTTAATAATTTCCATTGTAAAAATATAATACAAAATTGATAATAGCAATATTAATATATTCATTACAATAAGTTAAATAATATTAAAAAAAAAATGTTTAGATTATTGAACTTTCTATGGCCTTCCAATTCTGAAAAAGTAGAAGAAGAGAATGCCAACAATACTCCACCACTATTGATCGATCAACAACAATTGGAAAGTCTTTCACAATTACAACAATTATTGGAAGTAAAAGAGCAACAACTCTCCGAAAGAGAAGCCAAACTAATCAAACAAGAAGAATTATTAAAAGAGGAGGAAAGAAGGATTAGGCAGTTATTTAGTGAATTATCTGGACGTCCAAGTCTTGATAATGATCAACAAGTTGTTAATTTAAATATTGGTGGGAAAATATTTACAACCAGTTTAGCAACATTGAAAAGTGTGAATGACACCTTTTTTACTGGTTATTTTAATAATCATTTCGATCCAATTATTGTTCCACTTTCTAATAACAATTCTCTATATGATATTGCTTATTTTATTGATAGACCGAGTGAGCATTTTCAATTAGTATTGAACTATTTGAGAGGAATTGACATCAAACAAAAGATTGAAAATCTAAGTAATAATGATTTGGATAATTTTATTGAAGAAGTTGTATTTTATCAAATTACACCTATATTTGATATATTGCCAAGAAGGGGAATTAAATTATTAAAATCAAAATATGATGGAATTGATTATTTGGATTATGTGCAATTTGATAAGGAATACTGTTCATCTAAAATTCAATTAGATTCTCCAACAATAGCTAGAAAACTTGGAAAAAGCTGTAATTTTGATTCATGTGTTTTAGCAATGCAAACACCAACAAATTCATTCAAAGTTAAGCTTATATGTTCGTGTCAGGATGCAATGATAGGTTTTGCTCCTAAATCTTTAGATTTAGACCATAGTTTCTCGAAATGTGGCTATTATTTATATTGTGCTAATGGTAATTTATATTCTCAAAGACGTGATGGTAGAGATGTATATGTAAATTCACGTATTATTGATGGGTCCATTATTGAATGTGAATTAAAAGATGGAAATATTTCATTCATTGTAAATGGAACTAATTATGGTATTGCTTTTAAGGATATTCCACATGCTCCTATACTATGTCCTGCATTCTGCCTTTGTGATGGTGGCAGTACTATTGAATTACTTGACGAATAAAAGTAATTCACAATCTGATTTGATTGTATCTCAGATTGCTTAAATCCAATTAATCACTCTCAGTTATATTTCTATTGAGATGATTTTGAGAATTTCCAAAATGTGATCTGCATCAAGGTGAAACAGTCCTATACAATCCAAATACAAAGGCAACAACACCCAATAAACTTTTCCATCCCAATTGATCCAAATTCCTAGTAGCCCAATACATGAAATTACCCAGGGATGAATTTGAATAATTACCATTCGACGATGATGATGGACCATACATATTCTCACTAAGTGAATCCTTCAATCCTCTTCTCTGTTCCATTCTCTTATTGAGAAATCTCTCCTTGAGTATCCTTCTTTGTTGATATTCGGGAAGTTGATTAAATTCCTCTGGACTCATCCTCTCAATTCTATCTCTATTATAGTAGGATTGATAGAGTCTCCTTCTATTATATCTATCATAGGGAAGCAAATGACCAGCCACTGCACTGCCATCCATAGAGTTTGGACTCGGAAGAGCATGAACCACAGATTGTACTCTATATCCCAAGATGACTTTCATTCTTATTCGACTATTCTCGAAAATCTTGGGAGAGACAGCAATCAGATAGGACGAATCATTCTCCCACAATCTTGATTCAATATCTTCATAGAATAAACTATCATAAAATCCGTCATCATCATCTTCATCAGAGCCTAGAAAACTTTTCGCGTTATTGCCAACATTTGAATAATTATTTTCCTGTTGTTGTTGTTGTTGTTCATTCATCAATTGATTATCATCATTTCCGACTCCCATCGATGAAGAAGAATAATTATCCAACAGAGAATTTGTACCAATACCAACACCACGATCCTCATCCTCAAAGGCAACTCCTCGTCCACTCATTTTTCTAAATTGTCTTCTTGAAATTTATTCTTCTTTTCAAAATATATTAAAGTAATGATCAAAATCTTATTCTTCATTGTTGCATTATTGATTTTATCATTAATTCTCTAATATCATTGATTGTTGCTTCTATTTAATGCAAAGGTCTTTGCTAATTAATTAGAAAAAAATGCAACAAACAATACAATCAGTGCCATCATCCTCTTCATCGAATCAAAGAAATAACTTGAGTGGTGGAGCAACATCAAATAATCGGAATAATGAAGGAGGATTGGCACAATCATCGATAAATAGTGCTGGATCTTCTTCTTCGGAGAGGAGTAATGGAACAAGTGCAGAGAGAAAGTCAAAGAATAGATCATCTAATACAAATAGTAGTAATAATCGGAATAATGAATCAACAGCATCTAGAAATCAAAATACATTTAATTATCCAACGAGAATATTAACTTTTGGATTTCCATTTTCGGGACAGCCTGATATTGTGAGATCTTTACAGAAGGATGAATTTTACAGTAATCATGTAATGTTCAATAATTTAAAAGAGTTGTGTAATTGGTTTTTTGGACAACGTTTTACCATTAGATTTGAAAGAGAAATTCAACTCGTTTGTAATTTAATTTATTATGGAACCACTACTTGTACAGGACAATCAACATTGGGAGAGGAATATTGTGATTTACTTCAGGTGCAACTCAAAGAAAAAACCAAACCACCACAACAGGTTAATTCAACAAATTCTAACAAATTCTCTCCAAAAACTTTATATATAGTCAAATCAACATCCTCTACGAGATTATTATTTGTATTATATGAATTAATTGTTCCTTATTTGTTCGATAGAGGTACAAGTCATTGGTTGAGCCATTATTTTAGTCCTAATGGTATCTCTGAAAATATGAGATATTACATTAGCATGTTGAAAGAGTTTGTCCAATTTATTTTAAGATTCAATTTAGTCTCGTTCTATATCAATGGAAAATTCTTGCAAGTGTCTAAAAGGTTAGCAGGCATTCGATATGTAAGTTACTTTATCTTTAGTGGAATAATTAATTTTCAAATTTTTCAGATTTATACTGGTAAAACAGATGGAGATTCCTATAAGAGACCAAACTTTTTCTTGCTCTCACTCCTGATAATGATACAACAGGTTATTTCTGCATTCTTATTTATTAAATCTGCCGTTGTGCAGCATATCTCAAAAAAGAAGGAGGAAAAAAAATGTGACAATAATGAATCAATAACTCTTGATGGTGTTTCGTATATTGAGGAATATATTGATGGAAGAACTGAAACTGAATTTAAATGTTGTCTTTGTTTGGAACGACGAGTCAAGACAACAGCTACTATGTGTGGACATTTATATTGTTGGGATTGCATTACTGAATGCGTTTCGAATAGTAAGGAACCAAAATGCCCAATTTGCAGACAATCTATTTCTCTTCAATCACTATGTAGATTGTATTGCTATGATTCCCAAATGGTAAAGCAAGTAGAGGGTGAATGAAATAATAAAGTGCCAACAGAAAATTGATTCATTTATGTCTGAACGTTATAAGCTAGAATAAATAATGTTTATTGCAATCCAAAGCCCATACAATTATTGATGGCTGACAATAATCTTTCTTTCATATTTTCCTTTGTGGAATACTTTGGTAGCAGCAAGTGGTTGAAACAAGTGTGAGCTGTTGGTAATCTTCTATCATCATCACCATTCTTTACAATAACAAAACCTAATTCACCCAATCCTTTAATTGGCACTCTGTCACTTCCTGTACAAAACATGAGGAATTTCTTCTTGTCTTCTTCACTAAAGTGGTGGACAATATCCCAGAAATCCTTAATAAGTGGATGATCTTTATCATAACCATCTGCATACTTGGTAGTACGTTCCAAAGCTTCAAAGTCCAAAACTGGGCTACCACAAATTAACAATTCAAGTTCTTCAGCTCTGAACAAATCCAAAATTGTTTGATCACTGCAGACCATCTTGAATCCTTCAATGAATGAATTAAATTGTGTTCGAATTGATTTTTCAAGTTTCCATTCAATAAACAATTGGACATATTCTTCTCTGTTTTGATTTGTTACTGGAATATCACCACCATTTGGCTTCAAGTCATGAGTAACAATTTGACCAAAGACATCAGTTTCAAGTTGGAATGTTCGGCAAAATACATCCTCAACATCACCATCAAATTCTAGCAATTGTTGCATACCTCTGCCCAAATCTGGGAATGTCTCTTTGAGATCTTCAAGGTTAGGTTTCAATCCCAGCATTTTCTTATAGACAATTCGAGGGAAGTGAATGTCCAAAATAATACTATTGTAGATTGCCAAACCGATAACAATACCAATAAGCTTGAAATTATCTTCGGTCTCAAAGGAATTCATATTAAACCAAAATGTTCTTTGCTGTTCATCATAGACAAACATGCCGTAATTGACATCGAAAATTTCTTTGAGAACAAGTTGGAAAAATTCCTTTCTGACACCACCCTCATCGATACCTTCCTCTCCAATGAATTTGACACGCAATTGTTTCTTCAAATCATCAGCTCTATTCATAATTTCATTGAGAGCTGTTTGAAGTAAATTATGTCTATCAACTTTAAGGATACAAAACAAAGATGTTGGTTGTCTGAATAGTGAAGAAATAAAGGCATTACGGAGCTCCTTGTTTTGTTGAATTTCAGCATCCAATTGTAAAATCTTACTCTTAAAATTAGGGTCAATAACATATGGATATTCACAAAAGTTAAAACAATCAAATCCCTTATCCTGTGTCTTGAGAGCTTTAATCCAACGAACATAATCCTCCTTGATATCCACAATATTATTAACAGCATCATTATAAAATTCCCTATAGTCAACCTTTTGATTGAATGGCTTTAATTCATTTGAAGTATCTGATAAATTGATCGTGTTAGAATATATTGATCTTCATACTTACTGATAATTCCCAAAACTTTAGTGGCATAGGAAATTTCTTCATCAATGTACCCTCTCGAATATAATTGAACTGTGATAAATTGTTGGAAAATGTTGATAAATCCTGACAATATTTCTTTAGGTGTTAGTGCCAATAGCTCCTTCAATCTTTTAAGTAAATTTGCTGGAAGTTTGAGAATACCTTGCATTAGATGAGAAAGTGATTTGTGAGATGATGGTTCCATCATTAGAGGACACTGAAGGAGTGTAATTATGAAATTTACATTTGATACTCTTTCAATATGATTATAAAATCTCTTTCCGAGTTCATCGATCGAAGAAGCAAGACAATTAATAACCACATCATTTCTCTAATTTCTATAATTAATAAAAAGAAAGTAGTAATACTTACAGAGTTCATAATAAGTTTGTAAACACGTTGTACTGAATCATTATCTAGAGTATAATTTGCTTGTTTAGTGAACGAATCACGAGTTTGAAAACTATAAGAAAGTGAAGCATCATTACAAAATACTCTCTTGATGATTTCCAAAAGTATTGAATAGTCACTAGTTTTAATAGCATCATCCATTATCATTCTAATGCATTCCTCCTGAACACATAAATCTTTCAATATTAGATGATGAAAGCCTTTAATAAAAACATACCGAGTGTTGGAGAAAAGTGAGGAAGAACAGGATTAATAGTATTACATAAAAAGAATTGTGGATTTGTCTTGTCGAAGGCTTTCTTTGCATATTCAACAGAAAGTTTGGCTGCCTCCGTATCATTAAGAGGAGTATTTCGTTTACAGTAAGAGTTTGTACAATCATGTAAAAGACATCCATTCATTGATTGATGAAAATAACTTTTGATCATTGTATGATGATGTTGTTGAAGCCTATGCAAAGAAGGCTTTAAAACTTACGCATGAACCATCATTTTGAATAGACTTCTATTACCAAATAATCCAATAGACAACAAGTGTTTGATTTGATCCTCTCCAACCAAGAGTTTATGAATCACGGAAGAAGAACTAGTGGCTTCCTTCATCACAACATCTTCATCCTTGCTGGATCCCGATAGCATATTTTTAGCTTTTTTTTGTAATTTCCAAGCCTATTGTTCTTTCGGTAGCAATTGCATCGTGTGGACTTTCTATTGTTTCGCGTTCATAATTGAATTTTACAGTTTACTGATTCAGTCAATCAACAAACCTCGGAAGCATTAAATTGAATTATAAATTTTCTCATCTTGAATCTTAATAATGAGTTCTCTATTGTGCAGTAACAATTTTCAAGTAAAGGTAAACATTTCAAAAAGCAAATATTTTTTTTATAACTATAATATATCTTTGTTAATAAACTTAGAATCTTCTCTTTCTTCTTTCGTTCTTTCTCTTTTCCTTACCACCAAGACCTTCTCTAGTCTTAGGGAATGTACCATGACGATGCATGAAAGCAAGTTCAGATTGTGACATTGTTCTTAATGAACCATCTTCTTCAGAAACCATGAATCTTCTATCACTTTCATTTTCAAACTTCTTCTTCATTTCAGCAACATATAACTTGTATCTTGCAACATCAGAACCGAATCCAGTATTATTTTCAACTTCCTTATCAATAATCTTGACTTGTTTTTGTTCTTGTTCACCAACAACAGGTTCTTGGAATGGATATTTGATATAATCTGGTAAATTATCATCTGAGGCAGTTTCAATTGGTTTCGATGATTCTTCCAAAAATCGTCTATATGCTTCTTCTTCAGTAATTTGTTTAGTCAAAATCTTAGTAACTTCATTTGGCATGGATTCTTCCTTTTCTCTCTTAGTAGCCTTTCTGATTTCGTCATTGAAAACAATCTTAGCCTTATCATATCTGAATGGTTTGCCAGTTTCTTCAGCTTCTTGCCATTCTTGTAAAATCAAAGAAGACCAAGCTTGTTCACGAGTTATTCCGAATTCAAGTGCCAACTTTTCACCAGTCCAATAGGCAGGATCCTTCTTGTGAAGTTCAAACATTCTACCCAAATCAGCCTTGGAAACATGTTTAAGAACAAAATCTTGTTCTCTGACCTTTTCAGCCAATTCCTTTTCGTGATTATATTCTGATTGTTCATATGAAAGTGCTTCTTCATATAAACACAAAGTGGAGAAAGTATCCTCTGGAGAATCACCTTCTTGTCCGAAACGTTCGTGAATTTGCTTCAAGTATTCATTTGTTACAAGTCGTCCTTCAACAACTTTTCTATCGGCTGGGTTTTTAGGTAATTTAGAAAAGTCATTTGTAAAATCTGGTTCCATATCAGAGACATGAGGAAGCAATGTTTCTCTTGGTGTAGCGATTAATGATGGTAATAATGTATTGGACAAATTGAAAGCCAAATCATCTTGTTGATCAGCATCAAGGGAAAGGTGGAATTCAAAAGCGTCCCAAGAAGGATTGTCAAGTTGTTTTTCAATATCACCAGCAGTCATATTTGCTACTTCTTCGAAAGTATGGCTCTTTGCAAACTTGGCAAAGGAATTTTCTGACAATGGTTTTAATTCGGTAATACCTTCTTTTATGAGTTTTTCATCATTGTAGAGTGTTCCTAACCATTGATATGTTTCTCTCAATTCGTCGGTAGCAGCGAAAGAAGTGTTGTATACAGGGAAGTTATCAATGTTCATCTTTTGTAATTGATACTTTGGTTTCTTGTACCTAAAGACACCAGCTTGTCTCATCCACTTGGCATCCTTTGATTTTTGGTCCTTTGAAGACTTTTTATATCTCTTTTGTGTTAATGTTGTTGAAATAACCAAAGATGATGTGTTGGTATTTAATGATGATTGTTGGGCTGTAACCGAAGAAGAAAGGGTCTTCGTTGAAGCGCTGATGATTTTCTTGTACATCGCTAAAATGAAAAAAGGCCTCCACTACTACGAATATTTTTTTTGCAATTTTTACAACATTTAATGCACAAAATTTTTCCAAGTTTGAATTTTTATGCATAAATTATATTTTAGATTATTAATTAATGCTATTAGAATATATGATGTTTTTATGAATTGAATACATGCTATGGATTGTATAGAATATTCAATTATCATTTAAAATGTAAGATTGTAATTAAAAGTAGTGGCGGGAAGTAAAAGTTCAAAAAAATGATTAATCATGTTTAGCTCCTCACCATCAAGAAGTACTAATATCACCACTCGGAATAGGACCCCATCTACAAGCAAGAAAACTGATACTACTGGTGGTGGGACATCTCGTGCCACTACTCCTTTGAGGGCCAGGTCCTCCTCAATTGGAAGTACAACCTCTACAACAATAACAAAAACTACTCTAACCACTACAACAACATCAAAGTCTAAATTATTGAACAAATCCTCATCGAGTTTATTGTCTACCACCAAAAGCAAGAGTACTACTTCCTCTCCTAGCAGAAGTGGCATCCGAACTAAAAAATCGACCAGTGATAAGAAATCACCTACCAATTTAAACTTGGTTAATCTTATTAAACAACAATCGTACAAGTTACCAAGAATTAGAATTGAAAAATTATCAACTGATATTATTATTCATCATATATTGATACATTTGAATCAGGAGCTTATTTTCAAGTTAATGGCCTTATCAAAGAAATGGAAATTAATTGCTACTAAATATATTAATTTAATAAGTAAACAAATTAATGTTCCAACTTTTCAATCTAAATTTGAAATTGGACATTTAAAAGTTATATTCAAATTTAAAAATATTAAGAGGTTGAAATTGGCTAATTCTCTAATAGGGAATGAAGAACTCAAATTAATATGTAATAATCTCAGTAGCTTGGTCCATTTAAATTTGGAAACTTGTAAAAATATTGATGAAATTAAGGAGGATATTTTGAAATTAAAATTGTTAGAACATTTAAATTTATCTTGGACTTCTGTTGATAAAAGTAGTATCAAGTACATTGCAAAGTTACCAAAATTAGCAGAATTAATTATGATTGACACAATGGCTGAGCTTAAAGAAGTTGAACTAATTTCCAAAATTAAACAATTAAAAAAGCTTGATATCAACCAATTGTACAAGTATCAAGTGGCTAATTTTAATAGTTTATCTCAACTAACAAATCTAACTGAATTAGATATTAGAAATTGTAATTTTGATTTCTTTGCAAGTTTAATTAATTTAAAGAAATTAAATATTCGCTTGTATAATCTGACAACTATGGATTATCGATATTTAAATAGTTTAGATAAATTGCAAGATTTAAATATTACACATTTCGAGATTGAATGTAAATTACCACAAAATTTGAATTCACTTAATTGTTTTTCATGTAATTTAATTGACTTGGAAGGACTAAGTAGTCTAACAAAACTAACTCAACTAGTCATACAAGACTCTAAACTAACTGACACGGTTGTCCATTCAATCTCCAAATTAAAACAATTAAGAGTTTTAAACTTATCACGAAACCAAATAGGAACTATGGGATTTCGTTTTTTATGTAGATTAGAAAATTTAGAGACATTGGCATTGTCATCAAACCTAATAGATAACATTGATGAGATAAAACATTTGACAAAATTGAAGGATTTACGTTTGGCTAATAACAATTTTGCAAACATTAGTTCACTCTCAGATTTGATAAACTTACAAGAATTATATATTTCGAATACAAAGGTGGAAACTATTGATGGATTGGAAAAATTGGAAAAGTTAAATACCCTTACTATGTCCAATTTGAATAATTTAAATTATATCAAAAACTTGAAACAATTCAAGAAACTAAGAGAATTATACATTTCACAAACCAGCTGTACTGATGTGTTTGAACAAGTAATTGGGCTGAAGAATCTAACAACATTAGCATTGGGTATGGTATCAAATGAAGAATTTATCAAACTTGCAACAGTCTTGGTTAATTTGGAAAGGTTAATTTTGTATGGAAACGGTAGCCAATTAGATACAGAACTGTTGACAGAATGTGGTTTGAAATATGGATTCAAGTTAGCTATTTATCAACCTTTTTATGGAAATAGGTTTATTTAGAGTTTAGAAAGTAAATCATCAATTGTTAACTTGGTTTGAGAGTGGTTTGTCTTGGTTCTAATCCATCTAAGCATGTCAGTATTCTTGTGTGCGAAAGCAGTTTCGATGGCTTCCTTGAAAGACAATAATTCTACATAAAGTTCAATCTTTTCCCATGGATCTGTTACTTTTGGAATGTACTTGTGGGCTTCTACTGTATTCTTTTGTTGTAAGCATGCCTCAACAAAAGGTCTGTATCCTATTGGTGACTTTTTCTTGGAGAATTTTTCCATCTTATTCCACTTGCCCAACTTGGAGAAGGCAGCAATCTTTAACCACCAAAACTTTTTATCAGAAACTTGGAATTCCTTCTTGACTTTCTTTGCTTGTTTGTTACCATTAAGGAGACATTGATAGATAGTTTCACTAACAGAAAGTCCTGTAAATAATTGTCTTCCCAATGCGTTATCAAACTCTCTTTGCATTTGGAGCAATTTAACTTGTTCTTCACAAAGTTTACTGTCCAATTGGTAATCCTTCTTCTTATTATAGAGTTCTTTAGCTTGGAGTAGGAGCTTCTTGTGAGCTGCTGGTTCCCCTTCAAATGAGAATGATTCAAATACATTCATAGCAGCTGCTTCCTCTTGTTTATCCAAAGCATGGAAGAAAATTTTAAGGAAATCAATATCTCTCTCCTTACAATATGTTACTAGAAGATTTCTAGCAACTCTGAATCCCTTTTCATTAATTACAGAGAAGAAGCTTGATACTTCCATGTTTTTCTTCATGTGAAGAAGTACCAAATAGACAAGATCAGTTTCACCACTGATAATGGCTTTTCTGAGAGCATTCTTAGTTTCATTCATATTTAAAAGGAGTGGAACTTGTTCGCTAGCTCTTTCTTCTCTTTCCAAGAGTTGAATAGCTAAGTTCTTCTTACCTACACTGTAGGCAGTTGAAGCTACAGTAGAAAATGGAACACCTTCACATTCAGAAAGCTTCTTATCAATGGAATCCAATATTACATGATCATCTTCATTAGACAGTACTTTGGAACAAGCCCAGTGAACAAGTACATTGTTTGGTTTGATCTTGAGGTAGGTACAAATTCTATAGGCTACCAAATGTTGCATTCTATTCACAAGTCTATCTATTAAAACTTTTGGTGTTAATCTCTTGTATTGATCCAAAGTGATTGGAATACCAATATTCGAATCTCTGACAGCATTCATAACTCTAAGAATTTTACAAGTATTAACAAACTCGGAATGTTCAAATTCATCACAAAAGGATTTACCATATGAAGCAGCACGTAAAAGGGATTTTTGAAGGGATGTATCAAATTCATTTGCAGCAGCCTCAAGACAAGCATTAACGGCTCCTCTTAGCGAATTCTTAATAGATCTAATATTATTGATTGATGAGGCATTCTTCTTTTCAAATTCAATGTAGGCATCATAGAGCATGGCTGATGGAGTAAGAGAACCAATTTTGAAAATATCAAAGTTTGCTTCTGGTACTCTTTGCAAAAATTCACAGGAATCATTGGTAATAACTCTGACACCATCAATTTCTGTCACAAGGTGAATTGGACTATCATAGGTGAATGTGCTATAGTCACCATTTGGTCCAATCATTAAAAGTAAAGATACATTTCCTTCTCTATTATTAACTTGTTCAGGTTCCCAATATAAACAAACACTATCCTCACCGCACCAAGCTACTTGTGATGGTGTACTTGATGATCTTGTATCAAATTCTGCATGGTTTTCAGTAAAATCGGATTTAACAACCCACAATGATCCAGATTCATTAAAGGTGGCTAAAGCTTCTCCGGAAGGAGAGGCACAAATTTTAGGAAATGGACCATTATCGAGTCCTAAATTATTACATTCCTCAGAAGTTACAACATAAACAGTTCTTGCTTGAGGTACACTGATAATTACTTCCAAATCTCCACTTGTTGCAATATTTGGTTGTAAGATACACATTCCAATTTCCTTTTCATCATTGAATTCAAGTGGAACATCTATTAAAAATCTATCACATACAAATTTGAAATGTTTTACCTACCTAGAGAAGCTAATTGTTGACAATCAATAAATTCCAAATCCGAAATTACCCAAACATTAAAATCTCTTGTAAGAATAGCAATACCAGTTTCCCAATGTTTAACTTTTAAAATTCCAGCACTTTTAACTTCCTCTGGGAATGGGAATTGTTGTAATTGTTTTCCAAAAATATCGAAAATGAATACGTGAGCCTCACTATTTATACAGGTTTAAATTTCATAAGTTCAGGAGCCACTTACTCTGTTACACAAATCAAGGATTCCTCTTGTGTCCATCCCATATAAAGGAGTGATTTGTTTAATTGTGTATTCCACTTATAAAATTGATCTCAAAAAACTCAAACTAAATAACCTACCTCAAATTTTGAAATTCTTTTTCCTGAACTTGAAAATACATGTACATATTGTTTTGAATCAGTTCCTCTAAATCTTAATAACTTTTTAGGATCCCTTGTGAGAGCTGCAGAGAGTTTTTTAATTATGATGACGATGGTAATATTTTGAAAAAATCGTTAAATATTAAATAATAAAAATTTTACACCTACCAATAGGTCCACCAAAATTTGCAGCAGCGATCAGACATTCGGAGAGATTAATATTATCATCTCCCCATTCCATAGTGTATATTTCTTTCTTTCGGTAGTACACTGGTACTCCCTTCTTACCCTTTCCGAGTTGGACCCACTCTGCGCTTACACTCATTTTTTTGTCTTGGAAAAGCATAAAATATCGATCCACTCTCCGAATAACAAAATGGTTGGTACAGTAACATGGTTGAGAATCGCCTGAGAGCAAATATATTTGCAACGTGACAAGAAATGATGAGAATTATTTATAAATTTATTATTTGTGAATATCTGGAAGAGTATAGGTTGTGACTTTTGGAGCATTTCTCTTTTCAAATGCTTCTGTTTGTTTGTTGTAACTCTTTGTTTTCAGTATCAGTCTGTTATAGGTATTCTTCAGCTCCATAACTTGATCTTTTAACATATCTAGTTCGTCCTTTCTACTTTGATAGTCAAGGAGTAAAGAGTCAGTTCCAACTAGAGGCTCCTTTTCTCTCATTTCCATGTTTTGTTTTTTTAACATGTCTCGCTCCTTTTTGATTCTAGTAAGCATGTCTTTATACTCGGTAAGGTTGATGTTTAGTTTGTCCAACTTCTTTTGCAATTCTGAATTTTCAGTCTGTACATATTGTAATTTTTCTTTAACGTGAGTTAAAATGTGGACAGTTGTAGTTTGTTTTTCTCTTGATTTCTTAAGGTTGTCTCTCTTTTCTCTCAACTTTTCCATTAGGGTTGAGTTTTCCATTTTCAGTTGTTCATAGTCCATCAAGTGAAGACCTTCTGAGAATTCTTCTCTACTCTTTATGAGCTTTTCTAAAGAGTCTTTTGTATTTTTCAGTTCAATAAAGGTTGTTCTGATTTCTCTTATCATGTCATCCTTTTGTCTGTCTCTGTCTATGTACTGTTCTATTGAGTTTGATGGAATTTTCTTACCAGTTCTACTATCTACAGCACTAAGAGCCATGCTTCTTTTGAATTCTCTAAAAGAGTTTTGTAATTCAGATGCATTGGTTTCTCTTTCCTCCAATCTTATTCTCATCTCATTCAGCTGAACAGCATTTTTTCGCCTCAATTCTTCCATTTCATCTCTTAATTCCTTATGTTCTGCCACATACTTTGCATATCTTTCTTCGACTTCCGAAGAAGGAGCAGTGTTAGCAAACCTTTCTGCTCCTTTTGTTACTCTAAATATTTCAGCCAATCTTTTTTGAGCTTTTCTGTGTTTTGAATAGATTGTCTCTCTTTTTTTCAATTCATCTGCATACTTTTCAATGTACTTTTGTTTTTTAAGGTACAGTAATCTGGCCTCTCTTGCTCGAGGGTCGTCCAAGTCCTCATCATCCTCCGAATCTTCCTCATCAACATAGTGAGCATCCTCATCAATTGTTTCAAATTCTGTAGATATATTCAGTGTACTATTTCCTTGTGTCTCTGATGTAAATTCTCCTTCATGTCTTTCTTCAGAATCATCGTCATCAGTTAATTCGTCATCTTCCTCTTCCATAACTCTTCCATCTTGTGCAAGAGGATCTTCCTCAGCATAGGATCCCTCCTCAAAAGATGATCTCATATTTGAATAATCATTAATATTGGAAGTGCTCTCGGGATCCAACATTGAGCTATCCTCCATCAAACTGCTATCATGTTCAGCCATTATTTTTGTAGTTGTTTTTCAAATTCAGTACTGTATTTTGGCGGGAAGATTAAAATCAAACACACTATACTATATTATAAAACGATAGGGGTGCAAAGCCATTAAATCTCGTCTTGACTCAAAAAATATGCCATCCAATTCAATGTTGTGGTTTTTCACACTATTCCAATAAGCGTTACCTCAAATTCAAGATAGCCATATCAACAATCAAGTTGATTAAAATAAGTAAACCAATATTAGTATTTAATAATAATAACAACAATTAAAAAGAAATATCGATATCAAATTATTTGATTTTTCCAATTTTAAAAAAATGTCTAATAATGAAAGTGAGAAGGATGTTTTTTGGAGTTATTCAACAATTCAAAACATAAAGAAAAAACAAGAACAGAATGAACCATTGGAATGGAGAGAATTTTTGCTATGGAAATATTATAAAACAACGGATCATCCTCTTCCGAGAGGAAATGTTACAGTCATTCAGAGTGAGGAGCATTTTGATGAAATAATTAATCAGGGAAAACCAGTTGCTGCTGCTTTTACAGCTCCATACAAGTATACTTGTGAATATTTGAAAAAAAAGATTAGAGAAATTGCACCACATTATAAAGATGATGCCAATTTTGTGGAGGTTGACTGTTCGATTACACCAAAAGTTTGTTATGAGAGGAATATTGTTTCGATACCTGCCATTGATGTGTTTTATAAACCTTTGGGTGCAACAAAAGTGTACAGATATAGATATTCATACAGTTACTCAGTTTATGGCTTTGGTTGCTTTTTGAAGGATTATGGATTCAGAAATCCAAATTCAATTTACTCAGATATTGGTAAGAGATTGGATGATTTACAAAAGAAATTCAATAATAATTCGTAAAATTAATCTATGAATTAATCTCAAAGATGAAATGAGTGAAGCTAACCTTACTTCTGTGTAATAAAAGAAATGCTCTAATTGTCAATACTGTCATCAATCTTCCCATCAAAAAAATGTCCAAAGTTGTGATTACCAGAAAGATACCAATCAGGACAGTCAACAAAGCCAACAATGCTCAAACACAACAACCAACAACACCAAGCGATGAGCAACCAACAAACAATCCATCACCTTCAGTAGTTTCATCAACCAATAATATCAATAACAATACCAACAACTTCCAATTCTCCTAACACTGCTTCCAACAATTCATCATCTACAAATAATACATCCACCACTCAACCATCAAATAATAATAACAGCTCCTCCTCTTTACCATCATCCACTACTGTACAATCTTCACCATCATCATCATTAACAATATTGTAAATGACAACAATTTAATAGAAGAGGAAGATCTCTACAATCCAAAAATCAATTATGAGGACATTGAGAAACAATCTATCAAATTCCGAAAATTCTCCAAAGCATTTGTTATTGCTAAAAAGAAGGAACAAGTGAGATTCTACCTTCCAAAAGTTGAACAGATTATTCTTCAAAGAGATTCTAAATGCTCAATTGTACCACTATCAATGTGTATTCTCTATCATAGACAAAATGGAGGTGAATATGCATTATGTATTTTCAAGGATAAGAAAATGACTGATCTATGTCCTTTGACTATTGAAAAAACAGAAATATCCATTGTTTTGAATCCAAGTCAGAATAATAATAATAGCAAACAGAGATCTGTTCTTCAAATTTTGAGTGAAAATTTACAAGGAATGAATGTGGAATATTACTTGCAATTTGAGAGTGAGTTGCAATTATTGTCAGTTTATACAGCACTCGATAAATCACTAATGTATAATGGAGTGGATATTAAGGAATCGATACCAAGTTTTAACTCACTCCTCATTACATACTCTTCGAGACAAATGAAGGATGAGGTGACATCTCCAAGGGCTCCTGTTAAATTCAAGTGGTGTGAAAAGTATGTGGAACAGTATGCTTCTGGATCGACAAGTGTTGTGACAGAGAGTTTGAGAACAAAGTCAACTGAAAAGAAACAAGTCAAATCATTTAGAAAAACAGAAGACAATAACGATTCATCTGATTCGAGTTCTGGAAGAGGAGCCAGACTTTCACAAACAGATAATTCCTATTCTCCAGTTGATGATACTAGACGCAGATATTTGGAAGATAATGATGACTCACTTGGCAGTCGTCACTATATTCCATCTGGAGATGATAATACAGACAGCGATGGTGGTAGAAGAAGACACAGAGAGGCAATCATTGCAAAATCCTCTCCTATTCAATCTTCTCCACTCTTGGAAAGAAAATTTTCTGAAGAAGACAGATACAGACCTACTTCCAATGACTCTGATGGAGACAGCTCTCCAACGCCAAAAATTCCACCACCTCAAGAGCAACAACCTACTTCCACCAACTCTTCATCAACAATCCAAGATTCGTCAAATAATTCAACTACCACAACACCAGGAAAGAAGGTTATCAAGAGAGTCATTAAAAGAGTTCCTGCAAAGAATGCCACAGAATAATTATCTAATAAATGAAAGTTATGTTATTCAAATTTACATATAGGCTTCCATACAGGCTTGAATGAATTGTTCCCAAGTGAACATGGCTTGTCCAGAGTAGTTAGCATCACGTGGAATAAATTGAGCTCTCATCAAACCCAAGAAAGCACACAATTCAATATAACCATCAAAATCCAAAGATCCCTTATTTTGGAAATCAAATAATTTGAACAACTTTTGAACAATTTGTGGTGAAAAATTGAATCCGACACGAGATAATGTAATGGTAACTTCGTTAAATTCAACCTTTCCTGATTTGTTTGTATCAACACTTTCAAAGCCAGCCTTCATTTGAATAAGATATTGATGGAGTGCCGAGTATTCTTCAAAATCGACAGAACCATTTCCGTTTCTATCAAACATTTTAACCAGTCTCTTAGCACATCTTTCGCTGAAAGAACCACCTTGAAGTTCGCTTCCAGGCATGGTCAAAACCTTTTGTAATTCGTTGTGAGTAATCTTTCCTGACTTGTCCAAATCGACAGCATTGAACAATGGTCTGAGGGCTTCGTTAGCAGCGTAATTAATGTTCATTTTCCTTTTTGTTGTTATTGAGTAAGGCTCCACCTTGTAGTAATACAATTTTTTTTAATATTTTTTATGATGAACGATATGCTGTGATGGACCATCTATAAATTCAATTAATTGCTATTGAGGGAGAGAAGGTTTTCCAAGTTCACTTCTAAAGCCAAGTGAGGAGATGAAAATAAAATTCTAGTTTTTCGTTTCGGTTAAGGTATTGGACAAACTAAAATGTTCTTAATATTTTCGAGAACAAAAATTGTTGTTGGTGTTTTTTGGCGCCAAATTCCATTTCTTCTAGATTCTGGAAAGCAAATTATCAAAAAAATGAGTTCAAAAGGAGCCTGGAAAAAGAAGGCCTCATCATCGTCTTCATCACGAAGAAGGAGTGATCCATCGAGTTTGGATGTAGAAGAATCGGATCATAAAACAACAACTTCGCGGAAAAGAAAACAATCATCAAATTCTGGGAAAAAATCACTTAATCTTGTGTGTAGTCAATCGGATGTAGATTCATCGAATAGCCAATATGCCTCTTCCCCTTCACAATTGTCATCAAATTCATCTTCTAATTCCTCTACAAGGAAAAAATTAGAGAAAACATCTCCCAGTGTATCTTGCTGTGATGATGAAGAAAAACCATCGAGACAGTGGAAAAAGAAATCACCTTCAAAATTTTCTAAAGTAATAGATGACGAAAGTGAGGAAGAAGAACCTGAAGAATATACCCCACCAAAAAAGAAAAAACATACCATTGTTATTTCTGATGAAGATGATGAAGATAGTGTGATGGAAACTAAAAAAGCAGTTAAAAATCGAGTGACACCCACTGGAATGAGTTGGTGTGAAAAGCATGTTCCTACAGATATTTCAGAGATATGGATAAAGCCTAATGTTGTTTCGGATTTTGAGGATTGGATTTGTAGTTATCCCAAGGATATTTCTTTCAAGAATAAGCCATGTATTGTCATTGGGCCAGGAGGATCTGGCAAAAGAACAATGGTTTATTTGATGATTAAGAAACATTTTGGATTTGGAAGAGTACATATCTATCACCCAAACAAGATCAACAAGGATGAACAACAAGTTGAGGACAATCAAATGGGCGAAACAAAGAATTGGATTGAAGACCTTAACAAGGGTCCAAATCCAAACTCTGTTATTTCCAGTTTTAGAGATTTCTTAAGAACAACCATTGTTAAAAAGAGTCTCAATTTATCGAGTAATAGTAACGATTTAGATATTTCATATGTTCAATCGCACACAAATTCAGATGTAAAGAAAACATCTACCTCTCTTGGAGGATATAATGTAGATATTATAGTGATCGAAGAGCTTCCACCTGTACATACCAAGCAACAAAAAGAGAAACTGTTTCAAGCTTTACACTATGGACTTTCATTATTACAAAATTTGGAAATTAACAAGAGGAAGAGATTGGTTAAATTTATTGTGTTGCACGACCACACAAATTCCTCTTCATCCGATTATGATCTCCTTGTAAATTATCCAAAAGAGTTTAGAGAAAGTTGTACTGTAGTCAAGATTACAAAGCCACCAAAGACGATTATTACTCCCATCTTGAAAAACATATCAAGAAAGGAGAAGTGCTTCAGCAAAGTTAGTGAAGAAGACTTTAATATCATTGTTTCAGGATCAAATGGAGATTTGAGACATGCCATCAATCAATTGGAATATTTCGTGTTGGGAGTGAAAAATGGAAAGATGGATTTATTTTCATCTCCTGTAAAATCAGACAAGTTAAAGAAAGTTGAAAAACAAGCAAAGAAGATAGCTGATTCAATCAAAAAAAAATCTAAGAATAAGAAAGCTAAGGAACAACAATCTAAAACTTTCAATATTCATATGGATATTGGTACAACCATTCATCACGCAGCAGCTAGAGTACTGTATGGAAAAAGAGATAAAAACACTGGAATTTTGGAATTTAATTTGGAAAAGGATGTACTCAATGTTTACAAATCCGAGAAAAATATTCCAGAGCAAACTTTAACAAATTATGTTCAATCCAACTCTCCATATTTTTGTAAAGATATTACAGCATTGAGCAAATCACTAGATGCCTTCTCCTTATCAGATAGTTCATTTGGAAGAAAAATGAGTAACACCTATGAGGATACACAACAAACTACCACTTTCAATGAGTATCAGTTTTTGACAACAAGTAGAGCAGTTCTTTACTATCACCAAGGTCACATACCTGATGCTAAGGGTTTAAAGTCAGTTTTGGCACCCAAGTTAGTCAAGTCAGTATTTAAAGAGCGAGAAGAAAAGCTTAAACAGCTATTATTACTTGTAAAAAATCAGGATAGTGACGAGTCAATGGTGAAAAAGGCTTATCTAGGTTTTTTACCTTTTGAAGATGTTTCCACTTTTTCACATTTATTCAATTTGAAAGAGACTCTTGCAGATGTTTTACCCTATTTATTGAGTATGCTACACAAGACAAGGTTGAATATTCCAAGTTATTTGAATATTAACGAAATGCACAGATACCCTAAATTCACCAAAAATTCTCTTTCTAGTTCTGACGATATTGAGACTTGTGATACTGAGGCCGACGATATTGCATTGTCCAGAGCTCTATCAATCAAACAAGATATGAGCCAATCTGTAGTATCTTCACTCGTAAGCTATCTCACTATGGGATTAACTATGACAGACGACGCTCTCTTCCCTGTGCCACAAGATGATACTATAGAAAGTGCCGAGGAAATTGAAGAGGATAAAATTGAGGACGAATTCGATGATGAGTTTTATGCTGAGATTTTAGATATCTTAGAAACTGAGGCTAAGGAAAATTGTACAGAATAATTTATTGCTAAGCATTATATCGAGTGAATGTTAGAACGGAATAAACTGGTCCATGATTGGATTTATTTGTCAACCAATTATTATTTCATTCCACATCATCCTTCGAGTCATATTTAGCATCCTCAATCAATACCTCATTATCTTCAGGTTGCACTTCTGGTTCTGGCCTTTCAAGTGGCTCCAAAGATAACATGTAAACAATCCTCTCACTGAGTGATAAGAAATCACTTGGGATATCCTCAGAAAGGTACAATGATTTCAACGTTTCAGAGACAGATTGAAGTTCTGCTTGTTTAACATGTTCCTTAAAGTAGTCTGATGTATCGAGAACAGTAAAGTAGAATTGTAAAATTGATTTCAAATACTTGAATTCTGCCTCTGTTCTAAAGTAATCTAACTTGCTTGGTTCCCTCTTGTATTTTGTTACGAATTGTGAATGGAGTTCTTTCAGTGTACGTATCAGGTATGGTGTTAAATCAGACATGAGTCTTCCAAATAGGAAATCATCAAATTTAACTGCCATTACCTTCAACAATTCAATGGTTCTTTGTTTTAGAGGAATGGCAGTTCTCTTTTGAACAAGATGAGTCATCAGCATTGGCCACAAAATATGTAGACTTGGTAGAATCTTATTTCCAGTGGTACTATCATCAAAATCTCTAATATTACTGTTTTGGAACATATTAATGGCATTCTCTATGATTGACAAGAATGAAACGGAGGTAATCAATGTATTTTGTGAACTGTTCATAAAATGTTGAAGTTTTTGTAAAATAGATTTCACGGTTTCAATTTCCTTTTCTGAGAGTTCCTTTTTGCCACTAATATCCAATTTTTCTCTTTCTATTTTCAGAATATTAATAGTTTTGATAATATTACCAAGAACAGAGAAGAGAGTTGAGAAGGCAGATTTGGAATATGATTTTTCAAAGGTCTGCTGATCGATAGCATTGAAAACACTTTGAATGCAATCTTCCACTATGGTCACAGTATTGATATATTGCGTGGCATTCGATTTCTCTTCAAATCTTTTACCCATCACATTGAATTCGAATAGGGTATTCAAAACACGTGGTATGTGAGGATAGACAGATAAATATTTGAGTCTGTATCTGATATCATCAATCATGTAATCAAAATTTGAAACCAAGATATTCATAACATTCTCTCTTGGTGTAAAGTTGTTATTTGGATAAAAGAAGAAGGAAATATTAGCAATAGTCTTGAAACAGCTCTGCGTAATATGAATGGATGAATATCCCAATTGATTCAGTATTGGATATAATATTTTAAGCAAGAACATGTCTCTTTCCTCTTCCTTTCTCTCAATAAATCTACAAACAATACTAATAGTTTCCAATAGTAAGCAGTTGGTTTCTACTGATTCTGATGAGTTTTCATTTAGTCTCTCACTGATATTATCAACGAGAGAATTGATGCAACTTTTTAGTTTGCTCTCTTCAGTTGTGGTATCTCGTTGCAGTATGCCTTCCAAGATACAATTCACAATTAAAATTGCTTCATTCTTATAGGAATGTTCTGCTGATTTTGCTGTGACAGACAAGTTCAATAAATAGTCAATGTAAGTTGTTGATTTCTCTCCAAGCTGTTTTCCAATTAATTTACAAATATTATAGACAACTTGAATCATTCTGTCATCAACAAAATGTTGGAATGATTTCTTAGGGTATTCATTTTCCTCTGTAATTGGATTGTATCGATCCATTTGGAGAGAAATCATTAGGGAAAGTAAAAGCTCGTGCATTATTTGCTCTGAAAAGACAAACTCGATACCATTCTCTGTTTGCAATATAAAATCCAAATAGTTGTGGAATAAATTATAGGTGCTTACTTTCTGCCTTTCATTGGTAGTAGTTTTACAGATATTAGGGATGGACTTGACGAGTTGTATGAAACTGTCTTGAGAATCGTTTGAAAATTCTGCAAGCTCAATTTTCCTTCCACCAGCCAAAAGGCACTCAACCAAGCAAGAAGAGCAACTATTGAGAGTTTGATTGCACTCAGCGAGAATTATTGAGCACTTGTCCAATATACATTGCTGAATTTCTGTCACATCATCAATAGAAACGCTAGATCCATACAGTGAATAAACCTCCATGCTAAACACCTTCTTTAGAAATGGTTCAAACTTTTCAAATTTTCCATTATTCTTATTCTTTTCGTCAATCGAAAAAACAGCATTAGATAAAGTCTCAATGGTTACAGATCCTCCTTCCATAATATTTCCAATTTCTGTGCTATTTGGTGCAATGTTAATAGAATCTGCACAGTTCATACATGTTATTAATGAAAATAGCTCAAAAGCAGCACACTGAACCTTTGTAGAAATATATGGTGGTTGAATGATCAATTTACAAACTTGACTGATCAGTCCAGGGAAAATTCCATCAATAATATTTGAGAATTCTGATGGATCCTTATGTGAAATTGCAATCTTTGTTACCTGCAATAGATCACAAATTGTTCTCACTGAAAGTTCCACCAATTCTCTATTTCTCTCCTTTGTTGTGACATCCAAAATCTTACTAACAAATAAACTTGTCGTGTGTAATGTGAAAAGTGATCCATTTTGTGAAGAATAATGGTTCCACTTTGAATTGATAAGTTTCCTGAAAGAATTGATAATTGATGTTTTCAATTCTTCTCCAGAACCAACTGACGTAGAAGTGAAAAGCTCTGTACTTCCACTTGTGTTGACATCATCTGGATAAGTAACATGTATTATGAAAAGTGACTGATAGAGTGCTATGAATTTCTCCAATTGATCCATACTATTCACCTTCTCAAAACAGCTAGCAAGACAATCCAAAGTATTTTCCAAAATTCTTACAGGTATTCCATTTGCGGTATATTGCTTTCTTCTAAAAATATAATCCTTTTCCAATATTAATAAAAGTGGAAATGTAATATAATCCAAAAATACATCCATATCATTTGTACTATTATCAATTAATTCTTTTAATTTTGTAATATTATTAATTAGACTTTTAGTGATTGATACCGATAGAGGATATGATATTTGTTGCAAGAGGGAGGCCAACTCGGAACAGAGTGGTTTAATCTGTTCTCGGAACAAGTTTATCACCTCCTTGTCCATCGATAACAGTTTTGATAGATTGCCTGTTGTTGGCTGTGGTGTTGATGGAAGCATTTTTTACAATATTTATTTACATTAAAAACTTAAGAGAAATTATTGAAACCTCTTCTTTGAGAATGTTTCAAAATCATCCAATTCCATTGTCAATTCATCATAAGCTTGTGCCCTAGGAGGTGGTATTTGTTGAATTTCTGGTGCAGTTTCGTCTGAATCCATTCCAAAATTTACACACTTATCCTCTTCTTGAGTATCATTTTCTATTACAGCAGTTGCAGTCTCGTCTATCATTATGTGTTGTTGTTGATTTTCATTGTGATGGGAAGGTTGTTGCTCAAAATTGTTTGGTCCTCGTATGTGATTCCGTATGGAAATTCTCATTTCTTGAATCATTTGTTCCTCATCCACTTGGGGTAATAAATATTTCTCATAGTTTTCATTGGAATTAGTAAACTTGGCTCGTTTTGGAGAAATTGGTATGAGGGGATACTTGGAATTAGTGGCAATTTTTGGTGGATTAATGTCTATTTGTTTCCTAACCTTTTCGATATTTGTTTCCATTTTGTTAACTAGGTTAGAAACTTCTTTAGAGAACTTGGATGTAGAATTTAAATATTGTTGTTGCTTTTTAGATTCCTCATCGAGTGTTCTTATCAGTGCTGGAGCATCTCGTTGTCCAATCGCAGACATGGTTGTATCTTTTGTTGTTATATCCGACTGAATAGTGTGATGTTTCATTAAAGTTTGTAATGTAGATAATTGCTTAGTCCAATTGTCAACCATTAGAGGTAAATTGAGCTTATTCCTTCCTCCATAATTGCTCACAAACTTATCAAAATGAATACTTGGATTCTCTTTTGTAATATCCTCTTTGAATATTTTCATTCTAATATCCTGTCCACTCGCTACATCATTAACTATTTCTCTCATTTCACCAGATTCTTGGTGATGGAGTTCAATCCTCTTGAAAAGAGAGGCTACATTATCCAATTGATTTTCTCTATAAACTGAATTAGACTCACTAAATAAGGAGGAATCAGTTCTCCTATTGAATTCTTTTTCTGCTGTGTCAAGCTCAGCTTCCTGTTTAATAATATCCTTGTATTCATTTGTCAAATTTTGAGCTAGATCCTGCCATTTCTCTTGTTTATCAACAGCTACTCTAGCGCACTCGATTAATTTCCTAGTTTGATTTCTTATATGAAGCTAATGATTGTATTGAATTTATGAGTGAATAATTAAATAAACTTACCATAATTACATTTTTTGCTGCCTTGGTTTCTTGCAGCTGCGATAATTGCTCAAATCTACTGAAAAAAGACTTGGGTATTGATTTCTGCAAATATTCAGCATGATCTCTTTCGAATACAATTTTTAGAGCATGAGTCGAAAGTTGTAAAAGTAGTGTGTAAAGACTAATGTCATGTGTCAATATATTCCAATAAATTTAACACCACTTACTTTTCACCATAAGCAGATTGAAGAAGAGTAGGTTGCAAGTTGAGAATATAAATACTCCCTCTGTCTTTCATTTCCTTCAACCACTGCATGGCAACAGTTCTAAAAGTTGTTCTTTGTTTTTTATCGGAGACTGGAAATAATAACTGAAAATCCTTCTCTGCTCTCTTTGGATCCAATTTTTGAAATAAATAGTGCATTATAATTTCCATTCCTTTAATATTTGTATTCTTGAACATGTCTTTATGAAAGGTCAGGTTATATCTATTTAATATTTAAAATCATCACAATGCATCATCACAACCTACTTTTGCTCGTGTAAGTGTGGATCAAATCCCAATAATAATAAATTTGAAAATAATATTGAATCACTTCCGATAGAATCTGAGAGTGGTATGTGATGAAGATAAGATTCAGATGCAGGCATTTTTTTAACAGTTTTTCCCGCCATTCATAGTTTTAAATTTAAAAAGTTTAACAATAAACTTGGCGGGATTGAACGATTAGAACAATCCAGAAAGAAAAAGGAGTTAGAAGGAAACAAGCTGAAAAACCAATAACAGAATCGAACAGTATTCGTATGTCATCGTTAATGATGAAGAACACTGAACTAAGGCAAATTCTTTCATCAAACTGCTTAATAACTCCTCCATTCTAAGGTGATTGTCTTTTTACCTCTTGAAACGGTTCTTCAAGGAACTCGATTCTTAATCCTACAAAAATCTATCTCACCAACAGCACAAAAAACGTTATACACAGAACCATTACATGATATTATTGTCTCGCGATGATGGACTGTAGTGAAAAGATCGAGCCGTTGTGATGAAAACCAACTTTAAAAAAAAGCCTTAAACAACAATTTTCCCGACCATCAATAGATATTCTACAAATGAGGGATATACAGATTCTCGATAAGATGATGGCAAAATTGCTTATTGCTATTGTCTTATGTTTGGCATATTGTAATAGTTATTCGTATGGACAGCTGCCTGCAATCAAAATTTCTGCTCCTACGACAGTCACTGTTAAGTGGCCTTCAGATGAAAACCTATTCAATCTTAGTGAATGGTTTAATTATTTAATCTTTGTTGGTATTGTTTTGGTTGCTATTATTCTGATAGGTATCTTACTTGAAATTATAGATTGTGGTATTTGGTGTTCGAGAAGAGTTTGTAATTGTTGTGGTGGAAGCAAGTTAAAGGTAAGTTAGAGTTTCACTTTCCCGATGGAATATTAACATGATGTGGAATAGAAATTTGATCCTTATTCTGGTCCGGGTTACTCTAAAAAGAGAGTTTGTTGTACTGGAACAGTTATTATCCTTATCTTTTTGATAATATTGGGAGCTGCTGGTGTTTATGCCGCATACAATGCATTCTTTAGTATTAATATAAGAAAACTCATAGATACTGGAAATGAAGTGTTAACGAACGTCAATGGAACTTTGAATGGTGCTGTTAGAGCTGCTAATGTTGGATTGCCAAATGCTATTTCAGAGACAGTCTCAGAAATTAAGAGTTTAATCATCAACCCATCTAAAGAAATTTGTGTTTCTATTGAAGGTATCAATGACATTTTAGAGGATGTAAGAAGCAAAGTTCAGGATCTGGAGGATAATGAACTTCCAAAATTTGACACGCTTCATGATGATGTTGCTGTCATCCTTAATGACATCAACAACAAGATAGTTTATGATCCTCAAGGAAAATCCAACCAAATTTCAGGTGTTCAATTTGATGTATCGGGAATTTTGTCAAAAATTGGGATAGCTTACGGTGTAATCAATCAGACAAAGATTAAGATTTCAGGTCAAATTGATGATTGCAGTATTTCTATTTCACAGGTTGAAGACGAATTTACCAACCCAAACAACAAGTATTTCACTTCTGCTGTAGTAACTGCTCAAAATTCAATTATCCAAACCATTAACCAATTCTCCTCAACATTACAACAAATTGGACTTGAACAAGTTTCACTCTATGTATCATATGTTAATATTGCCGACTCTGTTAGACTTGCAGTAGAATTGGTTATTGTTGCTGCTCCATTATTGTTCTTCTTTGCGGTAACTATTGGTATTTGTGCAAACAAGAAATTCTTGTTCAAGGCTCCAGCTTGTTGTATCTTTATTACCTTCTGGTTGTTTTTCATTATTTCATCATTGCATATTGCATTTTGGATTATAACTAAAGATATTTGTAAAGAAATACCTGCAAGACAAGACACTTTCCTTTCCTTAGTAGGTAACCTGACTGGAAATCCACTAGCTCAGTTCAACACAACCATCCCAGCTGCTGCAAAGGGTGTTTTAAATTGTAAATCTGATTTCATTACCGAAACTTTGGGTGGATCAGAAAAATCAATTACAACCATAAGAAGTATTATTGGTATTGACAGCAGCTTTTGTTCAAGTATTTCATCAATGACAAGTCAGATTTCTATATCTAAAACTATATCTGTTGGAGGTGACGTATCGACTAGTTTAAGTCTTTCAATGGATTATAACGCAATGACCAGCACTTTATACGCTGATATGGATAAATTCAAGAATGGGTTGACTGATATTAAGACTGATGCAGAATCCAAATTCAATTCCTCACTTGCAACAGCTCATGCTTCTAATCCAAGTTTAAACAGAAACAGCATTCAAACATATTGTGCTACTCACAATACCACCGATGTTTGTAAAAAATACCAAAATTATGTTACTGCAACCAACCAGATGACAGTAATTTTTGCTGATTTGGCCAAAGTTGATGCAAAATTAGTTGAATTGAAGAATCTGATTGATGTTATCAACTCTATTGTTGCTAACGATATTAAGACAGCCCCACAACAAATTACTGATAAGGCAAATGAGATTTTAGGTTCTGTGACAACTCTTGTTGCAAAGATCAACAACAAGGCACTTACATTGGTTGACACAGTTATTACAAAAATAATGACTGTGTTTACAACCCCACTTTCATGCCAATTTATTCCAAGTGCAATTAACAAAGTGGATGAACAATTCTGCAGAGGAATAGTTTTGGACTCGATTGTAATTGGTGTTAGCTCTTTTGTAATTGGTGTTTTGTGTGCTATTGGTTTTATTTTCATATTACTCATTGACAAGTACCGAACTTATCAACTTAAGGTTCAAAATAAGGGTAAAAATAAGACTCCAAAATCCGAAAAGAAGAAGCCAGTAGATTTGTTGCACCAAATTGAATTGACTGAGGATAGAGATAGTGAAAGAGCAAAGGGTGCTGCTCCTGCACTTGAAGATCTCAGTCCACCTACTTATGAAGAAGCCAGCGGCAATTTCTTCTATTAATTTTATTCCTCATTACTTGATAGATTCTAGGTTTCTTTTACTCCAACATGTAGATTTTGAATAAATTATTTTCCTAATTTCTTAACTTCATTAGCTTCCTTCACAAGAGTCAAAACTCTCTGTTTTTTCACATCTGGTAAATTGGTTTTAACAAGTTGGGTTGCTTTTTTCAAATCTCTTGTTGTTTTAAAATAGATAGCACCCATTCCGATAATCAGAGTACCATAAGAAATAAAAACAGTTGGATATGTGAGCATGTATCTTTTTGTTGATTCCAATTTTCTTTCAGTTAATATTTTGTAGTATTTAAAACAATCTTGAGCATATTCCCACGATGTTCCTTTATAAATTAATTCCTTCCCTTCATTCGATGACATTTTTTTAAAATATTTTCAAAAATCGAAATTGATTTTAATAAAAATAAGTTATTAATACAAAAATCAAGTACAAGAATAATATCACTACCAAAATAAAAAGTAAATTAGAAACATTAGCAAAAATTCTAAAGTCAACACCTTTTCCATATTTTTGTGCGTACTTTTCCGAGAGTTTGATTAATGGAACAACTAACCAAGAAATTTCATTGGATTCTATAGGTCTGTAAATAGCCTTCTTATTAAAGCAAACATCCATCTTGTCACATTTGTGCTTTCCTGTAACAACAAGATCTATTCCAATAGGTGTGAGTTTTTTCATTGACTGATACTCCTCATGATATGCACTACCCTGCAACTCCTCTTGAGCGTAAAAATCTGAAACTGATTGTGGTGTATCAATAAAGCTTCTAGGAGAATATATTGATGGTGTTTTGGTTACATCAAAATCACGAAGGTCTGAGAAAATGAGGGCAAGTTTAGAGGAAAGCTTTTTCATCAGCTTGATTCTGGTATCGAAATCACTTCGTAACGACTTGGTTCCTTTTGTGAAGAGATTCTTAATTCTTGGTGAGCTGCTCATTTGTTGGGATGTGGTAACTTGAATTTCTCCAATCTTGAATTGAACAATTTTAGTGAGATTATCACTGAAAATTAAAGAGGTGAACCTATTTTCGCCACAATGCTTCATGTGTGAAACTAAAGCGCCTTCTTGTAGTTCAGAAGATTCTATCATGTTATTGATTCCTTTCAAAATTTCCAAAGTATTTGATTCAGAAAATATATCTAACAAATCAGAAATACTTTCAAGATCAACAAGTGAAGTATTATAAACATCAGATGGGAATCTACAATTCATGAAATGGGAAAACAAAGATGAATAAAAGCACCAATTGGCTATCATATAAAATGGCCAAGGAGTATTTTGTCCCTGATCTGTCCTCCAAGGACAAAGAAGGGCCTTCCACAAACTCAAAGAGTATTTCATAGGGAATATCTTGTCATTTTTCAATCCAATAAACATGGTTTTCAAAAATCTGTATGCTGGATATTGCACTATTGAGTATGGTTCCAATTTAGATGAAGCATTATCTCTATAATTAGCTGCTAGTGTCAATTCATTAATAGATTTCATATTATCTGCAATAGTTCCTAGTCTTAATAAATGTTTAACTGTCACAGATGTGAAATATGTAAACTTGGTAGCATTCTCGTTCATTTCAGTAGAAAACTTTTCCAAGGTTAATAAAGCATAAATGTTCACTACATACAGAATAATTTCCTGCTCGTTCAATCATTTGATTAAATAAAAAGTCTGTCAAAATAAATAAGAAAGTATTCGAAATTTCTCTCTTGTAATCTTTTCTCTTTTCTAAAGGGAAGAAGAAATTTAAATATTTGCTAAACAAGAAAGTAGTAGGTGGCTTTTTGCTTGATTGCCTTGAAGCTTCTGGACGGATTGGTGCCAATTTCGATAAAAATCCCTTTTGAAAATTAGTGAACACTTATTAGATGAAACTTACAGCAAAATTATCAGTATCGGATGTTCTTGGTATCTTTTGCTCTGTTTTAAAACTCATCTTATTATTTGTCATGATAAAGTAGAAAAAACAAAATAGAAAATATTCGAACATGTCTTAAAATTATTAATATTAATATTCTAATATGATGATACTCACTCACTTGAATATTTTTACCATCTCCCATAGTTTTAATCTTTTCATTGAAATACCTAAATACAGGTGTATTAACATATATCCCCAATAAACTACTAGCATCACTATTCTTCTTATCTTTAAGTTCCGCAGTAAAGGTTCGCATTCCAAATGATAATCCTCCAACAGGGTAATAATAAGTGTTTTGATAAACATCTCCCATATTCCTAAAAAACATTTTAAATAGTGGTCCTTCCGGTTCTAATAAGTTGATCACGTATTCATACATGGTTTCATCATTCTCTGCAAGTACAATCCAAGGTGTACCAGAATTTCCAAATCCGAATAATTTAGAAGCAAGCTGATTCAACGATTGCACACACTCACTATATGAAGCCGTTTCCTTTGAAAGTGTGTTGAAAACTCCCTTCAAGGCTGTACGAGGGCTGTCGTGAGTGAGGTAGAACTTTAAATCATCGCTTGCCATCACTAATTTTTTTTTAATTTTTAATTTTAAAAAATATTTGTTTACTATTAACATCAACATGTTGATGGTGAATTTTTCTCTCCATCTTAATCACAAAATAATTGAAATATTAGAAATTTGAATGAGAGATTTCGGAAAGGGTGGCATGTAATCAAGGACAAAAATTTGTGAAAATGGAACTTGTAATTCCATTCAATTTTCTTAAATTTCTTCATTAAATGAAATAAGAACACACATGACAATTGAAAAGCAAGTCAATGAAGTTTGAACTCTTTTCAACTACTTTTAATTCAGATTCATTTTGGAAAGTTGCCAAGGTTGATTGTAAAAACAAAAAAAATGTTTGAAAATGTACCAGAGGAAATATTGTTGACAATTTTTTCAATGCTTCCTCCACATTTTCTCCTCAACTACATCTCTACATGTTGTCGGAGTTGGCATCAATTGATAGATACGAATGATTTTCTGTGGATGAATTATTTCGTTGATTATTATGGAGAAGAGGCTAGGAGAGAATGGAAAAGTTTGATCACTGAAAAAGTTACCTGGTTGGATTTATTTAAAGAATTGAGTAGGAGATTGAATTATAGGAAATTTCTAATTAGGGGGAGTGTTGTTGAAATGATTCGGAATGGAAATGGTTCATACAAGTTATGTTCTTTTCCACTGATGAAAAAGAGTGCCTACTGTCTCTCTGATATTCCTGCACAATATAAGGAGGGTGGATATTATGGCTATCATTTTTTTCATCCGAATAATAGTTTTGATAACTTAACTTATGATATTGATTTGTACATTTCTGTAAATATTACTAATGAAAATATGGATAAGGTATTGAGAGGAGAAAAAGGATTGGAAGAATCTCAAATCGCAAAGAAAATGGGAGGAATTATTGTAAAACATGAAACTGTAGAATATTTTGATTTGTTTGGAAATCAAGTTTGGTCGATTCGATTGGAACCGCTGCTTAGATTTGAAAAAGAAAAGAAAAATTATTTGACTAGGTTAGTCAATTGTACCAATATTTATCACTACCCAAGAAAGAATTATGTGTTAATGGGTATCAACACATCTGGAATCAAGGTCCTGGATTGTTCGAATGGAAGTCTCGTTTGGGAGAATGAAGATGGCCCCAACAAGAAAATTCATCTCAACGATGCTGTAAATAATGAATTCGGAATTGTGGATACATTTTGCAGTGAATTTAAAACATTCCATGCTTGGAATATTGAGAATGGACAAAAATTGTGGAGTATTGATATTAGAAATCTATTTAATAAGGTGAAGGGTATTCCAGGAGTGAACATTCCAATGCGCTTGATGGATGTTGTCTCTGGAAATTTCCTGTTACAACCAATGGATGAAGATGAAAACCAGTGTTACATTCTCATTCATGCCTTGACTGGACGAATATTAATGTATTTCTATGAGGATATTATTTTACAAATGGCTACTCTTTCAGTGGAGCAACAAAATGACAATGACCAACATGTTACCATGTTAACTAATGTGATACTCTATACACTCAATAGAGTTTGCTTACTAGAATTCAAATATCAACATAGAAAAGCAGACAATGTGCTAATCTCAATGGACTGTACTGAAAAGTGGAGCAGAAATCTTGAGTTTCAATCTTATTCTGGTTTTTTCGAAACAAAATATTTGTGGATTCCCCTTGATGGCGTAACTATTAGAAAGAGAAGGTCAGAAAGAAGAGACAACACTCCTCTTGATGAACTAGACAGGAGATATCTATTTGATTTAATGTTTATTCACATCGATCCTTCCTATTTGAAATCTCGTTTAGAACGAGTCAGACTAGATGATGGTTCATTAGTTTACAAAGAAAATATAGTTTTGAAACCAAGTCGTGAACACTTTGTATCACTCAACCGAGCTGGTAATGGACCTATGAATTTAAATAGAGAATCAGAATCTGTATTTGGAGAGGTAAGAAGTAATGGAGAGTTATTTCTTATCACTCAAACAGCAGCTATGGACACTGTTGTAGTGATTGATTTGAAAAAAGGAAATGTAAAATACAGTAATCATTGAGTGTTTCAATAACATCAATAAAGATTAATTTTCAATGTAAATTGTTGTGCACTTTCCATTTCTGGGTACAAATTATTAATTATTTAAATAAAAAATGAATAGAGGAACTCAACAAGCAAAGGAAGTACGAGTTGGTCCTGGTCCAAAGAGAGGATCATTTCCATTGGATCATCTTCATGAATGTGACCAAGCTGTAGAGCTTTATTATAAATGTCTTCAAGATAATCAAAATTTTGCATCAAAATGTAGAAAGGAAGCCTCCGAATATTTGAAATGTAGAGTGGAAAATAAATTAATGTCAAATGATGATATGTTAGAGGCTGATATTCCAACAACAAATGAAAGTGCTCCAGATTTGACAATTGATGAAATTAAGAATATCAAGAAGGAACGTTTGAAGAGAGAAGCTTTGCGTGGTACTCTCGGATTAACATCAGGAAGAGCAACATCACAAATTCCTCCTGGAGGACAATAATTAGGCATAGAAACATAGTCAGCAAATTTGGTACACTTACATTTGGTGGCTAATTATTCATCATGTCTATCATCAAGAACAAATAATTTTGGAAATTGCTTTTAAAATTGGAATTGAAAAGGATCCATTCGATTTGTGGAGAAAATAAATAATATTTAAATAATTATTTGTACAATTTTAAATTTTACATATTTATACACAATTTAGTTCAAAGCCAATTGCTTTTCTTCTCTCAATTCCTTATCGGTAACTTCCATCTTGTTTCTGGAGAAATCATCAATCTTCAAACCTTGAACAATAGTGACAACACCATCCTTGCAAGTAACTGGGAATGAATAAATAACACCTTCTGGAATACCGTAAGAACCATCGGATGGAATAGCCATAGAAACCCATTCACCTTCTGGAGTACCCAAAACCCAATCATGGACGTGATCGACAATAGCCTTAGCAGCAGATGTGGCAGAAGACAATTTTCTAGCAGCAATGACAGCAGCACCTCTCTTTTGAACAGTGCTAATGAAATCACCCTTCAACCAAGCATCATCATTGACAGCTTCAGTGATAGACTTCTTTTCACCATTAATTGTGACATATCCGTGAGAAACATCTGGATATTGAGTGGAAGAGTGGTTACCCCAAATAGTGACATTGTGAACATCGGAAACATTGACACCGAGACGATCAGCAACTTGAGCCTTAGCTCTGTTATGATCCAAACGAGTGAGAGCAGAGAAGTTTTCAGCTGGAATAGATGGTGCATAAGTCTTAGCAATAAGACAGTTAGTGTTGGCTGGATTACCAACAACGAGAACTTTAACAGACTTCTTGCTATACTTTTCCAAAGCTTCACCTTGTCCCTTGAAGATGGAAGCATTCTTTTCCAACAAATCCTTTCTTTCCATACCGTCCTTTCTTGGCATAGCACCAACCATGATACAAACATCAATATCAGTGAAAGCTTCTTGGTAATCAGAGGTAGCAACAACCTTCTTAACCAATGGATAAGCAGAATCGGTAATTTCCATACAAACACCCTTCAAAGCGTCCATGGCAACTGGGACTTCGAGCAAGTGGAGAATGATTGGTTGATCGAAACCGAGCATTTGACCACTAGCAATCATACCAATGAGAGAGTAACAGATTTGACCTGCAGCACCAGTGACGAGGACCTTCATTGTTGGTTTAGTCATTTTGTATAGGATAGGAGTAATTAGAGTTTGCAAATTTTTTTTAATTTTAAAAAGCTTTTTTAAGCCTCTCTTTACGTACACTCAGCTTTTTGATCGAAGTTAAGTCAATCGCCGCATTTTTGTACTTTTAAGGTTCCGTTATGGAAAATTTAGTCAAGCCTTTATGAGGTACCTAGAGAACACTCTGATAAAAGTTTGTCATTAAGATTAATCTTCTTATTAGAAAATTGGATGATCCAATATTCAGTATTTCCATCAAGTCGATTTTGTAATAATTATCGAAAAAAAATGAATGAATTGCAGGAGGATTTAATTTTCAGTATTTTTCTAATGTGTTCCAAGACGAGGGATGTTGCTAATTTATTACTGCTCAATAGACATTGGCTCGGAGTGGCTAGATATGAGGCTTTGTGGAGAATGAGATTTTCATTCTTTTTACAAGATCGGATAGAATTTGAAGAGGAGAAATTAGAAAATGATGCAAAAGCCCTGATGAAAAGTAAAACCAAGGGGAAAATTAAAAAATTAAATGATTTGAGAAGGAGTCATGTTGATGAAGCTGAAAAATTATATCACAGAGAAAAAGTTTGTAAATCGGAGGAGGGATATGAGGATGTAAATTTCTTTACAGGCTTTAGATTTTATTCAATTTTCAAGAAGGAGGTTAAGGCATTCTTGCTTGGGCGGAATACTGAAAAATTGACAAATTTAATGGATCGAACAGTAGCTCCACAATCAAATTCTCATTCTAATTTAGCAGAAGTTATTGTGCCAATAACTGAAAAGTGGAATAATCTAATAGAATTTGTGGAGAATAATTTAAAACCTGACTGTGGAGATGAGATTTATATGGATCAAAGATATTTATTACAAAAAGGATTTTCAGGAAAATTTGCTGATTCATTCTCGAAAGATTATTCTTTCATTAAATGCAAATTAGTGCGGCAAATTAACCCATCAATAGAAGAATCCGTGAAAGAGTTTTGGAATTTGAATAGACAAATTATTGAACCAGTTAGAATACTTACTAGTGGAAAGAGATTTAAATATCCTATCAATGGTTACTACTGTTTACAAGTTGCTGTTGAAACTATGGATTTTGAATTGGTGAAAGGAATTTTGGATTTTCTGGTGGAGGATTGTAAAAAAGCAGAAAATGAACAACAAGTTACAAATCCCTACCTAAATCACAAGGAAATATTGATCTTTGGAATGAAGGTCATGAGTGTTTTTTTGGACAAATCATACCCTGTTGATGAAATAATGTACTACCTGAACTGCTTTAATCAATTATTTCCTTCTTTTGTATCAGAAGAGAAAAAGAAAAACAGCTTTACATTCAAATGTGATGAAGATGTGATTGCTTTCTCGTTAATTGAACATGCTAACTATGCATTTAGATTACAATTTTCTTTAGAATTATTTGAAAAGGCAGTCTCAGATTGGAGGTTCACTAAAGAAGGAGTGAATTTAATTGAGAAATGCCAAAATAATCTTGATGACATTTTCATGAGCCCAAATCCGTTTGTTTCATTTCGAAAACATCACCTTACCGTTGAAAATGTTATTCATATTTTCGAGCTCTACGAAAAGACACAAAACAGGTGTATGATTACTGATGATATCATATACCTGTTTGCAACTAGTAGAAACCTTGATTTTGTAAAATATTTTTGTGATGTAAGGGGGTTTAAATTACCAAACAAGATTCCCAATAAGATACCTCTCATTTATCAATACCTTAATGCATCTTTTGATAGTGGTGAACAATTATTGGATACCATAGAATATTTCATTGATAGAATAGATGATGAATTATTTGATGACCAAATGTCAGATATTGTTGGTTCGAGTCCACTCCAAAGAATTATAAGTGCTGTGGTTTATGACACCATTCAAAACAAGGAAAAGTTAATGAGGGTTTTGACAAAGTTATTGGCTAGAAAACCAAATGTTCATACACAAATTCATGGAGTATCAGCTCTTGACTATATTAACGTTCATGTTGATTATCAGTATAAGGATGATATTTTACAATTATTTGAAAGCTATGTACAACAGAATCCTCACAAAGAACGGTAATGGAATTATCTCTTATTGAAATTCGAATCTTCTGAAATACTAATAATAAAACATGGTTGATTTCAAAATTGAATCTATTTTCAAGAGTTCATACACAAAAAAAATGATTCCATGCATTATTGATATGGAAACAGGTGATCCTGATGATTTCTTCAATATGGTCTTTTTAGTGTGCCATCCCGAGATTGATATTCAATGTATAACAATTGCTCCTGGTTCGAAAAGTCAAATTGCCTTTGTAAAATGTTTTTTATCTGAATTAGTAGTCGAGTGCAAGAAACAAGAGGCAGATTTGGAAAGTGGTCTTGATATGAATTCAATTATTGAAAGATTGAGCAAGATTAAAGTGGGTGCTTTTAATCCTCATCATAAGAAGGATTGTCTTTCGGGATTTTTAGCTAAACTCTATCCTAACTATGTTAAATTCATGGAGGAGGAAGAATCGATTGGTGACGGTTTGGGATATGATTTGATGAGTGAATGTTGGAGAGTGCATGGAACTAAGTTGCTATTCGTTACAGGAGCTCCTCTCAGTAATCTTGGAACATTTATTAAGAATAATCAAGATGAATTCAATGAGGAGGAAAAGAGGATTGGATTGTGTGTCATTCAGGGGGGATATGCTGGTCCAAATGTTGTACCAGAACCTTTCAGATTGAAGAAATTCAAGAATGAAGAGATGGTTTCAACATATAATTTTGGAGGAAATGTTCCAGCAGCCAAGATGGTGCTGAATTCGAAATGGATTGATAGGAGAATACTGGTTTCGAAGAATGTTTGTCACGGTGTGATATATGGACCAAAAAGACACACAAGTTTGGAATCTCAAATTGAAAAGTATTCGAATTTGAAAAACAAGACACCAAGTCAAGTTTTAGCTTTAATAGGATTGAGAATTATTTATAGAGGAATGGCCAAATATTTAGAAAAGAATGCTGAAGGAAAAAAGTTCCATGATGTCTTGGCAGGTGCAGTAGCCATAAAAACTTCCATTTGTCAGTTCAAAAGAGTGGAAGTAATTGAAAGTAAGAACAAGTGGGGTTCAAAGGAATCACTCGATTCGAATACTTTTATTTCAATTAGTGCTAATCAAGATGCCTTCTTCTCACTATTAGAAATGCAAGATTACTTTCAGAATGATGAAAATCTTTCAGATACTGCAAATCTCTTGAATGAAGAAAAATAATTTAGTTTTCTTTAATTGGCCGACGAGCAAGCACGAATTTTTCTCATTTTCTGCCATTTGTAAGATTACATCAGTCAACTTGGTTTATTCCAGTTCGAAAATGATTTCATAAATTCTTTAATTTATTACAAAACTTTGGCAACCTTTCTTAATTCTCTAGCATTTGTCTTTGTGCAAACCATAGTTGTCCAATCGAGAGGAATCATTGGATATCCAAAACTTGATGTTGCATAAATAACTCCTAATTCATTTCTAGCTGTTGAAATGTAGTAACTTCTCGAATCACCTAATGAAATGACTTCTGCAAGAATGATATCACCTGGTCTGAGACATTCATACAGAACAACCTTGTCAATTTCTGTTGCTCTAATATCTTGAACTCTTAAAAGTCCACTAATTGCTGATCCTGATTTAGTAACAGGTTTGCCATCCACACACAAAATGTCAACTTTAGCAAATGATTTTGTTGTCTTGATAACTTTAGCTGTAACAACTGATAGAATATTTGGTACAATAGTTTCTTGATTATTTTCTTGAATAACATGAATATATGGAAGAGAAGCAACCTCCGAAGTTGATGATGAATTATTTGATGATGATGGTGTAGATTCATCAATATCAGCATGATTAGAAATTTTAACACTTCCTACAACACTAGCATGTATCCGATTATCCTTCACGTATGTTCCTCGTCCTGATTGATAAGTATCGGTTTGCCCGATTCTTTGTCCTGGCACAACTCTTTGTTGGGTTTCTGTTGATGATTTGTTGTTCATTTTATTTGGTGAGGAAATAAGAAAACAAAATTATTATTTCTCGACTCTATTATTTTACATTATTATTTAGTTGGTCAATTAAGCAATAAATTGACTTCACATGTATTTCATCTTGATTATTAATAAATGAGTTTTAATTATCAAATTATTAATATTTACGGTTATTTGATAATAAATAAGTGTTTATTTCTTTTGGAGTTGTTGGATTTGTGCAACTCTTTGTTGTACCCATTGTGAGATTTCAACCATACTCTTTTCAAGACTTTCCTTCTTTTTTAATGATTCTTCAATCTTTTTATCAGCATTTTCCACTTCCTTCTTGATAAATTCCAATCGTTTTTCAACGTTTGATTTAGCTTCGGCAGCATCTTGTTTGATGAGGACAGGTCCAATGAGTTTATAAACTTCAACTTCATCTGATGTTTCATCGATGAGATCAAATTCTAACTTGACAGTATCATTTTCGTTCTTTTGAGCCAAGAGAGATTGTTGTTTGGCCAAAATTACTTGAACCTCTACAATGTTGTTCCGTTCCATCCATAATTAAATTGTCATGATCATCACATCATTCATCAAATTTATCCAACCAATAAAAGTAATACAAAATGTATCATCATTCCATCACCATTAAAAATCCAATAAAATCCAATATTAAAAACAATATATATCCGAACAATCTTCACATTTAAACACATACCAGCAGTGAGTTTGTTGACTTCTTCTTGTTGGGCGTTGATTTTTTGAATGGCGTTCAAGAGTTGTGGATCCATTTTTAATTTTTTATTATTCTTTCTTATCATCATACAACAATCAAGTCTTCATCCCATTAGTATTCAATGAATATTTATTCATCAACTATTCAAAGAACAGATAATAAAACAAATTATTCATTACTACTAGTATGAATTATTAAAGCTTTGAGAGGTTCTAGTAACAAAAGAATAAAAAATGACCACACGGATGATACTTGGCACAGCAAATCACCACCAGCTTAACACGTGTTCAGTGTCATCTTCACCACCTATGAGTAGATTCTTTTATTCACTTTTGTTATTGTGTTTTATTAGCACATTGATGATAACTTCTCAAATTGTCATGGGAAATGAATTGGAAACTAATAATTGTATTCACCGATCGGATCCAGTCTTTCAAACCACTCTCTACAATCACACAATGAAGTGGGGAACCTATCGACCACAAGTAATATTCGGAATGAAAACTAGAAATCCAAAGTCTGTTATTACAGGATTAATGTGGAACAGAGCAGATACTTGGGATGGAGTTAACAAGATGAGACACAATAGTAATATGGATTTTAATAATGTAGTCTATGGGTGGAATAGACATGATGGACAAAACTTTGCCATGCAAACAATCAAAGATCACGAAAATTCTCTTCAAATCGAAACTAGAATGATGAAACATGTTTCGGAAAATACATTTGTTCCTTCTGTTAATGAAAAGGGGGGTGATTGGACTGTTAGACTTATTGGAAAGGAATTGAAACAAATGAAAACCAAGCAAGCCATGTCTGTTTGTTTCTATATTGCTCTTGAAAATGATGGAGAAGGATCATTTAGAATTTCTGGAATCCAAGGTTCAAAGAAGCAAGGTCTTCCATCCAATCTTCCAGTAATTATTAGAGGAAACAGTGGTGACATTGGAGATTTTTCCATGTACTTTACCTCTAATGAAAAATCTCAAGTTGATGAACATGCAAACTTTTATTTCTATGGTGTGAAGAGAACTCCAAGTGATGTGTGGAAAATTGGAGATGAAGTTAAGGAAATGTTCTCTTCTCAAATGAAAAAATCCTTCCAACAAATGATTGAAGATCAACAAGAAAGAAGACAAAAAGGATTGCCAGAACAAAAAGACTATCCAATCCCAATTGCCACTTTGCCAAACTTTATTGAGGAAGACAGCAATATCCTTGTTATTCAAAAATTTTTCTATGCACCATTTGATTTGAATGTTGCATTCCTTTCACATGAGCAACATCCAGATATTTTCTCCAACTTCCAAATTAAGCAACATGGTTCAGATCATATCGACAACTTTGATAACAATATTAAGCAACTCAAGACATGCTTTGAACAAAAGTTCCAAGAAACTTTCAACCTTAAGGAAAAGAACTTGAAAGAAGATGAAAAAGAAATGACCATGTATGCTCTTTCTAATCTTGTGGGAGGTATTGGATATTATTATGGTGATTCTTATCATCAAAAGGGAAATCTTCAAGAAATTAGAACCATTGAGCCATATGCCTTGTTTACTGCCTGTCCATGTAGATCATTCTTCCCTCGTGGATTCTTGTGGGATGAAGGTTTCCACTCTCTTCTTATTCAAAAGTGGAATAAGCAAATTGCAAAGGATATTATTAACAATTGGTTCAATGTTATGGATAAGAGTACTGGATGGATTCCAAGAGAACAAATTCTTGGAGCAGAAGCCAGAACAAGAGTTCCAGAACAATTCCAAGTCCAACACGATACTCACGCCAATCCTCCAATGCTCTTCCTTGCTGTTTTGGAGTTATTGAAGAATCATGCTAGAAATCATCAAATTGAACTAGATTTGGATGCCACACAAAGAGTAGCATCATTGTCTGAATCAGAAGCTATGGTTTCTTTCCTCAATCAAGTCTATCCTAACATGAAGAAGAATTATGAATGGTATTTGTCCACACAAAAAGGAAAGATTCCAAACTCATACAGATGGAGAGGTAGAACTCCTGGTCATACACTTTCTTCTGGTCTTGATGATTATCCAAGAGGTAATGTTGAACCTAGTGATGACGAACGTCACTTGGATTTGTATTGCTGGATTTACATGATGACAGACACAATGAACAAGATTAATAATATTATTTTCAAGAAGGACGATCCAGTATTAGTTGAAAGACTCAAGACTTTGAAATCCAATATCAAGACTCAACATTACAATAAGAATATTGAATGGTTTAGTGACTATGCTGGTAAACCTGTTGGCAATGATACTAGACCAGAATTTTCACCTCACATTGGTTATATTTCACTTTTCCCATTCCTCTTTGATGTTCCTGACTTTGAACAAGAACCAAAACTTCTTCAACATGCCTTGGACACTATCATTAGAGATAAATTATGGACCGTGCACGGTTTGACATCTTTGAGTCAAACTGACCCAATGTTTGGAACTAAGGAAAATTACTGGAGAGGCCCTATTTGGATTAATTTGAATTATTTGACTTTGAGAGCTCTTCACAATTGTAAGCAGAAATCAGCAAGATGTGGTGAAGTTTATAATGCTCTCAGAACCAACATTATTCAAACATTATATAACGAATGGAGAAGATCTAGAACCCTCTACGAACAATATAATGCTCAAACCGGGAAGGGGCAAGGAGCTCATCCTTTCACTGGTTGGTCTGCTCTTATCACTCTCATCATGGGAGAAATATATGAATAAATGTCAGACATTTATTGCTCCACATTATGGATTACTTCTTTCCTTTCTATTCTGCTTTGTATGCTCCTTTTATCTGACATGCAATTCGATAGTATTAATTCAAGACAAAAACAATTTCAGGAAAATAGCCGGGTATGTGAGGAATTGAAGAATTTGAAAGGATTCAAACACATTTGAACTGTCCTAATAGAATCCCTAAACAATAACTTTACTTTCTTTTGTTAAAACCGTTGGGATGATGTCAATATAAAAAACATTCTCCCCCTGGTGGGCTCGAACCACCGACCTGCAGATTAACAGTCTGACGCTCTGCCGACTGAGCTAAGGGGGAACATATTAAGGATATGTTGCAGCCTTAGTGTGAAAATATCCACTATTACATTTATTTAAATTATTGCATTGGGAAACTTAGCTTCCAAATATCTCAATACTTTCTTTTGAGTTTCTAAATTAGCATCTTCGCGTGCTGCTATATTCTGCCAACTATAATAAACTCTTGAGAGGCAATTTGAAACAACATCAATTTTAAATTTCTCAGTTACATGATCAACTATTTTCTGCAATGTGGCAAACCTAACATCTGAATTCAGAGAGTGAACAAATGAATCAATACAGGTCAATCGTAGACCTAATTTTGAGGAGAGATATTCAATGTTTTCCAAATATTCTTCTGAAGGGCAGATAAATCTATTTAGAATGTCATTTTCATGTTTAGGTGGTCTAATATATTTGATATTCCTCTCCTCAATCAAATATTTCAAGGTTGGTATTTTTTTATAGCTTTTGCTCATCAATGTTTCATGAATTATATATGGATATTGTTTTAGATCTATACCCTGCTCAACAACAAGTTTGAGTAGATTGAGTGTATCATCTGATGATGATACTAGTGGAATAGGTAGTAAATTCAAATACTGTCCATAACCCATTTTTACAAGCTCATAAATTTCCTTATCAATGTTTGGAGAATCATCATTAAAATAACGAAGGTGATTGCTGTTTATAAACATATCACTCACACACTTAGATATGTCGTCTCTAGAAAAATTATCCAATAAATAAACTTTCAATTTGGTTATGAGATAGTTCAATTTTTTAGCAAAATCAACGTAGGTTTCAGATATTTCACCCAAAAGACGAGGCAATATCCTTTTCATAAATAAAGGTCTGAAATCTCTCTGTCTATACTTTTTCAATAAAATAACTAATTGATCAAGATTTTCCTTAGAGAAAAAATTCTTGTTAAATGCATGGATTAAAATATCAAATGGCACACTTTTTCCTTTGCTTTTTTCAATATCAGCCAAAATATAGTTCTTTTGAATGAAGTCACGTGAAAAATATGTATATTGCAAACATGGCAAAACGTTTGCTTCATACTTTTCAACAAGAGTGTCAAACAAATGTTGTTTCTGTTCATCATATCCAAAAAAATGCATGCACAAATATTGAAGCAAAGTTCTGTCGTAAATTTTGAATTGGCAAATTTCTTTTGGTGTTTTACCAAATGGTTTCGTTTCCATATAATTTACAATATTTTTCCAAGCTTCCACCTCATCATCATTAATTCTATCTTTAAGGATTAATAAATTCTCAATCTTGGTTTGAATGGCAAACCATTTTCTCTTTTCAAATAATTTTCTTGTCATTGTCTTGTATATAATTTCTTGGTTGACTTGAATTTTCTCCAATCTCTCCAAGTACTTTAAATAATTCTTAGGATGATGGTTTAAACAACATCTCTTTGGCCTTCCAAAGCGACATCTATATGTAAATAGTGCTGCTTCTTTATGTTCTTGTTGTTTCAACACATTTTCCTTCTCTTCTTTAATCATCTTTTTCAACAGGATTGACCAAAAATTTCCCGATTGTGTAGCTTCATACCAATCCTTGCAAACGAGCATGAATTGATTCGTATTATGCAAAACAGAGATGCTATCACCAATGTAATGAATGAAAATCTCTCGCAGAATGTCTGTGTGCATTTTTTTGAAATTGAATTTTCAAAATGAGCCAGTTTACTTGCATGTTGAAAACATGTTGAAACTTCAAGTAAAAAATGTTCGAACACGAGTTGCATGTACATGAAGTTGCTCACATTGTGTCATTCCTTCCGATAGATGAAATAATTAAGTGCAGGAGAGTGAATAATGTGTGGAAGAGAGGTGTTCATTCCAATCAAGTTTTCTGGAAGATGATGTATTGTGATTATTATAGGATTGATCAATATTATACACTTACTAATGATAATAATTGTTGTTGGTTATCTAAATTATTGGAAATTACTTGGAAAATTCCTAAAAAACAAAATGATGCCAAAGATCAACCATATGAAGTTAATAGTTTGGAGATTGCAGATAATTATCAATCATTCTTTAAACAGGAAGATGATAGAGAAGATTATTATTGTACAAATACTCTGCTTTTAGAAGCAAATAGAGCATCTTTTAAATTTAGAAAGGAAATTCCATTGAATGTAGAGGATATATTGGATCATTACATTATCACTATTGTATATGATTCATTGACAGTTTCTGGATACACTCCTAATTTATTTATTGACAAAGTGAAAGCTGAGCTTTGTGAAAATAGGTTAGGTATCGAAATGACAACAGAAATACCTCTATTGACATTCCTTTCTTGTGTTTTGAAAGCTGATAATTATGCAGACAATTTTTCCAAGTTATCTCAATATTTAATGCCACATGAAACTGTAATTCAATATGATATTGGTTTGAATGTTGAAAATTTCACACCAATGATATCTCCTTTTGAATTAATTGAAGTATTGAATGTCAATGATGTAAAATTATCAGATAGACATGAGCCACTTTATTTGTCAAATCTTGAAGGATATATATTTCCTTCATATTATAATGCTGGTGGAGGATATACGGACAACTTAGACCTTAAGGTAATAGTTGATGATTCAGATAGAAGAATTGTAAATATTGAAAGAACATGTCGTAGAGATTACTATTAAACAAAATTCAAAATACTAAGCGATTAAAAATTACCTTAATCAACCTTAATGTAATCCCGTGTAGTCCAATGGCTAGGATACCTGGCTTTCACCCAGGAGGTCCGGGTTCAATTCCCGGCATGGGAGGATGCTTTTGATTGTTGTGTTTTGCATTTAACCTCTTAAATCAGTTTAGGTCCAAATTACGTATATTATTCATTCATGTACAATGAACACAACGCAAAGACCAACTTAATTTGACAATCCAACCTTAATAATTGAAGAATACAACCACCCTTATTGAGTCAATGAATTCATATCATCTCAAGTAACAAGCAGTACACGCAAACGTTCTCAAGGTAACCCTCTATCCATGAATTATCTATTTTTAAAGGTGAACTTTGTTTTCCAAGGCAAAATAAAAAGGCCACGATCATATCTCAATTCCAAATAACTAAAAAAACAAGTCAATCAATATTAATATAATAATTAGAAAATGATTAGTAACACAATTAATAACAACACCAATGCTTCCGAACCAATTGGAATTAAATTAAATTATATGATGAAGAAGCATGATGATATTCAAATTATTGAACAAAGTGTACCTTCTTTCTCTCCATTGGAAAATCTTCAAGATTTGAAAGATTATATTGAAAAGCAATTTAATTCAAATTTGAATGATGATGAAGAACCAAAATCTGTCAAGATTGTTAAGGTTAAGGATTTTAAGGCAAAATCTGGTAAAAAATTTAGAGTCCTTCATACTGATGAAGATTGGACCAATTCTATTAATTCCATTCTTCAACATCGTCTTGATTCCTCCATCACAACTTCTGTTGAATCATTCATTGTTGATTTCAAGATTAGAATGAAAAAGTTAAAGAAGGATAAAGTTTCCAATGACAAGCGTGAAAGAAAAGCTGAAAGAGAGCTCAAGAAACAAGAACGTCAAGAAAAACGTCGTTTCCAAAATGAAGAATCTCAAAAGATTCATACTGATGATGTAATTCTTGTAGATGAAAGTACTGGAATTGCATCCAAGATGAATCCAGAAATTAGTAGAATTGTAATTGATGGTAATAATCTCTTCTTCCAAACCAGTACTTTGAGAGGTTTAATTCTAAAGAGTAAGAAGAAACACCTCGTTGAAGAATTACTAGTCCATATGGCCAAAAAGTATTCTCAGTTCTCTGAAACAACTTTAAATCAAAAATTGAATTTAATGCATGTTGTTTTCGATGCTTCAAGCAATCAAGTTAATGGTACTTTCAATGATGGAACATTTGTTGTTTCATCTGCCAAGAAGGAAGGTTTCACCATTGCTGATGATATGCTTGTTGAATTGGCAAATAGACAAAATATTGCTGGCACTTTGGATTCTTGTCTATTTGTTACATCCGATAGAGGATTGAGAGAACGTTTGAAGTCTATTGGTGCTAAATGTATCAAGTCTGGAAGATGGATGGCATTTACTCATGCTCATCTTTGTCCAAATGCATCCACCACTTCAATTAATGAATGGACTGCTCAATTATTGAGTGAAGTTACCAATGAAAGAAACTAAATAAAACATTTTTTCACATTAAAGATATTTTGTAAAATATTTATCCACGAAAACAGTTAGAAAAAATGATCAACCAAGATATTATTGATTATACCATTGCCAACACAGAAGAAATTAAAAATCTCTCGCATTGGTATTGTATTTCTCCCGAACTCGATCAGAATTATATTCTTGGTATGCAATCTGATGTTGTACCTCCAACCAATTTTGAAAGTTATTGGAAAGGTTTCGTTAGTAATTATGGTATCAACACCTCTCTGATAGATTACATTCAGCAAAATATCGGCTATTATCTGAGAAGAGAAAATGTTGCCTCTTCCGATCAAGTAAAAAAGAAAATTGAAAATAATGGTGTTGGTTTCATTTTGGTGAAATACGAAAGTGAAAATACTGATGAACAAGATGTATTCAATATTAGCATTCCTAATAGAAAGGTCAATTTACAAGTTTCCAAGAAAATACTTTCCAGAGAATGCAAAGTTTTTGAGAGAATGTTAAATAGTGAAATGATTGAAGCAAGAACAAGTGAAATGACACTTGAGACATCTGATAAGTATTTTGAATGGATGATTGACTATGTGCACATTGGATATTTGGGTTCTGATAAGTTAACATTCGAATCAAAATCAGAAAGTGAAATTATTGTTAAAATGGATGATTTAATAGGTTTGCTACAAATCGCAGATGAATATCAAGTTGAGAGTTTAACAAAATCCATTTCCAAAGTTTGTAATGCCTACAATGCTCTCACTATTTCACTTGCATCCATTGAATTATCTGAAGATTGCAAATCAATAATTTATGAAGAGACTATTCCAATTATTTCTGCACAACCATCTTGCATTATATGTGATCCAATTTATAGAAAGGTTGGTTATACAGAGCTCGAAGAGGATCTCAGTTGTTATTCAACAAAGGACAAGAAGTTATTCAAACAAACTTTGATGCAACATGTTCCAATATTTACAGAGAAAGATTTGCATGCAATGATTAGCTATGTTGTTAGCAAATACGCTCATTACAAGGTGATTGGAAGAATGCCATTCGAGTTGCTAAAACAAATTCTATTGAGTTTATTGTCGAATGGTGATTTGATGGCTGTCACTTACTTTTTGATTTTTTGGGTGGTTACAGATTATGAAGCAAGATTTGAGGAAGCTTACAAATTCGTGCTCGAGTTTATTGATTTTTCAAAAATTAATGATGATGAGATTTTGTTTCCATTCTTTTCAATTTTTGTAAATCTTGGAAAGGAAGATTTATTCACATCTGCCAAAAATCAACTGAAGGATATTATGCTCAAATCACTTCTGCACGTAAGAGGAGTTCCAAAAGAACTATTGGGTCTCCAAGAAATTAAGGTCCTCGAGAAGAAACAGAAGAAACGAACCAAAAAGAATGGATTTTTAATTGGTCTTGATGGTGGTGGTAAAACAACCCTCCTGTACAAGTGGTATTTGGGTGAAGTTGTGTTAACTATTCCAACTGATAAGTTTAACACACAAATGATTAATTACAAAGATGTTGACTTTACAATTGTAAGTAATTTATTTTTTACCATCTTAATTTAATATTTGAATAGAAAGATTTTGGTGGATTAGCCAACTTGTGGAAAGATTATGCACAAGAAGCAGATTTTGTAATATTTGTTGTTGATTCTACAGACACTGGCAGAATGAATCAAGCCAAAGATTTACTTTGGACTGTTTTGGAAAGTATTCCAAAGAAAACTTCAATTGTTGTGTTTTGTAATAAGCAGGATTTCTTCAGTGCTGCATCTTGCGCCAATATCGCCAATGATTTGAATCTGAACAGCATAACAGATAGAAAATGGTACATACAAGCAGGTTGTGCACTCACTGGAGATGGAATCTATGAGTCAATTGATCATATTTTGACATTCTTTGTGCCACAGAAAATTGATTTCTTTGGGAAAGTTGATTTTAACATAGCCAGTGAGTGGGAATGGGTTTTATAAAAAAGATGAGTAGATGGTATTATTCAAGTTGAATAAAGATATAGGTTGTTATTTTTTTGATGAATCTATTTAAATTGATAGAATGAGAGTTTCAATTAATTGAGGAAGGCACTCTTAATGATAGACCAACATTATACGGAACAAATTTCTTATTCAACTTTTGGCTGTCGTTGAACTGAATTTTGCATTCGATAAAAATATTGAATTTAAAATTTTGATTGTGAACAGATAAAAAAAATGACCAAGAACAGAAAGAATAACAAACAACAAAAGCCTGCTGCAGGCAACAAGAAGGAAGAGGAAAAAGTTGATACCAACTTGATGGTAGATGAAGTACCTGAAAAGAGTCAACAAGGAGTTAAACGTAAAAATGAAAAAGTTACATCATCCGGAGAAGAACCAACTCTTGAATCACTCACTAAAAAAGCCAAGAAGGAAACCAATGATACCGAAGAATATATTAACGCTACACAAGATCCTACCTTTACAGGCAAAATTACCACCAACTCTTCTAAAATTTATAAGAATATACTATTGATTTCAAATCTTGCCCTCTCTGTTGATGAAATCGTACTCAAGGGCTGTATGAATGAAATTGCCGAAGCTAGTGGTAATTCTGCACAAAAGCTTAAGGAAATTTTGATTTTCCAAAAGAATTTATCATCAAAGGAATCTGAAGCTTTGGCTAGTAATGCTTTGAGAAATGCACAACAAAAGAATACTAACAATAAGCAAGCTACTCTTATTCAAGGTCCAAAGGCTGCTATTGTTATTTTTGAAAAGGAATTTGCAAATGCACAAGTTTTTGAAGATTACAATGGAGCTATTATTGAAGGTATTCCAATTAACATTCGTTTTGCTTGTGAAAATGACAAGGCATGTTTAATGGTTGTCAAGGGAGCTCCAATCACTGAAGAAGAATTATGGTCATATGTTGAAGAATGTGGTTCTCTTGTCTCGATAGAAAGTTCAAAGAGTAACAAGAATCAATTTATGATTTTATTCAAGGAATGGCGTAGTGTTCGTGAATGTCTCTTATATAATGGTGCCGATGTACATGGTGCTCCTTGCAGAATTTTCGCTTGCATGTTTCCTGCTCCAACAAATCATTCATCGAAATTCAAAGGTGGAAATAAAGGTGGAAAGAAATATTAAATTTATTTATAAAAAATTAATTAGTATTCTCTTATTTGATGAAGTAATTTCATTTGATTGGAACCATTCCGATGTTGATGAACAGAAAAGCAAAATCAAATAAAAATACAATTTAAAAAAATATTCGTGATGAGTTCGGTGCAGCAGAGGATATTAAAATGTATTAGTGAAATGGTTCTTACCTTTAAAGCTCTTTGTGCTGCAATATCAAAAGGTACAAGAACACTGACAGGAGAGACTGCTAAAAGCAAGGCTCTTGTAGCTATGATCAAGAATGAAATCATGTTACAAACAGAATTATTAATAGAAAAGGATAAAGAATTAAAAACATTATTACTAGAATTAGTGGAAAATCAAAAGTTTCAAAGAAAGATCGATCAAACAAAACAAATTTTGGACGAAAAGGAATATAAAATTGCTAAATTAACAGAAGCATTGGAAACTGTACATTCAAAATTAGGAAATGCACTACATCAATCATCTCCGATTGTTAAATCTATCAAGGAGTCTAAGAATTTAAATTTGGATGAAGTATTTTCATATTCACATTTCATAAGTAAGGTAACCAGTGAACAGCCAGCTCTGAAAGAAAGTGACATGCAATTAGCACCTTTCCCAGCTCCAGAAATTTGGCCTCTATCACTCCTATATCCAAGCACCTTACGATTGTACAAAACTAAATATACAGAAAAGCTCAATGCAGAAAAAGAACAAGAAGAACAAAAGATTCCTCGAATTGACTTTGATAAATTCCAATATGAAACTAATGCAGCAGTGCCAACAACTCAAAAAGCTAAGATTTCACTGTTTGGAGATGACAGTGATGATTCTGACGATTCTGATGATTAAATTATTATTTATTAATTTGATTACATGTATTAATATTCAAATTTCAAATCATTTGAAGAAAAGAATATAATTTATTTAAAAAACATACTCAATTCATAATTGTTATCTTTCAATAATATTACAAATATCAATAGAGTTTTAATTTGAATTCAAATAAACCCAATTTCGCCTCCATCACCAATTAACTCCAAATTAAAAACAATTAAAAAATATCGAAACTTTTCATCACCTAGTTGTGTTGTGGAATAGGAATACCGATAATCAATAATACAATAATACGGAAATGCACCCAGTTGTTAAGGAAGGAGACCACAGCAAGGAGTGTGTCGATGCTATGAATGCATTGATGGAATGTTATAAAACAAGAAATGTTGTTAACTTTTTGAATCCTTGTACGGATAAGAAAAAGTTATTGGATATTTGTCTTGATAACGAATATGAAACAAGATATGCTCAAAATCAAAAAGAAGCTGAAAAGGTTTATCCTGCCTTCCATCAATTGAAGAAATTAAGAGAAGAACAAGAAAAGAAGTCCAAAGAAAACAGAAAACTCTCCGCAGAAGAAAAGGCTAAAATTCTTGAAAGAGAAGGTAACAAGGTTTAAAGAACACAAACAATCGATATTGACATTACTTTAATGGATAGACAATAATTTTAAAATTCGAGAATGAATATTTCATGTACGGAACAACAAGACATGAATCAAATAATCATTTCAATTTTCCATCAATGATTATAAAAATAATAATTTATTAAACTCTTCAACCTCTCTTCTTAAAGGAAATTGAATATGATCTCCTAACCCAACCATTGAGAATTGTCTTTGTAAATTGATAATAGAAGAGTAATTTGTAGCACACCGAATTCCCTGCCAATTCTCTCAACCTATTACCTTTCGGATTAACACAATCAAAAAAATGAGCGGATTTAACGTTGTTGGAAGTAATAGAGTCAAGAATTGTCTTGTTATTGGAGGAGCAGGATTTTTGGGTCAACATCTTGTTGAAGACTTGAAGGCCAAGGGATATAATGTCGGTGTTATGGATATCAGAGAACCAACCATCACAAAGGATGTTAAATTTTACAAGACCGATATTTGCAACAAGGAGGTAAGTTCATAGTTTTTCCACAGTGTGTGACATGGTAATTTAACATTTATATAGCAAGTTCTTGAAGCTTTCCAAGATTTTAATGTAGATACTGTTTTCCACACTGCCACTCCTGATCCTTTCAAATCACCAGCTGCAGTTCTCTACAAGGTCAATGTTGAAGGCACTCGTAATTTGTTGGATTGTTTAATTGAAACTGCTTCTGGAAAGGAAACCAAGAATTTCGTTCTTGTTTCATCTGCATCTGTAGTTTTTGATGGTACTGATACCAATAATTGTGATGAAACTAAACCATATGTCAAATCAGGTGTTAATGTTTATACTGACACCAAAGTTGAACAAGAAAAATTAACACTTAAATATGGTAAAGAACATAAGGATAAGATCAGAACTGTTGCTATTAGACCAGCAAGTATTTTCGGTGAAAGAGATTTATTATTTATTCCTACTGTTTTAGATAATGGTAAGGCAGGAAAGACCAAGTTCTATGTCGGAAATGGTAAAAATTATATGGATTATACATATGTTAAGAACGTCACACACTCACTCATTTTAGCATCAACTCATTTGGATAAAGATGAAGTTAGTGGTGAACCATTCTTTGTCACAAATCAAGAACCTGAATTGTTCTGGGGATTTATGGCTGATATTTTGAAGGAATTCAATTATCCAACTCCAAAGATTGGTGTTCCAGTCCAAATTATGTATGTCATCAGCTACATTTTGTTGATTGTTGCCTTTGTTTTGAAGTTCTGTGGTATCAAGTTTGCTATTCCACCACAATTTGAATTGGATAAGAATGCCTTGTTAGTTGCTGATAGAAGATTCAATTCCACAAAAGCTACTCGTTTATTCACATATAAGCCTGTTTATGATATGAAGGAAGCCAAGAAGAGAACAGTTGGTTACTTTAAACAAGTTCACAAATAAATAATATTCAGTATTAATTCAATCTATTATTCGTCTTTCTATTTACCATTAAACAAAAAGGTGCCTAATAAGATTAATTCAATCAAAAAAAATGTCGTATCATACGAAGTGTGTGAAAGGAATGGCTGATTTCCTTCCTTCACAATTTTCAACCAAGTGCTATTCAAAAATTATTAGAGTCGGAGAACAAACAGCAAAGACATTCGATTATCAATTTGCACAAACTCCAATCGTAGAGGAGAGAAAATTATTCGAGAGAACTCTCGGAGCCGACACTGATATTATATCAAAGGAAATGTTTATTCTCTCATCACGTGATGCTATTGAAGGAAATAAGTTATGTTTGAGACCTGAAGGAACAGCACCAATTATGAGAAGTGTTATCGAAAATGCTCTCTCAACAAAACAAAGAATTTACTATTATGGACCAATGTTTAGATACGAAAGACCACAGAAAGGAAGATATCGTCAATTTCATCAATTTGGAGTGGAATATTTAGGAAGTGATCATTATCAAAGTGATTTGGAATCTTTGGAAATGGCTTATCAATTTTTAACAAATGTTCTTGATGGTAGAAATGATGTATTTCAATTGGAAATTAACTCTATTGGAACTTTGAAAGAACGTGAAAATTATCAACATGCTCTCTTAGAATATGTTAAAAAGAATAAGGAATTATTTGATCAGGAGGAAAATCTTTCAAAGGACAGTAGAGCTAGAGTTGAAATTGCCATTGCAGAAAATAATCCAAGAAGAATTTGGAGAATTCTCGACTCTAAACAGGATGAAGATTTTATTGCAAATTTGATTGAAAAACATGATATGCCCCAATTAGCTCAATTTCAAAGTGAGGAAAATAGAAAACGATTTGAAAATGTACTTTTAGGATTGAAATGGTTGAAAATTCCATACAAGATTAACTCATCTCTTATTAGAGGTCTTGATTACTATACCCATACAACATTTGAATTTAAGAGCAATGTTATTGGTGCCAAATCAACCATTCTCGCAGGTGGGCGTTATGATACATTATCTCAACAATTAGGAGCCAATCAACAAATTCCAGCTGTTGGGTAAGTTAACTCTGTTTTGATATTAACAAAATATTTCAAAATTTAACATCTAACTAGTTGGGCTAGTGGATTTGAAAGACTTTCCTTAATTATGGAAGAACTGGAAAAGGGAAATACTCAACCTCAACCAGAATACATTCCAAAAGTATTCGTTTCAGTCGTCAGAGGCACAAATGAAGCTATTGATCAGGAAATGTCTAAATTTGCTATTATTCTATCCCAACAATTACGTAAACAAGGCATTACAATCAATTATTTTGAGAAGGGAAATTTATCAAAACAATTGAAACAAGCCCAACAAAGTAAATCACTCCTCACAATTATTATTGGAGAGGATGAATTGAAGGGAGGTAAAATTTCAATTAAGAATATGGAATCTGGAGAACAGAAAAAAATTCTACTTGAATCACTTACTGATGAAATTCAAGAATCACTTCAATCCTATTTGGCAAAGTACCCTTCACATTTTCAATAATAAATATGTGTAGTTAATTGGCGCCAAAAATTTCCCGCCAATAAGAAAAAAATGTATGAAAATTCTCAACAAACAAAACGAGTGCTTGGCTCATCAATAAGACAAACAACACTTTCGCCCAATACCACTCACTCTCAGATTAACAAGGAAAAAGTAAATGTATCATCACTAAGGAAGAAAACCCCTTCAATCGAAAATACATCATCAATACGAACATCAAAAACAAAATTATTTAAATATACGGAAATTAATGATGAGGAGAATCAACATTATGATGAAGATGAATATTTGGAAGAGGAAAATACAGACATGGAATCTCCAGTAATGGTAGATTCTTGTCACGAACAACAAGGAAACAAAAAACTGATCAAACCATCAGCCATCTTTTCCTCACTGAGAGAAATGCAAGCAGAGATGAAGAGTCTCTCCTCAATACAAGATGATCTGCTTCAATCATCTCATGATGAAAACAGTGATATCAGCGTTCTAATTGAGGATGTTGAAGAAATTAAACCAGGCAAAAAACTAAATAATACTAATCGCAAACAAGTTGTGATAGAAACTTATTGCGATACAGAGGATGATCAAATTGAAAACACAGACATTGAGGAAGAGGAGGAGGAAGAGCAATACATACCCAAGAAACAAGTAGTTTCTAAACCACCAACATCAGTAAATCAACTACTGGAGAAACATAGAAGGGAAAACGAAGAAAGAAAAAAACAGGGTGCAACACCATTCACATTTGATGACATTTCTCAATGTAGCGACGATGAAACAACTCAAATTGAGTTAACAGAAACTGAAGACAATGTAAATACAATGAAAACAAGACCTGTTTCTGTAAAAGCTTCAACAGAAACTAAAATTCCTCCAAAGGCCGTTGTTTCAGAAATTGCCCAACAAGTGGTAGCTGAAAACCAAGCTCAAAAAAAAATAACCCCCAATGTTACTTTTGCAAGCCCTGAACCTAGTGATGTTTCTCCAATAATTGCTCCTAAATTACCTAAGGCTAAGGAAACTCAACCACAAACCAAAAAGCAAAGGCCAATCAACCAACAACCAGAACGAATTGAGGATGATCGAGTTCGAGTGGAAAAGAAGAAAAGAGATCTGGAGAAAGATGTTTTGTTAAGAGATTATGAACGAAGACTAGCATCTCTATCAAATCAAGTTGTGGAGTATGAAGCACTTCTTGAAGCTCACGAAGAAAGAACCTCAACTATTGAACGAGAAAAAGATTTAGAACTCCAAGCACTTAGAGGTTTATACGAAGAGAAATGGATAGAGTTCAAACAAAAAGAAAAGGAATGGAATGAGAGAATAATAACATCATGCAATGAGTCAGCAGATTTAAGTTCAAAAACAAAGAAGCAAAACGAGCAGCTTTTGCAACTAAGACAAAAATTACAAGCCAAAACAGACGAAGCAAATCAACTTCAAAAAACTCTTAAGGAAAAGGAGACTGAATGGAAGGAAAAGGAAAAATCTTATGTAAATATTAGAAAGAGATATGACGAATTGTTAAATCACTCTAGGGAAATTAAAAAACATGCTGAGCAGCTAGGAACAGAAGTCAATGATTTGAGGAAATATAATGAAGAGCTTTCACAAAAGATTGATGAAACAGTTAAAAACCATAAGGTTAAATCCAAGGAACTAAAAGAGAAAAATGAAAAATTAACTAGTCAGTAAGTTGTCATATGTTAATTTAATTCTAACATGAACAGAATTCAACAACAACACGATACCTTGGAAGCCCTCTCAAAGAAAATTGAAGAGGAAAGACGAAGCTACATGGAAAAAGAGGAAAAAATCAAGGAGTTGGAAAGTGAATCCAAAGATATGGCAAGAAACTATCAAGAACTGCGACAAACCCTTGTTAATCTAAGTAATGAAAAAGAAAACATCATATTGCAGGAAGAGGAAAAATACAATCAACGAGTAAAAGAGTTGCTCAAGAGTGAAAGTCAACTAAGGGATCAGAAATTAGAAAGCGAAAAAAGGATTGAGGAATATGAAGCCAAGTTTTTGAATCTTAAAAAAACAGTCGAAGAGCAATTAGATCAGTACAAAATCAAATATGAGGAAGAAAGAAAACGATCAAAGAAATTGCAGTTGATAGCCGAAAAACAAAAATCCAAGTTTTCTGAAGAGTATGAAAAGCTAAAGGATCAAATAATGAAAAGAGAGAAAATGTTTGAAGAAAAGATAATCGAGCTCAGGAAAACAGTTGACAATGAAAAGAAAGAGAATGAAAGGCTCCAAAGAAGATGTGAACATTTAGAGAGCATTAATAATGTAATGAACCCCTCTCCAAATATCAATGGTGGCTCAAGAGTAACAAGAGATTCAACGAAATCAAGAGATTCAGAGGTTAGAGAAACATCTGATAGTATTAAACCACTCTTTAGAAAAGCCGAACCAAAGATGGCATCACCCAAGCTGAATGAAACATCTCAATCACATATAGAGGATTCAAGCAATTCAAGTGATGATACAGACTCTGATTCTGATTCTTCACTTGAAGAGTCTGAATGTGGATCATCCTGTAGCACAATTAAGAGAAAGAAGAGACGTTTCAAAAAGGCTGTAGTAGAAATATCAAAACAAAAAACAAATCATTCCCCTAATTTATCTCACCCTCCAACTAAGGATCAAAAGAAGGATGAGGTCGAATACAACGTCAGTAGTACTGTTGTTGTAAGAAGAAAAAAAGAAGACCTTTCTCAACTCGAAATTTCAGGAGCTGAAGACACAGACACTTCTAACACCCATTCCATAACCAGATTGAAGGATTTTGAAAAACTCCAAGAAGAATGTAACAATGAATTCAAAGACTACAAGCAAAAGATGATGGATCTCATGAAGGATATCAATCATCATGGAAAGGAACTAGGCCAACTGAGATCCTTAGTTAAAAACACAACACCTGCCCTAAGCAAACAACAACCACAAAGCAAACCTAGAGCGCCATCAATTGAGCCAAAGAAGAAAAAGATTCTAAAATCTGGCTCTCCACTTAAAAAGAAAAAGTAAAATCTTTATTACATATTGATTTTTAAATTCTTGTTATTTAGTTTAATTTTTCATTTTATCATCCATTCCATATCTGAAAAACTCCATTAATCAAATAACCCAGCAGCACAAAAAACTAGCCGATACTCATCACTCTCGTTCTTTGAAAATTTTCAATCAAAATGGTGAGTGTTGTGAAAAATGACCCTTTTCCTTGAAGATAAAAAATGCTCAACTCTAAAAACCTTGTCGCCAGTGGTAGTCGTATCGTCAGGAAGATTGCTTCTTCATCATCACAGTCAAAACCTTGTATCGGGGCTGCCTCATCTGTTTTTTCACAAGGGTTCCACTTTGAGCACTCTAATCTCCTCCAAAAACATTCTCTTTTACAAAGATTACTTTCCCAACAACAAGAACGTTTCTTCTCCTCAAATTTACGTCAACATGATTCCAAAGTTGATTTATCTGGATCCAATTATATCAATATTTTAGATATTCCTCAAGTTGAATCTGAAGCTGATTCCGAAGGATTTGTCACAGTAAAGAATATTCGTAACTTGGCAATTATTGCTCACGTCGATACAGGTAAAACAACAATGATTGATTGTTTATTAAAACAAACAGGTACAATTAAAGATGATGCTGAAGAACGTACAATGGATAGTTTGGACTTGGAAAAGGAAAGAGGTATTACAATTATGGCTAAATTGACATCAGTTCAATATAAGGGTGAATATATTATCAATATTGTTGATACTCCAGGACATGCTGATTTTTCAGGTGAAGTGGAAAGAGTCATGTCAATGGTTGATGGTGTTTGTTTACTTGTTGATGCTACTGAAGGTGTTATGGCTCAAACAAAGTTTGTTTTGAGAAAGGCCTTAGAACATGGATTGAAACCAATTGTTATTTTCAACAAATCAGATCGTGAAACTGCTCGTATTGGAGGTGAAGTTGAAAATGAAGTTTATGACTTATTTATTGATTTGGGAGCTAATGATGAACAATTGGATTTCCCAATTTTATATGCCAGTGCCAAGAGTGGTTGGGCAGTTAAAGATTTTGAAAAGGATGAAAGAAAGAATACAGCTCCAATCTTTGAAGCAATTTTGGAACATATTCCATGTCCAAAAGTTAGACCATCTGCTGCAAGTCCATTCCAAATGCTTGTTAGTACAGTTGATTATGATAGAATTTTCGGTAGAATTGTTACTGGTAAAATGTATGGTGGTGCCGTTAAACCAGGTGATAGAGTTAAAGTTATGAGTAGAACTGGTGAAGTTTTAGAAGAAGGTAAAGTTTTACAAGTCATGCAAAGAATTGGTATGCAAAGAACACCTGTAAAGAGAGCTTTATCTGGTTCTATTGTATCCATTGCTGGTATTTCAAAGGCCAGTGTTACTGATACAGTTTGTGATGTTAAACAAGTTACAACTCCAATTGAAGCTAAACCAATTGATCCTCCAATTTTGTCTGTAATGTTCCTTGTCAATGACAGTCCATTGGCTGGTAAGGAAGGTAAATTATGTTCTGCAACTCAACTTCGTGCTCGTTTATTGAAGGAAGCTGAAATGAACGTCAGTTTAACAATTAAACCAATGGGTGAAGCTTTTGAAATTATGGGTCGTGGTGAAATGCAATTGGCTGTACTTATTGAAAATATGAGAAGAGAAGGTTATGAATTCCAAGTTTCTCCTCCAAGAGTCATCTTTAAGGATGTTGAAGGTGGTGGTAAGGATGATATTTTGGAACCAATTGAAGAAGTTACAATTGATGTTGATAATGGTTTGGCTGCTCAATGTATGGAAAAGCTTGCTAAGAGAAAGGGTGAAATGATTGATTATAAGGTTGATGGTATTAAGGCTAAATTACTTTATAGAGTTCCAACTCGTGGTCTCATTGGTTATGCTTCTGAATTCAGAACTGATACTCGTGGTGAAGGTATGCTCACTCACATTTTCAGTGATTATGAACCATACAAGGGACCTATTGAAAAGACTAGAAAGGGTGTCATGGTTTCACTTGAAGGTGGTAAAGGTACACCTTATGCTTTAGGTCCACTTGAAGCTAGAGGTAATATTTTCATTCATCCATCAGCTGAATGTTATGAAGGTATGATTGTTGGTGAACACAGTAGAGAAAATGATATTGAAGTTAATCCTTGTAAGGAAAAACACTTGACTAACATGAGAGCAGCAGGTAAGGAAGATACTATCAGATTATCTCCACCTCGAGTATTCCAATTGGAAGAAGTTTTGACTTATATCCAACAAGATGAACTTATTGAAGTTACACCAAAGAATATTCGTTTGAGAAAGAAAGTTTTGGGTGCCCTCGACAGAAAGATGGCCAAGAGAAAAGAAAAATAAATTTTGTCTTTATTTAACAAGGTTGTCTTTCAGTCGTCTGTTAATATTTTAGCACAAGATTTGAGAAAAAAGTTATTATATTGAGGATTGTTGTGGAATGAATGTGAAGCCTTCCTAGCTCAGTTGGCAGTAGCGCTGTCCTAGTAAGACAGAGGTCTTGGGTTCGATTCCCAAGGGAGGCAAATTTTAATATTTAAATGAATACTCTTTAAGCAAATACCACGTTATTTGATAGCACTACAAACTACACACCTCAGAAAGATACTAAAGCAAGAAATGAGCTAAAACAAAAAATTAGTGTGAAACAAAAAACATGTGCGACGAGAAAAGCAAGCAAAAAGAATCGTTTCCTAATCCTTGCTTTAGGTGCGAATAGATTGTAGTGAAAAGTATTTTTTATTTTTAAATAGTAAAAAAATGAGAGGAGAAAACAAGCGAGGGAAAGTGGGAAGAGCTTGTGCTGGATGTAGGAAGGCTCACCTTCGTTGTGATATGAAGAGACCTTGTGAACGTTGTCAAAAGAGAGGATTGGAATGTGTAGAGGCTCCCCTCACAAAACCACCAAAAGCATCAACAACACCAAAAGCACCAAAAACACCAAAATCACAAAAGAAGAGAAAAGAACCAAGTCCTGAAACAACACCTGAGGAATCTAACTCTCCGATCCCTGTTCCTACACCAACAGTAACAAGAGAGAAAAAGAAGAGACAAGTCCAATCATCATCTACTGCTGCAGCAGGCACATCATCTACTACTAATAACACAGCAACATCAACAACAACAACAACACAAAAAAAAGATGATCCAAATCAAGCCTGTCTTCAAGACAAATATGTGTATATTTTGGATAATTACCAAAAGGCATTGAATGAAAAGATGAATCAATTTTATTCACTTGTTTCACAAAAAGTCAGTTTGGAACCAAAATCTATCAATTTAACGTAAATAATGTTGATAGTAACTTGTAAAATATTGAAGGAGTGCTTGTCACAAACCACTAGGAAACTATTCAATTTTTAAAATAGAATTGGAAAATTAAGAAACAATTTAATTATAAATTACAATTGGAGTTTATTTACATTTAACGACTGCTTGTTCCAAAACGATTGAAAAAATCCTCTGTGACCTCATTAGCATACACTTGATTTACAAACTTTTCCTTTTGTTTCTTTTCTTCAGCTTGCCTTTTGTGTAATTCTAAAAGTTCAGCTGCTTGCTGCTTCTTTGCTCGTTCTTGTTCTCTTAATTGTAAGCCTGCCATCTTTGTTTCAAGCAAACGTTTCTTATCCCAATATTGTTGATTTAAACTTTCCGTATCTCTCTTTTGTTGTAATTCTCTGAGTTGTTCTTGTCTTACTTGTTCAATGTGTTCGTATTGATCTGGTCTCATATGCTTGAAGTGATCTGGTCTAAATCTATTAGGATCATTAACATTGAGAGTTGTGTGGAATGCCTCATTAAGGAGATGACTATTGAGTTGATTCTGTATTTCTTCTAATTTATCTAATTCTTCTTTCTCTCTTTGAAGCTTTTCTTTCTCTTCCTTGTCATTCCATTGTTCAACGTTGAATTCTTTTCTTTCTCTTTCCTTTTCAAGTTTTATCATATTCTCTTTTTCCCTTAATTCATAGGTCAATCTTTGAATTTCCAATTCCTTTTGCTCGAATAATTTTCTTTCCAAATCTTCCTTTTCCTTTACCATTTGTTTTTCATTGACTTGTTCTGAGACCCAACACTTCAATTGGTCTTGCTGAGCTTTAAGTCTTTCTTCACGACCCAAGTCCTCTCCGTGCATAATTTGCCCTCCTGAAATCGTCAAGCTAGGATCATAGTCACCAACTCTGATTGGTCTACTCTTTTTCAATTCATCAGGATCATTTAAATCAAATTCCCTTCTTGTATGAGGTAACTGTTCGTTTTTTCTAAAATCATTGACTTCCTTATAAACTTGTTTTTTAGTTTGATGCATTTCCTTCTCCATAATGTTGGCAACCTTTGCATGAACAAGGGAGGCTTGGTCGAAATATCTATCACGGTCTTGTTCTCGCTTCTTTATTTGCTCCTTTTCTTCAATTTGTGATTGTATACCAGCAACATCTAAACCCATTGTTCTTGCCTTTGGATCAAGAATTCTCTTCCTTCTTTCCTCTTCTGCTTGTCTTCTCTTCTCGATAGCCAATCTTTCCTTTGTCTCAACGTCGGTAAATGGGAACATTTTTTTGTTGTTGTTTTAAACTCCCTAACTGTAATAATTTTCAAATGAAAAAGTTTATTTTGGCGGGAAAGTTTTGTAAGGTGACTCAGTTGTATTGAATGATGAAAACAAATGATAGCTGTCAAAAATAGAATATTCTTTTATTAAGACATGGATAGTTAAAAACCCTCCACTATCACATCATAAGGAGAGCTATCTTGGCAAAAGGCAATATAATTCATTGAAGGATGTAAAATTGCTTTTGAAATACCGTCACGCTCAGTCTTGAATAACATCTTTCCGTCATTTAAATTCATTAAGAAAATACCAGTTACTTTCTTCTCATCATTCCTTGTGGAAAATAATATCAAATACTTTCCTTGTAATAATCGTACAGATACAGTGGTCACAAGAGATCCTATATCAGAGAAATTATGTACACAAATCAAATCTTGTATCTCAAATACTGAGACAGCTGAATCTTCTGAACCTACTATGAGATACTTGTCATCATGTGATATATCCAAACAAGTTATTGCTGACCTTCCAACTAGAATATATGGTTCTCTAATGTTTTCGTCAATCATTGGGTTGAATACTTTTGAAACATAGGTTGCAATTTTTTCGTCCTCCCTCACATAATAAATACGTCCATTTTCACTAGCAATGTATAAAGTTTTTCCTTTCCTATCCCACATCAGGTCAGTAATTTCCACTGGAAAACTCACACGTTCTTTCAGAGTGAGTTTTGAGCTAGATGTTACTTCTCCAATATTTGTTGGATGTGTACCATCTATTTGATATATTGTAATATTATTCTTTGAATCTACAACAGCCATTCTATGTCCTGTTGGACACCAATCAAAACATTTCAAATAAAGATCATTTACATTCAATTGTGTTGTTGGAGCTCCTCCAGTATATGTTGTTTGTTTTGTATCGAAAATTCTCAAACATCCCTTTGATGTAATACAAGCAAATTGATGTGAACAACAAGGATTGAATTTCACTTGTGTAACATCTCCTTTGTTTGCTCCTTGATATTCAACATCTCTAGGTTGCTATTGATAATTTGCCTCGGATCAAAGGCTCCAATCTAAAAACTTACTCTCGATGGTGTTGTGGTGGTATTTTCTGCTGTGTGATATTCATTGTGTAGTCTCAAAGTTCCTTCTTTGGTTCCGACTAGTAATTTTCCTTTAGGGTTGAAAGTTATTGCTCGTACTGGTTGTTTACCTCCTCTTAGAATTGGCATTTTTTAATATTTGATTAATTCTTTATTCAACTATTTAAATATCATCTATTTATTATAATTTCTTGTGTGTTTCTATTAATTTTGTTAATATTTTGTGTGTTTAAATTTACAATTATTCATCAGTCATTCTAGATTCACCTCCGTATGATGAGAGTGAATTTTCATTTTGTTGTACTTCTAGTTGATCATTATTTTCATCGATTACCATGGCTTCGGATTGCTTTCGTCTCTTTCTAGATCCTAGATCGTCACTTGGTGAACTCTTAGCAAATTGATAGTTTCTATTAGAGAGACAATGATGTTGTGGAGGTAATAATACACGTTGTTTTTTAGGTAAGAGGATTGGTTGTGAATTCTTCTGACTGGCCACTTCAAGTAAAAACTATATTTTGTTAATCATTTGTCATTAACATCACGAATTGTAACTTATTCTACTAACCTCAACTGGTGGTGGCTCTGTATATGAATGATTTACTCTTGTTTGAATGGCTAATCGGATGTCTTCCAAGTCCAAATCAGACCTTGAAGCATGGTCCATATAAACATACGAATCTTCAATAACTTCCGTTATATATCTATAGACTAATTCCAATAATTGTTCAATAACTCTTGGTTCGAATTCATTAATTCCCATACTTTGTAAAATCTTTTCAACAATGATAGCATCCTTAGGTACGTTTTGAATATCCTTGTCAGCAACATTTGCTTGATTAGACCCGTTTGTATTACTATTTCCTGTTGGATTTATTCCCGATGACGTATTTGATGGTGTTGTATTACTAGGCAGTGATGGATTAGGTTGTGTACTTGATGACATTTTTTTTTAATCTTCTTTAACAGCGGGAAGTCTTCATGACAAACAACAACAGAATAATTTATTTTGAAATTTTAATATTATCTTTTATTATTTACATTTAATAGTTATATTAGGATAAGTATTTGAAGTTAATAATTTTTAATAATAATTATTCCGTTTTTAATGAGCGCAAATTTGATTGAATAAAACAAAAAAATGAATAAGAGGGAAATTTCAATTATTAAAACCGTTCTCGCCAATAATAAGAATATTTCTCGGAAATGGCTGATGAGCAACAGATGTGGAATTATGAACGAATTGATGAGAAGTTTTCATAGTGGTAGAATTAGTGCTGATAAAAGTGATCCAAAATTTACATTGACAAATTACTCTGACAATGATGCCGATTTTAAATCAGCCTTCACTGGTAAAGTTTCTAAAGACTATGTTCCTTTCCATGCTAGACCAGGAGGTGTTCCACCTGAATTGAGAGCTCGTTTAAAACAAGAAAAGGAGGAAAATCCTGTATTCAGTATGGCCAGAACTATTACACTTTCGGTTTTAGCAATTTTAATTTTCTATAAGTATGCTTCCGACCAATTCAAAGAAACAGATATGGAGGAAGAAATTTTGAGAAAGACTGCTGTTGTTTTTAGAAGAAGAATTATGGAACTTCAAGTTACAAAAGGAGATTTAACACTTCAAAAGGTTGACGTCATTGTTAATCCAACAAATGGTAAATTGGAAGAAGAAGATTTTTTATCATATAACATCTCCAGAAGAGGTGGTGAAAAGTATTTGGAAAAACGTAAGGCTACTTTGGAAAAAATTGGAGGAGAACTCAAACCAGCAAATGCCTTTGTTGTTCCTAGTGAAGGTGGAAGTTTAATGTGTAAAAATGTGATTCATGTCACAGGTCCTGTTTGGAGTGGAGGTAAATCAAAGGAAGAAGATATTCTCGAAAAAACAGTTTTTGCAACATTGGCCAAGGTTGATGAATGTGAAGGCCATGTAGTTTCAATGCCTTGTTTGAGTTTGAATTTCCCAAAGAGAAAAGCTGCCGAAATTATGATTGATTCAATTTTGAAATATGCCTACGAAAGAGATATTGAACACAACACACCAAGCTCACTTCAAGTTGTAAAAATTGTTTCAGAAGATCAAGAATTCTTAGACCAAGTTTTATTTGTTTGGGATAAGAAGAAATCAAAAGGTCAATTAGTATAAATAAGGGTTTATTTCAAAATTTTTACTTCATGAGTTGTTTTTGCAATTTTACGTTCTCTTCTTGGATTGTTTGTAAATCCTTTGTAATCTTCTCAATATTTAGAGTATCATTACGTTCAGAAATGACATCAATTTGATTGTCCAAATCTCTGATAGTATTCAAAGCCTTGCCGTTCAATTGAACTTGTTCAATTAGAGCTTCGTAAAGACTTCTAATTTCAAGGAGATCTTTGTAAAGTTGCTTGTATTCAGTATCCTTTTGAGCTTCCTTGAAGATATTTTCTTCATTTTCTTGGAAGGTTCTACCGAGCTTTTCTGATAAATCACTAGTGTTGTCACTCAACTCTCTGCTTTGCTTAAGTACCTTGCTAATTTCTTCGTTTTGCTTTTCCACATTTTTAACAACATCCAAAATTCTGGTAACATAACTGGCACGATCTGATTCTTTTGGCATTTCTTCATATTCTTGTTTCTTCTTTGAAATTAACTCTTCCTTGGATCTAATGGTATGAATCAATTCATTCATTTGTTCACGAAGTTCCTTTGAAACATTTACCAAATCCTTGTATTCGTTCTTTTGATCTTTTATCTTTTCCTTTAACATGGCTTCTCTTTCTTTCAGAGGTGTGCTGTGTTGTTCCCATTCCTGTTTCAGAGTTTTTAATCGTTGTTCTGCTTGTTCAGTCATTGATTCTAATTGCTTAATGTTCTTTTCCTTATCTTGCAAAACAATAGCAGCAGTCTTGTTGATGGTAAACTCCTCTTCCAATTGTTTCTTTCTTTGTTTTTCCTCTGTGATGGCCTCTTCTAGTTTTTTCATTTCTGAGACAAGAGTATCCTTAGCTGTTTCAGCTTGATCAATCTTTTCATTAACTTTATCCAAAACAGATTGTAATTCATCCAATTCTTGTTGTCTTTCCTCTTCCTTTCTCTTCTTTTCCTCTTCGATATTGGCTGCATTTTGCTTTTCTTTTGGAGCCAATGGATTGGTAGTGAGCAATTTTTTAGACACATCATCAGTTTCATTTTCAAAGAGTTTTCTCTTTGAGAAAGTTGATGATGTATCAATCTTTCTATTATTCTTCAATGATTGCAACAAGTCAGAAAGGGATGGCATTCCATCTTCAGAGCTTGCAGAATCATCATTGTCAACAAATTTAGAACTTCCTCCCTTAAGAACATCTGAAACCTTAGTATTGATTTTTTGCTGTTTTTGTTTAAAGTATTCTTCACGAGTTAATCCAGAATCAATACCCAAATCATTCCATTCGTCCTCACGTTGTTGTTCCAATAATAATTCACGAGCATTTTCTTCAAATACAGTGGAAGCCATTTGATCCTTTGCTAAAATTTGTTCGGAAATGTATGGTCCAAACTTTCTATAGTACAACATGGCATGTTTTTCACACAATTCATCATTAGCGTTTCCTCCAACAGTAAATGTTGACTTTAAATTTTCCATAAGTCCAGAATCTCTACTAACAGTTGGTAAACCTCCACTCTTCAAAGCAGCCAACAAAAAGGCATTCATAGAAGCTTGTGAATTCACAGGATAACTATTCCATCGAATATTTTCATTATCCCAACTCTTTGTTGAAGAGGTTACATCAATTGACACTTTTTCGGTACCATTTTGATTTTTCACAGTCCAAGTAGAATTTACAAAGAATGAAAGGACCGAGTTCATTCTGGCTTGAACAGTTTGTCTCTTACTTGCTTCTCCTTCGTTAGCACCTTCATTATTTTGTTGATCAGTCATAAAAGATGTTGCTTGTTCAACTAACCAAATAAGAATATGACGGGTAACCATTTCATTAGGATATAAAAATTGATCAAAAGTCATATCTCCTCTAAATCCGTATTCCTAATTATTTTGATGATCCGATTAATTCCAAATAATTAATATTTCCAATATAATTTTAATTGTCATCTACAAACCTTGATAGACTGGGTGAGAGCAGTACAGGTTCTAAAACAAGTACTAATTTCGTAAGGAAGGTCTTCCGGATAATCATCAGGTTCTCTGTTATTTCCTCTTGCAATAGCTCTAAGACAAATAACGGTAGCTTTATACAATAAGAATTTATCTACATCAGCCATAGAAGTAACAGACTCTTCAACTTCACATCCTAATTGTTTTAATTGTGTGAGTGTGATGCTATCGGCTTCTCTTCTGGCGCTCATTTTTTTAATCTTAGATTTTTTTCGATCACTGCTGAAGGTTATTCTCAACTCCTGTTGGTAGTCAAAACTCCACAAGCAACAAATTAATAAAACATATTCTCCCCCTGGTGGGCTCGAACCACCGACCTGCAGATTAACAGTCTGACGCTCTACCGACTGAGCTAAGGGGGATCCTTACGAAGCGTATAATTCTCACAAAAGTTCGCATTCAATCCACCAAATTTGGAGATGATAATGAAAATTAACTCTAACTTGATGTCTTTATGGCATTTGTTTTAAAGTGGGTTTAAGTGGAAAGAAAACCCTGGTTTGCTGCTCCCACGATATTAATATCTTGATACTGCAAAAATGTGTTGTTTATTAGAAAAAAATATCTGGATCACACGGGCAAAGCCTTTTATTTTGAATTAGCCTCGCTCTCTTCACCTTGGACTTCAGAACCAAACAAGTAAATACAACAAGCATCCTTACTAGTAGTACTACTGTAATCAATACACAAAATGCAAGAACAACAATCCATCTTCCAAAAGGATCCAGCTCTCAAGGAAACCATGATTAGCAAGAGCATTGACACACAAAAAATTGCCTATTGTCCATACTCTAAGTTTCATGTAGGAGCTTGCATTCTAGGAGACGATGGACAACTTTATACTGGCTGCAATGTTGAAAACCAAAGTTATGGCCTCACCATCTGTGCTGAAAGATGTGCTGTCATGAAGATGGTCTCCAACAATTGTCATTGTATCAAGGGTATTGTTGTTTCTACAAACATTGGAGTTACACCTTGTGGTGCTTGTAGACAAGTTCTCCAAGAATTTGTTGATGATAAGACTAATGACTTCCCTGTTTTAATTGTCAATTCGGAAACTAATGAAGTTTTGGAAAGCAGTATGAAGGCATTGTTACCTTCTGCTGTTGATCTTCACTTCTTGAAGCATTAAACCTTGTACTTTATTTCTATTTGTTGTTGTTAAAACGAACATGAATCACATATACTATGAAACAAGTTGTTTGCGTTTGTGATGATTTAATTCTTCTCTCTGATGAAGGAACAATTGTTGTTGCTCAAAATTCAAAATTTTGTTGATGAAAAAAATGGCCCAAGACAAGAAGAGAAAAGCGGACGAGTTGCCTGTCGATGAGGAAGTTGTCGTAGTTGAACAACAAGAAAACAATGAATCTAAAAAGAAGAAGGTTTTTAGAGAAAAGGAAAGACCTGCTGTTAAAGAAAATGTAAAAACAGATTCCGGTCTTGTGGAAATGGATGAACAACAAAAGAAACAACTCTCAAATATTGTTTGTGAATTCTTTGATTCTAACAAGTCTGTCTTTTATCGTACATTGACCCTTGTTAGTTTCATCTCTCGTCTTGAACACACACCAACTTTTTGGAATTTCATCAGAACACAATTTAGCCACGACGAATACAGAAAGAAGAAGCCTCAATTCACAACAATTTGTGAAGACCAAATCAAACAAGTTGCTCCTAAATTCTCGAAATTCTTTAGAGACGAAGAAACAATAAGAAAACTCTTTCCAGAAGAGTTTGACTACAATGTCTTCTTTGTGAAAAGGAGAGCCGTCATGACATACCCACTTTATAATTATGGTGGAATTTATCAAACACATATGGCACTTTCTAATGGAAGTGATTTCCTATCAGGGGAACAAGAAGTGAAACAAACAACCCAAACAGAAATGGAAAAATTAATAGAGAAACAACTTTTCGATAGAGCCTATCACCTTGTAAATGGATATGATACTAAATTGAGAGGATTTGTAATGGGTGTTGAAAATGTTAAAATTTTGGAAGAAGGATCAGTGATACAGTTTGATACTAACCCATCCGTTTCAGCAGTAACTATTGCAGCAACATTTATCTTGTTTTCACCAACATACGGAACAATTTTGAGAGGTACAATCACAAATGTTAATTATAACACTAGAAGAGTTTTTTGTAAAGTGCTCAACATGTTCAATGCCTCTGTTTTTATTCCAAATGAAAAACTTTTACATGAACTGGTGGCAGGACAAACTATTCAATTCACAACAACATGGTGTGGAGCTAAACAAGGAGAACTTAGTATTGATGGTGAAATGAAACAAACTGATGGTATTGTACAAGAACAAAAAACTCAAGAAGAACCTAAGACTGTTGAAGAGGAATTCCAATTCGATGAAACAGAACTTCCATTCAATTAAATTAAATTATATTTTTTTTGAAATTTAAATTGGATGAATATATTAAGGACTAAAGTCGAAAATAATTTTCAATTAAAACAACTGAAGGAGCATACATGAATAGTTTTTTAATAATTTAGTCTTCAATCATTTCTAATTCTTCAGATTTGGACATAATACCCAATCTTCTAATTGCTTCTTCATTGAGGTAAGCACCACCAGATGATGTAGTTTGTTTAAGTGGACGAGGAATTGAAATAGTTGGACCTGCTAACAGGGATGAACTCTCTGTGGTCCACTTTGGGAAAACTCTCTTGTATAAATTCATACAAATAGTATCCTTTGGAAGGACAATATCATCGAATAAACAACGCATATAACCATGAGTACCAACAGCTTCTTTGATAATACCATGTCTACCATATTTAGTATAAACTTCAACTGGTTTGAACCAACGAATATCTTCTGGATTGAAGAACATGTAACGAGCAACAACTTGATTCTTATGAAGTTTGTAAGGGTGACCAGTAAGAATAATCTTCTTAATAACTCTACGGTATGGATCAACACCGTGAACTGTGCCATGACCAACAAAGTCAAGATTTGGTTGATCAAGAGTTTGTGATGGTTCAGTTTGTACAATCATATTGTCAACAAGTGACATGGTATTCTTATTATTCCTTCGGAACATTAAAACAGGTGCAGGTTTAAAGGTTACTGGAGCATACACTGTGGCAATAAGGAAACGATATGGAGCAAAGAATCTTTCGTATTTGTGCTTATCATTTCTAGGATTATGTTCCGAATAAATAGGATTACATTTAAATGTTCTGAAACCAATTTGAATAATAAGTTCATCCTTAGATTTGATTGGATTTTCTTCAACTTCAGCACCAGGTATTGGCTCTTCTTCACCATCATCGTCTTCTTGAGGATGGTATTCAATCATCTTTGTAATATTATCAGATGGATCATAACTTGTTGATTGTTTAACAACAACTGAGTCGTTAGTTCTCTTTACAAGTAAATGGACAAGACTGGTCTTTTGTTCGTGTTTAAGTAAACCAAAGACAATGAGTGGTTCCTTCTTTTGTTGAATAACTTCACACATGTTGGCTGGAACATTAGCAATGTGGAGAGTGATATAATTTTCCCATAAATTGTAATCATTTTCTGGATCAAAACCTTCCAAAGCAAGCTTTTGAGATGTTTGGAAATTCTTAAATCTGAAAATACGTGAATAATCCAATGGTAAATTTTCTTCAGCATCCCATGGTGAAGATCTGAATGATTTCAAACCTCTGTATTTTTGGAAACGGACACGAGCTGGAATATCTAATGGTGTATCAACTTCATCAGGATAATCCATTTCATTCTTCATCTCCTTTCTGGATTTAATGGCACGCATCATTTCAGCAATTCTTTCTTCTTCAGTCATATCTTCATCCATTTCGTCCAAGTTGAAGTGTTTTTCAATATGAGTTTGAGCTTCAGAAGCAATATCAAAATTGAAATCGACACGTCTTTCTTCTTCATCAGCAGCAACAGCTCTGTTGGCTTCATCAATCATTTCATCTTCTTCCTCATCGGATTGGTCTTCTTCAGCATCTTCCAAATGGTCAATAATCCAAGCAGCTTCAGTTGGAGTCATACCCTTTGGAACAACCTTCTTATGGTAAACATAACCAGCTTGTTTTTCAGTAATTTGGTTAGCCAATTCCATTTCATAATCTTCCTTGGTTGGCAAGGTTTGTTCACCATCCATAAGATTTGGTTCAAGAGCAGTTTGAAGAGATTCTTGCTTTTCATCTGGTAACAAGGTTTTTGGTTCATTGGAATCAGCAGTTGTACTCATTTGACTAGTACCAACCTTGTCATCTTCCATTGCATTTGAACTAGAACCTTGTTGTTTCTTCTTTGAGTAAGCATGTGAATTTTCCTTTTCCAAAACAATTTTATCCAATTGATAAGTACCATAATTGACAAGATGGAAAAGTTGATTTGGACTGGCTGGTTTACCACGTAAATATCCACGAATAACAAGTGTACCATTATTACTATTTTCATCTGATAATTCATTGATTTCAGATTGATCCTTCTTGATGAATTCAAGATTTTCCACAATCATGTATGGATGATTTTCTCTCCAATAGATAGTTTTTGGTGTTAATGAATTCAAACGTAACAAAATTTGTTTCATTTCTGTCTTGGTAGTTTCAAAATTGGCAGAATCATCCATACTATTTGTTGTTGAAGTCAATGAAAAGACCTTTTCAAAGTCTGGAATTTCATCCTTCATAATCTTGTTAACAACTTGTTTCACATCATTTTGCTTTTTTTGAGAAATTTGATTCAATCCTTGTAAAACGACAATACTAGATGGTAAACCTTGAGCTCTAAGAAGTGAGAGATTATATTTAGCAGTTGGATGTAAGGATGGTTCTTGATTACCATTGAATTGAATACTTTGAGCTGGAAGAACAAAAATCATAATATCGGAAACTTTAGCAGCATCCAAAACAGATCTAGAATTTGCTTGTTTCACACAGAAGAGAGTAAGTGATTTTTGTTGGAATTCCTTTTGAAGACTATTGAAATGGTTAGTCAATTATCATTTGATTACCTACCGAATTGAACGAACACTAGAAAAATCCAAATCATTCAAATTAATTTTTCCACTTTCAAATTCTTCACTTCTACTCATAATATCAGAAAATACACTTTCAACTTCTCCTTCATCTTTTAATTCGGTTAAAACTCGGAGGAAATTTAAATCATCAACATACCTTGTCCACTCAAAGACATGACAGAGACAATTCTTGGTGGATTGCCACTTCTTCCCAAACGTTGTCTATATAAAATTTGTTGTTTCTTGTTATCCCGAACTTGTTTAGCACGTTGTTTACGTTGAGCTTTGGCGTTTTGATGAGTCTTCTTCATTTGAGATGCTTTGAGACCACCTTCATGTTCAACACGACCTTTACTTTCCTTCTTTAATTGACGCTTACTGATGTGCTTTGATTTGTGTTTTTTATTCTCCTGATGGAGACTTGAACTACGATGATGTGTGCTCATTTTTTTTGAAGTCCAAATTATTTGAATTTTAATTGTTTTTCAATTTCAAATTGACAAGCTTTTAATTGAATTAATAATTATGTTAACAAAAGAATGAATTAAAGTTAATGTTTTATTAAATAAATATTTCTATTATAAAATTTGGCATGTTCTCGATTTCACTGGTTCATTTCGTACAACTGTTTTTGGTTCTTCCATTACCTCGGTCAGTATTTCATGAGTCCACATGTCGAATGTTTTTCCACTGAAACCAGTTTGACCACAAGCCTTGATAAAGACCACCTCTTGATCTTCAGGTGCGGCTTGCTGAGCAATAAGGATAATTGTTTCAATCTTTCTGACAACTTCTTGACCTTTAACAACTTCTCCAAATACAATTTGCTTTCCATCTAGCTCTTTACACTTTGTTACACAAATATTAAATTGACATCCATTACCAGGTTTAACAACACAAGAAACGGATCCAGGATTGTGACATAATTCACTGGAGTCACTATCAAAAGTTTGTCCATAAATGCTTTCAGATCCTTCTCCCTCTACTGCAATTGGGTCGTTTCTTGATGATGCAATTTCCTTTCCATATTGAGCTTGCCACCATCCACTAGCACCTGAATAGACAATATCACCACCCTGAATAAAAGTGGCTTGGAGTGCTTTGTGCATGGTTGCACCCTTAAAATAGAGAGGAATTGAATTTGGAGATAATCCCTTTTCTCCTGTGCACAAACATCTAAAATTCTCTGCTGCCTTAGGGGCTTCTTTCTTATTCAATTTAATTTCAACTCTTCCCAAACTCACAAATTCACTACTGTTATTGCTTAGATAGGATTGTCTTGATGTTTTTGAAAATTCTAAATATACAATAGGGAATAACTCGTTTTCTCTATTTCTATCGAGAAGCATTCTTCTATAACCTCCTGTGTCAAGTTCAAGGATGGATGCTCTTCTTTGTGATGATGGTTTAATTTCTTCCTCGTCATCATTTTTCACTTTGAATGTTTCAGCAGTTGGTGCAAGTGGCCTCTCTGGTGGGTATCTCGACACATCATGATTAGAAGGCCATAATCTTTTGCATTCTCTCTCATATAAATCGACGTACTCAACACCCATGAGTTTCTCTTTTTGTTTGCTAAGTTTTTCACAATCTCTTAGTATCATTCTCCAGAAAGAACAAGTATTTCCAACTCGGATTAATTCTACATAGGTAAGATGAGTAAAGACTCTATACATTATTTTAAAATCATCTTTAAGTGATGAGAAGGTTTTAGGAGGAATGATAGGACTATTAGATACAATTGATTTTCTTCTTATACTACTTTGAGAAACAACTCCATTATTTTCACTATTCACAATAGATAGCGAATTCAATCGAGGAGAAAGAGAATTAGGATGAGAGGTACTCTTTGTTAAGGTTGAACGCTCATTTTCTGCTATTTCTTCCAGTGGAAGTTTTGACTGAGGTGGTTCCTCCTTTGGTACAAGTTGTTGAACAACACTAAGGGGTTTATGATTGTCAATTATGAGAAGATCTTCATCGTTTCCGTATGGATCCTCTTGCGTCATGTTGTTTTTCGGTTGGAGTGTTTTTTTGTTGGTTTAATATGTTGGGCTATGAGTTGCTTGTTGTTGGTTAATTAACGTTTTTGATATCGGTAAACTTTCAAAAGAAATGGGCCTTGTATTGGACAGACTATTACAGAGGATATTTGGTATAATTGTCTTGGAATGGTCTTGTTGTTTTTTGTTTTTCAAGTTTGCACTTGTGGCTGGAATATTATGATAATGGATGGTTTATAATCTTTAATGCCTTGTCTGCTGGAGATTTATGAAGAGAGAGACATTTAGAGAAAGAGATTATCAACCTTTAATTGGTGTCTAAGGGTGTCAACTTTAAGTTCAACAAAGTTTGTCTCATTGGGATGAATATTATCAACACAAATGTATTGTCACTTTGAGTTCAATAATGTTGAAGTATTAGAATTCAGAGGTTGCAGGATCAAATGGTTAAGAGGTTGTAATTCAAAACAGGTTACAAAAGTATCAACCATTTTCAGAATAAAAGTTTATTTAAATATCTAGGAGAGACAATTGTTTGAATATTAATCAATAATCATCTGGGCTTAGCTTTTTTTAATATGTACAATGATGAAGGAAGAGGATGGGAAATAAGGAGCTGTTAATCCATTTGACGTTTGTGGAACCACTTTGTTTTCTCGCTCAGTATCCCCTTATTTTCAAATCCAACAGGAAGACCACCCGAATGATTAATGTAGCTCACTTGATTGGTTGTCCTAAACCGTGTTCGATCAGAATTAGCTCCATCCCTCAGATTGAATTGACTGCTGTTTCTGGCATTCTTCCTTCCTTGAACAGTATCATGAGAGAATCTAACTGGTAGCATATTTCTAGGAGCATTCATTTTATAAGGCATTAATGGTTTTTTAAAAGAAGAACCTGATGAGTTGAGCTGATCGGATGTTCTAGGTACTACAAATGATGATGAGTAGGTTGATTCCGGTCGAAAGTAATCATCCCTTGCTGTTTTTGATGCTCTACTTTCGTGTATCACTCCAAACAACTCTCCATTTTGTCTAATCACTCTCTGCGTGCTTCCTGTTCTACTCCTCTCACTACTGTCTCTTCTTGTTTTTGAGGTCAGCATTTTTTTTTTAAATTCACCTCAACGACAAAACGGCTTTAAATTTACTGTGGCGCCAACCCTAGAAACTTTGAATTAGGACAGATATTGCATTTTTGTACAAAGGTATCCAACATGTTTGGTACAAAATTCCTTTAAATGATAACAAGTGTGATCTACAATTTTTATTCCTTTGAACAACTTTCAAGTGTTATATCCTTAATAAATTTGAGAAGGTGACATTCAAGCTGGCAATATTTTGATAATGAAAGATGGTGAACAGCTCTAAGTACAGAACATGTTCTGTTATACTTTAAAAATAGAATGTTGGGAGAGCTCTCTTCCACTTGTTGATTATTTATTCCTTAATAAGCGACTTGATCTTCAAGTTAAATGTCACTTGACAGTAATATAATACAGCACTATACTCATATTTCTCATAATGATCAATATTATTCGACCTCAAAGAGTTGATTTTTATACATGGAGATCGAGAAACAGCATCTAAAGAATCCCACAAACAAGCATTTTCTCAATATTCCAATGTGAAACCCACAAAAGGGCGCTTGGAGACACCAGTACAATACAATCACAATAAAAAATGTCCTCAACACAAGCAAAGCTTACCAGTCGTTCTGAAAATACTACCTCAGTGAGTGGTGTAACTGGTACTCACTCATTCGATAAGGCTGAAGTCGAAAGTTTTTCTGAATACATTTCCAACGAACTTAGAGAGGATAAGGATGTCAAGTCAAAGCTTCCTATTCACAGTGAAGCTTTGTTTGATAAACTTAAGGATGGTATCATCTTTTGGTAGGTTTTTTTAAACAGAGATGATTTTTTGGTAATTGTTAATAGTAAATTAATTAATATTGCTTCTCCTCAAACTATTGACGAACGTGTCATTAACATGAAGGGAAATTTGAATCCATGGCAACTTAATGAAAACTTGGAATTGGCCATCAACTCTGCTGCTGGTATTGGTTGTAAAACTGTTAACATTACCAGAACCAGTATTCAAGAAGGTCTACCACACATTGTCCTAGGATTATTGTGGCAAGTTCTTAAGAGATGTCTTACTAAGGATATTTCAATCAAGCACCATCCTGAATTGGTTCTCCTCTTGAAGGAAGGTGAATCTTTGGAAAGCTTTATTAAATTACCAACTGAAGAAATTCTTATGAGATGGGTTAACTATCATATGGATAAGAGTGGATCATCAAGAAAAATCACCAACTTTTCATCCGATGTTACAGACTCTGAAATTTATACTCGTCTCTTGAAGCAAATTGCTCCAGAATGTTGTACTTTATCACCATTGAATGAATCTGATATGGAAAAGAGAGCTGATAAGATGTTGAATGAAGCTGCCAAGATTGATTGTAGAAAACTCGTCAAACCACTTGATGTTGTTAAGGGTAATTCAAAGCTCAACCTTGCCTTTGTTGCCAACCTTTTCAACACAAGGCCAGCTCTTGAAGCTCCTAAGGATATGACTGATTATGCAAATCTTTTGGATTTGGATGGTGAAGGTACTAGAGAAGAAAGAGCTTTCACTTTCTGGATTCAAAGTTTGGGAGTTAACGTTGCTAACTTGTTCGATGATTTGCGTGATGGAAGAATGTTTGCTGAAATTTTGGAAAAGATTAAACCAGGATGTCTTGAAGGAAAGAAGATTGAAAAGTATCCAAGAAATGTTTTCCAAGCTGTTGGAAATTGTAATGTTTGTGTTGCTGCTTCTGAACATATTGGTGTTAAGGTCAATAACATTTCAGGAAAGGATATTAATGATGGTAACAAGAAACTTGTTTTGGCTGTCGTCTGGCAATTGATGAAGATTTCACTCCTTGATACTTTGAAAAATCTTGGTGGTGGTAAGGCTGTTAGTGAAGATGACGTTCTCAAATGGGCTAACAAGACTGTTGGTCACACTACTATTTCATCATTTGAAGATTCATCATTGACTGATGGTGTTTTCTTGATCAATTTGTGTCACGCTATTTCACCACAATCTTGTAACCTTGAAATGATTTCTGATGATAAGGAACAAAATGCCAAGTATGCCATTTCAGTTGCCAGAAAGATTGGTGCTGTTGTTTTCTTATTGTGGGAAGATATTGTTGAAGTTAAGAAGAAGATGATTTTAAGTTTTGTTGCTTCCCTCATGCTCCTTTCTCATAAGAAGAAATAAATAAAAAATAATTTCAAAATAATTCAAAAAATCTAATTTTAAAAAATGAGTCAAATATTATCTTCATCAACTTCGGAACAAGTTGATCAGCAACAACAATCGTCATCGACAAGTAAATTATTTGTGGACAGTATTATGAATGCTGCTCTTCACCCAACAGATATGCAACAAATTCATGCTAAGCAAGTAGAAGCTGTCAAGGCTATGAAACATACCAATGAACAATTACAACAAATTAATGATAAATGCTCGATAGAGTTGCCAAATATTCAAAAGGATTTTCAAATTCATCAATTCATGATGAAGGAAATGAAAAGTGATTTGGAATTTATTACAAAGGCTTTAGGTGATATAAGGAGAAAATTAGGAATTAAAGAACCTGAGAGACATGACGATGATGAAGATGATGTCTTGGATTTGGATGATGAAGTATTAACATATTCTCCTGTTGTTCCAACAAAGGTGCAACATGTAAATGCTGAAACGTTACAGGAACACGTTGATGTAACAGCTGATAATGATGATTTGATGGACTATGTTAATTAATCTTTGTAAATATACACACAAATTCAAAATATTCAAGATTTAATTCTTATTGGAAATAATCTTCTCAGAAGGTGGATGAACCAATCACTACCTGTTTATCTTGCTATTTTTACCCCACACATTTCCATGTTTCACTGAACAAATCATGAGGATTGCACATATCAGACCACTTATTGGAACCAATACCATCAATGAGGAGGAGGAAATAAGCAGTGACCAATCATCAAAGACAACTAGTGGATAGAGCATTGACAGCTTTTCTGCCTTGTTAAAATAACATGGTACTGAAATTCCCTTTCTTACTTCTTTCCAAACATTACAATCGAGTGGATATTCATCCTGACTTGTATAATTCTTTCCTCCGTACGACAAAATTCCTCTACACAGTTGACTATCATTACATGAAATATCCAACACTGAACATGTTTTTTGAAAATTGTAATTTCCATAATCGATTATTGTAAACGAAACAACACTGAAAATGAACAATAGGACAATTCCCATGCAAAACAAGGAAAAGCAAATCAATCCTGATGTGATAATGCAACCTAATAGACATTGTTGCGTTGAGTGTTTCTCTGAAAATCTAGAAAGAAATTGATTACCTGTTGTTATTCCTTCTTTTTTCAGTTTCCTATTAATGTATTGCTGTTGAATGTACTTTTCCTCTTCTGTTTCAATTGGGGAGGAACTAAATTGTGAATCAGCCAACACTAGAGCACTTGGTGAGGAATCGTTTGAATATGTTGGACTTTCGTGTATCATATTTTTTTAGCTGATTTGAATTCTCTCAAAAAAGTAGCGAAAGGAAACAAGTAAACCTTATTGATAAAGTTGTTTGTGGAACTCAGCAGAGTGCTTATTTATGAAAATGCACCAAAATAATCTTTCAAGTCCAAAGTGAAACAAAATTTAAACTCTTTTTACTAATTAAGTATATTCAGTGTAATAATCAATAGCACCACTGAAAGCACTGAATGTAGCACAACCTAAAATCATTGGACCAATACCAGCTTTTCTAGCCAGAACAGCACCAGAAATGCAACCAGCCATTAAACTTCCCTTAACATCTTTCTTACCTCTCACCTTCTCCAAACTACATTCAAAGAAACTATATAAAGCACCAACAGCACCAAATGATTTACCCATACTGACACATCTATTCTTTGTTTCTCTAAAGTATTCTCTCACTTTCTCCCTTCCTGTCATTGATTCTTCACGAATAATTTGTTGTGGAGTTTTCATATATGTATTTTCAAGTGTAAAACTGGCACTAATAATACCAAAAGCACCTCCCAAAACTGTACCAGCAACAGCTGCAAAAGCAGATTTAGAAACACATGATTCAGTCATTGTTTCAATAGCTTTCTTAATAGCCAATTGTTTTTGAATTTGTTCCATTGAATCAAATCCTTCCATGAATGGAGATAATGGTAATGGTCTGACAACTCGTTTCTCTGGTGGAATATAATTACTTTTTTGTTCAATCATTTCCTGTAATGTTTGTGGATTTTGATTCATTGGTGGAGCATAAACTGTTGGATTCATAAAATTCATATTATTATTTGGTTGTGGCGAAAATTGATTAGCAGCTTGATTATATATTTGATTCGGATTAAATTGATTATTAAAAGAAGGTGGCATATAATTCATATTAAATGATGATGATGAATTATCCATGAACATATTGTCCTGCATTGGTGATGAAGAATTATTTATGTAAAAATCCGATGACCCTGATGATGATGATGATGGTACATCGTTGGAAAAGTTATTGTTTGGTTGCTGTTGTTGTTGAATGATATCCGGTTGATGTTGGATATTGTTGGCAAATTCCTCCTGCTGGCTGTGATTGTTGTCACTCATTTTTCTTTTATTTACAAAAATTGATTGAATAAATTTATTTTAACTTGAATTAAAAGTTTTGGGTGTTAAAATTTGCCGACACCAGGGATCGAACCAGGGACCTTAAGATCTTCAGTCTTACGCTCTCCCAACTGAGCTATGTCGGCTTCTCGAGTTAGTAGATGAATTTAACCTTTTTGAATGTAAATTTAAATGTAATTATTCTTTTTCATTGAAATAAAACAATGATTCATCGGGTGTATAACTGAGTTCAAAGGTAGACATAGAGAAGAATTTATTTAAGCAGAAATATTCTTCTTGACGAATTGTCTGACCTTTCTAGCAGTGTTTTGAACACCCTTGTATTCAACAGCTTCACCATTCTTGATCAACAAAATAGATGGGAAACCATCAACCTTGTACTTTCTGGCAATACCAGAGAACTTGTCACCATTGATCTTGGCAACCTTGACACCTGACAATTTCATCTTACCGAGCTTCTTCATTTCATTAGCGAATTCCTTAGAATAATAACACCACTATTTGTATTAGTTTCATCAAATATCAAATTTCGAATATTTGTATTCCAATAAAATATTAGAAATATTGAAAGTGTAATAACAACAAGATATTTAGAATTTTCATCCGAATAATTTTTGATAACATACTGGAGCATAGAATTCAACAAGAATATTTTCATTATTCTTAACAAATGATTTAAAGTTATTTCTGTTCAATTCCTTGACACCTGCCATTTTGGCTTGTGGTTTGATGGCAGTGACACCATGCAAGTAGCATACGGCGACGAGCAACACAACGAGGACAGTCAAGATTGATCTTACGTTCATTTTTTTTTGAATATTATAATTGGACTGATGACACCTGACTTGATTGTAATTCTATTTAAATCTGGTATTAGAATGGTTATCTTAATTATTTCTGTAGTTTGACGAAATTTCTGTAGATCAGACATCTCAATAAAATTGTAAAGTTTCAATTCTCAACGGAGATTACAGATATTCAGTCAATTTGTAATAGATGATCAATATCTTCCTAATGATATCTTTGCTTCATGATGTGGCAAGTTATGAATCTTCATTGGAAAAATTGGTTCACAGTTTCCATCACCAAATATGTAAGTGCTGACCACACTTTTAACAATATCTTCTTGTTATCTTTACTCAACAAGGTGCTTAAGGATTTTATAATTGTTAGAAACTGATACGAAACAGAAAGACCAAATGGTCAACAAAATCAAACCTGATACAACCATATAAATCATTCCAGTAACATTCTCTTCCCATGTTTTGATGGTTCAAATTTGAAACCTTGGTTCCTTTTGATAATTTTCCTGTGAACATTCTGTACGGGTATAAGCATCAGAGACGTGCGCTCAAGTTGGCGCCATTACTTGTTGAGCATTTATAGTAGCACATACATCTACGGTTCGCGCTTTTGCTGAGTTTTTGCCAAGGTTTATTTTAACGCTCATTTGAGGTGGTTAATAATTGTGTAGAATAATTGGTTCAATTCAATTTTGAAAAGATGAAAATTCTCCTCTCTCTTCATTTGCTCTTCCTTTCATCATTAGTGCGTCACTTGTGATGAAGGAATATTATTGTGCTGATGAATCATCAGTGGCGACCAGCATCATGACGATTTAAATATAATGATGAGCATTCAATAATGATTCTATTGAGAATAGGACCCTTCAATTTAAATCGACGTACATCTGTGCCACAACATTTTCCAAGCACAAAAAAACAACTCCACACTCAACCTCTCTCTTTGCTACTTACTGTCTTTTTTAACTAAACACAACAAGATGGAATCAACAACAACTAACAGTAATAGCACTTCAACCAATGGTCCACAAATCGTTGATAAGAATTTCAACTTTGTCATAAATGAAAATCTCTCAACACAAGATATTCTCGATCAATATAAGAAACATATTGAAGAAAGAACCTATCACCACTTTGGTTATCCTTACAATTTGAGTTATAATCATGAAGAATTGTCACCATTCTTACGTTATTCAGTTAACAATTTGGGTGATCCTTTTGTTGAATCAAATTATGGTGTTCACTCTAGAGCTTTTGAACAATCTGTTTTGGAATTCTTTGCCAAGTTGTGGAAAATTGGTCCATGTGAAGATAAGGACAATACCAAGAATTGGAGCCATGATGAATATTGGGGATATGTCACAAATTGTGGAACAGAAGGTAATTTGTATGGTATCTTGTTAGGTAGAGAACAATTCCCAGATGCTGTTTTGGTTTCCTCACGTGAATCTCACTACTCTGTATCTAAGGCTGCCAAATTGTACAGAATGCCAGAAATTAGAGTTCCAACACTTTTCACTGGTGAAATTGATTATGCAATCTTTGAACAAGAATTGATTAAGAATAGAGTTGAAACTGAAGATTTATCTATCGGAAAGAAGAAGAGACCAATTGTTATGAACGTTAACATTGGTACAACTGTTAAAGGTGCAGTTGATAACTTGGATACAATTTTGGAAATTTTCAAGAGAACTGGATACACTGAAGATGAATTCTTCATTCACTGTGATGGTGCATTGTTTGCTTTGATTTTGCCATTTATTGAAGAAGCTCTCGAAGTTAACTTTACCAAGCCAATTGGTTCAATTTCAGTTTCTGGTCACAAATTTATGGGTTGTCCAATGCCATGTGGTGTCACAATTACTAGAAAGAGATATGTTGAAACATTGAAGAGTCACATTGATTATCTTAACAGTGTTGATACCACTATCATGGGTTCAAGAAATGGACAAGCTTCTTTATACTTGTGGTTGACTTTGAGAAAGAAGGGAACTGAAGGATTTGCCTCAGATGCCAGAAAGTGTTTAGAAAATGCCAAGTACATGATCAAATTATTGAAAGAAGCCGGAGTTGGATGCTTATTGAACGATCACTCAAATACAATTGTTTTGGAACGACCAATGGATGAGGAATTTGTCAAGAAGTGGCAACTTGCCTGTGAAGGAACTGTTGCTCACTGTATTGTCATGCCTAATGTCAGTAAGCAAAAGATTGAAGACTTTGTAAATGATTATTTGGAATCAAGAAAGTCTCACCCAGCTGACCTCTGTATTGCTAAACATATTGGTCCAGTTCACTGCCTCTGTTCTAAATGTAAAGATATTAACCACCATTAACTTGTAAATATAAACTAAATTATTTCTGTAAAGAAAATGCATTTTCTTTCTTTTGGAATGAAGAATGAAATTATCTTGACATTATCTGTGTTCATTTGAATGAAAATGGGAGATCAATCTTTGTGAACTCGATATTTAGATTTCCATCAAGTACTTAGTAATGGAGAAAGATAAAAAACATTGGTGTTGATTTATGATAGTTTCGTTACACCGATTCTGAAATATCAAGCATCCTAATCAAACATAATTATAATAATCAAAAAAAATGTCATCTGCCAAAGCCGTGGATGCAGAAGACATCCTAAAACTTTTTTCACTCTATCTAATAGAGCACGGTGAAAAACTACTTACTCGTGCTCATCAATTCATGAATGTGACTCACCTATATCCCTATACCACACCTTCAAATAATAATACGAAAGAACCTCTCCGAATCACTAATGATTTTTTGACAGTTTGTGGTGTGGACCCCTTTCTAATGAATGATTATGATAATAACCAAACAAATCCCACCGATAACAACAGCAACAATAATTTAACAAATTCTAGAAAGGAAACTTTGGAAGTGGAAAAATCAATAATTGAAAGATGGTGGGAAAGGAGGAAGAAAATTCATTCGGAATGGGTTGAAAAGTATTTACAAAGCAACGGAGCATACATTGAAGAAAGTAGGTAGTTTGTTTTTAATGTCTCTAATTATCAAAAAACAACAAAATTATTATAACAACACAACTGTTTTTACATGGTGTGATGATGATTTTATTGAAATGATGATTTGAAATATTAACAAGACAAATCACCGTTTGCACTCGATGAAAATCCACTCCTGCCAATGATTAGTACTATTTATTTTCATCACTTGATGAACAAAATTCGTTATGATTCTTTATTTGGAATGGTCAATCATAAAGTACCAAATTCAAAGATTTTGAAAATGAAATACAAAATTTTGAGAATTTTAAATGCTCGAGTTAAGGAATTTAAACGAAAACAGAAAGAAAAAAAGAGTTTCTTCTCTTGGTTTGTTGAGCAAATTGTTGATAATGAATTTATTACCGAGTTGACTAATACTGATTTTGAGAGATTTATTTACATTTTTAAGAATATTCGAGTTTTACAATTGGAAACAAACAAGACAAAGAAAGGTCCAATGCAATCAAACAAAACTGAAGATGTTGAGGTTGATTTGACACTTTTTCACAACTTGAAACATTTGATTATTCGATCAAATTTTACAAGATTATTGTATATTAAAGGAAAATTTATTACGAACGATGAGACAACAGGTAAGTAATTGGATTCAATTTTTTGAATATCAACATGTTCAATAGAAGAGTCAGCATTCAAGACAATCAATTTGGAAGGATTGACAGTTTTGGATTCACAATTTTTGAGGATTGAAAGAAATATTTTCCATGATTTTTCTGAGACACTGAGAGTGTTAAATTTGATTAGTATTGACGAGCAATTACTGTTTGATATTTTCTTGGAACCAGATGATAGAGAACAAAAGAATGAATTCTCCGAAAAGTCGAAAGATGTTTTCAAAGTTTTGGAGGTTTTGAACATTTCCAATGTTTGGTTTAAGAAGGGAGAGGTTCCACCAATATTTTCTAAACCAGCATTTATTGATTTGTTAGTGAACAAGTTGAAGGTTTTCATTTTGAAAAATACCAATTTGGAAATTTCAATTTTTGATGCTTTCAATGATGTGGGAAAGCATTTCGTGTTGAGCCATTTGATGGTTTTAAATCTTTCACACAACAATTTACACACTATTTTAAGGAAGAAAGACACAGAGGAAAAGAATTGTATCACTATTAATTTACCAAATTTAATCGAACTCAACTTGGCATTCAATGAATTGGAAAGCTTAGATTCATTCCATGGTGTTGTTTGCCCTAAATTAGAAATAATTAACTTGGAGAATAACCAACTCAATCAAGATGTTGCTGAAAATCTTAGGAGAATAACAGCCAATTCTAGTTCTCATCTTAAACGGATCAATCTTAGATCTAATCAATTAACGGCATGGCAAGAAATCAAGCAATTGCAATTTTTCAACAAGCTTCATGATCTTCAACTGAGTGGTAACATGGAAATTTGTAGATATGGAAATTACCACAGAACTATTCTGTCCTATTTCAGAAGAAATATTAGTGAAGAATTTGTTCTAGATGGTGTCAAATATCTGAAGAAGGACATCATGGATATTCTCAATCTCTCACAAACAGGTTCTTCAACAGCCACTGATACCAGTTCGCAAAATGGCAGTATGAGTGACACTGATGGTAGTGATGCTGATATTGAAAATGATAACTTTGTGGATTTGAGAAAACAAATCAAGAAGAGTAGCAGTTCCAAATCACTCATCCAAGAAGAAGTCAAACAAGTTAAAGAGGAAAAGAAGAAGAAAAAGAAGGAAGGAAAGAATAAGAAATCTAAAAAGAAAAAGAAAAGAGTTTTCAATGAAATTCCTGAATATTCAAAGAATGCTCCGTCAAAAGTTCAATCCAATCCAGAAGAAGATGCAAAGAAAGTCAAGGAAGAATTTCCAGAACTTGAAGAAAGGTCAACAAAGGTTATTGAACTCTTAGGCCAATTGAGAAATGATGGTGGTACTAAGTGGTTAAGTTTACTAAATGAAATGGGCTATCTCGATGAAAAGAACCAACAAATTACTCTGACACCAAAGCAAAACCTCACTGAACAAATCAAGAAGACAACTCAAAATAAGGACAAGCAAGAATTGGAAGATTTTATGAACAAGCTCAAGAAGAATTCTTCACAAAACAAGGCCATGAATAGTCTCAGCGACTTTTTACTTGGAAAGATAAAGAAGAAGAGTGATCCCTCCTCTAGTGAAGACATGGTTGCAGCAACCCCTAGAGCTAAAAATCATCAACAGGACTTTTTCGCAAGTATGGACTTGAAAAGAATTTCAAGATTGGGCAACAAACAAATGCCAGTTCTTGAAGTCCATCCAGTGTTTGGTATTGCAGACACTCCAAACTTTGAAAAGTATGGAGCTACTGAAGTGGGAGGACTTTCATTTATCAAGGCAAAGGGAACTAAATATGGAAGCGATGCTCTGATTGCCAAATCTTTGAATTTGGAACCAAGAAGTGATTTCTTGAATGTTTCCTTGGTGGTCAATCAATCAATTTTCAAGTATGGAGAGCAAGAAAAATCAGATAGTGCCAGCGACTCTGACAAGAGAAGTAGAATCCAAAAGAGACACAGAAATATTAAGCAACACTATTCAGCTAAAATTGCCGAATTGAAAGAATTAGAAAAGGTAGAGAATGAAACCTCACTCAAAATCTCAGATGAAGAAATTCAAAATATCAACAGTAATAGAAAGAGAAATAAGGGAGTCTTTTTGAGATCAGAGTTGGAAAAGACAGCTGGAGATGCTGTCGGCTCCATGATAAATAAGAGAGCTACCATTAATATAATTAGAAGAAAGGATACTGTTAAACAACCAGAAGCAAATTCAACCCCTCCTGAAAAGAAATTTTCAGTTCCAATTCCAGAAACCAACATGCAGAAATATCTCAATGACGACGATTTATTGGAATCCCTTCTGAACGAAAAGAACGATGATGCAGAGACAAAGAAGAGAAAGGAGAGTGTTCTCAGATCTAGAGGAAGAACTTTCATTAGTCCAACTACAACCGTTTTAGCAACCTCAAATGTTACCGGTGAAAGAGATCGTTCAGCAACTCAATTCAATGAACCAAAGAAGGCAGAACAAGCAGCTACTACTAATCCACTCAATCTTACTCCTATTCTTGTTCCAGTAGTAGTTGCTGCAACCAAAAAAGAAGCAACACCTGAAAAGCCACCTGTTGAACCAAAGAAGCCAGAACCAATTGAAGATGACGATGACGAGGATGATATTCTAAAGGAATTACTTGCTAAGAGTGGTGAGGTAGATGAAGAAATCAAAGCTACACCTGAGAAACCACCTGTGGTACAACCAACAAGCGTATCAGCACCAATCGTTGTTAAAGAAAAGACACCTGAACCAACAACACCTAAAACACCTGAAATAGAAACAGAAACACCTGAAGTTTCATCTGCATTACAAAATGCAATGGCAACCTCTATTATTGGAACACAATCAATTGTTGATGAAGAAAATATTGAAAATCAAGTTACAGTTGTTAGTGCTGCGAGATCTGACTCTGATTTTGATTCTTTCGATGAACAAGAAACTTTATTACCAGGAGTTACTCCAGAAAAGTTGAAAGTCATTGCACCATTCAATGATCCTGGACAGAGCTCAGATTCTGACTTTGGAACATTCAGTGGAGATGAGGAGACACCAAGAAGTAAGAAATCTAGCAAGCCAGCTTCAACACCTAAACATCATGAAAAAGTCAATTCAATGCCAATTATTAATTTGGCAACTGATGAACCAAAAGGAAGATCAAAAGCCAAGTCAGTTTTCAAAATGTTCAAAAAGAAGGATCAAGATGTTGCTCAAATTAAGAATAGAAGTTCTATGAGAATTCCACAAGAGGAAAGAGATTTTCTTGCTTCTACACTTTCTGATGTAATTGAATTTGGACCAATTACTAGCTCTACAACATTTGCCTCATTGAAGAAAGTTGAAGAACCACAAACTCAACCAAAGAAAGATGAGGATTCTGATTTTGATCTTACTGACGAAGAGGAGGAATCAAATACTCAAAATGTACCAGCAAAACATTTAGACGAAAGCTCATTCGAAACCAACACTCCAACAAAGGAAGAGACGCCAACTCCTCAAATTCCACTTCAAGAAGAAACAACAGTTTCATCCCCAATCGTTGAGGATGCTGTTACTCCAAGCATTGAACCAATTACTGTAGGATCAAAGAAGGTAATTTCCAATATCAAGAAAGTTCCAAACAATAAGGAAACACCAACCACACCAGTCGCTAGCTCACCAACCACTACAGTACCAACTACAAGAAAATCATTCGTAATCTCATCAAAGAAAAAGAAGGCAGTTGCTTTCAGTGATCACAAAGAGGAATTTGTAATTGAGCCAAAGTCTGTGGTTTCTACACCGGTTGAGCCATCAAAAGTCGAATCCTATGACGATGAGGGTTATGGCGATGAGTTGACTGTCACTCCTGTTATTACTGCAACACCAACTCAAGATATTTCTGTTAAAACTGAATCACCAAATGTATCTACTCCACCAATAAGCCCACTACCAGAGCAAAACACTTCACCAATGGCTGTCAAAGAAGAGGTAATTGTTCAAGAGCCTTCAGTTACCACAACTGAGGAGAAACCTTCTGAAACTGTAATCTCTACTCCTATTGCATCTGTTGAATCATTAATTCCTGGGTTGATTGTTCCAGTAATTATTGAGGAGCCTAAAGTACAAGATGAAACTCCAATAATTACAGAAACACCAATTGTAGAAAGTTTACCTCCAGTAGCAGCTCACACTCCAGTTTATATTGAAGAGCCAATAATACCAACAGAAGAAGACAAAATCATTGAACAAGAAGTTAAAGAGCCAGAGGTTATTGTGCCTCCTGAAAGTGAAATTGTCGCCGAAACAGAGAATACACCAACTGAGTCGACTATTCCTGAACCTGTAGTAGTGGAAAGCACTCCTGTTATTTCTGTTGTGGATGAACCAGTTAAAAGTGAAATTGTTAGTGAGCCAGAAATTGTAACAGCTCCAACAATACCTGAGGAAGTGATTGTTGAAATTCCAATTGTGTCTATTTCTACTATGCCTCAGGAAGAACCAAAACAAGAGGAACCAATTATTCCAGAACAAGTTATTGAAAAATTAATTACTACAGAATTGCCATCAATTGAAGTTGTAACCACACCAGAATTAATTCCTGAAACTCTTAAGGATACACAAGATGCCGAGCCAGTAATTGTTCCACAACCAAAAGAAGCAGAAAAACAAGTCTTTATTCCTGTAATTCCAGTAGTGGAGGTTACAGCCACCAAGGAGGAACCAGAAATATTTATTCCTGAAACAAAAGAAATTGTTGAGCCAATAATCAATACTACTCCACAACCAATCCACAGTACCTGAACCAGAACCTGTACCAAAACAAGTGGTTCCAGAAGTACAACAAGAACAGCCAAAGCCAGCTCTTCCTAGCTCAACAGTTAATTTTTCATCACCAAATAAGGACATTGCAGTCATGTCACCTGCTTTAACTCCAAGTCCAGCAATTGAACAAGATGATGAAGATGATACTGAGCGAGTGCTTAAAGAACTCTTAGCCCTTCAGCAACAACAGGAAATGAATGAAGATACTGAATATGATGATGAAGAAACTATTCTACCTCAACAACCAATCACATCAGCCCAAGTGAAGCCACCAACAGCAACCAATGGAAATGTGAAATCCAAAACTGATGATTCAAGCTCTGAAGATGAAGATGATGACATGGTAAAATCAATTCTTAAAGAAGAAAAGTCAAAAATCGATCAAGTTGAGTATGATGATGACGATGATTTGGGTTCTTTACTCACTTCATATGCTAAGAAAAGACAAGAGGAAAAGCCAACAAGTGCTCCAGCTGTTGAAACTGTTTCTCCAATTTCTGAGCCACCCTCAACTGTATCAGTCTCCTCGGCAACAAGTACACAAAAGGTTATTAAAACGAGAAGAAACGCAATTGGTAGCTTTACAGGAACTGCCATCCCAACCTCATCTCGTAAAAGATCAACTGCAGTCGTCATTCCAACCCAGAAGAAACCAACACGAGTGGTTAAAACTGTTGATGATTTATTGCTAGACGATTCTGATGATGAATAAACACACAGATTTTCAAAGTGAATCTCAGTGAATCCAGTCCAAAATGGCTGCATGTTAATGAATGATTTTCCGTTCAAACATTTTAACACACTAAAAGCAAAACTAATTTGAAGATAATTGGAGCATGTCAATTCAAACACAGCTTAAAAAATCCACACAACTTTGAACAGCCAACACTCGCCAATAATTAATTGCCACACAAACATGACAAGAAAGCACAACATTTCAACACCTTTTGACCTTGGCGATGAAGTTGCTCAGACTCCACGTGGAGAACGTCCAACATTCTCACGCTATGAAAATACATCATCGGATCAAAATGATAATTATCGGAAAGTAAATTTAGAGGATCATCATCGTGATGCTGTGGAATATCAAGGAAAGAGTGAAGGATGTTGTTGGTTTTGTACAATAATGTAAAAATCTTTTACACCTTCTCATCACTCACAATTATTGTGTAGCACCTATTTGTAACAACATTTTAATTTATTATTTAACATTGTGTTGAATTTGCTCCGTGTTACTTTACTCCAATATTTAAATAATATAATAGTATTATATTATTATTAATATAATTTAACGATTATTTGTAGATATTCATTAACATTCACTATTTGCGAGAGTAGTCAATATAACCATCACCACCCCAATAAAAAGATTGTGCAGTTACAACAGCTAATGCATAATCACAATTTCACTTCCATTCTTCAGTGGTTTTTCTGAGTGAACCCTTGGCATTCAAGATGGCATCAAGTGTGACCTTAGCACTCTTTGTTTTGGATGGAGAGGCATCATTAGTATTTACATTTACAACTTGAGAAAGAGGTGGAGGTGGTGGAGCAGTTGTACTCTTCTTTTCCTTCGTTTGTTTGATTGCATTTTCGAGACCAACCTTCTTTTCCAATTGAGAAAATTCTTCCAATTCTTTGAATTTTTCAACATCTGGCAAGTCAATAGTTGCTTCTTCTTCTAATTTTGCCAAAATATCTGAATGCTTGATGGTTTGTTGAGAAGGACGTCTTGAAACCTTCTTTGGTTTGGAACTCAACTTTCTTTGAATGAGTTGGTTATTAGATTGTTGAATTACCTCTTGAGTTGAAGCGACTGGAGTAGTGATAGTACTAGATGTAACTTCCTTCTTATTGTTTGCATCTTCCTTACTACTTGGTTTGATTAAGGAATTGTATGCATTTCCAGAAAAGTTTCTAAACTTCTTCATCTTTAAACGTTCTCCAATGAGTCCTGAAATTTCAGCAGGTTTTGATTGCTTTTCTGGTGTTGCAGTAGTTGTTGGTTGAGTGGCAACATTGTTAGTACTATTACTTGTCGATTTTGGAGTAATTTTAGTTGTGGCAGCAACTGGCTCTTTGACAGGTTTAGGAGGTGATGATTGGATGACAGTTTCATTTGGAATCTTCTTTGTTTCTTCAATAATTGGATTGATTGGTTTGGTGATGACAGGTTTGTTATCTTGTTCTACTGGTTTCTTTTCAACAATTGGTGTTGGCTCACTGATGACAACTTTAGGTTTGATGATGACAACCATTGGAGATTCTTCCTTCTCTACAACCTTTTCTGTAACAGAGGAAGTGACAGGAATTTCTTGTTTAATAGGAGAAGTGGTAGTCTTCTTATCTTCTTCAATTGCTATCTTTGTAGTTTCGTCTTCCTTCTCCGAAGATGATTTTAGTTCTTGTATGGAAACTGTGCTTGTAGAAGGACAAGTTCCTCCGAGAACACTTTCTTCATCATATTGTTGAGGTTGTTCTTGGTTTCTTTGTATTTCTTCGTAGAGTTTCCACTTTTTATAGTCAGTTTCGTCTCGTGACTGTCTTTCTAATTCATCCTTGTAGAGAGAATAAATTGCTTGAACAATATACATAAACCATGAGGTAATGTATGAAATAATTCTGGAGAAAATTGACTTGGATTCTGTTGTGGACATTTTTTTGTTGTTTGAAGCTTTTTTGTGATTTCTGTATTTGTACAATTTTGGTGTTGACATTGGACAATTCTTGCTGTTGTTTAAAATGAGTAAAATAGGTAATAATCAATTAAACATTTGTAAATGATGTTCGTTAAATAAGGAATCATTAAAATCATTTACAAATGCTTTTGCAATTTCTTCAGATTGAAACTTGATAGAAATTGAATTTTCGTCCTCCAACATTTGGCATCCATCCTCCTCAACCATTACGTCCCAATCAAAATCAAAGCTAGTATTACAATCAAGTATGAAATATTTGAATTGTTCTATAGAGGCGTAATAAATATTTAGAATTAATACAGTCCTCTTGTCTGTGTCAGGATTTTGAATTGCTTTAACTTTTGCAATTTGCTTATTATCCAATACTAATCCGTGTACAGTATTCAAAAGAGCAAAACAATAAGCCACATCCTTCAATACTACATAAAAGGTATTGGAAGTGTCTGAAGCTACCTGCCACTTTCTTTCAATAAAATCATCCAATTTTGGTGGTATGACAAGCTCCATTTCGTGTTTGCTTGGAATAACTATCTGAAATGCTTTTGACTTCCAAAAATATACAACAGGATGAACATTGATATCAGTACTAAATTGCATTGAAATTGCAAGCTAAAACGTGAAAAAAACTTACCCATTCTTCCTTATTAAATACGAGCTCAGAAACAATGCAAGTGTAAAACTTTGCTTTTCAGATTCTAAGGTTATGAATACAGCTTTGTGCATTGAAAAATTACCATATGAATCATTTAAATACATGTCATTGATTTCCACTGGACCAATCCTTTTTTCGTACCTTTCACAAATATTGGTTAATGTCTTTTTGCTGATATTGAAAACAATCAAAACTCTAGATATTTCGGCTCTATTCTTCTCGTCTGAAAAAGGAACAAAAGGGTAGTCACTAAACTTATCAAACTCAAATTTTCTTCCAGTGTGACTATTTAAATCTTTTAGTGCAACTAATTCTTGACACTTTGGGCATTTGATTTTGTACTTATCAATGCTTAATCCTTTCAGTTGATTACCAATATCATTAACATGTGTAACATTTCCATTCTTTGATTTAATTATCAGTGAATAAAAATTAGGTTCTCCTTCAGTCTCGATTGAACTGCACACTTCACAAATCATAGTATCTTCTCCTCTCAGTATTGTTGGTTTATCACAGCATTGGCCATGGCAAGCGTTAGAGCAATATTTACAGACTACAGGGGAGTTCTCAATGGGTCTCTGACAAATGTAACAACTTCTTGATGTTAAGAGTGGGATGGGTTCTATATTTTCTACTCTTAATTCACTTCTTTCAAATGGTATTACTTCTGTTTCTTCATTTAGCTCAGGTAGTGGAATGAAATTTTCAATATTTTCGTCTGTTTCGATTTCACCTTCTGTTTTTTCCTCAGAAGCAATAAATGAAGCCAATGCTTCTTTAGCCTCATTGAGCATTGCATCAGCTTCATTGTACATAGTTTCCAAGTCTTCCAAGTCAGTAAAAGTCTCTTTTAAAATTATTGTCTTGAATTTTTCATACTTGTTCTGCAAATCGTAAAATTTCCTCTGAATATTTCCAATTTCTGCAGCAATGAAATCTGGGTCTTCCGATTCTTTTTCGAATTGTTCACGACAATATTCTACAATCTCTTCCAATTCCGAAATAAAGTTTTGCTCCATAGATTGTTTTGTTTTCTTGGAAGGCTCTTCTCCTTCACAAGATGCAGAAGCACTTCTTTTCATTTTTTTGTTTTAGCATTTGTGTAATTTGCTGCTAATTTTTTGCTCAACATGACATACCTAGACGAAGGGTTTGTTTTATTTAATTAAAGCTTGACTTGCATTTAGCTTTGGGAGTCTATTTTTCAGAGCTGCAGTTGCTGGCTTTACAACAAGTATAGGACCTTCATTCCTTCTCAGCCTGTACTCTTTAGCAGAATTTGGCCTTGCAGAGTGTGGCATTACTGAAGATGTTTTCTCCTGTTCTTTTTCTCTTGCAGTTCCTGGCACTTTATTCGAAAGATCCAAATTACTCTTCAGAGAATATCTCATAAAATTATTCTGCCCTCCTTGAGGTGCACTCTTTGGTGGTTTAGGTCTCATATCGTCTGGAGATTTTCTTTGATTTTGAAGTTGTGAAGGAGGTTTATCAAGGTCAGTATTGTCTCGTCTTGCTGATACCATTTCATATTCTTCTTCTGCACTTCGACCTGAGCTCTTAATAGTATATTTAAAGATTGGATTTTCCATTCTTGTTAAATGTAAGAGTTTAAAATGTGTTAAGAAACTTACTCTGCAGATATCATTACTTTTTTCAAATTTAGTTTGGGTATTTCGAAAAAGTCAGATGGGCTACTTGGTGGAATAAGGTTTGGTTTTTCTTTTTCTCCCTTCTTTGGACTTGTATTTGGACTATCAGATTGAATGCTAGTGTTTGGATTGATTTGTAATTGAAGTTGTTGTTGAAATTGTTGTTGAAGATCTCCCAACGTAGTTCCCAACTTTCCTCTAGCAGATTCATTTCCACTTAAGGCTTGAACAGGAAGAGGATCAAAGTTAGTTAAATAGTTTTGTCTTTTTGGAGGAGAACCGGATGGTGCTGTTGAAGGCGTTTTGGAAGAGAGTGGTCGACTGCAACTAAGGCATCTGTACGAACTGGAGTGACTTTGTTCGGATTCTCCTTTTGCCATGAGACATGGTTGACTCACACCCATTCCTACCACTAGATCCTCTGTAGAAATATCCTTTCGCACGATATTAATTATATTTGGAGGGTAAATTGGTTGCTGGGCTTCTATAAGTTCCTGCTTATCTGCCTTACTTTTGATTTTCTCTTCAAGCTTTTTAATAGATACCATCATTTCTTCTGTAGATGTTTTCCCAAGAATAGTATTCAATTTCTCGTTCAAATAGTCAAATAGAGCATTGACAATCTTTCGATCAGCTTTCAACTCTACATTCTTTTCATCTGCTTTTTGTTTGAGGGCTTCCCAAGCCTCTTCTCTCGGTAAAAAATTTGTAAATATTGTATCAATATGTTTTTCATGAGTACCCACAGTATTGACTACTTGTCTCACTATTTCATTCTCGTTAATTGCTGCTCGCACTTCTGGAAATGTCACAAACCGTTTCATACATTCTCGAATATCAGTAAACTCTTCTAACACCTTGTCACCCTCTCTGTCCATTCTTAATTTGGTTTCCCATCTCAACTCGTTTACAATGTTTGTGGAATTGTCGTATATTGTTTTAAAACATGGAGTGGTCATTAACATGTCTGTATACATCTTTCTGTACTCTTGTCTGTTCTTCTCCTTTTTCATTTTGGAATATTTTCCAATATCTTCCTTAGCTTGAAACTTTTCCTGTACATATGTATCATTCAAGTCAGTGATTAGATGTTTATCCAGCTGAAATACGTCGTACAACAGATTGGTTATGTAGTTAGTTTTCAGGGTATCCTTCTCCAGTAATCGAAAATTCTTATCCATTTTATCTGACAAGGTTTCCATCTTTTTCAGTAAATTTTCTTCCAGTTTCGTCAGTCTGAACTTTAGTTCTTCAATTTCATTTTTTTGAGATTCCGTTCGTTCCTTAAATATCATAAAATTATATTCCACCTTATTTGATATGTCCACAATTTTGGATCCCAAGTCAGAATTTACGGCTGATATTTTTTGGTTGTAATCATCTTGAAGCCTTTCTAAATTTTCATTCGAAATATCAAAATGTGTCTTGATTTCGTTTGATAAAAACTCAATATTTTCCTCCAATCCCTTTTTTACATCCAGTCTCAATTGATCCATTTGTTTTCTCAACTCCTCCTTGTCAAATTTGAGTACTGTAATCATTTCTTTAGCTTCATCAATTTTCTTTTCAGTTTTCATTTTCTCCTCTGTTAATTGTTCATGAACAATAGCCTCGACTTCTGTGAGTCTTGTTTCATGTTGAGTATATTCCTCTTGAATTATAGCAAACTCATTGTTTAAATTATGGATTTGGTTCTTCATAAAAGGATCATCCTCCCTCACAAAAACAGTTTCCTTATGTACAACTTTTGGAGTGGTTGGTCTGGAGGATGGAAGATCCTTCTTTGGTGGATCAGTAATCATAACACCGGTATTAAATGATGACTGCCTGCTCAATGAAAAATCGCTTTTTTGAGCGACTGCTTTTGCTAGTGACCTTATATTCTTTTCCTGCTTTTCCACTGTCTCAAGTAACATTGTTACAGTGTTTATCAATTGCTCAGGATCCACAGTGAAGGATTTCTTTGCAATATTTTCCGATGATAATTGCTTCTTCAGCTTGGTGAAATCAAAACTCTCGGGAAGAAGTCGTTCAGCTTCAATTTCCTCTTGCTCCAATTGTTTCCTCTCCAAATCACTCTGTTCTATTTCATCTAAACTTGGAGTAACAATAATTGACATCTCTGGAGGATTTAAAAACGACATTTCTTATATACTCCTCAATAAATTAAATTCCTTGTTTCAACAGCTACTGAGAGCTGTTGTTGTATTTTTTTGCTTTATTTTTTTAAACTTTCCAGTGCAACCAAGTTTGGCGGGAGATTGGGACTAATATTGCAATAACGTAATCTGAATCAATAATATTTCCAAGAAGAGATTATAAAGTGGAAAATGAAATGATTAATTCAGAATTATCTCCCAATAACATTCAAGTGTGATAACAAATAGCCTCCTTTATTGATGATTCAACTTTGAAGAGGGAATCAATTCTGTATAATGATTATTTCACAACTTTGAAATCATGAACAAGGTGATGAAGAAGTCATGTCATACTGTCTAGTCATCCAACCACTACTAATCACCGATCATTACTGAATTAACAACAAGAATGTATTTTGAACAAACAAAAAAATTGATCAACAACCAGCCCTCACAATTTAATTGGAAAGTCTAGAAAAAGGATGGGACAAAATAAATCCTCTCCTGCAATTGCAAATTCATTCTCTGATTATATTGATAGTTCTTCGAGTGAAACGACATTTATTCCTCATGATGATGGCTGGAGTGATGATGGAAATGATTATGAGAATTGGTTGGGCACCTCCGATGAGTCAGAATTCATGGAACCACAATCATCATCACATTCTCCTTCAACAACAAGTAATGGAAGGAAATCATTCAAGTCACCATCACCATCATCATCAGCTGCACTCGATTCAAAATTTAGTGCATTGGAATCATCAAGTGAAACACATCACCACACAATAAGCGAGAAATCCAATGTTTTTAAATCTCTCAACTCTAAAATTACCTTCCATATGGATCATGTCGTTGTGAGGAGAAGAAACAAGAAACTGTGGACCAATAATTCACCACCCCAAGAGGAGCCAAATGCAAATTTGTGGTATATTTGCGAAAAGTATACTAAATTAAAACGATTGGATGAAAAACATGGAAATACCTATTCAGCAACAGAAGTTGCACACAAAAAACAATCTTGTGGAACATCGGAATTTACAAACAGTCAAAACAATCTCCAACAAGCTAAACAATTTTCATCTTCTTTATATTCATCAAACAGTAGACAAGTTGTTGTAAAATTCTTCAAATGCACAATTAATGAATGGTACAGCTACTCTCATCAATCAGGTTCTTTCCCTTTGGAAAGATATATTGAAGAATTGAAAAATTATTGGTATATGACTTTTCATAACACGAGAAGAGATGAAAAGAAGGTGGATGACAAGTTTTTCAAGATTTATGTGGATAAGAATTTTTTCAATTCTCCATCTGGAAATCAACAAGTTCTTGTCATGCTTGTCATGCCATACTTTGACAGAAATTTAAGCTCAGTAATCTCAAAACAAAAGACATTGGGGAAAAATCTCTCATTACTGGAAGCTATCTTGCTATTCAAACAAATATTAGCTCCTGTTGTACAGATACATCAACTGGGATATTCCCATCATAATTTAAAACCTGAAAACATATTCTTAGTACCACATACTACAAATAATCGAGTAACAAGATCCTTTTTTTCAAAAAAGAGATCAGATTCTATGACCAGTCAAACTTCAACTGAACAAACTTATGATGTCATATTGACAGATCCTTTTCCAAAAATTTCCATATTACAAAAAGCAGGCTCATCCAGTCTGAGTGAAAATATCAGAAGAAGTATGGCAACTCAACATTTATTATCAGATGCTGCCCTTTCTTCAGAAAGTTTTAGGAGGAGTTCTTGTGTTGCCATTGATGGACAAGGTGGATCTCCATCTCCAAGTGCTTCCATACCCAATCCATCAGGTTCTATCCATTTAACATTTATGATTACTGGAAACAAATTCCTTAACGATTTTAAATTATTCCCAAATAGATATTCATTCGATCAAAAATCAATTACAGAATACCACTCCCCTGAGCTAAAAGATCTTATCACTAATGGTCCAAAAAAGAATATTTATATTAGGAGTTCATCGCCTATATGGGCCTCTCAGAATTTAAACATTTCAAGTGACAATGATCTGGAAAGTGTTTGCAGTATTAACATTAAGGAATCGATATCTGAGACACTTATCAATTCCTCAGATATTTATTCACTAGGTATACTGTTCTACCAAATACTAGGTTTAGATTTGTCTTTAGAAACTCTCATTAATGCCACTTCTATTCATGCCAAACGAGTGTACATTAGAGAGATGATTTTATTGAACTATAGATATGATACAGAGTTTTTAGATTTATACGAGAGATTGGTCGATATTATTGTTAATCAAATGTTGACAGTGCATCCTGAGGAGAGAATACTATCCAAAGACCTCTATGAAACAATTGAAGATATTGAAATGCTTTTGAGAAGAGGAGTACAAAACATATATTGGGATACTGATAAATCAAATAATACGCAAATAAGCCTGTTTCAACGCTCTTCACAATCAACAAGTGCATTTACCATGACTGAAGAGGAGGCAGAGTCTATTTATTCGAAAATGATGGTACTTCAATATGGTTCTTTCAAGTTAGATATTTTGAAAAAGATCAACTCATTATCTAATTTTTCTCCTGTTAAAGGATCTTCAGCTCCTTACCAAACCAATGAAAGTTCTAAAAAACACAATCTGGTTGCCCTCAGACTTCCAACCCCTTTGGATGACATTGAAGATCAAGAGGATTCCTTCTCTGCACTAGATAATATGGAGGTACAGGGTTTGTACAAACCATCAAGAAGAGTACTCTCACTGACACAGTTAGGTTTTACTCCAGAAGTTTTTTCTATGAGGGCCATTAATCAATTTATTAGTATAGAAAAATTGAAAATTACTAAATTTATGGAATCAAAGAGAGGAAAGGAAATACTACTTGCTTCTAAAAGAAGAAAATATGGAAATTCTGAGCATACTTTCAAGATAACATGCTTACCCATTAATTCTTGTATGACTATTGTACCACAAACTAACTCTCAACAAAAGAACTTACCAAAGATTGTAAAGTTACCATACTGCGATGATTATATGGATGATATCAATAATGTTGTCACGAATGGAACTGATAATATTGATTTTTATTTTAATGGATTTAATATTATTGATTCCATGTTCAATTCGTGTCATTACACAAAATCCATAGCCCCTGTCATTCACAAATTTTCATGGATCAATATGCACTGTTTAGTAGAGCCATTCTATGAAATGAACACTCTTGATTATTTCATCTTATATAAGAGATCTCGTTCCAATAACGTTTCTGTTAGTGATTTAACTCCATCCTATTCCTCAAATATCAATTCTCTTTCCAATACTGAAAGAAAGCCATATCTCGATGAAGAAGATAATAAGAATACCCTATCAGTGGTGACCAGTATTTCATCTTCCCCTCCAACAATCTTCACAACTCTCCAAGTTTGTAGATTAGCCTCAGAAATAGCAGAAGCCCTCAATTACTTACACACACAAGATATTGTTCATTGTCATGTTAATACTCAAACAATTCTCTATCATGATGACATTGAACAGGTTCTTCTCTCATCATTTGAAGAAGCTCAAGTGAAAAATTCCAAAACAAATTGCGTATTTATTGCACCTGAATACTTTTTCCAAAATCCAACAGCGCAAAATATTGTTACAGATAGACTGGACATTTTCCAATTTGGAATCTTAATGGCAGGTCTGATATTAGGATTAGAAATGGATGCCAGTATTGCAGTGATTGCTATTTGTCAAAATGAAGATAGATTCGTCAAGGAAATGGATTATCAATTCGAATTGAAAAACATACCTAAACGAATTTCATCCCTTATCAAATCATGTCTAGTCTCCAATCCAAAGAAACGTATTGGTGCTAAGGAAGCACTCTATGATCTAGAAGAAATAATCAAGAAGAAATAAAAAGAAATCACGAATAAATTAACCAACAACTAACAGTATTTAATTTTGGCGCCAAAAATCCTCATACAAAGTACAATAAGTAAAACAACAAAAACCTTACAGAAAAAATCGAACAAACATTTTAAACGGAACATAAAGATGGTTAAACTCAGATGTAAAGTTGGTATTCTCGGAGATTCCACTGTTGGAAAAACAAGTCTTATCAAAATGTTCAAAGAAAGAACATTTCCGAATCAATATTTAATGACAATTGGAGCTGATTTATATACAAAAACAATTGATGTTCCTGTTGTTACAAATGAACAACAACATGATTCAATTCCAAAGGAAAATCAAGTAGAACTATTTATTTTCGATATTAGTGGATCATCAATTTATGAAAAATCATACAACGAATATGTATGTACAATGAATTCAGTTGGAATTTTAATCATTGATTAATAATCGGAATTAGATCGATGGTTTGAATGCTTTTATTATTGTCTATGATGCAACCAATCCAGAAACATTTACAAATTTAACAAAATGGTACAGATTGTGTAAGAGTGTAAGAACTAGTAACAGCAGTCAAAAGAAGCACGACAAATCACTATTAGGTGTATTAGTAGGAAATAAGAGTGACCTAGGTGCTTTTGAAAAGGTAACTAGACATCAAGGTGAAGAATTTGCTAGGGAATGTGGATTGGAATTCTTCCAAACTGCCACAAATACTGATGATGGAAATGTAGAACAACCATTCTTACATATTGCTGACAGTTTCTATAAATCATTCTTAGAAAGAGTTGAGGAAATTAAGTACGTCTGTGAACATAAGACAGCACACAAACTGTAAATAAAGAAAATATTCTTATAAAAAATGGAACAACAACTGGATCAATCAGCAAATGAAGAATTTGAAATTGATGATTCGGGAATGACGTATTTTGAGAAGGTTTGTTTGTGATGCTAAAATTATGATCATTAATTATCTAAAGCATCAATTAACGCAAAAGGAGAAATCCGACATGTATAAACACTTTGACAGATATAAACTGACAATGAAAATTAAAGATATTAACGTTGATTATGTGGATGAGGTGGAAAAGAAGATTGGAAACAATACCATTCTATCCTATCATGCAGGTGTGAGTGTAATTGTTTCCATGACATACGACAACTTCAACTCACATGAACAAATTGGTTGTGGAAATTTCCAATGTGATAGTAGAGGTAAAGCAGTATTGGAAGCGAAGAGAATTGCCATAGACGATGCATGCCAGAGAGTTTGCAGGGTTTTTGGTGATATCCACTCTGGACATCATAATTTAATGATGGCAAGAAAACAGTAATAGAAAACATTGTTGTACATCATAATTTGATGAAAGCAACATCGGAAGTAATTCAAATTATAAGACCAATAGATGATAACCAACAGATGAAACCAAGATCCATAATGTCATGGATGTTTGAAGCAGTTTCTATTTAATTAATATAATTTTATAATTATCATATTAAATTAATTAAAATTAAATTTATTGATCATTTTAGATTAACTACACCTTCAAAAAATGCAACAACCACAACAAGAAATTACAGGCGATGATCAGGAACAAATCATGCCAAACAACACAATATACATAAATAATATTAATGAAAAGATCAAAGTGCCTACTCTTAAAAAACAATTATATAGTATGTTTGGACAATTCGGAGAAGTTTTGGATGTCATAGCAAGTAGATATGAAAAGACTAGAGGACAAGCTTTTATTGTATTTAAAGATGTAGCAACAGCAACAGCAGCAAAGAAGAAATTAAATGGATATGTATTCCATGATAAGCCAATGCATATTAATTTTGCAAAATCTAAAAGTGATGCTACAGCTAAATTAGATGGAAATTATGAAGAATATAAAGCAAAGAGAGTTGAACAAAAACGAGCTAAACACGGACTTGAAGAAGAACCAGAACAGAAAAAACCAAAGAAAGTTAAACAAGAATCATCTAAACAATCTAGGAGGGAAGAAAATCTGGTTCCAAGCAGTGTACTTTTCATTGAAAATTTACCAAGGGATGTTGAAAAGAGTTCAGAATTACTTGAAACATTATTCAACAATTATGATGGATATAAGAAATTGAGATTGGTAGGAGAGAAAGGTGTTGCCTTTGTGGAATATGAAACTATTGAACAAGCTACATCTGCTAGAGAAGGTCTTCAATCATGGAAGATTAAACAACAACCAATGCGAATCAGTTTCAAAAAGATGTAAATTAATTAAATTATTATTGATTTCTATATTTTTATCAAACTCCATCTCAGTTAGCGAAATAGATCAATAGAGTTCAATAGAGGAATGTTTTATTAGAAAGTGTCATCTGAACAGATGGAAGGCCACATTTTCTATCACAGGGCAGTGTTAGACAGAAGATAGAGTTTGCCTTCCAATTAGAAATCTTTTTTAATAACAAAAAAATGAATTACGTTAAAGGTCTCTTCGGGAAGAAGCAGACCGCTTCGGAGGAAACAAACGACAATGAAAGTGCTGCTTCTGAAGAGGAAGTAGAACAACCACAACAAAAGAAAGTTAAGAATTTTCCACCATGTTATCCTATAGTTTATCACAGTATTTCTGCTTGTGGTAGAAAAAAGTATTTAGCCTTGATGGGATTGGTAGGTTATATTGTGATCGTGATCTAACAATATGATAATTGTAATCATCATCAAAATAGGGAGAATATATTGCTTTTATTATTATTGCAATTTTGAACATTGTCGGATTGATCATTGCTCTTGTCACTAGTAGAGTTTATGATTATATTGGAGGAGTTGCTCTTGGTGGATGTTATATTATCTTTTATCCAGTTATTGCATTCTTTGCTCAATATTGGTTGACATATGGTGCTTGTGCACACAAGAACTCTGCCAGGTAGGTTTCAAATTTCAAATTGGTCAACTGATCGTTTAAGATATGTTTTGGCATTCATTTCATATTTGGTTGGTATTATCTTTTCATTATTCATGGCTATTGGAGTTCCATCAATGGGAGCTTGTGGATTGGTTGGAGCTTTGCAATTAATCACTAAATCTGATGGTACATTTGCCATGATTTATAGCTTTATTATGGCTGCTGTTTGGGCATTCAATGTAGTTTATCAAGTTATCATTGTTCTCTTATTATATAGACATTTCAATGAAGAAGGAAGCTCACTTGGTCGTGCCAAGGACCAGATCATGGCATTCTTTGTTAAGAGATCTCTCACAAGTACAATCTCAGGTGTCACTGGTGGAAATTAATTCCCCAGATTACATTTCAAATAATATTAAATTACAAATTTATTTAAGGAAATTTCTACTTTTTTCATACTTTTCATTACAAATATTTAAAACTGTAAATCACCAATAGGTTTATTTTACTGTAAATGATACAACAAGTGGTTGCCATACAACAAAATAGAATCGAAGTAAATAGGTTGAGGTGTGGATAACAAATAACAGTTTGACTTTGTAGTTTGACTAAAGTCGTGTAGTTTTCCATCAATACACTGGTGATGTATTATTAAATTAATTATTTAAATTTTAAAAAAAATGATCACACCAGGAATTATTGACGTGGAGCCACTCCTTCCACCTCTTCGACCTCTTAGAGAATTTCTTGCCTATACTTCACTTAGAAATCACAAACAACCACTTAGAGCAAGAATATTGGATTCTATTACATTTTTCCAAACTAATTATTTGCTCATCAACATGATTATGTTGTGTTTACCAATGCTCTTCTCCTATTTATTTTTCCCTGTTTTAATCCTTGCTCTAAGTCTTTTCTTCTTCTTGGCCTATCACAAGTCTGACAACATCATTGTTTTGCGTCGTATAAAGGTTACCAAAAATTTGGCCATTCTCACTTGCTTGTTTGCTCTCGTATTGCTCGTTCTCGTCTCTGGAATGTACACCACTCTCTTTGTAGGATATATCTTTACAGTATTCTTCGTCATGTCACATGCTTGTCTTACTGATCGTAGAAGAACACAACCATCATTCCAACAAGATGACTCAAATGGAGCTAGTAGAATTTTCGATCCAGAAGAAATCATTCGTAGAGATGAAATGCAAAGAAGAAACTTCCAACAACCAATGACTGGTTACTCAACAAGTAATAGATTTATGACTCCTGGAACCATTCAACCAACTTCTTATGAACCAACCTCTTCTGATGCTTCAACTACTGAAGATGACTCGAAGCGTTATAAGAAGGAAAAAATTGAACAAACTAGAAAACGTATTAAGGAAAACTATGGATTGGAATAAAAATTCATCCACCAAATAATTATTCCCGCCAATTTACTTTTCTGTTATTCATTATCAAAAAAATGCCACCAACACAACAACCAAAATCAATGAGAGGTGGTGGAAAGCAATCGTCTCCTCTTGCATCATCAGATAAGGATGAAATTGCTGATTTTAAGGAAAGGTTGAGGCAACAAGAACCCAACCAAAAACAAAAAACTTCTAATCGGAAAGGAATTAGTGAAAGGGAAGTGCTTCTAAAGGAGGCTCAACAACTTTTAGATGAGGATAGTATACTTATTTCTCCATCAAGGTCATTGCTTGAAGCTATTGAAAAGGATTTGGAGGAAGCTGGATTTTCTGATGGAAGTGATGACGAAGAAGAGCCTGTATTTAAAAGAAGTAACAAGGTTGAAGCAGTTGAAACTACAAAGAAAACCCCCAAACCAGTCGCAGTAAAGGATTCTCCACCACAAAAAACCCGACCTCCTCCTCAAACAAAGTCAGTAACTCCAAAATCTATTAAAATAGCCCCACAACCAGACCACAACCCATTAGAATTAGACAGACAAAGACTAGTTAGCGACAGGTTAGAGGATGTTAGCTCTCAAATTTCTAAGATTGAAAAAGCCATCTCAATTTTTGATCAAAAAGAAAGAGAAATCAAAAATCAAAAGAGAGAAGAATGTGAAAAAGAAAAGATAATTATTAAGGAAAAACAAACCTCTCTCGAAAATATGTATTTAAAGATTGACACTTTACAGAAAAAACAAGATAAAGAGTTGAAGATTTTAACAAGAGAAAAGAAAAAATTGAAAGACCTAATAATCCAAAACGAGCAAAAAAAGAACAATTTAATCAAAGAGAGGGATTCACTCCTATCTATCCCAACAGATTTAAGGAGAAATCCTGTTGATGACAAATTGATTCAAAAGAGAGACCAGCTAATAGAAGTTAATGCAACCATTGAGAGGATTGCAAGCAAAATTAGTGACATTGATTGTTATCTGAAAGAGCTGGAGAATGATGAATCAGAGTGGTTAGCCCAAATATCAACTAATTCAATGATTTTGGAAGGATCTACATTGACTGATGACCAAAAAAAGAATCTCACAACATTAATAAGGAGAGAAAAAGAAATTTATTTAAGGACAGAAAGATTACGAGAAAAGTTTCCTTTAGAGATATTTCTGATAGACTTGAAGTTTGAATATAATAGAGCTGTAGACGAGCTTAATTCCAAGAAAGTATATGCAGAATCTAAGAGACAAGAAGTTTGTGAGTTAATAGACGAAAAGAGGATCATTCTTGAGGAATTGGAGCAAGAGAACCTATCTGCAAAACAAGAATATGTATCCAAGAAGGAGAGCGGGATTGAAAACCTTCAAAATGAATTGAGAAAACTCTCAGCTCTTGAGAATTATGTACATACCATGTCTATTGAAATAGAGGAAACAGAGGCTATTCTTGCTCATGCTTTAGAACTTTCTTCTGAAGAACTTGATTTCCAACAACTAAGACAGTGTGTTGATTCATTCAATGCCAATTTTCTTGGGGAAGCAATAGAATTTGATCAAATCGGTTTCAAATTGCCATATGAGTCTATAGTCAATACATTCAAGAAACTCTATATTAACCAATCTAAATCATTTATAGACATTGAGAGAAAGAGATCAAAGGAAAGAGAAGAGTACATTTCCATGATAAGGGATAAACTTGAGAAAGATAAAAAGTTGGTCGAGGTTGCCAAAGAAAAGATATCCTCATCCTCAATTGGAGAAGTTGAGCGGGAAAACTCAGAGCGAAAAAGGGGAGAATTAGAAAGACTTGGTCATTTTTCAAATATTGTCAGTGAATTAGAGCAACAAATAGGAGGATTAATCAGAGATAGACAAGAGTGTGACGAAGAAATAGAATCAATTGTTTCGCAATTGAACGAAATCGAAGAGAGTTATAACAAGGAGAAAGAGGAAGTTGAGAAACAAGTGGCAGATAAAATCGAGAATTGCACAGATGATGAAATGAAATTAACAGAGGAAAGATTTGTTAGGTGTGAGGCATTGGTTGGATCTTATTATCAAATCAAAGATGTTATCCAAAGAATTGTAGATACAAGCAAATGTGACAAGGTTTCTCAATATGTTGATGCCAGCAATAATGTTGAAAGCCAAGTCAAGGTAATCAACAAACAAAAAATAGAAAAGCAGGATGAGTTAGAAAAAGCGAACGAAGAAATTGATTCAATGATAAACCAAAAAGAAAACCTTGAAAGGGAAATTGAAAGTCTTGCAAATCAAGAGAAACAATTCGAAAGTGAAATTACAAAAGAAAAAGTCTCAATAGAAACAAGAGTTCAAGAAATTGATAACCTTTTAGCTATAATAGAGGAGGATGTAAAAGAAACTATTGCTGATTATGATTCAGTCACTAAACCTTTGGAAAAGAGTATTTCTGTGATAGAGAAAGAATTAAATAACTTGACAAATTCAACAATGACACTCAAGAAACAACTTGCTGCCATGAAGAAGAACTTAGAAGATATCGAGGCATCATATACAGGCAAAATATCACAAGTAAGAGCTCAGAGACAACATTTAAGACATAGATTGGAGCTCAAATTACAAGCAGTAGAAAATGTGAAGAACAGTGGGGCAGATATTATAATGAGATCGATCAAGCCAAGTAAGAACGAGAAATCAAATCCTCCTCCAGTTTCTAAGAGTGGTTACTATAGCATGTATATGAGAAATAAGGATCCTAATTCTTTAGAGGACTTTGATGAAGATTTCTATACAGATTTAGCAGAGAGAGAAAACGAGGGACACGAGAATGATGATCATACTCTTGAAAACTCAAATAATTCACTGGAGGGTAGTGAGGAAGAACAATATGAAAATGAGCCAGAAATAACAAAGGATCAAACACCTGTCACAACTGAAACCACTCAAAAAGCTCCTCAAACCACAACACCTAAAAAGCCTACCAATACCTCTACCAACACAACCGTTGCTAATCCATCAAATGGTGGTGTTGTTGGTGTTGCCTCATCAAACATTTCAAGATTATTGGCATCCAAACAATATAAATTGTTTGGGCCAAATTCAAAACCTTTGAGTAAGGAGGATGTTCAATTTGTTCTGGATAAATTCCAGTTCATGTGTAATGGTACCCTATTGCATAAGAAAAAGTCCAATACGGAATATGTATTAAGGCACGTATGCTTATCGCAGGAGTTTACGAGAATATTAATAAGAGACAATAAGAAGAAAGTTCCAGAATCGTTTTTGAAGGTTGAACATATTGACAAGGTTTCCAAGAGCAAAGAATCAACTAACAAAAATCTTGAAGGTGGATTCTCGCTCATAATTATTACTGATAAGAAAAAGATGGAATTTGTTACTTTTGATGAGCGAGATTACAATAATTGGGTGGATGGTCTTGGTTTGCTAATAGAGAACAAACAAAACCTGTTCTCCTTGAAGTACAACATCAGGGATTTACTAACTAATGTACAATAAATTCTATTTATTAGAGAATGGGACAGTACAAGAAACACCATTTTGGTGGTATACTCCAATGATATGATCTGCCTTCTCGTAAAACTTGAATGATATGCAAATGAACTGAGTTTTGAGAGAGCTGCTTTTGATGAGCTTGGCTAATTTCTCTACATTGATGGTGTCTAAACTGCTACATAATTCATCAAAGATACAAATACTGGTTGAAAAACATCTCATTAGCGCTTTAGAAAGAACAGAACAAACCAGATTTTTCTGACCACCAGACAGCTTACTAAACTCTTTCCACTCTGAATCGTACTTGCAATAAATATTGACACCCTTTTCAAATAATGTCTTCTTGTCTTCATAGTAAGAAATGTAGCAGTTTGAGTTGTTATTCAAATCTCTGAATATTTGAGAGAGGTTCTCATTAATTTTGGAAATAACCTTGTGAAACAATTCATATCGTAAGGTAAGAAATTTTGACTCCAATAGTTCGAGGCTCTCAATTCTTTGATTGATACTATTGAGCCTCTTATTAGTGAATTTCAGCTTTTTCTTGGCTGTTGATTGTTTTTCTAAACAATTTTTATCCACACTATCTTGTATACCTTCCAGTTCTGAATTTATGTGCTTGAGCTCAGATATCAGTTTGAGCCTTCTCCTTTCCTCTAATTCCAAGTCTAGTTTTGTGTCTACTTTCAAAGAGATATTACTTTGTGCTATTTTAGAAATGGACAACTTTAGCTCGTCGATATCCTCTTGGATTTTTTCCTTATCTTGCACTTTTCTAGAGATTTGAAGGTCTTTCTCATTAATTATTTGGCTTAATTTTTTAATGTTTCGTCTGAATTCTTTTAATTTGTTACAATAATCCTCTTTTTTTGATTCGAGTTTACCTTTTTGCCTTTTCAGAGAGTCTACTTCTGATTCTAATGAATCTAATTCCTCTTGATTGTTTTCTTTTCTGAAAATATCTAATTCATTAGTGTATTTTTCTCTTTTTGCTGCAAGGTTTGATAATAGAGCTGATATTTGATTCAATCTCTTGCTTTGTGTTTCTTTTAACTTGTTGAGTACAGTATGCTCCTTTTGTTTTTCTGACAAGGTTTTCTTGAGGTTCGGCAATGAATTTCCACTGTTATCGACACTCTCAATAGTATGGATTTTCATTTCTAATTCTTTCTTGATTGTCTCTATTTCTAATAACTCTGCTTCCTCAGTTGGAGCTAAAATAGTATTTTTGAAGGTTTCCTGTTTGCTCTCTAAATCCTTCTTGATAGATATCAATTTTCTGGAAAGAGTTGAGAGTGAAGAGCCAATTTTTTTGATTTGGGATTGATAATTTCTTGTTAATACTTCCTTTTCTGATATGGATTGCTTAATGTCATTCATTGACATGATGAGACTTTCACATATTTCCTCTAGATCTTTAAACTTTTTTTTCAAAATAGACAAATACTCAATGTCTTTGTTATGATCTGAATAATTTGTATTGAGTTTAGAATACTGAGTACTGATCTGGTGAGGGGTAGTATCTTTGGAATAGTGGCAAGATATTTCTCCAAAGCTTTTAAATATCTTTCCATCGAGAGTAACAATATTTCTTCTTTTGCCGTTATGATATGAGTATTTCATTGCACATTCTATCGAATCAGTAATGAACCATCCTTGGGTGTGCTTTTCTAGTAAGGGTCTGTATTGAGCCTCACATTCCAGAACTTCAATAAGTGGCTTCAATTCTAAAGGATTAGTGCTGGATTGGTTTGGCAACAACTTCAGCTCATTTAGAATTTCACAACTGACCAATCCTGCACGATCATTTTCAAAAAACTTCACTACCTTCAATGCCACTTCTCTGCTTGAAACAACTACTGTATTCTTTAAATAAGGATGAAGCACTGAGTTTACGGAAACTGCATATTTCTGATCAGTGATTCTATAAATCTCTGGAATTGTTCCAAAACATCCATCTATCCCTGATCTAATTTTCTTTATGGTATCTAAAAAAAGAGAATTAACTTCCTCTTTTTGAATCGAGGATGTTTCTAAGTCAAATATTTCATCTTCTATCTTGATTCTCTGCTTCTTTTTGAGTTCTATTGATTCTTGGACTCTCTTCAAGTTATCTCCTAATATGCTGGCTTCTGAGTCTGCTAATTTCTTCAATTCAGAAATTTCTTCCATATAATTTTCTAAGCCCACTTTCTCTTTTTGTTTTTGATCAAATGTTTGATTCAAAATTTCGATCTGCTCCTCCAATTCCCTTAATTTAACACTACGAGATGTTAATGCTGTATAACGATAACTTGTTACTATCTCGTTTAATTCTCTTTGCAAATCTATCAATATTTGTTGAGATTCATCATCTATGTTTGATGTCAATCTATTAATCTCATTTTCAAGACTGTTAATGCAATTCTCTAAATACTTAATATCTTCCTCTGTATGACAATTCATTACATTCAAATCGTTCTTTTCCTCTCCTAATTGAATAGACTCCTTTGAGGTTCTTTCTAATTCCATTTCAAAGTGCTGAACTTTTTGATTGTAGGAATCATTCTCAAGTCTTACCCTCAGTAGATTCTTTTGAATCTTGGATGTGACTTTCTTTATCTGGTCTAGTTCCTTTTCTGTGGTGTCCATTTTCTCTACTTGTTTCTGAGTACTTTCATTCAGTTGCTGTTCTTCTATCTTTGAGTTTGAACGATTACTTTCTAAAGAAGATATTTCAGAAGTAATTGACTTTAGCTCCCTCTTGCTTTTGTCTAGTTTGAATGTTAGGCATTTCAGCTCACTCTCTTTTATGGATGCTTTTGTCTCCTCCACCTTTTTTTCTAACTTTTGAAAGTTTTGATAGTGTTCGACTATAGGTTTTAATAACTCTAGATCCTTTTCACAATCATTCTTTTCTTTCTCATGTATTTCAATATCGGATCTGAGCTTTGTAATATCTTCCTGAACTTGCTTAATTTCAATTTGAACTCTATCAGTACCAAATAATTTTTCAAGATGGAACAGCATTTCTAAAGGGTTTTGCTTTACCATCTTTATGGTATTATGTTGCATAACAATAAATCTATCAGGATAATCAAAGTCAATTCCATACTCATTCAGTAATTCCCTCACTTGTTTTTTTGTTATCTTTTTGGATTCCTCATTTGGTGAAGAGAGATGGTAGGAGCTTGTGTGATCATTTCTTTTAATCTTTCTTTGAATACTAAACTGCTTGAAACAATCATTCTTACCATTCATCACATTAAAGTTGATTTTGACAAATGACTCTTCATCAGATGAACACTGATCATTGATGAGGTAGTCTAGATTCTTAGCTCTTAACTCTTTAGACTCAAATCCAAGCACAAAACAAATCGAATCGATAATATTACTCTTTCCAGATCCATTAGATCCAATGATACAATTTAATCCAGTGGTGAAAGGACCAACCAGTGTGTTATCCTTGTATGATTTGAAATTTTTCATCTCAATGGAGTGAATTATCAATTGCTGATCACAAGACCTTCCTTCAAGTTTATCAAGAATAGCCTTTTCAACTTTGAATATAAGAGATTTTATATGAATTGCTAGTATGCAAACTTACTCTCCAATAATCTATTATACTGTGGATATTCTTCCATCTCCTCATCATTGTCATCATATTCTACCACAGGTGAATCTCTGGAAGAAAGAGATTCGATATCGTCTTCATCAGTCAACTCAAGCCTTTCGTCCAACTCATCTTCACTGCTACTACTATCATCAGATTCTACAATTTTCCTTTTGATTCCTCCTTTCTTCTCAGTTTTCCTACCTTTGATTTGTTCACTCTCCACATCCTCTCTTGTAGTAGGAATTTCCTCTTCATCATCCTCAATTACCTTTCTAAATCGTGATGGTGGCATTTTTTTCTACTTGGTGCTGTAACAAGAAATATTTCAAAGCCTTGATCTAAAAAGCCTATCATCAAAGGAAGCTAAAAGAGTTTCACTATAAAACAATCAAAAGTGAAAGTTAGGCCAAAAGTAAGTCGGCCAACTCTTCCACAATGGTATAGGTACTATTTTCAGATCCGAATTGAGCATGACTATTGACTAGACATACTGCAGTCTTTAAATCAAATTCCTTCACTAGAGTGGCAATGTCAATGTCTGTAACTTGGAAATTTTGGAAAGCATCTGATTTAGTTGCAACAACTATAATATTGTTGGTTTGTTTTTTCAATTGTTTGATTTTGTTTTTGGCATTCTTGAAGCTTTGAAAATGTCCCATGGAAAATAAGACTAGATGGGCATGAAAATCATTAACATTGTCTGGTTATAGATCCAACAAAGTATATTAGTGATATTCTTAATATAAATTACTTACATGAATTATAAATTGGATTATTGATAGCACATCCTTCACCAACATCGATCACTTCTAGCTCTATCCATTTCACAGAATCAATACATTTGATTGGTATTAATGTATTTGTTGTAATTGATCCAACAGTATCACAATGTTGATTTCTGTGTTGTTCAATATTGGTATCTTTCAAATGTCAAAAATTTGACAATAAAATTATTTCACTTACCCATTCTACAAAGACTCTTCTGTAAAGTTGTTTTACCAACAGCTCTATCTCCATGTAGTCTTACTTTCCAGTTATGGTGTGGTGTAACAAAATTCCAAGGAGGAATTGATTTTAAAAACATTTCCTGAATATCCTTTGTGATAATACTATTAGTCTTTGTTAACTTGGATTTAATAGCATCAAATCCCATATTCGGATCAAAATCAGATGCATTACTCAAACTAACAAATATTGATCCTCTGTGTTGTTCTTCCGCAGCTCCAACAGCATTTGACATGAGCATGGCTTTAGATCCACTTTGTGTAATCAAACTAGTTGCAGAAAAATTCATTGCTTCATTGATAATTTCATCCTGTTGTTGAGTGAGTTGAAGTGCCATTTTGTGAACAGCATTGGTTAATATGCCCTTTACACTTGGTACAAATTTTAATTGTTTCTCTCCTGGAATTGTATGAAGAAATTCAATCTTTGCTAAAGCATCAATTCCTTCAGATTCTTGGTTGAGCCAATTTCTCTCCACAACCTTCTTTTTGAATGATGAATCTAATGATGGTGTTGGGAGAGGAAGTTCCGAAGAGGCACTATCTTCGTTTTTTGCATTTGATGATGAGATCATTTTTTAGACTGTTTCAAATAATAATATTATTGACAACGCAAGAAGTTAATGTTAGAAATGTAAATTATTGTTTATTATAAAATAAAACGAATATTTAAGTAATAATTCAAAACAATAATATTATTAGTATTTAACACAATTGGCAATTATTATTTACCGTTACAAATTTGAAAAAAATATTTAAATTGTGCAAATCTACGCGTGTTGCTCGTTTAAAACCACTCCAATCCCAAGTTAGTCGTTAGTATTGGGTGTTTTGAGAATCATCAAACATCGACAACATATAACTCATCAACAAATATTTAATAGTAATAACAGTTGAATAATTCAAAAATGAATAATGAAAGACAAGATGGTTTCCCTTCGGCATCAAATAGTAACCAACAACCATCATCATCAAATGCCAACAACCAACAACCACCAATAATGGGACCACCATCTGCATCATTAACAGCAGCACTATTTGCGGAAAGAGCACCTAGAAGATCAGCCTTACAAACAAGAGAAGGTACTGGTTATATTCCACGAACCCGCCAAAGAGAAGGTTATGATGATGTGTTGGCATCACAGAATGCTTTCCAAAATATTGGTAAAAGATCTGGACAAATAATTGTAAATACCGACTCTGTTGATCCGAATGCCTTCTTTGAAGCAAACAATAATCAGAACTTTAATCAACAATTACATAGAGATGACCAATCGAGTGTATTGTCATTATCAAACATTACTATGAATGATAGTGATGATACCATGAGTATGCTAAGCTCAAAGACAGCTGTTACTTTTCGTTCATCAGGTGATGAACAATCTCCAGATGAAGCTCTTAAAATTGATAAAACTTCAATGGAGTATGTCACATCATCTTCCGAGGATGACACTTCTGTGAAAATACCAACTGTCACAATTAAGCAACCTAAGAAACCCGATTCACCTAAAATATCCCTACCACCTGTTTCACCAGTTCTAGACACCTTCAGGGAAGAAGAACAACCAGCAGAAGCTGCAGATATCATTGCACCTCCTACACCTACACCTACATTTGATATTGAACAAGGAGGCTTAGATGATGATCATGCATTCGATAATCTTTTTGAAGAGCAGGAGGAACAAACATTCCAACCAGAACCTAAGAAAAGAAAGATATCAGAACCTAGGAAAACAAAGAAATATATTTATGAGAAATCCTCATCCTCTGAGGAAGAACAAGATGACGATGAATCAGATGACAGAGAAAATAGAAGAAGTTTAAAATCTAGGCAACAAAAACAAGCACTTAAAAGTTTCCCTGCATCGCTTCCTCAATCAGAACCTGAATCAGAATCTGAATACGAATCTGATAAATCTTCTCAACCGAAAGCAACACTAGAGGACTCTGGTATTGGACCTACTCAGCTGGAAAAATCTAATGTGGATTTAGGGCGAGACTTTTATCGTGATGAAGAAGTAAAACTTTCCCAAAAGCAAACAGAGCTGATTGGAGAAAAATATGTACTCAGAGAAGCTCTTTTAAAAGATATAGAAAATGTAGATGAAACAGACGACGAGGAAGCCAAAGAAGTGAATGAAAAGGTTTACAAAGACGACGAAGATTTCAATGCTGCTGTTAGTGAAAATGAAGAAGAAAATGATATGCTCAATACAACACTTATCAGCACTCAAAATGAGGATGTTGATAATGGAACAGATCCATTGGGCATTCAAACAAGTAACTCTGTGGATTCTAGATTGAGAAGAAAGGTCACTAAACCATGTAAATTTTGGGAAAATGAAAGACCTTTGCCTAAGGAAGCTGGTAAACTAATGAAAGTCAAACCAGTTGTTACAGAACCAGAAAAGAAGAAGAAGGCTCCTGTAGAGCCAAGAAAGAGAAAAGTTGATCCACTTAGTGATGTAACTGATGGAATCTACAAAGTTATGAATGAGTTTGGCGAAGAGGAGGATGTTAAAATTTATGCTACTGCCCAAATGCATCAAAGTTCACATTTCAAATTCAGAAAGGATGAAACTAAGGCTGGTGGTTATGCTACCATCAAAGCTAATGAAGATACAGCACAACTTTCAATCTACAGTTCATTGACAGAGAAGGGTGTAGGTGTAGGAACAATAATAATTCAACCTGGTGGTATAAAACCAAGCTCCAATACTAGTACCCAATCTGAGGTTTTATATATTTTGAAAGGTCAGGCATCCGTCGTTGTACATACAAACCCAGCCATCCAAATGAAACTTGGATCTGTAATTCATATTCCACCATTCAATTCATATAGTATGAAAAATATTGGTCGTGGAGAGTGTCACATACTCTATGTCTTTTCAGATACTAAGGATAGATCAGAACAGGATGAGTCAGAGCAAGAAGAGGAACAAGATCATCAAGTATTAACAAAAGAACAACATGGTACCATGAGTGATGAAGAAAACTGAATAAATAACATTTGGCACTTCAAATAATTTTTGAGTGAATTCAATTAAAAAATGCAAACATCACCAGATCTTCGTACCTATCCAAATATCCTCATCACAGGTAAGTTTGGACATTGAAGTAAATCATCATCTAACATATCGTTATGAGACAGGAACCCCTGGTGTCGGAAAGACTGTTATGGGAGAAGCTGTTATCAATTCTTTAAAGGAAAAACTTAATTTAACAAATTATGAATATTTGAATGTTTCCGAAATTGCTAAAGGTGAACAATTTGTTGAGGAATTCGATAGTGAAAGAGATACATATGTTCTTGATGAAGATAAACTTTTGGATCATTTAGAAGAAAAATTATCTGATTTGGAAAAGGGATTTGTTATCGATTATCATAGTAGTGAATTATTCCCAGAACGATGGATTGATTTTGTTATTGTTTTAAGATGTGATCCTGATGTATTATTTAAACGTTTGGAAAAGAGAGGATATTCAGAACAAAAAGTTCAAGAAAATGTTGATTGCGAAATTTTCCAAGTTTGTTCGGATGAAGCTCAAGAAAGTTACAAACCAGAAATTGTTTTTGAAAAGCAAAACATCACAATAATGGATCTGAATAATAATGCAGAATTCATTGTTTCTCTTGTACAAAACAAAATTCAAAAATAATTAAAATCTTCTTTGTTGTTCCGAATAACCAATTCTAATATCTGTATTTGGGTCAATTCTATTATTTAATGAAGAAGGAATATTTAAATTATTATCTACTTGTTGTTGTTGATCGGACTCTACTTGTTGGTTTCTTGATAATTCATCTTCGATTTCCTGTATCGTCCTTTCAAACTCTGCTACATCATCTTGATTCAGCTCTACTCTTGTTGCTTGATGGCGGGAAAACATTTTTAAATTTTAAAAAAATAACAGTAGCCGTTCCCTCTATTTACAAATACAACTTGTAAGCTAACTGTAGTAGAGAAAACCCATCATTAAGGACATCATTGATAGTCAGACTATTCAGCGAAATAATCGTCTCTGATGAATAATATTATATCAAAGGTTGCTAATAATTCTTCCTCCGATTTTGGAGGAGGGTTATTCAACCATACAATAACTAATTCCAGAAGTTTTGGAAACCAACAACAGCAACCACACTTTGTACCAGTAGAAACTCCTGGTCCTACACTTTTATTAGCAGTCAGAATTATGGATGGTCTATTTGTAGGAAATTCTATTGCTGCACAAGATGATGAATTCCTTTTTTCAAACAAAGTGAGCCATGTAGTAAACTGTGCTGGATTGGAAGCTGCAAATATATATGCTGATCATGGAATTGAATATTTAACGTTTCCTTGGAGGGATGTTCCAACAACCGTTTTACTTGATAGTAGAGATAGAAATATTACACGTGTAGCCAATTTTATAGATCAAGCATTCGAAAAGGGAGAGTGTGTTTTAGTGCAATCATTTCATGGAAATTCCAGGTCATGTGTTTTAATTGCTGCTTATTTTATTTTCAAATATTCTTGGTCATTGGAGAGTACTCTTGCCTTTATGCAAGTAGCTCATCCAGATATGAGAATTAAGAATTACTTCTTGAGACAATTGAAAGAATTTGCTCGTAAAAACAATGCAACTAAGGATATATTTTCAGTAGATCTTCCTTCCAGTACTGAAGAGGAAATTCATCAATTACTTTTGAAAAATACAGTATGTACCCAATTTTATTTGAATAATACAACTTTATCAGTACTTGAATAGTTTGCCTTTGACAGAACCTTTGCCACCTCCACCAAAGAAGAATATGAGGAAAAAGCTCACAATATCACTGAGAGAGGAGCCGCCGGGAAGTAGACATATGGTATCAACAGTTGATCCTAAAACAAAGGAACGAGTTCCAATTAAAGGAATCCTTAGAGTAAAGTTGTTACCTCAACAGGTTCAAATTCCAATACAACAAACTGAAACAATTCAACCAATCCTCACTCAAAATTCTCCAACAATTCCTTCTAACAACCAAATTCCAACAACAGTAACATCATCTAACATTAATAATACCAATCCTTCAACATCAGGAACATCATCAAATAGCTCAAGTCCTTCAAATCCAAGTCAAGATGTGATCCCTCAACAAGTGGTCCCACAAACTGTCACTGAACCAGTGAAAGAAATTCCTAGTATAAAACCTAAAGAAATACCAAGAATTATGGATGCTAAACCAAGAAGTTTAACTTTAATTGATCCGGAAACTAATTCATTGGATGATTCTTGTGACAATGATGGACTCCAAATTTTGACAGGACCAGAGGCAAAGAATAATTTGCCAGCAACTTTATTTACTCCTGTGTTAAAACAACCAATGCCCACAATGGATCCAAAACCACTTGTTGCAAAGGATAATATTTCAGATAGTTTTTCTGAAAGAAGCTCCATTGCAAGCATTGATGTTGAGGATGACATTAAAAAGAAGAAGAAGAAAAAGCCAATTACTCAAGTTTCCTCAATGCAACATTCAACAAATATGAGCACAGCCTTAAATTCTAATAACAACTCTTTAAACAACTCGGGAAGAAGAAGACCAAGTTCGTTTTCAACAAACTCAAGTACTCCAAAGACTCCAGTGTCTCATGCTCCAATGAAATTCAGAAAACCAACTCCACCTAAGAGAAGCGAACCAGAAAATAATACTGAATCGTCAAATGCAACCGTAACAACCTATTCTAATTTGAATCATAGACTCTCCAAGCAAGTTGACGCTGAAAATACCACTAATTACTCATATACAGGATCTCTTGCCACAGATGCTCCTCTTTTCGTAAAGACCTCAGGAACAACCACACGAGAAAAGAGGTCAATTTCACCTAGTGTAACCAGGACATCTCTCACCAGACCAATGTCCTCAACTTTACATCAACCAACCATTAGTAGTACCCTTAAGAATGATATTAGTGGAAATGGTAAAAAGAGACCTTCTTCAGCACCTAAGAGCAGACCAAAAGATGAAGAAGAAAATTCAGGAGTTTACGTTAATGCAGCCGAAAGGACTACACTAAGATCTAGTTTCGGTGGAACAGCATCCTCAACGTTGAATAAGCAACAATCAACAAATGACCTTTCTTCCAGTCTCAATAGTAAGAGAACACTAACTAAATCAGGTGGATCCTCTCAGAGTGGAAATTCTCCAAGTAATAGTGGTAGTAGATTAATGAGACCAACTCTCAGTTTTTTGAGCAAGACAGTGAAAAAGACCTAGGTATAATTATCCATAAGTAAATGTATAGTTTAATATTTGTCGTTATATTCCTTAGTACCTCTTCTTGGTCTATTTTGATTCTTCTTCTTGAGTGCTCTAATTTCCTTCTTGGCCTGCCATTTAACTCTGTCACTTTGAACAGCCATTCTATCGATTACTTGTACAACATAAGTTGGTTTAACACGGAACATTGCTGCTAAAACTGCAGAAGTATATTTTGCTGGGTCTTGTTCGTGTAATTGTCTAACAACTTGTATTTGAGCAGCATTAAGTGTTCCGTTAGTTGTATTATTCTTAGCCATTTCAATTCTTCTTTGTTTTTCAGCAACAACTTCTTCCCATGTTGGATGACTATAAAACACTGTTCCGTCCGATAAAATTGCTTGCTTCCATTCCAAACGATTTATTGGTTGAGAAAGATTGTTATTAAATGTATTATTTTCCAAATTCAAAGTATTAGTGTGGAAAGAGCAAATTGATGATGATGAAAAATTTCTGGAAAGCAAAGAGGCTCCACTTCTGGTTGCCTTCAATTTATGCAAGAGCATACTTGACTTCATTTTTTAGATACAATTACAATTAAAAAAATGGTTACTGACGGTCCACAAGGTAAAGCCTCACCAGCATGGTATCAAAGATTGGCAACAATGTCTTGGAAGGAGACATTGAGAACTTTCAATCCAACATCTTTGTTCGTTGTCAGTGGTTTTGTCATGGTCGGTTTGGCTGTTGCTAATGAATATATTGTTAATGTAAGTTTCCGTTAGAGAGAGGAATATTTGACACCATCATTATCATTTATATGTGATTGGCTTTATTTGCCATCATAATAACAAAATAACAACATCATCAACACCAAATTTTTCATCATGAATTTTCACTATGAAAATTATATTATTTATTTGTTATTAAATCCTCATCATCACCATGGATATAGAAAACTGGAAATTTGTTAGCTGCAAAGAAGATCCACAGTAATAGAGACACATATTTGGAAAGAACTTTACCAAAATACAAGCCAGATTTCATCTTGAGATGGGAAAAGGAACACGGTTCAAAGCAACAACAATAATTTAATAGGAAATTTATTTATTTAATAATTTAATAGTGGTTTTGTTAATTTAATTTAATAACAAATTGTAAAATTAATTGAAAAGTTTTTTGAAAATATCGAACACATTCTTCTCAACAAATAGTTGTTTTTGACCATCTTGGTCCTCTTTTAGGTTATAGCTTACAATAAATACCTTCTTAAACTTCATGGTTAGTCTTTCCGATATACCAGAACTTGTAGAAGGAAGTCCCATGGATGAATGTCCCATTACTGAGGTACTGAGAGCTCCATTAAGAGAGGTTGACTGTGTATTTAAATCTCATTATTTCTCTGTTTGAATTCACAAAAACACTTACATATTTGGATTGCAAAGAAACAGACAGGTATTTGAAGAGTGGAGCCTCTTGAGCTCCAATCCATACCCAAATATTTGATGGTGTATCCTTTCGGAAAATGATGAGAATGTACAATTTTTCATCATTCAAATAGTCTAATCTAAATCTCTTGATCACAAGATCGGAATCCACTTCACTATCAGGTCTGATCATTGATAAACCATTTGTTGTTGATTGTTGTTCAACGAGAGAGGACATTTTATTTGTTATTATTAATAATATTTGATGATTCCTTAGGCAATAGCTACTGATAATTTTCAAAATTAAAAAATGTTCAAGTTACGATCACAACTCTCTTCACCATCAACAATAAGAAACATCTTGGTGCCACTCCTCCGAAGCAATAAAATCAATGGAACAATTATTAATACTAATAATACAGCAACACTGATACAGAGAACATTTTATAGTAATATTAAATTGGAAAATCAAAATAATAACGATGTCAAGGAAAAGGAAGGAAGTGATATTCAGCAAATTAAAAAATTGGATTTACAAGAATTAAAGAATGATAAAAATTTTGATTATGAATTATTTGAAAAGAAAAAGAAGGTAATTGATAAAAAGTATGAGGAATATGTCAAACTTGCAGAATCAAAAGCAGATTTTGAATGGTATGAAAAATTAATTTTATATCCAATACTGGCTGTTATTGCCTATTATTCAGCTCTCTGGTGTGTTGAATACTTAAAGGAAGATTCACCACCTTTTAAGAGGGCTCTGGAGAGAGGAGAAAGAAAGAGACAAAGAGAAAACAAGAAATTGTGGGAGGAAATTGTCACTGAACGAAACAAAATTGTTGAACTAAGGGAAAGTGAAAATAACAAGTAATTAATTATATCTCTTTAATTCTCTCTTGATATCCTTCCAATAATTTCCTATTATTAGAGCAAGTAAGAGAATAATATAGACATAGATCATACCATAGGAAAACTTTCTTGAGCTTTCTAATTCTTTTTCATTTTTGAAATGGGAAAATAATAAAACATATTGAATTCTAACATCTTCGCTTCTATTTACAATCAAATATCTATTCTTTTCGTTTGATTCTTGTTGACCCTTTAGTGCATAATGTGGTTTACCCACTACTTTACATTGAACAACTGCAGATAAATAACTTCCAAGTGTTGTATTTTTCCAATCAATAACAGCTCCTTTCGAAAAATCTCTTGCCACTCTCACATCTTCACATAAATAAATTCCATTTCCAAAGGCATTTCCAGTTCTCATTAGCTCAGTATCAGAATAATTTTGTAACGAATTTGTAATGATTGAAAAGAAATTTTCAATTGAGCTTCCATGAAAACCTGTATAAAAATCATTACTCTTCCTATCAAATTCATCACTATTATATTTCAATTCAAATATATGATCTGGTTTCATCAATAATTTTGGATTTTTTTTCAAATACTCCTGGTATGAAATATAATGAACAGAAAACTTCTTATTTGATTGTTTCTTCATAATAAATTCCATCAAGGCAACAATATCGTCCAAATTACATTCCTCATATTTATCTTTCCAATTGGTTTCAATCCATTCCCGAATTTTCTCTACTAAATTATTATTCATATCACTAAAAATCATTTCATTTTGTTTTTTAAATAATTGATCTGATTGAGGCATCTCGGACAAGGTCTTCTTCAAATGATCAAAATCCTTCTTTGAATTCTTCATAAAATACATAGGAAATGGAGTGAGAATACTCCCAGAACGATGACTCTTTACAGCACTACTCAACAGAGAGCAATACAAATCATAAGTTTCACGAGAGAGTTTGTATTCCATTTTTTTTGACACGTTTTTAAAACTTTGGAAAATTCGGTATTAAATTGTAAAGATTGTCACTAGTTTTCTCAATAATGCAACTTCGGGATTGAATATTATTAAAATAATTCAAAAAAAATGACTGACAAGATCTCAGAGGAAATTCACCAACCAAATGAAAATAATCAACAAAAAGAAGAAGAAATAATATTATTGGAAAATAAAGAAAATGATATTCAGAAGGAGGAAATTATTTTTGGAAATGATGGAAAGTATATTCTTGATGGGACTTTGTGTGGTGTTGGGTCTCATTTACGAAAATTAGGAGTTGATGCTGTTTACAGCAATGAATATTCTGATGCATATATTTTGTACCTGGCAAGGAATGAGGATAGAATGATCATAACCAAATCTACAAAACTCTTACAGAGAATTAGGCAACAAGAAGAAAAGTTGGAAAATTATAAAAAGAAAATTAAAATACTCGGTGATAAAGCCTTAGTTGAAAGTCTAGTTCAACAAAGATTAATGAAACCAAAAACGGAAGAAGAAATTGAGGAAGAAAGGCAGGAACTTATTGAAATTGTACAAGAAGAAGAGCAGCAAAAGTATAAATATTATATTGTAAAATCAATAGGAAAATATGACCAATTGAAGGAAGTTGTAAATGAATTTAAGATAATATTTAAAAAGGAAAATATTTTTGCAAGATGTTTCAGTTGTAATGGACAAGTGATAGAGGTAAAAAAAGAAGATATTGAACATTTAGTTTTCGAAAAAACATACTTGAATACAGATAAATTTACTCAATGCCAATCTTGTAATCAAGGTGAGTTGTATATTGATTCTAATTGACTAAGTTAAATAAGTATGTTGGGGGAGTGAGAATGGTAATCTTTATCAACAAAAATTTTTCAAAAATTCTATCGAGTTTTGCACTGAATACTCATATCATCCATAATTATGAATAAAGTATTGTAAATTATTTAAATAAATACATTTATTAAATATCTAGTTGGCAAAGCAGAGCAACACCTTCAGATATCCAGTGGGCTGGTGGTTTTTCTGTTGGTAACTCTACTGAAATAACAAAGTTTGTTGATTGACCAAGAGAGGATAGTTTTCCTTTTCTTTCACTGGTCTTGTAAAGTGGAGCCTCATAACATTTTGGTGATGTTTTGTGATTCTTCTCTGGAAGGAAGTGAATAATTGGCATTTTCACATTCATTTCTCCAGGTTCTGATTCCTCTAGGGTGTCTCTTTCCTTATTCCACTTGGCACCATTCAAGTATAAACCATAAACATAAACACCGTCCTCAGGGCCTTCATGGATTTCTTCAGGAGTCATTTCGAAGAGAACTCTGAACGAGAATGACAAGGAATCAATTTCTACATTGTACTTTCTAGCGTAAGTTTGAAGAACACCAGTGAAAAAGCCTTGAGGGAAGAAGAATCCAGACAGCCAGAATGCTTTTGGTAATCCATTTCTCAACCAACCTCTCATGAATGCTACTCTTTCAACAAGATCTTCTATCCAAGAACCAAGAGGTTTTCTTGAAGGATATGCGGCCCATAACTCTGGAACCTCATTGTTCAATAAGCTCTTGAATGTCTTTTCTAATTCTCCAGACATCAATACCAAACCTGCCATGGCCTTTTGGAGCTCAACAAGAGTGCTTCTAATTGTATCAAGTAACTTGTTAAACTTCATCATTTCATGGCTAAGAACAGTGGAAAGAGAGTGAAGAGCACCTTTTTCTGTTCTGATAAATGTGTTCTTACCTGCCTCTGCTTTACTAAGATTTTCAGGAAGTTTGGAAATAATTTCTAAAAGAAAAATTAGAATTAATATGGTATAATAATACTTACTGTTTGCAATTTCTTGAACAATAGAATCCATTTGATGTTGCTTTGAACCACCAGAGCTTAATGCTTGGGTACCCATAGATGTACTAATAAGGTACTGTGTTTCTTGCATTTGGAATACCATGTTCGAGTTTTGATGCATGTTAAAGATGGCTGGTTCGTCATTATCTGGAAGTGCTAGGATGAAATTTCTGTAATCTTCAATTGGATCACTAGATGGTACCTTATAAATATCGTTAGGAGCGAACCTAAAGTCATTTGATAAAATTTTCTTTTCAAAATATTGAGACAGAATAGTTAGTAGGGCTCTTCTATCATTTGGATCTGTTACTCTTCCTCCGTAAACAATTTCACCAATAACATAGTTCAATGAATCCCATGGAATAATTTCCCTTTCTTTCAAGAACATCTTCAACCAAAGTTGGGCAACACTCAAATCAGAATCGTTGAATTCATACTTAATATTCCAACCCAAAGGACCGAACTTCTTTCTCTCTTGAATTACACCGTGGAATAAACACAATCCAAAGAGCAGTTTTCTGAATGCCAATTTCTTACTGCAATCAGGGAATTCTTCTCCATCTTCGAATGAATAAAAGTATTCATCGGTAATTTCATTATAAGTTCTACTGAGATTTGATCTCAATCCCTTTGGTGGTTCATTAGTTACCTTGACACTGTTTTGAAGGATTGGGATAGGGAAATCTTTTGAAGGCATAGATGTCAACCACAATCTAAAGTCCTTATGTACAACAGCCATTGGTGATGAGAATTCAGCAATAATATTTTCCAAAGTAGGCATAAATGAAACAAACAAGTGACAATTTTGTAATAAAACCCATTCACCATTCTTTCTTCCTCTTTCAATAAGCTTCTTGGCTGATGTTTCTTGGCCTTGTCCAAGTGATTTAATATGCAACTCATGGTTCTTTTCAATTGCGAATCTCTTTAACATACTTGTAGGATCAGCACCTTGGGAAAGGATGAATGTAATTGGAGTACTAGGGGTTGAGTCATTAAGAGCTTTTTCCAAATCTAAACCTGGTGGTCTAATGAACGATTCACCCAAATTGTTTTTGACAAACTCCTTGCTTGCCAACAAAACTTGCTCTTCTGCAAAACATTTAACTAATAGAAGCTTGTGGAAAGGTTTGATTTTTCCTTCCCAATTAAGAGGAAGAACCTTTTTGAAAGATTCATTATCTTCAAAGAACTTTTTCCATGTGAAGACATGGCCTGTTACTGAGGCAGTTATTCCCTTTAATTGAGGAATTTCGGCATCTAAAGCTGTAAGTAAATTCCAAGATATATCAGAAATCCATTCAGATAGTTCATTCTTACTATCATATGTTAAAGGAGCACCTCTAAGGAATAATAACCATTCATTTTCATCAATTACTTGGCCAAACATTAAAATCCTTGCACAAATCAAGAAGGAGAAAATAATCTTGTCCTTCTCAAATAGACCTCTGCAAACGTTTGTAAAGATAAATTCGGTAACGTTGGTTATTAAAATAGGAAGCAATTGGTCTGTGGTTAATGAAGGATGTTGATCTTTGGTAATTCTAATACACTTATTGAAAATATCCTTAAAATATTCAAGAGAATATTGGTACATAGGATCGATCTTTGCCAAATCTGCAAGAACAAAGTAAAGGATGGAACCACGAGAGGCGATGCTTCTATATTTTTCTCTGGCAAGTTCAATCTTGATTTCTGTCTCGGCAGCAATCTTAACTCTGTCTTTAATGACATTAGAGGTGTTCTTAGAGTCATCTAGAGATTTGATAATTTGAGTCTTGTCAAGAATATTTTCGTCCTCTTTGACCGATGACAAGCTATCCAAAATCTTCTTTTCAATCTTCTTCAAAGTTTTCTTGTCGTCGGCGACACTAACAATAAGCCTGTCTCTTTCTTCTTCAAGACTTGATTCCAAAATTCTGACTACATCTGCAAGTAATTGGTCTTCCAAACCCTTTGAAGTAACTGTAAAGTTAACCAGAGTTACCTTGTTACAAATTTCTGGTAAGTAATGAGGGTTTGCTAATTTGGTTGTCAAGTACAACTTGAAGGATGGGTTAAAGTCAATTTCAGAATTACCCATCTTCAATACTAATTTACCCTTACTCTTGAAAACTTCCTTACTCAAAATTGGTTGGAGTGTTGGATCAATTTTTTCTGAAAGTCCTTCGACCATTACAGGTTTACCGGTTGTGATATAACTTTCCAGAGTTTTGATATAGTTATCTTCAGATTGTTTCAATGTCTTGAGTGTGTTACCCTTTTCCATATTCTTAATCCAGTTGTTTGCTTGTTCTTGAGGATCAATGAGAAGCGGCCATCTCTTTGTCTTGGTAACTATTAAAGCGTTTTGGATGGAATAATTATCCATCGGCAAGCCCTGCATGCCCCAATCTCTGATACCAATAGGGTCAGCAATTACCTTATCAATTGAGTAGTTGTCACTAAATGGAATACCTTGATCCTTGCAATATCCACACCATTTATCGAGTAACTCTTTTCTGTAAGGAGCAGTTAATGGACCACAATAAATAATGAAAGCACTGGCTAAAAAGATGTCACCAGCAATATTCTTGATCCTTTCATCGAATTCTCCAACAGAGAGGGTCCATCTTTCATATTCTTCTTTCAATGAAACTGTAAGCTTCTTGGCAGCAACAAGTCTTCTTTCAGAAATTTCTTTTTGATCTTGTAATCTAATCTTTTCCTTACTATTTTCTTCAAGTTGGTGTTGAAGTTGATAAAGATATTCTGTCTTCTTTTGCAATTCTGATTCCTTGATTCTTAATGTAGACAAGAGCTTTTCTAATTCTTCTTGAGCAGCAGCAGCACTGTCCATCAATGGTTGTACGATTTTTTCAACTTCATAGTATTCAATCATCTTTCTAACCCATTTACACAAAGAACCAGCAGGTCCAGAGGCCTTATAAACAACTGCTTCTGTAAAGTTTTCATCCTTCATCAATTTCTTGATTTTAGCTATAATTTGAGGAGTCATCTTTTCCTTCATAGTTTCCTTGAAGGAAAGAATTCTCTTCTTAAAGTCCATAGAGCTCATAGCCTTTTGGGCAGCTTCCCAATCAGTTTTCTTTTCGCCTAACAAAATCAATACACCTTCTAAAGTGACCTTAATTGGTTGTACAGGATTTTGATATGATCTAATCAAGTTCAATTCAGGTCCACCAACTTCACTGACAGCCTTTTCAGCTTCTTCCAGAGCTGGTAAAACATCCTTCAACTTATCATCAGCATCTCTTTTCATTGCTTCAGCAACTTTAGCCTTTTCGTCAATTTCCTTCTTTTCTGCAGAGATAATTTCATTGTCTTTGTCTGCTTGTGTTTTCTTTTCCATAACCTCTTTGGTGATAACTGCATTTTCGATTGTCTTTTGTTCTAATATTGGTTGAAGTTCTTCAATTTCTTTTTCACAAGAGGCTACTTTGTTATTGGCTTCTTGGAGAGTGAAAAGACCTTTTTGCAATTTGTCTTTTGCTTCCTTTAATTCAAGACGTTGCTCTTCCAATAATTCACCATAGAAATTAATAAATTCCAAATAATGAGAAGGAGTAATATAGAATTTTCTTCTTGTTTCATCCTCAAACCTCTTTGTTATTTCTGTAATATCACTATGTACTAATACACAGGTGTCTACAAGCTTTTGCTTAATATGCTCATTACCAACATTGATCTTCTCAAACTTTCTTTGAGCAACACCTCTTAACGCAACAGCTGGCCACTCATCAAACCAATTAATAGTGGTACAGTTAACAAGGGATGGGAACATTCTGATTCTTCTTCTGAAATCATCACCAACAGGACTCATGCAAATAACAATGTGAAGGTTATCTCTGACTCTTCTGATAAAATAGGCATAAATAGCATCTCTAGTTTCTGTAATACCTGCTTTTTGAGCTAATGGTCTGAGTTCATTAATAAGCTTTTCCTTTTCATCAGAAGGGAATAAGTTTGGAACTTCACCAGAGTTCAAAATATTATTAACATCCTCAAGGAATGCATCATCAACAATCTGGGAGTCTGTAATGAGGAATACCATTGGTCCTCCTTCAACACCTCCTGCCATTCTAAATAAACTTCTGAGATCTTCTCTAAAGTCATCAATATCATAATTTCTCTTGAGGTTAATTTCAAATGTTTTATATCCTGCAATGAAAGAGGAAAGACGAGTGAGACTTTGTTTACCAGAACCACCTACACCAATCAATAACGCGTTACTTCTCTTTTGAGATAAAATTCTGGCAATTCTAATAATATTCTTTGCGGCATCAGGGAAGAAAACAAGATCAAGTTGTCCTGTATTATTGAGATTGTATCTCATTTGGTAATCATCAAGCTCAGTTTGCATTTTATCCAAATTGAGTTGGACATATGGCTTTTCCTCACTATCTCCATTTTCCATGAAATTACCAAATGCAATAGCTCTATCACCTAAGAAATCAGAATCTTCCCAGTTCTGTCCTTTAAAGTACCTCTTTAAGAGTTCAATAAGGATAGCGGAGAAGTCAGTTCTGTCCTTAAAGTTAATTAATCTATCAAACATGCATCTACAAGATTCGTGGGCAAAAAGCCTAAGGAATTGATTTGAATCCTTCATAGAAGGTTTAACTTGAACAATACCTTGGAAAATCTTTGATAAATCTCTTAAGTTGAAAGAATAGTGAGCACAACTTGGAGTTGGTCTGAATCTATCACAAACTCTACCATACAAATCAATAGCTGTTTTAACTATTGGTTTTGTTGAACTTCTAATATCTTCACTGAAAGAGTTGAATGTAAAGAATCCATCAAGAATACTTTCAAAGATTAAAGTCATACTATTCTTTGACAATTCAGGTACTCTAAAGAGGTGGAATAATCTTATTAATCTTGGTGTTGTTGGATTTCTACCACCTCCTGGAGGACCGCATGCAGCTGCAACAGTAGAATCATGAACCATCTTCCAAGGGAATTCTTCTCTGTTAGAAACATCGAAGAAACCACCACATCCAATCATTTGTCTAATAAGTTCAATTGGAGGTTGAGCACCAAATTGTTCAAGATTAGGCATATTGAGGTCGTCAATAAATATAACAACCTTCTTTCCTGGTGGCGCATAAAGAGCTTTCTTCTTTTCCACAAGTTTACTTTCTATCATTTCTCTAGTTCTTCCACTATCGGTTCTTGCTGAAAATTGAACTGATACAAGTTCAGTTGCAAATGATTCACCCTTATGTTTAAATTCAAAGTTTTGAAGTGCATTGAATATCATAGAGGTCTTACCAACACCAGTCTTACCATTGAACAAAACTGGCTTTTCATTTTTAAGTAAGGTCTTAATGAGATATGAATATCTAACAGTATCAACTGTTGGGACAATAATTTCATAAAATGGAACATTTCCTGAATAGGAGAATGTAGGTTTCAAGGTTTCCCATGTAGTAAAAGAGACTGCCTCGAAATCTACAAAGAAGTCATAAACAGATCCATTGGATGGTACAATATTAGCCTTCTTGAACTTTTCTTTAACAAATCTATCAAACTTCTCCATGGATTCATCAACAATATTGGCACCAATAGACCAAATATAACAGAAAAGGAATACAAAGTTTACAAGTTGCTTTGTCTTCTCTCCATCTAATTTCTCCTTATGATCCACAAATAATGAATCAATAAGACCACACAAACTTGTAACCAAGTTCAAATTATTACTTGGCACTTCTTCAAAACATTCATTTCTGATAAAATCAAGTCCGTCTTGAACATAATCATCAAAGAGCTTTTCTAATACATCCTTATTTTCCGAGCTCAAAGCAGAAACGGTAGAATTTCTCAACCACGATGAAACATATGGCTTCCAACCCAATTCAACTGGATCCACGAAAACCATACCACATCTACTGACTGTAGCTGGAGAAGCTACAGCCAAATCCTGAACCTCAAATATGAAGCTGATCTTATCATTCAATTGGATACGCTCAGTATTATCTAAACAAAGAAGCTTACTGTCATCCAAAACAGAGTTCATACTTTCAATCCAGAGAGTATCAACAGGGCCATCAAAAATAATCCATTTCTTGTCTTCAGATGTGTCCTTGGTAGCTTTTCTTGCAAAGTACGGGATTAAACCATCAAACCATTCTTGGGTAGTCATATTAAGAACACCATACAATTCTCCATATGTAATTGATTTTGGATTCAAAAGGTATTGTTGAACTTTGTATACACTAGAGGAGTTTGATCGTTTTTCTTCCTTTAGGTAGTTCATAGTATCATAGAGAACATGTCTGATTTCAGATTTACCACCACCAGTTGGTCCAACTAACATAACACCATGACGAATCACTAATGTATCATAAAACTGTACAACTTTCTTGATAAAGTTCGGCACAGGTTCAAGACCCTTTCTGGCAATAATATCCCTAAAACCAACTTCCAATTCACCATGTTTTTCTTCTGGAGCTTGAATACCTGGGAATAAATCTGAAACAATACCTTGGAAAAGTGAAATATCTTCTTGGACGAATTTTGGAAGGTTACTGTCAATCATGGCCTTCATTAAAGTTGTGCTTTCACTCAAATCAGGATTAGCTCTCTTCAATTCACCAGCCATAACAAGTACTGATTTCATAGCTCTCATACCGAAATCGTAGTGATCTTGTGTAGAAAGCTGTTCGTTAGACAACTTGTACAATTGTGTCATCTTTCTAGAGAGAGGTAATGCATCTTGATAACCTTCAGAGAATAAAATAACTTCGGCAATCATTCTGTAGTCAGGTAACATGACAGCCACTGGTCTAAAAAGAGCCTTCAAGTTATCTGGAAGCTCAGTACGACCAGCATAACCAGGATTCATAGTAATAAAAACACCACAAGTATGTCTCAAAGAAATTTCTTGATCATCTTCCAACATGAATCTTGTCTTTTTAGCCTTTAGTGCATCTTGAATAGTGAGTAATTGAGTAGCAATAACTGATAACACTTCAGCATTAATTCTGTTAAATTCGTCAAAACAAGCCCAGGCACCAACTTGAACAATACCACTGAAAAATTGGTACATCATTGTATAGGTAACACCTTCAGAACAGTTATAAACTACACAAGGTCTAGCCAAAGCTTTAGACAAATCCTTTACAGATTCAGTTTTACCTGTACCAGCAGGTCCTTCAGGACTGCCACCAAGGTTAAGGTGAAGAGCTCCTGTTAAAGTCATGTAAACTCTATCGGTTAGAGGTGTAATAACAAGTCTAGATTGAATGCCACCATATTCATATCCATATCTGAATACTGAATTAGATTGTCTAACAATACAATCATCAACATCAGACTCCCAATAGAATCTAAGTTGTTTCAACCAACCAAAGTTATTAACATCATTAACACCTTCTTCAATCATAGCCTTAATGACATCTCTGGCGTGGACGTCCAAAATAATCATTGTACCAATAAGCTTTCTTTCATTCGATGAAAGTTTTGTTCTGGTTAAATAAGCTAAATCATTAAGCAAAGCAATAGATTTGTCGTAAAACTTTTCTAGTTCCTTTCTTGGATTTTCTGAAGTAAGACAATTTGTAACATCATAACTCCAATAAATTTGAGAAACAGTCAATACAACTTGAGCAATATGGTCTCTCATCCAAACTGTTCTCTCCTTCTTTGGATAATCTCTGACTGCTCTTTTCATAAATTGACGAAGAGTGTCGAACATGTGTTGTTCTACTTCTCTTAACCAGTCTTCAACTACATCGTCGGCTCTTGTTGTAGTGGAAACAAATTGAACTCTTTCTCCTTCCTTAGAAATCATACCCTTTACGTACTTGGATGAATCAATGTCAAGAGTTTTCATACCTTCGAAACATTGTGGTAAATATGGTTGAACAGCTTGTGGGTTACTTGTGTGCGATAAAATATCGATCAAGTCTTCATTGGACAAGAAGTAGAATCTTGGGAAAAGATTTCTCTTCTTCTTAAGATATTCTTCCAAACTCTTTTCAATTCTATCAAGGTGAGTATTATGTACTCTCAACTTGTCGTATAAACCACTCTTAACAGAGGATTCAGCACCAATAATAACTCTGTGTACATTCTTAACTTCTTTTGCCCTCTTCATTGCTTCCTTATAGAATCTGTCAATGGAAACAAATAATTTGTGATCTTCCTTCAATTCTGCAGCAATATCTGCAGATACAAAAACATTTTCGAGGTACATCCACTTTCTTTGACAATAAATAATTTCTTGAATAGTAGAGTATATCAAATTGAGATCATTGAATAATTCTTCAACTTGATCCTTGATGGCTGTAACAAATCTTGAACTTAAAATTGTTGAGAGAACAATTCTGTCATCTTCTAACAATGACATGATATCTTCAACACTTCCAATAATTGTCATATCCTTATGTGAAACGATAGGGAATTCTGATTTGAACCAGTTCTCTTTGACCTTCTTGAGCTGTTCTTCCAGTGAAGCTTCATTTGAAGCTTGTTCAGAAATTTCTTGAATTCTCTTTCTCTTTTCAATAATATCAGAATCGAACAATAGAGACAGCTCAAAGTTCTTCTCGGATATGGTGGATCCAACAATATTGTCCAAAATTCTCCAATGTCTTGTTCTAAGAGAGACATTCTTCAAATCTTCAATGATTGGAAGTACCAATCGCCAGTTGTCAGTATAATCTGAGAGTTTCTTTGTAACAGGATTTTCCTCCTCTGAATTCTTTTGCAAGAATGAGGCTGTATATTGGAAGTTATCAATATTTCTTTTAACCTCTTCTGCAGAAACATCCTTGAAAATTTTACATTTGTTTTCTGATTCAAAATCGTTCCAGCTTCTCATGGTAGTCCAAAGTTTGAGTTTGTGATCAATTTCTTTGGCAATAATTGGCATTTCATCAATACTATCAGTTTTAACCTTGAATAGTTCTTGATATCCTATCAACTCTATTGATCTCTTTTGAGCCTTATCCATACCGTTCTTAAGATCCATAAGGTATGATATTACGTCCTCGATTCTATCCCTACTATCTGCATAATTTACATCTGAAACCATAGGATCTTTTGATTTCTCCAAGAAATCTTGTATTTCTCCTCTAAGATCATCAATCTTTCTCTTAAGATCGACAGAGAACTTATTGATACGATCTTCTTTGCTGTCTTCAGCTCTACTGATTGAAGACCTAAGAGTAGATATGGTAGAAACAGTAAAATCTTGGAAAAAGTTCTTATCTTCCACTGGAACCTTAACTTTCTCATCATCCATTAATTTATAGAAATCAGATACTGTCTTGAATTCAGTCTCCAACTCATCCAGACTAGCGACTGTTTTTTCAACAAATCTTAAAAATTCTACAAAGTCCTCAACAGATGCAGGGAAAGCCTTAAACCTTTCCATGGCTTTTTCCAATTTTTTGTACAGTATTTGATTCTTGTCCTTTGACAATTCTGGAAGAATAATGTGTAACTTCTTAAGACATTCTGTTGGTGAAGGAGAGAAGGTTTCTTTTAGCATTTGTGTATCTACATAGAAAATTCCCTTATACTTGTATGTTCTCATTTGTTTAACCTCTCTATCCTGATGTTTGTACTTGTTCATTTCGTCTTGGAACCATTCCAATGGCAAATCTTTTTCCTTTAAAGAAGATACCTCAGTCTCTAACATTTCCTTGTTTTCTAAATATTTGACCTTGATTGGTTCGTATTCTTTTGCGTATTTTTCAACATCTTTGAAGGCAATAGAAAGTGTTTCTTTGATACTCTTCAATAATCTGTCATACGATTCTCTTCTTGTTATTCTTTCTTTAACTGTGATTCCCTCGCTTACTATAGCATCAGCACCCTTATCATTAATAACAGGGTCAGTGTATTCTTCAAATTTCTTTCTAGTAATGAATTTGTCAAGTCTAATTGCCTCGAAAAATCCCTCAATAACTTTAGAGACTCTCTTATCGAATTGTTCCTTAGAAGGAAGAATTTGTAATTTTTGATCAGAGAATCTAATGTCTACTTTAAATAATGGAACAATTTCTAAATCTTCAGTTCCTATTAAACCTAGCTGCATAATTTCTTCTTCAATGTTCTTGTCACTATTCTCAGAAAGTGTAACAATCTTGTGCAAAATTCTTTCAACAGATTTTTCGACAAGTTCAATCAATGAATCTAAAACCAAAAAGTCGCATAACCTAATAAAACTAATAATTCTCTTGCAAACTTTTCTCTTTAAGGATTTTTCTGTATATGTCATATTGAATGATTGGAAATTACTTGTGAGGTTATTTCTGCTCCCTTTCTTAGCAGAGATAGATCTCATTGATCTATTTACTGATGTCTTTTCTTCGAATTCATCATCATTTTCCTCTTCATTCTTTCCAAAACCAAAAGTACTTCCATTATCCTTATTTTTTTGTTCAATATCCGGAATTTGATCCAAATCCCCAAATCGGTCTCCAAATCCTGCATCAATCATAGTATCTCTACAAGCTTCGTAAATCATATCAGCAATTACATCACAAATATCGATCAATTGTCGACTAACTTCTTCTTTTTGTAATTCTTGCCTCTTTGTAAAATCTTCAACTGTTAGGGTTTCACCCTTGTTATCTTTAAATAATTCCAACTCGGTTATTTTAATACATTCTAATCTGATATCTCTTAGTGATTTGTTATTATTGATGAAAAAGAGTCTTTCGTTTAATGTAGCAGAAGAAATAGCTCTCTTTTTCCTGGTTATCAACTTTTTAAAGAAATAAAAGGCTTTCCACTTTCTGAAATTAGCAAAGAATTTGATTTTGAGTATCTTTTGGAAAGTATCATGTTCTTGAACCCATCTAGTTAATGGAGTAAAATCTAAAATATTGAATATTCAATGAAATAGAACGAAAAAATTGATACTAACCTGCTTCTCCATTAATAAAGTGTGTCACACCAGTTGCACTCAGCGTATAATAATCTGGTTTATCTGCTATTGATGCATGTGATACTATTTGTAGTTTGTATGGGTTATAAGGTTCATTTGTTTCATCTTGATACGGAACTAGATAGACATATTCCATACTGGATGGATTTTTCTTTAGTCGTTCTTTTAAATGTAAGAAAATATTAACAATCAATAAAATACCAACCTATGAACCACATTGGCGATTTTTTAAGAGGATTCAATGGATTTGAATCATCCATTTCTAGTCTTGGTGATTGTGATGATAGAGGTTTTAATCTTATTGTTGATTTGTCAAAGGCCTCTCTTTTGATTTCACCTTCCTCAATCCTATTTTGTGGTGTTGGACTCCTAATATTTACAAGTTGCATTGTTTCATCTGTTGGTTTGTTGAAGAAGTCCAAGTCATTTGGTTTCATTCTCTTCTGAGTCGATGAAAATTGTTCTGATTTAATTTCCTTTGGTTTTTGAATGTTTGTTGTTTTGGCGAAGGAAATGTTATCAGATCCTTGACTTAGTTTTTCATCCCTATTTGAATACAATCTTGTTTTGAGTGTTTTAGAAAACTTGGATTGTTCTGCTTTTGCGGATAACTCTTCCGGTTTTCTTCTGTTCTGGCTGTTTGAGGCATTGCCTTCATCATTGTTTGAGCCAGTCCAAAAGTTGTTATGGAAGCCTTTTTTCATTTTTTTTGTCTGTAAACATCATTTGGCGCCATTCACCATACAACAACGAAGAAATTTTGATTTTCTTTCCACCACGAACAACTATTTTTAAATACAACCTCTATTGTGAGTTTTCGTGTTTGAAATTTATCAAACACTCACAATACATCATCCAATAATAAGATATCTAGGTTCGGGTTTTGTTATGATAAAGTTTTGCTGGTTATTGCTTGGCAAATATTGAAGGCTTGCTGTTTGCCATCAAAGCATTTTTGTTATTTTCCCCAGCCAAAAATTTTTATTGTAATAACAACCAGCAAGTGGTTAACCGCAAAAATTTAGAAATCTTGTTGAAAAAAAAATCGTCAAACAAGTAAGTTATCACTCTTCTCGCTTTTTTTACTTACACCACAAAGAATGACTAGCAAGAGAAAGAATAACGGTAGAGCTTTGGTTAACAGAGGTAAGACTAGAGCCGTCAGATGTGATAACTGCGGTAAGAGCGTCCCAAAGGATAAGTCCATCAAGAAGTTCTTGGTTAGAAGCATTGTTGAATCTGCTGCTGTCAAGGATATTGGTGACGCTTCTGCTTATGAAGAATATGAATTGCCAAAGATGTACTTGAAGCTCCATTACTGTGTCTCTTGTGCTATCCACGGTAGAATTGTTCGTGTCCGTTCTAAGGATGGTAGAAAGGTCAGAGCTCCACCAATGAAGCCAAAGAGAAAGCAAGAATAAATTTATTCAAAATAAACTTTTAAAATTAATCATACTTGAAATGTTTGTGTTTTTGAAAATCCGAATTCCTTCATCTTTTCTCTCATTTTCACTTGTGTGAAATGACTTAAGTTCCAAAACAAGAAGCTTTCACTTTCCTTCCTAAGCATTGACCTTTTGGATAATGTTTACATCTTATTTCACTTAGTTACTGTTTAAATTGTCAAGAATAATACTAATTTTATTAACATGAATTTTAAATATTATTTTGAGCAAAAATGTAGAGACTGCTCACTGATGAAACAGCAATAATATTTTCAGTTGGGTGCCAAGTGAGGTGAAGACACTTCTTGGAAAAGTCTGAGACTTCGAATTGATCTTCCTTCTTGCTTTTCCTTGTCAAAAGACCTGTTGACTTTTTTTGTTTCTTGATTGTTGGGGTTGGAGAGGCTTCAAAGTGATCATGATTCTTTCCTTGTTTATCATAAACATGGATATGATTCTTGTAAGAACCAGTCAAGATTTGACTACCATCACCACTGAAACAACATTCAAACTTATCAAAGATACAATCATTTTCATAGAGATCGCATAATTTTGATCGCAAACCTTCATGCATGTTAAATACCTTCAAAGGCCTATTTTCCATCTTGACATCCCACAATTTAAGAGTCATGTAATCTCTTGAAAGGATATATCTACCATCTGGACTGAATTGAGCATCGGAAACAGAGGCAATAATTTCAGAGAAGAAAGTCTTGCTTGATGGATCTTCTTCAACTTCGAATACCTTGGCATATGAACTGCAAGTACTAGATTGTCTCAAGTCACCCAACTTTATCGTACCCTTACTGCTACTATACAAAAATGTGCTGCATTGTTCAGGGTGGAATGAAGCAGAGGTGATAACTTCTGACAAATCTTCCATATTGGATGGCTTTATATCTACAATGTTGTGACTTTCCTTTTGATGGTTAATATGCCACAAATTGATACGAAGATCATCAGCTGATAAAAATGTTTCTCCATCGGTATTGAAAGAGATGGAATTAATGTGGTAAGCGTGTGCATTGGCAAAAATTTTCTTAGGTGTGTGAGAAATAACATTTTCAGCCTTGTTTACAGATGGTATCTTCAATTCCTTAATATCGCTCACGCTTCTAATGTTACCATTCAAGTTAAGATTGGAAATCTTTTTGTTTTGCTTTTCGTGAACCTTCCAAAATTTAATTGTCTTGTCTGTTTAAATGTTAACAACAATACAATATAACTTTAAATTACATACCGTTTGTTGTTAATAAAAAGAGATTATTATTACATTTAGATGGATACCACTTGATTTTGTTAATTTTCTCTTCAATTTCTAAACTCTTCAAGTAGTCAAATTCGGCTTCATGACTTTGAAATTCCGTCATTACACCATATTCCGCTCCAACTTTCCTCTTTTGTTGGTTTCGTTGCAACACAACTACTCTTCCACCTCTATCACCAATAGCAAGGTAGTTACCAGTACGGTCAAACTCCAATGCTGATATTATATCATCTGTTTACCAATGGTAAAGTGTTTAGGAATTAATTTGTTATTGTTGTGAAAAGAAAAAAATTAAAACAAAAGTTCATTAGAACAACAATAAGAAAATAAATGATACTATACCATCTACAGGTTCTTCGCTTTTGTTATCACCAAAAACTTGTTGAAATTTCCACTCAGATTTGGACATTTTGTTTTAAATTATAATTGTACAAGAAGAAAAAATTAGTCTCTCGTAAAGGATGTTTTGTGTATATACAGGAAGGTAAATCACAGTTTTTGAAGAACTAGTGTGATTGTATCAGACAGGAACTGAATGGAGATACCCAATATGATTTTAAAATGGAGGGAAATGGAGAAGTGTGGGATGAAAAACGAGAGGGTGAAACGCTAGAATTTTTTTCAGGATTTTTTACCCCACAACAGATTGGTGGGATAGGTTGTTGAAGCTCTTGGATGCTTGCGTAAAAATGCTTTACAATGATAAAGAATTTTGTGATGCTGGTACAAAAGTACTGTAATTGCGGTTGAAAAGACTCTTGATTTTGGAAGAGTTGTCGGCACAAGATGCAACCTTTTTAACTTTTAAATAGGGCCTTTATTGCGTTGTTTGTCAAACAACACGAGGATCTTGTGTGATTTACATTGAATATCTATTCAATTTATTGGGTAACAGAACAACAGTGTTCTCTCTCATACCACTTATTCTGAAACATACAATCTGAAGATCATTGTATTAAAACAAAGAATGGATGACGAATGAATTAGTCATTGTAAAAATGGTCACTACAACTCTGTAACCTAATACTGATCACTTTGGTTCAATCGTATTGTGTGTTGAACTGAAATGTATTTAGAAAATATATATTATTATTTGGAAAATAGATAATAGTTTTAGTACAGTATTATTAATTTTAAAATTATAATAAATAAGTGACATATTGGTTAAATATTTCAATTAATTGTGTTGAACGTAACACTCTAAATCGAAATTGAGCTGTAGCTGAGGTATTTAATAATTTAAAAAAATGAGGAAGCTCATCTCGGGTTTGTTTGTGCAAACACCTCAAAAATTTTCTTTGGAGACGCTCAAGTAAGTCAATCATCATGTGATGGATTCGGATTTATAATATTAATAGTAAATTATGTGATGTGTTGGAACAAAACAAAGTGATAAATGAATTAAATTCGGATGTTGTCATTGAAACTTTACGATCTATTTCCGAGTTGATGGTGTGGGGAGACAAACATAATGAAAGATTTTGGGAGTAAGTTTATCGGACATAATTATAATAATTTTTGAAAAGCTTGTTTTTGGAGAGGAATGTCTTTCACTTCTTTTTCAACGTACTATCACAACCGAACTCACCTAATCACGTCAAGAAACAATTAATTCAATCTATTAGTATTATGATTCAAAATATGAACAACAAAAATTCCCTGTGTATGTACATACATTCGATGATCATTGGAAATTAATTTTCTTGTTAGATTTTTTACTCTCCAATAATCACATCAATGAATTGATTAACCACCCTTTGGATTTTGCGGATGAAGAACTTTTGGCTTATTACATTAATTTCCTGAAAACAATTTCTTTGAAATTTGACAAATCAATGATTCAATTCTTTTTTGACAGCGTATGTTTTCATATGAATTTGATAGTATTAATAATTTTCAGGTTAATTCTAGATTCCCTCTTTATGATCAAGCTATAAAGTTCTGTAATCACACCGATAGCATGATCAGAATTGCAGTAAGAACAATCACATTGAATACATACAGTGGTAGGTTGACAAGGATTTTAAAATTTAACTCTCTCAAGTCAATGATGTGGCACTCCACAAATATGTAGTTTCCACACCATATTTTTCTTTATTGGCAGACTTTTTCATAGATCAACTTTCTTCCTTGAATTATATAATAATTAAATCAAGAGAAAACAAGTCACAAATAAGGATGTTAGAGGACTATTCAGCAGATTTGTTGGATCATTTATACTATTTAAAGGATATTTACAATACAAAAATAGAAGGAATGGATGAAAAATTAACAGAATCCATTGTAGATTTGACAATCAAGAAAGTAATTAGGGATTCAATTATAAGTTTCTCTTGTAGCGATGAGGAACATAATCACATTGATAATAAGTTTGGATTATTATTGGAAACAATTTTATATTGTATTTCTCAAGTTTATTCTGTTTTTACAAATGAAGAATTAATAGAGAGATTAACTTATCTACTGTTTTCAAAAGAGATAGGATGTGAAAATTCATTTATTGAAATGGTATTCGATCAAGTTCAAAGGAGGAACGATAATGAGTCACTATTACTGAGTTCATTATGTTTTATGTATTCTATGATTGTGAATGAATGTAAGTAATTCAAATAATCAAATATTATTGATTCAGAAATAATAACAGCAACACCAACAGGTCCGTTATTGACAATTGGAATGGCTAAAGTTTCTGAAGTTAATCAGTCATCTTTTGATCAGTCAGACAATTGTTTCTTTAACACTATTACCTACTTGATGGGACATAGTGCACCAACGAGAATTAATACATACCATATGATTTATAGAATTTTGACAGCATTATGGAGTAGTTTGGATGAAACCAATTCATTATACATTGAAAATTATCTTCCGACCCTGAAGAAGCAATTTTCCAAGTGCAAGGAGGTTATGAAAAAATTATTTACAGAACTGAGTGTATTTGACTTTTTGGATGAACTACAAGTGGAATTTACACAATACCAAAGATTATTCTCTTTAAGATCAGATGCCACTGTTTCTGATATTTCTACATTAATGAATTATGAAGAAAACGAAACTTCACAATCACCATTTGATCAAATACCACTTCAAAAATCAAATAAGAAGATCGAGACAAATACTAGATTTGAAATTCATGAATTTTTATTGATATATGAGTTTGTATGCAAATCTCCAATTTTGAGTAAGCTCATTTTAGGGAGAGAAAAACTAGTATCACTCTCAGATATTATTAATCCAAAACCAGAATATTGTCCTGGAGAGGAAGCTGTTATGATCAATAGAGAAACTATTCGCTGCAGTATTACTTCTCCAATTACATTTCCTCAAATGGTTCCTAGCTCACCAAAGAAAGCTCCTGGAGGTACTCCAACTAGAACAAATGTAAACACACCTGTTGGTCATGTTACTCCAACCAAAAAGGATAATAGAGAAATGCGCCATATTTTCTTTGATGCAAACTATCTCTACATTGTAACTGTTGACGTTAATAGGATTGGTTTTGGAATTGTGGAAGAAACTGTTCCATTATTTACTGTTGATGTATGTTATTTATTTATATCATAGTTATTCTTACAATTTTATTGCTTAGCTGAAAACAAATGAGCAAAACAAGTTTTCAATGAGACTTGTGGCAGAAAGGAAACAACTTGGATCTCCACTAGTTCTTTTTGATAAAAAATTGGTGTTTGATGATTTCAAGATTGCTAAGGAAGTCAAATCAATAATTGATAAGAAGATTGAGGATTGTAAAGAATTAAAACAAACAGAGTTTAAACAAGTTTTTTCAGATTAAATAAATAATTTAATATTATTTTAATTATTAAATTCAAATATTAAAAAAATGCGAGCAATTATCAAAGGCATTAAATACTCATCCCGAAACTCTGTCAAGTCATCATCATCGAAATGTGTGCAAACATGTCTACCAAAACAATCTTCTATTTTATTTAATAATATTTCATCACTAAATTCAAGACAATATCATAAAACTGTTCATGTTACGGAAACTATCAAGGAAAAGAGAAGAAGAGAACATGAAATGCACACAAACAAGAAGTATTTACACACAAGTGGAGATGAAAGTGTTTTAAAAGGATATAAACCTGTTATTGGATTGGAAATTCACGCTCAAATTAAATCTAAGAGCAAACTCTTTTCAACAAGTTCAACAGAGTTTACAAACTCCATGCCAAACGTAAATGTCACTTTGTTTGATGCTTCTTTTCCTGGTACTTTACCTTCATTGAACGAATACTGTATCAGACAAGCAGTTAAGACTGGATTAGCTGTTGGAGGAAAAATTAATTTATACTCTCAATTCGACAGAAAACATTACTTTTATCCTGATCTTCCACTTGGATATCAAATTACTCAACAATTTTATCCTCTAGTTTCTGAAGGTAAATTGAGAATTGACATTCCACAAGGAGATGGTACATATAAACCAAAGTATATTAGAATTGCTCGTATTCAAGTTGAACAAGATTCTGGTAAATCTGTTCATGATTTGGATAATACCTTAATTGATTTAAATAGAGCTGGTAATCCATTGATGGAAATTATTACCTATCCAGATTTGAATTCAAGTTTGGAGGCTGAATTATTTGTTAAAAAACTTCAATTCATGTTGAGACATATTGGAACATGTGATGGTAATATGGAAGAAGGTAGTTTGAGATGTGATGTTAACGTATCAGTATACAATGCATCAGCTGGTGATCACCCACTAAGTGGTACTAGATGTGAAGTCAAGAATATTTCCAGTGCTAACAATATTCCTCGTGCTATTGATTTTGAAATCAAGAGACATATCGAATTATTGACAAATGGACAAAAAATTGAACAACAAACCAGAACATTTGATGCCAAAAAGGGAGAAACTTTACTTTTAAGAAGTAAGGAAAATATTCCAGACTACAAGTTCTTCCCAGATCCAGATTTGCCATATGTAGAACTTACTGAAGATTATGTTGAATCTGTTAAAACTACTATTCCATCTCTTCCTGATGATATTGTCGAAAAGTTGACAAGTGAACCATACAATTTGAATTTCTATGATGCCAATATTTTATTGACCAATAATGGAGGAGTTGAATTCTTTGAGACAATTTTGCATGATTCTAGATGGTCATCTAAATTGAATCCAAAACTTGTTGCTAACTGGATTGCTAGTGAGCTTATGGGTTTACTCAATGCATCTGAAATCACACTAAGTGATAGTCCTGTATCATATATTCAAATTGGATCGATTGTTGAAGCTATTCAACATGAAGATATCTCTGGTAAAATGGCAAAGAAGATTATCAAGATAATGTTTGATGAAAAGAGTGGAGAGATGGCACTGGATATTGCAGAAAAGAATGGTTGGAGACAAATAACAGACAAGAATGTTATTGGAGAGTTATGTGATAAGATTATCGCTGAACATCCAACAGAAGTTGGAAACCTTAGAAATGGTAAGGAAAATGTATTCCAATTTTTAGTTGCACAAGTGATTAAACTTTCGAAGGGTAATGCATCACCATCTTTAGTCAATCAAATTTTAAGAGAAAAGGCTACTAATAAACCAACAACAACAGACTAATATATATTATCATTGTATATCAAATGCAAAAGATTCAAACTTGATGTTTTGACTTGTTACGATTTTGGCGCAAAAATTAGGTTTAAAAAAAAATGGATAACTTTCAAATCTACGAAGAGATTGGAAAGGGTAGCAGTTCTGTAGTTTATAAAGGTAGAAAAAGAAAAACTATAGAATATGCTGCTGTAAAATGTATAGAGAAACACCATAAACAAAAGGTGTTTACAGAGGTACGTTCCGCCATCATACAATAATTTTATTTAAAACAATAACAAATTTAAGGCAAAAGTTTTGAATATGCTTTCTCATACAAATGTATTAAAATTTTATAGTTGGTATGAAACAACGAATCATTATTGGATTATTGTAGAATTTTGTACTGGAGATTTAATGACAGTTTTAAGTCAAGATCATAAACTTCCCGAAGATACAATTCATCTTTTTGCTTTGGATATCATCAGTGGCCTTCAGTAAGTAAATTTATATGAAGCGGATAGTTTAACGAGTTGTAGATATGTTCATTCAAGAGGTGTAGTTTATTGTGATTTAAAACCTTCAAACATCCTTATTGATGGTTGTGGTATTTTAAAATTAAGTGGTTTTGGATTATCTAAATTAATGAAGGACATTGATCAAAGTTTAGCTACATCAACACCATCGACTGATAAAACTGTAAATGATGGTAAACTTAAAAGAGGAACTCTTTGTTACACAGCTCCAGAATTATTGATGGGAGGAATCCATTCAATTTACTCGGATTTTTGGTCTCTTGGATGTATTCTTTATGAGATGGCTTCTGGACAACCTCCTTATGTTGGATCGACACCTGAACAAACTATGGAATTAATTTTGAACTCGGAATTGAAGCCTTTGGAAAATTGTAGTGAAGAATTGAATTCTCTTATTAGATCATTATTACAAAAACATCCAACAGATAGAATTTCATGGGATGACCTAAGAGATCACAAATTTTGGAGAGAAAAGGCAGCACCACCTCCAGAAGAATTAAGAAAATATTTAGCTCCTTCTCCTGTTTATCTGAATAGTGTTAAGGTTGTTTCTTCCCAAAAAACCTCAAAAAGCGAGAATGTAATGAGACTTTCAAAGATTGTCCAATCCAATCTTGAAAAAGAGTTGGGTCCTAGTTATGATGGAAGATCTTCAGAAAAACCATCCACTAAGAAAGTCACAGATATTGAATATAATTTCGATGAATCCGATGGAGATAGTGGTGATGAACTTTCTAAAGAGAAGGCAGAGTTAGATGACGAAGAACAAGGTTTTAGTGATTCCTCAGAAACAAGAGGAAATAGTTCTAAGGAACCAACTGGAGAACCAATGATCAGAAGATCTACCTCCCAATCAAATATCGCTAACATCAAACTTTCCATCCAAGAAGTTCAAAAATTAATGTTCAACCAATCCGACACCTATGTCAAACCAATTATCATGAACTCCAGAATTGAAAAAGTTACTAGTCCAAAGTTCGACAAAACTAAACTTCCTTTTGAACCTCATCCTCTCAAGAAGGTTTTAAACATGCCTCAAAAAGAGCTGGAAGGATTCCTTACTCAAATTTACAAAGCTCTTGGAGGAAATGGAGACAATACTATGAAATTGAATTGTTTGTGCTATTTTGAAACACTTTGCACAGATACCCAATCATCTAACTTGCTTGTTAACAGCTCCTTGATGAAGTTGTTCATTAAAATGCTAAGAGCTTACAAGTCTCCAATGCTCAGAGTTAGATTATGTTCTGTTACTGGTCTTTTGGTAAGACATGCAACATACATTTCCGGAGATCTCCTTAATAATGAAATATTCGACGTCTTTGTAGAACTTGTCATGAAGGACAATGGTGTAAAGGTAAAGAGAAGAGCACTGGCCTGCTTAGGAGAATTGGTGTTCTATGTTGCTACACAGATTCCTTCCCAAAATCAAAAGGAAATCACCCTTGTTGATTTACCTGTATCAATTGTTAGTACAGTTGTTGAAAGTCTTAAGTATGCTGATGAAGTTGTTCAACATTATGCCACAAAAACAATTGAAAATATTGCTGCCCAAAGTCCTCAATACTCTCAAAAGTTTGCCACAATTGATTGTATCTCTTCCCTTCTCCAAATTTTCAATACCAGTAAGAATGAATTCTTGAGAGGAAGTGCTATCTCATCACTTTCTAGAATGTCAAGAAATAAGTCCAATCTTTCTTCACAACTTATTGATTTAATAACGCCAAAGAAAATTGCTGCTCTTTTAAAGGACAGTAATATTAGAGTTCAACAATCTGCAGTCAATATTATTAATCTTGCAATTTTGACTGATAGCAACACTAAGCAATGCAAACAATTAATAGAAGATCCAGCATTTGAAGAAAGCTTATCCTCTTTAGTTGATCACTCTAATTATACAATCAGAGCTAAGGCTCTTATTACATATTTCATCATCTCAAAGAGCAATCCAACATTTATCGTGAAGAATTTCGGTCCAAAGCTATGTGCTTGCTTGGATAGAATGATGAACAAAGAGAAGGAACAATATGTCAAGACATGTATGGCTGGAGTTCTTGATAGTATTGCTGAAATGATTCCAACCCTTCTTCAACAAGTCTCCCAACAACTTGATAAGGGTATGACATCAACATCTGCAGCAAATCAAAACAAGACTCTTGAATTTGTTTTGCTCGTAATGACTACCCCTTCCCTGAGCGAAAAGATGATAACAGAGAACGTTTTGCTCCAACTATCAAAACTTTTGACTCAATTAGGATCCAAGTCAGGTACTGAAGAATCTTCCAACTCTATACTTTTGGTTATTGAAGCCCTTTCAAGACAGCCAACCACTGCTTCCTTCCACAAAGTTGTTGTTAATTCTTTGTTACCATCATTAGTAGATATGCTCAATAATTCTAATGGTGATGTGAGATTCTTGTGTTTGAAGATTTTCACTGATATTCTTGTTCAATTCTTGAATGATAAGAATGTTTATAGTATTGAAGATCCTAACCACGAGTGTACAAAACAAATTAATGATTTCATCGTAAAGAATGTTTTGCCAAAGTACAAACAAATACTGGATGATCAAGACCCTATTCCATTGTATGGATTAAAGTTATTGAATAACATTGCTGAACACAACCCAGGCTTCATTGGTGTTATTCACCACTTTAATATAATTCCAAAGCTGTTTGAATTCTTCGAGTTAGAACATAGAAATAACAACGTACACAATGTTAGATTGATTTTGAAGGTTGTAAATGCAGAAGTTTTGACTTCAGATCAACTCTTCAAGCTTGGTATAATCACAAAATTGAGTGCTGTTTTGAAGTACGCCTTTGAAAATGGTGTAGATACTTTCTTTGAACCTTGTTTAGGTATAGTCGACAATCTTTTATATAAGGCAGCAAAACTTGTTCATTCTTCAAAGAATAAGGGAGATGACTCTAAACAAGCAGCTGAAACATTGGTTCAAAACAATGAAGCATTGGTTGACAACCTTCAAGTTTTCATGAAACTCTGTTCTCATGAAGATTTAACCATAGCTGAGTCAGCATGTCATGTTGTTCTCCTATTGGCTCAACAATATTCCTCAACTCATGAACAATTATTTTCACAACAAGTTTTGGGACTCATCCGTAAAATTCTTCTCAATCATGTAAATTCATTCGAGGAAACTAATGAAATTGATGAGAGTGTGACTAGAATTTGTAATTATATGCTTAACATTTTGCTAATTATTTGCCAAAGTAATTCCAAGATGATAGCAAAACTGAAACGAGAAGACATGTTGATGGTTGCAGTCAACAAAGTCTCAGATATTGGAAATCAATCACTACTTACTCTTGCAACATCAATCAAAAAGTTATTAGCTGAATAAAATATTTATCAATTTATTTCTTATTAATTGAGATAATCTTATTGTATCTTGCTTTGATAACTTGTTTTGATCTACTCAATTCCTTAGCAATATCAAGTAAAACACTATCAAATTCATCACCAACAATCAACGTTCCAATTTGAAGACCCTTAGTTTGAAGAGTAACCAAAATATGCCTATCGTCCTCATATGTAAATTTGTGTACTATTCCATCATGAATAATCTCAGAATCCTTTTCTACATGATGTACATTATCTTCTTCATCAGAAGATGAGTCAATCGATCCAACATCTTCGAATGGTAGTATCTTTGAAGTGGATAACTCCAAATCAGGCTTCAAAAATACTTCACTGAGACTACTTTCATTCAATGGATTAATTGGTTGTTCAATTATTGGATTTTCAATAATAGGTGGAATTTCTACTTGTGGTTGAACTGCTACTATTTGGTCTATCTTTTCTGTGGTTAATAAATTATTTTCAAGGGATGTTATATCCTCTGTATCTTGTTTCTTCTTTTTCTTTGGATTGATTTTTTCATTCTTCTTTCTCTTCTTTTCGCCTGTATCTTTTGTTTGGTCCAAATCTGACTCTGATTCAGAAATATTATCTCTAGGTACATAGGTGTGTATTTTGCTTAGGTCTTTGTAACTTACTGGAATCTCTTTCCTTGTTAATTTGCTTGTTATTTTAAAAAGTTTGATTGACTCGAATAAATATGAATAATCTACTTGACTATCATCTTTCTTTTTGGTACTACCACTACCTTCATGTTGTTGGTTTGTTTCTTCTGCAATAGTTCTGAACGTTTTGAAAGGATTAAACTCTAGAGATGCTGCTCTTTTCCCTATCATATTTTTATATCTGACTCTTAGTTGTTTCGATGACTTGTTTGGAACGAACTCATCTCTGATTCTTTCCCACTTAATTGTTGTTCCAGGTTTCCAATGTTTTTTAAGGCCAATCAAGAGTAAATTATCCTCAGGTATTGTAAAAACCATTCTTTTAGATCCTATTCCTCTTTCTGCAGTTGTATTCAAGTAGTAAATACTCTCCTGTATTTCTGCTAACAAGCTTTGATTTGAAAATAACTTGAAAGGTTTTAAAAATTTTACAAATAATTCCCAATTAATTTGATTGTTGATATAAAAGAAAGAATAGTCAAAATCAATAAATATATCCATTGAATCAATTCCTTCCACATCCAGTATTGAGGTAGTAAGCAGTTCAATCCATTCTTCAACATTTCTTTCTTCGTTTCTTTCGTTTGGAGTGAATGAATTTTCGGTTAGAGTAACCTTCTTTGATCCATCTAATAAATTTACAATTTTAACGTCTTTAGAAACATTAAATAAATATAATAATTTTCTCATTTTGTTATTTACAGCCTCTTTCTTGATAACTAAATAGGAAGTGATGAGATTTTTGAATTTCTTGTTCAATTCCTTTAATTCTTGATTAAAACTTGATAGGAAATAGTTATAAAACAGTAATTGAGTATGTGTTTGAATTTGATATTGCAATTCCTTCATTTGCTCATCTGATATTACACTTTGGGATGAGAATATACTGGATATTGAATTATTAGAGGAAGAAGGAGGACTTGATGGGCTTGATTGAGTTGGAACAGATGCATTAGATGAAGATGCCACAACATTACTACTTGTTGATGCATTTGGCAAATTAACTCCTCTAGAGAACATCAGGTCATATGTTGGAAATATCGTAGAAGGAACTATTGGAAATTGGTTGAAATTCTTAGTTGCACCACTTTGTGGAAATAATTGAGGTGCCATAATCTGTGGAAATGGAAATTGGTAAGGTTGTGATGGTATTTGTACATTGTTTAACATATTTACAGAGTTTGAGCTAGCTGTTGTCTGCTTTGTTGGACTTTTGGGTCGTATACTAGGTAAAACTGATGGTTTTTCAAACTTTTGATATTTCTTCCTTCCTCGTTTAGCTTGACTAGAACTACCATCAAACTCATCATCAGGCAGTATCATATCATCCCAATCGATCCAATCAAAATTTTCCAATTCTATATCTTCATCTTCGTTCAAATCCTGATAATCATCATCCTCTTCATCATCATCATCATCAAATAAACCTAAAATATCGGATTTTGTGTTATCGGAATATGAAAAATTTTGATTCGAGTCCAAACTATTATTATTAAGTGTTGTAACACTTTCAAAATTGTTATTTTCGTCGTTTGTTATTGTTGTGGTTGGAAGATTTTGATGATCGTTCTGTTGTTGTGTATCGACAGCATTTGAATTGTCATCATGGCTCATTTTTTTAAACTTTATTTTCTTTTTTCTTTTTCGAAAAATTTTAAACCCAGAATCATAAGGCACAACACTGAGCTATTAATACTGATATTATTATGAAGAAATGAAACACAGTTACAATAAACTCAAAATTATATAGGAATACTTTAGCTTTTCCATAATTGGTTATTGAAATGGTGAAATTTTAATGTTTTTAAGGTTAAATATGGTTTATTTATTGTTGTTGGTGGTGCATTTTACTCATTGTCAAAATTTGATGAATTTTTACATTTGGATTACTGTGTTATTGGTACAATATTTTGCTTATTTCTTCAACTTATACTTCTTAATGAGTTCAACAAGGAACTTAGTATCAGTAGCCTTTTGAATGAATGGATGGTTCAAAAGATCATCAGCTGAGGCTCTCTTTTGAGGATTCTTAGCAAGAGCACAAGCCAAAAAGTCCTTAAAGACATTTGACCACTTCTCTGGTTCTCTCAAAGTTGGAGGTGGTTGAGTGGCAATAATGAACAAAGCTCTCAATGGTGGCAAGTCAAGCAATGGTGGTTCACCATCAGCCATTTCCAAAGCCATAATACCCAAAGACCAAATGTCAACCTTGGTGTCATAATCAACTCCACGAATAACTTCCTAAATAATAATATTTAAATAAATAAAATTGAAAAACTAAACTTACAGGTGCCTATAATAAAATTGTAAATTTAAAATTGAATTAAAACAAGAAAACTTACCATCCAGTATGGAGTACCAACGACTGATCGTCTCTTATCAGCAGTTTGGGATAATTCAGCACAGAAACCAAAGTCAGCCAATTTGACATCACCATTTTCTCCAAGAAGTACGTTATCTGATTTGATATCACGGTGAATTCTTTGATTATCGTGGAGGTACTTGAGTGATTTCAAAATTTCCTTACAAACAGCAGCAATTTCTGGTTCAGAGAATTGAGTGCTCAATAACAAATCTGTGAGTTTACCACCACTCATCATTTCCATGACAATCCACAAATCTTGATTGTGTGAGTATGCTCCTACGTATTTTACAATATTTTCATGTTGACAAGAGTGCATCATTGCAATTTCGTTTTCTAATGTTTCTAACTTGGTGTCAGCTTTAATCTGTATAATCTTGATGGCAACTTTCATACCAGTCTTGTTGTGAATACCCTTGTAAACAACGGCAGAAGAACCTTCATCAAGTCTTTGGAGTTTACCAAATACTTTAGTTGGGTCTTCATTTTGGAGATATTCAACAAGACGTTGTTTCTTACCGCCAATTGGTTTTTGTTTAGCAGCTGCTTCATCTGGTCTTTGCATATTATTAGTTGCCAAGTCCAAAATACCCAAAACAGCATCTTGATTTTGAACAGCTTCATCTTTTGTGATACCAGATGTTTTAAGCATGGTTTCCCATTCTGGTGGAAGACCAACGAAACCGGTCTATTTGAAATTAGTCAACCAACTGTCAAAATAATAATAAAACCTACCTCACTGTTATAGTCAACGTGAATATTATGTTTGAATTCGAATGGTTTTGAAATAACAAATCCTTGAACATTATCTTGAGATGAGCTCATTGTAGGTAAGAGATTTGGATTCACAGCAGAATTTTCATCATATTGAGCACTATCTCCAAATGTATCTTTCCATTGTGTTGGTACACCTTTCAAAGTACCTTGGTTGAGGTCAACTTCAATATGCACTCCCCTTTTAAAGTCGGTTGGCCCAGAAATTTCGCACTTGATTGCATCAGCATCGTAGGCTGGTGATTTATCCTTTTTTTTAGTGAAAAAGCCCATTCTTATATGTATGGTGATGATATATAAATTATACAAGCAAGTAGGAATTAAACTACTAGTTAATTTTGTTTTTAAAAACTACTACTACAAAATATGAATGACAATTGTCTCCAAATTATTAGTGTGTTGTGTGTGATGAAGTATATATTATTATTGCGTTATTCAATTTAAAAAAACCTCGCTTGTTGTTATATTCCCTTGAAGAGTAGAGTAGCACAAACAACAATCAGCAGCAGTTAGATGAACGCAAAGCTATTTTTTCCAAGTTGTGTTGTTGAGAAAAAGGATCACAACGGCTCTAGAGTTCACAGATGAGTATCGTGGGAGACAGCGAAAGAGTATTGCTCATCCCTTATGCTTTACTCGTCACATTCTAAGACAGTTGACGTGTTTTGTATTCAAATGTCAACTAGTGAGGTGGAAGAAATAAAATTTGGGGATAAAGACTTCCAAATTATTCTGTGCCTCTCTATGTGTTATCGAATAAGGTGAGCATCTCTCTCTTAACTGTGCATTATTGTCCCATATTATTAGCTTGTAGATATTATTATGATTATTATTATGATTCAGAATTGAAAACAATGTGAATTGAATCAAATTGATATCAAATCTCTAAGGTGATTGAATGGAATATTCTTTCCAATTTCTTATTGATTAGTTTAACTCAGCCACAAATCTATAGCAATAAGGACAAGATTTTGATAGAATACACACCTCTTAAATCAGCGTTTGGTGAGATGATTGAATTCAATCAATAAAAACACCACGAATATTGATTCTTTTCGCTTGATTTCAGAAAACAATACTCACGAAACAAAAAAACAACCATACAATACGACCGTGAAGTCACACCATAATAGCATAAGGAAAAACAAGCACACAACAACTGTGAAGTCACACCTTTTAAAAGTCCCAACAAGACAATTTACAGAATATTTATTTTAATTGATTGCCACACAGCAAAAAGCAAAATCATTAACGTTAATCAAAATTTAAAAATCGCTTTAAAAAATGAAGAGTACTCTCACTTCGCGACACGCTCTTTGTACAGTATCAAAGTTGCTTTCTCACAGTTCGAATGTTTTAAATCACCACAATACCGCCTTATCAATGACCATTGGTAGTGGTCATATGATGATGAAAAATAATTCTGGACTAAATTTTTCTTCTTCGTCAAGATTGATAAATTCAAAGCCTATCTTTTCTTCGATATCGAAGTAGGTATTTGATTTTCTTCTATTAATTAATATATTTAGTTCTCATATTGGATCTTCTCTGCTTAACAATAATAATTTGTGGAGCAACAAAATAGCTTCTTATCATACAAACATTATTAATTTAAATAATGTCCCACCTTCCTCCGATAATGATAATAATCAAAATCAAAGAATACTTGAAGCAAAGAAAAAAATCGAGGAAAGAATGAAGAATTCATCAACAGCAAAATCACTTCTTACACCAATGAATGCCGATAGTGTTGTTCAAATTGCAAAGGACAAATCACTCTCAATAGTTAAAGCTATTCCTGGTGTTACTTGGAAAGTTACAGTATTTCTTTTTGATGCTCTTAAGAGTGTTATAATGAGACCTACTGTTGTGAAGGATTGGTATGCTAAAGCTAGGGATGTTACTGTTCATGAAATTAAACACTATGTTGCAGGAAGTAAATTATTAGCAAGTGACGTACGATATGCATTTGCTTTAACAACAAAAGTTTTGAGAGGTAATGCATTATCAAGAAGAGAAAGAAATCAACTTTTGAGAACAGTTTCAGATATTTTCCGTCTCGTACCTTTTGCAATTATTGTTGTTGTACCATTCTTGGAATTTGCTTTACCAGTTCTGTTGAAACTCTTCCCAAATATGCTTCCATCACAATTTGAAGATGGATTAAAAAAGAAGGAAAAATTATTGAAAGAAGTTAAAGCTAAAGTTGAACTTGCTAAATTCTTACAAGATACAGTTGAATTGATGGTACAAGATTTGAGAAGCAGTGAATCTACTGAAACAGCTGCTCAATCCGAGGAATTGAATAATTTTATTGAAAAGATTAGAAATGGTGAAAGTTGTTCTAATGATGATATTGTTAAATTTGCTAAACTTTTCAAAGATGAAATTACTTTGGATCACATGTCAAGAGCACAACTTGTTGCTATGTGTAAATATATGGGTATTACGCCATACGGATCTGATGCAATTCTTAGATACAGATTGAGATCAAAGATGAGAAGATTGAAGGCTGATGATCGTTTAATTTATTGGGAAGGTGTTAACTCTCTTTCAAATGAAGAGCTTATGTATGCCTGTAAGGAAAGAGGTATGAAAATTGGAGTATCAAAGAAGGAACTTCAAAAACAATTGAGAGAATGGATTGAATTATCATTTGATAAGAATATTCCATCATCATTACTTATTATATCTCGTGCTTTTGTTTTCAATGATAAGGTACAAAGTGAGGAAGCTATCAAGATGGCTCTTGGTTCTCTTTCAGATGAAGTTGTCGATGAAGTCGGTATGCAAACTTCTCCAACTCAAGATTATGAAAAGAAACTTGCTTCACTGAAACGTACCGAAAAGTTAATTAAGACTGAAGAAGAGGAAAAGAAGAAATTCGTCTTGAAGGAAGAATTAACAAGCTCAACTCCAGCTACTCCATCAACAACAACTGAATCTAAACAAACTCCAGTTGAAACTGCTCCAGAAGCACCAAAAGTTGCTCTTGATCCTGAATTTGAAAAGGAAGAAGTTAAGAAAGCTAAGGAAGAAAAGATTAGAATTCTTAATGAAATTCTTGCTACTTTGGCTTCAAGAAGTTCAGTGGAACCTGAAAGAGAAGAATTGGAAGATTTAATCAGTGATCATATTGATATTGTTGACCAAACTAAAGGACAAGATCCTGTTGTCAAGATTAGTAGACTTAGTAACAGAGTTGGTAAATTGATTGAAAAGATTGAAAAGGATATTGATTATGTTGATCAATCTATTGCTGATTCTCTTAATCTTTTGGATAAGGATAAGGATGGTGTTATTACAGTTGAAGAACTTAAACAAGCTCTCAGTGTTTTGAAAGAAAAACCATCAGAAGAATTGATAAAGGAAATTATTGACAGAATTGATGCCGACAAGGATGGTGTCATTACTGTCAAGGATATTTTGCTTGAATTCAAACAGGGCAAATTGAAAGAATAAATCTAAGAGAGTAAAATACAAAATTATTTAATAAGTTGGTGCATTATTCTTCAAAAGGTTCTTCTTATCTTCGGTAAACCATCTAGCATCATACAGTGAATCAACAAATTTGATCTTAATATCACAATCGTAGGCACTATCGACATAAAAAATTTTAATAGCATCATCAAAACGGGATCCAACATGATACCACAACAATTCGGTTGTATCATCATAAATACTATCAACCCATTTTACAGCACAATCGGCATCATAATCACTGATCACACGAAGAATTTTCAAATCAGCATCATATGGACTATCAACTTTAAATACTCTCATTTTATTTTAATTTTAAATTGTGTTCTATTTACAGAACATTTTACGAATAAGCTTATTTTCATAGAGCATGAAATTTGAACAAAGAATAGAAATGCACAAATATTGCGTTGTAAATTTTTTTATTTAATTAAAAAAGTCATTCAACAAACAACATCTAGGACTACTTTAAGGTTACATTCTATCATCATGACAGCACTAGTCTTACCCCTCACTAGTCCTCCACTATACCGCACGTAATTGGAATCGAGTCGTATCTGCTACCATGTTTCAACTAATTACAAGATGAAATGAACAGGGCTACAATAGCTCTCGCTGTTGGCGTCCTAAGAACTCTCGCAATAGTCGTTGTTTAATTGGCCGTTCTTCTTGATCTTTTTAAGCACAAGATTCAATAGATGTTGTTGTCTCAATACAATTTTCAAGAAAAAACAGAATCAAACACATGACCCAAGATAAAATTGAGGTTGAGATTTCATCTAATCAAGCTGATCAAACTCAAAGAAAATCAAGAAATCCATTCAAGAAGAAGGATGCTGACCAACAGAAACAACAAGCTCAAAGTGGTGGAGATGAGCAAATTCATGATGTTAGAGAACCAGATTTGAAATTCCATGATGCATTCACAATTTATAAGATTATTGGTATTAATTGGATTATTATTCTATTGGGAACAATTGGAGCTATGGGAAGTGGTGTTATTCCAATCAGGTAAGTTTATTCAGAACGCATGTGTTAATTTACTGTTCAAAATGTCCATTATTATTATACTCATGTTAATTCAGTTTCCAATTTGTTATGGGTGATTTAGTTAATGTCTTTTCACCAACAAAAGCTGATGGTACTGCAATTACTGTCGCTGAGCAAAAATCTCTCATTTCAACCTATGCAGGTCAATTTGCCATTATTGCTGCAGGTTCTGCCATTGCCAATTTCATGTCTCAATTCTTCTTGAATTGGGCAAGTGAAAGAATTGGTGTAGCTTTGAGAGGTGCCTATTTTGATTCACTCACCACTCAAGAAATGGGTTTCTTTGATATTAAGAAGGTTGGAAGTCTTACCATTACTCTATCTGAGGATATTAGTAGAATTCAGGAAATTTACACAGTCAAATTGGCAACTCTCTTCCAAAACATGACACAATTCATTGTTGGTGTTGTTTTGGCTTTGACAACTGGATGGGAAATGGCTCTTGTTATGATTTCTACCACTCCTCTCATGGTATTGGGTGTTGTTGTTCTTGGAGGAATTATTAGAAAGCTCACTTTGAAGATTAACAAAGCCAATGATCACAGTGCTGCAATTGCTACTGAGGTAACATCATGTATGAGAACAGTTAGATCAATGGCTGGTGAAGAAAAGGAAAGATCAAGATATAAGAGAGATGTTAGAAAGATGTATTTGGCTGGTATTGGAAAGTCATTTTCTTTGGGAGCTACGTTTGGATTATTGACAGCTATTTTGTGGGGAACTGCTGCTTTAGCTTTCTGGGTAAGTAGTTATTAGTAATTTCTTATTGAGTTTCTAATAATGTAACATAGTTTGGTGGAGGTTTAGTTGTTGAATCAAAGATGAATATTGGAAGTATGATGAAAATCTTTGGTCTCTCACTCTTTGCCATTATGGGTATTTCAGGAACTGGTGGTTTCTTCCCAGATTATACTAAAGCTATGGTTTCTCAAAAGACAGTTTTGAAAATCTTAAAGAGAAAGGCAGCCATTCCATTCCAAGGAGGTAAAACACTTGAAAAAATTATTGGAAACGTAACCTTTGCAAATGTTGATTTTATTTATCCATCACGTCCAAATGTGACTGTATTGAAGAATTTCAGTTTGGATATTAAGGCAGGTGAAGCTGCTGCTTTGGTTGGTCCATCAGGTTCTGGTAAATCAACCATTGTAGGTTTGTTGGAAAGATTTTATGAACCAGCAAGTGGTAAAGTCTACTTGGATGGAGTTGATTTGGCTGAATTGGATCCAATGTGGTTACATAGAAATCTTGGAATTGTTACACAAGGTAAGTGTTGCTAATTTTGTTTCGAATTGTTTCTAATATTTTCATATAGAACCTATTTGTAAGTTGTTTCATAATATTGGAATTTAAGGAAATTAACATTTTACAGTGTTTGCAACTACTATTTACAAGAATATTGCATATGCAATTGGTGAAGAAAACACATCAATGGAACAAGTTATTGAAGCTGCCAAATCAGCCAACTGTCACAGTTTCATCATGGATCTTCCAGAAGGGTACAATACATTATTGGGTGAACGTGGTGTTTCACTCTCAGGTGGTCAAAAGCAACGTGTCTGTATTGCTCGTGCCTTATTACAAAATCCAAAGATTCTTTTATTGGATGAAGCTACCTCTGCATTGGATACTGAATCTGAAGCTCTCGTTCAAGCTGCTTTGGATTTGTTAATGAAGGGAAGAACAACCATTTGCATTGCTCACAGATTATCCACTGTTAGAAATTCTGATAAGATTTGTGTGTTGGCAAAGGGAGTTTTGAAAGAGACGGGAACACACGAAGAGTTGATGAAAATTCCAAATGGAATTTACATGAATCTTGCTCAAAAACAAATGCTCTTCTCTCATGAACAGGATTTGGAGGTAACGTTGGATGTTCTTCAATAAATTATTTGTAAATTATCGTTTTCTTTTGGAGGAATTTGTTTTGGTAGATTTTTCCTTGTTGAAAGATTCAATAAGGTCTGAGGAAATATTTTCTGTTGGCTCCCAGGAATTGTCACTCTCTGGATATCCCTTCCATTTGATTAGATAATATTTCTTCTTACGAATAGTTTTGCATTGTAACAGTTTTTCAACTTGGTAGACATCATCATCCTGATCACTCATTGAATCAGAGTCAACTGTTTCTTCTTTGGTGGAAGATTGACTGGAGAGATCGATAATAACCGGTGGAATTTCATCTTTCTTTGAAATTTCTTTCACATCATCTTGCGTTACGCATTCATCTGCACATTTTGATTCATTTTGAATCTCTACTGATGCCATTTCTGAACAAGTGGAAGATGATGGTTCACTTTCTTTTTTAGAGTTTTTACGTGTAGTCTTTTGCTTCTTTTTCTTTGGCTTAATTGGGTTTTTAATTTTCTCTGGTTTTGGGAATTTTAGATCTTGATAATCCTTAACAACTTTTTCAATTACTTCTGTTGTAGCTAATTCATCTGGAGACTCTTCTCTTTCTTTGAGATACTCAAAATACTCTAAATACTTCTCTGTAGACCTTCCAACAGTTTGAAACTGGTGTAGTTTGTGTTTTCCCCACATAAAATTTGAGATACACGATCCACAAATGAAAGTATTTTCACAACACTTGCAACAAAATAGTACGTCTTGTACTCTATTCTTGCAAATGGAGCAATTGAGAAGGACCTGGTTTTCAAATTTGAATATACTTTTTGAATTGGTTTGAGGGAGACATGTTTGGCAGTAATGAGAGGTTACTTGTTTCGTCGTTGAATTATTGATACCATATATTACTTTATGGTTGAGTATATTATTACAAGAATCGCACGTATAGACACGATATCTTGAATTCTTTGCATTCCACAAAATTTTTCTCAGCTCTTTAGTATTAATAGCACAATCAAATTGAATGCCTCCAACATTCACATGTTTATCGTGCAATAACTCTATAAAACACTCAACGTGATAAACTCCGTCCCAACTAGTGCAACCAATTTCAACAGTTTTACCTCTTACATTATTTTGAGAGAGTGATTGATGACTCTTGCAATGCTTATATCTACAAGCAGCTCTTCCATTTCTATCAATATCAAAAATATAATTCATCTGAGTTGATGCTAATTTAAATATTGGATACAATTTCTTGAGTTTCTCAATAATTTCCTTAATAATTTTATGCTTTTCCAATAAATCTTCTTTGAATATTAAATCCATTTCCTTTCTTGATTGATTAACTTCATACCAAGTACTTTTACAGTATTTAGTAAATGAACGTTCTCTCGCACCCCAAATTGATTCCTTAAAATTATAAACGTATTGATATTTAGTTAATTTCTCATTAGATTTTTCATAGAAATGTAACAAATATCTCCACAAATTTACATCTAATAATAAGCTAACATCATTATTATTAATTGATGATGAATTTTCGTCTTGTTTTTCATCTTCGGAGGAAGTGTTGCTTATTGTTGCAGTTTGAATTGGTTCATGCAAACCGAAAAATTGTTTACTTGTCATTGTAAGAGTAATCAGTGATGAACAATCCAAATATTCAAAAACACACCCCATCAACTCGGGTACTTCAAGCAATGGCCTTAAAACGCCAATTTCAAAGCCAATAACAATTCGCATTTTTTTTAATTATTATTATTATTTAAATATTATTTAATTCTTGATGAGGATTGATCCATAGGAAGGAAACTTTGACAAGTCATTGTTTTATTGAAGAATAAAATTTTGAAAATATTGTAAATGACAATTACAATATTATTTTTGTAATCTGCTTCAAGTTCACGTTTGAATCTATTAATAATTTAATGCTTCGGAAGTGAACCTGAAGCAGGAACTATTTTCAAAATCAAAAAAAAATATTAAATTATAAAGTTTCATCGCCCACTAGTGGAAAATGTCTTCCTCCGATAATAATAATACAACAGAGCAAAAATTTGATTACTTTCTCGTGTTAGATTTTGAAGCCTCTTGTGATGATAAGATTAAAAACTTTAGGAATGAAATTATTGAATTTCCAACTGTGGCCATCAATGCTAAAACTGTAAAAATTGATCATGAATTTCATTATTATGTTAAACCAAAGGCTAATCCAATTTTGACTGATTTTTGTAAAGAATTGACTGGTATTCAACAAGATTGGATTGATAATGGAGTTGAATTTGAAGATGTATTGAAATTTCACAATCAATGGATGATGGATAATTTCATTTCTAAAAATTTGACCTTTGCATTTGTAACGTGTGGTGATTGGGATTTAAAAACCATGATCACTAAACAATGTAGAAAGGAAAATATCAAGGTTCCTTCATACTTTTCAAGTTGGGTCAATATTAAGAAAAAGTATACTGAAATTTATTCGAAACATGTCCATGGAATGACTGATATGCTAAACCATATGAAATTGGAATTAATTGGCAAACATCATAGTGGTATTGATGATTGTAAAAATATTGCTAGAATTCTGTGTGAAATGCTGAAACAGGGAAAGCAAATTGACATTACTGCACACATTGATGATTTCAAAGATATGTATGTCGATAAGAAAAAGAAGAAATAAATAAATATTTGGATTTCCAGTCCTCAAACAGGAACTGAAGAAATTTCTATCCAAAAGAATGTCTATATTCTTTGAGAGGAAAATTGAATGGTGACAGAGATAATTCTTCAAGGCATACTGAACTTGTTACAAAATACTTTTTATTATTAATTTTGAATCAAAAAAATGTCATTTCAAAGAACCTCTTTTTCTCTTGATGGAGTGAACTCGACCTATCTTTTCATCAAAAAAGTATCAAAAGATAGGAAAAGGCAAACCGATTCACCACTCCAATTTTTCAAATTCAAATCAGAAGAAACTTTCACTAAAATTAAACAAATAGGCATTAAAAAGATTGTTTGTGGAGCTAGGCATGTCATCTTTTTATTAAACAACGCCACTGCATTCGGATATAGACAAGAAAAAGAAGGCCATTTACTAATCCCTCGAATGGTTGAAATTCCGCTCTCGAACATTGAAGATGTTTATTGTGGGATTGATTTTACGTATTTTGTAATCAAAAAATCAAAATTTGAGCGTAGGATTGTTTCCTCTGGAGTTTCTTTTGAGGGAGAATATTCTGATGTCAAGTATTGGGATTATTCATGTGAGCAACTAATGGAATTTCCACCTTCTAATGAAATTATTCTCGATGTTAAAATTGTTGATTTGCAAGTAGCAATACTCACAAAGCATTTCAAGAATAATCAAAGATTTTGGTATTCGATAAGAGTCAGTAATGACGAGGTTGAACACATTAGAGATCGATATCTTATTAAGAGGGAACTTGGGGATAAATACAATAGAGCAGATTATTTATTTTTTAATGGGATGTACTTGATATTTCATGCTATAGATGGAAAAAATTTGGATAGTAATAATTCATATTTGGAATCTTCGTTCAGACAAGTATCAGATATGTGTGCGTTGGATCATGAAGGAGATTTATATTACGGTTTTAATATGTATCATAAGATTTACGACAGTATTGAAAAGATTGGTGACTGGGGAATTGCAGCTTTGACAAAGGAAGGTCAAGTTTTCACAAACTCTATTCGTTCAACATTTGAAAGATTAGAGTTTGAAAAGATGTTGACAGTTCCAGATAAGAAAAGATATGAAACAGACAGATCATGTTTCAGTATCGATATTTCATCGAGTCAAGAAGATATTTTCATTCTTGTGAAGAGAGGTTTAACTTCAAATCAAGTTCATCTATTTAAGGAAATCATTAGAAATGGTTCTTATCATGATGTAGTTTTCGAATTTGTGGAGTCTTTTGAACTAAACCAAGTTGTAACTATTGAAGAAAAAATTGAAATTCCCAACAAAAATCCCCAAAAACCAACAATGGGGTCTATTGGAGGTTTCTTTCTTTTCAACAATATCAAAAAAGAATGATTTTATTCACATTTCTAGGTTGTTAATTTCATAAAGGTGCAATCTTGAACCAAGTACAGATCTATTTCAAAATTACATGCTATGGAATGTAATGTTGCAACTCTTTCAGATCTTTTCAAGGGAAGAGAATGTAACATGTTCAATGCTCTGTCCCTGACAGGGATTGCTAAACTTCCACTAGAGGTCTTATCTACTAACAAATTCTTCAACCTAATAGACATCACACTAAAGTGTATGAAAATAATCAAATGAGTGGATTTAACTAATTGTTGAAGGAAATGAGTTCTTCTGAATATTTCGCTGGACAAATATTAGGTCAGGTTACTTTGCTACAGAATTTGAGTAGCTTTTCTCAAAACCATCATTGCTTCCTACAATCTTTCAACATGGTTTTATAAATCCATCTCACAATTGTTCTTCGAGGTGCCTCAATTACTAAAGTGAAAGAACGGTCTTTAAGAGCATAACTATGCATTTTTTTGGTTGAGATATTAAGTTTAACCGCCCAAATACCTAATTCAGATGATTGTTTGGAGATAAACAAGAAATTTGGTTGATCTTGATGGTAACTCGTGAGGGAAAGGTACATCCAAAATTCAAATGGTTATTGCCAAAACTCATCTCATTCACAATAAAAAGTTGTTGATATAGCATTGGCTGTATCGAGCAAGTTTCCAAAACGAAGTTGAAGCTCTAAAAACTTAATGTTTGAAAATTCCAAACAAGAAAAGAAATATAATCCTTATTCAAGGGTTAATTTGGTTACCAAGTTCAGTAAAATAATTTTCCAATTCTTGTGCTGATTTTGGTATTATTAACGTATCAGTGCCAACTGTTTGATCTTCAAATGAGACTTCCATTACAAATAGATACGCAACTCACTTTAGTTGCTTGCTCACACAATTTTATCAAAGCCTCCATTTTCCTTTCATCATCACTAATTCCGTAAAATATGTTCTGGAGCCTCTTCAGTGTATCACCATCTTCCTGGTTAAATGTTAGTTTTCTCCTCTTCATTTTTTCTCTTTCTTTTTAAAGCTTATTTTAATTTATCACTTTTGAGCGGTACCATCTTGCTTGCAATTGCTAAGGAACAATTAAGAGGAATTGAAATATGAGGTTGTCTGTCTGAGATTTCATAGAAATATTTCAAGCCTTGAGATAAGAAATCTTTCCTGGTCAAATTAAATGTCATGAGTGTCAATTAATGATGATGATAGTAAGGCATGAGATTTAATGGCCATCATTCCAAATGTTTGAGACTCTGAGTGCAACCAACCATTTTGAATAATCTTTCTTTAGGATTCATCACTTATGACAAACAATGGTTGCGATGATTGGTTGTTCCACTTTTGATTTTGTCAAATATCGTAGAAACAAATTGTTATCTGGTCTTTAAAAAGACAGCTCCTCATCATTGAACCGCACGAATATCATTGATTCTTTTGTTTCGGATAAAAAAAACAAGACGAAACCAAACATGCCGGCAAAAACAGCATCATTTGATCCTCGTAATTATTCTGTTGTCTATGAAGAGATGATAGAATCAAAGGAATCCAGAGAATGTTTTAGAAAATACTTGACAAACACAAGCTTAAGTGATGAAACTATCCTATTCCTAGACGAATTGGAATATTATAAGAAAGAATATGATAAATCCATTGCCGAAATAATGGAAATACTCAAGCTAGAGAATGACACACTAAATAACAGTGATTCCACATCATCCATAACAGAATTTTCTCGTCCAACAACTTTCAAGAAGAAATCACAACTAAAAAAAGTAACTAAACAACTGAGACGTATAACAGACAAGTCAAATTCGATATTTAATATTTATATTAAACCATCATCAGAGAAGGAATTAAATATTGGTCATATACAGAGAGAATTGTTGGGTAAACATGAAAAAATTCAAGAAAAGTTTGAAAATTTTACAAAATTAATATCAGAAAAGGAAACTCTAGGAAAGAGTGCATCTTCAGTTTCAATTAATGATACTGAATCATCTAATTCATCACAGGAAGGATCATTAGATTCCAATGAATCAAATTTGTATCCACTTTGTAGTGAAATTATTGAACTGTTGGATTATCAGAAATTATTTAATGAAGTTGAGTTGACTGTTCATATGGATTTGAAAATGGATCAATTTCCAAGATTTGTGAGAAGTCAATTCTTATTGAACTTTTTAAAAGAAAAGGGTGAAAATTTCACAAGAACCATTGCTATTGATTCTTCAAAGGGAGTCAATGTTGATTTGAGATTTAAACCAAACGATTTGATGGATAAGACAGTTTCTGATAATCATATTTACTTTGGTAAGTTTTATTTTCCATATTATTAATATATTGAACTATTTGTAATATTGTAATTTTCAATTGAAAAAATTCATTACAAAATAGGATTTACATTGGCTGAAGATACACCAGATTGGAAATTAATTCAAGATAAGAAACTCTATCAATCATACTGTTCTAAAACCCCATACGTATTCTCATCGAGTAGACTGAAAGGAATGCAACTCTTCAAATCAGTCATGTATTTACCCTATTCATTTGATGATGTTTGGGCAATGTGGGTTCATGGAGATAATCATATCAAGTTTGATCCACAAGCTCACACTGATTACCAGTTACATAAATATGTTCCACCATGTGAAGAAGGTCTGAAAGAGAATTCAGTTGACAAACCAATGTATGCCCTCCAATTACTTACAAGTGGATTGGATTACAAACTTCCGTTTGTGAAAAAGAGGTATTTCTGTATGACTGGAACAACGATTAAGGATCCATTCAATGATATGTACATGTACGTGATGCACACTGGAGATTTTTCACAGGACGAATTACCAAGGCAAGAAAATGGAATTGATGCTTTTGCATTGTCTTATTACATTTTCTATAAAATGTATGATAACATGACCAGATTGGTGCATGTCATGTATGGAGATGCTAATTTCAAGTACAATTCTAATCTTATTCTGGAAATGTTTTGGAAAAAGAGAACGAAGGATATTTATACTAAAATGGACAAACTAATGAATGAATTGACTGAGGGTGGAACTAAAAAATTACAACTTTCAGATAGTGTGGATGATCAGTGTTATGATAAGGCATGGAGAGATAATCAAAAATTATATCCAAACAGATCTTGGTATTTGGAATGGTCCAAATCGAATAGAGAAAAGAGAAAATCAACAGTTTTCAAAAAGGAATAAAATTTACAGTTTTGAAATTCCATAACCAACCATTAAAATCAAAACAACCATTGAGAGAGTCAATCTCAAATAGTTGATGGAATATTTGAATTTGTTTGCACTTTCATAACTGTCCTCCTTGTATTCATTCATTGATGTTTCATCTTGATTTTTGATTTCTGTAGATAGATTCTTTAAATCTTGGGCTGAGCTACAAAGAACTAGTGAGGTTTTAAGACCGAAATGGTCAGAGCAGAATAAATAGTCGTCTGTTTTGCAATCAATAATTCCTAATTGTCTCAATAAAGTAAACCACAATGGAGTTTGTAGGTTCGTTGTGGTCAACCCTTGTTTTCTATATGTTGAAATTGGTTCATGCCCAAACAACTCAACTTTAGAATTACAACCTAATAAACTTGAGGAGTTTACAATAATTCTGTCCAATCGCATTCTTCTCTTTTCAAAATTCAAAAATAGCATTTGAATGAGTGAATTATTGAGAGAATCGAATGTATATCCACGAAATAGACCATTGCTTCTAGTTTCTGTCCATAAATCTCTACAATTAATTGCTTCAATTGTCCTATCCTCGTGTTCTTCATGCAGATTTAAATCTCCTAAAACTACAACATTTTTAACATTTTTCAATAGTTCAGAATTTACCAATCTAGTCAATTCTTGCTTTCTAACTTGATCATTATGAGTAAAGGCACTTGTATGGGTTGCCACAATACCAATCCTTTCTTCTTCAATTCTTCTTCCATTTCCATCCACAGGAGTGAATGAACTATAAATAAAAGCTCTACTCTTATTAATACCCTCCATTTCAGTAAAATCTGGAGCAAATTTGGACAAGACAAGATTTCCCATTCTCTTTCCAATGCTCTTATTCACAGTTAATTCACTTTTCACATCACCATCTCTCTCCATAATATCACTAAAGTAATATTCGCTCTTGAAAAATTCATCATTTTCAATTAAATTTAAAAATCTTCCAGTAACTTCATTCAAAATGATAATGTCAAAATTTTCTCTTTTCAATAATTCAATGGTATGAATATGCCTTTCTTTTGCTCTCAATATTGATTGTAAAAAGAAAGGAACCAAATCAAATAACACATTAAATGTGCCAATTTTCAATCCAAATTCCCTTGTCAATTTATCAATTGAAAGAAATGAGGATGGAACTTGATTGAACTCTTCAATTTTTGAGTAACTCTTCCATTCTTGAGTTTGTGGGTCGAATTTGAATGTTTTCATTTTTTTTGATTTGCTTATAGATTACAAAGATCAGAGGTATTTCAATATTCTCCTCACAGATGAAACCTCATTAAATTTATTCTCCTTGAAATGTTGTACAACTCATTTAATTGTGCAACAGTTCATGGTTCAATATTCCTATGACGTAATTTATTTGTAGTTTACAATTATTTACAATGCAAAATTTCCTTGGACCAATATTTCTTAGATTTATGACACGTCTATTCCATTCACATGTGAAACAATATCATTGAGGATTAGCAGTTAATAAATATATGGCATAAATTTATTTTGTTTATCCTTTAAATCAAAGTTAGAAATCAGGAAATTCAACTCATCATTATATTCGAAATTATCATCATCTTCTATCATAGTGTCATTGAAATTTGGGGATTGTTCAAGATCGATTATGGTACATTCGTTGGTATTTTGTTGATTTGTGGAGGATGGTGGATTTTGTTTTGTTGTTTTACTTTGGTCACCTTGAGGGACTTCGGAAGATGTTTTTAATGTACTATTATTATTACTTTCGTTGCTACTATTATTACTAATTTTAATATTTTGAAGGGAGTGTATTATCATAGTTTGTGTTATATCAATAGTTAAATTAGATGTATCAATATTATTGGGTATTAATGTTAAATGTGTTTGTTCTTGTTCATATAATCCATCATCATAATACTTGTATTGTCGTGTTGTTGTTGTTGAACAATTATCGCACATAAAGTGAGAAGAATTACTAGAATCTAACAGTACAATATCACTCTCTAAATGATTCATCTTCAATGTTCTATTGTGGTGGTTATCTAAAACGTTCAATATTGACAGAGTTTCGGAGGGTATTGATGATCAAGCTTTGTTTCTTTCCAACTGAAGCAGGTTTGTGCCAATTTTTTTGTTTTAGCCTTCAATCCGATTGTGAATGGAAAATGTAATAATAATAATAGGTGGGTACTTTGAAGTTAGTAAAGGCTTTGATTTGGTGATACTTGATGAAGAATAATGGAAACCATCATCGGATGTTGTTATAACGATTTGTCAATAATATTTAATATTTAAATCTAAATATTTAATGTGTATTAATAAAAAATGAAAAAGTTTAATGCTAGCACAAGCCTCGGAAAGAAAATACTTTCAAATTTTGGAGTTTTTAATAATCATCATAATCATACTAAATTAATATTATTGAACAATAGAAATAAGCTTGTTGTTGGTAGTAGCAATTATCAAAATGTTCAAAATTATCATCAGACTTGCAACAAACAATTATTTCAAGCCTCATCCTATTACCGATCAAGTAATTCTTCCTCAAATAATAGAAAATATAAATCGGAATTTAGAAGGAAATTATTCTTATATGCTATAATGGCAGCCATTCCGTTACCTATTATTATAATGTTAATTTCTAGATATTTATTAAATAATTTAACTCAAGAGGAGCAACAAGTTTGGAATAATTTATTACAAATTATTGAAACTACCGAAGAAATTAATGAGAGCAATGAAAATATATATCAATTAAATTCAGATATTAATATTGAATTAATAGTTAGATATTGTGTTAATTTAGTTAAAAGTGAATGCAAACAATATAATTTTTTGGATAGCAACATTTCGACTATTGCTTTAGATCAGAGAGAAACTAAATCTCTAATCACCAAAACTGGAAGTGAATTCAAATTATATAATATGAAGGGAATTTTATTTTTCTACATTCCTATAATGACTGATAAAGGTGCCTGCTTGATTAAGGCAACCTATTTGGCTAATAATATTAATAGCAATATGAATAATAATAATTTATTCCCATATAAAATTCAATTATGCCAAATTAATTTACAAAATACAAAGCAAGGATTCAAGACTGTAATTAATGAGGAGGATGATCCAGCTATTTTATCTTTAAATCCTGACCAATTACAATATTTGTTTAGCAATTTAACAGATGAACTAAAATGTATAAAGATTCCAAACCAAACAATAGACGTTGCTTCTAATAGCAATCCGTTTATAGCCAGCTATAATTTCTATGAGTTTTCCAAAGCAACAACTGAATCTAATTTACCAGAGTTGAAACTAGTGAAATTGAAATAAGGAAATTTAAAATCGAGTTGTTACAAAGAAGGATGTAATAGAAGAGGAATCGAATATTATTAGCTTAACATTATTTATTGGAATTAATAAAAAATGGAGGCTTCGTTTTGAAAAGTTATCGAATAATAACAACAGAAATTGTGCAGAGAAAAATAGGTGAATATGGATTAATAACTGAAACAAAGTCTGTTCTGGGGCAATAGTTGAGAAGGGTACAGATATCAACTCTTCAACGTTGGTAATTCAAAACCGAAAATTAGATTTCTTTTTATTGAAAGCAGTTAATGAAATCGAGTTAATGCAGAAGAATTACTATTTTTTGAATAATGAAGACAAGCCACCAGATGCACCTGCACTCTTTTTAGGTGCGTTTGGATCCTTGATCTTGCCAGTCACAGCAAATCTGATTGCTTGGACTACAACATGGAAATCACCAAGATCTTTCTTAAGAGCAATCAAACAATCTTTTCCAGTCTTTGCTTCCTTCATTGCTTTTTCAACTGGTTTGATATCAACACTGTTATTGTGCAGGTAAAGGATTTTTTCCATCTTGGTGTCATAATGGACAACAACTTGGGATCTGTATTGTGCTCCCTTTGGATTGATTGAATCAAGATAACAGGTTTGAGTCACTTGGAGAGCATCTGCTTCAGATTTAACGTAAGGATTACCACCAGGCTCCTTGTATGAAATAACTTTATATCTGCCACCCATTTTTTTCTTCTTACTGGCCTTAAGAATGATTCAAAAAAGTTCAGTTAACAGCAAAATTGGAAGCTTGTGTGATGAACTTTATCAGCTCTTGCTGGTTTGATGATGCACTGGACAGTTGTATACAGTCCAAGCTGCTTTTGTCCAAATATGAGACTTCCTCATTTGGCGTTATTTGTGGCTTTTTGTAAGTGTTATTAATCTATTAAGCAAGTTGTGAACAATAAGAGAGCAATTTATTATTCAATCACTATCAATAGAAGGTGGTTGCAATGATTACTCTCTTAAAGAGATTGGAATCACACTGTATTTCTCAAAAGAAGAAAATAGTTGTCAAACACTTGAGACAAAATCAAAAGGATCCGATGAGACGGAATCGAACCGCCGACCACAGGATGACAGTTTTTCTTGCTACAGTCCCATGCTCTACCAGCTGAGCTATCATCGGTATATATTTTATATATTTCACATTTGATAATTAAATTAAAACCTTGAAATTCCTTTACTCCTACAAACTGTAAGCACTTCGATTACAGAAATTAACAGAATGAAATAGTTTGTTAATACTAGTAAATCAACTTGAACAAGAAGCAAAAATAAATTAAAAAAAATTAAAAAAAAATGCACATTGCAAGTGATGGAAGTTTCTTCCTGACAATCGAGGAAACAAACGAACAAAGAATAAAACTCGGATTAAAACCTCTCAAGGTCGGAAATGATACAAAAAATACTGTAATAGTAGATCAGAAGGAAGATGAAGCTTCGGAAATACAAAAAAGAATAGAATTAGCAAAGATAAAACGAAAAGAAAGAGAATTTAAAAGAAAACAAGGAATTGATTCTGATGATGAAAATCAAGAAGCAAAAGAAAAATTAAAAAAGGAGCAAAAAAAGAAAATATTAGCTTTTGAAGAGGAAGAGGAAGAATTACATAGACCAAATGCTAAAGTTTATGATCTTTCATCATCAAAACCAGCAATAGCTTCAGATTTTGAGGCTTTAAAGAAAAAGAAAGTTAAGAATATTCGAGTGAAGGAAAAAACATCACAAATTGGTGTAACGGATGATTTACTTCAGCTAATGGAAATGAATTCATCAATTGATGAAATCCACTTGGCAAAAAGATCTGAAAATAGACTTACTAAGAGAGAAGAGAAAAATCTATTGGAAGAAAAGGAAAAAGATAGAACCTATCAAGAAGCCATTGATAAAGCACAAGAAGAATCTATGGTGCTTCATGGATCTGATAAAATGCTTGTAGATGAGGATAATTTGAACATATCTGGAAAAATATTTGACTCTACAAAACACTTTGTAAAAACCCTAGCTGTAGAAAATGTAAAAACAGAGCCTCAAGATGCAACTATTAATAAGAGAAAAAGAAAGAATGTTTCAGTTAGATCAAAAGATGAGGAAAACAATGTAAACATGGATGTGGATGCTGATAATACTAATAGTGAAATATTGGATGTAAAACAAGAAATCAAAGAGGAAGAGGATGTAAAGAAAGATATAATTCAACCTGAAAACTTAGTCAAAGAACCTCTCGTTTCGGATGGCCTACTTGCCACCATTGAGTTTGCTAGTTTACAAGGGTTTTTGGAGGATAAAAGAGTTGGTAGAAGTAAGGATAGATCTCACATTGAAGAAAGACTTAAACCGACTGCTCTTGGATATGATGATGAGGCTGATTTTGTAATTGAACACTTGGACCGACATGGTAATTCATTGACACCAAAGGAGGCCTACAGAGAATTCTCACACAAATATCACGGTAATGCTCCAAAGAAAAAGAAATTAGCAAAAGAAAGAAAGAGAATGGAATTGAAGAAGAGAAGAAGTATGGGTGCAAGTGATGATTCATTGAGGGTGATGCAACATGTAATGAAGGAATCCCAACAACCTTTCATCGAACTGAACAAGGAAACTTTCAGTAAGACATTGGAGGTTAGAGCCCAATTACAAAAAGAAAACAAGCCAAAAAAGAAAAAGCAAAAGAAAGAGGAAGTAAAAGAAGAATAAGTTAATTTTCATTAGATATTGGTTCGGTTGTTTCTGGTTTCTGTTGTTGATGTGGTTTCGACTGGCTCAGTTTGCTCAGCAGTTGTAGTTATCTCAACATCAATGGATGGCGCAGTTGTTTGTACAACAGTTTCAACAGTAACAGTTTCAGTAATTTCATTGCTGGTTGTAATTATTGATTCAGTTACCTCGTTGGAGACTGGTGATTTAGTTTTGAGTAAGTGTGCTGGAAGTGGAGGAAGAGTTCTCTTGGTTTCAATTGTTGGAACAACGGAGACAATCTCAATTTCATGCATATCATCCTTAGTTACTGGACTTCGTTGTTTTGGTAACGTTGGAAGTGGGGGAAGTTGAAGTGGAGGAGCTTGTTGAACAGCTGTAACAGAATCCAAAACACCAGCAAGTGCATTAATGTAACTACTTGAAAAATGGTCGGCCACATACTTTTGACCAAAATTCAATTGTTCAAACTCTGAAGGTACACACTTCTTCATATAGGTTCTATCATTAATAGTTCTAAAATACAGAATATTCTCTGGTGAGTAAAGATGAACACCAGTAATGAATGATTTTGGAAGAGGTGGCAAATCTCTGTATATTGAACTTGTCTCTGTATCTTGTTCTTGATCATAGCTAGGATCAGAGGCCTCATCAATACCATCCATAACTGGACTAATATGACTACTAAAGAGTTGTTGATTTTCTGGTAATGTAGATGGGATACTGTCTTGATTTTCTGGTACTTCCACTTCTTGATCAATGTCTTGGTCAATTTCCTCTTGTTTTTCTTCATAATTTTCTGAAGCAGTCGGTTCTTGTTCAACTTGGTCTTTCTTTTCCTGTTGGTCATTTTCTTCTTTGGCTTTTTCTTCGTATTCCTTTACAAGATTGATGAAGAAATTTTCATCTTCTTCATCGATCTCATCTTCCTTGTATTCCTGAAGTTTGATTAATCTCTTTTTCACTAAGTTCTTTGGAAGTGGAGGAGGTGTTTTTTTTTGTTTTTTGGTAACAATAGGGTTGCTTTGAGCACCATTGACAATGTAATTGAACCCACTCTTGAAAGTGTTTTTTACATTGTTGAAAGCTCCATAAACACCATTTTGATCCATGAATTTATCGGTGCTCTTTATGAATTTCCCTAGTTGTGTTTCATTCATAACTTCTGATTTCCAATTCACCATTCTATTAGTTTTGAAATCTCTAAAACTTTCCACAGAAAATAGTGGAACAAAGTCATCCTGATTAATAAATGTGGTAATGTGACTCTTAACCAGATCAGATCTTGCAAGCTCATGAGAGAATATCTTTGGACAAGCAAATGCAAAACATTTAACATCTGGCATTTTAGGAATAATTAATAATGTTAATATAGAAGCAGTACCAGCACCTAAACTATGTCCGACCATTTCAAATGAATAATCAGTATATTCAGTTGCCAAATAATTTTCAATCTTTGGAATTATTTGATAATAGAACCAATAAGCTCTTTCAATCATACCAGAATGTACAAATTGGTTTGTAATATTTTCATTCTTAAAAGTTTCGCATTCAAAAGCAACAGCATCAGTATTCAAATCAGTCAACAAGTCATGGAAAGTTTTTGTTCCCTCGATGAGTAAGAGTAGCTTTTTCCTCTTTATATCCCTTACAATAGCATAGGCACTTCTTTCTGCATTACCTTTTGGCTCATACTCTAAAACATCTGCATAATCAAAACTTGTTTTGATAATAAAATTATCATATTCTTTAAATAAATATCTGATACACATGACATATTCCTTCCAAATCTCAACCGTTTCGAATGGGATCTCTTCATTATTATTATTTACAAAAACTTGTTTTTCATGATTAAATTTAAATGATTCATCAATCATGTATGAATAATCCTTGACAATTTTATCCTTTCTAAAATTTAAATAATAACCAAGACCAATAGAATCAGACCATTCCCAATCAGTATGTTTAATCATCTCCGATGCAATTTTAATTAAACTTTTAGTCTTGGCAAATTCTGTTTTTTTAAATTCCGATTCTTCTAACTTTTTCTCTTCATCAACAATTGTTTCAAAGGCTAATTTATCTCCATCTTCAAGACTTTGTTGTCTATGATGTTCATATAATACACTATGTTGATCATTGTACGGAAGAACGTTTTGTTTTTTAGACATTTTTTTTTTGTAATGTTTTGATATGATGAGTAAATTGGATCTTTATTAGAAGCATGATACGCCGAACATAACATAATATTCATTTTCATCATTCGAAGAGTTGAATCAAGTTAGAGTTTGACATCTTTAAGCCACAATTTTGAAGAGTTATAATGTTGGTGTTATGGATATGATCAAATTTACTATGTGGGTTTAGATCAAGTTTTGATAGGTTTGGAAACTATTTCATCCATGCAGGTTTTGCATCCATGAGAGCTTCATATTCTTCTTCATTAGGTTCCATGATTGCGTGCTCATAAGGAGCAAATGGTGAAGAACTTGGAGGTTTTGTTACTTCTGGTTGCTTTGGTGGTTTCTTTTTCTTAATTTCCTTAGCTCTTTCTTCTGGTTTAGTTTCAACAGTCGAAGCAGTCAGGCTGCAATTTTGGCAGGAATTTTGTTTCACCTTCTTATTGGAAGAATCCTTATCTTGATGAGTTCTCTTTTTACTTTCTGGAACAACAATTGTTTCCTTAGCTGGTTTCTTTCTTCTCATCATTTCTTTTTTGTTATTGACTTTCTTTTTTCTGAGGTTTTTTTAAATAGCGACATGGTTTGGCTGAGCTATTCTTATTTTATTGTTATTAATATAATTGTTATTTTTAACATTTATCGAATTTAGTTATTGAACAGTTGACATTTTGTTGACAGGTAGGTGGTCTTGAACATCTGACCTCTGACAAACAGCGGCATTGTCTTAGCCTCTCCATCACAAAATCTTATGAAGAACTGTGAAAAAGCTGGACATTCCCCTTCAATTTTTATGCAAGTCTTCACTTCATAAATCTCATCATGTTGTGACTTGCATTATGCCATACCAAACTTTCCAAGCACATTCTCGACAGAAGCATTATACCATTATATCAATTAAAACACCAATATTAATTGTGCTTGGAATTTTATGGGAATGGCTACCAATCCAAAATTGGGTGATGTTTGTGCGCGTAATATGTTGAGAGGTATCACCTTCATCAATGGTGAAAAAAGAGCGAAAAAAAGAATTTTCAATAATATCTGCTTGATTTTAATATTGTTGAATAGTAGCATTCATTTATTGATTGGAGGATATCTAGGGCAGTTGTATCATTCACTACTTGAATATTTACATAATATTTAGAGAACAAAATGCTACAAGATAATAGTAGTAGTGGTGGTGAGGGTAATGTTCAGCCTTCACAAATTCCGAATGTAAATTCATCATCACCCACAACAATCATCAATAGCAACAACAACAACAATACAACAATAACATCATCAAATATTGTTAATGCTACTAGTAATAGTATTTCATCTACGGAACAATTAAAAACAATACCGTCTTCTTTCAATAATAATATTAACAATAATAATACTGTTAGTAATGTAACAAGTACATCAAACAATGGTCGTAGGATGAGTATCAATCCAAATGTTTCTCCTCTTCTTATTAATAGTGTTACTCCTTCAAAAAGTAGTTCCAATATCAAACACTTGCTGACAACTACAAAGAGTTTACCCTATAATATGAATGATGATCATTTCCTACCATCACAAGATGATGAGGAATCTTTTGAAGATATGGAACCTCCTCACATTCTCTCTAGTTTTCATTCTTCTTCTAATCTTGAAAAGCAAACTATGGCATCAAGACTTCAAGACGAATACAAAGACTCTCCTACCTCCCCTACAATTACCTCTCCAGAAAGATTGAATAATCAAGCAACTTTTCCAACAAGGAATAATGATGTTGATGACTATAATGATGATGAGGAATATATTGTTGATTTTGGATCTGCATCAAGAATAATTCCATCCACTAATTCTAATATTCCCAAGACATTTATTGTACCATCAAAGAATATTAGTGCTAATTTACCTCCGAATGGATTTTTATCTGGAGCTTCTCCAATATTTGACCTTTCAACAACACTATCAAACAATCCGAGCTCTTTTGGTGGTGCTTCTGCTATGGTTTCTTCGAGTGCTGTTAGTAATACAGCAATGTTAAATAATATTAATTCAGAGGATGATATGTACTCTGTGGAAAATAATGCAAATAACTTTAGTTCTGGAAATTTATCAAGAACATCTTCTTTCAATGATTTGGAATCATTATATGAGGAAACAAACTCAACAGTATCGGATTTATATTCACATTCAGAATTTTCTGGATCACTTAATTCTTTTAAATTATCGAGTGAACAAAAGAGATTGGCTCAAAGTGAATTTTCTAAAAAACCAATTTATTTGGAATCAAATCCTGTACCAATGCTACCATCAACAAAACGAAAAGTTAAAAATTGGCTTTTCAAAAGAGGAAAGCAAAAAATGGAAGATCAAATGGCTCCAGAAGAAGACGAAAGGACAAATCATTCCCTATCTGAAAAGCTTAAAAAAGCCATGTTGTGGTGTGTTACAGGAAAATTTGAAATAGAAAAGAGATATGTAATCCCTTATCAAAAATTAACAAGAGAGGATAAGAATAGAGTTCACTCCTTACTTTTGGATTTAGGATATGCCTTGTCAATTTATGGATTACCTTCTAATAGAGTTGAATATCACTTGTCTTTGGTAAGCACATATTTTGGAATGGATGGTTATTTCTTCTGGTACGTATTATTTAAAATCTAGGAAGATTTTTATTAACAAATTTGAAAATAGTATTCCAACAGGTATTTGGTACAGTTTTGGTACAAAACCAAGAGATCCATCAAATGTGTCTTACTTTGTTAAAATTGAAAGTCAAACTACAGATTTAAACAAATTGACCAAATTGGATTCTATAGCTCACGATATTTCTGATGGTTTACTTCCATTGAAGGATGCTCAAGAAAAAATTGCTGAAGTTATTATGGAGCCTCCTATTTATTCACATCCAATGTTTACAGTTTTTAACATGTTTGTTTTTTGTGGATTCTATGTCATGTTGTGGAATGGAACTGTTGGAGAAGTTTTGACCTGTTTTATTGGTGGTATTATAATTGGTATATTCATGGTTTATGGTTCGAGGATTGCCTTCTTTTCAAACGTTTCAGTTATTGTGGCGAGTGTGGTTGGAGGGCTATGTGGAATTATATTCAAATTTATTTTGTGGGATGTTAGTTATGTGAGTGTGGTCCTGATTTGCCTTTGTTTGAGTTTTTATTATTTACCTGGTGTGACGATTATGATTGGTATTAATGAAATTCAGGCAAGATCTCTAGTTTCAGGTACATCCAGACTTGTCAGTGCATTTTCTACAGTTTTGAAATTGGGTTTCGGTTTACTTATTACTAATGGTATGGTTAATTTATTCCCTGCATTTGCAGCTAGTGAAAAAGTTGGCACAACAAGAACAGATCTTTCCTTGCCTATGCGTATTGTAGCCATTATTGTTCTTGCCATTGCTATTGGAATAGACGCTAAGGTACCAAAGTATTTCTTTACCTATTTTTGTCTAGTGGTTGTGACTCTTTCTGTTCACCTTACTGCATTCTATACCAGTAACGTATTGGGATCAGAATTGGGAACTGTCATTGCTGGTATTGTTGTAAGTATTTTTCACACATTCAATTGTTTTTAAACCGAATTATTATCATCATCTCTGACAGACTGGTGTTGGAAGTAATATTTATTCACTCATAACAAACCATCCACCACTCCTCATTAACTCTGTTGCAACTTTACTTTTGGTTCCTGGTTCTCTTTCATGGAGAGGTTTTTCTGCCTTTTTATCAAAAGATTCAGCCAGTGGTATTTATTTCATGACTGAGGTTTTTCTTATTGGTATGGCTATTTTCTGTAAGTTTTATTGAGATTTCAAAATTTACAAAATTTTATCTAGTTGGACTCACCATTGGAAACAGCTTAATTCCAATCAGACAGAGAATTAATCTCTAAAGTGGAGGCCATCCTAAACCTTGCCAACTAGCAATGGTTGGAAATGGTAAAGGTACACCACTTGCATCGTAGGCATTACAAACATAAAAACTCCCAAACACTTGTGGAATAGTAACTGGTGGAAAGGTTAGAAGTGGAGGAGGTGGAGGTGGCAAGGTTGTTCTCAGCAATGGATTTTGAAAATTGTTGCCATTTGGATAATAATTATTCACAAATCCATTCACTCCTAAAAAACTCAAATCTGAAAAGACAAGTACAATATTAAATAATAATATTAACATTGCCATCAAATTTACACAAGTATTAATTTTAAATATTATTAACAACATTTTAAAAATGTCGGATGATGATGACGTTGAGATAGTGGAGGTATCAAACGATGTTTTTAATGTTGCAGAAAAATTGAAAAACCAACTAAAAGATGCTCGTTTTCAATATGATAAATTAAAAGTCGGAAATTGTCCTAAACATGATCATTGTATTATTCTGGATCCTATACTTACAAATCAACGACCTATTAACAGATATTGTCATTCGGAAGAGGAATTGAGGAATATTACACCATTACCTGATAATGGGGAGAAACAAAGAGTAACTTTACTTTTTGATGAGTTAATTAAACTTTGGGAAATATTAATTGTCAATTTAAAAGAAGAATTACAGGAAAATTCTGCAAAAACATTGACAAAATTAATAGAACAAATCAAATTGGAAATAATTCAAGAATCTAAAAACATTTGCAGAGCACCTATTGCTTCTAAATTTATTGTAATAATATTGAATAATATTTCGATATTTGATGAATCATTTCTGAATGAGCTTTTTACAATTTGGGAACCTAGGATTTCAGAAATATTAAATAATTCCAAGAAATTTCCTATTGAAAAAAGGACGCTATATGATATTGAATTTTATTTTGGAAAGTTTCTTCTTAAGAAATTGAATTTAACCTCAGGCGAATCTCTAGATACTAAGATATTAGAAAAATCATTAATCGAAAATTACAACGAATTGAAATGTTATACTGAAGATCTCATAAAATAGTAAATGATTATTTCTTTTTAGCTTGCATTGCAGCAGCTGCTTTCTTTTTTTCTTCTTCTTCCCAATCCCATTCTTCATTCTTTGATGGACCACCTGCTTCTTGTTTAGTTTGATCTGTTACAGCCATAATACTATTATATTCAAATTGACAATTTGTCAAAACTCAAAACTTACAATCTTCTAGCAGTATCTCCAAGTTCAGAATCTTCCAATTTAGCAAAACTCTTCAAACAATAAGGTACAGCAGATGCCGATCCAAGATAAACACCTCCAATAAAGAATACTATATTTCAATAATTATAATAAAATCATTTTCAAAAAAACACATACAAGAAACAACAGCAATTCTACCCATTGGTTTTTGTGGTTTTTGATACTTTTTCACTAATTATTATCCACAACATCAATATTTCCGAAATTTTCCCTCACATCACACAATACTGTAGAAACTTACCAGCCCAAGCTAAAACACCTCCTGCAATCGTACCCGATAATAATCCTCTATATCCTGCAGTCCAAAAACAATCGGAAAGTACTGCTTTTTCTCTCTTTGTTAAAGTGTGGTCACCAACGCGGTCAATCATTTTTTTTTTAATTAATATTTATTTACACTTTCCAGAGAGAATATCATGAATACGAGTTAATACCTCATTGAGGAGGTGTAAATCTAATTCATGTGAGGATTGTTCTTTGATTTTGGATTTTTCCTTTTCTTGTGATTTCAATTCTTGAAGAGCTTGAATTTCTTCTGGTGTGAATTCTGATTCAAATTCATCCATTAGCTCATCATAATCTAAATCTTCCTCTTCTTCATCGCCTAGTTGCATTGCGTTGTGTTCTTGAATTACTTTGGTCAATTTTTCACATGCACTATTTAACTTGTTGAGAACTTTTTCTTCCATCTTTGAGACTATTTCTGAATCAAGTACACCAGTTACATTAGGCTCACTATCTCTCAACAATAAAAAGTAATATAAATTCAATGCTCTGAGAATTACTTGAATATTGTCACTATCAAATGGATCTTCAACATATTTTTCCAAAAGTTCAATAATTAAATTTGGTATTTTGTGTGGCACCAAGAATGCCTTGGAATCTTTTGCAAAAAGTCTAATGTCTCTCACAGTCTCAGAGTCATAATTGATCTTTGGAGCTGTGTTTGGAGCAAATTTTGAAAAATAATTCTGAGTTTCTGAATTGGCCTTATTATTTTTCAAAAATTCGTTCACTTCTTCCAATTTGGGTGGCTCTATAGGATTATATTCATTCAACTCTCTCAGAGTTTCAATTTTCTTCTTGTCTATTCTTTGGAAAACAGCATTATATTCTAGAATTATTTCCTCTTTCAATCTGTCTAATATGATTGCTACCAAGTAAGGGTATGGACACTTATTCATGATGTGATACAAGATGTTAAATCTATCCTCATCGTTAAATCTCGTTATAAAATCTTGGAAAACCTTATATGCCATAGTTCTCAAGTTATTGTTTGGGCAAACAGTCATAAACGAAATAAGTGATTGAGCCAAATCAAAGTAAGAAGCCAAATCGTATTCTGGGACACCAAGTTTGATAACAAGTGACCCTTTCTTCTTGATATTGTTTTCGAATAACTTTCTTAAAATAGAAAGAGCTGCTGTGGCAAAACCAGCCATCCCAGATTGTAACATTATTTCGGTATAATATTTACACATGATAAATATATACAAATCAGATAGAATAAACAATGAATAATGCTTTCTTTCAATTGCCTTATCTAAAAGCAAATAAATAAAAATACCCAATCCTCTATTATCCCAAAAGACAAAATTTTTGATATCCTCCTCTTCATCATCTTCACTCATTTCCTCATCCTCATCTTCTTCATCAATTTGATCATCTTTAGAGTTATTGACATCCGACCATGCTTTAAATCTCTTACTATATTCCACAATATCATTGAATGTTCGTTTGCATGCTGTAATTGATTGCATTACCTTCAGTAGTGTACCATTTTCTGTACAAATTTGTACCAGATTTTCATTGGAATAAATTTTGGCCAATATGGTAAAGCATATTTGCAAGAAGCAGTCACTCTCTCTTTTTAAATGAATTTTTTGTGAGATAGAGTCAGAAGATTTCTTTTCAAATATCGATGAACATGCCGAAAGTAAGCAATCCACCAAACAAGTCGAATATCCCAAAAAATTTCTATCCAAAGCCATCTTTTTATCAGCTTCCGATTTCATCATTTCCTCATCTCCATATGCTTCATTTTGAATAGTCTCCACTCTAGTTGAGCACACATTAGAGAAGGTATAATCTAATACTTTAAAAAAGAACCATCTCTTTTCAGTTTCAGGTAATCTTGATAAATTTTCAAATAATAACTTGAGTAAGAATAAATTATGATCCAAAATAGCTTGATTATTGAAATCAGCTGGTCCGAAATTCAGAATATCTATCTGATGGAAATCGTTCACTCTTCTAATATTTACAGTGTTTGCTGTTAATGCTTCTGATAATAAAGATTGAACTTCTTTTGGTGATGAATGATTATAAATTGCTTCAACAAATTCAATAACAACTTGTAATTCCTCATCCAATTTTTGTTGTCTCATGAATAAAGTCAAGGAAACGGATGGGTTGAATACTTCAAAACATAAATCATATAAAATCAGAGGAAGTGATGGATTTTGCAACAAGGATTTAATCATCCAAACTGAAGGTTGAATATTTAGAGATACAATATTAGGAATTAAATTATCTTGAACCAAGGATTCGATTTCCTTCCTTGTTTCTTCATTGAAAAGAATTGTTTGTAATTTGTGGCAGATATGAGCATATTCCTCGCTAACAAGATCTTGTTGATGTCCATGATGATGATGATCACAAGAAGAGTGATCCGATGATGAACAACATGAAGTAGTGTTGTTTGTTAACATTTTTTTCGCGCCTTTATTTAAAATTAATTCTACAAAAAAATGTCTTTAGGTGCTGTTGTGAAGGACGATTTTGAGGTTTGTATTTTGATGAAGGACTTTCATACAAACTGAATACAGTCTTCAGTTGCTATTGATGATTCAAAAATTAAATTAATAATAAGAGAAAATTTATTAACTGTTTTAAAGGATGCACAATACCATGCTCAAAAAGTGGATACATGGACTTCAACATTACTTGAAGGAATATTAAAGGGTTTACAGAATAATCAAGAACAAATGTTACTGCCTGATAGTAACGGAAAAGTGAATGGAAAACCCTATAAATATGTTGTAACGTGTATAATTATGCAAAGAACTGGAGCTGGTCTTCACTCATCATGCGTAGCTCACTGGGAAGGTCAATCAACTGATCAAATGATTTCCGAATGTTGGAATAATGACACAATCCACTGTGTTACTACTGTTTTTGCAGTTAGAGTGTAGATTAGCTGTGTATATAAATTTTAGAGTTGTACAGCTTTTCTTTCATCTTCCTCTTCGTCTTGCTCAATTTCAACTTCGGATGGTTTTTCTACAGTAGGAAGAGGTGTTTTGTTGACTTTTGGCATATTTTCCTTTAACAATTGTGCTTCCAATTCGTTCAAATCTTCTTCAACATCAGTAAGATCTTCAGGTGTAAGACTTTCACTCAAGATTCTACTGACTTCTTCTTGATATTGAATTGCTTCACGTGTTTCGTCCATCAATTTTTCAATATCTTCCAATGATCCCATTTCCTTTTGTAAAGTATCCAAAGCTTGTTTTCCTTGTTTAAGTCCATCCAAAATTTGTTTTTCAATTTGAGCAAATTCTAATTGATCAACCATTTGTTGGAGATTATCTAATTGTTTATGAGTTTTTTCTAATAAACTTTCTTGATACTTTTTCTTCTTTAAAGCCAACATGGCCAAATCCTTCTTTCCTTCTTGTACCAATTGTTTGGCCACATCTCGTTCTTTCTGAATAACTGTTTGTAATTTCTTTTGGTAGACCTTGATTTTGTCACGTTGAGTTTTTAATTCTAGAACAGCCTTGTCCTGTTCACTGACTTTTGTTTCCTTCTTATGAAAAAGCGAAAAGATAGCACCCATGATGTTATTTAATGATGGAGAAGTTGGTGATGATAAATCAGAATTTTGATTATTTAATGATGGAGATCTTGGAGATGATTTCAAGGATTTTTTATCAATTAAAACCCAATCCGAAGCTGATGGTGCTGTTGATGTTGAAGTTGTCGATAAAGACGAGGACGTTCGTGAGAGAGACGATGAAGGTTTCACTTTTTTTATTTTAGCAGTTTAGATTTTTTACAACAATGAAAAATAACAAACACGTATTTTCAAATAACAGGGTTGGATAAATAATTTTGTAATTGATCAAGGGTGTTTAACATTTGATTGAGGTCTTGAATAGAAAATCCCTTATCTTGAAAATATGGGTTTAATCCATCCGAAAAGTTGTTTCTCACTGCTTGTCTCAATTCAAAAGTTGTTGGCATTTCGTCTTGCTCTGAAATACTTGAAATTGGATCAATATTGAGGGCAGCATTGATGGATCGACAACAATGATCGCACAATAACCAAACTCTAATTAATGTTGCTATCGTTCCTTTCCAATAAGTATCCTCAAGAATTTCATTCTTAATATTTTCCCACCTAGATTTTTCAAATTCATTAGAGATGGTTTTTCCAACTAGACTGACATTGAGGTTTCGGAGAAGTCCAACTGACTTTTCTTCAAATACATATCGAACAATTAAACTACTCAAACTTTGTAAAATTGAACTCAATGTCAGAGATTGATTAAAGCATTGGATTCTGACAGATTTTCTTTGTTCCAATCTCTGAATAAGGGGGCCAAGTGCATGCAACATCTTTGCTTTATCATTATCACTCAATAGAAGTGCGTTCATTTTTTTATGATATCTTAATCGAGCGCACATCAAAATCAATTACTTCAATGGGGCTAGACAAGAGAGAAAAAGTTCCCGCCTTAATTTAAATTATGTAAAAAAAATGAGAAATGAAAAACTGAACATGCCCGCAAAACTTATTCCAATAGGGAGAAAGGGTACGTTACTTTTTGATCAAAAAGAACAAATATTGAGGAATTAATTATTATAATTTAGAATTATTGGAGTGGGTGAATGCTATACTGGAAACAGCTTATACAAAATTGGAGGAATTTAGTGATGGCGTTGCTTATATTTTGTTATTTGATGCAATGTTTCCGGAGCAACTTCCTCTCACTAGAATTAATTTCAATGCTACGTATCCATTGGATAGGAAGGGAAATTTGGATAAATTACAGAAATTATTTTCCCAATTGAAGATTCCTTATTCGATACCATCAGATAAGATTTCAAATGGGAAGTTACAAGATAATATTGAATTCCTTCAGTGGATCTATACATTTGCTGCAAGAAATTTTGAAACGATAGATAATTCAGAAGTGACGGATCGAAGAGAGACTGCAGTTTGTGCTCTTGGAAGAAAACAAAAGAGTAATCCTCCAATTAATTACATTAAGAATGCAGAATACAGAAAGAAGTTATTTCCCATCCTAGCTGAGCAGGATATTGAAAATTTTCTCAGGCAAGATGATATGTACAATGATGATCTGAATGACTATTTACCAACATCACAAGAGGATATTGATCATTTTTGTTCACAATTGGAGCAAGAAATAAGGTTAAAACTTGAACGAAACGAGAAGAAGTATGAATATTTACAAGAATTAATTGAGCAACGAAACATGATGTTTGAAAAACTACTTTTAGTGGAAGGAGTGTGTACAGTAAGATCAACAGAAACAGATGAGAATACCCATGAGGCATTGAACTTTCTGATACGTTTACTAAGGGCACATATGAAATGACCATCTTGATCCACAAAAAAGAGAATGCTTTCTTGTGAGTAAAGAAGTTCTTTTAATAAGTTAATTTATGGTATTTAGTGCATTTTAGTTAGCCAACCTTCTTGGCCGATGGCTGTACTGAAGAAGTTAATAATTGACATCAGTGTGAACGAAATACAAGTAAATCCAAAGTCAGTCAATTTAGTAACATCCATTTGAGCATCAAGATGCTTGGTATCCTTTTCATGATCAATATCAGAGTCAACTTCTTCACCAATTTGCTTAGTGGAAATCAAGTGTTGCAAACTATATCTGATCTTCTTGAAATTCTTCTTCTTGAAATAGTATCTTCCACTGTTAAAAATAGTTAATAAAATCAATTCTCAATAGCTGAACTTACATTTCCATGAAAACATAAATTTGGAAAGAAACACCCCAGACATACCAAGAGAACAAGTTATCTATTAAAGTGTCAAATAAAATTGAAATCATTAAAAAAACTTACTCATTGAATCTCTTTCATTGACAAGAGATGGATCAACTTGAAGAAGAATGGCACCTAAAACGATTTGAACAATACCGTCAAAGAAGATCATGAATTGAGGAGCTCTAGTAGAATAGTAATGCAAAGCAATACCCATGCATGAGCCAACAGTGACTTGAGCTACAGTGTGATACCCCAAAACAACTCTTTCCAAACAAACAATTGGGATAATGATAATGGCAAAAGCTCTAGCCAACCACCCATGATAAGGGGCAACATCAAAAAGGAAAATTCCAAAAATTGCTCCACTCATAGCATCACCAGATGGCATTCCATATCGACTTCCAAAATGTTGAAAAGTATTTCCTCCATCAGTAGTACAACTACATGGTCTAATTTGTCTGAATACAGTATATAAGGCAACATCCAAAACGAGAGTATAACAGACTCTATGTAAAACTATTGAAATATTTCAGTAAAAGTTCAAACTGAAAACCTACAATTCAAAATTACAATCTTGTTGTGTAAAAACTTGGCAAGAGTATGACGAATAATTTGTGAATCTCTTCTAACAGAAGCAATTTGTAAAACTGGAATTGCAAGTAAAAATATGACTGCTGTAATAGCCAATGTTCTCGGATTTACCCATTGAACAACAAAATTAGCAACCATTGTTAAAAAGTTTGTTGGTACTTGACGATGACATCTATATAGGTTTTTTCATCACAATGAACAAGATAATAATTATTATTAAAACACTTTAAATCGACATGATGATACATTACTTGTTAATAAAACTATCATCCAATTCATTGATACAATAACTCTTTTCTCCTAATGTTGTTGTTGTTGAATCAGCGGAAACCATCATCATCACACTCGACAGGGTGAGGAAGAGAACAAAAAGTAACGATAATTGTTTCATCATTTTTTTTCATCATCCAGAGAAAAAATCTCTGAAAATTTAAACAACACAACCAGCCTAATGATTTTCTCCTGTCGTAATGATGATACCTTTTCACTGTTATTTATTTACATTATTTACACTTGGTGTTCTTAGATTTTTTTAAATTTACAATGCTCGCTTTATACATTCCATAAGTGATTGAATTTCCTTTGAACAGAGGTCCTGTTTTAATCTAGTTACATTTTTATGAACACAAAGAGCATAAGTCTTTGCCTCCGAAGGACATTGTCTATATGATTTTGCCAACAATCCCGATGACGCCTGTTTTACTTCATGGAAAGATGTCTTTACAAATTCTTGATGTTCTAACATTTTTTTCGAGTTAATTTTCCTTGAACAATGAAAGAGGCAATTATTGTTTAAAAGGAAAATAGAATTAGCTGAGTTTTATTAATATCTCTGCAAATTCATGGCTACACTTCTCAAATGTTGATTGTAAAGATAATCAAGGATTCTTGAATGATTCCTTCTCAGTGTCTAATATTTTGCTCAATTTGTAAATACCCCACAACTAGTGATTCAACTTAATCAATTGAATAACGAAAGGATAACCCTATTTTTCGCTTATTTCATCTTGGGCTATTTTTGTTTAAGCCCTGATCAATATTTCGTATTATTCAAACACATCTTAGCTAAAATTAAGATTTGATTCTATCTACCATTTTGTCTCTAAATAATACGATTTGCCAACATTTACATTATTTGTCTCAACCTATCATTTCACTGGTTATGTATCCACCATAATCAACTGATTCTACAGAATAAATGGAATTATCTGAGAAGTATTCCTCTTCACTTTTGCTTTCATCTTGATCTTCCTCTTCTGAATACGTGAAACCCTCATTCGAATTTTCTATGCAGCTATTCTTAATTTTTAATCTCCATTTCCTATTGAATTCAATTAAAAGAAGAGCCATTCCCAAACACATCAATAATGGAACAACAATTCCTCTACTAGAATTAAAATAAAGATACACAATTATCCCAGAAACAGCTCCAGTGAAATGAGAAAGAAAATCGCCACACAATAAACTACATAAGGCATCAAATCCAAACGTATTAATATCCTTTGATAAATACAAGTACATGTTAAAGCTGTAAATCAATGAATGAATTCCAACAATATATTTTCCTGAGAAATGTTTTTCTAATTCTCCATATTTGATTATTACATATTTAAAGATCAAGAAATTAACCCAATAATTAACTAGTATAAAATTAACAATTTGAAGCATCTCCTCCAAATACGAATAATTAAAATATCTTGAATACATATTAATATAAAATAGCAAATAAATATTAAAAATTAATTGTGATATGTTCTTGTTCAAAAACAAGTGGCCAATAAATCGATCCATCTGATAATCATCGTATATTTTCCAATAATTAAATCCCCACTCTTCATCAATAGCCTTTTCCCGATAAAACAGTCCATACAACACGAGAGAAATAACAATCACAACCAATAGAATCATTTTTTTCAAATTTGCGCCAAAAAAAAATCTCAAAGCCTTAGAAACAAAACAATATGCTGATGATGAAAATGATGACATAAAAACTTTAAGCATCAATGGGTTCATTCTCATAATTGTATTAAGTTTATAAATCAAGGAAAGAAGGTTCGATTTTAATACAATCAAAATAAGGACTAGTCAGGTACTCAGAGCATCATTATCCAAGTGAATTTTTAGATTCAATACCAAAAGTCAGAGAATTAATATTTTATTTTGATATTACCAAATACAGAACAATATATTACATTGGAAAAATTTGAAGGAAGAGCTAACTTAAAAGACGCTAAACTTCTTTTCATTTATTTGCCTTTTATAGTTCATTTAAAAACTTATATTCTCTATTCATACGTAAAATGGTATTGAATTTTTGATGTGGAGTCATTGTCACAGAGTTGAGTTCATTCAAATCACTTGTAAAATCACTGTTCAACCTTGGATGTTCATTGAGTGTTGAGAATTTACTGGCCAATGCTCTAATTCTACATGTATATAAATAAACAAAACCATAGTCTTGAAGTGGAAGTCTTGACTGATTAATATTTCTATTCAAAATTCTTTCAATAGAAATAAATTGTCTAGACATTGGTGCTGTGATTGTTGAAAAATCAGTCTTTCTCTTATAGGATGAAAGTTGATAATAAGCAAATGAGAATAAAAGAACTCCTGGGACAGTAGCAACAAGCTCCACGTTTAGTTCATTTTGTTTCAGCAATGAATCCATACTATTATTTTGAATGTTATTGAAATATTGAGATAAACAACTTACCTAATCATTGATTGTTCAAGAGCTAATTTTTGCTTTTGAACTTGAATCAGCAATGCTCTAGCAAGACTACCAAAAATAGCATTAGCAAATGGCCTCTTTAACTCTTTTTCATATGTTTCCATGACAAGAGTAATATCTCCCTTCTTTGCTTGTTCTAAAAAGATGGTAAGTTCTTGTTCTGTAGCATTTGGATGAGTATCCTTAACAAAATCATTCACCATACGTTCAAGAGATTTCATAGATACTTGAACATCGTCCAAAGAAACTAGTTTGTGTTTGTGTTCATCATAGTGGATAATTGAATAAATATTATAGAGTGGTTCAATAATTGAGTTATTGACAAATCTAGTGACACTGTTGTAAGCTTCCTTAGAAAGTTTAACAATCTCATCAAAATGTTTGTAAGTATAATAACTTGCAAATGCTGTGAATGTGAAACCTAAAGCATATCTTATCCAATTTCTATGGAAATGATTTGGTTTCTTATATTGTCTCAAATAGTAATTTGTAATGTGATTCCAATTTCTGCAACGTTGCATAACTGCATCAATCTTATCCAAGAATTGTTCAAGAGTTAATTCAGTATTATCGCGAGCTATTGTTGTCATTGCACGAGATCTATCTGAAATAAAACTAGCATTATCGTCATCATAATTTGTATATGGTGTAGAAATAACAGATGGTGATGATGTTCTATTATTATGATTAAAATCAACTTCTAAAGCCACTGGACCAATGCCATTATGGAATAAACTTCTCTTCATAATATTAGATTGTTTAACAGATTCTTCTTGAAGAGGGTGAATTTGGAAATGTTTTTCAAAAAGAGCATCACCAGAAAGAGCGCTATCATTAAATCTTTCAATGTATAAACCATCAATAAAATCTAAAAATTCAATTGAAACATCATGAATTTCGTCAATACTTCTAACAGCTTGGAATTTATGAAGAATATTCAACAAATGTCCACAAATAAAAGCATGACAAATTTCAACTTTGGATAATTTTTCTAAAAGTTCATTCAAATCTCTTGAAGGACTTCTTTGTTTCATCTTGATGTTATCTATGAGTTCTAAAATCTTTGAAGGATTTAACTTTGGTATAATTTTTTCATTTCCAAAAAAGGTGTTAATAATTTGATTATAAAATAATTTAATCCAATAAAGAGGTCCTAATTCTAACATGGCGTTAACAGGTGATTCTTCTCTTCCTTTCCAATAATCAATTAATTCAGCAAGAGAAGTAAAATGGGACATTGAATGGAAACAAAGTGATTGAATTAAAGAAACACAACATTCACCAAAGAAACAAAGCCTTTCTTTTGGTGGCATTGTTGATTCATTAAATTTAATATTTTGAGGAATAATTCTCTGTTCAAAATCTCCTTTTGTAACAAAAGACAAGGTAAAATTTTGAATCTTGTCCAATACAAATAATTGATTATGTTTAGGTTCATCACAATAAGAACTTTTCAACTCTTCCGATAATATTTTTCTAAATTTCCTACACACTAAATTGATGTGCAAGGCTAGTTCATGACCTTGAAAGGTACATGTTGATGTTGTGTGAAGCATTTTTTTTAATATTATTATTTATTAATCTTGATTAATTTTATAATTATTGCTGCAACATGCTGTTGTGTGGATGGAAATAGGTTGTGTTGTTAGATATCTTGTAAATATTTCTATTATTTAATAATAGGCGCCAAAAATTTACGATATTAGCTGATGGTAAAATAAAAAAAACTGTAAATATATTCATGCCATCATCAGAAACGAGCAATAGTTTAAACTCATCATCGGTACTCAATTCATCAAATGTTAAGAGTAGGAGGGATGAAAAATCAAAAGTTGTGGTATTTAATGAATACAATCAACCGGTTGTTAAGATTAACAAAGTTTACGAGACATCAACCATTCGGGAAGGAACCATGAAGAGGGATTCAAAATTTTACACTGACAGATATATGAATTATTGCAAAACCTTGTATCATTCAAGATTCATAGAGTCTAAAGAAAGAGAGTATAGAAAACAGAATCCAATTATCAGACCAAAGAAAACACCTTATGAAATGTTGAGCACTGATTTTAGTAGAAAACTAGTTGAGGAATACAAAAAGGGAAGAAAAAACTCAAAAGCCTTCAAACCAAAACCGGAGGAAATAAGGTTAGAAAGAGAAAGAAAATTGGAAACAGCAAAGGAATTATATTTAAATGAACAATTTGTTGATGCAGCTGCATTGTTTAAGGAATGTATAAAAGAAGATATGAATGGACCAGAAGTTTATAATATGCTAGGAGAATCACTTTGGAGAGCTGGGAATTATCAAGAATCAATTGAATTCTTGAGTGTTTGTTTGGAAAAAGATCCTTTTGTTTCATCTGCATACTTTGTAAGAGGAGATTGTTATGTTCACTTACAAGATTTTGATCAGGGAAGAAGAGAATTTGAGAAATATTTGAAAATTGAACATCCAACAAAAACTGTCCTGGTCAGTCTTGGAAAATGTTGTTCCACATTACAAGATTTAAATGGAGCATTTGACAGTTTCAACAGAATTATCAATGACGTAGATGATCAAGATCCTTACATTTATTTTTTAAGAGGTGATGTCTTGTCGCAATTAGGTTATCTTGACGATGCTAAGAAAGATTTTAAGAAAATTAGAGATTTGGATCCTCAATTTTGTGCTGAATACGAGAAAACAGCTGCAAATCATGAAAAAAATGGAGAAATTGAGGATGCCATTTCTATCTATGAGGCTCTTGTAAAAGTTAATTCTGATAGCATTGAATATTTGAACCATTATGGACATTTGCTTTTGATCATTGGAAGAATTGAGGATGCATTGTTTGCATTCTCATCTTGCATTGACAAAAAGCCGCTAGATAATCCACCTCTATTGGTGGATTCTTATGTCTCCAAAGCTACAATCTTAATGGACAGAAATGAAACAGACAAAGCAATGTTCTGCCTCAATATGGCAATTGGAGAACTTCCTGATGAACCAGCCCTTTACAAATCGAGAGGATCATGTTTTTTATTATCTGGCTCTATCAAGGATACAGTGGAAGATTTTGAAATGCTGTATCAATTGGATTCTTCCAAGCAATATATCGACGGTTTTGTGTACAAAATATTGGGAGAATACTATTTCAATGTGGAAAATAATATTCAATTATCACTGGACTACTTTATTGAGAGCTTCAAGATGGGTTATCTTGGTAAATTATTTAAGACAAAAGAGGAGGAGCTCAACAGGGCCAAAATTGGAAGTTATACAACTTATCTTATTGAAGAAACTAAAATTCAATACATTTGTTGTTTGCTCAATTCCCAAAATAGTAAAGATAGAAGTGAGAGCCCGACAGAGACTCCTGAAGAAGATAAAAAAAAAGCTCCACCTAAGAAAGAGGTAAAGAAACCTGTTCTCGTTTCATCCCTTTTTGATCTCTCATTGAATACCTTCATTAAGAAATATGATGGATATGTACAACAAGAAATACCAACAATCAACACTAAGGATGTATCAAGAATGTTAAAACTTTACAGAGAACGAAATGGAACAAGTTTAGTTCCTCCAAGAAGCAGTTCAAAGAGTGCAAGAAAGTAAAAATTTTATAAATCAAATAGACCAAACACGTTATGATCAGCTTGTCTTCCAAATAATGATTTTGGAGGTTCAACACCTGAAAGCTTTACAAACTTTTTCTTTTCTGATATTGTTGCAAACATGGTTTCTGTTGTGATGGTTGTATATTTCTTAATATCAAAAAGAGGGAAACCTTCAAGGAAATGTCTCTTAATATCTCTAGCAAATTTAGCAACTTCTCCATTCGAGTGATAAAGTAAAGTCTCAATTTCCCAAAGTTGACTTTGCATTGCTTTACATTCTTTTGGATCTTTTTCATTTGGATCAAAAGGATCTACAATCTTTCGGTTATCTTTCAGATAAATTTCTGAATTCTTTTCCATTAAATATTTCTTTTGAATTCTTGAAAGATACTTTGGTTCAATTTCTCCTTTTTGAACCAAGAAACTAATTTGTGGATGTCTAGAAACAAGATTATAAATAACAGCAAGAATATAATTACAGGCATAAGCAGGTGCGAATAATGAAATTCTAGCAAGCTTTTTCACAAAGGCAGCCACCAAATATTCAGGTAAATGGGTAGATTTCATAAATGTATCAAGCAACTCGAAAAATTCATGTCTATCATCCATAGTGAAAAGAGATGGTTCAATGATAGCGTAAATCTTGTTATAAAATTGGTCATAAACTCTACATTAATTAGTATTAAAAACTCTTCAAACTTACAAATTATACTCGGTAATCAAAATGAATAAACTCTTAACTGAGAGAAGTGCAACCAATCCTCCCTGATCAAAAGAATTAGAAATGAAATCATTCAACAAGAATGGATCTTCAAATTGTGGAATAATTTCTGTGCTCATCTTTCTCAAAACTTTTTCATAAACAGATCTAGTCATTTCTGGTATTTGTAAGAAGGCAAGCCAAAAGTTTGTATAGGCATTAATGTGAACATCTGGATCAAGTAAATTATTTTCCTTATCTTCGTCCTTCATTTCTTCATCCTTTTCTTCGCTTTCCTTCTTTTCTTCTGTTGATTTCTTTTGAGAACTTGGTAAAGTCAATGAACTCAAATCACCCAATTCAGGATCCATCATAAAATCATCTGGAATACCATCTTCATTTGGACCATCTTCATCCATTCCATCTTCTTCATCACTATTTACTTCATCACTATCATAATCATAACCATCATATAAATAAAATCTACCAATAACATCAATTATTGGAATACCATCAATAATTTGCAAAACATTATCATAAAGTTGTGGATATGTAAGCATTCTCTTCTTCTTTGAACGAATCTTTCTGATAGCATTTGTCAATGAAATGTAAGCAAAAAATCTCAAATCATGGAATTTGAAAATATATTCTTTAAGACAAGTGATAACAAATTCTTTTCCTTCACTGTTATTTGGGTCATATATCAAATGATAAATAAAAGAACCGAATGGACCTTCATTTATAATAGTGTTAATTCTATTTCTTTCTCTTTCCATTTCAACAAGTGTTGATCCACTAGCAGAAGTTAATTCCTTTTTAGAAAGATCCAAAATAGCCTTAATAACAGTTTCAATTTCTTCATAATTTTCATTAAATTTAGTAAAATAGTGAACAGCATAAAGTGGTAAATATTTTGTGAATGAAACATATTGTTCATAAATCCATTTCATATATTCCTTTTTTTGTATCGATTTTTCTTTACTAACATCACAAGCGACAGCATCTTTTTGATTTTTTGATTCTGTTACTGTTAATATAAGAGTTCCTTCCTCAAAAAAGTGACTAAAAACATCCACAAGTGATGAAATTGTTTGAAGAGCAAGTTTACGATGTTTTTGAGAAGATAAAGGAAATAATTCTTCTAAAAACTCTGTTAATTTAACCAAATTATTTGTATTCTTCTTATCCGAAATGATACCATCAGCCATCTTTTTAATAGCCTCCGATGATGTAAAGGCTAATTTACTTTCCGAAGATGTTCTTGTTGTTGTCTTGCTCATTTTTTTTCAATTTTTTCTTTTTTCCCTCCTAAAAATATTCTAAAATATTGTTGAACGCTGTCTGGCTGTTGATGAAGGCTTTTTGTTTTGGATATTGTTGTAGCTTGTGAATTATTAAAAAGCCTTTTCTTATGATGGAAGAAATTATATATTGGTGCATCAACATGTTGATGAAATTTTCAAGATATTCATACATTCCCAACTAATTTAATGTCACGTTCACCCTCCTATCATGATAATGTGTGAGGCAATTAATATCATTAGGTAAGCAATATTTAAAATAACAATTTGTTGTGATGCAACAAAAAAACAACCAACAGTAGTGTTGAATAATTTAGCCTTTTTTTAAATCAATTTATGAAACGAACCTACACATAACCATCATGAGTTGCTTGGTTGTTATTGTATGTACCGAATTCTTAACAATTTAATTGAGGATCTCAAAAGAGTTAGAACCATTTCGGTTGTGTTAACAATTTTAACACTGGGACGTCAACTCTTCGTCAGTGGCTGTCAAAATGTCAAACCAAATTACCGTTATGTCTCTTTTGTTTGACAAGAGCTCTTTTTAAAAAAAATAATCTTCACATTTTCCAATAGTGTTTGTTGAACTCCTTCCAGAGTACTACCAAGAAGCCTTTAACACAATATTGGTATTACAACAATGTCATCATCATCACCTCCACCATCATTAAACCATCATCAAAATGTTGAGGAGGAAATAATTATTCGAAACAATCCACAACAAGAAGAACAACAACAGCCTTTGCATCAACATACTGCTGCTGAGGAACAATCTTTATGTAATTTAAATAACAACAACAGTACTACTATTAGTTCTTCTCTTCCATCCACTACCACTTCCAATAACAATAATAATAATATTGATATTGATAGTAATAATAGTACTGCTAATATTGTATCAACTAGTCAAACATCATCATCCTCATCATCAAATAATGTACAAATTAATAATAATTTAGAATCGTCGAGTCTTCAACAACAACAACAATCAAATATTGATAACAATAATACTATAACAACAACAACTAGTCAAATAGAAGGTACATCAATTGAACTTCAACAACAAGAAGAAGAGGAAATTACTTCTACTAATAATATAAATAATAATGATATTACAACCACTAATACTACTACTACTACCATTACTAATAATGATGAAGAAGAAAAAGAAGAACAAGTAATAAGCAATCCATTTCATCTTGTTAAAGATTGTAATGAATTACCAATTAATGAACGTTATCATTCAGATTTAAGACCATTCTTAGAAAGATTGGAAGAACAACCAAATAGATTTAAATCAATTGATCAAGAAACTGTTAATATGATTCTAGGAGATTGGATGGTTTTAACAATGGATCATTTATCTAATTATAAACAAGTTGCACCACCTTATTTGTATTGTAAACAAATTAATAATCAATATCAACAACAATCATCATCATCTCTTTATGAAAATGAATTGGAAAGACATTTATTAATGATTGGTAATCCAAATAGATTAGCTATGGGTCAATTACAACCTCAACAACAACCAACTATAACCATTGGTAATAATAATCATAGTAATAATAACATTGCTACTAATGCTAGTGGTGTTGGTGTTGGTGGTTCAATAACTACGCAACAACAACATTTAACATCACCATCAACAACTGCAAATAATTTAAATGTGTTAAGTTCTAATGAATTAACATATAGTGAAGATATTGAAGATGATGATGAAATTGAAGAATTGGAAAAGACAGCAACACTTTCGAATAGAAAACAAAATCAAAATTTACTTAAAGTTGCACCAAATTCACAATCAGATTTATCAAATGAACATTTTAATACTCAATTGAGTAAGAAAAATGTTTCACAAGGTAGTTTTAATTCTAATCTAAGTGCTAGTTATAACAAATTTTCACTTTCAGATCAAGCTATTAATTTAAATAATTCTGAATATAATAGTTCAATTGGTATGCCACGTTATACTAGTCAACCAATTAATTTTACACAACCTAGAGATTTATTTGCTGAAAAATTATCAAAACAAGAATTAATCACTTCACACCAATCGCATTCACAACAACACTCTCCACAATTGAATGGTACTACTACTCATGACGATGAAGAAGATATTAATAGTAATAGTGAAGATGATTCATCGAGTATAATGGTATTAGGTGATAATATTAATAATATTAATGATCATTTTGCATTTTCACCAAATACACGTTCAATGTATGAAGATATGGGTAAATCAACAGTGATTCAATTACAAGGATCTTATCGTCATCAAACTCTATTGGATAGAGCTGTTAGATCATCATTTTCATCAAATCCATATAATTCACCTGCTAATAGTAGAAATCAAATGACATCAAGTTCAAGTAATTTAAGTCCAATCTCAAGTAAGAGAATGACAGCTGAAATGAGTTCACAATCATTCACTCAACCACATCCAGAAAGAAGTACAATTGCTTCCTTTGAAGATTTAGGTCATACGAGAAGAGGAAGTGTATTTGGTAGAATTGACAGTGATGATGAAGATGAAGATAATCCATTAAATAATAATACAGCAAGTACAAATACAGGTGGTGATTTTGCAAGTCCTAGAAATCATCCACCAACTGATGAAGATTCCTTCGATCAATCACATTCAAATCAATCAAAAGGTTCACGTGTTAGAAGTATTGGTCATATTTCTGAATTGAATAAGCAAAAACAAGTTAATAGAGCTTCATTCTTTGATTTTATTAGAAGAAAACCAAAGAAGGAATTTGAAAGCTCAACCAATTCACTCGATGAATCAACAAGTTATTCAAATAATAATAATAATACTATTGGTACTACAGGACAACAAACTGTTAGTATGAGTGCTGGTAATTTCTCAAATCATCATCATCACGATATTGAGAAGAGTAAAATGGATATCATTTCAGGTGAATCAGTTTCACAACTTCATGAACAACTCTACGGAAAGAAGAAGAAGAATGAATCAGTTTTTACAAAACTTAAAGCTAAAGGAATTAGACCTAAAGATTTAAAAAGAATTGAAGGATTTAAATTTAAAGAAAATGTCATTACACAATATGAATTAGAAAATCCATATAGAGTAATTTCCTATTATAATAATGATTTTATTTGGAATGGTGGACAGGAAATTGAAAGATGTCACAGAACTAGAAAAGTTCAACCACTCTATAATAATATTGATAAGATGATGTATTTAATATTTGAATATGAAGATTTTGTACTTTCAAAATTTGGTTTACCTGAACCTTTATTTTGTAAAGTTTCACTCTATGATATCAAATCTGAAGTTAAATTGACAGAAGATTTTTGTTTCTTTATTGAACCTAAACATTCTCTATCAAGTAGTGATGGATTTTCAATGAACAAATTGGCAAATTCCACACAGAGACATATTAAGAATATTAACAAGAGACAAAATTTTGAAAAGGCATCTGCTTTATTTGTATTTGAAAAACCAGAACATACAGAAGTTTACATTTCATTCACCATTGAAAAGGTATTTTGTGGAGGTTTAATAGAAGATGCATGGAAAGCCTATAAATCCAATAATGAAAAGTTAATGAAGAAATATCTCACACAAATGAATGATTATTGGAGAGCGAGTATGTTGAGACAACCATTCATTGTAATGGGTCAAAAGATTTTCTATGAAAATCGAGATGAAAATGATAATTCTTCCATTGAAATATTAGAAGGTCAAGTTAAAATTAACAAGGCCTATAGAATACCATCACATTCTTCAAGTTCATTTGATGTATTAACATTCTTAAAATGGTTATCAAGTAATGGTTCAACTAATTTACCTATTCAAGGTAGTGGTGGCAGTGATTTTTCAACAACATTTAATATGGATGATGATAAGAATAATCTCCCAATTCGTTTCCTATTTCAAACTAATACAGCTACGAGAGATAAATTAGCATCCTATTTACATGCCTTCTCCACTCGAAAATCCAAAGCTTCCTCTCAACAATCTCATACCAGTATGCGATTCAAGAATGATTTTTCCATGTTTAAAACAGATCAGGATGATCATGTCATTGAAACTGTTATGAAAAGATTGGACAAATCGAAGGGATCATTCTCTGTTCTCGATACATTTTACAAATTATTTCCAGTTGTTGAATCACTTCATAACTCTAAAGATTATTATCAATTTGATTTTAATTTAAGAAATACTTTATATATTTATTTAGATACATGTGAATTATCTTCACTTTCTAAAACTGGTAATATTTATATTAAAGTTTCATATAAGAAGAATGATATGATCACTTCAACAAGAGAATCTAGAATGGCAGATTCATTTAATGATTCTAATAGATTTAACTATTTTTATTCTTCAATCACATTTAAGAAAATTTCACCTCAATTTTATGACGAAATTAGATTGGAAATTCCATCATCTGCCAATATTGTTGACAAGTCACATGTTTTATTTGAATTTTTTGATTTGGATATTTCAAAAGGTTTAGATGGAAAAGCTCCACAAAATAGTGATATGGATATTTCATCTGATGGTATTACAAATACTCAATTAATTGGTTTTGCATATTTAAGAGATGTTACTAATCATTGTATTGTAAAAGATGGTTATCATACTTTAACAATATTTAAATCACCAAAATTAGTTGATAATTATTTAAGTTTACAAACAGATATTCCAATGTCACATTCATCTTATTTAAATATCAAAACAAAAGCGTTAACTTCTTTTTATACTCAAGATCCATTTGCTGCTTCATTCCTTGATGCATGTGATAGATTTTACAATACATTTGAATCTACTAAAAAGAATGAAGATGTTAATAGAGAGGAAATATTATTAGATGTCATGTCAAAGTTAGATAATTTAAGAGATGCTAATTTTGCAGAATTATTGAATCACACTCCAAAAGTAATTAATGGTCTTTTAACTTTATTATCAACATTGGTTATAATTAAGAATTTTAATCAATATGGAACTAGAACTAAGGTTATTGTACCTGAAATTATTTCACGTGCCATGTCATGTTTGTTATTCTTTTTAAGTGGAATTGAAACTGTTTCTTCTTCATTTGGTAGAAATAATTATTACATTTCAACTTTTATTTCTTACTTTTCAAGACAATATCCAGATATGGAAGAACCATTATACAAAATGTTAATGGATGAAATGTTAAATTTCATTCAAAATTGGCAAGAATCAAGACAAAAAGATAGAAAGAAACCAATCATAGAGTTGGGAGTCTTTTCACCAAAGGTTTCTGATCTCAATTTTAAACCACAAAATGGTTTGGCAAAGAATATTGATTCACACAAACAAATTTCTACCTTTTTATTCACCTCGATGGAAACTAGACCCAATGGAAAACAAGCAGAGGGTCAAGTGAAGGAATTTAAGGATTTTATCACACGTGAGAGGAGAAAAGTATCCAACACTTCTTCAACTGGCAGCAGCAGTGGTGGTGGCAGCAGTAGCAAACAAAAACAAATTGTCATTGACGATTTCAATACTCAAAAGATTATTGCTGAGGCAAATCCTAGAAAAGTCTCTGAAATTTCCTTTACTGGAGTTGATGTAATCAAATTTGGTTGGTTCTTCTTTGATTTGATTACAAAGAATATTCACATTGTGAGAGATGAGGAATTTAAAAAGGTTTCCTCTCAACAATTTGATCCAAACATTTTCATGAGTCGATTGAAACAATTAATTCACACCATTGCACCTCTCCTATTGGAGTGTTATGAGAAGAGATTTAAAGATGCAGCTATTTATGCAGCTGCTACCAATTTTAATTTGGATTTTTCATTATTTTTGAGAGATTTAGTTCCAATTCTTGATTTTAAATATATTAGAGAAATAATGATTGAATATTTTAGTTATTTCCAAGACAAGTTATCAAATGACAAGACAAGAGATGTTGCAATTTTCTATATTTTACAATTTCTTGAATTATTTATTGAACATGATGATATTTTCTTTATTATTCAAAATTCTGAGAATCAATTTATAATTTCCAAATTAATTGATTGTATTATTTATGGTTTAACACAAAAAACTGATGAATTGAAAGGTTTATCATTGAGAATTTTAAAGAATCATTTAACAAAATTAGATTTTGATTCTAGAATTCAATCACAAAAAGATCGAAATTTTATTGGAAATTTATATTTTGATTTTGTTAAAAAAGTAATTGAACAAAAAGATTCAATTTCTGATTGTATTACATTTAAAGATGAATTGGGAGATTTATTTGCATGTTTTTATCACATTTTAAAGAATTCAAGTGATGAAAAGATTGTTGAATATTTCTCTTCACTTGAATCTGAAAAAATTCTTTCATTAGTTGACATTTTACAAGTAACTGTCATGTTAATGAATATTCATAATCAAAATCAAGTACAAATTTGTTTTCATGAAGTTTATATGGAATTATTTAACAAGATTATTGTAAATTTATATTTAAAACCTAAAAGTGAAATATTTAGTGAAAAAACAAATCAACTTTTATCTAAATTTAAAGATTTACTAATTAATCATTTATTAGGAGGTCAAGGTCAAGGAGGTTTCAGTGATGAAACATGTTCAATGGAAATGAAACAATTAATTGATGAATTGACAATTTCAATTTATGAAAATGATTCACAAACTTTAGTTTTTTATGAAATTTTTGACAAGTCTTTACATTTCCTTTTATCTGTTGTTTTATTATCTCCTTATTTGGATTCAGAACATAAGAGAGTTTTATTTCAATCTTATTTAGAACCATTTTTAGAAACTTTTAAACCTTTTATATTTATTAATGAACATATTAAATTAAATGATATTAATATTAATAGTAATAATAATAACAATAGTAATAATACTAATAATAATAATGGTGGTAATAATAGTGATGTTAATAATTCTAATGAAAGTAATATTAAACTATCAACAACAACAACAAAACAATTTAACATTCCAACACAATTAACAGCTAAAATTGGAATGTCACATTTAACATTTGATAAAACACATTTAACACAATTACTTTCAGATAGAAATCCTAAATGGAAATCAATATTAGCAAGTGTATTATCCTATTGTTATTTCCCAACTTTGACTGAAACTTTTTCAAGTGTTCGTGATGTCTTGTACGATTTGATTGAAATTTATCAACATGAACAAGTTGATTCAATTGAAGATTTAATACAAAAACAACAATCACATAAGGAATATCTATTAAAATTGGGTGGTACTTTACATGTTAATAGAGATACTCCACATTTATCAGTTGAGGAGTTGGAAAAGATGAATTTTTCAAAATTGGAAAATCTTGTTGAAAAATTATTTATCAATCCAAATATTTATACAAATAGTTTACTGCTATCATCATCTAATAATCAAGTATCATCTCCAATTAATAACAATACTCAATCAAGTAATAGTAATTTACAATCAAATATTTCAAATGGTAGTGGTGGTGCAAATGTTGCTAACAACAATAATTTGGATTTTAAATTAACCTATGCAGAGATATTCTTTTCAAGTTATTTATTCTTTACAACACCACATCAATTATTGCTCATGATTCGTCAGATTTTATTTAAATTTGCTCAAGATCCTGAAATTGAACATAAGAGTGAAATGGTGTTAAATATTACACTTTCAATCAAGTTGTGGATTGAAAAACATTTCACAGATATGACACAACCATTCATTTGTAATTTAATTCAATTTTTAGATAATGATTTGACACTTGTTATTAAACAAGTTGCATTTGAATGTTTTTACTTGTTAGAACAAGTTAAATCATCACTCATTAATTGTTTATTGGGAATTAAAGAACAATCCAATGAAGATTCTAAAAAGAAACCAAATCCAATCATTCCAAATGGATTTTCCAAATTGAAATTGAATTTACTAACTTCATTTGTTCCTTCATTTGATTTACTTGCATGGAATTCAACTGAAATTGCAAGACAATTAACTTTAATAGATTTTGAATTCTTTAAACAAATTGATAATAAGGAAATTTGTGCATCCACCAAACAAAAAGATTATTTACCACATCTCTCTTCACTATTAGAGAGAAAGAGAGATTGTGAATTGTGGGTTGTGACTTTAATTTTACGTGAAAGAGATTTAAATAAGAGAATTGAAATTATTAACAAATTTAATCAAATATGTGAAGAATTATTTGCCATGAATAATTTATTTGGATTATATTCAATATATTGTGGATTGAGTAATCATGCCATTTTGAGATTAAATAAGAGTTGGTCAAAGGAATCTAAAAAGATTTATCGTTTATATCATGAAACTTACTTTTCAGATAAAAATCCACAAGCAAGAGAGAATTTAATTAATCGATTAAATTCAATTAAATTACCAATCATTCCATTGGTAAATTCCTATTTAGATGAATTGAAAGAATGTGATATTGAACCTACCTTTAGACAATCAAATGGTACTATATTTATTAACTTTGGTAAATGTATTAAATTGGTAGAGATTTTACAACACTTTAAGAGTTATCAAGAAGTTGGATATAATTTTGAATCTATTCCATATTTAATTAAGATTTTATGTGTTGATGTTCCATCAGATTTAATTCAAACTCAATCAGAAGCATTAGAACTTTCAAATCAATTAGAATCTGAATAATAAATTATCAGAGTTTGTGAAGAGAAAACAATGTGAAAACTATTACTTTAAAAAAAACTATTCTTTTATTGAGTTATTACCATTATTGTTGTGATGGTTATTGTTTGAGGATTGATGGAAATGTGGAATGAGACCTAATTCTGGACTATTTTTCAAACAATGATGGTAATCAGGATGCATAGTATTTGGATTGGAGAATCGTTGTAATCTATGACAAGATTGTAATAAATAAAGTGGTGCTGTTAATTGATTATTTCCTCTCTTAAAATCATAAAACCAAGTTTCATTTCTTAATTTGTAAGGTAAGAATCCAATAATAGGTGAATAATATTGAATATTTGATAAAGCTGGTGATGTTGATGTACTACTACTATTACTGCTATTATTATTATTAATATTCAAATTTGCTGATAATTTCTTTTCATTAATTAATTCATCAAATTCATTTTTAGGTTTAACACAAGATAAAAAGCTTGTATCAATAGCATGATAGGATGGTGATAATTTGTGATAGGTAATCATTTGTCCTTTTAACCAATTCATTGTATGATTATGACATAAAATTGGATACCATGCAATTGAAAACCAACTCTTATCTAAATTTAATTCACTAATTGTACCTTCCATTAAGAATGGACAATCCTTAGATAATTCTTCCATTTTATCAATGAATGGATATCTCAAATCAGGTGTAACTGTTTCATAAAATTCAAATAAAATTTTATCTGAATTTTCATCAGCTGCTTGATCATTCAATTGTTGTTGTTGTTGATTATTACAAGTATTACAAGTCACATTATTATTACTACTACTATTAGAACTACTATTAGATGTTATTGATTCAGTTGTTGATTCAGTAATATTATTAATATTATTAATTAATGTACTGCTACTAGTAGTAGTAGTAGTATTAATATTAGTAGCAACTAATTTAATTGCACTTAAATGTGGTACAAAATAAACACTCTCTCTATTTGAATGTTTTGGTAATTTAATTGGAATACCAACACCATATGGTTCATCATAAAAATTCCATAAATCTTTTAATTTATAATTATTTAATAATTCTTGATTTTCATAACTACTATATTTAGGTGTTACATGTTTAAAAAAGCTATATATATTTGTATCAGGTAAAGAAATATTAAATTGATCATTAATAATTGTTCTACTTTTACATATTAATAATAATTCATATAAATTATTATTTTTCATTCTTTTAAATGATGAATTATTTTCATTGTTATTATTATTATTACTATTATTATTATTGGATTGATGATTCATTCTTTGTTTACCATTCTTATTCATACTATTATTATTATTAGTATTATTTCGATGATGATGTTGATGGTGATGATGATGATTATTTGTAGTACTGCCCATATTATTATTATTATTTGAATTATTTAATGTACTATTTGATGTTGATGATGAAGAAGATGAATTGTTAAAACTTTTTTCGGAATAAAAACTATGTTGTTGTTGTTGATAGGAAGATGAAAAAGCATTTGTACTTGATTGAGGTGGTAAACTCTGATAATTATGGTTACTATTGTGGTGATTGTGATGATTATGGTGATGAGTATGATGATTGTGATGATGAATGGTTGATGATATATTACTATTATTACTCTCTCTATTACCATTACTATTATTGTTATTTGTATTATTATTTGATAATGTATTATTAATAGTCATATTACTATTTGATATATTTGTATGATTTACTTTTCCATTCCAAGCTATATTAGAATGATTGGATTTTTTAGTATTCGTATTATTATTATGAGTATTCGTATTATTATGAGTAGTAGTATTATTATGAGTATTAGTAGTATTATTAGGAAATAATGATGAATTATTTGAAATACGATGATTTCTATTAATAATACTATTATTATTACTATTAATAGTGGTGGATTGTTTTTGACATGTTTCTTCTTTCTTTTTCTTTTTTAATTTATTTTCAATATTTTGATTATTTAAACTATTACTATTAATATTACTAGTGCTGGTACTGGTAGAATGATGTTGATTGCTATTTATATTATTATTGATATTATTAGAGTGATGATGATGATGATTTAATGTATTAATGGTATGATTTTCATTTAAATTCACAACTAGTGAATGTGATGGTGAATGATTTGTTGTTAAATAGGATGATGATGATGATGATTGATTATTCACAATATTAATAGGTGCAGAACATGTTCCATTATGATGAGAATGTTCATGTTGTTGTTCATGTTGTTGTTGACTAGTAGTATTGGTATTGGAAGTTTGTACAAGCAAATTTAACATTTTAATTAATCATGATAACTACCAAATGTTTCAAAATGACAATGAGAATCATCTCTCTCTATCAATACATGTCATATATGAATTCACAATATTCACCAATAACATTTTAAATAATATTTATTTTATTATATAATTCAAATCAATTCAATTTCCAAATCAATTAAATTAAATTACTTCTTCTTCTTCTTTTTAACTTGTTGTACATTACCAGATGATGATATTTGTACAGTTGGTTGATTAAAAGATTCTTTTAACTTTCTCTTTTTAGTATCATTCTTTTTAGAATTTGATTCCAATCTCTTTTTAGCATATTGTGATGGTTTTGATATGATTGATTGTTCTTTAGATTTTGATTTCTTTTCACTTTTACTTTCAACTAATTTTCTACCTTCTTCATAAGCTTGAACAAATAAATTTGAATCTGTTAATGATTGTTGAATTAATTGTTTAGATTCTTTAGCAAATTTCTCCAATTCAATTGTTACAATTGATTTATCTCTATTTGAAAATTCACAACATCTATAAATTAATGGTGTCATGTAAATTAAATAAGGTTGTAATTGATTACCATATTTAGAAGCTAAACCTATAAATAACTTTAAAATATTCATTCTTCTAAATGTAATATTTTCATTGGTGTCAAAATCAAATGTTTGATTTGAAATTTTACGTAAAGATTTAAATAATTTATGTAAAATTTCACTTCCATTATTAGAATCTAATAATTTAAATAAATAAATTAAAACTTTAACAATTACAATTACATTTGTATCATTAATATATTGTGATTTAAATAATTCTATAATTGAAATTGACATTTGTTCTAAATATTGTAAATGATTTAAAATTTTAGATTCATTCTTCTTCTTTTTAGAAACAAATAATTCAAAGATTTTCAAAGATTCTAATCTAATTTCACTTCTCAAATCATTTTCATCACAAATTATTTTTAATAAGGAATTCCAAATTTCATCAACATGTTGGAATGAAATAATAGATTGTGAAAATAATGAATAAAAACATTCCAATGTTTCTAATACTAAACTTGGATATTTTTCTAAATTTGTATCTGAATTTTCAATTATAGAAATTAATTGAGGTATCATATTTTCATAAAATTCTGATGATGATTTTAATTTACTACCATTTGATACATTTGATAAAATTAAAATAGAATTAACTCCAATTGGTTTTAATTTCTTTTCATTTAAAATCCAATCATTTGTAATTTTAATAATTTTAATTAAATTTTCATCATTTAATATTTTAATAAAAAATTGTAAAGTTTCTCTTAATTTTGAAACAATTGATGAAATTGATTTGTTATCACCTGCAATAACACGTTTTTTACATTGTTTTTCTAATTCTAAAATTAGAGGATAATAAATTAATTCAGTTTTATCATTTAGGAAATTATTTGGAAATTTTTTAATTATAGTTTGAATTAAATTTAAAATTGATAATTTAGATTCATTTGACATATTTTCATTTAAAACATTTTTAAATAAATAATTTAACTTGTCTTGTAATACTTCATTTGTAAATGGATAATTTAAATAAAAATTAACCAACATTTCAACTATAGTTTTTTGTATTTCCATTTCAAGTGTAGTTAACATAATTGTAATTGATTTATCCATTAAATCATAAATTTGTGGTATTTGTACCTTATTATCAATTAAATTTGATAAAATTTGAAATGTTTGAATTGAATAGGTTTTTCTAGTTGATGAAATTTCAATTTTTAACATATCTAATAAAATATCTAATTGTCCTAATGATAATGGATATTTATGTGAAATATCAGATTGTAAAAAATATTTAATACCTGTATATATAGTTTCCCATGTTTCTAAATTTGTAGAATCAATACCTGAATTTGTTAATATATCAAATGTAGAATTTAATAATAATTGTTTAGAATCTTCTAATATTTTAAATACTTTAGGTGTACGTTTACAAATTTCAATTAAAATTCTAAATGAAACCAATGCTACATTTAAATGATTACCACTAACATATTTTAATAATAATGGTATTATTTCATTCATCATTTCTAAATGTTTATCTACTTGAATTTTAAATCTTTTAATACATTTTTCAAACATTTTTAAATAAAATTGTACAATAATATGTGAATTATCAATTAATCCTGCTAATAATTTCATTTTCATATCATTAGCTTGATCAATTGCACCAAGTCTACCTGGTTCTTTTTGTACAAGGAAATTTTCTTCCTTTCTATCTTTAGTAGTTTTAACAGAATGAAATCTATCTTGTTCTCCATCTGTTATTGTTGTAAAATTCTTTTTATATAATCTATAATGATATAATTCATTTTTAATTACATTTAATAACATTTCACTATTATTATTAGATTGATTAGATTGTTTAGTAGTAGTATTATTAGTAATAGTATTAGTAATAGATTGATTAGATTGAATAACTTGTCTATTTCTCATTAAACCTTTCAATAAAAATTTAAATACAAATTCAAATCTCTTTAAAATTTCAGCATTATGTACAATTCTAATTTTGAAATTAATATCATTAATAATATATGATAAACTCTTCTTAATATCAATAATTGAACCTAATAATTCAAAACAATTAAATAAAGTATTTTCATGTTTTGATTTGAAATGTTTTGATGAAGAACTATCAGATGCAGTTAATGAAACTGAATTTTCACCTATTGATGATTGATTTTCATAATCTTGTGCCTTTTCAATATCAAAACGTGAAACTTTTCTCTTTTTAAATGTTTTTAAAGGTGGATATGTATTTTCATTCAATAAAATTAACATGACTGAATGTACAGCTTGTGTAATAATGTGAGTAGTTTTGTGATCTGATGACATTACTTTCAATATGAACTTCCCAATTCTTTAAACATGTCAATTAATGCTTTACCAGCAACTTGTTGTTGTTCTTCATCTTTACTCTTTAATTTACCTAATACATCTAATACCATTTTAGATAAATGTACATCTAATTGTGTTTTATCACATCTTCTTAATACTTTAATAATTAAGAAACAAACTTGCATACGCATGACATAAATTTCTAATTTCTTATCCCAAAGGAATTTTGTTACTTTTGGAATGAAATCTTTCATGAAATATCTCTTCATTCTTCTACCTTTTGGAATTTCATTTTCATCAATCATTTCATTGTCGTCTGCATCATTATCATCATCATCATTTGTAGTATCCTTTTCAATAGTAACTGTACTATTTGATAATGGTTCTTCTGATTCATGTCTTCTATTATTATATCTATTATTATCATTTCTATTATTATAACTATAACTACTATTAAAACCATGATCATTAATTTTATCAAATGGAAATACATCAACAATTTGACATATAATATCCAATGCTAATTTCTTTCTCTTTGATAAAACCTTTAAACCATATGTACCCATCATTGTAACTAATTGATTTAAAATTGGATGTGAATAATTCCAATCTAAAACAGTTACTAAATAAATACATAATTGTTTAACTAAATCTTGAATAGATTTATCATTAATTACCATTAATTCATAAATGAGTGGAGGTACAATTTGATAAATATAATCTTGTTGAATTTTACATTTTTCAATTGGAATTAAAATAGAATTAATAATTTGTAAACCTTCTAATTTCTTTTGATAATTAACATTTGAAATTAATTCTAATGATTTTGAAAATGGTTTTAAATTTTCCAATTCAATAAATTGATCAATCATTTTAGAATAAACTAACATTGATTCACTCTTTTCTAATAATTTATCTGAAAATGATAATCTTTTAACATGTAAAATTAATAATCTTTTAATTTCTTTCATTTCATTATTAAATTTAATAATTTCAATAATATTTAATAATGATTGTGAAGATGAATCACGTAATATCCATTCTTTATGTCCTAAAAAGAATATTAAATTACCTATAATTGGAAATAATTCAATTTCATTTAAATTTGAAATTATATTTAAATTTGAATTTAATTCTTTAAATATTTCAATTCTAGATGATGTATCTAAATTTGTTAAATGTGATTCAATTTGTGCATTTAATCCATTAATAATTTTAGATGTAAATTTTAATTTTTCATTATTAAATCCAATTGCTAATTTTTCAATTATATCACAAATTTGATTTCTAAATATAGTTTCATTATTATAAATAAACATTTTAGAAAAATGTATAATATATAATGTTTTAATAGATTCACTTGAATATGGTAAATATTTTTTAAATAAATGTAATAAAACACGTGCTTCATCTTCATTTAAAGAAGATCCATCTCTAATTGATGTTCCATAAAAGGTTAAAATAATATCAGCAGGTGATGTTTCATCAAAATAACCTTTCATTTTATCAATTAATTTAAAACATTTTTTAGAAAATTCTTGTTTTTCATTTGATTGTTCATTTAATTCATCATTTAATTTGTTTAAATTATTATTATTATTATTATTATTATTATAACTATTATTTTTAGATTTATAATTATTATTATTATTATTATTATTAATAGATTTAGATGAATAATTAGATTCAATAAATAAATTATAAAATGCAATTAAAATTTGATTAATAATTGAAGGTTCAAATATTTTCATACCAATAGTTAAACCATTTTCAATATCTGTTGTAATTTTTGAAAAGTTTGGATTTAAATTCATAAAAATTTCATCCTTATTTGATAATATTTTATCAAAAATAGATAAAACTTGATCAAATACAACATTAGAAACATTATATTGATCAATTAATTCAATAAATTTAAATATTAATTCCTTTTCATAATATTTAATTAAATAATAAAGTTTAGGTTTATCAAACCATGAAAATAAAATTGAAAAGTAAGAAGGTAATTCTTCAATTCTTGATGATTTCTTATTAATATTTTCAAAGAATTTTGTAAATAATGAAATTACGTGTGATGTAAATTCAATACTATAATCAAATTCTTGTTTTCTATCAAAGAATAATTCAAGTAATTCAACTGCTCTTTTAAATGTTAATGTTAATGATACTTTTTGTTTAGATGATGCTGGTTTATAATATTGTCTAATAATTGGTTTCTTATTAACAGTAGTAGCTAGTATTATTATCAGTTGTTGTAGTTGTGGTAGAAGTAGTAGATTTAGCAATAGTTGATTTAGTAGTAGAAGTAGTTTGAATAGAAGTAGCAGTAGATTCATCATCATCATCATCTTGGTCATCATCTTCATCATCAACTTCATCAGTCATCTTGTCTGATTTTTCAGATGATTTACTATCAGAATCTTTAATAGTGGATGATTCATCTTGTTCATCATCTTCTTCTTCTTCTTCTTCTTGTTCAAGTAATTGTTGTTCAAGTAATTTTTGTTCTTCTTCTTCTTGATCAACTTCCATTTCATGAGCATCAACTCTCAATTCAATAATAGTAATTAATAAATCCAATACTTGATTATAAAAGTAATGATAATTTCCAGTTAAACATGTTAAAATTTCTTCAATAATATCTAATAACCAACGTAACTGGAATGTATTTGCCTTGATTAAATCTTCAGCAAATTTACCATCACTATTATTAGTATTTGTACTCTCAATATTACTATCAATATTACTATCATTACCATTATTATTATCAATAGATTTAAATCTATTAAATAACATGTTAATAAAATATTCAAGTGTTTCTTTTGGTAATTGACCTAAAAATTCAATAACTTGATGAACTCTAATTTTCCATTTTTTAATCATTGCATCTTTAGAATTTTTACCTCTCTTTTTAGTCATATCAAACATTAATAAATAAGGTTCAATAACCTTTAAATGTAAATGAATATATTCTTGTTTATATTGTTTTGGAATATTAATAAAATCTAATTTAGATAAATGTTCAACACTTCTATTAGATGAAATTACTTTTTGTAAATTTTTAACAGTTTTACTTGTTAAATATGGTAAATTAAACTTTTGTAAACATTTTAAAGATAATAATTGAATTGATATTGTTGAAGTTGAAAATAATCTAAAAATAACTGATTTGATAAATTTAGATTTTTCCTTTTTAAAGAAATCTTCATTAAATTCTGAAATTAAATTTAATAATTTTTCTAAACGACCAGTCATTGGATTTCTAGTAATAAAATTAACAACTTCTTCAATATCATATTCTTTAAATTCATTTTCATAAAAGGAATTAAATACTAATAATATATCATCTTCTTTTTTAGAATCTCTTGCTCCATTTATAAATATATTAAATATCATATCTAAATATGTTGAATAATCTGTATGTTGTTTAGAAACATCTTTAATAATTTTTAAAAATATAGTTTCTATATCTGAAATCTTTTCTATTTTTTTAACTTGTTTAGAAAATGATTCAAAATTTAAACTAGTTTCTTCATCTCTTTTTTTAGATTTATAAATCATTGATTTATAATGTGTTTTTTTATATTCTCCATCTGATTTGTTATTATATTATTATATTATTAAAAATATTAAATATTAAATTATATTATTAATTAAAATTAAATTAAAATATTAAATAAAATTAAAAAAAACTTACATTTTTGATAAATATTTGAAATAATTGGTATTAATAAATTCCAAAATTCTTTAAAATTAATTCTCATCATTGTTGATGCTAAATTACTTGTTGGTTCCCATACAATTTGATATTTTGTAAAATATGAACCAAATACATAATTAGAAATTAAAGTTTTGTAAATTTGTGGAATGGTGTAACGTTTTAAAAATTCATTAGCCTTTTCTAATAAAACTGTACGATTACGTGATTGATCCCAATCAAATCCACATTCTTCTGAATCTCTTAAAAATTCTAAAACTACACATTTAGTAGTTTCTACCTTATTAAGAACAATTCCTTTTTGAATTTCATCTTGTTCAAATTTAGTTAAATATTTTAATGTTTCTAATCTTAGATTATCAGATTTACTTTGAAGATTGGATTTTAATGATTCTGCAATTATTTTAAATTTATCATTTGTTAATAAATTGGAACTATTTAAAATTAAAAATTAAAATTAAATTAAAATTAAATAAAATTAAAATTAAAAATTAAAATAAAAACCTACTCTACATTATCAATTAATTGATTACATGAAATTAAAACTTGTAATGATGAACCAAATTTACATGAAATTTCCATAACAATTTCAATTAAATTATTAAAATTCTTATTATAGAAATGTAAAACTTGATTTAATAAAGTTAAAGATTGTGCAATAATAATTTGTAATAATTGTAATTCCTTCTTTTCATATTGACTTTGATCAATTAATTTAATAAATTGTAATAAAAATTTATAAACATTTTCATATAAATTTTTTAAATATTGATCTGATTTTTTACCATAAATAGATAAAATATTTAAAATAGACCATAATAATAATAAAGAATTTGATTGTTTTGAAAATTGAATTAAATCTTGTTGTGATTTAATATTTGAAATAATTTCAATAAATTTGTTATAAATAATTTGAATAAATTTAGAATTTTTATCAGATAATAAAGTATATTCCAAATTTGTATCTAAATTACTATTACTAGTAGTATTAGTATGAATAAAATTTAATAAAAAAGCAACAGTTGAATCAAAATTATAATTAATATCATCATTAACAAATCTTAAAAATTCTTTAACAATTGTATTTGATTCTTGTTCATTTCCAATTGTTTTCATTAATTTTCTATAAAAAGTATAAACTGTTTGTTTATCTTTAATATAAAAACAATTAAATAATAAATTATTAACATTTTCAATTATATCTGATCTTTGTAATGTTTCAATTATATCAGAAATAAATGAAAATAATGCTTGTGATGATTGAGCATTAAATTCTATTAATAGATTTTTACTATTTAATAAATTTAAAATTAAATAAATTGATTCTTCATTATATTTTTCAATAGTATTAAATGTTCTAATTAATTGTATAAAATATCCTATTTGAATATTTAAATATTCATTATTATTTAAATTATTTAAATTTTTAATATTATTTAAATTATTTTTAATATTATTTAAATTATTATTAATATTTAATTTGATTATTATTATTATTATTATTTAAATTAATAGAATTAATTAAAAATTTAATTTCAATAACAAATAAATCCCAAATTTGTTTAGCAATTAACTTATTTTTAGAATAATCTCTTAATAAAATTAAACATTTTTCAATTAAAGTAAATTTGTTACCAATATCAGCTAATTGTTGTTTAATAGTACCATTATAATTTAAATTCCAATTTAATTGTCTAAATAATAAAGGTAATAATCTTGACATTTTAGAATGTAAATTACCTAAAATACCTTTCATTGATTCAAAAAACATTTGACTAACACCATCATACATTATTTGTGATGGTTTTTCAATTAATAAATTAAAAACTTTTTCAACATAAATTTTTAATTCTTCATCTGAAAGTTTGTTAATTAAAAATGAAAAACTTTCAGCTGCAAATTTTCTAATATACCATTTCTTATGTGAAAGTATTTTACTATACTTTTCAAACCATAATGATATATCTTTAATAATATATTTTTGTAAATATTTAAATAAAAATGCTAAACTTTTAAATATTAATCCATTCAATTCTATATTATCAGAACTTATATTATATACTATTGGATAAAATAAACGTGGAAATAATGGATAAAATTCTTGTCGTAAATCTTTAGCAAATATTGTTACTAGACTGTTTTTTTAAATATTTAATATTATTGTAATGAATATTTAATATTATTGTAATGAAAAATAAAAACTACTACTTACTCTAAAATAGGTTGATAAGCAAGAGAATCCTTAATTCTTAAATGATTAACAAAAATATCACAAATAGTTTCTTTGTGATGTATCATTTCAGGTAATGTTCTAACAAATGATTGAATATTTGATCTAAATTGAATATAATGTTTCTATTATTATTGTAAATTATAAATTAAATATTGAGAATATAAATAACATACAGTTAAATTCAATTCATCCCATTCTAACATTTTATCATATAAAAAAGTAGTTGAATCATGTTCATTCTTTGATTCTTCTTTTCTATAAGTATCAAATTGTACTTCCGAAAGTATTTTAACATCTTTAATACATTCATAGAATGATTTAAATTTAATTAAATTTTCATCCTTTTTAGATGGAAGTGTTTTTAATACACTTTGTACTCTTCTATTAATTTTATCTTCTTGTGTTAGATTTTCATCATCATCATTATTTTGATTTGTTGTTTGTTTTGATGATTTTTTACTTTGATAATCTTTAGAGAGTAATAAATTAGATCTTTTTGATGACATTTACTCTCTTTTTATATGTATTTGTGTGTGATTGATGAGAGTGATAAAGAGTGTATATACTATTATTAACTACTACTACTACTTGTTGACTACACTTGAGATTTGTTGTTATTGGGGTGTAGAAGTAAATTTGTTGTTTTTTTAGTAGTTAGAATGTTGGTGAGAACACTTTCAGTTTTTTTATTGAAGTCAAAATTTATTATTCAAGTTTTTTTTAGATATCAACTTTTGCTGCAATTATTGGTAGCATGTAACGGCAGAACATGAATATTGGGCTTATCTATGGGTCAAAGGTGATTTATTCCTTAGAGGTGATGTTCTTATCTATTAACAACTTTGGTACATATTACTTAATTGATGAATTTTCTCAGAAAAACATGAACTCTTGTTCAAGTAAATTCTTAGTAGCCTATATACATCTCACAATTATTTGAGTGAGACTCTCTTTAGCATTTAGAATTAATAGCATATTCAACTTTAGCTTCTTTGTCTCCATTAAAATTAAACATAGTCAATATTAAGCTGATGTCCTTTCAATTGTTAATATCTTCTTCATCTAACCCAACACCTACAACATTATCCAATAATATCATTCGAATTTCATTGAATTCAATGTTTTGTAATTAAATTGTTCTTCTTCTAGTTCCACCAACAATATCCAGAAATAAGATTGAATTATAATATGAGGAATTGTACATATTTCTTCTTGTTGAGACCATTTTCGTTCCGAAGAACACCAATACAAACACTAAACTACTCTATCCAACCAACACAACAACATCATTAGAAGATTCACGAAGAAATTCAACAGTGATATGGATGATGTTAGTTCACTTCCTGATTTGACTATTGTTTGTGAATGTGAGATGATCAAGAAGGAGCAGTGAAATCAGAGCTTCAAATCATGATTCATTTGTGTGGGAAAGCAGAGGTATACATTTAATATTATTGTTGTGAACATTATCTTCTGTTAGACTGATGGCTTTGAAAGTTGGTATCATGTTGTTTAAATGATGATTTAAGGATTATTGTACATCTCTATATTATTGCAATAATCATTCCGAAGATGACAAGTGGAGATGCATGCTTCCTACTTTTTCTTTTTGAATGTTTGAAGAACTGCAACAATAGCTTCAAAAAAGCTGCTGAAAAAATTTTATTGTAAAAATAATTAAACTCGGTTGTTTAGAAAATTTGTTGAAAAAAAAAGCCTGCATCACCATGGTAGTCACAATTGAAAACGTTAGAGTCCAAAAGCCAGCCCCAGAAACTGTCTTGAAGAGAAGAAAGAGACTCCAAACTCATACTGAAGAAAGAGCCAAGCTCGCTTTCGACAGAAAGAAGAAGCTCATTGTTCTTAGAAAGAAGGCTTTGAAGAGAGCCGAAAAGTATGCTAAGGAATACAAGCAAAAGGAAGCTAACGTCAAGGCTGCTCACGATCAAGCTGCTAAAGTTGGTTCCCTCTTCGTTGAACCACAAGCTAAATTGGCTTTCGTCATCAGAATTAGAGGTATCAAGTCTGTTGCTGCCAAGGCCAAGAAAGCTCTCCAACTCTTGAGACTCAGACAAATCAACAACGGTGTCTTCGTCAGAATTAACAAGGCTACTTTGAACTTGTTGAAGCTCGTTGAACCATACGTCGCTTGGGGTTATCCATCTTTGTCCACCATCAAGCAACTCATTTATAAGAGAGGTTCTTTGAATGTTAACGGTGATAGAAAGCCAATCACTAGCAACGTTCAAATTGAACAAAAGTTGGGTGAAAAGGATATTGTCTGTGTTGAAGATTTGGTTCACGAAATTCACACTGTTGGTCCACACTTCAAGGAAGCCTCAAACCTTTTGTGGCCTTTCAAGTTGCAACATCCAAAGGGTGGTTATGAAACTATCAAGAAGCACTTCATTTTGGGTGGTTCATTCGGTAACAGAGAAGAATATATCAACCAATTGGTCAAGAAGATGTTGTAAATCCATTCTAATAAAAACTATAAATTAAAATTTCAATTAAATTATTATTCATCATCCACGAAGACATTTTTAATATTGAAAATCATAATTATTTAAATGTTGCGACTGATTGAACATTATTTTCTGTTTCATCCAGTTGTTAGTTGTTTCAGTTCCCAATAAATTTCAAGATTTTCACAAGATGACGACATACAATTATTAATTTGTTTAGAATAAGAACTTGGCGGTAATTTTCTTGTTCTCATTATCATGTCTTTATTGTAATTTAGATATCTGAAAATAAAGTTAGAAAAGGAAAAGTTCAGGATTATGCCAATAGACATGGCTAGTTTGGTACAAACTCATCAGAGATTCGTATTAGAGAAACAGGGTCATGTTTGATTGGGAAATCTGAATGTTTGGTACGATCAAGTAAAAATGAATCAGTACAACCTCTTTTCTTTATCTTAAATTATTGGATACACCTTCTTGACAGTGTATAGGTTCAAATCTACCAGCATCCATATCACCTTATCACAAGTAAACCAATCCTGAATGTTTCACTTTGAAATCCATTCACAAAGAAAATTACCAAATATTTGTTAAAGGATAAGAAGTTGCATACATATTGGGAAAGTTAAAATCCTCACTATTTTCAAAATGAACTAGATTCATATGATATGAGTTATGATCGAGAGATATTTTGCAAAATCCAAGATTATCAAGAAAACTCATACAAATTTTAGGTGTCATTTTCGTAATGAAATAGTGATATATTGTTATCTAAATATATGTTCTCTTTATGACCATTTCTAATAGTTTGAGGAGAAACTGAAATAGATTGTTGTGAAAATTGACAAGTCCATAATTGAGTAGGAATTAAGGAAGATCCCAACCTCTTATATTTGATCTCTGTTTTCAGAATATCTTTTTGACATAATTTAATTTTCATATTCGTAATGGAACTGTTATCTGAAACATAAAATTCAAACTTTTATGGAAAATACAGTTCTTTTCATCTTGTGAATTGTGAATTAATGCGAAAGGAAATTAAAATTCACAATTTTATAATCCCAATACTTAACTCATCAATAGCATTGTTCCAATTATCAAGTGTGAAATTGAAAAAAATATTTAAGACTTTTGAAATTAATCGACCACAAGTTAATAATTAAGATTTTAAGTTAATTAATGGCTACGGCCATATCACGATGAATGCACCTCATCCCGTCCGATTTGAGAAGTTAAGCATCGTCGAGCCACATCAGTACTGAGGTTGGAGACAACTTGGGAACCTGTGGTGCTGTAGTCTTTTAACCATTTTTTAAATATTCTAACTGCTAAATCATCATTGAACACTACTGTTCTATATGATACCAAAGGGTTCATAGTTTGGACCATTTACAACAACTTTTGGGATCGTGGGAGACAAGTTACCAGTTTTGTGGATATCAAGAAACTTCTAGCTAAATTAATTGGAAAATTTTATTTAAACATTTAATAATGTCAGCCTTCCTAGCTCAGTTGGCAGTAGCGCTGTCCTAGTAAGACAGAGGTCTTGGGTTCGATTCCCAAGGGAGGCAATTTTAGGGTTTTACTTCCCATTGAGTTATTTGTTTTACGGAAAATCACAAGAATATCCTGATGAGAAGGCTGACAAATTCTTCAGCTCACTTTTGTGGAAGAAGTTTATTGCTTGGCATTGGAAGCAAGAAATCAAAACTTTCTTATGGGAAACACCTTTTCTGATGTGGAGAATTTAAGCATGCTGATATTCTATTTTTTGGAGAGGAAGAAGAGAAAATTGAAAAGTCGATAGAGGTGGTCAGCTCATATTTAGGATTTGACTATTATGATGCAAAATATCTTGTGATTTGGATTAGAGAACATTTAGTTGTTAGTTGTTAACATTGAATTTCAATGAATTTGTCAACAAAATGCCACAACTCTATATTCTCACTTATCAAAATCTCCAATCAGTTGAGTAAATATTGTATTATTCATTATCTCTTTAATGAAGAGGCTCCTTCTTAAATTGTTAACATAACAATAGCCTCAAATCATTTCAAGATTTATGTAGACTTTTTTGATTTCTTATTGTTGCTCACAACAGAGTGGTGACTGACTCTCCAGTATTATGACAATTTATTTTACAGAGCTGAGAACATCAATGGTATTATTGGAAGATGATGATTCAGTCATGAGATATATTTTGTTAAAAGACCCTTTTGAATTAATTTTTTTATTTACCATGAATCATTACTGGCAGTACTTTCAGTTTCTTCCTTTTCTTCTTGCTTTGATACTTCTTCAGGAATGTATGGACCTAAAGGAGAAGGATCATTTGGTGTATCAAGTACAGATGAATCTAAGCCAAGCATTTTCATTTTCATATCAATTTGAGCTCTTGGTACTTGAAGTTTGTTAAGTAACTTGAAATAGTGAGCTAATCTTGGATCTTGTTCACATGTTGGAATATATGCAGATTCAGTTGCTTCACTTGCTGGTTGTATTGTTGTTGATGGAGGAGGTGGTAAGGATATTGTTGATACAATTTGAGATGTTGGTGGAGGAGGTGGAGGTAATGTCATTAATTGAGGTGGCGAATTCATTTGAGATGGAGGTGGTGGAGGAACACTTCCCATCATCATTTGAGGTGGTGGAGGTGGAACACTACCCATTGATAGTGGTGGTGGTGGTGGAATACCAGTACTACCCATTGATGGTGGTGGAGGAGGTACACTTCCAAATGATGATGAAGGTGGTGGTGGAGGTGGAACAGATGCTGAAAATGTTGACAGTGGAGGAGGAGGTGCTGATGTTATTGTTCCATTATTATTAGTATTAGTTGTATTAGTATTTGAATGTTGTTGTTGTTGATTTCTATGATGATAATATTGTGATTGAATAGATGTATCTGAATTCCATTGTGTCATTTGATCTTTTAATCCATTAACAGATTCAAGTTTTGATTCTAATAAAGTTAAAGTAATTTCCAATCTTTTAATATGATGTGAACATGAATTTAATTTTGTTTCACATTGATGAACAAATGAATTTAATAATTCAACCATTTGAATACTAAATGATGATACTAAATCAAGTGTTTTATAATATTCTACACTTGCTGATGTTTGATTAAATCTTTTAAAATTAGCAATAACTGATTTACTCATGTTATAATGAAATGATGTAAGATGATGATATTTAATAATAATAATATGAGGAAGGATAATAAGGAGGAGTGATATCAAAGACACCTTAATATTTTTTTTTTAAAAATGTAATGATGAGGATGAGGGATAACAACTCTGAAGATTTTATTAAGGAAGATTTTTTCATTCTTCATCATTTGATCAACATTTGATGAATAGTAATGATGAACAACATTAGAATGATGAGACATTCAATAATAATTTTGGGTACTCTACAATATTCAATTTATATAACTTATTAACAAAGAGTGGAACACAACATTTTAACTGCCTCAGTAACAATGCAATATTATTATGAATCATTACAATATAAACTATTAATACAGTATATATTATAATTGTTATAAGAGTACTAATGGTATTAAATCTATAATAATCAACTATTCCTTTCAACATTATAAACCATTATTATTTGGGTATTACAAGAATTTCGCTCATTACAATACTATGGAATTTTCAAAATGTAAAAATCTCCGAATTTAAATTCGCAAAGAGAGATTCTCATCAAGTCTTGACCAAATTTTATTATTCCACCATCAACAACAATTCTCTGCTTCATGCTAATATAACTGTTTTGTTTGTTGGGTAACAACAACAAGTGAATGGTCATGTTCACAACAACTCTACTTTATTATCCTATTGTACTGTTTCGTTCAATAAAAAAAAACAAACACATCATCCACATTCATTATCTACATTTTCAAAACAAACAACTTGTTGAATATATCAAATTAATATATAATCTATCATACTAGTATAATATTTAATAATAAATTGATTATTTCAATGAATAATAATAATAATAAACAAGTAAATAATGAATATGTAATTAATCAATGTTTAGATTCACATTTAAATACAAGTATTAGTCATCATATATTACCACATCATCAACCTTGTATTGATTGTAATAATACTTCTACTTCTGTTATTAATATTATTAATAATAATGAAAATGTCAATAATCAAAAAAAAACACACGTCATTGCTGAATTTATTGCTGGTTCAGCTGGTGGTTTAGCTGGTATTTCTGTTGGTTATCCTTTAGATACTATTAAAACTAGAAGTATGTTTTTTTTAAAATAATAATAATATTTAATTTTATTTTTTATTTTTTTAAATAATATTTAATTTAATTTTTAATAATAATTTAAAAAAGTGCAAGTGTTTCAAAATGATCATCATTCATTTAATGAAACATTTAAAACTAAATGGGATTATTTTAAAGGATTATATAGAGGATTATCAAGTCCACTTGTAGGAGAATTAGCTTCTAATTTTGTATTATTTGGATCATTTGGAATGTGTAAAGATTGGATGTCTAAATATAGTATTGAAAATAGTAAAGAAAATTATAAAGAATGGAAAGAAAATTTATCAATATTTGCAAGTGGAGCATTTTCAGGATTGGCAATTAGTTTAGTTGTTGGTCCAACTGAAATGATTAAAATTCAAATGCAAACTTCAAATGGACAAGAAACAAATCAATCAAAACAATCAATTACAAATTGTATTAAACATTTATGGAAAACTAGAGGTTTCTTTCATGGTTATATTGCTTGTTTAAATCATCAATTGACTTTTTATTCTTCCTATTTTTTAATTTATGAATTATCTAAAAGAAAATTTGAACAATTTTATTTAAATAATTTTAATAATTCTAATAATAATTCAAATGGTAATTCAAATGATGGTAAAAAATTTGAACATAATGCATTTACATTATTAATGTCAGGTGGTATGGCAGGTACATTAGCATGGGCATTAGTATATCCAACAGATTCAATTCAATCAATTGTTAGATATGATAGAGAAATGAATATTAGAAAGGCTTTAAAACAATATACTATTAGAGATTTATATAGAGGTTTTACTACAACTGTTATTAGAGCATTCCCTGTTAATAGTGTTACTTTTTATGCATATGAATTGGCTTTTCATTTAATGGGTGGTACTAAATAATAAATATGGAATTTATTAATAATTTTATTAAAATTTTATTTAATTTTTACAAAAGTATTCATATTTATTGATTATTATTATTTGATTGATTAAAATCATTTAATTGTTTTAATTGTTCTAAAGTTTGATTAATATTATCTTTCATTGATTCTAAATATCTAATATACATATCAATCATTACTTGTTGTAATTTTTCATTTGTTTCAATTAATTGATTATCATTAATAGTAGTAGTAGAATTAAATAAATTTAATGGTTGTTGTTGTTGTTGTTGTTGAATTAAATTAATATTCATTTGATTTAATATTTCTTGTTGTGATGTAAATAAATTTGTAATATTATTATCAACTGTACTACTACTAGTATTATTAATATTATTAATAGTAGTACTAGTTGTGGTAGTAGTAGTAGTATTACTAGTACTTGTTGGTGTATGATGATGATGATGTCCAACATTTCCATTATTATTATTTAAATTATTTAAATTATTTAATTGTAATTGTTGTTGTAATTTTAATTGATCTTCTTGTTCTTTTAATAATAAATCAATTGAACGACCACAAATAGGACATTCTTGTGAACGTTCTAAACAACCACGTAAACATTTAGAATGAAATAAATGTTTACATGGTAATTTTTTAATTGGATTTTGTAAAGTATTTGTAATCATATCTTCTCTACAAATAACACATACTCCATCAAATTCATCTAAATCATTTTGAGTTGCATTTTCAAATTTTTGATCCAATGTTAAAGATGCTCTTCTATAATTATATAAATCTAATATCTTTTTTTTAACATTACTTAATGTAATATATATATTTCTTAATAAATGAAATGGTAATCCAAATTTAGTCATTATTAATAAAAAGAATGATAAATAAACTAATGATTGTAATAATTCTGATATTATTTCTAAATAAAATATATAAACATCTCTAGATTCCCATTCACTATTACCTTCTTCATCTTGTTTAGATAAATTATATGCATGAAATATTAATCTAATACTAATACTAATACCCATTATTACCATTATTAGAAAATCAGATAAAAATAATATTCTTAATGTTACTCCTTCTTTAAAATAAAATTGAATTAATTCATATGAAAAATATATATCAATTCCAATTAATATAAATAAACATGAAAATAATCTAAAAAATAAATTAATTGATGTTTCTGGAAGTGATTCTAACTATTTAAATATTTAATTAAATATAAAAATATAAAATTAAATTATTAAAATAAATAATTAAATAAAATAAATATAAATAAAATACAAACATGTTTAATTCTCAATTCAGAAATCCAATGAAATATTTTTAAAAATAAACAAGTGATCATCATTGATAACATTCTAGTAGATAATTCTTCTCTAAAAATGGTCATTGCTAAACAAGTTTCAATTAAAGCATAATAACCCTTTTCCCAAATAACTTCTTCTTCATAAATTCTTAAAGTTCCAAAAAATAATTTTGATAATAATTTACCAAAATAAATAATTAATAATATTAAATCTACTATTAATATTATTCTACTAATTTTAGATGAAACTAAATGAACAATTGTTGTATAAAATTGTTGATGTTGATTTATAGCATTAACTATTATTATACTTGTTAGAAATATTGATAATGCTGTTATTGTACGTAAATCTATTAATTTACTTGTCATTTTATTATTAGAATATATTGTTATGATGATGATGTTATTATTATTGTGATGTTGTTGTTGTTATTTGTTTGATCAATTTTTTTTAATAAAATTTGTGTTTTATTTTTAGAGATTAAAAACACGTGTTTTGAATGAAGGCTTTGTTGGCAAGAGAATTAATATGAAAAATATTAATTTGCTAATTGTTGTACATGTGATAATTTCCATTTATATTTAAATTGGATTCTGAATGGTTTGATGGATTGCTTGTTTAATTTTCATTTATCTGAAATCATTTATCTTGAAAGTACTCTCTGACTTCTCCATCCTTGGTCAACCTAATTTCACCTTGCCATTCACTTGGTAAAACAACTGATGCGTATAATGTTGATGCTTCCTTATACATGTTGCATGCAGCTATAATGGTATTGTTCTTTGTATTCTTGAGAATTGTTTCTGCGAGGGCAAATGATTCGGTAAATTCACTCCTTGAGAAGAGATCAATAACTTTGCTTAGTAAAGTGAATTCTTTAGCAGTACCACTTCCTTTCCATGACTTGGAAGCTATATTGTATATTTGATGAGGTATGTGTTTTCCTTTCAGCATGAATTTACCCAATACGGTACTTATCACACTGTGTGGCACTGTAACAACATCCATAACTGGTTTAGTAACTAGAATATGTGAATGAAAAGTTCTTGTGAGAGATTCACATCTGCTAGCTGTGTTCACAGTATCTGAAATAACAGTAGCATCCAAACGTTGCTCATATCCAATTGTACCAAGTTGAACAATACCATGATGCAAACCAATACCCAACTTTACATTGGTATTATTTCTAGTATTGAAAACTTCCAATTCTGAAATCATTTCTAAAGCTGCAGTGACAGCTCCTTGTGGTTCAATAAACAATGCCAATATTCCATCACCAACAAACTTGTCAATAAATCCAGAGTTTCTTGAAATTGGAGGTGCAATACTCTTCAATAGTAGATTAATAAAAGCAAAGCCATCCTTTGCAGAAAGTCCCTCCATAATCTCTGTAAATCCATAAATATCACTGAAGAGCACTGTCATTTCCCTAGAAATTGCATCACCCAACCTTATCTTAGTTACATGACTCTTGCCAAGCAATTTTAGGAATTCAGCAGGTAAAAACCTAGCATAGGATTTGTTAATGGATGTGAAAATTCCAGCATTGTCTAAACTGATAGAGATGATAAGTTTGGCAAGGTTAATTTTTTCAGTTGTGAATACATCCTTCGTTTCCTTATTTTCCAAGTATATACAACCTTAATACATTAAATAATATAAATAATAAAAGCATACCTATTACTGTCTTTTTCTTCATGATAGGAATAGATAAAGCAGAGGCCACTACATTCTTCACAAAGTAATACTCTTTCTCATTGTCATTCCATACGAGTTGTTGCTCTGTTCTGGATCTTAGAGTTCTGTGGATCATCTTGAGAGGGAATGAATCTGAAAACTTGTCCAAATCACTATTTTCGAATTGTTTGATGGACGAAAGTGCTTCAATAGAATTCATACCTGCATTAAATTCGGCATCTACATAAACTGTTGAATCTCTCTTCAAAATCAAACAACATCTTGGTGATAACGTTTGTTCTGAAAGAATTGGCAGAATTGAAATGAAAATCTCTCTAAAATCCAATTCTGTTGATTCAGAAATTCTGCTCTTTGTTACTCCAGCAAGAGTGTGATCTGTTGATTCATCAGATAGAGAAGTATTAGAGAATACTTGTTCAGGATTTCTATTACTAAATGATGAATAGCCATCAATGTGACCTGAATAATTCTCCAAAATATAATCAACAACGATGGAAGCACCAAACTGTTCAAAAGATTCCATAGCTCTAAGGAAGTAGTTTCCACTAATACCATCATCCATACCTAGACTGTTATAAAATTCTCCTGTTCTCAAATTAATCAGCCTAGCTAAAAAGGTATTTCTTTCCTTTTCAGCCATAACATAACTCTTTCTATAGTGAGAAATGATTTTTCTAGTATTTTCGACACCTGTTCTACAATATTCTGAGTACAACGTCTCGGCTCTTATTAACTCCAAAGGAGCAAGAAAAACAGAAGAATTAACTTGGGAAATCATTTCCAATCTTTCTATGGAGTATTTCAATATTTCTTGGGCTTTTTCAATCTTTTCTTGAGCACTTCTCAAAAAGATAGCTGAGATTAAACCTAGAAAGATTAAATCAATCCAGCTAGAACACATGCCAACAGAGTCTTCTCTAAAATCATACGATTTTTCCATACACTTGAAAGATTTTTCAATCTCATTTTGGAAATAGAGTGAAATTCCCTTGAACGAGTAGTGCATTTGTCTATAGGATGGATATTCCTTCACTTGGCTTACATATGTTGGCTGGAAATGGTCTACATCTCCTGAAAGAACATATTTCAATTCCAGTATCATTTTACTGGCATCCATCAACATAACATTTCCATTTCTCTTTAAAATCTCAATTGAATTCAAGCTCAATCCAATAGAAGTCTTTACATCTCCGTGGCTATAGAATAAGTGATGGAATGGATACCATAGAATAGAGAAACCACCATAGTGTTTGTTCTTTGATTTCACAGACAATAAGAAGGCTTCCTCCGATATATTCCACACCTCAAGAGGGTTAATTGTTGGCGAAAAGTAATAACTCATCAACTTGATAAATGTGCAACTTGCCAATTCATGCTCATTCCTGTATCTAGTCTTTTCCATCTCTAATCCTGCCTCTAAGAACATGTTCATCTGAGGATAAAACTCAAAATTACACCAAGACCATGCAAAGACTGAAATTAACAATGGAGAAAGAGGAGTAACACCATTATTTAAAACTATATCAGACGATATTAATATCATAATCATAAAGTAGTGTTTGCTGAGCGAGTTATTCAAATGAAAAACAGCAGGACAAGATTGAGTGAGCAAACAAATAAGATGCCACTTTTCCAAATCATCAATATCTGGCAAATTGAGAATATCAGATTT